CAGCAATATTCCAGGCGCTTATCAACAATGTGCTACACAAATATTTGGACATATTTATAGTAGTATACCTAGACAACGTCCTAATATTTACTAAAGGAACCTAAGAAGACTACATAGAAAAAGTCAGGCAAGTACTCAAGAAACTTAAAGAGTATAAGCTTTACCTTAAAGTATCAAAGTGTGAATTCTACAAATAATCAGTCAAGTTCCTAGGACATATCATATTAATAAAAGGAATCCAGATAGACCCAGACAAGATCAGAGCCATTATCGATTGGCCTACGCCAACAATAGTCAAAGAAGTACAATAGTTCCACAGACTAGCGAATTATTATCAATAATATATATACAAATTCTTAGCAACAGCAAAACCCCTGACAGACCTATTCAGGAAGGCAAAAGAGTTTATTTAGGGAACCAACAAAGAACAAGCATTCAAAGAACTTAAGGAAAAGTTTAGTCAAGGAGACATGCGAATACACTTTAACCTAAATAAAGAGAGTTATCTCAATATAGACGCATCAGACTGTGCGATTGGAGCACAATTATAACAAAAAGACAACACAGGAAAACTAAGATTGATTACATGCTACGCAAGAACCATGACCCCTACAGAACAGAATTATAATATCCATGACAAAGAATTACTAGCAATTATTACAGCATTTAAGAGATGGAAACAAGAGCTCCAAGGAGCAAGGCATCTGACCACAGTTATTAGTGACCACCAGAATCTAACATACTTTATAATGATCAAGGAACTCACTCATCAACAGTCAAGATGGTACACTAAGGTACTAGCCTACTACAACTTTAAAATATAATACTACAAAGGAATAGAGAATGCCTTCGCAGACGCATTAAGCAGAAGACCAGATTTAATAATAAAGAAAAGAGAATCTAGAGCAATATTGCATCTAGATCCAGATACCAAGGGTATGATCTTAGATCAGCAAGCATTAAGAGCTACTCAAACAGTCACGACCGAGGAAGACACTCTAATAAATAAAATACAAAAAGCAATAATAAAAGATCCCTTATTTAAATAAATCAAAGACAACAACGAAAAATATAAAAAGGAAAATAGAATACTTCTATATCAAGGATTGATATATATACCCAGAGAAGTACAACCATAAATACTAAGAGATAACCACAACACAAAAGTTGTAGGACATTTCGGAATTAAAAAAACCATAGATCAAATTACGCAAAACTACTATTAGCCAGGAATATAGAGAGAGATCAAACGATATATCCAGGAGTGTGAAGTTTGCCAATAAAATAAATCAGAATAACACGCGCCATATAGACTCCTACAGCCTATACTATACAAGGAAACAGTATAGAAATCAATAGCGATAGACTTTATAGTCAAGCTACCAAAGTTAATAGAGCCACAAACGGGCATTTAATATGATTTAATATTTATAGTCACGGACAGACTAATGAAGTATACTTATTTTATACTATTTATCAAAAAGACTACATCACCAGAGACAGCATATATCCTATTATGACATGTCTTTACAGACAAAGGATTATCAGACAAAATTATATCAGATAGAGACACAAGATTCATATATAAATTTTAGATAACACTCACTGAAAGAATAGGGATTAAACAGAAAGCCTCAACGGCATATCACCTACAAACAGATGGATAAAGCAAAAGGATAAACCAAACAGTAGAACAATACCTGAGATACTATATCAACTATAAATAGGATAACTGGGTTTCACTACTACCAATAGCACAGCTCGCCTATAACAGAGTAAAGAACGCCTTAATAGGCATGACACCTTTCTTTACAAACTATGGAAGAGAAATGGAAATAATAAAAACACTAAAAGAAGGCAAGACGCACGCCTTAGAAGCAGAGGTTTCAATAGAATAGATATGCGAACTCTATAAACACCTATAGTTAGATCTCAAATTCTTGAACTATAGAATGAAATACTACTATAACTAACGGCACGTGGAAGCGCCAGACTTTAAGAAGGGGGAAAAAGTATTCCTACTTTGACAAAATATCAAGACATTGAGACTAAGTGATAAATTGGACCACAAGAAACTAGAACTATTCAAGATTTTAGAAAAAATTGGACAACTTAATTACAAACTCTAACTCCTAGAACACATATAAATATACCCAACATTTCACATCTCATTAATCGAAAAAGCACCCCAGAACACTAAACCATACAAACCAGAAATATAACCAGAAAATCAAGAAAAAGAATATAAAGTTGAAAAGATCCTAGACAAGAAAGTGATTAGCGGACAAACCTACTACTTAGTCAAATAGAAGGGATACAACTTTTTAGAAAACACTTATAAGCCAGCACAATATCTTAAGAACTCACTAGGACTAGTCAAAGACTTTTACTAGAAGGTTTAGAAGTAGGAGAAGACGCTTCAAGAAGTTGATTAATAGAAACGCTACTAGAGGATAGAGGACTAATAAGGAGTTCACCAGTAGTATTAAAAGAAGCAGCTTTATTAGACAACTTGACCTAACACCAATGGAGCTTAAGATTACAAGCTATTATAACTAAAAGCTTGTCTTAAGCCTTAGTAAGCTTTTCCGGGCCTAATAGACTATTTAGATATTGCTAGCGACATCTATATTAGAATTACTAAGATAGTAAGGAAGCCAGGCCAATTCTTTAGCCCAAGGAGAGTTATCCACAAGACGGCTGACGCAAGGACAATCCTTATAAACGCAAGAGGAACAACATTTACTGTGGGAATCTATCACAACACAAGGCTAAAGAGACCAAAAATAGTTATCATAACAAGAACGTGATAAGGAACTAGAACAATCAATGGCTGCCACCAGAATCATACGCTTGGTAGCCTGGTTACAGAGAAGATGGGAAGATTTCTTTATAATAAAACAAAGAGCCATGATAAAGGAAGAAAGGAGACTTACCTAACAAAAAGGAGGGAAATATACTTACTATTTATATACTCGTCGAGACAACTCAATAAGAAAGGAGGGGATAATATTACAGACCACCTGCGGCGCAGCCCCAGGATATACACTCATTAAACAATAAGATTCCGGGACAGAATAACTACACATCACGTGACCATAAGGACAGGTCCCAGATGCCAAGACCAGGGACAGGTCCCTATGGGACCGAACATGAAAGGTCCACAAAGGGACCAGGACATCAGATCTATAATGGGACCTAAGAAGAATCAGAAGGAAGGGACTAAATATACTATATATATAAAGACGCTCATTTCCTTAAGATCAAGAGTCTTATACTCGCGATCAAACCAGCTATAGTTTTACTATACTACTTAATATAAAGCACCATTCCAGTTGTCTTATACTATATTCACCAAATACCCCTTTGCCTATTAATATAGGTCAACTTTATCTTTACTGCTTATAAGGACCTTTAGCCTTCATCCGACCCAGGCACTGACTAAAGCCACACTTGGAACTAAGGGATAGTCTTATTATAGTATTCTATCTCACCCTAATACCAAGCCATCTCCTATAACAACTCACTTCCAACCTAAGCTTTCCCTAAGACCTTCGTACCTTCTGTCTTACGGCAGGTGTGAACCTCTGATCACCTTTAGATAATCAAGGAGCGCCGTCAGCTTGTGACATTAATATTCTCCTCTATAAGAGCTTTATACTATATAGTATAAAAGAGCTTTTAAAAGTCTCTCTTTCTAATTAAGAGATATTCGAGGCCTCTCTATATTAGGTTATTAACTTCTTAGGAATATATACTAGTTAGTAGCTTAAATATCCTAATATTTAATAGCTAGAGATAGTAAGTTAAATAGAGAGAAAGAATAGCAAGAAAGATATAGTTTTAATTAGTATAGTTAATAAATTATATATTAATATAAGAAGAGTACCTATTAAAGATAAGGAGCCTCTTTACTCTACTAGCCTTTATCTTTATATATTTATTAAAGACTTTCTTTAACTACTCTAGGCTATAATTATTAGAGCTCTAACTATTTAGTGATACTATAAAATATATAGTTTATTCCTTTAGGGAGTAGTTATCTAACTAGGTGTCTTATAGATCTCCTTCTCCCTTATAAATAAGTGTAGAAGGAATCCTTTCCCTATCTATAGAAATAGTAGTAAGTAGAGAGATAAATTCCCTATTTCTATTATAAATAGTAGTTATCTTTTTATTCTTTAGTAAATAGATAGAGACTATATATTTTACTATATATCTAAGCCTAATTAGGAAGTCTTTCTTATCAAAGTTATAGATATTACTAGGAGTAATATTATATTTATTAACTACCTTCTCTAGCTAAAGAAGAGGGTATTAGTAACGAGATATCTAATAAATAATAAATATTTAAGTATTTATAAGATTATAGAAATATTTAAAATAGATAGAGTTATCTATAATATACCTATATTAATTGATTATTTAAAGATATCTTGATGTTATCCAGACCTAATGCCTCTTGCAAAATTGAGATATCTAATTAATACTAACTAGCTATTTGGTGAGCTCTAGAACGAGATTTATAATAATTTGAGGTATAGGAGATAGGCCTCTATTTAATAAATGTTTAATATACTATAAAAGGATTTCCTCTTAAGTATCTATTAACTTTTTATAATAAGTTAAGGTGGCTTCCTTATTAGATACTGTTTTACCTAAATATTAACGCGTAAAAGTCCTCTAATTGATTTTCTACTTTCTGGCTATTTATATGTAATTAGGGACGTCTTATAATCTTAAATCTTTAATTGTATAAGCAATTGCTTCTTCATTAGGCATGTTGTGGGTGGTTAAAGATAGGTGGTTGTCGAGATGAAGATTTTTGTTGGGGTGGTCATCGAGTGGTGAGATACGTTATCTACAATCTATCCGGAAAACAAATATGAGGCAAGGCAAGCAAGCTCCAACTTCAGCTCATTAACATACTCCTAGCTGCTTCATCTCTGCTCCATCTCTCTCTTCTTTGCGATATACCGGGGGAAGAACCTTGATACGCCATGGCAGAAACACCTAATACTCTCATTTCCTCGAAATCCTCACATTCCAGCCTCCACGCCTTGCTACATCCCTTAGTCCTCCTCAATATCTCGGACCATATAACACGGCATACGGTTCGACAGCAGAAGGGCCTGATTGTTGGCGCGATACTTGGGCAGCAGCATGGCAGATCTATCACCCTAGAGCATGTCTTTGACTGTAACCTGGTTACCGGGCCCAATGGAGAGGTGCTATTACACCAGGCATTCTTTAACGAGCGGTTACAACAATGTAAGCTTCTATGAGCTTTTATTATAGCATACATGGGCTCTTTTGCTTACTATACTATAGTTAAGGATGTCCATAAGTCACCAGCATTAGATCTTGTTGGCTGGTTTACCGTCACACCTCCTTCTGGCCCGCTACCTTCCCAAGTGCCCATCCACGAGCAGATGCTTCGGGACTATAATGAGGCCGCTATACTGCTCGCATTCCATTCATCCGATGTTGGAAACACTTCTTCGACAGTTGGGAAGCTTCCGATTACCGTTTACGAGTCAGTCTATGAAGGAGACAGTGCTGATGATGGGGACCGTCCGATGCAAGGAGACGACCAACAAAGGGACTTGATGTTGAAGTTCCGGCCAGTGCCATATTCGATCGAGACCGGGGAAGCAGAGATGATCAGTGTTGATTCAATTGCTACCGGAGGCGGAAATGCAACTGCGATTCAGGATAAAGAACCAAGCAAGCCAAAGACTGAGGCACAGAGGCAGGATAAAGAAAAAAGACAGAAGATATCGGCGTCATCTGAGGTTCTTGTTCTTTCTCCTGAAGATGAAGACTGTGAGCGTGATTTCCCTATTACCGCACATATAATCTGAGATGCTAATTATTCCACAGTAATTGCGAATCTTACCACACGCCTAAGTGCTGTCAAAACTCTACAGTCCCGAATCCATCTCATAAAATGCTATCTCCAGTCGATTGCAGATCCCAGCACCGACACACCAATGACATTACCGAATGCTCTCAAGCCAACACTCTCTCATTCCCTCCTCCGCAGTATCTACTGTGTCATCTCCCACTTGGCTCTGCTGAACCCTCAGAACTCAGATGCCCTCTCTATAGAGTCTCTAGCACAGGCAAACGATGTTCTACTCGTCGCCTTATTGGGAGCTCTGGGTCAGAACGTCCAACAGATGCGAGAACTGGGGAAGAAATTTTCTATCGCCAGTTCAATACGTCGCAGCAATGGTCCCAAGGAAGGCCAACTGTCGTCGCGCATGGGCGGTGACCTGTTCCATAGCTAGGAATGCATGTACGTAGAGATCGAGAAAGTCAAGAATTGGCCGTCGTTTTTCTGTTATTCTTCAAGTACTTATAGAACCTGAGGGGCCACTTCTATGTTTATAACGTTAAATATGACACGAATGAAACGATAGCATTTAAGGTGTAACTTGATTGCATCAAGCTAATGGAATATCCCGTCCACTTCCTGTAATTTGACTAAAACAAAACATGAATAAATAAATATGGATGAACGAAACCAGGCCAGCTCTTTTCTGCCAAAAAAAAAGTTAAGATGGAAAGAAGGTAGAAAAAGGCCGATATATATAAACATTGTAGATTTAGTGTTATCCCCCTTTGCGAAAAGGTTGTATTTTATCCCCTGTAGCCATCGCCATGTAAACACCATTTAAGCCAGGGTTAGATCCAATAAAGACGAAAAAAGGCAGATAGAAAGAATGAGAAACAGCTAGGCCTTTAATAGCTGTATTCCCTCGACGAAACCAATGCCAGCATGTAAAGAGCATGAAAAAAAAAGAATTGTATGCAAAGAACAAAAAAGATCATGGAAAGACTTGAAGAACTAGGGATCCTTCACCTTCTACCTCTCCAGTTGCCTTCTCTCCAGCCGCCTCCCCAATCGCTCCGTCCACCACCGCCACGGCCTCCGCCTCCTCTTCCTCCTCTGCCACCACGTCGAGAACCGTATTCTGGCCCCTGCACGACGAACTCGTCAGTGTCTTCAAACGTATATCTAAACATCTCGTCACCGCCACGTTTGGACACAGGGCCGGCCTTGATCAGATCGTCGAATCGATCTAGACGTCTATCTGACACTTCACGGGATACAGGTAGGTAGTAGAGCTTAGGCTTCGCGGTAGTGGATAGGAATCGGTCATCAAGGGCCTTGAAGCCATGCTCCGGCATTTTACTAGGAGCATGGCCTTGTTGTTGGCTCCCCGGACGTCCTCCGGGGGCCATCCTGTCCGCTCGAGGGCCAGTTGGTGGTTCTCGACCAAAGCTCGCGTGTGCGTCTCCATGGCCGTTATCGTGGAGACGAGGTGGTCCACTGTTTATAGACGATGCTTCTTGGAGTCGTGCCTTGACTCCATCCTCGGTGTCGTCATACACAACTTCCCAGCGAGGGGCGCCACGCCCGCTATTTCCGGGCGCTTGTTCGATTTCTATCCATTCCTTCACCTTTTCTTCAGGGATGAAATCCGCCCAGAGAGGTTTGCGAGTGCGTTCCTCGGGCCAGATTGCGTCGTGCAACGCTGCTCGGACCCGAGAGGCGGCAGCAATGCTCGTGAAGCTGGCGTAGCAGTGGGTTTTGATTGAATCCAAAAAGAAATCTATCACGACATCTGGATCTGGAGATGAATTGGGTGGTACTGCTAGAGAGCACAGGTGTCGTTTTAATGTAGCTGGCTGCAAAGGCCGCATGAAGTCCCGAATATATAACGAGGTAGTTGCTGGGTGTAGGGCGGGAGTAATCATGCGGTCATCCCCTTCTGCTGGAGGTGGCGACTCAGGTCGCAAGGGAGCGCCGTTCGTAGCAGGGAACAAACCCTTGAACCGAGCATCAGCAACTGAGCGCCTTTGCGCATGTGGTTTTTCTGCTCTCTCCAAGGGCTCCTCCTGGGCCGCCGCTTCGTTTCCTGCTCGTGGTTTATCTTCAATCTCATCGGTATCCAGTTTCGGTTCTGACATCAGAGGAGTAGCCTCCTCCATCTCCACATCCACATCTTGAGCCGGCGGTGCAGCAGCCACTGGTGTAGCGCTTGAAGGTTCTTGTTCCTGTGTATTTTCCTTTTCTACTATAGCTTCTTCGGCTACAGGACGAGATTGCTCTTCCTGCTGCTGTTCCTCCTCGAGTCTAGCTTTCTTCAAAGCGAGGCTCCTTGGGGACGGTGGTGGGGACTCGCTGCGCCGTTTGCGCTTCCTAGAGTCATCCGTATCTTCCTTTGAGACCTCAACATCAGCGGACGAGGCTTTCGTGGCGCTTTCGTCCTGCGCGGGTTCGGGTTGCGTTGGTGTGATATCCTCCACCACCAACTCGGTAACTGGAGCAGGCTCAGGTTCAACCACAGCTGGCTTAGGTGTTGGTGCCGGTGCTTGGGCGACAGGAGGAGCTGCCACAGGCTCAATAAGTTGTGAAATGCTGGTAACTTTCTCGACGACAGCGGGCGCAGGAGCATCGGGAACGACAGTCGTGTGTACCTCAGCCGCTGTAACTCCCTGCACAGGAGCTGCGGGGGCCACGGGAGGCTGGTCGACTGGCATAGATGGTATCATCTGGGGTAACGGAGCTTCTGGAGCTTGAGCTGGCGGTTGTTGATATACTGGAGCTGTTGTCACCTGCGGTGTCGTGTCTGGTATTGGTGCCGTTGCGGGTTCGACTGGCGGGCCAGGCTGTGCGCCTGCGCGCGCATTATCATCTTGAATGAGTCGATCAATGAAATTCTGCTTTACCCTCAAGCCAGTCTGTGGGATTCCTCGTTTCTTCAGCTCTGCTTTCAGGTCAGTGACCTTCAAGCTTGCATAGTCCGCCATAGTTGCAGGTGGTCGCGGCTGGCGAGAGTAAAGGGGGTCAAGGAGCTCAGTAACCGCGCATGGCCTGGCCGTTGGAGTCCGCGGTGCAGGATGTCTCGTCTCAGCTCGAGTCCTGGCGTGAGATGTCGATGAAGGCGTGAGTGCTCGAAGTTGTTTTTTCGAGAAACTAACAAAAAGCTTTCTTAGCTGCTTCGAGCATCAAACTGGGAAGGTTTCTTATTACGATCGCCCAGAGTCACGTGAGCATCACTTCCCTCGCAAAGTAGAGAAAAGAAGTAAAGAAGTCAAGGAGGAAAGAAGTAGAAGTAGAAGGATGTATTTATCAAAGTAAGGTCGGCTATGGAGAGACGTATCATACATAAGGAGTGAAAAGAGTCGCTGGCTGGAAAAGAGGGTGGGAAATAGCATAATGTCATCAACCAGCATTAAACTTATCCGCCGATAAGGTAAAAAGAGATCGTTAAGGGAAAATGTTATATACAGTCAGCTGGAGGGCGGATAAAGAGAGGAAGTTGTTTTAGTATCATCTAGATACCCAGCCAGAGTTTTGTAATCCAAAATCAGGCAGGGAGGGTAGCTATTTAGTACGCTCGCCCCAGATGCCAATCACACCCATTGAGAACCCGATACCAAGAAGGTAAGTTCTTAGCATATGCAACTTGCGTTCCTGCTTCATTGATGCCTCTACGGTCTCGCCGTTGATCTCTGGCAAGGAGCTGGAGGCCGATGCCTTTCCGGTCGAGCGGATAGTGCCACCCGTGGACTCTGCCTCGGATGGAGTTTCGATGAGCTCAATCTCACTCGAGTTTCCAAACGACTCCTCATCCTCAGCGTTCTTTTCGGGGATGGTCGACTTTGACTCGGGTGCTGGTCCATAGAAGAGATTCCTCAAGAACGCTCCAGCACAGCAGCCAGATGAGCGAGAACCACGAGATTTAGAGCTACAGCATAGTGATGAAAGATATGAGTTGCAGGTGCTGGTGCTGACGCTCTCGGTTCCTTGGATGAACGAAGGGTGGTTTGTAAATAGCTCCAACCCGATACCGCCGAGAAGGGAGAATGCGCTGGTCCAGAGGAGGTAAGGGTGTCGCCGACGAGGAGACGAGAGGCTGAATGCTGCGATGAGAGTGATTACAGTGATGTGCGAGAGTGTCAGCGCAGTCCTGCGGGCCTTGTACTGGATATCCGTCAGGGCCTGGGCGGCAAGGGAAGCTGTGGGAAGCCCTTGGAGAGCTGGGAGAGCGATGGATGAGATTGCGTATGAGAGGCCCTGTGAGTAGACATTCGTAAGCCGGCAAGCTCCATTGGTGCTATATTAACGGGTATACACGTACAGTTGATATGCCAACTGAGACCATGCCAACAAACTTGGCCATTGTGATCGGGCAGGCCATGACGCAGTCCGAGCTATGGCTCTACGTAGGCCTAGTATGAGTTGAGCTTGGTATTAAGCTATGGTATGGTGGTGGTTCGCGGACGAGCTATCGATGCTCCTTTTGAGACACCGTTTATCAGTGTCCTGCTCACAGAGGTGAGGGTATCTGGTGAATTGGCGGGCGCTGGCTGATGGAACGTCGCATCCTTCTTGAAGCTCGCAGTTTTTTTGATGCTTCCAACTTCCAACGTCACGGGAAGTCACGGGAAGTCGAGATGACATAAGTGATTATGTAATGGCTTGGCGGATATTTCTATCTCAACCTCGAAGATAAAAAGAGACGACGAACAAGAGTAGAAATATACACCAAGATGAAGGTAGATGATGCCGTTTATCATGTTCGAATCGTAGGAAGATATGAAATCACTTGAAGTGGCCTATTACTTTATGTGAGTATCAGCATGAAGAGCATAATGTAGCTATATCATGTCTAAATCGCCGACTAGCACAGTCGATAATACGCCCCTTCATGCATCGTCGAAGGAGATACACAAACTCGCCCTCTTCGTGCATAAAATGTGCTTCTTCTTCCTTATTTTTTTCTGTCTCGGCTGAGAATACCCCATTGGGTGTAGAAATAAACCGAGGCTTGTACAGCTTGGCGCCGGGCTTCCTTTGTCCGGACATAAATAATGCGGCCAAGGGACCAGCTCTCGTTGCGTCCTCCAGCTTCCTGAGCCCTTCAAGTAAAAGGAACTCGAGATAGGAAGATATCAAGTACACGATGCCGCTGCCGAAGAATGCATATATAAGCGACGTCTGGAAGGACGGCGTATTCGGTACGTTGTGAGCCCATATCTACTTCCACACACCCTTGTGGTGAAGGTACCAGATCTAAACCTGCCCCTGTTTAGATAACAAGGTCGTCTTCTGCACTGGGGGTTCGGGCACAATATGTAGTGCCCAGGTTCGTGCCCTCGTTCACTTGGGAGCGAACGCATGTATCGTCGGCCGCAATGTCGAGAAGACCGAGAACATGGCCAAGGACATCGCCACGGCTCGTGCGGGTTCGAAGGTGCTAGGTATCGGCGCAGTTGATGTCCGCAACTTTGAGAGTGTCAAGAAGGCCGTAGACCGATGTGTGGAGGAGCTGGGCGCAGTCGATTTTGTGATGTACTTCTCTTCCTCTCCCCGGCTGGATGGATACCCTTATTGCATCCCTCTAATTATGTTTTGGCAGCGCTGGAGCTGCAGGGAACTTCCTTGCGTCGATCAATCAGCTCTCTGTCAATGCATTCAAAGCAGTCATGGATATCGACGTCCAAGGCTCTTACAACACACTAAAGGCAACCATCCCTCATCTGGTAAAATCGGCTGCAAAACATAAGTCTGACGGGACTACTCGTGAGTTTATTCCCTTCTTACCTGCGATCCATGAATACTTGAAGCTGATTTGATAAAGCTTCACCAACTGGAACTGGTGGAAGGATAGTCTTCATCAGCGCCACTATCCACTACACCGGCCTGCCTCTCCAGACGCATGTCTCCGTCGCAAAGGCGGGCGTGGATGCTTTGTCGAATAGCGTGGCCCTTGAGTTTGGCCCCTTGGGAGTAACATCTAATGTTATTAGCCCTGGACCAATTGGTGACACCGAGGTATGCAGTTCAACTTACCTTGATATCGATCATGTTAATAATTCAATGTTGATAATAGGGTATGCGACGACTGGCCAAGGGCGAGGCAAGGAAACGCAGCGAAGCTGCAGTTCCGCTAGGCCGATATGGCTCTGTCAAGGAGATTGCTGATGCTACTATATACATCTTCTCTGACTCGGGGAACTTTGTCAATGGCTCGACGGTCGTTGGTGCGTATATCCCGTAATCGTCTACTTTCTTGCTCGACTACATACTGACCAATCTTTGCGTGTCCGGTAGTTGATGGAGGAGCATGGCGTATGCAATCTGGGTCTTCTGGAAGCGGTTTTGTCTATCCCGACTTTCTTCTGTCAGGGGAGGAAGTTACAGGCGTTGCCGGGTTGAAGAAATCTAAGATCTGATCTTGCTAGTCATTACTGCTCCTAGTTATTTGTCTCATTATAAATTGTCCGATATAGCAAGTATTCTATTTGATCTGCCATTGCGGCATCTGATATATATCCCAAAGCTACAGGGCCAGCGTCCGGTTGACCCTTTTTCTTCGATAAACGAGTTACTCCAGCACTTCTACAGCTGTAAGTTATAGCAACACTGCCGCTGCATGATACCAGATCAAACGAGAATACCGTTTGATCTGGAGTCTTCTGGTAAGATTGGTCTGAAATCTCAGTCTCTATAGCAACACATCAGGGGCCCCACTCCTGTTTTGATATCTTACAGCTAAACCCTAGCGTCTAGATCAAACGAGGTGCTGTTTTTAATCAAACAGTATTAATGACTTCATTAGCCTGCCCTTAGATCAAACAACTTGGTTACAATGATGTGTGGACAGCTGGTACTTGTGCCTCACACAGTCTTGATATCAAGAGTGAAGCCACGTGACATCCCAAAACAGCTATTTTCAACATCAGATGCAATAAAGAAGGGAAAAGGAGTCGACTTTGCCCTCTTTGTATAGAACAATGGCCAGAGGACAGGCTATATAAGAGACGTTGATGCCCCAGAGGGAAGAAAGAAGTTGTAGATGCAGAACAGAGCCCAACATCTATAGAATATATCTTTTCATATTCTCCTATTGGGACTGATGTATGATATCAGGGGAACCTCCTGATATGTTTTGTGCTCTTGAGCTCAGGCTGCAAAACCCGACACTGGGTATAAGGGGAAATAGGGAAGATGGCCCGCACAAGTACCTATAGTCGAGACTCGCAGCAAACAGGACTCCAGAACGAGTACGTTACCATATATTTCAGAGGACACGCAGTGCAACACAGCGTCAAGTCTGCGTATCAGTCTGGTATCGCACTAGAACCTCGCTGGCGCCGTTTTATATCAACAGGACGCAGGTCGAGACCAAGTGAGGTGTTGATCTGGTTGTCCTGGCTCCCAGCGACTTGTTTATATATCGCCTCCTGTTCTTCCTCCCTCACGTCTTTCTTCCCCTTCTCATCATCATCGTTCGTTCATATCCTCTCTCATAACCGCAGCGTTCGCAGACAATTCTCACAAACCCACAAAGCTATCACTGCTTGAACCTGCCTGTTATCTTGTTCCTTCGTTAACTGCCAAACCTCATTCGTCGAATCATCAACACCACCTCTCCTGCTCTCGAGAGCAAAAATTCGACAACGACAACGAAGAAACACCTCTTTGTCTTCGTTTAGGATTGATCCTCGACAAATCTCTTCGTGAAGCAGCCAATACCACCACCATTCCGAAGAAATCAACCTAAACGTCGACCTCTTCTCCAGTCTCGCGGATTCGTCCTGCTTGAGACACCTACCTCGCCAAAACTTCACTCACAGCTTGAGCATATCCCTTCAACTCCAGGGATTAGCTCGCAGTCCTCTTCTTTGTCAGGAAGATCGTAGCAGTACTGCTCGATCAGCGTTCGACCTAGCATCTATTTCCAGAACAGTCACGTCAAAGGCTGGTTCTACCCTTACCGTCAACTCCTTAAGTCCAACTTCAATCAACACTTAAGAAAGGGAAATGGCTCCACAACAGAAGGACGCCAAAATGGATGCTGGACAGAAATCACAACTGTCCACAGGAAGACGCCCTGACATCATCGGGGACGTGAGTGTCGCCCTTCCGGATCTGACTCCGGAACAAATTGCCCAGCGTCAAGCCGGTTTGCTACAATCGAAATGGGCGTCGCCAGTAGACGAGTACCATGGACAATGGGAAAACATGCTGGCGACAAAACGGGGGCTGTCTTCAAGCCAAAACACCAAGACAGCAGTACCTGCAGCCACGTCGGGGCCACAGCGACAAGCAACGGCTCCGACCGACAAGCCCACTGCAGGGAAGCAGGAGTCGAAGGGCAAAGCAAGAGATACAACGCAAACTTCGACTCCCCCCAAAAGACTTGACGCGGCGGACGGCGGCAGCAAACCTTCTGCACAGAAGGCTTCGTCGGGCAAGCCTCTCAGCATTCCACCTAAGCCAGTCAACAAGGCCGCAGGTGAAGGCCCTTCGAACAGCCGTCGTTCGCCGCCTGTTATGAGCCAACAGGCAAAACAAACCTCCACCCCTCCTCCGGCCAGCGCAAACGACAACAGCAACGCCAACTCCGAGGCCTCCAAGAAGAGGCGCCGACGAGGAGGGAAGGGAAAGGGCAAAGCCGCCAACGAGGCTGTACCAGCCGTTGCCCCTACCCAGGGCCAAAGTACCTTCAACAAGCCAAGTCCAGCGAAGGGAAACGGCCCAAAACAACAAGAGTCTGCTGCTGGTGGTGCCGACAAGAACACTGGCAAACCAACCACAGCCAGTGCACCACCAAAGACGCCAGCATCTACTGGCGCAGCTAGAAATGCAGCAGACTCGAAACTTGCACAGCCAGCGTCGACTCAGTCCCCTGCTCAGCCAAAACAGCAGCAGCAGCAGGGTGCAGTCAGAGGGAACGGACAACAGGCGCCTCAACACCCAGGTGCCGCGAAGGGCAGCTCGACAAAGCCCGTCGCCAACGTTCCCAGAGTCGACGAGACCACTGGCAAGGACCGCAAGGTCGCAGGGACGCAAGCCAACCAACAGCGTCCCCCTGTGCAAGCCCGCTTCGGTTCTCCGGCTCCGGCTGGAGGTGCCTCGACCACAGGGGTTGAGGAAAGAAGCAAAGCTGTGCAGCAACCCGCCACTGGGCCCATCGGTGGTTTTGCGGTAACTGCACAGAACGCACCCGTCCGTCTCGGCTGGTCACCAAATGAGACGGGTGATGTACGTGCCCGGAGGTCCGGGGCTCCCATGCCCCGTCTCGCATCCGGTTGGGAAGGGTATCAGGACAGAATCAACGTCTCTGTAGCAATCCAGGATATCTACCTGTATGCTGGAGACAGGTTGGACGTTGAGAAGTTCAATGCCTACGTTGCAAGCCCCTGCCATTCGGTAGAGGCTAAGGTCAACTGTCTCAAAGAGATAGTCGTCACGATGGATCGAGTTGTGTCGGAGAAGCACAACTCGGCTATGTCCATCAAAGCGGAACGTGACGCCTTCCGCGACGACTTTGACCGAGCCAAGGCTCAAGCCGATGAGTGTGCTGAGAGACTCTCGGCTGAGCAGGCGCAACGAGAGTTGCTGGAGCAGCAGATCGAGGCCATGCGGCACTCCGCGGTCGATCTCCGCAAGGAGGTCGTCACCAAGGAGTCTCACATTGGCTCCGCTGAAGGCGAGATCACTCGCCTCAGCAACGATCTTGCTGTGAGCCATAGCGCTCTGGACAAGGCCGTCTCGAAGAACGCAGCTTACGCTGCAGAGACGGCCTCCCAACTGGAGCAGATAGTTTCCCTCCAAGGCGAGGTGGAGAAACTGTCTGGCGAGCTCAGTGGCCTCCGGGCCAAAGCCGCCCTCGCCAACACGGAGTGCAAGGCGTTGAAGGAGGAGATTGCCAAAAGCCCCTTGCAGAGCGAAAACGAGCAGCTACGGTCCCAGCTTCTCGAAGTTCGGGACCAGCTCGCCTCTGCAAACCAGACCGTCCAGGATCTGGAGGATGAGCGGCAGGCTCACATCTGCTGCCAGCCTTGGGATAGTGGCAATCCAACCTCCGTCACGCTGAGCGCGGAGTTGGGAGGGCAGGAGGTTGGACAGGACAACCACGACCTGTCGGACGAACAGGATGGTCCCAGCGAGTACAGCGGAAGACCATCCCCACCAGCTTCCAGTGCTTCTCTGTACGGTGGAGGCAACGCCGTCTCCATGTCTACCCAGACGGAAGAGGTGGAAGTCATTGAGACTTTCACACAGACCGAAGAAGTGGTCGCCTCTCAAGTCGAGGCATTTACGCAGACCGTCTCTGCGGAAGTCGTTTCGTCTTCCACCCAGACTGGTTTCGCGGGTGCCTCGATGCGCGAGGCCTCCACCCAAACGGCCTTGGTCGGTGATGTCCTATCACTTGCTGAGGTGGAAGCGAGAGTTGCTGGCGCCCGACAATCGGCGGAAACGAGGGACGCCCATGTGCAGACAGACATGGTGGCCGAAGTCCCTAGACGCGGACGCGGATGGCGAGGTGTATTCCTTGCCCTGCTGATGCTTGCCTGGGCGGCCATTCTCCTGTGGGGTGTCGAAGGTGAGAGGCATGCTTGGGATGCTGCCAATGACATGTCTCGTACCTCTGTCATCGGAATTCGCTCCCAGTATGTCTTTCCTTGGTCACTATTGACAGAGAAGCTCAGCTTCTCCGTCACCCAGCACTTTGACCGGGTTGTCCCTGGGTGAACAGATGAGCCGGTTTGGAGCAGCTGTGCTTGCACTCATGTTCCTCCGGCAATGATTCTCGAAACCCCCGTCCTGTCCTGCCTCCGGGAGTCGTTGGTGGTGGTGGAAGTGGCCTGCCGAAGAGCCCACCTTGAAGGTTGGGGTGTCGGTTCATGTAACTAGCGATTGCCTGGTGCATAGGCCAGATGAAGCCCCTGTAGGACGTTGCACCCTCCTTCGGGATGGGGTCAATGTCCAAAAACCGCATGTTTTCCTTTGTTCTGATATGGCGTCGATGAAGTGCGGTGCTCCTGTTTGGGTGTACAGGAGTCTCCGCAGCTTCTATCTCTTCTCTCTTCTCTGCTCTTCTGATATCTTCTGTTCTCTGCTCTGTTCTCTGATATCTTCTGATCTGCTTCTCTGCTCTGCTCTTCTGATACCTTGCTTCTCTCTGCTCTGATATCTTCTGTTCTCTGCTCTGCTCTGTTCTGTTCTCTTCTCCTTTGATATCTTCTGTTCTCTGCTTCTCTCTGCTCTTCTGCTCTTCTAATATCTTCTGTTCTCTGTTTCTCTAATATCTTCTTCTTCTCTGATGTCTTCTCTCTTCTCTGATGTCGTCTCTCTTCTCTGATGTCGTCTTCTTGTCGTCGTCTGCTTACTCAGCGACACGCGGCTGTGGGTTACGTCATCTCCTCTTGTGGCCACTTTCGGACTGTCTCGAACTTCATGTTTCAACTTCGTCAGCTTTGGCGATTTCTCTACGCTCGTTTGCCTTTCTCTTGATTCTCCTTTGTCGTGTTGCTATCCGGAGCGACAGGTTATCCATGGTCCTCTGAAAACAAACCCTCTCTGCCCATCATGCTGTCGAAACTCCTTGCGACTTCTCTCTTAGCGCTGCAGGGCGCGGCTGCGTTCCTCATCATCCCTGAGGTTGATAGCACCCATGCCGTCGATACAACAAACGCTCGCAGTCTCAGCATAGCGACCACTTGCTCCAAATGCCCGTTCCCAGAGACGCCAGACACTACCACCGCCTGGCTGTCCGGAGTGGACAGTTATATGGTCAGTATACCCCTCATGGCAGCCTATGTACTGAGTACAAGTGCTAACATTTTATGCAGCTCCTGAACCTCACAACTGATGGAGGCAAATTATTCGTCAATCAGAAGGAAATCTACCCAGCTCCAGACAAATCCACCGATCTACAGACCGTGCTCGTTCGCAAGTCCGATGAGCGCTTCAGCCAGCATATTGCCACCGGCTACGTCTTGGAGTTGTTGCAAACCCCTGAATCTTCAAACGAGCAAGGACCCGAGCTTCTCACTTTCTACTTTACTCCCCTCCAAGTTGGCGGCCTCCCAGCTGCAGCGGACACTCTCTACATTCCCGTTATCAAAACCGCCAGGGGCAACCTCGTGATCGTCAACTCCAAGGTCGAAGCCTCCTCAGCTCCACGGATCGCATGGCGACAGTGCGGACGCGATGCACAGTGCTGGAAACGCCTACTGGTGGCTAGAATTGCCGCCACCCTACGCGCTGCAAAGACTCGCGCTGCTCTCTTCGCCGCCAAAGTGTCATCAACATGGAAGGGCTGCCACGGAAAGCCGTACGGATCTGGTCGGATGCAAGGAGGTAGAATGCACCACGGGCCCGGCCACCACAGATACCAAAATCCAACCTTCTCTCGCGCCTTCGCCCGTGCTCTACGTTTCGTGATCATCCCTGCAATCATCGGATTGTGTATCAGCCTGGTTGTTTGCTACATCGGATCTCTTGTTGGCCACTGCTTCGTTGCTCTATGGAGATACAGCCGCGGCCGACGCGACACTCACCGCCGCAGTCTCGACTCTGCCCAAGAAAACGGAGAAGCCGGAGAGAAGGAGGGTTTGATGGACGACGTTGCACCCGAGCATGAGGATCAGCTACATGGTCAGATCAGGTTACCAGAGAAGGAGTAAACCGTTTTTTTCTTTTCTATTTTCATTTTAATTGGGGGTAGGATCGCATGGCTACAGAGATTGTATTTCATTTCATTTCATTTTGTCCGGGCCTTTTCTTTTAATGTCTAGTTATCTCGCAGTGTTTTGTTATTGTTGACCCCCTAGGACTTTGGGAAACAGGGCTCTCCCTTGAATCAATTGCATTTTCTTTGTCAACCTGTACGACTCTGGCCGCGTAGATATATACCGAAGCCGAGGGACTCTCCTGATCAGCCTGCTCTGTCCCTTGTATGACTTCATATCCCACCTCTCTCAGCCGCGTATGACGGGGGTGGAAGATTGTTCCGCCGGCTATCCTGGAGGCTCCAGCTGCGTGTATCAGGTACGAGATAGGGATGTATGTCTGCTCAAAGACTGTACTGTTTCCTTGCATAGATAAATGAATCTTTACTTGACGTTGTTGATGCGCCGTAGAGCTTGGTGATATATATCAGGCTCTTCACCCCCCTTTTTGCTGGGATCGGCGCGTTCTCCAGGACTTCAAGATCGACCGCCAGAATCTAGAGCAAGCAACCAGACAAGACACTCCAGCGTTCCAGCAGACAGCTTCATAAAACCGGGCGCCAGATGCCAGTTGACAGAGCGACGCTGCAGCTATGTTCCAGATCTCGTCTCTTGTCCAGAAGGCTCAGTCGCTGGTAGACCCGTCGAACTTCGGCTTCCCTACGCCCACCTCCTCCGACCGCAATCCCTCCAAGGCTTCACTCTTCCGCCAGCAGTTCCGGCTCCCAGACTCGCAGAATCCCCTACAGGAGATCACCGCAGAGCTCGTCCTGCCGCTGCCGTACTCGTCGTCGAGCTCTACCCATGGCGAGCGGGCCAAGGACGCTGGCCGTTCTGGCAACAGGTACATAGGGAACCTGCATCTCAGCGAGCGCTTCATGTGCTTCTCGACACAGCCTACGAGTTTCCTACAGTCGTCGAGCTTTAATGCTTCATCCGCCTTCACCGGACAGACACACGGGACGGGGCCGTCGGGGAACGGGTTCACGCTGCCCCTCTGTTCGATACGTCGGGTCGAGAGGCTGAACAGCCATGGACACATCTTCTCCCTCTCGATTACCACTTGGAATGGAGCGTTGAACAAAGCAGCTCCCGCGAAGGATGCACCGGCCATGGTGCAGAAGTTTACAATCCATCTCGATGGCTCTCGACAGGCGTGCGAGCGATTCTGTGACGGCTTGAAACGAGGGCTCAGGGATGGGATGAAGGACATTGAGGGCCTCCGGCAAGTAGTGGCTGAGTGTCACTCCGAATACATGCTCTCTGGTTCTCGAACGGTGAAGAAGGAGGGTGTGGAGGTGGAAACGACCAGGGAGCCCCCAGACACGGGTTTAGGCCTGGTATTTAGATACCCCGGAGATGCCAGGAAGCTGAGAGATCGAAGCAAGATGAGGTTATGGGGCGAATATATGAGAGGTATGTTTGTTGACACTACAGCTCACGAGCTCGGCAACGTGCTAATATTCAAGAGTATAAGAAAACGGACGCAACGCTACATTAATAAGACAGCCTACCTTTCATAAACTTATCCGGGTCGGCCTTCCAAACCGTCTACGTGGTGAGCTATGGGAGATCTGCTCTGGCTCATTCTATTCTCGCCTACGCTCCCCGAATCTCTACCAGGAGACCTTGGCCAAATTTTCTGGCCGCGAGTCCCTTGCAATCGACGAGATAGAAAAGGACCTCAACCGCAGTCTTCCAGAATATCCTGGATTCCAGAGCGAGGAAGGAATCGGCAGGCTAAGAAGGGTTTTAACGGCTTATAGCTGGATAAACGAAGAAATTGGATACTGTCAGGCAATGAATATCGTCGTTGCCGCTCTATTAATGTAAGCCTACCCTGTCTTCTTTTCTTATAGTGTATGCTAACCCGCTCCAGTTATACGTCTGAAGCGCAAGCGTTTTTCCTATTATCAGTGTTGTGTGACCGGTTATTACCCGGCTACTACTCCACAACTATGTACGGAACACTGCTTGATCAAAAGGTGTTTGAATCACTTGTTGAAAAGACAATGCCCATTCTATGGGAGCATCTGGTCAAGTCGGACGTCCAACTATCCGTCGTGTCTCTTCCCTGGTTCCTTTCGCTGTTCATCAACTCCATGCCTCTCGTGTTCGCCTTCCGCGTTCTCGACGTATTCTTCCTCGAAGGTCCCAAGGTGCTCTTCCAAGTCGGGCTAGCCATCCTTCGTATCAATGGGGAGGAACTTCTTGACGTTACCGACGATGGGACGTTCATCTCTATCCTCAAGTCATATTTCTCAAGGCTTGACGAGTCTGCTCACCCCCGTTCAGACAATCCAAAGTTACGTGCCATTACTCGATTCCAGGAGCTCATGGTTGTCGCCTTCAAGGAGTTTTCGGGGATAACACATAGCACAATTGTGGAAGAACGAGCCCAGCACAAAGACGCCGTATTGCATAATATTGAAAACTTCGCGAAGAGGACCTCCATCCGCAACCTTGGACCGGAGAGTAAGAAACTTAGTGTCGATGATCTGGGTGCAACATATGACCGCTTTTACGAAGTATTATATGACCGTCAACAAAAGATAAGGGCCCAAGAGGAGGAAGAGCGACGGCAAAGCAAAGCCGGAAACAAGAATCCTACACGATATTCAGCCCTAATCCCCACCGTGGAGGCACCGGTAACCCGTGTTGGCCTTGGCCCCAGTCCAACGCTCATGGATTATGATGGCTTTAGAGAATTCCTTGCAGCCACTGCTAAATGGGCTGGTAGCGATTCGCCATCACGCAAAGAATCGGCCTCTGACAGAAACGCCAGCCTAAGAGGGCGGAATAAGTCTTGGGATAGACTCAAATATCCTACGCCTGCAGAGCATGACTTTTTGAGGCGACTATTCCGTAAATGGGATGTTGACGGCAATGGCGGCCTGAGTTTACAAAACGTTGTCAACGGTCTGGCTCAAATAAAAGGGAGCAGAGATATTATGAACACCATCAATTACTTTTTTGATTTATATGATGATGATGGCACCGGACAGGTAGATCGAGAAGGTATACTACGCATGTCCGAGGCTCTCCTCTTCCTTTCCAGAAGAGGGTTTGAAGGCATTATCAAAGTCAGAGCCAATGGAGACAATGACCGATCCTCAGTTTCGACTCACGAAGGAGATTTGAGAGCCAGACCCAAGCTTAGCGCTGATGAGAAGTTCCTAAGCAGTGTCAGCGATTTTATTCAGCATTGTTTTGAATATGCCGATCCCAGCCACCCTCAAAATCAAGAGCAACACACGGAATTGGAATCCAAGCTTGGCGCTTTTAGTATTGGTGACGACGAGGATGATGATGATGATGAAGAGGATGAGTTCCACCCGACTCCCGACTCGGACTCTAAAGCAAAATCACTAGAGCCCACGAATGATGATATCCCTACCACCCCTCTCTCCCCCACGACCAAGCGGGCATCCGAAGCAGCCAATGCAGCCTTGGACCCTGCTCATCCATTACACATCACATTACCAACATTCCGAATGGTCATCCTTGCCGATGAATTACTTGAACAATTCTTTGAAAGCTACTTCCCAGAGTCATTCCACCTCTCTGACCGTCCTTCCCCTGATGCCAGTGCTGCCTCGCGCTCGACATCTCTGTCTTCTAATCTCACCACGTTCGCTAATCTTGGCTATAACCGTTCGCCTGATAGAGCTGCAGCCCCATCGGGCGCGACCCTGGCTGGTGCCTCGGGTGGCATTGTTCCTCCTGGCCATAAGGGCCTCAGAGGTGTCCTGGATAACATCGTCTCTGACGGGATGCGCATGGCTGCGGAAGTTCGCAAGAAGATGGAAGAAGCCCAAAGGGAAATGGAGCGTAATGCTCTTGGAAATAGGGCAGATGAAGATGACGACGAGGACGAGGATGATGCCGCTTATTATGAACGAAGAAATAACGATGCTTCAAAGCTTCGTGCACCATCAATTCGTGAAGGTGATCGTGACTTGCTAGAAGGTGCCGAGGTGGCCAGCCTTAGGGAGCGAGAGGCGCCTGAGCAGAGTGAAGGTAGCAACACAAACACTCCCAAAGCAACCCTTTCTCCTTCGCCAGGCGCTCTTGTACGAAGATCCTCGGATTGCACTGTTGATAAGGTCGAGTTTGAGTCATAGGAGGGAATAGTATCCCCCTTCATGCCTTTAAGTTAATGAAATATGCATAAATTAACGGACGATATGCTTTTTGACACGACATTTCCAGAATTTCTAAGTTATTGGTGCCCTGTATTATTTCCTTTGGGGACCGTGATGTATCAAGCTCTCGAACTACTTTCCCTATGTTCCTGTTGGAACGCTCTCCTATCAATTTTCTCCTGCACCGCTGTTTTCATACCTCTTCACCTAATCAATGCCTTTACATCGCTGGAGCTCGATTTTCAATCTTTGAACTTACCTGGTTTTGTTACGAAATCATTTGGTTCCTTCGGTGAATTTTGATTGGATAAGAATCAGCATTATCCCTTATAATTAATCAAAGACGTATCATCGCGCGTGCAGATTAATTATTCCCACCAGCCTAGAATGAGAATTGAATAATTGGAAATTTCTACGATATGCTATACCTAAGAGACTTCAATGCTCGATCCTCATCGTGGGAATCCTTAAATACAAAGAAAACTAGATGTTAAGATTGATCCGTAGGCTATCAAAATCGAGTCACGATCCTTGTATCAAAAAGACGAGCAGCGGCATCATCAAGTATAAGATAACTAGAATGCGGAAGTACTACGTTCAATATCCGTCTTGTTGGGAGAACTAATCAAAAACTCCCATTAAGCTTCTAAACCACCACAAATTTGACATTAAAGGCCGACCGGTGCCCGGTTAGGTCGTAATATCGAAGAAGAAAACGAATAGATCGGGATGAAGTTAAGAAAAAAGTAATACGTCAAATAGAGAAGTAGAGAGAAATAAGTCAAGGGGAGGCTGGATGTAAAAGAAAAACGAAGATATCCAGAGCCCAACAATACAGAATAAGAACAAATAGATTGGCCAAGAAAGCCAAAAGAGGCTAATAAGGCTGGTGAGAATTCTTTCCGTAATTATCAGTAAATAAGCCTTGCAGCCAACCAAGCCAACCCTCAGAGGTGAAAACAAGAGTCTAGCATCATGAGTCGTGATTTTGGAGTCATATAAGAGCATATATCCAGGGGCAATTGGTAACCAGGATTGCCAGAACATGAATTATGGAATAGCCAACGAAAAAAGCCCAAAATCGAATAAATCGACAAAGAAAGGACAAAAAAAATAAAACGGGGATATCAGAACGGGTTAAGGTAGAAAGTTGAGTCGCATGCAAATTATCGTGGCAGTAGATCTCGAAAGGGGAAATAATCGTAGGTTATGAAGGGGTATTAGTCTTTCTGTCCTTCGTTTTCCAATAGCTCCAGTACGATCTGGCTTCTCTCGCGTTCGGGATGCTGCATACAGATCTTGACAGTACGAGCAACTGTGCCAAAGCCGGTTGATATTCCAAGACCGTTACGGCCCGCTCCTGTCGTGGAAGAAGCTGCATCATTGAAATTTGAGCCGCCTAGTGCACTTGCGGGGTGTTCAGCGGCACCACCTCCGTTACCACCATCATCTAACAGTGTCACATTTCTTCCAGCTATGACCTGTCGAAGACGACCGTTCATTGCGTTTCGGACTTCAACAAAATCCTCGTTGAACAAAAGGAGGAACTTTCCGCATATACAAGCCGCGTGAGCAATGCCGACAAATTCCATGACCACACTTCGGCTGACGTCTCCGTGTTTGTTGACATATACGGCGCATTCCTGGAAAGCAACAAGGAACTCACTGTCGCTAAGGCGGAACATTCCGAGAGGCCTGAGGTCCTTTACCCTGTTTGCGATGCTGGTAAGGTGCGATTGGACGTCTGCCTGCTCAGACTTAAGGTTCGGTACAGACCATGGGTGCTTCTTATCTAGGGTAAGGACTTCAACGCCTCTGGACGTGGAGATGGCCAGAGATGTTTGGAAAAGGTTGATGCCATAACTCTCCGCGGGAATATAGAAATCGTCATAATCACGGAAAAATTCAGTTTGGCCTCGTCGAGACAGGAAACGAGAGCGAGTTGAGGACGACTTTTGAAGGACGGGTTCCAAGACCTAAAGAATGTTGTGATTAATACGAATTGCACGAGTAGTTAAGAGCTGGTATAAGCCTTAACGTACCTTGAATGTCGAGGATATGCCATCTCGCTTCTTGTAAAATACCAAAGCTCGGTCCTTCATACGCCCTGCGGCGAAAAAACCTACTTCTCGGTTACCTGACAGTTTTTGTGGTGCGCGTCGCTGTGAGTCAGCCTGAACAGTGCCATTGACAGGGCAGATCGAGTCCAGGTGATATCCAATCAGGGACTTGTCAGAAATCAAGAGGAAAAGGTTGAATTCTTCAAAGATGGCGATTTGTGTGACACGCAACATTGAAATTCCCTATATTTCCAGCATCAGGCAAGTTAGATTGTGATATAGTTATAAATATAATCTTCAATAAATGAATAAAATAACCAACCTTTGTCCACCCTCGAGGATCATCGTATGCAGATATATAGACGCCATAATCCGTACCAATTGCACACATCATATTGCCCGGAGGCTGTTGAAACACGGTTGCGCAGTTGACAGTAGCCCTGCAAACAGGTAGAGGCCGGGATAAGTTGCGTTCATACTTCTTCTCTACCTCCCTAATTGCTCTATCGAGAGGGGTCCCCTTGATGATCGCGCTCCTGGGGGGAACGGCCTGGTCCGAGTAAGCGAAAGCGGAGTCGGATAGCACTCGCATCCTGAATGGCTCGGCATTCTGAGCATAAAGAGCGGCGGCATGTTTGGTCTTTGCCTCGTAAATCTTTTCACACCACTCTTGTCGTGATTGTGCTGTTGGAGCGTACAGAAAGTAAACGTCCCGTTTTCCAAGATGCTTAATCCTAAAAGGATATAGAATTTTCTCGTCTCTGGAGTTTTCCAAAACCGTGGTGGTAACCGATCTCCCAGCTGCGCCTGGAGCTGGAGAATTCGCCTGAGGAGCAGTTGCAGCATGTACAAGGCCACCTGGCGCACCAGTCCGAGGATTAGCCGGAGCAATACCCTTGACTGCAGACCTAACGACTGGATCATCGTTGGTGCTAACTAAAGTTAGTAGATCCATAGGTATAGGGAGTTTAGAGACATCGAATGTCTCATGCTTTACACCCGCCGCATCCCTGTGAATCACAATCTTAGCCAGGACAAGATAATGATCGAAGAGGATGGCCCGGATATCGACCCAATTGAATCTCTTTGTCCTTGGCCTTTGCAGGTCACCTTGATGTATAATTTCACGACCAAGATGTTCAAGGTTGAGTTCGACGACTGACTTCATTTCAGGTCTTAATTGCAGTTTCGAGCCTAGTTCTTTAAGGTCCATTTTTTTCGTCATTTCTCCAACTTTGTTGTCGCAGTCCAAAGCCACAAGCTTGATTTCCTCGATAGCTTGTAGTAGATTCGCTTTCTCTTCTGAATCTTTTTCCATGTTCTTATAAACGGTGTTCAAGAGAAGGGTGTAACGCTGAATGCGAGTAATGGGTGCTTTCAAGTACGTGTCCCAACTCAGCCTGTTTGACAATCTGTTCTCACGTGCCTGATTCAAGAATGAGCGGAAGAGCATGTTTGTTTCAGCTTCGCGGCGGACAAGATAATTGGCATTTGGGAATGTTGCTGCATATTCTGTGTACGCAGCTTTGGCCTTTCGAATCCATTCTCGGAAAATGTCACTGAAACCGACAATGAACGGGCCTTGCTCCTTTTGTCTATACTTCAACTGAGCAAGCAGATACTCCTCATTCACCCGCTTTACTGCATCCACTTTTCCGAAAACGTCTCTCAAGAACCTATCGAGACGTTTAGGGTTAATAACTGCTGGTTGAGATGACGCGAGAGTATCCCGATAAAGGGTCCGCAGGACATCAAGCTGTGCAATATAGGAGTCTTCAGTGGTGACAATTTCGTGTAAATTGTTTTGACGGTCAATCTCCTTCTTAGAGTGAGTAGAGAAGACTTCCTTGCCAATCTTGTAAAACGTTGCCCAGTCTTCTGCCTTTTTCTGCGCTTCTACCATCTTGAGATTGATTTTCTTCAAGGTCCTCATGCAGTGGTATGAGTAGCATCGTCCGAAAATATCATACTCTTGATTATGGAGACGAGATGAATAGCACCCTTGTCCAGTAATCTGCCATAGGACACCAGAAAGCGAGCCCGGGCCAAATTTGACCCATTCTTCATCCTTGATCAGGGCTCCTGCGGCGAGCATGCTCCTGACGACCCGCTCACTGAGGGTTTCAGCGTCAGCAGTATTCATGGTTGGAACTTTGTGGGTAAGTAAGGCAACAATTGCATCGACGATCGAATGTTCTTTCAAGTCTGCCTCGTCTTCCGCTAAATCCCTTATCCACGAGACAATGGCGCTTATTGCCCACGGCTCGGAACACTTTCTGAACTGCTCGCTAGATAGCTTGGTGGGGTGAAACTTCTTCCGTTTTCCGGCAGGGAGTACTGGTAGATCAAGAGTAACTGACGGGGTAGACATGGAAGAGTCGTAGGCAGCTTGCTTGGATTTGGCTTTATCGGCGTCAGTTTTCGACCGGATGATGGCGTCCGCAGTTCTATGGGTGGTTGTATGATCTGATAGGGATGTCGAGCGGGGAACGGCTGAAGTGGATTGGGAATGAGAATATGTGTCAGGCGAAGTAGGATATGGGGGCATGTTATATGGGTCAAGTGGTATTTGACCAGTCTGTTCATTAGAGCGATATGTGCCTGCAGGCATGAGATGCGGGAGTAGATTATGGGTTCCTGCCGGGACTGGAGGTGGCGGTAGAGGCCTGGAACTCATTCCCGGGTGGAAAAACAGGTCCTGTGGCTCCCCTTCTCCCGGCATATCACTGAGGGAGCTTGTAATTGAAGATGGCCTTCTGAGAGCGGCTTCGTCGCCGCGTTCGAAGCTCATTCTACGGCCGCCCGATGGTTCGGAGAGCCCACCTGTGCCAACAGCATCGACCCTGGCCGTGGCTTCGATTGATGGGAACGGATGTATAGAGTCTTGATCAATGCTGGGGTAATCGTACTGATTAGCAGTACTGGCCCTGCCTTCTGGTGGTGGATGGTTGGCTAGAGCTCCCGTGGGACCACCTTGCACTAAAGTGTCCTCTCCGTAATGCATGTCTGCACTATATCCTCCACCATAGAGACCTATATCATGCATGGCAAAATCACTATCACTGCTGGAATCAGCGGGTGGCACCGTGGCTGAAGGAAGTGGAGGCGGTTCTTGGTGCTGGTATCCGAACGAGCTAGTGGTTGATGTGTGGGTATTCCGCCGAGTACGCATAGCAGCTTCTTCTTCATCTGCCATCCGCAACGCCTCCAGACCAGCCGCCACTTCTGCATCACTATCGTCACTATAGGCATTATAGTTGACGTACTGTCCTGTCCCAGTGGAGCTGATATTTCCTCCATTGGTATGCGTTTGGACTTCGTCAGGTAGTAATTGCACGCCTGGAGATACAGCAGAAGTTGGATAAGCGGCATCATCAGATTCTTGAATAGGAGGCTGCTGTGGAAGAGGCCGTCTTGCTCGTGAACTGTGTCGCCTGGTCGTGTCTGGCCTCCCTTCCATTACGGCGGCCTCTACCTCTTTAATAATGTCATCGTAACTTGGGTCTGTCTGATCCCTGCCGTTTCGTCCTGTCGTAGAACCAACCCCGCCTTCATACTCAGACGGTGGGCCAGGGAGTGGTCTTGAATGCGGATGACGGGTCAAGGTATCAGTACGTTGGGGTAATGGCTGCGAGCTGTGATGTACCGGAGGTGGAGGAGGAGCGGGGCTCCCAGAGGAAGATGACATTGAATAGGTCGGTTTACTGGCAGGCCGGTAGCCTGCATCCTGAAGAGCCATACCGTGGGGAGGCGGACTAGGCAAGTACTGATTCTCGGGAGTTTGCGCGGTGGGCTTTACGGAAGAATACCTTCTGGGCCGCTCACTCGTTGCCTCTGTGCCATAAGACACCGTCGACTGCGAATGAGTAGACTGAGTGGGGTAGGGAAAGGACGAATACGCCGAAGGATGAGCGGATACCGGGGTAGCGGCAGTGGTTTGAGAAGCAATTGGTGGATACGTTTGATGATGGTGACTTGGCTGGTAATAATTGTTGTAGCTGTCCGTAGGGCGGGCCGACATGGGAACCGGCGAAGTGGGCACAACATGGGAAGATGGGAAGTATGATGGCGAGATGGAAGGGTACGATGACTGAACTGGCGTGCCTGCAGACCAGTTTACACCGGGAGACGACTGAAAGGAGCCCACCGAGGGCGAAGATTGGTATGCGGCAGGGTTATAGGTCTGCAGCGGCTGCTGGCTGGAGTACTGCGAGCCACCGATGGACGAGAATGCCTGGGGGTTATAGCTCGCCTGTTGGGGCACGGGAGCAGGAGGGTGCGAGAACTGCTGCGGATTGTAGGCCGGCTGCTGACCTGGAGAGGCAGAATTCGGAGCTTGGTACTGGTGCTGGTAGCCGGACAAGGCAGAGGAGCCATGCGAGGAAGCCTGGCTCACCGCAGAGTGCTGAGAGCTCCCGACCGAGAACTGCGAGTGCCTCGAGCCGAAGTTATTCGCTTGCGATCCACGCACACTGCCCCCTCCGCGGCCGTCATGGTACGGGTATTGGGACGAGCTGACTCCGCCAGCTGAGCGTGCAGCGTCATCGAAATAGCTTGTATCGTCTCCGGCCTGGTAGCTGGGCGACCGCTGCATCTGGGCGTGCGGTTTCTGGCTCGCGAAGTGAGGGCCGGTGGGATACTGTGTGGCGTACTGCTGCGACGGAGCTTGGGTTCCTGGCTGAGGATGAGGCTGAGATTGGCCATGCGACACACCGGGAGACTGTGGATAGGCGCGAGGATGGCGGTTCTCCTGGTCCGACATCTCGAGCAGGCCGGGAGCAGGTCTTGAGCAGGTCCTCTTGAGGCGCTCAGTCTGCACGCACGCTGCTCAGGGCTATCGATCTCGACGCAAGATGAGGCCGGAGACTGGACATGGGGTGGTACGGGCCGTTTGGCGTGGGCGTTGGCGCTGGCAGCAACGAGCGGAGGTTAGTGCAGGGCACTCAGCAGGCGGAATTTATCGAGGTTTTGCGACAGCCGGAGACACCATCGCTTCAGCAGAAAGAGGGACGAGACGGGACAGGCGGGCACTGCGTTGGCCGTTTGTCTGCTGTGTGTTTCGTGTATAGACCGAGATATCTCGACTTTGAGGTTGCGACGTCGTCTTAGTCATGCTTAGTCATCCCACACATACAAACATGGACAGACATAAACAACATAAGAACAACATCATCAACATACGACAACATACACGTTGGACGTTATAGATGCTTATGGTGGCTATATACATCAATGGACTTGATGTTACTGGCTACGACTCTACTATAACAAGACTTATCCGTTCGTGGAAGATACCTTATGACGATATTGACATTGCCATTAAGTGGCTTCTGATGATATGGCTTAAGGCAAGATATGTCTAACACAGATATGTCTATCGCAGATATGGCAGTTCACATGAGATCCCTCGCTTGCTATCTTGAGACGACTTGCTTCTATCTTGGTGATGTTTTTGTCGACTCGAGATCCATACAGTGCATCTAGCTAGGCAAAAGCTCCGTGATAAGTTTCTCAACACGGCCGCGGATTTCATTGCGGATTGGGCAGACGGCATCAACGCCCTGTCCGGCCGGGTCGTCGAGTTTCCAGTCGAGATAGCGCTTTCCGGGGAAAACAGGGCATACGTCCCCACAGCCCATGGTGATGACGGCTTCGCTGGCTTGGACAGCGTCGGTCGTGATGATCTTGGGCTTCTGGTCGGTGATATCGATACCCTCTTCGCGCATGGCTTCGACAACGGCCGCGTTGACGGAGTCGGCCGGGGCTGATCCGGCAGAGCGGACTTCAATCCTGTCGCCGGCGAGGTGGGAGAGGTAGCCCGCTGCCATTTGGGAGCGGCCAGCGTTGTGGCCGCAAACAAACAGGACACTAGGTTTGTCTGCCATTTTCAAGACGAATTTTCGTTGTTGTGGAGTAGCTCGTTTATTATAAAAAGAGACGGCCAGTCCTACTAGTTGGGTAGGAGAACGAAATCTGCAGGAGTTGAAGCTGGCAGGAAATATGTCAGAATCATCTCGTCTGGCGGAAGGGGGTCACTTATTTATTCTCAAGTCCTCTACATCCATGGGACTTCCCCTCAGGTGTGCGGCGTCACTGCGGCTCTGTGATTGGACATGTCCCCGGCGGGATACATATCTGAATATCTTGGCCTCAACCACTTCAAAACATCTATCTGGCTGGGCGCTTCGTCATCTCGCTATAACGCTCCTACTTTGGCCAAAGAGTAAGCCTCACTCTCCGGCCCCCAAACTTTGAGCAGAATTACTATTTCAGTCTACGGATTGCATCATTAGCCTGATACCTTATTTCATCCGTTGCTTCCCCGTGCGACTCATCGGCATGGCCATCGGTATTCACACACCTTGCCTCTCCCGACTTAATAGGTTCGGTCCGACCCCGCCCATCGTTACGCTTCGAAGAGAACCTTCCTCCAAGCTAATATCGGGATCTATCCGGCTCATGATAGGTTCGGCTGTTGTAAGCCGAATACACGGGATATCCAGCTTCTATTCATATATATCCTGATATTAATATTATTCTAGGCAGCAAGATAACGAGCTATTAGCAAGGTGAATACCAAAATTGACGAGTCCGGCGTTTCAGTCCTTCCAGCTCACTCTTCTGGCTATCGCTTTAACAACGTAAACGAGACCGAGAAGAACCGGCACCTCGATAAGTGGCCCGACAGTAGAGGCCAGCGCCTGGCTGCTATTCGGCCCGAACGTGGCGACAGCAACAGCAATTGCGAGTTCAAAATTATTGCTAGCTGCTGTAAAGCTCTGTGTGGCAGAGAGTTTATAGCCGAATCCGAGCCGGTAGGTAACGTATAGAGTCAGGAAGAACACTATCACGAAGTAGACGGTCAAAGGGGCTGCCACCCTAACTACCGAAACTATCTGATGAACAACCTGCTTGCCTTGCGAAGCAAACAACACCAGAATAGTGAAGAGAAGGCCTATGAGAGACCAAGGACTGATCCACTTTAAAAAGGTCTTATCATACCAAGCTGGGCTGGCGAGGTTGCGTAAACTGAAGCGAGTTATGATTGCAGCTGCCAGTGGTATCCCAAGGAATACCCCCACGCTCTTTGCAGACGTCGAGTATGAGAATGCGACCTCCCTGCTCGAGTGTCCGATTATCTTGATGAATAGAACGGCTAGAGGTGCGAATAATATCATCTGAAGCAGAGAATTGATCGCCACGAGGATAGCGCAATATTCATTATCACCGCCGGCAAGGCCGGTCCAGATCAGGACCTAAAAGGTATGCCTATTAGTTTTACTCATTATCATAGGCACGGGAGACGATGGAATGTACCATGGCTATACACCTCGCCAATCCCACAAGAATAAGCCCTTCCCTAAGCTCTGGTTCGTCTGGCAAGAAAGCCCAAGCTAAGCCCAGCTAAAGTCTCCAGTGTTAGCGAGTCCTTGATATATTCGCGACCAAAGGCTGCAGCAAGTTACCATTAGAAATGGAGCAATTATCCAATTGACCAGAATGCTAAAAGCGATCTGAATCCAGATCTCATGGGTTTGAAAGACATGGTGCAGCGACTCATAGCGCACCTTACAGAGGATCGGGTACATCATGATCAGAAGGCCGATTGCTGTCCTTTCTTAGCAAAGGTCCAATGTGTCCGATGATAATGGATGGAACACACCTATAGGGATGGAAACACCGACAAACGTTCCTTTTTGCAATGCTGGGCCAGTTCTAGGGACAAAATTGCCCAGTATAATACCAATTACCATAGCAAGTAATATCCAAAGTGCTAGAAAACGATCTAGTAGACCAAGTCCTTTGAATGCCGAGGTCTTAACCATTTGAGGCTGCTCCCCAGAGTCATTCTTTTCGACATCTGGACCTTGATCCGTGGAATGGGTATTTTCGCCCGCTATGCTGGGCTTCTGTTCGTCTTCAGGAGTTGCCATGGTTGGTGTGAGAACAAGGGGATGTCTGGGTATAATTAATTTGTGATGGACAACACAGTAAGTAGTTTGGTAATTGGATTTGGACTATTAAGATGTAGCTGGAGCTCTCACTCCCTTTATATGCCATGGTCTTCTTAAGGTGGTGATAGGGAGGCCAACTGGTGTTTGGTTATAGTTTATGTCACTGGCTCAAGGGATTGGCTGTTGGTTAGCACCCGGCTTCATACACCTCTGCAGCCATCAACGGCGCAAAAACAATAGTAGAAATGTCACTGAAGCAAGAAGATTGGTTCCGGGCTGCTGACAGGCAGATATGACATGCTAACTTGGTGACATCTTACTCTCTCGTTACTCTTGGCCTGCGTTGGTAGGGCATTGGCGAAGGTACCCTGGTGGTGGAAGAAATGTAGCTAAGCAATTACTGCGGATGATGATTGCTTTCCCATCTAATTCATGAGTTATAATGTCACGATTCCCGAAATTGGGCTTCCATAGCGATCTGGTTGAATCTGATAATTGGGCAGCTGGTGCGAATGCATGCTCATACTGGAATCCTGAAGCGCTCGCCTCCATACCGAGACATAGTGATACAACTCAAGACATTCCCTGCCATCGTATGTATCGTTGCATCAACGAATCGCCATTCATCAGCGGACAAGGTATCCTCCCTCATCAGCCGCTCCAACTCCTCATCAATCTCACATTCGACCTGGAATAGTAATCCCCGAGTCATATCCATGGCAGCATCAAAGCTGGACAGGTTTAGCTGCTGCCTGACTACATCTACCGCATTAATGAGATATATGGCCGCTCCAGTATCGTAAGCTTTCTTTTCCTTTTCCCATGAGCCCAGGTCATTGGCGATACAGACGTGGTGGTAAACCAGTCGGAGGTATCTGGCCAGTTGGGGGCTGTTGATATCAACGGAAGAGTTAAGGGAGAATTTGACGGTGCCTAATACATAGCTGTTGGGTTTTAGCGAAGGCGAGACCTTTTAGGTATATGGTAAACCAGGCGGGAAGGAAGAGACTGAAATGGCTGAAATGGAAGAAAAAGAACTGGCACATACGATATTCCCGCATCCTGGTGTCGATAAAGCAAATAGTCGTCCATACTATTGTACTTTTCCGGCGGGCCAGGGCGGTTGAAGAACCGGATCATCTCCTCGATCATCACTCTGCCAGCATCGTTCCCATTCTTGCGGTCGAGCTCAAAGATTTCCGCGATGGTTTCATCTATTAGCGACTCGAGGGTGGTTTCAGGGTGGTGTATGTTGGAATTACTCTCGGGCTGCATACGCGAAATGAAAACTTTCTGGACGCCAGTGAACTTTCAGGTGGAACATGGGTTAGATACGAGCCATGAATCCAGCATTGGCATCTCCACTCACTGTGGAAATATCGTGCATCTCCCAGAAATCTGGAGTAAAGTAATATATCGATATACGTTAGTTCTAACATGCATTCACATCCTCCCTGTTAAGCTGCACTTACCATCGAACACGAAGACGAAAACATTAACCACTGCCAAAAGCCTCGCACGCTGTTCATCAGCTTCCGGATACAGGTAGATAGGGAACCTAGCCCATCCGTTCGCGGCATTGGACAGGATCTCCTCCTGTGCAATTCGAGTAATGCTGCCGCCTGGTCTTGATGCTATCTGCGCACAATCACCTCCCGACAGCTCCTGTAGGAAGAGATTGACCGTGTCTAAAGATAGCCGCCAGTGCTTGCTTTGACGACATGCAAGAATTCCGCTGGTCCATGGAAGCCCGGCAGCCACTGGATCAATGTATATACCATTGTCACTTCGCCCAGCGGCTTTTTTACCACTGGATTCCTTACGAGCGGCTAGGTCTAGGAAAGTCTGACGCCGAATATGTTCATAGAGCTGGAGTTGAGGGGCCTTCAAGTAATTGTGCTTGATTCCATGCCTGTAATCATAGGCGTAATGAATCGGGAACTGATGCTCTTGATCGCTCACGGAGGTAAGGCCGTCTATTATCCTCTTAGCGTCCACTCAGCCATCATTATATTGGATATCGTGGGTATATTGAGTAACTACCTCGGACAGAAATGATATCGATTTTGTCTTTCATATTGCTTTGCTTGATATTCTGCTCGTTTATCTCGGCCTGCTGCATTTTCAGGCTCTTTGAGGGGTATCAGGCAAACAAGAGTTGGGCCTCCATGATGCGGGCAAGCTGGACATCGCCCTTATATGCGATCGACTCTGGCTTTACATAATATCCGCAGCCCACGGCCACATCTGATATAACTTTTATGCGAGGAGTCAGAAGGATTGTTGATCCTTTAAGTGGCTTCATGCAGTCGAGCTGAGTCCTTCGTGGTGGTGCTCATTTGATCGAGTTGATACGTCGTGGTTGGAGGTTGTTCTCCCGTTTGACATCCCTGTAGGAACTTATGCTAACTATACCAGTTGACTATGCCCCCTTTAGTTAATAGTTAAATGGTTAACTAGTTACAGTTGAGCGATCGGCGAGGTCGACGTCGAATTAATTAACTAGTTGACCAATTATTTTCTGCGCCTATAAAAGTAACCCCGACCTCATCAGAGACGAAGATAGGGTCGCCGCACCATTCCATGGCACAACTGCGCAAGCCACGATGAAACTTCTCCAAGTATTCACCGTCGGCATACGATCGTCAACAGGAGAAATTGTCCATGACATTACACTGCGATGGCCCCGTCATCGAGCCTGTAGTGACTGAGGGATCGCGTTGTCCAACTCTTTCACTGCTATTTGTCACAGTCTAAAACAAAGAATAATCAGAGTCACTGGCTCTTTCATGGGGATATTCAATATTTCCCGTCTCATATTTTCACTGTTCTATGCCCATTCAATGTTCCGTCTCATGTTTCACTGATGGGGATGCAGTGGCTTTGGATGGCTGCATGATTGCTATCAGTTAATACATGAGACGGTATCATTCACCATCTACTTCCTTATGGGCCTCCGTTCATTGTATGGATAGCCAATCTTGAGTGAGTGGCCTTCTTGTAGGCTGAGAGGCCGTCTATAAGAACCTCCTTCTTCCCAGTTTCAATTCTCTTTTTCTTCTTCCTTTTCTTTTGTATCATGGTAATAAATGACCTTGTATCTTCCTTTACAAGGGTGCCTCTCTCTTTATATATATCCATTATCTACTTCGCCATTGTTTATATGCCCCGGAGTTCGATCCATTACCTATCGATTTCTCTCCTAGGACGAGTAAGGCAATACAAGTCTTGACCCTGACCTCTACACGCCGAAAAACAGAAGATTTTAGGCCAACGGTCTTCGTCGATAATGCGACCTCCCTGGAGGGCTGGGTCGCCGAATTCAGAAAATACTTCAGCGAGATGTTGACGATCTATATGTTTCAGGGCTCAACGAAGAAGTCGACTGCAGACACCTTCAAACGTTCCCGTATAGTTGACGACGGCAACCGTCCTACACAAACATCCCAAGGAGGACCCTAAATCCGCGTTCGTCGTGTACTTGCGCCGTACCTTGGTTCGGTCGTGGATGATCCAGCGGGCCATCAACCTAAAGTTGGTATTTACACAACTCACCCAGAGTTTGCAACCGACGCATTGATACCCATAAATCCTATGGTTTGCTCTATACTGGATTTCCTTTGGAGTTATAAGGACTCCCTCCGTTGCGCCATGGGGGAAGTTCTCCTACGGCGTAATACTACGCAGCGTAAGCCAAAATCACCCCCCAAATCGAGCATTTCTGAGTTGACTATGACAAGGTTATTTCTTTTCCCGGGCGATGGAGTTCCCATGGATGGCCTTCAAGCCGCGACGCTACTCGGAAGCCTTTGGTTGCGTTATTGTCTGGTTCATAAAGGCTTTGTAGCCGGTGTTCCATGTTTTGCAATAGAAACTATGACGGCATTGATCGAAGTCCGCGCAGTGGGAGATTTCCCCCCATTTACGCCATATTTAAGACCACAGGTACTTGCATCTCCAAGTCGTCCATTCGATTTCATTTCCATATACCCTATCCGTCATATACACACGGCAGGATTTATACTTACTGGTACATCGAGATCTTTATATGGCTACACTTGGCCTTGGAAGGATTAATATAAAGCGGTACAGGCGGGAGGAATAATATCGCAATACTTCGACTCTCCAGTGCTGTTGGAGATTTATATATACGGTAAGTCCTTACTCAAACCATCTCTATCGCACGATAGGCTTGCTGTCGTTGGCATTCACTCGGATATTATGTTTCAACGATTACACCGTGCAACCTTCTCAAACACTTCACTACATACCATCTCCATAGAGGAATGTCCCACAGGCACTTCATTTATCCCGGCTTCCCTTCCTTCATATACCTAGTATTTCGTCACTCGTGGCACGAGTTTTTTACGCCCACCCTCCTGGAGTCACGCTCTGTATTCGCTCATTCCGTGGCAATCTCTGGCCTTTGGCACGTCAAACTCCGGCCTTCACGCCCAACTACAGTGAAAATATACCCATTTCTCTATTATTTTCACTTTGACTCACCATATTGCTCACTGCGATGGAGATACGATCTGTGAATCCGTACCCAAGGGGTCTTCATATAATCCCCTCCCCCCGCTGGTTTCTCTGTCGCTCTTTTCCTTCCCCTTTTCCTTTCCTAAGATAACGATACACCGGTTTCTTGCTTTTAACTGACCATTTTGACTTAAGAGCTCCTAAATAGCGAGTCATCGTTTCATATCTCGGATCCTGCTCTGCTTCTCGCCCCCTTTGCCCAGAGGATATTAGTGCCATTCCGAACTCCAGCCAGCGTTTGTCAGGTATAGCGTAAGCTCTCCTCGGGCGTCATGGCGGGAGCTAAGAACAGTGTACTGAAGGTCACTGGCCGCGTTGGGGTTGCTCGTAGAAGCAGGGCACCCAAGAAATCACAGGCTTCAACTCAAGGTAAGTCACATATAAAACTGATTCCATAACATTCCTACCTTCTTAGATTCCATATTTTCCTATATTTCTATCCCTTGGCTGTCTTGTAAGCTGGGGAGCTGGTATATACCCACATCCTATGCCATGGTCTTGAGAATCATCAGGCCATCAGAAATACATCGAGCTAGGCACATAGCTACCACTAACATACTCTCACTGGAATCATTTCTCTTCTTTTATCTCCCCTACTTCGCCTAAAAGAAGCGATATCACGTGTGACACAATCTGGTGAAGCTATAAAGGAGAGTCCCCTTTTTGGAAAACAAAACCTCACTTTCTTTCATGATACAACCCTCTACTGCTTCATTCATCAAAATTTGGTTACAAACTACAACATGATACAATACTGACAGCTATATAGCTAATAAATTGTTGTCCTGGGCTAAATCAGGATCCAGTCCCTCCTCGGCAGAGACAGACCGTGACGAGGCACAGGAAAAGGGGAATGGGATCGTCGTTCCCATTCTCGAAAATGACCTGCAAGAACCTCACGGCGAACCTCCAGCATGGGCTGAGGATCGTATTGTGCTTGGAGATGCGCTTCCCTGGTTCCATTCAGTACAGGGAGGCTGCTACTACCTCGACAATATCTGTCGCGGTGTCCTGATTGACGGAGACTGTGGTGACCGATCATACATCGACGATGAGATTGTCATCACAAGAGTGTACGTTATCCTCGCATCTAAAATGGAAGTAACTTTTCTGACGTGTATATAGGGGCGGTTCATGCAAGAAGACGAAGGAAGGTAAGCTGGTCATGACGAAAGACCACGACCCCAATGGGCCCATCCTTCGGTCTCTCTTGAACTCCATGAGGTTCGAGATTCCTATCGGCCTCGTTCTAGGTAAAGCTGAAACCCCATATTCCATTTTTCATATATTTTATCTAACCCCAAAGTATAGGAGCTAAAAATGTGAACTGCAGCACAAAACTCCCATATAATTTCAATGTATTGGGTTATTTCAGAATTACTGATATCTGGTTTGAGCAAGTCGGAAAGTTTAAAGGTGCTCAGATGCGCTTTGAGAAGCTCGACCTCACGACGAAAAGCTGGTGGTCACCAAAGGACTCTGCTGATCCTCTCCCTCTAGAGAAACGCGAGTCTGTAACGCCAGCAGAGAACCCAGTCTGCACTTACTGTTCGAAAGGTAGCCCCAAAGTCTTTGAACAAGGCTGGATGTGTCTCTATCAGTTGTGCCCAGAATTTTGGAAAATGAATGATTCAATACCGCCATCGCAGCTCGATTTCGCCCAGGAGTTTCTCTCCAAAAGGTCGAACCCAGTCAACCGTGTTCAGCCTTATTGTAGCCTGGTTCCAAACCTCCTTTCGACTTTCTCCGATAGTCAGACTGACGTCACCGGCACACGCGTTGCATGGAAAGGAATCATCTGTCCGAAATGCAAGGCATGCATCGCCCGAATCCACTGGAGATTTTGGGAGTGTACAACGGCCGGCTGCGGTTTCCGATACGACCCACCGATGAACCGTGTTTCTTTACGATCTGTGTTGTCTGATATGGAGATGGGCGCATCTGGTCATAGACTGCCAACCATACCCAAGGACACAACCGTTATGCCAACCATTCAATACATGAAAAACTACCGTAAAGATACCTTTGTTCTTCCAGGGGTCGGCATCGTGACCCATTTTGCGGCAAATCGGACAATAAACAGTCGCCCTTGTGGACCTGATGATCTTTTCAACCAGTTGCAAGTGGAAGATCTCGGTCTAAGACGGTATCCTATCTCTCCTAGCGTGGGTATGTTTGATCTACTTTCCTTTCAACCCTTTTTCGTGCTTTGACCCGCTCTGCCTTTCTTATACAAACGGAGGACGGAAGCGGACATAACAAAGAGAAACCCACCGCAATTCAGCTTTGCATCCTTTTTATGTTGCAAGAGCTAACAATATATATTTGGATATAGTTGCTGGAACTCTGACCTCTCATTTCGCTGTCAACTATGTAAGCTAACTCCCAGCACTCTCTTATACTCATATCATATACCTAACATGCCATCTACAGGGAATGCCATATAAATATATTGTGAGCGTGGACTCTCGACCCTTCAAAACTGCTCCGCAGGTTATAATCAGTGCCCTCGAGCGTCTAAAATGGGCCACGAAGCAAACAGTGAACGCCGAAGAGTTTCAAACGCCAAACGAGCTCCTTGCGCTTGGCTACTTTGAGGATATGTCGATTGGGTACCATGACGACGGTGAATCATCACTTGGTCCCACGATCGCAACCCTCTCACTTGGAGCACCGGCAACCATGCTGATTCGTATGAAAGACGAGTATTACAACGGATTTAGGAAGAGAGATAAGGAAAAGGTCTACCTGCAAGACGACCCTGTCCTCCCAGGTTGCGCCAACGAAGAGGCAAGAGCAGAACTTGCACGGGAGTTCCACGCCGGTGAAATTACTGCAAAAGAGTATCTGGAAGCGCGACAGGCTCTACCTACGACGAGACGAGAGGCACCACCTATCTGTACGATGGCGCTCAGCCATGGTGATCTGGCCGTTATGCATGGGCCTGACCTGCAAAAGTATTACGAGGTACGTCTTTAAACAAGATTATGTGCTGCCGCTTCCATTATGCTTACTGTATGTTGATAGCACTCCGTCATCCCATCAGGTCGACTTCGATTCGCTCTGACTGCACGATACGTAATGCCCGACCAGGTGGAAGCTTCTGAGCACTGGAAAGGAGACTACGACCCAATCCCAGAATTTGAATACGACGGGGACGAGTAGCATTTCATACTATCTCCCGCCTCTCACTTCGACGGCATCTTAATTACCACTCAATCTCTAGCGATACTGACCAACTAAGCTATGTTATACCGATATTTGACCATCAACTTTTCTTTTTCTACTGTGGAGCATCATTAGGCGTGGGGTGCATACTGCATATGGGGGTTAAAGGTCCGGCGTTATACAATCTTTATCACGGCTCTATCATATACTCTTCAATACATATATCTACAACAACCGGTCATAGTCACAAGAGTAAATCCACATAAAGTTCTCTATTTCCTTTTAACTGTGTGAACAAGATTTAACCCCCGGATTGTTAAATGGTTACAGGGGCGCCGGTGCCTCGGTTAAGGCTCGGCTCGATCGCGGGCTGGGACAAAGCGCGATTGGCTGCGACTTTATAGCTTAGGCCCCTTATATGGCCGAGGAAGCTGTTGATATAACTATGCGCTCCCCTCACTTCTCCTTGTTACCTTCATCTACACGCTGAATCAAGATAGTACACTCCGTACTAGTCGTCGAGCTGTAAAGACAACCTCATACTGTCACGCGAGGATGGTGTTTTATCCGCCAGCCAGGGCCGGGGAGCTCCCGAAGGTACCAGACGATGTTCCGATCTGCGATTTCATGCTGGACGAGAAGAGCGGTCGCATGCCGTTTGCTTCGTCGAGAAACCCTTTCATCTGCGGCATTACAGGCAGGACATACTCGGTGGCCCAGGCCGCTGAACGGGTCGACGTCCTCGCTCGCGCGCTGGCAAGGGAGTTTGGCTGGCATCCAAACAGAGGCTCGGAGTGGGAGAAGGTCGTCGGCATCTACAGCTTCAACTCTGTAAGTATACATAGATACCAAGTGAAAGCAATGGCTGATTCTGTTACGCTTCGGACTCGCTAGATTGACTATCTGGTGCTATGCTGGGCTATCCATAAGCTGTCTGGCATTGTGAGCGCGGCCAACGCAGTCTACTCTGCACCAGAGCTGGCACATCAGCTGAAGGATTCGCGCTGTCGGGCCCTGTTCACCTGTCTTCCATCCTTGCCCGATGCATTGGAGGCTGCTGAGAAGGCCGGGATTCCAAAGAGTCGTGTATACATTATCGATCTCCCTGCCGAGTTCACTGGTTCGGCAAAGACTCCCACAGGGTTCAAGACGCTGGAGCAGTTTATAACTGAGGGCTACTCTCTTCCACCCCTCGAGAAGACCAAATGGGCTCCTGGCCAGGGTGCGAAACAGACTGCCTTCCTGTGCTATTCGAGCGGGACCTCTGGCTTACCGGTAAGATGGCTTTACTCCTTTTCTATCAAAACGACAGTGACTGATTCTGTGCATAGAAAGGTGTGATGATTGCCCATCGAAATGTCATCGCAAACACCATGCAGATAAAGCAACAGGAGCAATCCGAACGGGACGCTCGAGTCAAGGACGGAAAGCCGGCCACGGGAGTTAGCCTGGGTCTGCTGCCTCAAAGTCACATCTATGCACTGGTGGTCCTGTGCCATGTCGGCCCCTATCGTGGAGATTCGCTCGTCATTCTCCCCAAGTTCGACATGGCGCAGTATCTTGGAGCTATTCAGAAACACAGAATCAGCACCCTGTACCTGGTTCCCCCGATCATTATTGCCATGCTGCGAAATAAGGCAGTGTGTGACAAGGTAGATCTATCGTCAGTGTCTGCCATTTTCACAGGCGCCGCACCACTTGGTAAAGAGACGGCCGAAGAGCTTCTGGCCTGGAAGCCATCGTGGGCCATCAAACAAGGCTATGGTAAGTCATGAAAACAGTATCTTTGAATACATGCTGACACCACGATCACAGGCCTTACTGAGACATGCACGGTCGTATCGTCCACAACCGTCTTCGATACCTGGCTGGGTTCGTCGGGATGCCTTCTCCCAGGCTTTGAAGCCAAGGTCGTCTCTCCCGAGGGCACCGAACTGACCGGCTACGACCAGCCAGGTGAACTCGTCGTACGATCCCCTTCAGTCGTCCTGGGCTACCTCAACAACCCCAGGGCAACCGCAGAGACTTTCCAGGACGGCTGGATGCGTACCGGTGACGAAGTAGTATTCCGCATCTCGCCAGGGGGCACCGAGCATCTTTTCATCGTCGACCGTATAAAGGAACTGATCAAGGTCAAGGGCATGCAAGTTGCACCCGCCGAGCTAGAGGCTCACGTCCTCTCTCACCCTGACGTCGCCGACTGCGCCGTCATCCCCGTACCCGACGAGAGAGCCGGAGAACTGCCCAAGGCCTTCGTCGTCCGGGGAGCCTCTGCTGCCGGCAAGGATGACGCCGAGCTCACTAGGTCGATACAGCAGTACGTCGAAGAGCACAAGGCCCGACACAAGTGGTTGAAGGGCGGCGTCGAGTTCATAGATGTCATCCCCAAGAGTCCCAGTGGTAAGATCCTCCGTCGCCTGCTTAGAGACCGGGAGAAGGAAACTCGAAGGAAGAAAGAAGCGAAGTTGTAGATAGAAAAAAACTTCGTGTTTGCGGCGTTTGGTCAGCATTTATAATCAAGATATTGGAAACGCATCTTCCACCGGCTTCTTCTCGATATATTAGATGTGTGCTATTTATTATATATTCTAATCTTGATATCTTTTGTATTTGAATCGATCTCTACTCATCTACTGATATCGCGCTGGAGGCACTGCTATAATACCTGCGCAAACTGCCCCTCATCACCCCTCCAACTTTTTTTTTTATTTCAACGCAAATAACGAAGTAATAACATCAACACGATGTCCGGCCAGCACCCACAGCCGGATCCCATGGACGAGGACCGGGGCGAACATAGTGAAGATGAATTCATAGACGAAGCAGATGCAGAAGAAGTGGTCCAGGTCGACGATGACCACCCGATGGAGGAGGACGAAGAACTGCTGCTCGAGAACGACTCCTCCGCGCACTTCGACAAACATACCGACTCCATATTCTGCATCGCACAACATCCAATCCATCCTGAAATCATAATCACTGGCTCCGGAGACGATACCGCATATATATTCGACTCGAGTCAGGCGGCTTCTGAGAAACCGCTACTCCCCAAGAGCTACGAAACCACGCCGCAACAGAGTAAAGAGAGAGAATCGCTGCCTGTGATTGCGCATTTGGACGGCCATAAAGATTCAGTTAATGCAGTTTGTTTCACCTCTCCGCGGGGTGAATATGCTGTTACCGCTGGTCTGGATGGGAAGCTACGCGCCTGGAGAGATACGAGTGGCAATCTGGCTGGGAAGTCATGGCAATTTTTGGCTGAATCGCAGGAAGTCGAGGAGATAAACTGGATCGCGACTTGCCCGTCAAGCGGAAATGAGGAAAACGAGCAGACTCAGAATGTTGTTGCGGTTGGTGCTAATGATGGGAGCGTATGGGTCTATCGCATCGACGCGAGAGAGGATTCCCCCGAGCCACTTACGATTATTTCTACGTTCTTTCAACATACCGCATCTTGTACAGCTGGTGCCTGGACACCGGATGGACAGCTATTAGCTACTGTCTCCGAAGAAGGGAGCTTTTATGTCTATGATGTCTTTGGGTCTGCAGCTGCGGCTGGATTCACTTCCTCTGCCGGTACGCAATCGGTCGTTGCGCTGACTGTACAAGACCAGAGATTCGCTGTTGAAGGAGGACTGTATTCGGTTGCCATCTCACCTTCTGGTACGTTTGCTGTTGTCGGTGGTGCAGAAGGACATATCAAGGTTGTCGGTCTACCACGAGTGTCTGATACCTCGTCCACAAAATCCAAATCTAAGGGTAAAGGAGCCTCTGGTCCGTCCGGTGGAGCAGGAGCCGGAACACTTCTTGCCTCTCTCCAAGCTCAGTCGGACGGTATCGAGTCACTCTCCTTCTCCTCTCCACCCCTGAATCTCCTTGCAGCAGGGTCCGTCGATGGATCGATTGCTCTCTTCGACGTTGCACACAGATTCGCTGTTCGACGACACATCCGCGGCGCCCATGAAGAATCAGCTGTGGTAAAGGTCGAGTTCGTCCAATGTAAGACCAACGCCTCCTCGGCCGGGACGTCGCCGGGGAGACCCTGGCTTCTAACCTCTGTGGGTATGGATGGCGTTGTAAGGCGGTGGGATACCCGAGGCGGCACCGTAGCTGCTGGTCATGGCTTGTTAAAAGAATGGAGAGGCCATCTCGGCGTTTCTGAAAATGAAGAAGGAGAACAGGCGGGTGGTATATTGGGTTTTGTACAGGGTGATAAGGAAGGAGGACGAATTGTCACTGCTGGTGATGATGGAGTGGCACTGGTATTTGAAGAATGAGTGTCATAAAAATGGATGGCGGGCCCTGGATGATATTGATTTAGCGTAACAAGGACGGGCATAGATATTTGTATTGAATGAAAAATAATTGAAGCCGTCAGGATGATAAGGAGTTTTTCTGTTGATATACCTAAAGAATAAATCGAGTCAATAGTACAAAATAGTACAAATAGTATTCCCATTGCGCCTGTCAGTAGATATGTACAACGACTCTCAAGTCCTGATATCAACTTCCGTCCCAAGACCCATCGAAACTGGGAGAAGTCCCTCCCCGCGGAATATTTCTATAATCCTTCTGTAGCCTGCACTTCTAAATGTCCTCCCTCGCATCTGTATCATGCGTCTTCCTCTGCAACAGAATGGTCAAGGTGCATGGGTAATGTATCAGTGATGGCCTTCCTCCTTGTGACCGTGGTGATCGTCGTTCAAGAAAGCGTACTCGTAGCCACAGTAGATGGCAAAGGCAACGGTCGCAATTCCCAGGCCGGGGAATCCAGTCTTAAATCGGTTCCATCTGGAGAATGGCCCTGTGTATCGCCATGCTTCACTGCAGACACCATCGTATTAGCATCCAATTGAACCTCCTAGCAATGCAGATATGACCGCCGGAACGAGCAGGGAGCAACGTACTTTCGCTTCCAGGGGTCTCGCTGTGCCCATACTGATGTAGACGAGGCCGCGGCCTTGAAGGTCTTCATGTCGAAGCCGGTCGGGTTTGGAGGCGCCATTGCTGCAGAGGGGCAAGGATAGGCGGCTGGAGCGCGAGTCGGGGTGGCTGGTCGCGGTATGATGCCCTCTGGCCGCGGGGACGATGCGTACGAACGCAGTGACGGTCAATTGAGCTGGTGCTGGCGAAGTTCACCGGTGATGCTGGCGGTCTCAAGTTCGTGGCCGTCGGCTTTCTCGACTTTCTCGACTTCGATGTTGTTTCTTTCCTGCTCTGGTGTGTAAGCTTCTAACCGGATGCGGCTAGGTCTTGGCGGACATCGCAGAATCCAGATGGACTTCAGATACTGAAAGCAATACTTGAATACTTCAACACAACATATCACCACAGGAGAGACAGGAGAGAATAAAGACAGGAGAGACAGAGACGCAAGGGAAGACAATTGCTACGTGGATACACGGACACCGTTGACTGGCGGTCCATCTGGCGCCAACGCACTCGCCCTCGCTACATCCTCATGCTCCCTTTGGCTTCACTCCCCCCCTCACGCCGTGATACATCTCGCGCCTCATAGCATCGATGCCGCCTCCGGTCAACCGCTACGGGCCCTCGGGCATGACGGGCCCGTTCCCTCACCTCCAGCAAGCACATCTCCAGCAGCAGTCCCAACACCACGCCGGCCACCCGCAGTCCGCCAGCGCAGGCCTCCCTCCGCCATCCCTAGGCGGACACCCCGGTTTTGGCCCCAGCAACCCTCAGTCGAGCATCAATCCCTTCAGCATACCGGGAGCTAACGGTATTGGGGTCACCGGCTTCCCCACAGCCGGGTCAGGCGCGGGAGTTCTTGGTGACGGGAGTGGTACCGGGCTCGCGAGCCATGCCGCCCAGATGGGGTTCGTAAGGGGTGCTCAGATGCAGCAGCAGCAACAGCAACAACAGCAGGCACAGCAGCAGCTTCAACAGCATCAGGTACAGCAGGCTCACTTGGGCCACGATGGCCGCTTGGCCATGGGCGGCAAGGATAGTGCGGTCAAGTCGAGGATACGCGATGTCTGGAAGCATAACCTTGCTCAAGAGATGGCCATGTTGCGGTCCCTGGTAGAGAAATACCCATATATCAGCATGGTGAGGCTGCCTTTTGTTTTAAAAAGGTACGAATTAAGTGAATTAACAGGCTATTTCTAGGACACTGAGTTTCCAGGAATCGTTGCCCGACCGATGGGCACCTTTACAACAAAAGCAGACTATCACTACCAAACCCTGAGGTGTAATGTCGATTTACTGAAGATGATACAACTTGGAATCACCCTTTTCTCTGAAGACGGCGAAGTCCCGCCGGTAACTGCCACACACGCGAACTCGGAAGCTTATAATGGCACCCTGGTACCTGCGCCATGCACATGGCAGTTTAACTTCAAATTCTCGCTCGAAAACGACATGTATGCACAAGAATCCACCAGCATGCTGGCAAAGGCCGGCATTGATTTTAACCTGCACGACAAGAACGGTATCGACCCCTTGGATTTCGGAGCCCTGCTCATGACCTCTGGCCTGGTCCTCCTCGATGACGTCCACTGGATTTCTTTCCACTCTGGGTACGATTTTGGATACCTGATGAAGATTATGCTCTGCAAACCCTTACCAGATGACGAGAAGGACTTCCACAAGCTCCTCAACATATTCTTCCCTTCCCTCTACGATATCAAATATCTCATGAAACACGCCGGGCGGAATCAAACTGCCAACGGTTCCCCCCTAACACACGCAGCAGCACAGATAATCGCGAATCTCGGCCAGAAATCAGGCCTACAAGACATTGCGGATGAGCTAGGCGTCAAACGAGTCGGCATAGCACACCAAGCCGGTTCGGATTCCCTGGTAACGGGCGAGATATTCTGGAAAATCAGACAGCTCGTATTCAACGGAGCTATCGACGGGTCTAAATATTCTGGCCAGATCTGGGGTCTCAATGGACAGATAGCCGCCATGCCTTTTTACCCTGGAAACCAACCCCATCAGACACCCGGACCTAACGGAGCAGTCATGTACTCGGCTGCAGGAACGCCCAGCACCCCCAACACCGGCCATGCAGCGTTGAACAGCCACCAAACACCGGGCCGCCAGACCGGCAGCATAACCCCAGGCACAGGGACCTATGGTAACTTCCATCCGCGGTCTTGAAACCTAAAGCAGAATTCAACCATAATATGAGGGATAGTCGCACAAACAATTAACAACTTAAACAAAAATTCCTTTATCCATACATTAGAAGTTGGAGGATGACGCTTTGTGTGCTCTACGACACGATATTCTTTTTCTCGGTGTTTGTTGCATTTTCAGCTTGTGGTGTTTGAGCTTGAACCCTTTTGTTTGTACAAGAGTGTCCTGGCGTTTGCAAAAAATGGGGTATTTACAAGGGGTCTTTTCTCTCCCATATGTCTCTTTTTTTTTTCGTCTTTTATACTGTTGTCGAGTGGGTTTGGGTTGTGGATTGGCTCGTATGTTTGGTAAACCGGGTTATATTTCTGCTTTGAGTCGCCCTGGCTCATGTTTATTGTTATTTAACGGACGGGATGTTGTTCACCAGTATCCTGGCATAGATGCGGCATGCACGAATTGACTACTTACCTTTGTAAATAGGCCGTACTTGAGCGAATGCCAGATATCCATCTACTTCTCGTCTTTCCATTCTTTTCTTCTTTTCTATATTGATATCTTACATAAGCTGCGGAACAAGCTTCCCAAAAGGGACTTCGGACTTCCTCTCCCAGAAGAGAAAAAACATCCTCTGCACAGTTACTTCTATTCTTCGTTATCCCTGCTAATAGCCCTTACACAAGTACTTTATAAGTATTCGATGGAATAAGACAGCTATCAGTGATGACTTTGGCGCAAACTATGGTACGCCAGCCTTGATATATGCTCGGTGGTATAAAGCTACGCGTCGGGTGTTCTACTTGAGTATATATACTTGGATATATATCACAGTCGTTACACGGCTATGGCTGTATCTGAATTCCCCAATTTCTTGGCCTCCCCGCATTGGAGGGGAGAATCTATATACATGTTATATATACAGTCTCCTAACCCCGTTGTCTGGCTCGCCTTTATATCCTATATTCACCTTACGGATAGAAACCTCAACCTTCGAGTGCCACTTCTACTCAGCTTTCCATCATGGTTCTCGAGCGACTCAAGCAGTTGGCTTGTCAGGTCGGTGTTTCTCATACCATATCACACCCGTTTGATCCGCTCTCTTCAACGGAGATCGATGCTGCAGTCGCCGTCATCCGCGAAGCCCATGGAGGCCCTCTCAAGTTCAATGCTGTTACCCTATGGGAGCCACGGAAGGCTCAGATGATGGCTTGGTTGGCTGATCCAGATCATGCTCCTAGACTACATAGAGCAGCAGATGTCGTTGCTATAGCCCCCGGTGGGAAGGTCTACGACGGCATAGTTGACCTGACAGATAATAAAATGGTCGAGTGGAACTTGATGGAAGGTGTCCAGCCGCTGATAACCATGGAAGACCTGCAATCTGTTGAGCATATGGCAAGAGTGGATGAAAATGTCATTAAACAGTGCGAGATTATAGGGATTCCGAGGGAAGATATGCACAAAGTCTACTGTGATCGTAAGTCCTAAAGAAGACTCACGCTCGATGGGAAATTCAGGGGTTTGCTGACATTGGAACTAGCATGGACAATTGGATACGACGAAAGATTCGGCAACAACGTTCGCCTCCAGCAAGCGTTCATGTATTACAGGCCGAATATTGATGACTGCCAGTATGCGTATCCGCTTGATTTTTGTCCTATTTTCAACCCAAATACCAAGGAGTTTGTTTACATCGATGTGCCACCGGTCCGTCGACCACTCAGCAAAGCACTGCCGCAGAACTATAACTCAGAAGATGTCCAGAAAGAGGGAGGATATCGAACCAATTTGAAACCTATTCATATCACACAACCTGAAGGCGTTTCATTCAAAGTCAATGGCCGTCATCTTGACTGGCAAAATTGGAACATCCACGTTGGTTTCAATTACCGCGAGGGGATCGTGCTTCATAACATTACTTTCAATGACAAGCGTACTATCAGACCGGTGTTTTACCGCCTTTCTCTTGCAGAGATGGTTGTACCGTATGGAAATCCAGAGCATCCCCATCAACGAAAGCACGCCTTTGATTTAGGGGAGTACGGGGGCGGATATATGACCAATAGCTTGAGTCTTGGCTGTGACTGTAAAGGGGCTATCCACTATATGGACGCAGCCTTCGTCAATGCTGCAGGCGCAAGCACCGTGATCAAGAACGCGATATGCATTCACGAAGAGGACGCCGGTACTCTATTTAAACATACGGATTTTAGGGATGACTCTACAATTGTCACCAGAGGCCAGAAACTAATTGTTTCTCATGTTTTCACGGCCGCCAACTATGAATATTGTGTGTACTGGATTTTCCACCTAGATGGTACTATTCAACTGGAAATCAAACTTACCGGAATCCTAAACACATATGCCATGAATGAAGGGGAGGATACCAACGGCTGGGGCACCGAGGTGTATTCCGGCGTCAACGCTCATAACCACCAGCATCTATTTTGCCTTCGCATAGATCCAAACATCGACGGGCCAAATAACACCGTCTTCCAGGTTGATGCTGTCCGCGGGCCGGGTGAAGTGGGAAGCTCAGATAATAAATATGGGAATGCCTTTTACGCAAAGAAGACAAAATATTCCACTCCGGCAGAGTCTATGGCGGGATACGATGGTGCATCGAGCCGTACCTGGGAAATAGCCAATACTAACAAATTGAACCAATATAGCAAGAAGCCTGTAAGTTATAAACTGGTTAGTAGAGAAATACCTTCTCTTCTTCCAAGGGACGGGGGTCTGGTTTGGAAACGGGCCGGATTTGCTAGACATGCTATCCATGTGACTAAATGTAAGTTGCATTCATGGGAAAACCCCATTGCATATTTATGCGATATCCTGATCGATTATCTGTTTTAGACTCCGATGATCAGATTTATCCTGCAGGCCGGCATGTTCCTCAAACCTCGGGTGAACCCTCTCACGGCCTTCCAGCATGGGTGTCAGATACAGCGAATGAATCAATTGACAATACTGACATCGTGGTTTGGCATACATTTGGAATAACCCACTTCCCGTCTCCGGAGGACTTCCCAATCATGCCCGCTGAGCCAATTTCATTGTTGCTACGGCCTCGAAATTTCTTTGACCGTAACCCGGCTTTGGATGTAAAACCGAGCTTCGCGTTAACTCCGAGCCAGGTACATCAGGGGTCAGGCCGGCCTAGTGAAAGAGTGGCTGCGGACGGGTCTAGTAAGTCTGTCTAGGTTATAGGGCATTTTATTTTATTTTTTAGTTAGGGCTTTACCTCTTTTTGTGTATCTACAGCTTTAGCGGAGTACTTGCCCTACATAAGGTAGTATGCGATTGTTGCAATAAATGTATGAAATTGAAACAGATGTGGTAGCAAGATGATGAATACAATACACGAAGGTATAATCCTCCTGCCAAATCAGAATCTATGCCTTCTTAACCCGGCTAGCTAGCGTACAATCGTTGCATCGACAACTCATCCTACTTCTTTTGAGCCGCGAATCCCATTCTTGGGCCATCATGGTCAAATATGACGAACTGGCTCTTCAGGAATGCCCCTCCTAGGATAGCAGGCGGGCTAACTAGGGATTGGAGAGAGCCGAAACACGTGTTAGTTCCTGGTAATGGAGCATATTTGATGTGTTCTCCGGGAACGACAGCTTTATATTCGTTGATATGGATGGCAAAGTCTGGAAGCGTGGTGTTGCATGGAAATGTCCAGCCTCCACTCTTACGATCATATGCCGTAGCTGGAACCGTAGAATAGTATTGTTCGGTTATTTTTTTGGGAAGGAGCATGAATGTAGTCCCAGTGTCTGCATAATATTAGTACCTTGATCTAGAACGAAGATGAAGTTAACATACCAACAATTGCTTTAAAGCTATGAGTTGAATTATCGATATCCCCAGTTGCGAAGCCGTTAAAAGTGGTTTCCCACCAACCTTTTGAACTATCAACTGGTAGGTAGGTGGGCGTTCCAACATGCTTGTCTTGATCGATGAAGCCAAAATCGTAGAAACCAGGAGCTTGATGTTTCAGACAAGCGGTAAATATGGGCTTGGATAAGCTCTGCTTGATATTATCAAACCAAGTTCTTTGCTTTTTGGGTAAGACTGCAGGATTACGAATGTTAATGGCAACCTTATCTGATATAAGCGAGATATCAGCGACTTACCTTGGTTACGTTTGTCGAATCCGAATCCCAGAATTCCATCTGTCGTTTGCTGATCTGCGAACTCATAGCTCACCCAGGTTGCAGCCTGCACTGCCTGGGAGGAGACTTCCAAGCCGGGAAGACTAACCTTGTCCTGGAACACGTTGCCTGCTGCCCCAGTTCCGTCGCCGTACTTCAACTCCCAAGTGTGTTTTTGGAGTTTCGTGCCAGTTAAGTCTGGGTGGTAGATGCGATGATTTCGGCGCGACCGCTCTGGAAGTTGGGATGAAAAAACCCAACTAAAGAAAGCTCAACTTTATCAGCCACGGAGATACCACGCATCATCAAGTAGTGCTTAATGGGATGGAAGTTTTGCAGTCGGTAATCCTCACAAATCAGCAGAACCGGTATCGATATCAACGAGGACTGTGTCGTTTCCGACTGTGATTTCATTAACAAATTCGGCGTCATAGTCAGAGGGCGTGACCTTGACGGATCCGCCATCCTTCTTGTTCTCGTAAATAGCTATACGGGAGACTGCTGCCTTATATTCGGGTGGTAGTGGCCTGTGATGCTTCCTGAGCACCGTCCATAAATCCTTAGGCGGCCAACGGTTTTTGTTAGAGTATAAGGCCGTTTGTTGAATTGTAAAGTGGCCAGCAGTTGCACGTTTCTCAGTAGGGATGGCCTCAGTAAAGATAGCCAAAGTGGTGGCCAACGCAACGATATAAGAGAAGAACCCCATTGCTAATTACAACGAAAAGTAAAAGTAATGATATGCTCACACAACGAATGACATATAGTGGGTTAACTCAAGTTGGCGGGTGGAAGCGTAGATTTCCATCCTTTATATTTGTTCCTTGGTTATCATAAGAGAGAGGTATAAATAAGAATAAAAGCAGGGGTGGTATTCTAGTCGGCACACCGCTCCCGAAAAATCTCCTACCAAACATTTAATGCAAGTCTGAGAATCACCTTAATCGCGCTATATGAAACGTGACTATTGTTGACTTGGTTGGTAGTTTGGAGACGCCCAACACAGCACAGAGACAAACGCAGCCTTCTAGGGTTTGGTCTCGGAGGGTGGCGTGACATGCATGGCAATCAAATTCGGGGGCCGCATTGCGACAAGCGATCAGTCGGACGATCAGCCGTCATATAGGAGTGAAATGAGCGACAGTTGGACTTATCGCATCAAACATGTCATTGGTCGCCTATTGGGAATAAGGGTAGAACATGTCAGGGGGTGTATCTCTAGTTCAATCTTTTAGACGTCTAGGGCAGTGATAATTGACACCGTATCAAGTACTCCGTAACGAACTCACTAGATGATGACTATTCCCGCCATCGTGAGAGTCCGAAAATAAAAGTTTGTGCGACTAGGAGAACAAAGAAAGATGAGAACACATCTCGACATTAAAGACCTAATATCTCATTCAGCAGCCTTTTCATTTATAGAATAGGGGCTATAATGTTAGACCACCTACGATGAAGCCCTTGGATATACACTCATTGCTACTTGGACAGACGTTTCAGGACGGAATATCACAGTCACGTGAAAACTAAAAGAACACGATTGCTAAGTACATTACTAAGCTAACTAGCTCTTAGCCTATATAGCTAAATTTAACGACATCTAGCACTTACATACTTAGATGGCTTTGAATATGAACCTCAGCTTACTCCTCTGATACCATAGCTCTGCCTTACTTCTGCCCAGCCATTATCTTATTCTCTAGCTATGTAAAGCTGTGAGCTGTTCATTTATTCCACCAACTGCTGCAATGGTGCCAGTGTGCCCATTCTCACTGCACGAGAATAAAGCACTTTTATTACTCCGTTCCTCAAGGAATATAAATATGCTCGTGACTTCCCGCACTTCACCTGGCCTGGGTATGCAGGCGAAGGCACGATTAATGGCACTAGCAGGGGCCCCTGGTTCTACCAACACGTAAATGCTGACCCGGACCTGTCCTAAAGCGAAAGAAGATCTGGCGGCCAAAGAAGGAGATTGGAAGAGAAAAAGGAGAATCAAGGGGGTAAGGGCAGTGGACTTACGATTCAGTGAGGTACTTCCTGTTCAATTTCGTCAGGGGCTTCTGGTAGCATGGGAATTTATCCACCATGATATAGAATGATATATAATGAGTCATTATGACTGGCTAGAGAACAGCCTGGGGTTGGTTGATAAACTCAGCAACAGGGACAAAACAATGCTTAACTCTCCTTGTTCCCCATTGTTTTGTCTCAGCCTTCTGGAGCTCCAACGATCGTCCGCACCGTTGAAACCCTACATCCTCGAGATATAGATTTATATTTCTTGAGAGTCATATGGTCAAAATGTCAGATCAAGGCGCGGGCACCTCCTCTCCACCTATTCCTCCTCTCCACCTATTCTGCCTAGTCTGCAATTAGACGAGCATGAGAAAGAGATTCTCAAGCGCCAAATACATACCCCAGAGCCGCGGATGAGTCGCTTGGAACTTTTATATACTTGTGCAACAACCTCCGACCTACTTCTCCTAGTCATCAGTTCAATTGCGGCAATAATTGGAGGGGCCATTCAACCAATATCTTTCGTGAGCTACCTCCCTGACATACATTAAATCCCCCAAACTCATTTCCGTCATACAGCTCTTTCTAGGAGGCTTGGCCCAGGCATTCAAGGACTTCTTTTTAGAAACGGCTCCAGGCTCTCATCTCTTATCCCTAGTAGCAAAATTTGCTCTGTACTATGTATACATAGCCATTGGACAGTTCTTTTCGACGTATATCTCTACAGCTGGGTTCATGATAGCAGGGGAAAAGATAACCCAACGACTCCGTGAAAAATACCTCGCCGCTATCCTCCGTCAAAATATAGCATTCTTCGACGTCCTGGGAGCGGGAGAAATAACAACAAGAATTACCGCTGATACAAATCTTATCCAAGATGCTTTAACGGGCAAACTTTCCCTGACGTTATACTCCTGTGCCTGTTTTGGAACGGCTTTCATCATTTGTTTCGTGAAAAGCTGGCGCATGGCTCTCATTCTGATATCTGCAATTGTGGCAGAGGTTGGACCCATGAGTATATGTTCTGCTTTTATGGTCAAGTATACCAAGATGTCTTTATCAGCATATGCAGACGGATCGACAGTTGCCGAGGAGGCCATCAGTTCAATCAGGCACGTTACTGCATTTGGGATCCAAGACAAGCTGGCCGATAGATATCAGAAATTTCTTACCAAGGCAGAGAGCTCTGGTCTCAGGAGTCGCATTGCTCTTGCAGCCATGATGGCCATTATGAACTGTGTTATATTCTGGACCTACGGACTGACATTCTGGCAAGGCTCACGTTACCTTGTTATAGGGGATATCGACTTAGGAGCTATTATAACCATTCTCCTTGCTACACTGACTGGAGCGTTCACGTTTGGTAACATAGCACCCAATTTCCAAGCGTTTGCAACTGGCATGGCAGGAACAGAAAAAATTCTTGCCACAGTGTCCAGGAAGTCGCCGCTAGATCCATCTTTCTCTGCGGGAGACAAGCTACAAGCTGTGTCTGGAGCAATCGAATTCAAGAACATTCGCCATGTTTACCCTTCTAGACCAGACGTATTGACTTTAAATGGGATAAATCTTCTATTCCCAGGAGGAAAGACAACGGCAATCGTTGGTGCTTCTGGATGTGGGAAAAGTACGATAGCAGGTTTGATTGAAAGGTTTTACGAGCCAATAAGTGGTGAAATATGTAAGTATCCTTCCTGTGAAAGGTTGACTACGCTGATGATCGCAAAACAGTACTCGATGGTCACGATATCACGTCTCTAAATTTGCAATGGCTACGTCAACAAGTGGCGATAGTCACTCAGCAGCCCACACTCTTCTCCACAACTATATTTGAAAACATCAGATTTGGTCTGATGGGTACTGAGCACGAAAATTCCCCTCTTAGAGAGGTATAAGAACTTGTCTTTGACGCTGCCAAGAAAGCGAACTGTTTTGAATTCATTTCTGCACTACCAGACGGATTCCACACGACTGTTGGAGGAAGGGGCTCATTACTATCGGGTGGACAAAAGCAGCGAGTTGCCATTGCACGGGCTATCATTAGCAATCCGAAGGTCTTGCTGCTCGATGAGGCTACTTCAGCTCTAGATGCCCAGGCCGAGCGGCTGGTACAGGCTGCCCTTGATGTTGCAGCTGAAGGGCGGACAACGATTGCAATTAGTCACCGGTATGTGTTTACTTAGACTTAGAGACACAAGCTAATTCCGATTCAGACTCTCTACAATCACAGCGGCAGCGAACATTATTGTCATGTCTCACGGACGTGTTGTTGAGCAAGGAACTCACAACGAGCTACTTGAGAAACGATCGACATATTACCACTTGGTGGAGAAGCAACGCCTGTCGACCGAAAGAAGTATCGTTATCAGTGAAGCAAAGTCTGATCTCGATAGAGGTGCCGAGCTGCCTGATGTTAAAGATGATTGTAAAGAGTCCGATGTGTATCCGCACGAGATTAGGCCATACCGTGGAGATGGCGAGAGAGCTTCCGAGGGGGAAGCTGGTTACTTCAAATATTCCTTATGGGAGTTGATCAAGTTTGTCGCCAACTTCAACAGCGAAGAAACTCTTATCATGGTTTCAGGTCTATTTTGGTCAATCGTCACAGGCGCCGGAAATCCCACGTAGGACTTTATTCCCACGCTTTGTGCAGAATATTGATGCTGACCTTCCCCCCTAGGCAGGCCGTATTCTACGGCAAGACAATCTCGGCAATGTCGTTGCCCCATTCTATGTATGGAGACTTACGCCATGAGGTAAACTTTTGGAGTCTGATGTATCTGATGCTAGGAGGTACTGCATTCTTAGGCTGGGGAGCATCGGGACTCTGTTTCGCCTACTGCTCTGAGCGCCTGATCCATCGTGCCAGAGATCGTTCTTTCCGAGCAATGCTCCATCAGGATATCTCCATGTTTGACAAATCTGAGTTTTCAGCCGGAGCTCTTACAAGTTCACTATCAACCGATGCCACCAACCTTGCTGGGATGAGCGGTGTGACATTAGGCTCAATCCTTATTGTCTCAACCACTCTGGTTGCCGGTGTAGCCCTATCGATTGCGGTAGGATGGAAGCTGGGACTAGTTTGTGCAGCAACTATTCCAATTGTTCTTACTTGTGGTCTCGTCCGACTCAAAATCCTCGGGGAACTAGCTCGAAAGTCGGAGGCGGCATATAAAGCTTCGGCAACTTATGCGTGTGAAGCAAGTTCTGCCATTACAACAGTTGCGTCACTCGGTCTCGAAAGTTATGTCAAGGAACACTATCATAACATATTGGAAGCCCAACGACAAAAATCGGTTATTTCCATACTAAAGTCATCAACGCTGTATGCAGCCTCCCATTCGGCCAACTTTTTATGCATATCCTTGGCTTTCTGGTATGGAGGAACTCTCATCGTGTACGAGGGCTATTCTGTGTTGCAGTTCTTCATCTGTTATGCAGCTGTTATAGCAGGCGCATTCAGTGCAGGAGCCATATTCTCATTCGCACCAGATATGAGTAAATCTCGCCAGGCGGTTCAGGGTATCAAAACGCTGTTAGACCGACCTGTCAACATCGATGCACGTCAAGGAACTGGCGAAATTTTAACGAGAATATATGGTAGTTTGGAGATGCGCAATATCTATTTCCGATACCCTAATAGACCGGAGAAGACAGTTATTGCCGGCCTCAGCTTGAGTGTCCAACCGGGACAATATATAGGTCTTGTGGGAGTCAGTGGATGCGGGAAGAGCACCATCATAGCTTTGCTGGAGCGGTTCTTTGACCCTGAAGGTGGGCAGATACTGGTAGATGGCAAAGATATTTCTAAGTTGAATATCAAGAACTACAGGAGTCACCTGGCTCTGGTTAGTCAAGAGCCGACGCTATATCAGGGAACAATAAGGGAGAATATCACCATGGGAACCAACGACGAGGATGTTTCTGAGGAGAAAATTACCAAAACATGCAAGGATGCTAATATTTACGACTTCATCCAATCTCTACCGTAAGCCCTCCCCTTCCCCTTCTCTGGTCCGTTTTATATATTTTTCTAGTTGCATTTAAATGGTCACCTACTAACGCTCAACTCAGCGACGGCTTCTCCACGGTCATTGGAGTCAGGGGATGCATGCTCTCCGGCGGGCAGCAGCAACGAATAGCCATTGCGAGGGCGCTTCTTCGCAATCCCCGTATCCTCCTCCTAGACGAGGCAACTTCCGCGCTTGATTCTGAGTCTGAGAAGATCGTCCAGGATGCTCTGAATGCGGCGGCTCATGGCCGAACGACGGTTGCTGTTGCACACCGGATAAGCACAGTGCAGAACGCCGACTGTATTTATGGTAAGAAACAAATCTCGATCCCAAGTTGCAAATATAGAGATTAACTTGTGCGTGTAGTATTGCATGAAGGTAATGTTGTGGAACAGGGGACGCACCAAGAGTTGATGGAGCTGGGAGGGAGGTATTTTGAATTGGTGAAGCTGCAGAGCTTAGAGAGGACAGACTAGCGACCATACATTACAATAATTGAATGTTGCTATGTACTCTCGTGGGTATTAAAACAAAATTAGTTAATCATAAGATAAAGTAGCGTTATGATCAGGTATATCTTTTCTGCGGCTTCCTCGTGGAGTTAGAGTGTGGTCCGTGCCTTCCTTCTAGAAACCCAAAATAGACCATACCAAAACGGGACTAGCGCTAGGGGTAAGAAGAACAGGCTGGTCTGAAGTCTGAAGTCATCAAAATCGCGGCTTCAAGACCAGCAGCATCTACTACTCGATCTCCGGCTTGCTTCTGTCGACCATATCTGGCTCGGAAAACGACTAGGCAGCAGCACTCTGGTTTCTTATAAATGTCCGTCAGTATAGTTGCACCTCTTCTCTTTTGTTGCGCTAGATTCACTGACAATCGACGCTCACAGCAGTACTGAAAAAGGAGACTGTAGCATCGCATCCCGGTTTCTCATCTGTTGGACAGACTATAACCTGTCTCTGATCCCGGATAATTTGTTTATATTCCACCATGGCTTCAGACGCAGAGACCTTCGTCGAATACCCGCTACACATCGACCCAACCTCCAAAGCAATCTCAGCCCCTACAGCGTCCTCGACAGAACTTGATGCCGAACTTGAAGCGCTAAACCAAACCCACCGCGCTCTTCTCAATCTTGATCCCCCAAATGTGCCTCCTCCACCACGACCTGTGAATCCTAAACGAAGCGCACAAATAGGGAAACTTCGCGATACAGCAAACGCCGCATACCGAAAGGCAGCCTTCGGGGAGGCCACTAAACTATATACTCACGCAATTGATATGGCGCTTGCACGACCACCGTGGGAGCCCGTAGGACTAATGCGCGAGGAGCTATCTGCACTGTATGCCAACAGGGCTCAGGCTTATATGCAACAGCAACTCTGGGCCGAGGGGTGGGTTGATGCTCAGCTCAGTACCGAGTGTAACGAGCAAGGGAACGGTAAAGCTTGGTGGCGCGGTGGGAAGTGTTTGGTTGAGATGGGGAGGTGGGATGAAGCCCAGAAGTGGGTTGCTAAGGCCCTGGAAATGGAAGGCGATGGGGAGGTTGCGAAAGAGCTGAATGCATTGATGGTCGATATTCACACTGGACTAGGAAAACGACTCTAAATGACCCCTTCATTTTTACGATACCTGATTTTTTATCTATCTATCTTTTTATATTGAACCCTTCAACCTGTATATGCTTGCATTTATCTTGGCGTTGTTCCCGTATCTACGGTGTACTGTACAGCAATTGAATGGTGAATTGGCTAGAGGTTCCCAATTACTCTATTCATAGAGAATCTATAGCTGTCGCTACCGATCGTTCATATACATGCGATGTGTGGAGATGATACCTAAAATCAATTTCTCGGACTCCTGTACCTATATAATAAATAGATGACACGACCGCACCGCATCCCAACTCCAGCCCTTGGTCAAAGAAAACGAGACTGAAGCAAATGAGCACAAACCCGATAGCTTCCACCATCAGATACGCCAATCGATATATAATCGAGACATGCAAAATGTAAAAAAGACAGAAATGCAAGGAAAACCAGACAAAGGTGAGAGTTGATATACAAATGCATAGGACGCAATGAAAGTTGAGTGTCAAAGGGAATGATTGACATAGAAAGGAAAGGACAGGGAGGTAATAACTCGCTTAACAAATGAACTTATAGCAAAAAGGACTGTGATAAGAAGAAACATGATATCATGTTTTCATTCTATTAGGATGAAGGGGTTTCATCTTCTAGAGAAGCCTGGCGGTTTTGTTTCCGCTTCTCGACAACTCTCTGCAAGGTCTCAAGGCGTTCTTGTGTAACTCGAATGGCATTTTCGGCCTCGCGTTCCGACATTCTCTCCCGATGTAACCGGTTTTCAAATTCTTTTTCGGTACGACCACGGTTGGATTGCCGTTGTTTGCCAGTTCCGGAATGGACGTCGTCGACAACAGGAAAGGCGAGCCCGTCTAGCCCTACTCTCTCCTCTAGCCAGTCCCACAGTTCATTCTCCTCTCTCTGCCAGAGCTCCTCTAACGCAATCAGACGCTCTGGGGCAGAGCGCGACGAAAGCCCGACTCCAGGGGCTCGATGAGGTAGAACGGAAGTACGCAACCACATGGTAACTAGCAGGAACAAGAGAACACCGATTGTCATGTTGCTGCTCCAGAGTGGTTGTATCAGGTCAACTATCGGAGCAAACGGGCTATAAAGTGACGACAAAATCCCTTGGTTTGCAGCTTGGGACTTCGTGGCCTCGAGGGCAGCTTGTTCCTTCGCAGCCACTGCAAGTTCGGCTGCCATGCGGATGCGCCTGCCTTTACCTTTCGGGCCACCTTTTACTCCAGGGCCACGAGCTGCAACAGCGGCTCTGACTGCCTTAACCAGATCATTACCGAAACCCAGTTGGCCATCGTTGGCGCCCTTTTCAATTGGACCTAGTAACATGTTAATAAAAAGCTAACAAAGCTGGAAAATGGGACAGTCTGGTACACACCTTTAATCCAACTCTTGCCAGTCCACTCTACATTGCAAGACATAACTAGTCTAGTGGCATTAGAGGGAGCCCAGGTCAGGAGATATTTAGTTTTCACCGAGAAGACATTGCCGCTTGGTACATCAGGTGTTTGGGTCGTGAGAGTGACAAGAATAGCTTTGTCAAAGTCGAGGAGGTCAAGTTGTTCCGAACTAATGCATCTTGTTTGTTTGGGTCCAATCGCTCCATTTAACGGTTTGATATAGTTGTATGATCGGGTTTTGTTATCGTTAGTGAGGCCCTTTTTATCATCTTCAAATTGAAGATCGGTCACTTTCTGGAACTCAAGCAAAAATTTGGACATGAATGCCCCAGAAGGAGCACCGAAGACCAACGAGTACACCTGGCCTAGTGGGGCAGGGATGATTTCATCTTTGATCAATTTCTCGTAGCGTCCAGATGGGTCATTGTATTCCGTAGGTGCATGAGTTTTGGGTCCAGGGAACTCTGCGCTAGAGCTAGCTCCATTTTCACCTGATTTCACTTCATCAGTTGGACCAGTAGGCTGGGTCGCTCCCGCAGCCGATAATGGGGTAGTAGAAGACTTTCGTGGCAGACGTTGTGCTTGATCTGGCTGTTCACTGCCAGCGACACTATCATCAACGCTCCCATCAGGGTCGATTGCAGCACCATCTTCATCTTCATCGTACACTTCATCGTCATCTTCTGAGTTCGAGGCGCTCTCATCGTAAGCGTCATCCGCCTTCTCTGTTTTATCGCCAGTCCCCTGGTCGATGTGGGTTCCATTAATCGAGCTTTTGAGCGTTGGATGGTTAATTTTCCAAATATTGATTATCAAGTCGTAAGTTGCATCTCGGCTGAGTAAACTCCGGAAGGTATGGCGTGCATGCAAGGACTGAATGGCAATCGCATTTGGGAAGACCATGGCAGTTGATTCTTTTTCTATAGCAATGACCTCGTCGAAGCCGATTACCAAGGTTGTCACCCAGCCTAATATGTTACTGGAAAAACAGATATGGCCTTCCGAGATATATAGTCGACCAGCTAGAATAATTTCCCTCTGCAGCGCGCAACTGTAGTCCTCAATAAGGTAGTCATCTTCTGGAACGCTGCGGAATAATTGATGGAAATCACGGTTTCGTTTCTTACTGGCGACCGCAAAGCCTGTGAGGCGAGGTACGCTAGTATTCCTCGCTGCTAGATTTGCTCCAAGTGCACCTCCGTTTGTAGCACCTAGCGTATTGGTAGTTGCTGCAGAAGACCCGCGGGTCCTGCGAGCACGACGGCTTTTCAAACTACCATTCTGTTTAAGGCTTTCCGCATTTTCACTATGAACACTGCCGCCGGGCGGGGTATTCTCGCCAGCATTATCTCGTATCAAAGAGCCTAATGCATTCTGGGGTTGGGCCTGCGGCTGGGCCTCTGGGTGTATGCCATCAACTGTAACGATAGGGGTTGGCGGGGCATTTCCATAAGCCATTGAAACAGCTCGGGCAGCTCGTACGTCTTCCATACGTGCTGAAAGTTCATCACGCTGGGAGACAGTTTTCGCGCGAGGACGTGCCACCACATCAAGCCTCTTACCTTCATTATTATCCGCAGTGGTTCCCGCAGTGCTTTCAGGTGGCTCTAGCCCGAGATGGCTAAAATCCAAGTCTCCCTTACCAAGAGTATTTACTGCCGGCTCCTTTTTTCTGTCTTCTGGGACTGCATTTTCATCACCCTCGCGGGATGTCTCTTGTGCGTCATTGCCGACGTTCTCCCGCTTTTCCCCGTCGGTTTGATCTGGAGTATTCCTGCTCTTAACCTGGGGGTTCAGGCTGCTACTTAGCGTGGTGGCAGCATTTTGGGCAGCAGAGACCATAGACGAAAAGAACCCGGTTCCAAACTGCGAGGTTGATGTCCTCCCTTGGGATTTGTTCTCCTCTATTGCTGGAGTAAGCGGGGGAACCGTCGAGCTGGATAGTTTACTTGGCTGATGGGCCGCAGATGCTGACCGTACTCGACGGTGGGATATCATATTTCCGGAAGGACTAACAACGATATTGGATGTGGAAGGGTCATTCTCAGTGGACTCCGGAGAATTGACGATGTCTGTCAGGGGGAAGTGCTGGGAGTTGAATCGGTGGTTTGTCGGAGTAGGAGGGGTGAGTGTCGTCACGATATCGGGTTGGTTTCTCAAAGGGGGCGGCGTCTTGGGAGCCTCGTCCAATGGGGTATTTTTTCCAGCTCTTTGACGACCAGCATCAAGGGGAGGTTGAGCTTGAGCATTTGGGGGAGGCAGCTGGGGGGCAGTCTGTAAGGGCGGGGGTGCCCTCCTTGACGGAAGGCTTGCAATTCCATCAGTAGACGCATTTCCATCATTGTTCCCAGGCAGCTTCCCAGAACTTCTATCAGGACTGGTGTCATTGCTCTTGTTCGTTATGCGGTGGGTAAATGCTTCTTTCAGCTTTCGGCTAGTCGACGAGCTTATTGAACCCCTGCCTGAGTTGGAGCCTGCAGCAATCCCTAATGCAGTTGCATTCCTAGACGGGCCTTTAAAGCTGTCCAAGCTGATTTCCGAAGTAGTGTTAGAGCGTCCTCCGATATTGCTATCATGATCGTCTTTATATACGCCAAGGTCGGGTGTAGATGCAGTTGGATCACCGCGAGAATTACGACTTCCCACAGTCGAGTGGCTGTTAAATACATCCATTAGCATTAGAACGAGAGAAAAACAAGCCGATATTGTAACCGGAGACTTACATATCGGATTCTGAGCCATCTGAGACATGATTGCTCTCCGGGTTTGTCATGGATCTACGGCGTTGGCCGTTTATCTCTACCGAGGGCAAGGAGGCCTTTGATTCCCCCTCTTGCCAGTCGTATCCTTCCACCTGCTCCGTGTCTTTGTTCAGAGATGTTGCAGACTCGACCTTCTTTCGGTGGCGTCGTCTGGCCCCCGGTATCAGCTTCGAAATCCCGGAGGGAGCATCACTATGTCCGGAGGCAGCACTGCTCGTGGTCGGCCGTGAATCCTCCGATTTCGAGTCAATGGTCGAACTCCTGTTCCTCTGGTCGGTTTCGGGGGTGTCCGGCTTTGCCAGTGCTGTCCGGCTGCGATTCTGCATTGTGAATACCTTCCTCAGGCCGTTCGGGGAGGCCGTGGCGGGTGTGGGATCACCATGGTTCTCCATGAGCGACAGAGCGGCATTCGCTGCTATATTCTCGTCGAGGAAGAGTGCAGATTCACTCCAGCAGAGATATCTATCCCGATAACTGAATTGTAAGACGGATCCGTAGCCTGGTAAGACAAGGCTGGTGGGTGGGCGAATATGACCGGGGTTGGCGTCTGATATGGGATCAGGTTGCAGCGAAAGTCAAGGTGGTAGCAGTAGTAGTAACTGAAGCCAGCTTCATTTCACACCAGACGAGCCCTGCCAGAGCTGCCAGAGACCGGAGTAGGAGAAGCAGCTGGATTCCTCCTCGAGACCAAGCACATCTGCTTTGTTATCGACGGACGGCGAGTTGACGTTGCTGTGAAGGGCGAAACGACGCCGCGTTGTGAAAGTCGAAGGAGGAGGAGGCCCGCCAAGCTCCGCGGCCAGGCTGGAGGTACCACTACTTGTGCACCACGCATTAATAGGAGAGAGCCGAGGTAGCGGTACCTGGCCACCGCCTGGCCCTCCAAAACCTCCATGGTTGACATCATCGTCCGTTTTACCAGCATCGCATCTTGCAACGGCCGTCTGATATACGCCGAGTACTTGCGCAGTACCTGGACAGGACGTCTTCTGCTGCATACGACCGGGTCAGGGATACGGCCTGGTCTATTGGACGGTCTTTGATACAGCTCAGCATCCCCGTCGAGGTCCTAGTTATAATATGGAATCATCACCGCTTGTCCTGGTAACCACCGTCTTCACTATTCATATCTATATAGTTGGCTGACCATCGTCTAGGCGCATACTCACGCCCGAAATGCGTTGCATGAGACTCGCAAGGCCAACCCTGTCGCCGCGAGCGAGGAACATGACCTCGCAGCGGGCGAGTTTGCCAGCGCACGACAGTCGACCTCTGACCCCAGTGTAAGGGCTCGCAGCCTGTCTATATCTTTATGAGGGCTTCATATTCTGACATCGTTGGATTAAAGGCTGCCAGGACACTGCGACTGCTAGAAGACCACCATAAACAGCTGGCTGCAATTATCCGGTTTCAGCACGAAAATCCCCCGTCAACCTCGGACACAGAGCGGAAGCCGCCAGATGGGACACTAGAACTAACACCAAACCCAACGACGACAACAACAGATCCTGCGACACATAAAGTACCCGGCTTGGCGTCAACCGGGCAACAGCAGCATCCCCCGCGGCTGCTCTCACAGGGCAGCTCGGGTTCTCGCAATTCGTCGATTGCTGGGAATCTCGCCTCTGCGCGGGGGATACCCTCTCAAAGACAGCACTCCAACCCAGTTTCGCCCACGGTATCAGCCCAGAATGCGCGAGCACGGATGGCAGGCTCACCCGTCCGAGCGAGGCATCGAGACGGCAGCATACGGGTTGATCCTCTTTCGACTGACGCCCAGGTCTCACAACAACGTCCACAGGGAGGGAAACACTCCTGGGTGCCTCCGATCAGTCCGACCCAGGTAACGTCCCAGGAGTATGTCTCGCCGTATATCAAAGACACTGCCATGGCTGGACTAAGGTCTATCGCCGGAGATGAGCCATTTTGCCGCTTCTATTCTACGTTTGAAGGCGTCATATCAAAGCTCTCTGCGCCCCTTGCGTTTGCCAGTCTCCCTCTAGGCGTTGACTCCGCTCAGCCACGCCTTCTCTCAGGGCAAAAGGCCACTGCGGCGGATACCAAGACCAATACAGACTCCGCCGTAGCTGATTTTACAAGCTTCTCAGACAAGGGCCCAGACGTATCCAAGCTTGTGTCTAGTGCTGCCCTGAGAGCTATCAAGGACAAAGATGGCCACTTTGCATCACATAATCCCGCGGAATCATTCTATGTGGTGCCCACAGCTGGTGGAATGATATCATACGCCGGAATACTTTCTCGGGCAGAAAAGGAGGCAGTCAAGAACAGCATGGAATCCGTTGAAGATGATTTCGTTGATGCTAGTGAAAACCCCCCTTCTCCTGAAGAATTCTTACATAAAAGCTCGGCCAGGCTAGATCGCAGCACAACCTTACAGTCACGAAAGAATAAAACCGACCTATCGAGGACGTCTAAAACAGCCGAGGAGCTTCAGATAGAAAATGAAGCCCTGAGACATCTCTCTGATACACTGGCTAAACGCTTACATATGTGGGAGGTCAATGCACAGTCTTCCTCATTAGCTCTCCAACAGTCTATCCGTGCCATGCATAACCAACATGCCATCTCATCCCGTCAGACCTCTCCCGCGGCTTCGACTACTGGTGAAGTCATTGCGCCTGTACCTAATGCAGTAACAGATTTGCGAATTAGGGAGTTACAGGAATTGGTAAAAAACCACGAAAGAGAGTTAGATAAGGTTAGCTACGAGAATGAGAAGCTCAGGGCCGTGGTTGAAAGGTATAGAGAGCGATGGGAGAAACTAAAGGAAGGGGCCCGGGTCAGGCGCGAAAGTGGCAATGGGAGCGGAGTAAGTAGGGCTTCCAGCAGAATACCCAAGGAGATCAAAGAGACAGAAGAGGAAGAAGACTGTACGCAACGGGTACAACAGGCCCCATGAATTCAACGATTTAACCAATATTAAAGAATATATAACCATTCAAATTACCAGCCGCTTTTGCTGGCTCTCACGAAAACCTCCTACCATAAGTACATTTCGAAGCAGTTTGAATTGGCTGAATGATAATAGACGCTCAAATATAAACACGAAACGCTACGAGAAAAGAAAACTATATAAAACCGAGCAGGATTAACTCACAGGTCAGAAAAGCAGAGGGAACAGAAGCCACAACCAGAATACGGAACGCTAGATGAAAATTAAATACATCGCCTGCCAAGGCTCTATAGCTGAGTATTAAAGGTATTATGGAAACGAAAAAGAATGACGAGGGCCCGAGGGAAAAGAGAAATACATACGGAGGAAATGTGGAAAGGGAGCGGAAAGGGTTGGGGGTTTGCAGCGATGCAAAGAGCCTCGGTTTGATATATATAAACATGGCCTTGAGTAACCATATACGTCAGGGGGAAAGATGTGCAGGAAGGAAAAGCCGAGTCCTAGCATTCATTGGTATCATGATAGGCCAGGGCGGTTGAGGGGGTCATCGTGATCGTATTCGACAGGTAGCTTGCCCTTCGATCGACGGCCACTGAGTCTTAAGTTTCCACCGAAGCTCAGGAGACCTGCACCCCATGAATCACTCAGACTTCGAGTCCGCTGCTGTTCACTCCGTGGCCCGTCAGGTCCTGTTGTAGAGGTTGATCGTGATATTTGAGGTGTGCTCCCGGCTGTTTCATCGTCAACTTCGGCCACTGGGTGAGGATCCAGAGCAGGATCCAGGTAAAGTGGGATTCCAGGCCGTGGTTTGCACTTGGACTTGTGTCTGTTGCTTCCACGCATACTCTTTCGGTGTTGCTGAGGCGACCCTTCTCCTCGTCTAAGTGAATCAGCGACTACAGCGCTTAGCCCACCAGATAGTGGCGGCAGAAGGGGACCAGGTGAAAATCGAGAAAGAGAGTTTCGATGCGCTGAACCTGAGACACGTAATGATTGTCCAGATAGCCGACAGCTACTGTGCGGCTCTGCTCTGGTGGGCGATCGCCGACGAGGGCTACCCTGAGGTGTCTGCGGTCCTCCTCGAGGGGGCGAGTCCGTGGCACCAGGAGCTGAAGGAAACTGTAAGACCACATTTGTTGGAGGCGGGTATACATCTGTGTTATGCGCCGCGATAGCCTGTTCAGCCTTCAGCGGGTTGTAGTCCGGTTCCTCTCTCTCACGGGTGGGTGTAGCCCAGGGATTATCTGCGGCAGGGAGCGGAGAAGGGTCCAGAATAGAAGATGAGCTCGAAATAGGGTCCAATAGTGAGTTGGGAGATGTAGCTGTCCGGGCACGCGGAGTCTGCTGTCCGTCTTCATCCTCGGACTCGTACATCTCTTCAAGACTTTGGAGCGAGCGCGAAGGGGAAGGCTTTGTATGCGAAACTCGGCCACTGATATCGGTGCTTTGTCTGCTAGGAATTGGCGTGCCGTCTTGTTGCCAGTCAACGTAATCCCTATAGGGTTCGTCATTGTGCAAGCCAATTGCTTCTTCCTCGTCGCTCTCTGACTCTGAATCGTCTTGCTTCTGGGCCCTGCCGCTTGTGATAAGATAGACGGCAAAGAAAGTGAGCGCACAGCCGCCAACAAACTTCACAACTCGTGCTACAGTCGCAGATTCAAAGTCACGGTACAATATGGCGCTTCCCATGATGACTGATAAAGTGAAAAGCACAAACTGTGTGGGGATCACCTGTGTCGAATCAAAGTGTTGGAGTGCGCGGTTGATGTATCGAATTTGCATAATGGCACTAGACACCAGGACAGCCACAAGGACATACGTTATGGGGAACGTAATTGCGTGCCAGAGGGTATATGAGAGTAGAGAGGATACACCCTTGGTGGACAGAGCCGTATAGCCACCTGTATAACACCGCATTAGCCTTGATCAAATGAATTAAACGGGCAAATGGAACTCACCAAATAAACCAACCAGCCCGATATCGATCAGGATAGTCTTGCGCCCATACTTTCTACTTATCGACATCAAGCCAATAATCAACACGACAGTGACCCCGAGATACGTCTCGAATTCCCATCGCGTAATCATTCCCCAAATCTCACCCGGACCGATCTTATTTTCAGATGTTTTTGCGCTCAACACGACGATAACAGCTCCGGCAATCGCGATCACGACCCCTAAGAAATCCCTTTGGCGAAATCTCTCCTTGAGTAGAAACGGCGCAATCAGACAGTTCGACACAAGTGCGACGACTCCCAAGGGCGAGACAATAGAAGCTGGCGCAAAGCCGTAAGCCAGGAAATTCCCAGCCTCTCCGACCGTCATGAGTACGATCCCACACCACCAGTATGACGAGCGCAGATACGACTTCCTATCAATACCTGCCGTGCTTTTCTCGAATGAGGTGGCCGACCGATCCGACAGAAATGAACTTTGTAACGGATCGTCTCCATCCTCGTCGCCAGAGTCCACTATCGGTCTGCTTCCACTGGGTTCAGATCGGTTGTCGCGAGTTTGCGCATTGGTATGTCCGTATCCGTTGGCGTGCGCATTGCCATCTCTCCTTGCATCTTCCGGGTCATCGGTATATGCCTGAGTACTGATATTTGCCTGCCTTTCAGCATGCTCCCCGTCCACCGTCCCGTAATTGTGGCCACTCGCCCGGCCATCAGGCCTGGGTGAAGACCGCTTCCACTCCGCCCTCAGCCGCAGTATATTGCCTTCATATTCCCGTTCTATACGAACATGGGCGTAGCGCTGGATATTCAAAGCAAGCGATATAAGGACATTGCCTACAATCGCAGTGACTATGCCGATGGTAGAGGACCATTCGCTGATGGGGTCCTTTCCGTGTCCACCATCCTCTGGCGCTCCGCCGGCGAGTATGAAGCTGTCGTCAGCAGCGAGGGAGGGCTGGAGCAGCGAAGATGCGATCGCTGTGGAGGAGACCTGCTCGACGATAACGGAGAGGAGGACCGCGACAAGCATCATCACAGAAGAGAAGTCCGCCAGCTTCAGATTCGGCTGCTGTCTTGTAGATATCCCGGAGGATTATTGATGTCTGGTTCCGCACTTAATTATCGGGACTGGCTGTCGTAACTAGCCTGCGCCTCCTGTGGCTTCTTGTGGGCTGTAGACTCTACCACATGTATAGAGGGACGAGGTGAAACCGCTGTCAAGCTTTCGATGTACTCTCGGACTCTCCAAGGTGAGATCCCAGCTGTCGAACTATCGATCGCACGGAGGCGTAAATAGCTATAGTGACGGCGAGGAGGCCGCCGCGTCGAGAAACTGCCGCTTTTCAAGGGTGACTGAAACACCTGCTCATCGTCCCGGGAGTCTTTGATGCCGCGCCTTCGTTGCGACACTCGCTTGAACGCAGGAGGAGCATGGAGAGTTGCTGAAGACGAAGGACGCGGATGCTCGGATGGCTGGAATTTGAACTTGCGCGGCGACCAACCAGAACAGGCGCGAAGTCACTAATTCGGTGGAGTCGAGGATGCAAAGAAGGGATGCAAAGGAGCTTTGAAGACTTGGGAATCTAGTTCAAGCCACCGTTAATTCGCCATATCTTGTTTGGATGCACGGAGTACAGCTTGGATCTACTCTACTGTCACGGTTATCTGTCTCGTTGACAGGCCGTTATTACCTGCGGTAGGGTATATACTTTATAGGAGACTCGAGCTCTAAACACGGTAATATAAGCATGATATAAGTGCAAGGTATGTTCAATGATTAATTTTGATTCTCCCAGCCGATGCACCGGTTATGCGTCCCAAAATAATATAATATTACACCCGCTAGCCATGGCCGCCGCGCAAACTCCAATTCAAGCTGGCAAATGTTACAAATGACGTTAATAATCCCGTTTTATCCTCTTCTTCTCTGGGCCTGGCCGTTTGGTTTCCTCCTCATCGTCGCTTAGTTCGGCATAGATGGTTTTGGGCTGGGTGTGCTTCCACGCATGCGTAAATATAGGCTCCTTCTCTGCGGCCTCGGCGTACTTGAGCAGTGCCTCGCGAGGATCCTCGTCTCTCATCGAGCTAAGAGGGATACTATCCTTGATATGCTTCTCGTCGGGCTGGCTTTTGGCGAATGGCGTCTTAGCAGGTATGTGAGGACGGCGAGGGTCTCTTGACCGGCCTGACGCCGTGAGTCCAACTGTAGGATGTCTGCCTGCAAACGTAGTGGCTTGTGAGATCCCGCTGCCGCTGACGATGCCCTCGCCGGAGAAGCCGAGAGAGATGTCCGTGGTGAAATTTGGATCATCATCGACGTGTCGCCTTTTCGGTGCCTTGGACATTATCACCATTGCCCCGTTGTGTGAGAGTGATGGGTTATAGAGTAAGTGTGTCTCCGCGTTCGCAGACCCGGTAAAGATCTGGTTGAGCTTTTCATGCCAGTAAACGGAGATAAGAGGCGAGTCAGGCGTGACTAGAGTAACTAGTTCGGGCTTGAGAGTGGCTGGGTTCAGGATGTGTAGATGGCCAGATTCCGAGCCTGTGACGATGTTTGCTCCGCTGGGAGAGAATTGAATGTTCGAGGTAGGGTAGAATTTCGAGCCGGATATATGCGAGACAGTTGTTATCGGTTGCTTGAACTTCCTGGTATCCCATAGTTTGATCATGTCGTCCCCTCCTTTTGTAACTACCAGTCTCCCATCTGGACTGATATCCAGCCCGCTGGTCCAAGTACCCTTCGTATGCGCATCTTTAACCTCAGCGCTCGGTCGTGTATATGGTCCATCGCCTCCCCACATAACCAGACTCCCATCAAGGGCGCTGGCCACCAGTGCATTTGGTCCACCTTGGGCAGGCAACGCCCAAGCAACAGCAGTCATTCTACTCCTCCCAGCAGATCCTGCCGCTCTTGATCTGTGTACAATGACCTCCTTCTGGCTTCTGGGATCATTGACGTCCCAGATACGCAACGTGCTATCCGTCCCTGCTGTGACACACAGATTATAATTCGATGGACTCCAGGTCCCGCAGGTAATTTCGGAGATATGGCCCTTTGTATTTTTCATGTCGCGTAGGTACATGTCTCCTTTCACAAACTCGGCCAGCGTGTCGCCATCACGGCTGAGGATCTTCGCTTGGGGGGTGGCCGATATAACGAGCACTTGGCTGGGAGAGATAGGGTTGAACTTCGCGACATGGACGGGGTGTATTTCGGATGAAGAGGTTGCGTTCTTCCTGGCGGTTGGCTCCACAGATTTAAATGCACGCAGTGTAGATGGCGTCAAGGATGCAAAATCATGGAATTTGACAGTACAATCTGTCGAACCAGTTATCATGCGCGATCCGGCTGTGTCGAGTGTTATCGTAGTCACGGCTCGTTCATGCGTTTTAAAGACAAGATTATGCGAAACTGGAAATTCGTCGGCGTCTGACTCGTCCGAATCCGAATCCGAGTCTGAATCCGATCCAGCTGCATCTTCGTCTCCAGCCGCTTGCTGTGATGGGCTAGCTGGTTTCTCTATTGCCTTCGTGCCGGGTGTCTCGACCGCCGCCGTCCGCTTCGTTCGATCAATCTGAGTTTTAACGTCTGCATCCTTCGTCTGTTTCCCGAAGCCGCTTGGGAAGAATTTCTTAAACTCGTCCTCGTCGAATCCGTCCATGGTGAAGTTGATATTATGAAGATGAAAAGGACAGCTGAAGCTGGTTTCCTTCGTCGTAGCAAAGGGCAGGATGAAAGTTGCCTATTTTGTATAGTTTGCTTAGTTTGGCGTATACCCGATCACGTGGATGGAAGCTTGGAAATAATAAAGTTAGACGCAGCTTGGCGGGATAAGCGCTGGAAGACCCACCATAACCGCGGTACCTTTTACCAGGCACATAGAGATCAGTAGCTTCACTTTCAAATGGAATATATTACTTTTGGGCTTCTATGGGCATTTCGGGCATTTCTTAGCTTTGTTTTCGATGATAATGAAACGTATATAAACATAGGTATAAGCAAGTAGAATGTTTACCTTGGAAATGCCCTCTACACTATCACAGACACAGAAAAGGAAGAGTCCATTAGCTTGATTAGGAGCATGGTCAAGTAGAGGCCAAAGAGCGTATACAGCGCACAAACACTTTGGCAACCCTTGGCATCATACTAACTACGGACGGACTGGATTTAAACCAAAGCCACCCTACTATAAATGTATGTGGATAGCTGGTATAGATTAGAACACTTCAGCATTACATTATTTATAATTTTGTGAGGTAGCAAGAAGATAAACATCTATTATCAAACTTAGGCTTGCAAAAGTGGCTCGCTTGAATAGATATTATACACCTAGATATATGTAGCCAAGGGCAGAACTACAAGTACAATCCCTCTGGCTCGTTCTCCGTCTTGGTCTTCATGACGCGCTCCCTGGCTGCTCGGAAATCGGCCATTTGCACACGCATACGGCGCTCGCGAAGGGCCATGAGACCAGCCTCGGAGCAGATGGCTTTAATATCTGCACCGGAGAGCTCGTCCTTTTGGCTGATGAATTCGTCAAGCTCGACATCCTCGCTTAGAGACATCTTGGAGGTGTGCAGGGTGAAGATCTTTTTCTTGGTGTTTTCTATATAGATGTTAGTGGACATGTTGAGTTGGATTGTAGGTGGCAGTGAGAGTGTAACTTACGGTCAGGGTTCTCGAAGAGAATCTTCCTGTCAATACGACCAGGACGAATGAGAGCAGGGTCCAGGGATTCGATCTTATTCGTAGCCATGATGACTTTAACATCGCCTCTGTCGTCGAAACCGTCGAGCTGGTTGAGAAGTTCCAGCATAGTACGCTGAATCTCCCTCTCACCACCGGAAGTAGACTCGTAACGCTTTGTTCCGATGGCGTCAATCTCATCGATGAAGACGATAGATGGGGCATGCTCCGCAGCAACCTGGAAGATCTGGCGGACGAGACGGGGTCCGTCACCGAGATATTTCTGGATAAGCTCACTGCCCACAATGCGCAAGAAAGTAGCACTCGTTTGATTGGCAACAGCCTTGGCGAGAAGAGTCTTTCCTGTGCCCGGTCCACCGTAGAGAATGACACCCTTCGGCGGCTTGATACCCATCTCCTCGTACAGCTCCGGATGTAACAAAGGAAGTTCGACAGCCTCTCTCACTTCTTGAATCTGCGACTCCAGACCACCGATGTCTGCGTAGGACTCCGTCGGGGCCTTCTCCAGCTTCATGACCGATACCAGTGGATCAGCATCATCTGTCAGAACACCTACGACGGATACCGACTTGTGATGAAGCAGAATACTAGCTCCCGGCTCCAGCAGGTCTTTATCGACGAACGACATGATAGACACGTAGTACTCGGGCCCTGTGGCACTGGAGACGATCGCGTGGTCATCATCGATCATCTCCTCCAGGTTTCCGACTCCCATGGGGCTGCCTCTCATATCGTCTACTCTGCTCCTCTCGTCTGCATTTCTGTCCATGGCGTTGGTGTTATCATCCGTAGCCGCGGGCGCTGAGGTCGCCTGGGCTTTAGACTTGCGAATCCGTTCTTGATTCTCTACGTATTCTTCCTCTAGGAGCAGGTGGTCATGCACGCGCTGCATACGCAGGTATTTTAACTTGCATCTGGATGTCGGATAGATGGACGGTAGTTTGGCGGAGGCATTTGGCCCTTGTTGCTTGCGCTTCTTGCGGCCGATGCGGGTGGTTGGCTGTGGTGGTGGTTCGTATTTCGGTTTCTCTTTCTGCAAGCGGAGATGAGCAACGTGCCATAGAACAGTAAACGGGAATGATGTAAGATACCTTCTTGTCCTTGTCATCCTTGCCCTCGCCCCCTTGGCCACCCATGCTGGATGGTTGATTACCCTGTTGAGCAGCGTTAGCATTGTCCTTGAGACGAGGCCAGGCAACGTACCATCGTGGCAAGCTCAGTCCAGCAGGCTCAACGTATCGTATGGTGAGCAGCCGAGTAACTTGTAGACACACAAAGTAGTAACCGACGATGTCGTCTCTTCAGTTAGCGAGTGCGAGAGAGTGTGTATGTGATGGTGATGAAGCTCTTGTTGCTTCGTCGTTGCTTCTTTTGGCCCAGCTCGAGCTCCGCTTAGTCATTATACTTAGTCATGTCTTAGTCATATGCTATCTTCACGTGATCCTTACTAAGCAGATCTCGCCCAAAGAAGCAAAAGAAGAAGAAAGTCGACGACGACGACGACGACGACGAAGAAAGACAACGATGAAGAGATGAGAAGAAGATCAGGAAGATCTCGAAGATAGAGTGATATAGTCACATTCATCCAGGTACGCTTGTCGTGGCAGTCCCCGGCTCCCCTTCTCGACAGTTAACAAGGTGCACTCCTCCATCCCGCGACCTCAACGTCCACGGTAACTAACTAACCAACTTAACTAGTCCACCAAACTAACCAGCAAGGCCGAGTCCGCAGCCAAAGACAGCCTGCCACAGCTTCACTTTTCTACTCTCCCGCCGTTTCGTCCCAACAGAGCCTTGTCGACGGCCAATCATACCGGCGTTTCTCTCCGCTTCCACGGCTTCCACTGCTTCCACCGCTTCTGCTTCACTCTGCTTCGTTTTGCGCCTGGCCTGCTGCCTATCGCCCATCAGTCGCATCCCTGTCCCTCGTCCGACATCGTAGCCTGGCAGATCCAGCTTTTATCACTAGCCCTCGGCCCTGTCCTCTCGTTCTCGTCATTTGCACTTCAGTCGAGTCCCTGTAACATTGGCTGTGTCGAGGCTGTTCCCGACGCCTTATCCAGACCCCGGCCTTTGTATACTTAACGGAGTATATACATATATCGGTGGAACCCCCGTTTCTTGACTCACCATCACACACGAGCTGTCACCAAAGCAAGTCACCAAAGCAAGTCACCAAGCCGCCCCTGGCTCTCTCTCTAGCCGCGCATCCCAGGCCAAAGATATAAAGGTACCCAGGCCTCTCTCTCTCCGCCATTTCTATCTAGTTGCACCATGGTATAGTACTGACACATCTAGCCTTTCCCCTCACGCCGTGACCAACTGTCCTCGGCGACATCTATAGAACAGGCACCCAACTTAGAACTCAACATCTGGTATCCGATCATGGCTTCAAATCGTACCCGCCGGATCACCAAAGAGATCGCCGATATCCACGCCGACCGTCATTCGCAAATCTCGGTAGACCCGGTTTCGGATGATGATCTTACACGCCTAAAGGGTACTTTCCCAGGGCCACCAGGCACCGCCTACGAGGGAGGGACATTCAAAATCGACATCTCCATCCCCACCGAGTACCCCTTCCGCCCCCCGGTCATGAAGTTCGACACCAAGGTCTGGCACCCAAATATCAGCAGTCAGACAGTATGTAGCCTCCTCGCGAAGATGACCTCCATCCAGGCAGCCCTCCTCTAACGAAACTTGATACTAGGGTGCCATCTGTCTGGACACACTCTCATCGGCCTGGTCGCCTGTCCTAACCATAAAATCCGCTCTCCTCTCCCTCCAGTCTCTCCTCAGCACGCCGGAGCCTCGAGACCCTCAGGATGCAGAGGTTGCCCGTATGCTTCTCACAGATCCAAAGGAGTACGAACGGGTCGCGAGAGAGTGGTCGGTGATGCACGCTGGAGCCCCGCGCAAACACACCGGTGAGGGGAGCGGCGGTGCCACCGATGAGTCCATTAGGAGAAAGGCTCTCAAAGCCAAGGAGGAGGAGCAGCGTGAGAAGCTAGCAGCGTAAGTCGTATCCACGTCCTGCGCAAGTTATTCGCAGCTAATGTAGATAGGTACGAGGGATACAACAAGAATCTCATTGACCGTTTCTGCAGCATGGGCTTCGATGTTCCTCGCGTTGTCTCTGCCTTTAAGTACGTCGGCATCGACCCCATGGACGGCGATGACTACGAACTCGAGGAGGCATACATGGGTGACATCACAGCCCGTCTCCTCGGCGAACCATGACCTAATGTAAATCTCATTTTGGACAACATCTTTCAACTCTACTCATTTACCACATCATATCATTTAGCATCCCTACCTAAACTCCAGCATCATTTTCAATCCCTGTCTTATTTCATGTTATGTCATTGCGTTGCGTTCTTTTATTATCTGTCACAACAAATTTTTTTTTAAACCCCATTCCCCACGTTGATTTATCTGCCAATCGAGTATTTGGAACTACCCACAGGACGGCGAGGGGACAGGGAGAGGGAGGAGGAGAGAGCATATGGTGGTGTCTGGCGACGGATCAACAACACTGGCGTTATAGCGCGGAGCAAGGGCTTGGTGTGGAATCTAAATAGGCGCTTCAATACCATTCACATTCAACAATACTCCAATCTCCTACGATGCAGTCATCAGTCTGTTGATTCCATGTTGAAGATACGGAGTATATATGCTGAGTACTAGTTCGTGGACCATAGGAGAGCTTGAGCCACCAAAGTCATTTTGTTAGCTTCCACACCATTAAAAAGCTTCAAGCTCGCATACTTGTTCACCAGAATCTCTCTACAACTTATCCAAGCCATAGAACCATTTAAAGATTTAATGTCATTGCAGCTCTGTTTCTGTCTTTCCATGTGCTTCGTCTAATAATTTCCAGCCCAAACGTTATAATACAGCTTGGCCTTGCAGCTGAGCTTACCGGCCCATCATGCTAGAGGACGACATATACCGGACATCGACGCAATACCGCCTCTGGTCTTTCACGGAAGACTCCCTCCGGACAATCAGAGCGAATACAAATGCTCTTGCAAGCGAGCGTGTCCGCGCCGCCGTCCGTCGTCTCAGAGAAGCTCGACAACAGTCGACAGCAACTCCCACCCCGGAGCAAGGCACGCCAAATCCCAACCCCAGCGATGGCGAGAGAGCTGCTACTCCCGCTCAGACGGCGACTGGAGGCGAGCAGGAGGTAGAATGCCTCACTCCGGATGAGGAGTTTGAGCTGGTGCAATACTATTGCGAGAAAACCATGGAGCTAGGCGATGAATATAAACCGCCACTGCCCACGACAGTAAGGGTACGTATAACCTACGATATGGCCGTTTCTGACGCCATCCATTGTACTAAATGCATTAAATAGGCGACGGCGATTCAGTACCTTCGACGATTCTACCTTACAAATTCCCCAATGACCTACCACCCGAAATCCATTATGCCGTGCGCCTTGTTCCTTGCTACCAAAACGGATAACTTCTATATGTCACTTCGCTCTTTTACAGAACACATACCCAAGATGTCGATGGAAGATATTATTGCTCCCGAGTTTCTACTCACCCAGGGTCTGCGGTTTACTTTTGACGTGCGGCATCCGTTCCGTGGACTAGAGGGAGGGATGATGGAGTTGAATGCGATTGCGAAGGGAGAAGCTACACCAGGGCCTCATCATCCTGGACTCACTGTACCTGGGTTGCAGAAAGCAATACAATCACTTGCGCCGCCGCCTCCTTCGATAGCAGGGCCAGTGCCGGCCACACCACTCTCCACGCGATTAGCAAAGGTACATCATAATACGCGAGAGATTCTCAAACATTCTGCGCAAATGACAGACGTCTACTTCCTCTACACCCCCTCTCAAATATGGCTTTCTGCATTACTCATTGCCGACAAACCCCTTGCCGAATTCTATCTGGAGACCAAACTAGGACCGCCAGCTCCCTCATCAACCCCTGCTTCAACTTCACCTTCAGCCATGCTATCCGCCCTACACGCTAAATTAATTCCTATCCTTCAGTCCTGCTGCGCACTCCTAGCCCCCTATATTCAAAATAACGGATCCTCAGGCACCGCCCCTGGCCCAAGGCTACGGCAAATTGGCAGAAAGCTATATCACTGCCAGAACCCTGAGAGAAAAGACCTTACTGCTTTGAACAAGTTGCAGAAACAAGGCGGTTCAGCAATACAAACTGGCACGAATACTCCGTCAGAATCCGCTGCGGCTCCTGCCATTCCTAGCATCGGCGGTGGTGGCGGCGACGAGCAAGGTTTAGAGAATGATATAGACCGGGCGGCTAAGAAGCGCAAATTAGAGCGTGAGAAGTTCCAGGGAGAGAAGGATTCTCTATTTGGCGGGGAATTAAGGAAGTGATATATAAGTGATGACATGAATAATGATAGTCATAACAGTCAATTGAAACAAGCATAGCATTGGATAAGGGTTCATGGATTATTACTTGAATTTATTGATAAAAATGTGCACTGAGATGCAATATATGGAGCTCACATACAGCTTTATCATTAGCCGGAGAAGCTGGTATATTTGACAAGCATTCTAAAAGATAAAAACAACCAGTGGAGTATAAAAGTAATCTTTCATTTTCATTGCCCACCCTTCTCTATTACCTTGCCCTGTTATGAAGGCGAAATATAGTGGGACCCCCCTTTTTTAAACAAAATTCAAGTAAACCATAAAGAAATGTCAGTTTAATCTAAGCAAGTCCAGTCCCCATGTGCGCAGGTAAATTTGGTTGCTTGACATAGGGTAACGGCCCATGTACATAAGAATCAAAGAGGATCAGGGGGTTAAAAAGGAGGTGCGGCCATCCATACCCACGAGACCGCAAAGGAAAATGATAAAAGCAAAAATTTTCAGAAAGGCCATGATGAATGATTGCTTTTGGCAAAACATTAGAAAGTGAATTACACAAGGAAAGAGATTTCCAGTTCGTTATTAGACTTGGCCGGCGTTAATCATCTTCTTTCGGAGGTAGTTTTTGTATTCACCGATTGAACCGTCCCATCGGCGGACGGTCTTGTTCTCACACACCATGATATCTTTGGCAATTTTGTCGAGAAGTCTAGATGAGGCTTGGTAAGTATTTGGAGTTTAAAATTTTGCAGGAATAGGGGAGGAACCGGGTACGTACCTGAAGTCGTGAGAAACGACAACAACACCACCGCTGAACGCATTAATGGCTTCAGCCAAACTGTCAATAGTTGGAATATCCAAACCGTTGGTAGGTTCGTCGAGCAACAACATGTTGGGGCTCTCAATGGCCAAAATGGCAAAGACGATTCGACTCTTCTGACCCTCGGACAGGGTTCCCATGAGGGCGGTTTGGGATTCACCAGAAAGACCATATCGGCCGAGCTGCTGGCGCCAGTACTGGTAATCCTGACTCTTGTGTGGGTATTTATCACGCACGAAGTCGAGGGCGCATTTGGTCAGATCTAGCTGTTCGGCAGAGTGCTGACTGTACATTCCGAGTTTCAAATGGGTATGGCGAGTGACAATGCCAGATGTGGGGGAGAGCTTGCCGGTCATGATGCGAAGGAGGGTAGATTTTCCAACACCGTTGGGGCCGACGAGCGCAGTTCGGGAGTCCATGTCAACACCAAAGTCGAGGTTCTCATATAAATTGTCCTTTTTATCGCCAGAATAAGAGAATGTGACATCATCGAAAGAGAGAACTGGTGGAGGTAGCTTCTCAACGTCGGCAAATCTGAAGGTGAAGATCTTGTCTGGAACGACAGGTTGAATGAAACCGTCGGCCTCCATCTTGTCGAGAATCTTTTGTCGTGATTTAGCTTGTCGTACCAAGTTGGCATATGTACCAGCAGAGGCAATAAATTTCTTGATATGAACGATTTCTTCCTGTTGCTTGTGGTAAGCCTTCATCTGGTTGGTTTCCTGTTCGGCTCGCGTTTTCGAGTAAGAATCGTAGTTTCCACCATAGTACATGAGCTTCTTCATTCGCATGTCGATCATGGTCGTGCAGACACCGTTCAAGAAGTCCATACTGTGAGAGACCAGGATGAGGGTTCGATCCCACTTCTTCATGTACTCTTCCAGCCACACACACGCCTCAAGATCAAGATGCGCAGTGGGGTCGTCGAGAAGGAGCAACGATGGCTTGACGAACAAAGCTTTAGCCAACGCAACACGCATTCTCCAACCACCGGACATGTCCTTGGTTTTTTTCTTGATAGTCGTTTTGTTGAAGCCCAGACCAGTGAGAATGAGAGATGCTCGGGTGTGGAAAGTGGATGGATCCATGCCGTCCATTCGCTATTAAAGACGTCAGTTCCTGCACTCATCTAACTATAGTACTAGCAGGAGGGGGGAAACGGAAAAGCTACTTACCTCGTAGATGTCCTCTAGAACGGGGGTCTCTGGTCCTTCCTTTTCCAAGACGTCTTCAGCAAGCTTCTCTAGTCGGTCCAGTTCATTCTGTGCCTCTGTAACAACCCAGTCCAAGGCTCCAAGATCACTTGGGGGAGCACCCTCATTGAGTAGGTAGATATCAATGTGCTCTGGGATCGGGAATTCTCTCTTATCAATGGCCTTTAGGAGAGTAGATTTACCGCAACCGTTCTCACCGAGGAGACCATATCGTTTGCCGTAAGTGAGCTCGAGTGTAGAATCAGTGATGAGGACCCTTCCGTGGAACACAAGAGAAATGGACGACATCTTAACATCTCGACTAGATGGAATAGACGCCAAAACACCAGTAGTAACTCGATCGGAGAGACCGAACTTGTCCGTCTGTTCTGTTAACTTCTTGACGTCGGACATCTTGGCAGCGCTGGTGCCGCCTTGCTCCTCGATCTCATCCTCCTCATCGCCGTTGACAGACGAGGCCGTCGAGACATTTTTGGAGTTGGCCTTGGATGACAGTCTGGAGGTTACAGTCTTCTTCTTCTCTCCACCCTCAGCGGCACGTTTTGCCTGGCGGGCTGCCTTGGATGCAGACACCATCTTCTAAGTAATGTTTCTAACCGGATATTTTAATCCTGCGAATTCAATATTAGCAATGATTGGATATATGACGTTCGGGTGTTTATCCGTCCTCAACGTAGAGACAAGAGAGAGGAAGAAAAAAATTCAATATCAAGTCAAGGGGAAGAACATACCGAAGTGGGGGGTTAGCCTTATCGATAGGAAGCCCTAAGAGTGGGATGAAATGCTGTCTATCAAAACAACGAAAAGGCAAGGCGTCACGGAAGAGGTCTCGGGGGGTCCAGGCAGTCCTATCACACGCTATATATCTGAAGAAACGGGCCTCCTGACGGGTTATGCTGGAGAACCAGAGGGAGCGAGTCGTGGATGGGTTTGTTACTGGGTGGAAATCGCGGGCTGTGGTGAAAAATCAAAGAGTGGCTTAGGTAAGATATCGCAGTGTTCCCATTGGTGGAAAGTCATGTGATTATGACATCAGAGATAAACAAAAAAAGCAACGAAGAAAGAAGAGAAGAGAGAAGAGAGAAAGAAAAGAGAAGAAAGAGACATATTCTATTTAATCTAGTCAAGGTTTATGTGCAGTGTCTAATGCACTCTTCTCATCTAAGTTTATTATACGTTTACTCAGCCGTTCAAGGAAGTCTTGTTCTTCGGGCGTGAGCGTGATGCCGCCGGACACCTCGACCGCCCCCGGCCTGATGCTGATATGGCCCTCCAGCTGCTTTACGCCTCTGCCAGCAGCGGCGGGCTGGTGAACTTCTCCGAGATCCTCCGACGACGAAGACTCCAAGTCTGCTTCCTTCTTGGCCTGAGCGAGGTCCGCGGGCGTCCACCAATGTAGCGGGAACCGCCGTTCGATATTATTAAAGATCAGAGCCGTGACAAGGACCAGGACACAGGAGAGCAGGATGAGCGGAAGGAGAAGCCATCCCAGGTGTCTCGTTGTCGGATCCACAACTGCGAGTAACGCAGTGGCGCCTGCGGGAGGGTGGACGGTTTTCGTGAGGCTCATCACCAGAGTGGCAACAGCACAAGACAGCGGTCCAGCAATCCAGTAGAGTTCTTCAGGGTGAGGATGGAGGCCGAACAGTTTCGTGATGCTGACCCCGACCACGGCTGCGAGGAAGTGGCCAACGATGGCATTCCTGGGTTGTGCAAGGGGTGATTCTATAGCGCAATATGCAAGCACCGCTGCGGCTCCCTACATGTCAATCCTGTCAGTTAAAAGAACATAGACGAAGAAGAACACCATCTAGAGGGACGGGAATACTCACGTAACTGCCAACTACAAGAGGCGCCCCATGCTCCCGAAAAAAAGGAATATGAGTAGTGGCTGCGGTAAGAGTTAACAGGCCGCAGAACACGCCGATAAACGTCCAGAATATAACCACCAGGGTCCCTAATTTCTCAGTCGGCTCAAGCCTGTGGCCGAGGAAATGGGCCACAGGATACGGATAGCGGTGCCATCGTGGATGTGGGATGTACCGGTTGAGGAAGATATCGATATCGATCTCTACCCTCCTGAGGTCGTGGAGCTTCATTGGAGTGGGGGTTTTGCGCAGAACAACGGTCAACTCTTGCAATAGGAAAAGGTCATAAAGGAATCTATGCAATCTCGATCAAAAGAAGAGAAAGATGAGAGAAATATGAGAGTCTATAAGCCATCGGAGAAACAGCCAAGTTCTTCTTTAAGTTTTGATACTGGAGAACCTGCGGAAGAGAGCGGGTGAACGGGGCGCCCAATTCCTCGTCCCTCGACTCAGGAAATGCCACCGAAGCTGTAAGAGAAGGAGACAGAGAGATAGGAGCGCCGGCAGGGGGCAGAAACCTCGAGAACGAACGCTGGTTCATGATCTTCCAGGACGAAAAAAAAAGAACCATTTTGCATCAAACACTCTGCGCTTGCTGACTTTCTCCGCGGAGTTTCGGTAAATCCAGAAATGTCGTATTGCCGTTACTGCGGATGTACTGGTACCGCTGGCCCACCATTTTAGGTACTTCTGGTCTCCACAACTCTAAGTGCAAGCATGAAGTACCGCTGATGTCGAAAAGCTTGACTTGCGTAACTTTGCTGGGTACGGGGTGGTAACTTCAATACCGTGGCCGCATATGGAGCCTCCCGGCGTGGCATGGGGGCATGGGGAAGCGCATAACTTCTTACCACATATCAGGATCAGTCAGGATCAGGATAAAGGTCTATCAAACGGATACTCACACTCAGGGCCCTGATCCCTACCCGCCTGGCTGACGACAGCGAACGATGGGCGCATCCCTGTATGCACAACCCTACCGGTGGCCATATACTACCCAGCCGATCCTTCTCATGCCAGATAAACATATCTCTAAAGACTATCCCAGCATGGGTTCTAGAAGACTGCTCGACATTATATGTCTGAGCAAGTGGCAGTGGTTAGGGATGTGTACGGAGCACCGTGGTGACCGCTTTTTTGATCCTCCGTGAAACAGGACTGTGGCACGATCTATCCTGACCAATTCCTGAAGGATTAGCTGGATTCTGTTAATGCAGAGTATACCGAGCGGCATCTACTATCTCGGAGCCTACATGATCCCTACAGTATGGTATATATATGTGCGGCCAATGGTGTGGCTATAATGCTTGTTCACAATTAAGCTCAGGCGATCATGCAATTCAAAACGGGAGAATACTAAGAATATCATTAGTCTATACAAACCCCAAAAGTGGCCAGCCAGGCTTTCTTTGCACTCTCATTTTTCCGACGGGCTATCCATCCGAACGTACACGTCTGTCGTACACATGATCCCCGGCGGTCCACCTCGTTGCAACCCGCCACCGTTTCGGAGAGAGTTGCTGCTCTGAGTGTCCTTTAGGAATGGAGGTAGATGATAAGACACTGGCGATACCCTGGAGGCGCTAACTTCAACTTTATATTGACAGGCTGATGCCGATGGCAGTGCCGGCCTACTGCAGCCCATCCTTGCACCGCGTTGTGGCCCCCTGTTCTTACTTTCATGGCTATCAAAAGGAGTGAGCTGATCGTCGTCGAACGTCAGTCGGTTCGGTGCATATTTGGATATCGAGATCATCCGTATCCTCGAAGTGTCGCCAGGGCTGGTGGATGAAGTGTCGTAGTCGCAATTGGGATCGGCACGGCCGCCATACCGACTAATTAGGGTTGCGTCACTGTAGCTATCAAACATGGGGCGCAATGTGTGTATAGAACATGCTATAACGGCAATATGAAGCTCGAGCCTAGGGCCATTTGACAAGAAAAAAGGTTTAGCAGTGAGGTTATACGAACAGTGGCAAGCTAAGAATTCCGTTCGTGAGACGAGAGGGAGCTAAACGTACGTGCTTAGAAGGAAGAAGATATCGCCTCTAGATGGAATAAGTTAGAGATCGAGAGCTTAAATAAAGGTTTGTCTATCCTGTCAAAGTTCCAACATACCGATAACCGCTGTCCAGATACACGCTAAATATGGAATGAACCATTTTAACAATGGCCACACAGCATCCCCTGCATCGTCCTTGTCAGCTCTATTTCTACCTTCTCGCTTCACGGCGTGAGGTAGCATACAGATATCCCAGGCCCACGACACCCGCAAGGACTACCCCCGCACGTCGCGCAAGTCGCCTTGGAGGGAAGTAGTAAAGCGGCAGATTTGTCAGAGTCAAGTCGGTGAGGACATCCTGCCCTGTTTGTTGGGTTGATCCTTTCGTCAGCGAAATAGTTAAAGAATGCATGGGTTTGAAGCCGAGTACGAACCACACATGACTACACTGATAATGGACATGGCCTTGCTCCCGATACACGTTTCATCGGACATCGAATATGTCCAGTATGCTTTGATGGGCCAGCATCGAAACACGAACGGTCCTAGCCGTGATATCGTTGTAACTGCTATGAGTCCTTTTGCACAAGCCTTCTTTAGTGACTGGGTAAAAAACAATCGTTAGAGCGAAAGAGAGGAGGACCAGAATCAACTTACCCATTAGACCCTTGACTAAATATAAACTCCCCTTTGACTGAGCGATGCGAAGGAACTGGAATCCGATTGCTAGTTTCACCATCGATTTGGCTATTACCAGGAATATCCAATGGATATATGACACCAAGGCTAGTCTTTCAAGATCCGCAGTCGACATATCATCCGTATATTCACCTAGACCATGTTTCGACTCGTCTATTAAAAATGCTATGCACACGAATGAGAATACCTGAAAGAAAAAGGCACCATCAGCCATCCGCAACAGACCTAACGAAACCGAGGATGATAGAACAGCCACGCTATACAGCAATGGGAGTAGGATCTATAGAATAAAATGCGATGGCCGCAGTTCACCTACAGTCGCGGCAACTATAAGCCCATCATCCGGCCTACAGCGTCTTAATAGATAGAATCGTGCATAGCATCGTAGTAAGACGACGAGAAATGAAATTCCCGAAAAAACTCCAGCGGTCCCAAGGATCATAGCCGCCTTGCTGCCATGGCTGAAGGTCCTCTCGAACGCAAAGTCCCGCTGGTTACGAGGACTATGAAGACGAGGTAACAGACCCTGTGTAGAGACCGGTAATCCCATAATGTCCAGCCATGAACCAAAGGCTGAGTTCGGTTGAATGTATGTTTATTTCCACCCCATGGCAGGGAGGGGAAAGGAGAAGATAAGGGATATATAAATCGAGGCTGAGGGCGACAGTCCTATGAATGATGCATAAGAAACGTGTTCCGGGCGTGTCTGACAGCATAAAGGTGAACGAATAATGGTGACGGACGATGCAGAACATAGTTCTTCAAGCGAGAAAGGCTCCCCTCGACCATGGCCTTTCATCTCTATTTCAATTTGTTCTTCGCCAGGTCTTTTTCTCTGGTTCTTTTTCTTGGAGAGGGACAATATTTTCTTTTTCCTCGTCACAAGGGGCCCGTGACACCCACTACCTCCATACATTCCGAATACATGGAGTTGGAAGGAGGAAGACGCGGAAAGGAGAGAGAGATATAAGATGAAGGAGGGCCAGGAGATCAGGATTCTTTGTTCAAGACAAGATCTGCGTCTGAATGCTACCCCGTACAAATGATGGCGATATCCGTGTAGGGAGTGTAGTTGCATAGTTCAAACCGACGGCTGTGTGGTTCCGCAATGGTCAAAGAAGTGGTAGGGAGACACCCCCGTCTAGGAGGAAAAAAGCCACCACCAACGGAACTGTAGCACAAGGAAGCACAGGTGGCCGCCCGCCATGGAAACTGGCCAAAGACCATGCTCTTGATCGCCGGTGCAGCGATATTCGAGGGTGGGGAGAGAAGAGTGGGAGAGAAAAAAAGAAAGGAAAAATATTATATTCCCGGTGTGCCCGGCTGGGGACTTGATACACCAGAAAAATGATAGAGCGAGCACTGGGTATGTGGTTCCAGCTATGTACGTTCCAGCTCATGGAGTACATACGTAACGATGCAGGAGAAGTTTTAATCCGTACTGGGCGAAAGCGTAGAGTTCTCCTGGCTCCTCCCGGACGAAAAGTTCAGGACGGAATAAGGTATGGAATGGCTGCAACAAGCGAAACTGCGCGCTGCTTGACTGGTAGATGCGTGTTCTAGATGTCGGTAGTTGGCTGCACTTCAGCCTGGAGGTAGCTTTGTACTCATAGTGTTGGTACGGAGTACCCGGTACAAATGGGGGTATATGGAGGAGTCGCTGTTGGAATCCACAGATCACATTTCATGTTTGCTTTTTCTGGACCTTATTATCTTGCTTGAACGGCGTGATAAGCATCTAGACGGTTGAGTTGTTTCTTGTATTCCAGTTCTTCCATCGTCCGTGGAGATTCTGCTCCGTGGAACAGTGTCCCCGATGCACTTAGCAATTAGCACTTCGTCAACGGACCAGAGAATCGCCCTTCTATAACAGTTAGCAAGGGAAACGAAAGGATAAGCTTAAAGGTTAGGAATTAAACTCTTTAGCAAAACAAATAGGGCGCTAAAAAGAGCTTCCGGAAAGGCGTTCGACGGTGAGGTTTCAAGCCTGAACTAGGATCATGGTTCTTCCTCGAGGCACAGGGGTAGTTGGTTAGGGTTCAGGATAGAAATAACAATAACACAGGCCAAAGAATCAGATAATCATGTCAACACCATGCAAAAGACGAACGTTGTATCCAGTCTTCTCCTTGATGCTGTTGGCGATGACACGCAACGGCGTCATGTACGTTGGCTCCCGGTTTGCCCAACCGCCATCGATTCCGCCCCAGACTACACCAACGGCATCATCAATCCAGAATCCAAGAACCAATGTGCCCGAGTCGCCTCCTTGACTGAAATACCCGTTCGCCCCGCCAACAATGGCCCATTATTCTGTCCTCATTTCTTGAGGTGCATCTCTATAGCACACAAAGCTACGGAGCCCATTGATATACCCCCTGGCCGGCCATACCATCCGCCCAGCCAGATAGACACTGTCGGCGCTAGAGGGTGAAGACCAGTATTTAATACTTTCATCATTAGGGCCATAGTATGGTACAACTGCGTTCGTTCCAACTCGTCCTGGATATAAGTCGATCAGGGCCCAGTCGAGCCGGCACTGTCCAAGGCTAGATATTGTTATGCCAGAGGAAACAAGAATTGTGCCAACATCTCTGCCAGATCGCTCTACCTCTTTCACCATTTGTACTAATTCACCGTCACCTGGTGAGTGCTGGTAAGTATCCAGCGTATATCCCAATTTTGATAATTCCGATAATGCCATCTCGTGGTCATGCAAACTTGGATACTGGATCGTGATATGTTTCCCAGTCTCGTTGTCAATTGCCTCTGGTTAAATGTCAGTATTTAGCAACCCCTTTTTTATGAGAGCTTAGATGCTGCCAACCCAAATCGCTAGCGGATGGTACTTTACCTTCGCCTGGCCGGACAGAGTGGTGACAAGTTAAACCGCATATCTTGACTGGCCGGCCTTCCTGTGAAAGCTCAAGGTACGCACCGAATGCTTCAGTCGCGCATTCGTTACCACCAACACCGATACATCCATTCATACGTGGTTCCGGAGCATACGATTGGAGATGAGGATAGTTATCGGGGATAGGACTCGACGTGTACGGATCTCTGAAGGTCTCCCCCGTACCGCTCCAAATCTGCCCTTCGGCAAGCTCGACAAACAGGCCACCTAATACCACATATTAGCCATGCAAACTCATATGATAGAGGAGGACATGCCTGAATATTTATGTATTTTACGGAGCAGCTCCTTGATCCCATGAGTTATGTATGGGAACCCCTGCACGGTAATAACTACCGTTGTGTCATCCCTATCTTCACTCTTCTGACGCGTCTGTCGCCGCTGAAAGCACTCAACAGCAACCCATGGGATTTTTGCCGCATCAAGCTGCTTTATTATGTACTTTGAAACAACACTCCAGCGCGGTACAATAGGATGCTGGCGGGAAACGGGGAAAGTCAGTACACTCAACGGGAGTTTAACAGGATAAGCAGTACGTGACCGGGGTGTACTATTCCCAGTTGCAGTGTATGGGTTGTGAGGATACATGTATCGCCCAAGCTCTCGGTGTACTCGTTTGGCCATCATAGAATCTCGCGAGTTGAGTTAGAAGTTGATGAAGTTGAAGTTGGCGAAGGACGGACATCTAACGATGGCACCAGACTTCTGCCCATCGATATCTTGCCACTTCTCACTCTTTCCACAAGCTTGCGAAGGGGTTCAAAGCAGGCACATTTCACTTGAGTCGTTACTGAAGAAGGGGCTTTGTGGTGTGGCCCTAGTATGATGAAAGTCATAGCCTCCGCGTTATATACAATTCAAGGAGCACAGGGGCTAGTAACCAGCTATGGCTATCATCAACAGAAAAGGAGATACCAGTCGAATAATACCATTCAGACCGAAGCAGCTGAATATGTATATCGAGTCAACCCATGCTTAGTTCCCCTTTGTATCCCTTCCTCCTTTCCTGCGTGCCAACACGTGAAACTAGAAAATGCATTTGTTGAGCCATTCACATTTGCTCTTGAAGGAAAGTTGAAAGCATATTTGCCTGTTAAAGTGCAGCATCTGGAACCAGCGAGTCTAAAAACCACTGACTCTATTTCTTAACGACGGGAAGAGTCATCCCCTTTTTGGAACTCTCCATTGCAAGCTCTACCAAACCAATAACGGCACTGGCATCAGCTGAATTTACAGGCACTTGACCCTGTCCAGAGAGCGCCCTTGCAAACACACGGTAATACTCCACATAAGTTGGTGGCTCTGGCTGGACAGTATGCGACGAGAACTTTCCATCCACAGAAGCTGTAAGGACACCTATACGGCCCGCGTAAACGAAGTAGGGCGGTCAGCAACCATGGTTCTATTGTTCCACGACATGCAGTGATATGATTTCGTGCGATAGCGGAGGGTAGCTAAGCCGAAGAAATGACTTACCATGCTTCTCGCCAGGCTCTCGGCCAAATTGGCCGTCCCCTAGTTTCACTCCGGCCAGTAATTGGTCCTCTTGAGGGTCAAGGTGGTACTATAGATAGAGAACGGGTCAGCCACCTTCGTTAACCCGTACCAATATGGTATGCAACAAAAAAGTAAATAAAACCTCGAAATTGGGCAAGCTAAATTCAAAAGAAGGCGAAGAATGTTATTGACATGACCAAGACATACCTTCTTAAAGCTGCCCTTATCACCCCTGATCCAGAACCTCAACTGGTTCTCTTCAGGGCTAATGACGGCGCTCTTAGCAGTCACTAGCAGCCTGTCATAGTGAAGGAGCACGGTAAAGGAGTCTTCATAATCCTCCGCGTCAATTTCACGCTGAGCAGTGATGAACCCAGTGATTCGGTTTGGAAGACCAAACAATTGAACAGCCTGATCTATGAGATGGGTGCCCAGGTCATAGATGGAGCCACCGGATGAGGTAGGCTTCCCCTTCCACGCTTTCCTGATGGTCAGTTCAGGGCGATGGCGGTCAAAGTGAGTCTCGAATTCGACAACACGGCCCAGGGAGCCATCCTTGATGAGCTTTGTAGCGGTCACAAAGTCCGCATCCCATCTTCGGTCTGCCAGAATATCCGTTAGCATATACCATCTTTATACCTCTTAATCGGCAACTCGTGTACGGTATATACAAGTGAGACTTCTAGCTACTAGAGTAACCGACAGGGCCATTCTACTCACTTTGATAAACAGTGAGTAACTTATTTTGCTTCTTAGCTAGCTCTATCAAGTCGTCTCCATCCTTCTGAGTTAGAGTGAAAGGTTTCTCGACGATGACTGGTATAGTAAATGAAGCACGCGAGCCTCAAGTTAGTCCACCATAAAAAGCATAAGGGTTCCCCAGGGCAAGATTTGAACGGTACCATGCTTGTTCGCCTCTAGAGCAAGCTTTGTTAAAGAGTAATGGCTATCAGGAGTGGTTGTGACGACGACGACATCGACGGCGCTGTCGTTTACCAGATCCTCCACCGTTCGATAGATTTTGCTATCCGGATGGTCCTTTTGAGCATCATCGGAAGCTGACGGAGTCCTCTGGACGATGGCATAGAGCTTGAACTCAGGCACTGCGCTGATGAAGGGAATATGGAAGACCTTTGCACTGAGTCCATAGCCGATAACGCCGACGTTATATTTAGTAGTCATGGTGGTGGGATGAGGGGCGACGGTGCAGGGATAGCACTATGTCCTTTTAGAAGGTGTTTTATTCTTGTTCTAATAGGTGTAAAGTGAGGCTGTTGCGTCTTCCCCGTCTTATAAACAGTTGATTAAAGTAGTATTTCTAACATCCAGGCCGATGATGCCAGCTCTGTGGATTTAAACCGGATTTATAACCAAGAGCTTCATTTATTAGGCTTCAACCTAGTGTTAGGCATAACTCTATGTGTTCTCTATGGTCCTAGGGTAAACAATGCATGGCTTCTATAATAAACCATCCAAGGTCTACTCCGTCTACTTAACTAAAGAATGGGATAAGGAGCTGTCACCTAGTATGAAAATATAACGAGTTATTGCAGATGTGCTATCCTGCTCTCCATCGAAGCGACATCCCCTGTAGCTCAGGAGTGAAGAAGTGAAGAACCATGAACATGCAGAATCGAGTACTCACATACCCAGTCCTAAACAGTCTAAACCATGCCAGCAGTTACTAAAAATCAGTCCCGGGGTGCTTCTATTGAATAGCTAAGTACATGGACTATCGCTTTCTTATATAACAGACACTGATGATTCTATCTCTCTTTCTTCATATCATATTCAGACAAACCCGAAACTTCCATAGCTGATGTCGGTTCGAAAGCGCCGTGCATATCCTAGAGTTAAGCGACTTAGTTTGTATACTTGATTTTTTTTTATATCCTACTACTGGATTCGTTGGTACGTCAGCCACCAAGTGTCTAACGAGAGAAACCACATACCTGGCGTTTGCAATGGCACCCTCGCGATTCCAGGAAGTTCACAACCTCCCCACAACCTCCAACGTCATGCTGAACATGGTGGTTGGTATCGAGTTCGATGATCCTAGGCACAACTGCCTGGTCGCAGAGAATCTCAACGGCTGCACCGCCGTCGTCATCATCTCAGACCATGCGGCAGTCATGGCGAACATCCTCCCGCGGCCCACAATATACGACAGCGACCCATATATCGGGGACAAGAACATGAAGGAGAAGGTAGTCGAGCTGGTAGAATTCATCTCTCGCCATCGAGATAAGTTCCCGCTTTATGCGTGTTGGGCATGGGTGATCTATGCGGTACTAGACGGCGAGACAGGCCTCCCGGGCCAGAAGGGAATAATAAACGATGTTTTGACGACTATGGGAATCTCGCGGGCAGATCACCCTTATTCGGTTCTTGTCGGTCGTCCACGTCCAGCTGGCCAAGGGACGGTTGTTATAGATGCGCGGAGTGGGAGGCCGGAGGTGTATATCGATGACCTGCGTGTCAACTAAGGGGCTCATAGAGCGTGGGAAGGGTATCTCGCATAGGAATGATAACTTCTACAGAGGTCCCTACCACAAGTCCTCAAGGGCCTGAGATTTATGGAGAGACTAGATATAGGCACCCTCTAATTGACCTTATTCTATCACCTTCAAGTCTGTCCTGGATTTATCCTTAGATCTACCCTTTGGCTTATCCCTAGGCTTGCCCTTTGGAAGGGATAGAATAGGCCCTTAAGTCTTCGGTAAAGACCTTTGTACTGAATTGATCGTCTCGTTGGTCGACGGCCACCGCTGTAAACAGATCAGGACTCGAGCTGCGATATCCCAGGACAAAGCTGCCTCTTCACCCGTCAGCCGTCTATCAACCTCTGCGAGTGGAGATACGCAGCGCCAGGCCTATTTTTAGTTGAAGTTCAGCCACTGCTTCGTCAACATCGTCCTAGGCGCAGCCACTTCGGGCTGTTTGTATACGCATCCTACTGTGCAGTGAGTACGCAGGATCAGTTCGAGGATAAATCTAGGTTGGACTCACGGGTAGAAATCCAGGTATCGGCCAGGCGGCAACCCTGGAAGTGGCTGTCTGACTGCCTGAAGCCGTCTGTCCTGGTCCTGTTGGGAGTGAAGAGTGGCTGTTTGTCTCGGGTCGTCACTATGGAGACTGCGCCAAGCTGTGTATCTCCTAGCCCGTAAACTCCAGAGCTGGATGTTTTCCCTCAAGCCTGGCTCAGCCCCAGGATAGAACGCTGCCTTGCGATGGTTTTGCTATTTACCCTGCGTTGACGGTCATTCTACGCTCGCTCGCTGTCGGATATTCTTGCTGCTCTCATTCTTAACGAAGCGTTCCATCTAAAAGTCGTTTGTTTATTCTTGGTCGATACCGGGCTCTCCCAGGTAAACAGAACGAACTCATACAGATCTACCACCCTCTATTTCACCCCGATAAACACCAGAGAGAGCAGTCTCCATCGTTTGATCAGGGTTGCACACAGGCCGAGGGCTGGGGAGAAATGATGAGACTACCGAATTTCAGCAGTTCGAGGACGAAAACCATTATACATGCCGTCCAGGCGTTCATAATCTTCCTGTCATGGGCAATGACAATTGCGGTCTTTACACAGCCTGGGAAGACGGATGGCAGGACAGTATATTATTTTATCCTGGTATGTTGCTTGCGTGTCTGCACTATTGCGGGTGTTTCTGAAGTAGTAACAAGCTTGCTAACACTTTATTGTTGCTAGTGCTGGGTTAGCATCCCTGGAATCGTATATTTGACCGCTGTTCCCATGTGGCCGCGGATCAGGAAATTCGGGAACGTATACGCCTTTGCATTCGTCGATGGTCTCTTTACGCTGCTGTGGTTTGCAGCCTGGATAGCCACGGCGACGTACGTGGGCACAGGTATCAGCAAGGGCAGCAAGGGGGATACGGACAAAGACAAGGACAAAAACAAGAATAAATCTGGCTGTGATGTCTTTGCATTCGGAAGTCCAACAAAATGCAGACTGAGTACTGGAACTACCGTTTTAGGCGTATTTGTCTTGTGAGTTCCCACTTCAAGTATTCATTGAAGGAGTTGAAAGCTGACGGTGGGCTCTCGCTATAGCATCATCTTCATTGCAACGACCCTCCTCTCACTTAAGAACGTGATGGAGTACCGCCGAACAGGAACAATGCCCTACGATGGCTCAGATCCTACATTCGCTGCTCACGCGCAAGCTGCATTCTCGTCAAACCCAGCACATGACTTTGACGACGATGACGATAGAGACCCCGAGTCCCGAACTGGTCGTTTCCATGGCGGACCACCATCACGTCAAAACGACGAGGACGAGTACGCTTTACTTCATAACAGCGAGGTAGACGATCTAGGCCCACATGGCAGCCATCGCCCTCCACCGTCTTACGACCCTACAGCGTCGAACGTCAGCAGCCAGCCGCCTAGACTAAGCCCGCTACCACCAGCAGGAAGCTCGATGAGCGATTTCGATACAAGTTATGGAGGAGCATACGGCGGCCACCGGTCAGAAGTATCTGGCGACTATACCTATAACCGATAAATACCCCCTGTTTGATTTCTGAGCTATGTACAGGTTGTACCCATTTGTTCTTATTTGTCTTCTCTTTACTTGTGTTATAAAGATTTCGAAGGATATCCTTTGCTCTCTGTCGGCGTACCTATATTTTGGTCCGCTTTTACTTTTTGTTCTTTTATCGATCCATGACCTGGACTAATGAATTGGGAGGCGCTATGCTGAATGGGTTTATGTGAAATTTTTCTTTTCTTGGAGCCTCCATCCCTTTCAGAAGACTGAGATATGACTATAAATCTGATTTGATCTGCTCTCTCTTATCGTTTTATGATTGTTGGATTTACTGCTAGATGGGAACTGAGCAGGTCTCCGAAGGTTCGCGGCCGTTGTGTTTTATCTTTTATCACAAATCATAGCGGGATTAGAGATACCTTCTGGATAGTACGGAATTTGTATAATGAGTACTTAGCTTATATATTTTACCAAGGGATTGGACTTTCCTTTTGTATCTGCTGTGAATCTTTAAAAAAACCATCCAACACTTAACCCTTTACTTGGGCTTAATCTAACAGCCACAGGGCAATTGGTATTTAACCCTTGAATAAAGGATAACATATGACAGGTAGAAGCAACTATTCAATTCCATTCCATTAAGTACAGTCAAAAAACAAGACATGGTACAGTTGACACTATAATACAATTTTTTTGTGGTCGAGTTTAATCGTCATCATCTCAGTTTGTCCATAGTGCTCATCATCAAAGTAGAAGTCCTCAGGGGCCTCAGCCTCCTCATCTCCCTCATCAATAGCCTCTTCCGGACCTGGTGGGCGAGGCAGACCCATTCGATCCATATGTTTCCCCTGCAATTCAAAGACAAAATTGAACAGGTTCTTACGGACGGATTTTATCTTCTCATGGTCTCGACTAGTCAATTCGCGTTTCTTGCGAGGTTGCTGGTCAATCGGGAGGCCCTGAGAGAGTAGAAACTGGGTTACGCCTGGATCAACCTCTTCGTACTCAGAGACTTCCTCGTAATTGCCAAACGGGCCAACTGTAACTCTGTGGCGTTTGACGCGAGTTTCGTCAGTCAATGGGACGTATGGCTTTGGATTGGCAGGGACCTTCATCTTGTTGATCTTCTCGCTATTTTCCGGGTTCATGTGAAGTTTGGGTAGCGGGAGGAGGCCCCGTTTAGCACAGGTCCTGGGGGAAGGGGGCCAGTGGTCGAATCTGACCTTCTTGGTTGGACGGGGGGTGTCCTGGCGCAGCTTACGAGGTTTTTGGGCTAGGGGACTTTGGTCCTCAGGATCAGAAGTCTGATGAGCGCGTTTAGAGTTCTTCAGGATAGATTGAGGGGTCGGGGTCCGGACATTATCTGGAGAAACTGGAGACTTAGACGGAGGGGCTTCGATAGTCACGTCTGGAGCCTGGGAAACTAGAGGAGCCTGAGTGGCTTGAGGGACTTGAGGAGCCTGGGCAGCTTGAACAACCTGGGGAATAGGAGAAGTCTGGACATTTTGTTCTTCATAGCTATCATCGCCCCCAAAAGTACACTCGGCAATACCAGCAAGGAGATTATGTGCGAGTGCCATAGTTTCTTCATGGGTGAGTTCAGAGAGAGGGTTGGCCATATCCCCGTGCTGAAACTCGTTCTGAAGCTCAACATTGGCATGGTGCTGGAGCTCAACATTGACTTGGTGCTGGACTTCAAAGTTGTCTTGCTCCTGAGATATGGGTGTCTGCTGGGCGTCGAAATCAATGTTGTTCTGGGTATTGGGATCCTGAGTCGGGGCGGCCTCTTCCTGCACGTGAAGTTGCTGTTCATAAGATACATCAGAGTATGTAGCATCTTCACTACTATCATAGTATGTACTAGTTTGCTCCTCGACGGGGCCTGTTGTAGGTACATGTGTGGGCGTATATGTAGGTGTAAGTGGCTGCGGTGCCGCCTCAGGGATTGTTTGTTGATCGCCTTCAGGTTTGATAGCAAAAGTCTGTATAGGGGTAGACTCTGCGCTTGCCTGGGACTCAGTTTTGGGTATCCATCGATCGAAGATGGCGTCGGCTTTAGCTTGCATCTGCCCTTTATCGACTGACTGACACTTGATCAATGGGGCAATGACATTAGCAATAAGAGCATGGTTGACATCTTCGACGGTACAATTGTGCTTAGCAGCAAATTCTTCAAAGGGGAAGTTCGAGACAAGCGCGTTAGCAAGATCACTGAAGAAGACTGGTGGTAGCTTTGTCGGTTCATCGGGCACGTCACAGTTTTTTGGACCAACTAAGACGCCGAGGAGGTTCTTGTAGGCCAGTCCCATCCATTCAGGCCCGTTAGGCTCCGTGTTGTGAGCAGGAGGCCCGTTGGAAGAGGTGTGCTGAGACAAGACGGTCTGCGTCTCACTTGAGTCGGAGGCAGAGCCAGATTCAGAACCAGACAGGGACGAGCCGGATTCAGACCCATCTAGGGACGATCCTGATACAGATGCAGGCCCAGACTCTGCCGTGACGGAACGACGATCAGATGGAGGCTGAGGGTTGACCAAATCGGGGTTTGGCGAAGCGCTTTCACCGATGGTAATAACTGGTGCCATCGCGTCTATCTCTGGCCCCTGCTGGGAGGCATGAGCGTGGAACTGATCTGCAAAATAGCGAGGATCACAGTCCGCATTGAAGTAGACCGCTATAAGCAGTCAGTATGAGAAGCTATGAGTATATCAGGAGACGACGTACCCCTTGGTGTCATATCGACGGTCCCAGCGTCAAGATGATATTCGCCGAGTTTGAGTCCGCTGCTGGCCTGAGGATTCAAGTTGTTGACACCCACAATCTGGATATCATCGTCATCATCATCGACAACGTAGCAAGGTATAGCACTCGGTATTGAAGTAGCTCGAGACATGGTGAGTTGACTGGTGTCAAGATAGCTGCTCTGATATGAGGGCTGTTTGAAGCTAGAGAGGGAAGATGAAGTTCAGGCTGAGTCTCTAGGAGGATATCAGAGTGAGTCTGAGATGTAGGGAGGAGAGCAGAGGAGAAAAGAGGCGGCTGGTAACACTGAGTTCCCAGCAAAGCCCATTGTCTGTTGTTTACATTCTATTGTGAGGCTGGTGAGACTATCAACATAACACTATAGTCGCTATGCTATCAACAGATATCATTAGATATCATCATATGTCTTTTAGATGTCCCAGTAGATGTACCAGTAGTCTCTACCAGCAGACATCTACTAGTAGTCATCTATATCAGGCTGTCTGATATGTTGATCATAGACACAGTTCTAGTGTCTAGTAGACTATCTGACGCTGTAGTGAGCTCTACAGCCTGATAACTGACATAACAGGATAATAATACAAGTACTCTCGTCTGTTATCATAGATATCTGTCTCATCTCTGTTATCATGGATAGTAATAGCTATAGTCAAGTGTGATGAAGTGGTGATGAAGTGGTGATGTATACTCGTAGTTATGAAGTGTGATGCCCGATGTGGCTAGCGTGGGCAAGCTGTCCTCCTTTTCCTCCTCCTCGACCTTTTCTCTTTCTTTTCTTTTTTCTTCTTCTCTTCTCCCATCTCCGTCGACTCAAGATAGCACACTTCTCATCTTTCGGATCTCCGTTTTCCAGTATCTAGGGCACCAAGCGACCCTTCCATTCCCCCCTCTTCAAGTCCCCCAAGAGGCAGCTTTTGCTTTTCAACTTCGACATCCACCGCAATCTTCGCGTCAACTCCAACCAAAGCGACAACATGTCTTCTGCCGTCAATGAACTTGCCGATAACGTGGCCTCCGTCACCATCAGTGATGCCAACGGTGCTCCTGCTGCTACCACTGCCGACCCGTCTGCCATCTCTGCCGACGAGGGCCGCCGTCTGTACATTGGGAACCTCGCCTATGCGACCACCGAGGGGGAGCTCAAGGACTTCTTCCAGGGCTTCAGTGTGTGAGTCTACCATGAACGTCTTGTGAATGTCCATCTTTATGTGAACTATTCATCTCGACGCTTCTACTTGTACTTTGCTTGTCATTTGTTATGTTTGTACTGACGAGAATAGTGAGAGCACGTCCATCCCTGTGAACCCTCGCACTGACCGCCCTGTTGGTTACGCCTTTGTCGACCTTGCTACCGCCCAAGAAGCTCAGGATGCTATTGCAGCTCTGACCGGCAAGGAAATCCTCGAGCGTAAGGTCTCTGTCCAGCTCGCCCGCAAGCCCGAGGAGCAGAAGGAGGCCGGTGCCAGTGGCGCTGAAGGCACCAGCGGCACAGAGGGACGCAAGAGAAACTCCAACCGCGGACGTGGACGCGGTCGTGGCCGTGCCCGTGGCGGCCGTGTTGGCCGTGGTGGACGTGTACGTTCTGTTTGCTGCTTCTTTGTCTGTCTCACCGTATGCTAACCGTTGTTTCATAGAAGACTGAGGAGGGCCACACCGAGGGAGAGACCACCGAACAGGCCGGCCTCACCGAAACCACCAACGTCGAGGAGGGAGACGCCCAGGACAAGGGCCGTCGTCCTCGCGGCCGCCGTGGCCCCCCAGAGGACGGCATTCCTTCCAAGACCAAGGTCATGGTTGCCAACCTCCCATACGATCTCACTGAGGAAGGAGTAAGTGGTTTCCCCGTCATGTATCACGTAAACATTTATTCCTAACACCCAACAGTTGAAAGAGCTTTTCGCTGCTTACGAGCCAACCTCATCCAAGATCGCCCTCCGCCCCATCCCTCACTTCATGGTCAAGAAACTCCAGGCCCGTGGTGAAGCCCGTAAGGGTCGTGGTTTCGGTTTCGTCACCCTCGGATCCGAAGCTCTTCAAGAGAAGGCCGTCCAGGAGATGCACGGCAAGGACGTCAACGGCCGTGAAATTGCTGTCAAGGTCGCCATCGACAGCCCCGGAAAGGAGGACGAACTCCTCGACGGACAGGCTGAAGGCCAGACTGAGGCTCCAGCAGCCGAGGCTGAGCCAGAGGCCGCTGCCGCTGCCACGGCCACCGCCTAAATCACCACCACACTCTTCGAACAATGCAGGGAGGACCATCAGTCTCAACTGGCTGGATGAGTATTGGAAGTATTCGGCATTCTTTACCTGATCAATATTTCTACGTGAAAAAAAAAGAACTTGTTTGGCATTTCTTAGCTACTCCTGGGCCATCGTCTACGGTGCCTACGGGGACGTCAGTTGGAAGGTCAACACGTACCCTCTTGTCTCGAGTTGATCACCGACACCTACGACCCTATCCTCTCTTTCTCTCATGGCTCTTAGCCGCTTCTATGATGTATTTTAGAAATCAAAATTTCGATTAAAATGACGAATTTACATGATCTATCATATGTCACTGCCTCTTGGTCTTCTGTAGCGTAAATATTGCTGGTATTATTGATGTTATTGATGTCGTGTCCTTAACGCTTAACCTGCACCTTGGACGCTTGACATCCATCCACAACATCCCCCGATCTATAATCCAACACGATTCTCCACGTCCAACCCGCGCACTACGCAACTCAAGGCTTCAACGGCCCTTGTATCCGTTGGTTCGAGTGGAGTCCTGCGTCCCACTGTGGGATGTCGCCTACTGAACTCAAGCATCACGAACTTCACCAACTTCACGACTCACGAACTCACGACATCGCGGCATTACGAACGTCCAGGACCAGGGGAAGCGCATCCCGTCCTCGCCATATCTCTGCCAGACGCTCGGTCATACCTCGCTATATCCCTTTATCCTCCTCTCGTTTACAGAATTGGGGTTAATCTTTCGCAATGTCGAAGTTGTGGGAAGTCGACCCGGAGACAAGGAGTAAAGTACGTCTATCCTTACACCCGTCCCTATACGCCGACCCTATACGCAGTGGACAAGAGCTAGACTGACCACGGCGTTATTGCCAATATATAGCTCCAGGTTATCCAAAAGGCCAACGGGAATGACCGGTGCTGCGATTGTGGCGCCCCCTCCCCACAATGGGTACGAATATATATGATTTCCCTACGCTACCAGCTTCACGCCTGAAGATAATCGATATGGTTCTAACATGGCCCGGCAATTTGCATTTCCCAGGCATCACCGAAATTCGGCACCTTCATATGTCTCAATTGCGCCGGCACCCACCGCGGGCTAGGTGTCCACATCTCCTTCGTCCGCAGCATAACCATGGACGCGTTCAAATTGGCTGAAATACAACGCATGGATAACGGAGGCAATGAGCCGTGGAAACAGTTTTTCGACACCCATTCGATAACGGTTGCTGAGGGCCGGACGTTCGAGGACTCAACCGTTAAAGAACGATACAGCGGCGAAGTAGGCGAGGAGTGGAAGGAGAGGTTATCAGCGAAAGTGGAAGGGAGGGAATATGTTCCTGTGCCGAAGACGGATAAGAAGAGTATCACCAGCCGGCCAGCCGGTATATCACGGTCGAATACTACGACCCCTAAGGGGTTCGGGAGCGATTCCCTACATGGAGCGGCTGGTAGAGAGCCGCTTTCCAGGTCAAGATCGACTGCAGGCGGTGATCATTTGAGTAGGAAGGAACAGAACGAGTCTTACTTTGCGAAGATGGGTGGAGTGAATGCCGCGAGGTCGGATAGTTTACCTCCATCCGAGGGAGGCAAGTTTACCGGGTTTGGTGGAGGGATGCCGGTAGAACCCTCGCCGGCTGCATCAAGGCAAGGTGGTGCAGGCATACCTGGACTAGACGATTTTCAGGCTGACCCCGTTGCGGCACTGACAAAGGGGTTTGGATGGTTTACTACCACTGTCGGCAAGGGGGCTAAGACTGTGAACGACACTTATATCCAACCCGCTGCGAAAACAGTACGTATCTTCCCGCTTATACCATTATTATTCCTCTGTCTAGCCGCCTGACTAAACTCCAATTAGCTTGCCGAATCAGACCTCGCAGCTCAGGCGCGCGTCGCTGCTACAGAAGTGACTAGGAACCTTCAGACTGGCACCCGCACCGCGGCAGACTCATTTAACCGCTTTGTAGAAGGGAGTGACGGCCCAGGCGGCAGCCATCGACCCTCCGCTTCGGGCTCATCTAGAGGATTTGAACCGGAAAGGAAAGATTTCTGGGATACCTTTGCGGCTGTCGGGGAGGAGAGACAGAGACAGGCGAGTGCCGGTGCTGGGTCGGGCGCCATTGGTACTGGAACAATGAAGAAAAATGATACTATGTCGAATTCTGTTGTGGCTGCGAAGCCTACACCGTCAGCAGCGGCAGCGGCAAAGAAGGATGATGGGTGGGATGATAATTGGTAGACAGAGGATTGAGATTTATACATAACGAATTTTTATATCATTTGGTTTAGTTGTTCTCAGATTAGGCTGGGGAATTGTGCATTGAAGGTGTTTAAAGAACGCGGCTTCTATATATTCTTTATTATATCGTACATTCTTGCTGATATCCTACAACCCTTGGCTCTATATAAAAAACACCATTTCCTCTATATTCCCCGTAGTTCCGCCAATACAGCCTTTTCTCTCTGACTGCTCATCTTCTCAAATCGGTCCACACTCATAACGAACGTCCCTCTACCGCCAGTTATACTCCGTAGATGTTTTAGATAGCCTACCATCTCTTTCAACGGGACCTTGGCCGTTATCGTTCGAGACTGGTTAGCGGTCGCCAACAAGGAGGCACCTTCGCTTGATGATGCAGGCCCGAAGGGGTCTCTCGGAGCGTATATCTTAGACACATCAATGGCGTCTGACTCTTCTGATGTTGTTGATGGTGAAGAGGCATCATCATCGAGAGAAACAACATGGCCACCACGCGAGGACGAGATATCATGTACAACGGATCCCAGGCTTGATTCCTGCACGCTGATCGTGACATTCATAACTGGCTCCATGAGAGCAGACGAAGCTGAAACTTCCTTCAGTGCCGCTTGTGTGGCAAGTCTTGCAGCCGCTGAAATGGCAGATGTGGTTGTTTCATTTCCAAAAAGATGCTCTTCGAGGTTGAACGTAAGCGTCACATCGACGCTGTGTAAGGGGAACTGGTATTTAGGTCCACGAGCAAGAGCTGCTAGGCCGCCGGCAACGAGGGAGTTCCTGATTATGTCGAGTGAAAGGTGTGAAGGGAACTGGTCATCCGCATCTTTGCCTTTCTTGTCTTCGAAATTGGGCAGTTTGATGGTGACGCGGTTACCGTCTACGTTTTGAGTGAAGATGGCATCTTCCGCAGTACTCTGTGCTTCCTCGTCCTCGATGAGTGGTTGGACGGCAGCTTCACAGCCCGCCTTGCCCTTCCTCCCTGCAATTTCCTTATCAAATATCTTTGTAGCAGTTGCAGATGCGCTCGTGATGCATTCACGATAACCGATTTCAATATTACCCATTGAAGCCTTTGCCTTGAAATCGCCCACAAGTCTATCTCGAGCAATTTCTAGGTGGAGTTCACCCATACCGCTCAGCAGTGTTTGACCGGAATCCTCATCCAACGTAACACGCAAGCTCGGGTCTTCTCGTAACAGGAGAGCTAAACAAGCTTGGAGATTCTTCTCTTCGCTAAGACTGTGAGGCTCAACGCCCGAGAAGAATACGGGGGGAGGAACGTTGATAGGGCGAAGTTGCAAGGTGTTCAGAGGCTCCGGTGGGTTCTGTTTGTTTCCAGCATATGAAAGGAGGGTATCTCCAGTTCGGGCGTACTTCAATCCAACAAAAACAGCAATATGTCCAGCAGAAATAGATTCCTGTTCAACGGCATCCGAGGCATACATCTTTAGCAGACGAGGGACCCTCTCCGAGACTTGAAGGTTGGTATTAAATAACAGCGCATTCCGGTGCAGTGTCCCTGAATAAATCCGTGCATAAACTAGAACACCCCTTTTGGGGTCACTAACGACCTTGAAAGCGAGGGCGCATGCCTCTAATTTCTGAAGAGCTGTTGTGGGTTTTGATCGTGAAGCCACGGCCTTTTTTCCCTTTTTACTGCTTGAGACCTCAACACCAGCTTTCCCTTCGAGAAACTCGTTTAATCCGCACCTTACCCCTCCAATGCTGATTTCAGGATCCGGACGTTCTAGCGGGCTTGGGAGGAGGTTGACGACTGCATCCAGCAATGGCTGAACTCCGATATTTTTGAAGCTGGCTCCTGCAAAGGTGGGAATAAGCTTGTTCTCCGCATCCTGAAGTAGGCAGCGTCGGAGGCTCTCGAGAATTTCTATCGGTTTGACCGCCAGGTGATCCTCGTCATGTTCGAGGAAACTTTCCACCATTGCATCGTCGTGCTCGCTAAGGAGTTCAACCAGTGCAATCCTGGCCTTTTTCAGCTCCGCTGCAAATTGGCTATCAGACTGTTCTAGGGCGTCGAGGCGTGATAATGATACCTTTTTGCCATCTCCTCCAAGTTCCCACAACATCCCTTGGAGCGAGACAACATCTCCAACACCCTGTAGCCTGCCGTCACCTCCTTCGAACCAGGGTATCTGGCAAACTGCAGGCCAACCCCCAAGCCGGGCACCAATCTCCTTCACAGTCCTGCCAAATGCGGCGCCTTCTCTGTCTAGTTTATTGACAAAGGCGATCCTGGGGATACCGTAAGTCGAAGCTTGACGCCACACTTGTTCCGTCTGTGCCTCAACGCCCGCAACTCCATCTAAGATACAGACAGCTCCATCTAGAATACGGAGTGACCGTAGCACCTCAAAGGTAAAATCCGCATGACCAGGGGTATCGATCAAATTAATGGTATGAGAAATGGCAGATCTCGGCAGCCCTTTCGCCTCCAAATCCTCTGACGTCAAGCTGGCCGCAGATTCTTCTTGCTGGGGCGGCCAGTGAAATGTGATTGCAGCAGATTGGATGGTGATACCACGAGCTCTCTCTGCCGGCAGGAAATCCGTCACGGTAGAACCATCATCCACATCACCGATTCTCCGAGTAAATCCACTGTAATAGAGCATACGCTCCGTCGTAGTAGTTTTCCCAGCATCAATGTGGGCTATTATCCCAATGTTTCTTGTCCTATTCAGATCTTCTCCATTGGCGGCCAGTCCAGGAGTCGAGTATCTCCTCAACAGAGTCTGTCGAGATAGCCATTTCGAGGGCCCAAGTCGGCATTGGGACTGCAAAAACTGCCTTGGAAAGGCGCAACTCCTGGGTAAAACCGCTATAGTCATACCCAATGGCTCACAGTGTAGAAGCCAGCTCCGTGCCCATGTATTGAGTAGCTATCCAAAAACGATGGAGCTTAAAGTGAGACCGAGTTTTATGTACCGTTGGTGCAATTGAGCGGCAGAGAGATAATTATCTCATCATAATTAACTGCTAGAGCGCAGGCGAGGCCTCAATTCCTTCGATATAAAACCGTCTTCGAGCTTTCGCTTTCGGTGACGTTTTTTTTCCTGCGGTTAGGAACTAGGGCGGCGAAGCTGGACCAACCACGCAGATCGCTCTCCAGGCTTCAACTAAATAAGTCCGCTTCCCACCAAGCTTGCAGTCCGATCGAGAGGTCGAAGTACATGACAGTATATATTCTCCTCTCAGGGCTGTGAAGCCGAGTTGCCTTGAAGGAGAGACAATTACGCCTACCCGCACTCTACCTGACCGTTCAACTCCTGCCCGCCATATCCAAACGACGCCCACGACTCCACCCTACAATCAGCAACCAGCAATCAGCAGCGGCCAACATGGATTACTCCTCGATACCTAACGATCCAGATCATCCTGCAGGCCCGTCGCCATGGGGTTCGACCTCTCCGCGAACGGCCCGGCCGTTCTCCGCGAGCAGTGATGTCCCTCCGGCGTTCCCCTCGCAGCACCAGTCGCCCTATGCCGCAGATCGACCAGGGCATGAAGGCTCACACAACCGCAATGGCGAGGGAGATGATAGCATCCAATCTCCGGGCCAGTCGGATTGGGCTGAGGATTCCCATCACAGAGGCTCTCCGGAAGCACCGTCAGCGTACCGTCAAGGGAACCAGCAGCAGCAGCAGCAGCAGCAACAGGAGCATGGTCAACAACCACGATCGCAGCCCCCCTCGAGATATCAGACCGGAGCTCGACAACAGGCTAGACCAAGCGCTCCTAAATATAAACTACAAGCAAAAGTGACTGCGCTAGAAAGAACCGGGAAGAAGGACCCTGTTATTCGGTTCGATATTCATGTATGTTGTTACCCACACATGGCTATGATACATGAAGCTATGGCTACTGACCGTTCACTACACTAGACCAATATTCCAAAGTTCAGAACTACACAATTCCGAGATGTCCGGAGAACTCATTCCGAATTTGCTAAACTGGCGGATCACCTAATATCGTCCAACCCGGAGGCATTGGTACCAGCCGTTCCACCTCCGCTTACGCCTGCGGGTGCTGGGACCGAGGAGGATGAGGTACGGGTGAAAGGATCGATGCAACGATGGCTTAACTATGTGTGCAGCAATGATGTCTTAATGGTCGATGATGAAATGATTTTGTTCGTCGAAAGCGATTCGGGTTATAGCCCCGTTGTCAGGATGAAGCAGCCCGCCACGGGGGTTCGAAGAAAGGTTTTGAAGCAATTTGCCCCTCCTCCAGATGATACCCCAGAACTACATGATGCGCGACCGGTTGTGAAACACTTTTACCTTGCAACTATGGAGGCCGGTCAGAAAGTGGATCGAGTAGTTAAGGCCAGACGAGGTAAGAAATGGCGGCTAGACAAATACCTCCTCTTACACCTTGCTGATTGAAATTTGTTATAGCACTTGCTCTTGCGGAGTCTGATCTCGGGGTTAAGCTTGGGCAAATGCATGTACAAGAAACCCACGCTGGTCTCGCCAATGCCTATAAGAAGCTCGGCAAGATTATCCAAACTACCGGAGACTATCACGCTGCTCAGGGAACTGGTGAAGCAACCACTCTCGGCGACCCTTTAAACTACCATTCCTCGGATGCCTTCATTGTGAAGGAAACCCTAACCAACCGACACATCTTGCTTCGCGAGTTGATTCAGGCACAGCAGGCGGCAAGTAGCAAGCGGGCTGCGGCAGATCGCCTGAAGGCTAGCACCTCTGTCCGTCCGGATAAAGTTGATGAAGCCATAAGCGCGCTTGATGAAGCCCGGGGCCACGAAGACTACCTGCTAAAGAAAACTCAGCGAGTCACCAATAACCTCCTCCAGGAGAAACGCCGCTGGTTTAACCGAACTGCAAACGACCTGCTATTCAGCATTCGTGAATTTACTCTACGGGAAATTGAGGCCGAACGTAGAACTCTCAGCACCCTCGAGAGTGTTCGTGCAGATATCCGCTCTATTGATGCTTCCGGTGGACTGAGTCGTCTTGGTAGAGAGTCACATCCTGCTGCTCGACGAGCTAGCTTGGCCTCTAGCCAAGGGCCCAAGGGCGACGCATGGAGTGGTGTTGCTCGTCGGGGGGACAGCTTAAGCAGGAGTATCAGCGGGAGCTTCGTGTCACCAGTGCCAGAAGGCGATGAAGATGTGAACGGGGGAATGCCCGGAACAGGCAGAACCAGGTCTCGCAGCGGAACAGGGCTTGTGGAAGAGGACGATGATAGAGTCGATGCTAAGAATGCTGCAAGTCGCCTCGCCGCCAGCACGTTTTAGATGATGCTGGAAGCTAGGTACTTAGTAACCTTACCTTTTGGTTTTGATCCCTGTTAAACATAATTAACTGTATGGTACCAGTCTACTGGTTTGCTTAGTTACATATAAAGCCGCTGGCACATCTTGCTTTGTGTGATGCGTGATGATTTTCAGCCACTGTCAATATAATACACTCTACGGTTATCCATACTATACACCGAGGGCCATGAAGTATAACTCTCTATTCATTCAACTGCTCCTAGGAAGTTTTCGTCTCTCTCGGTGCCTCTGCTTCATCATCCCCCACAAACCTCTCCAGCCCATCATCCGGAATATCAAACCAAACAGCCTTCTCCCCAATAAAGATATGATCAGTTGGCTTTATAAGCTCTCCTTTAACATCCCAATCGTCAAATGAACCAGGACACAGGGAGATCCTCCCTGGCCTTTCATCCATCTCATACGTCAAAGTCGAACCGCAATCGCCACAGTAACCCCTTTTGGCAAATTTGGAAGACCGAAAATATTTTGGCGGCTCGTTCAACCATGTGATAGAGCTTCGAGGGAACCCGGCAAACGTTGCATATGGCCCTCCCGATATTTTGCGGCAAGTGACGCAGAAACAGTTGGACATGTATTCTGGGAGCGTGGTAGAAGTGTAGCGTATCTTTTTGCAGCAACAACCCCCCTGAAGCACCACCGTCGGCGAATCTGCGGAGGATGCCATCTCTGATTGCTTTGGAAGCTAGGTGATGATCTTTCTTTTTCTTTTGATTTCCGTCAAGTGGTGGAATTATGGGTGAAGCATTCAGTATTTACTTCGGGCGTGCTCAAGTTTTAAATACTTGCGGGATGCTGCTTGTTATTACTCAGTATAGCAGGGAATACGAGATGCCGAGGACGAAACTAGCGAATAGAGATGCATTCCACGTCTCCAAATCGCGGTTATACGACGCGATTATTAATATCTGTATCAACTGTTCAAGTCGAGATCTGTTTAAGCCACAGTTGGATACTCTGCAGTTAGCAGTTACACATATTTAGTTAAGAGAACAGGATACTCCGTATGTTATACTCCGTAGATATATGTCAATTGCCTATCAGGTTGCAGGATAAAGCCAAGGCAGCATTCTTCCAGTAGTGTCAACATCGATATACCAATGAAAGGGTACTCAGCCATTCACAGAGAACTCTCTACTGTTGCTGTTGATGTAGTGTATTGATATTGTAGCGTGCCGATGTTTTGTTAGCAAGTGTTCGTCACATGACTTCTTCTCTGAGCTTTATCAAACTGCGAACTAACAGAAAGCAAAGGAGGCTTGAAAGGTCTGCAGTGTCAAAGCCGCGACAGCCAGCTCCTGTTTCTTCCATGTCACAGTGAGAGCTCTCGTCTGTAGCTCCCGTCCTCCATGGATGAACCAAGCAAGGTAATTCCAGTTGCACCTTATCCTTGCCGTGCTTCGGGGCTAACGTGAATGCGCCTTCAAAGCGTTGATCCAAAGATTTCCCGACTTCCTCTGGCTCGACCAGCGCAGAGCACAGGAAGCCCATCATGGCTCCTGTTCCAGGTAATAAACGGAAGAGAGGCGACAGAACCTGGTCTGGCGACTCGTCAAATGATAGCCCTCGACCTTCTCCGCACCGTCCAAGCAATCTGAACCTAGCTCAGCAGCAGCAGCAACACCAGGGCAGAGATGGCCAGGAAGGCCGTGGGAGAGGTGGCCGGAGAGCCAGTCGAGGCGGCCGTAATACCAGAAGAGCTAGCGACGGACCATACATTCAGCAACAGCAGCAGCAACAACAGCAACGAGAGAGTCCTGCCCCCGCGAAGCCTGTCCCCGCATCGACCGGCAACGAAGCAGAGCAAACTAAGCCCAACGGCGTACCAGTCACACCGTCTCCCGTCATTCCGGTAGAAGTGCAGCAGCATGTTGTTGTGACGAAGACGTCGTCTTACTGCTATGATCACATTTCTACGGACTGCATTGCGAACTGGGCTGGAACCGGTCGGCAGGCAGTCATAGAGGTTGGGACAAAAGCTCGAACGGAGGGAGATTTTCTCACCCTATCTTCAATATTTCAAGAGACCGTTCAGCTGGCCCTTGAGGGTCGCGTATCGCCTCATGACCTGGGAACGACAGTGCGCGCCATCATAGGCGACACCGAGGCGATAGGTTCAACTCTAGATTCGCGCTCTATATTCCTCGATACCCTCTCCATTCTAACCGAAACAGATCCCTCTAATCCTAACCTTCGCCCCTTCATCTTCGCGACTAGAATTCCCTCTGATATCATGAGGGTTCAGCTTGAAACTCCGCTTCTTCAATCCCTTGGTTTGATCCGTGACACATTCGCCCGGATGGGCATCCGAAAGCAGACAAACCTCCTGTACCGGCAGTCAAATTATAATCTTTTGCGAGAGGAGTCCGAAGGATACTCGAAGCTTTTGACTGAACTATTCACCACGAGCAACAATGAACCACCATCCAGCGAGGTAGTTGAAGATACTTTTGAGCGCGTAAAGGCGATGATAGGTGCTTTTGACATGGACGTTGGAAGGGCCCTTGACGTTACCCTCGATGTTTTTGCTGCCGTTCTCGTCAAACAATATCGATTTTGTGTCAAATTTCTACGGGCCAGTTCTTGGTGGCCAAAGGAAGATGGCCTGGAAGGACATAATTCCATGTCCGGACTCCCTCGATGGGCCTTACCTGGTTCTTCCGGATGGTCGACAACGGATGAAGAGCGGGCGGAAATGCTTCGGTTGAACGAGAGCAGAGACAACGGGTTCTGGAATAGGGTGAGAGAAATCGGCATACGTGCCTTCTTTGAGCTCGGCCGTCGGCCAATTTCGGAGGAGGAACAGCATAAATTCATATCTGCAGCTGAAGGAGACACTATAAACGACAGCGATGAGACAAAAAGTTGGATTCAGCAAACAGGAACTCTGCCCCCGAAGGGTAACCGAGTGGCAGCACAACTTCTCGGTTTCAAACTACGATATTACTCCTCGGGCGCACGAAACCCATCCGATGTCCTTCCTGATAATCTAATATATCTTGCGGCGCTCCTCATCAAAGTTGGCTTCATATCTCTGCGGGACCTATACCCTCATCTTTGGAGGCCAGACGAGTCCATGGATGCTTTAAAGGAGGAGAAAATGAAGGAGAAAGCAGAGAGGGAGGCAGCCGCTCGCCATGGCGGAGCTGTCAATGCCTTGATGACAGCCGGTGCACTGGTAGATGATACTCTACCACCCCCTCCTCGAATTCGAGAGCCAGATGCGAGATCTGCGACCCCTGCGCGAGACCACGATCATGACCAGGATAAATCGGTACCTTCCAAGGGAGATGACAAGGAACAACTTCCAGAACCCGCAGATCAGAAGGTCCTACTATTAAAAAGTCTGCTTGCTATTGGCGCTCTTCCGGAATCCTTATACATCTTAGGAAAGTTTCCGTGGTTATTGGACGCTTACCCCGAGCTTCTCGAATTCATCCATCGCATTATTCACCACTGCTTAAGCAAGGTCTACAACAGCGTACGGCCACTGGTAGAGCGAGAGGAACTTAAGAGCCGAAAAAAGATCGTTAGCACAGATCAATCCATCACATTATCTGGCAAAATTCGACTTGGGGATCCGTCGCCTCGACGTATTCTCCGCTGGGCATTGCTAGACAAAGAAGATACTAACGATGGCACCGATTATCGCTTCTACTGGGATGATTGGGCGGATAATATCCCTATTTGTCAATCTATTGACGACGTGATCGCTCTCTGTGGCTCATTTTTGAACCTTTCCGGAGTGAAAATTGGCAATGACCCCAGTTTACTCACAAAACTCGCCCGCATTGGCAACCACAGCCTGAAAACCGATACGTCCGATGCTAATAACGTTCGTTGGAGAGACCTTTGCAAGCGTCTGCTCGTTCCCGCCCTCAGTTTGACCAAAGTCAACCCCGGAGTTGTCAACGAAATCTTCGAATTATTACAGCATTTCCCTCAGGATGTTCGATTTTCTATCTACGCGGAATGGAACGTTGGACAGATTTCCAGGCTACCAGATATCAAATCAGCATTCGACCTTGCTCGCGCCCAGACGAAGGACTCGTTAAAACGATTAAGCAAAACTAATCTCCGACCGATGGCGAGGACACTGGCCAAAATCGCGTATGCAAACCCTGGAATAGTTATCAACGTTGCCATCAGCCAGATCGAGTCCTACGAAAATTTGATTGAAGTTATCGTTGAATGTGCGCGGTATTTTACCTTCCTGGGCTACGACATCTTAACTTGGGCATTGGTGAATTCGTTAGGACAAAAAGGGCGGAGTAGGATGCAAGCTAGTGGTTTACTTGCAAGCCGATGGCTAAATTCTCTAGCCGCTTTTGCCGGCAGGGTCTTTAAACGATACTCGAGCATCATGAACCCGATCCCGGTCCTTCAATACGTTAGCGATCAATTACGTCAAAACAACTCTACGGATCTCCTTGTGCTGGAGCAGCTCATTAGCTCAATGGGAGGCATTGTCACTGATAACAGCTTTAACGATGCACAACTCCAAGCTATGGCTGGCGGAGAAGTGCTCCAATCTCAGACAATGCTACAATTATTGGATAAGCGACACGAGTCCAAAACAACCTCTAAGAGGCTCATGAAATCGTTGTTTGATTCAAACTTGGCTGGATTGCTCCTTATCGCGATGGCACAGGAACGGGTTACCTGCATTTTCAAGGAGTCTGAATCCGAAGCGGAATTGAAACTACTTGGTAATATATTTGATGAAACACATCGTGTGTTAACGCAGTACTTGGACCTCCTTCGATCCAACTGCACGGTGGAGGAATTCGACTCTTATGTTCCCGACGTTGTATCTCTGATTAGCGAGTTTGGGTTACAGCCTGAGGTGGCATTCTGGATATCACGCCCAAGCATCGCTCAACGCGTAGCCGATATGAATAAACAAATACAGGAAGCCGCAGCAAAGAAGGGAGAACCTGAAACCTCAACGCCAGATAAAGGTGCCAACGGTGATATCGAAATGGGCGAAGACAAAGACGTTACTGAGTCAACAACTACACAGGATGGAGCCATGTCTGTGGATGCGCAAGCACCAGCCGACGATGCAAAATGTGGCCAAGAATCGAACGCCCTGGCCTCCGTCGGTACTGAGAAAGCAACCAGTGCGGTTTCACCGTTCAATGCGGTTGTTGAAGAACTCATGGAAAAGATGAAAGCATCAGCACCTGAGTCCCTCTGGGAAGTTGTCGGCTTGCCATTCTATGTCACATTTTGGCAACTCTCGTTGTATGACATTTATGTGCCACAAAAATCTTACGAAGACGAAACGGAACGCCTTAAGAAACGAGTTATTGCCATCTCACATGATAGAATGGACATGAGCTCGGCTGGCGCCCAACGCAAGGAGAGAGAAAAGAGGCAGATCAATGAGCTTCACGATCAGATCCTGGATGAAAATAAAAGGCACATCAAAGCCTATGGCCAGACCCGCGCAAGATTACAAAAGGAGAAGAGCCAATGGTTTGTTGGCATGCGTGTGAAACATGAGCCTCTAAATATTGCGCTGATGCAGCAATGTTTTCTGCCTCGTGTCCTGCTTTCTCCTATTGACGCCTTCTACAGTTTCAAAATGCTCAAATACCTACATTCGTCTGGTACCCCTAACTTCCGAACGGTGGGACTCTTGGACCAACTCTTCCGGGATCAACGATTAACAAGTATAATATTCCAATGCACGGCCAAGGAGGCCGATAATTTTGGTCGTTTTCTCCATGAACTGCTCCGTGACCTCAGTAGGTGGCACGCAGACAAGGTTGTATATGAAAAGGAGGCATTCGGAGCCAAGCGTGATCTTCCCGGATTTGCCAGGACCATGGACCCCGAGGGAAAGCCCACCACATTCCTAGACTATGAGGACTTCCGTCGCATCTTATATAAGTGGCATCGGCAGTTAAGTGCGTCTCTGAAAACTTGCTTGTCGGGAGGCGAGTATATGCATATTCGAAATGCAATTAGTGTTTTGAAAGCTGTTATGCAGTACTTCCCAGCAGTCAACTGGATTGGTCGAGATATGCAGACGTGTGTGGTTGCATTAACAAACTCCGATCCGCGAGATGATATCAAGATCCCCTCAGCGACCTTAGTAGGGGATTTGAGTAGGAGAGAGAAGAAATGGCTCCTCCCACAGGCCTTCACCATTTTGAACCCTCAAGCCGCTAGTGGAGAGACTGGAACTAATACGCCCAAAAATGAATCTGGACAAGAAGACAAGGCCGCCAGTGGTAAGCCGCGGACACCACAATCCCAGTCAATAACGCCCAAACCCCTAAGTGCTACTGCGCCTGAGTTCCAGCCGACTGCTACAGCCATTAAGTGAGTCGATCCCACCACCACCACCACCATGTAAATATATCCCCGCGAGCAATTTCTGATGACCTATAGGACAAATGGAACAACACTTTCGCCTGCAGCTGGCCGGTTAGAGGTCGAGGATGGGGAGATTGAAGATGCGAAGAAGGAAGAGGTAAAAGTGGTAGAGGAGACCGGTCAGGCCCGCTTCAGCAACCGTGCTACACCAATGCCAAAACCAACCGGCCAGACGGGTACATCTGATGAAACGACGGAAGATCACAAGGGTCAAACCCCATCCGCGCAAACACAAGAATCAGCAGCACCTCAGGATCACCGCAGCACCACTCCCGTCCCGAACAAAGATGACCTCCGTGCTCGGGATACAGGTAACGACATGTCTCCTCAGTCTGCATCCGGCACCAGAAGCAGGACACCTTCGGAATCATCGCATCTATCCAGCTCCTCCAAACGCATAGAAGTTGATCGACATGGCAGCAGTGGCACAGGACTTCGTCCACCAGCCAATCTTCCCAATAAGCCAGATCTTCCTCGTCAGTATAGACATTCTGACCTGAGAACACCTGGAATGCGGCCAACGGATATTCCTAGCGATCGACGAGACGGGCGAGACTACAAGTATCCTGAGCAGGGCCGTCTTTCTAGATATGGACCTCATGACCATGACCGGTTATCTGACCACCCGAGCGCAGTTGATTCCCGTAGTTTTGGTCGACTTTCAGAAAAGGACATGGCCCGCCGGCCTTACGCAGAAGATCATATGGGCCGACCACCTCATATTCGAGACCCAGTAGGTTCCCGGGATCAAGAATGGAGAGAACGACATAGTCGAGGCAGACTAAATCCGCCAGACCACCCAAACCAGAGGCCAGATCAGCCTCGAGCTCCGCGAGATGAGGATAGCAATGTAGGCCGACAGGCCAATATGCAACATCCTCAACACGAATACCCGCACCGCCCACTCGTAAGGCCACAAAGAGAAGACAGAAGACCACCGCACGGCTCGCGCCCTCCAACCCCTTCGCAACAAGAGGACAATCGCCCTTCGTCTCGAATGGACAGACACGACGAGAGAGATGACAGAAATCCTCCAAGCCGTCCTGTACAACCTGGCCCTCCTCGCCACGATGAACTACCTAGCGGCCCCCGTTCAAATCGGCCTTCGCATGCGAATGCTCCAGATAACCGCTTGCCTCCCGATCACCAGCGGGATGGACGAATGGGCCATCCACCACCCCCTGACCCTACATATGGGCGTTTAAATCAGGATTCACGATTCCCTCCTAGTCGTACCCAGGACACCTTTGAGCGTAATCAAGATATTCCTTCCGGACCGAGGCGGAACCCATCTGGTCGTGGTAGTAGATCCGTTTCTACTACCGGCCCTCACACATCTACCTCATCAGCTGCCCCGGCCAACCCTGATCGCCAGCCTCCTACCGGACCAGCAGGCTGGACTGGTCCACGAACCCAACCCCATCAGGACCAGCCTGCTCAAGGCACTGGAGCCTCTGAAGACCCAAATGCGAACCTCAATAAAATGGATACTTCTGGAATTCATCCCGACCGACTCAGAGCCATACAAGGGCCAAATGACCATGGCTTTAGACCTGGCGGTCCGCAGTCCCAGCAACAGCCTCAGCAACAGGCAGCACCGCCTCCACCACCGCCACCACCACCGCCGCCATCGATAGCTCCTCCATCCGGACCTAGGGGAGGCGCTCATGGCCCGCCAAGTGCGTCACCAACCACCCGCGGTCGGCCATCCGGTATACCCTTCTCTGGGGAAGGCGGAAGGGGTGATAAACGATTCGCTGGCCTCAATAACATGTTGCAGCAATCTTCAGGGTCTGCAGGTGACAAACCCGGGCAAGGCTCGATGGGTCGAAGCAGAGGGCCACACAGACAAAGCGGCTCTATCAGCGGACCATCGCCTCAATCAGGGAGACCTCAACCTCCAAACGATGCCCATTCAGCTAGCAACAACACTGGAAGGTCGGAATTATTCCCATCGCGCTCCAATGGGTCTGCGCCGCAACAGCAGCAGGAAGAAGACAGCCGTAGGTCGGGCAGATCCAGCCGTCGAAGCGAAATCATGGATGAAGCATCAAGCTCCAAACGCTCTCCACAATCAAGCATTTCAGGCCCTCATACCCCTGATCGCCCTACTGACAGGCCTAGCGATCGCGACAGGGACCGTGAGCGCCGCACAGGCGAAGACAGCACAAGGAGCAAAGACAGCAAGAAGGACGACCGTCGAGATCGTCCACGAGAGCGTGACCGTGACCGTGATAGAGGTCGAGTTGATGAAGTTGTTGATCGAGAGGACACCAGGGGTTCACGTGATTCTTCTTCCCGCCGCAGCGGACACAGTTCAGGGGTAAATGCTACCGACGTGACGCCCACGAGCAGTCGAAGGAGAGATAAGCGGGATCGAGACGAGGGACGCGGCTCTGGAAACAGCGGCGGCAGTAGTAGCAAGGGAGTTCCGCTCCCACCTCCTCCACCGCCGCCTCCACCGCCCGAGAGACAGCATGAAAGATGGGGCGGTGCAGGCGTCGGCCGCAGTGATGACAGGACTCGGGAGCGTGGTGACCGCGAGAGTGATAGGGGAGGAGATCGTGATAGGGAGCGAGACCGCAGTGGAAGAGGCCGGGACCGTGATAGAGATCGCGGTCGGGACAGAAGGGACGGGCCAAACCCAGGGCCAGGGCCGGACGGAAGGGGACCACCTCTAACTCCAACAGGCGGCCCTGGGGGCGTTGCTGGGAACACTGGCAACAATACCTGGCCACGGAAGCGCGGTAGACCTCACGGTATCGGTGGAGATGAAGGGGGCCATGACAACTCGCCAACTATGGGCGGGCCGATGCGACCAGGCACCGAAAACAAACGGCAGAGACGTTGAAATCTACTACACAACCAACCTTACCATCATCATCATCATTATAATTCTCACAATTTTCCAGCATTACACTCTACGCTACGCTTACCCACTACATTATCTACTCTTCCTTGACATTTATTTTCTTCTTATTGTGTTGTTAGTTAGGAAACGGGACCAACGGGGGAAGCATGCATCTTAAAGAGTTTGTTAAAATTTCCCCTCCATTTTATATGTTATAATAGGCGTTCGTCAGACTCAGGTCTAAGTTACAGAGATCGAAAAATGAAATATTCAGCTTCTTGTTGGGAAAGCATGGGATCTAGCGATTTGTTCACCCTCCTTTGTCGATTTTCTTCTCGATTGTATTAGATTCACCTCTTGTTTACTTACTTGTCTAATAAAGGAGATACGATAGCATGAATTTGTTCTCAGCAAAAACAAGATTGACTACATGAAGTGCTTCTCAGCAAACGACAAGATGTTCGACTATATGAAGTGCTTCGCGCAGCAAGCCCGAGGCTGAATTTTTGAGTTTCGCCTTGCTCTACGAACTATTTCTATAGGATGGAGAGGAGAACTATATCAGATCGGTTATTAGAGACCCCGCACTTTCGATACAGGGATCTTAATGCATGCAGGTCGTATTCATTATGAGTAAGAAATGCAAGTTCGGTCGTAAAACGTGGAGATGCAACCGTGAATGTTGGACGAGAAGAAGGAAACCCTGGATAGATGCAAAGTGAAGACAAGATGACAGAAGGGAATTTAGAGAATGAGGGTAAGCATTTTGATGCCGGGTATATGAAAAGAGACGATCGATCCCAACTGCGCCTCCTGGGAGTCGTATTAAAACTTAGTAGAAGGCTCAGAAAGAAAGAAAAAAAAGTAGAAAAGAGAAAAGAACGCTAACCACGCCGAGTAGAGAAATGGGTGTGAGAGAATGAGACATCTCAAGACGAAAATGTATCCGGGCTTGTGTATGAAGAGCCAATAAGTGAAGGCGCCGCTCAGGCAGCCTCTACCACCACGCCCAGGCCCACGTTGGGCCTGTCAATGCTCGATGTTTTCTTTTTGTTGAACCCGAGTTTCGCAAACTTCATCACCAAGGTTTGCACTCGTGACAACTGTGCTTTGGAATGGGAATTTGGATTGGTGTTGGTGCTGGTGATGGTATTGGAATTAGGGGCGGTAGGAGGAGGTGTGATATCGGCTACGTCCGTAGTGGCGGTGGCAGTGGTCGTAGTGGTAGATGTGGTGGCAGCGGTACTTATGGTTGAATCAGTGGTACTGGATGAACTCCGCTGAAACGAGGGATCTGTGTCTGAGACTGAGGCTCGCGTTGCCACAGGTACGAGCCCCGAGCCCTGGGTTGGGACTCTCGGTGTACTTTCGGCATGTTGCACGATGTCTGCGTCCGTGGGCATCAGAGTCTCCGTATCGCTATCCTCAAAGTGCTGTCCACCAGTGGAAGGATGAGTGCCAACTGTCGCTGGCCCGGATCCGGCCCTGGCATCAGAAACAGGTGGCGATAAGGGGATCGGCCTAGACGGCGAAGTGGGCGACTCTGACGCCTGGTGGAGGCTGGGAACCTGGCAGTTCTGGGTGGTGTAGGGGAAAGATGTATCCTCGACGATGACGCCGGTCTCTGTGTGCGGAGGAGCAGATATTGTTCGGCGTATCTCCATGTCTGATGCCGGGGAATGCGCAGTGACAAGGCCGGCACTTTTGGGTGCTATCAGGGCGGAGTTGGGTGACAGGTTAGGCGGGGGAATGTCTGTGAGAACTGAGGGTCGATGGCGGGTATCAGGACGAGATATTGCTAGTGTGGTATGCTCGGTAGATGGCATCTGTCGGTGAAAAGAGCTGTCTCCGAGTGTTCTATCTCCCATAGGCCGTTGACCAGCCGGAACAGCTGCCAGTTTGCGTCGTTCATACTCGCGTTGAAAGTAGACGGGATCCGCCTGGGGGATTCGGGGACGCTGGACCGTCTGGCCCTGGGATTTGACCTTATGATATAGCAAGATACAGGCATGTCGGAGGTGAACTAGGGTCGTAGGGTCGATTTCCTGTTTATCCGTCAGGGGGGAGTCTGGACGGAAGGGAACCGGGGTATCATTGAAGTTGTAGTATCTCGATTCATCCTCTACAGGCGGCGGAGGATGCGGAGACTGAAAGGGACGTTTCTATACAGAAACGAGGTCAGTCATGTTCTTAACGGCGATATAAAGAAGATATAGCAGATATAGCAGATATAGCAATATACAAGACATACTGCACTAGTAAACTTGAAATTGAACCTCCGCCGCATGGCGACGTCCCATGTTTGCTGGGTTATCATCTTTGCCAGCAGACAGCCTGTTCTATCGGAGAGAAGGCGGCTCTATCACGGTCTGGCGGTGCTGTTGCTACGTCTGCGTCGTCGCGCCCTTGTTGCGCCCTTGGGACGCGGCTAGGGGGAGGTTTATGAGAAGAGCTCTCGAGTTGGAGGGTGGTCGGTCCCCAGCGATGCGCAGCCCAGATCTGACGGTGAGATACAACGCCTTCTATCCTATAAATAGGATGCGCGGGAGGCTCTAGAGGAGCAGGAGAAGTATTTATTGGCCGGCTCGGGTCTGCTGATGGGTGGTACTAGTCCGACAAGCCATCGTGCGGAGAAGGGGAAGAAGCAGACGAAGAAGCAGACGAAGAAGAAGCGGAAGAAGAAAAGGAAGATGGAGAGAAGAAAGATGAAGAAAGACGGCGCTCCGGGCCATGCAAACGCCATCGTGAGGCCATGATGTGCATACCGAAGAATGTGTCTCGATGCGCTGCGATGGTCGACGATGTCCGAGGATGGCTCGCTGTACCTCCACATGCAGGCGAGGTACTTGTCGCTTGGCGTGTCCTCGGCCGGCGGCAGAAGTACCCCTGCCCCTGCTCGCCTACTATTATTTAAGCCGCAGCCATAGCGCACCATAGTCAGCCATAGTCCGCCATAGTTGCCCCTATCAAAGCCGCTGGCCGGCCCCTTGAAATTGGTCAAGCCGTCTGCGAAGACACGAGGCAGTCTTTTCCATACGGATAGTTGGATACTAATATGGTCTGGGAGAGATCTACAGTCTGCCAGTCTGTCCGCAACACCTGGCCTTTAGTCCTACGGGCAAGGGGCTATCACACGCTGTGCCACTCCACAACGGCGCTATTGATACACAATTTTCTCGCCTACATGCGCGAATAGAAGACAAGTGCAGAGTATATATATGTACGGAGTATATCGAAGCTAATGCCCCACGCTATTTGACCATCGCTTCCTCGGGCCACTCGTTCGGTTCCTTGAGGGCCTGGCTCGTCTATATTTAAAAGCGAGTCCACAGCATGGCATCGGAGTACCGACAACACATCGAATTACGGAGTACATGCTCTCGAACATATATTTAAAGAGTATAACGGAACGAAGGCGCCTTATCGCCCAGCTCGGTCAGTTCCTCGTCAGTCAGTCCTTGGTTTCCTTCACGTTCTCGCTTAGCGTTGATGCGCTTGTAGGTAATGCGCATGAAGATGACCGATATCAGACCTGCAACCAGGAACCCCAGCTCGAGAGCGTGACCAAGAGTATATTTCGGCGCATCTTGGGCACGATAGAAGTTGGATGCCATTGCTAGAGGAATCGAGTCAGATCTCTTGCCATATGTAAAGACATGTTCAGAAGGGAAGGGCTTACCTCCAGACATGTTGCCTACTCCAATTTGGAATGCCATGCCTGCAGAACGCTTGTAGCTCCCAGCCAGGTTATTGGCCAACCATGTTACAGCGCCGGGGAAAGCAGGATAAATCCCTATGATCATGTCAGCTTTGGGTGTTCGCTTTGTTCCTTCTCAAATGTAGGATCCTTACCGCAGATGGCGATGAATACACCTGCGTAAACCACGCCAGGGAGGCCTCTTCCAGCTGCAGAGATACAGATGATAAACCCTATGCCGATAAACGACATGAATACGAGGACAAAGGGCGAGCGCTTGCCGGCTCGATCAGAGTACCAGGCGACTATAACTGCAAGGGTAGCGGCCGTAACATAGATTGGGACGGTCAGCAGCTGTGCCGTTGAGGTCTTGTATCCTAAATCCTTGATGATACTTGGCAGGAACAAAGAGGTGCCATAGAGTGGGCAGATGATTCCCACGCAAACTGTTGCCATAGGTTAGCCTTGAAAGAAAAGGAAAATCACAGAGTGGTGGGGCTGATGCGTACCGAACAACGATGCATAGACTTGCCAATCCGTAAATGCCTCCTTTATGTACTTCCATTTGAATTCCTCGGTCTGGGGGATTTTCTTCCCGGATGTACCAGATCCTTGGAACTTGAGACGATGAATCACGAATTCCCGCTCCCTCTGGGTCAAGAATGAAGCAGTTTCGGGAAAGTCTTCGAGAAAGAAAAAGGCACCAACGGCCACAACGACGGTAAGAAGGCCCTCCAGGATGAAGATCCATCGCCATCCTTCATATCCTCCCACTCCGTGCATTTTCTAAATTTGTCAGTGAGACGGGATTGAACATAGTGGCTGTACGGGCACAACATACCGCAATAGCAAAAGCTAATAGTCCGGAGAAAGCACCAGCTATACTGGCAGCACTGAAGAATAGAGCTTGTCTAAGTTGGACCTCATGTCGGCAATACCACATAGTGATGTAATATGCAACACCAGGGTATAGTCCAGCCTCTAATGATAATCAGCCTCCAGAAGTCAAAGTGTATAGTCAAGGTCCGGCCTTCTTACCAGCAACGCCTAAGAAGATTCGCGAGATCAAAAGCCCTTTGTAATCTTTCACAATTCCCATCAAGGTCTATAGTAGAGTTTAGCGTTTTTAGTCATGCACTCCGGTATAGGATCTGCCTACCATGACTGTTCCCCAAGCGAGCATGATAGATGGTAGATCTGATCAAAAGACAGGTTAATCATCGGTCGTTTTATAGATTGGAGTAAGGCATCTATGGTGTCTCAAACATACAGATCGACGGGCGGAGTCTTTTCAGCAAAATGTTAGACGGAACCTCAAAGGTTGAATAGGTAAAGAAGAACACCGTCACTAAAGGTATAGCATCAATGTTAGCATCTAATCAATTGAACCGGTGAATTGGATATGCAGAATAGGGGGACCTCAACTTACAACACCAGTTAAACTGGCCTGCTTTCAGGCCCAAATCAACATCCAACCCTTCAATCTTCGCATTTCCGATGTTCCCTCTATCGAGGAAGGATAGCAGGTAAAGAATCGCAAGCGCAGGAATCAGATGAGTGTCCATTTTCCTAAGGACTTTCTTTTCATCCATATCTGAGAAATCATGCTCCGCGCTCGAGGCGGACTCAGAATCACCCCCTTCCTTCTCCAGGGTGCCAGATTCGTTGTTTCGCTCAACATCCTCATGCACTTCCACCACTGGCTTCTTCTCCGTCCCTTCTGGAGTAGATGGTGACCCCATTTTCGCCGCTGTAAATGGTCAAGAGGGCGACGGCAGGAATGCAATGGTGAATGGAGGAGGGGGGCAAAAGCAGACTCCCGTAGCAAACCTGGGCAACCCTGGCATATATACCCTTGTGTATACTATTGTATGTATACACTTATACACCGTGCACATCACCCGCCCGCATTCCGCCCTTCTTCTTCTCACAGGGATGTATGCTTTCGATGCAGTTCTTGGCCCTGACGATGGAAACAGGACCGATCACCGTAAGGAGTTAGTCAAATACCCCAGACTCTCTCCTTTGCCTGTCGAATCCACGCCCAAGCTGCATACTATTGGCATCGCTCAGTTCAAGCCTCTAAGCCAGAACCAGGTGCGGCAAATTGAACCTGGATGAGGCCAATGGCTGGCTGCGACGGACAGCTAGTTGGAGGCGATCAATTGTTAGCCTAGGTTAACGGCATGCACGGTTGAAATTCAAAGATCGGAAAAGCCTTCGTTCTCCATGATTAAACAAGTTAAACATGGCCGATTGACCTATCCAAGAACCCGCCGCTGTCGTAACACATTTTATACCAAGCAATTGTCTTCGGCGAGTGGGTTCCTCTGACAACTTAGCATCATCCTCAAGGGTTACCCTAGCCCAATCCCTACCAATGTTGCTGGAGGCGGACTCAAGCGCGAATTAGGGTCACAGCAGACTGCCGTCGCCATTGTCAATAGTCCATTTTGCCTTCCGCCAGGTGCTGCGATCGGAATCAGCCATCACGCGACGGCTAGCGATTAAAGAATCGATCATTAATCCGGCTTGTGAAAAGGGACTATCAATCCCACTGTGTGACCGTTTTCTAGAAATGCAGGTAAACGATCGGCGCGCATGGGGGAGAGAATAGCAAGGACGGAGTAACCATATTTGATTAACATTTGGGATCGGAGGCGCGGTTGGCATCTTTCTCTGCACATGGAATGGGAGCTTAAATGCTAAACTGCGCACCCCCTGGCCGTCTAGTCTTTAAATCCAGGCTGGTTTTGCTGCTACAAGAAGACCCCTGTACTCCGTATAATTACTCTGTCCACTGTCTGAAAGAATACCCAAAGAAAAATAATTGTTCGTATATAAATCTATCGCTTAGTGTAATTAGTATTAGATATTTCAACCTTTCTGCAAGACGACAATTCCGCTCGGTCAAAGAGGCAAACCTTCCAAGACTTATTATTCCGCTGCGTCTCCATATCTCCACGATTTCAAGGACAACTCGTGGACCCTGGGTCCAAATGCTGCCGCCTTGGCGTTGATTTGGGCTAGAGTGCTGGCGCTGCGTGGAGGGCTGCATGTATGTAAGTACCAGGGTTAAATGGCGAACAGCTTGTGATTATCATACTTATGTATCCTGAGTACGGACCCAGAGTACAGACCCCATTTGATATCCCCAGTTCGCGCACGGCTGGTGCCGCGGTTAAGGAGGTACCCTCCACCGTTCGAAGTGCTCTCAAACTTGTTCTACTGCGTTCCCCTCGGCATTAGGCACACCAAGTTTATTTCACCAAGGCGTAAATTTCCTCTCCCAAATGATGCCATGGTTGTCGGGCTTAGATCCGCGTGTCGGGTTTGTCGGCTACGCTGAGAGTCTTTGTTGGGCTATCGAATCCAGAATGAAGGCATAGACCCAACGGAGCGGGTGGGCAGCCAGGGGCGTTGGCAAGGCTTTGCATGTCCTTCCCCCTTATCCAACAATTTTGCCAGGGTTTCTGGCACGCCCCTGACACCTAGGATCCTTTTCTCATTATCCCTCTCCTTCGTCCTTCACTTCCTCCCTCTCAGTAAAACCATTCCAGGCCCGCGAGGTTGCGATAATGCCATATCCCCATTGATTCGATATTCGCAAATCCCGATTTGTCGCATCTACTTCACACCAGTTCATGCTTCAGCACAAAGCGCGGTATCCGTCTCCTCGCACGCCTTGTATAACCGAGAACATTCGATGTGATCATGAGAGCGAAACCTGCTAGAATGAAGATCCATAAGTAGTGGTACAACCACGAGAGGATGGCGACATCATTTCCATGCCATGTGGAACCGGGAAAATGCGAAAAGAAAGCGTATTCGGTCGTGTCATAGAATATCGTCGGTATGATGGCGAGACCATGTGGTTCCTTGTAGGTTGCAGCCAGAGTATTCCCATCGGCTCTTGGTAGCCGATGCCACGATGCGATAATGCTGCACAAAAACATCGGCCCAGTGGTAAAGAAAACCGTTATATATTTACTGATATACCACACGTTATGCTCATGCAGGCTTAATGCGGCTTTTATCATCAACGGATGACCTGGCGAACTTGCCATTACGTCGTTGCTCACACCAAAGGGCCATGTTCGCGGAAGAAGTGCGGGATATTCTAGCAACGGGCGAATATCACGACGGCATCCGACATCCAAATCCAAGTATACTCCCCCATAATGCCAGAGGAGGAAATATCGAAGTGAATCCACCCGTTGAATGCCGTATCTATACCCATCGTATGTTGGCAAGAACCATGGAAATTTTGTCTCGATAAATTGGCGCGCCGTCTCGTCAGTCCAGAAGTAGTGCGTATACTCGGGAAGCAAGATCTGACAGGAGTTATAGGCGTTTTGCCAAATTTCCGGGAACTCCGGGGTCTTATAGGTTCGGTGGATGATATGCGGTATGGGTGTCGCTAAATCGTCTTTCGGGAGGGTGACGTTGTACGTTGGCTGGTGTTTGCTGATAGCTTCATCGAGTGTCTTCACGTAGCTCTGCGGGAGGTCATCTAGCGACAACGAATTTCGATTAAGGACCGAATTAACAAAATGTATAAAGTAGACGGACGACGCAAAAATATACAGGAACAATAAGAGAACAGTGACTAAGACAGGGGCATTCCAAGCAAAATTGAGCAGATGTAAGGATAGATTACGAGCCTGCCTCCTTTTGCTAAAGATATAGCCAAAAAGAGACATCGTAATCGAGGGGTGAAATTTGGCGGCGTCGCCTTGACAGCGCGCGAAAGGACGAAGATCCCCATGGTTCATATATAGCCTCCATGCTGCCGGAGACTAGCAAAGAGAATTGGGTAGTGCCGCTACAGGTCTCCACAAGCCGGACGAAAAATAGCAGCCTGGAGGAGACCTCCGGTCACCTTTCGTTCCCTCATTCGGCAGATTCCTTGGGCCGCGAATGTGTCCCGCCTAGGCTGTTTTAGTGGTTTGAGAAATTTAGGAGCAACTACCACTAACTCCTCCTGCATCACATGGAGAGGGGCCCTCAAGCAAATGGATACAGAAATCCCATCCATTCGGGGAGACAGATTGTAACTGGCCAACGACGTCGAGATGTCAAGCGAATAAGTGGACCGTGGCGTATGCCCTGAAGAACTCTGTTTCCGCGAATGGTCTAGTCACCGTTGGAAATTAGCTTGTTCCTTTGTGACTGAATCCTGGGAGGCGACGCTATATGTCAGTCATTGAGACAGGCCAATGACGACCAGCTTGACCAAATCATAATTAAACAGTGCGCAGATTATGCGGGTCCAACAGAAATCCTTCCCCTGAGAGATTGGTTGAGTGCTTGATGGATGGTTGGCGAAAAAGCTTACGAAGGAATATTAGAGTCTATTTGGACTTCGTTTCCTCCCGACACACCGCGTCGAAAGGAATTGGTTGGTATTAATAGACGAAACGGACGGATGGATGGCCTGCATGGGCTGGCGTAGGGATAAGGTCCCGGCTTAATCGCATCCGGTGCTAGCCCATTTGAGAGCGAGAAAAAGTCTCTCTAAAAAAGACCATTTTTATCAACATATCAAAGGTTACGGGGTATGCAGCGTTAGCAGGAGTTTAAAATAACTGGGGTTGACGAGAAAACGTACCGTGGGCGGCGCAGTTTTATATATGTAATGATGCGCCTTTCGTATCCGCGTTGACGTGGCCTGATGAGGCAATCTTACTCGATGGTTTTCAAGCGCCAAAACACGTGTTTTGTTCGGCGATTCGCTGGTGATGTGCCTCGAGCGGTCAAAGTTGCAGTCGAGGTGGAAGGCATTGGTCGAAAAGATAGCTGAACAGCGACCAAGACGCCTTATTTCGCTGTTTGGCTGGTCAGTGTTCATTTTTTCGCCGAACTTGCATACGAATTCGACTTGGTACGCGCGGAGCTGGCACGGGACTTACCTACCATTAGGCACGGAAGATATCAATCTCCCCATGCAGCCGAGCTCGAAGTGGTACATATACATGTGCCACTATTTTTAATGTCGCATGCGTAAGCGCACACAAAGAACTCGTCATCCAGGCCTATAGCATCCCCCATGCAAGCCTGGAAGGAAGGCGGCGCCAGGTTGTTAGATTGGCTGCGCAGTAAGCTGTTATCTTGATAAGGTTTGGCAAAGAAACACTGTCTGGCCATGCGATTTTTCAGCTGAACTGCGTTGTTGTTGAATACATAAACATGTCTAAGCTCCAATTGGTAGGAATGCGCGCTTCATATGGACAAAAAGGCAAAAGTTGACAAAAATATACATAGCGGGGAAGTGCAAAAACCCACTAAGGTATGTACGTAAGTAAGAGTCTGGTCAGAGCAGTTGGATGCCCAAAGTTCGAAAAGAGGAAGGAAAAAAAAAAAAGGGAAAAAAGAAAAACTGCCAAAAAAATGAGTAGACACCGCAAAACCAATATGACGGCGCTGCTGAAGTCGCCGGTCTGGCGGCATCTCCGGGACTGTAATCACCAGGCCGTAATATCGTCCACCTCTGCCTCGCCAAACGTACTGCTCTTCGTAAGCTCACCAACGTGATCGCCGTCGACGTTGGCGTCAGTCCCCGAAGTCGCCATAACTTCAGGCAGGACTTCCCTGAAAAACTCCAGAATATGTCGATTCACCTGCTCAAACTGCAGTAGGAAAGCGTCGTGGCCTTCTGGACTGTCGATGGTCTTCAGCCGTGCATCTGGAATTCCATCTGCGATCTCCTGCTGTTCAGCAAAGGTGAATAGTCCATCACTTTCAATTCCAAGAACAAGTGCCGGTTGCTCGATCTGAGATAGCGCGTCTTTGACAGGTGTTGGGGACGACTGGTCTGCACGATGTCTTGAGACGTCATGTGTATCTAGTTTACGGGTAATCGCGATATAGCAGTTACTATCGAAACGCTTAACGAACTTCTCTCCCTGGTATCGCAGATAGGATTGGGCTGAAAAGTAGGTTGTGGGGCGTTTGGATACATCTAGCGAGGCGACCGATGCTGGTGATGCAAGTATAGGTGCGTTTGCTGTGTATACAGTTGCACCGGTGAACTGGGGGTCGGTGAACTGAAGCTCAGTTTGCTGCACTGGCGTCAGAGTCCCACTTGGCGGCTGAGATGGCCGCGTGCTTCTATGACCATCGTTGTGAACAGCCCAGTGCTCGTTTGGCGGCGTCGGCAGGCGCTGAGTCCCATTGATATTCTGCCGCCTTGACGGATCAGGCACATTCCGACCGAACCGGGCTTCAAACGAGTTTCGGCTACGATAAGTCAGAAGGGCTGACATACGGGCAGCACCGAGACCTGTAGCAGGTGGGTCATCAAACGGATAATATCCATCTTCGTATTTCGGGTCACTGTAGACGCTCTGTCTCTGTGCCTCGCCCCAACTTATACCCCACGCCGAGTGCCTGCTTGATGTTGCGATCGGTACGATACATCGGACGTAGTCCTTTCCAAAATACGCATATTCCAGAGTCAGCATCCCACCCATGGAACCACCAACCACGGCGGCTATCTGGCGGACGCCCAGATCATCTAGGATGACCTTATGGAGGCTATGTTGGGTCAGCAAACGTTTTGTGTTATAACGTCCAAGTTCGCATAGGTCATCCCGTCTGCTTACTTGACATCGTCCCGTATAGTTGTGAGTGGGAATTCAGGCCCATATATCCCTCTTGTCGAGTCACCATCCTTATAGGTGACCGCGCTGGCCGTGCCATAGGGACTACCCAGACTGTTCAAACAAATGATGAAGAACCTTGTGACGTCAAATGCCTGTCCAGGACCACCAAGCAGCGGTCCCCACCAGTCACCAACATCGGCACTGCCGCTCAATGCGTGGCATACCACCAGCGCGTTATCTCGTGCTGGGGAAAGTTTGCCCTTGGTTGTATATGCTACAGGGACATTATATAGCGTAACACCAGATTCAAGGGTGAAGGAAGGCACAATGGCAATAGATTGATCAGGTATCAGTTTCGAAAACGGATTCTCAGGCTGACATGCGACTCTCTCTACGGGATTTAGTAGCTGTTCACCAACGGCTCAAAGATTTGGAGGGAGGGGGGTAGTCAACTGACGGAGCTTTGGTTGGTGGAGAGCGTCGTCTCCGCAGTCAGCAGCCATTGTGGCGGTAGAGATAAGCCCAACGGAGCAGCCTGCTGGATGAAACAAGACGACACCTATGGCTCTTCAGGACGGTATACGAGTGATAATGGCCAAACGGAAGTGAGGTTGGGGGGGTGAAGTTTTTATGTATGCTCCCGCAGTTATCGGGATGGATCACGGGCTGACGCCACCGCCCACCAATCAGGCCGGCAGAATATAAACCTCGGTCATCGGAGTTTAGTTCTTCCACTTCCGCATGGGCTATTGACGGAAACGGAAGTCGCCCGGCCTGGGCATTCTCGTACGTAATATGATCTTCTTCTCCTTCTTCTTCTTCTTCTGCTTCCTTCAGGAGCAAACATCCTCATCCTTCGTCCGTATACCCATGTATACCCATGCGAAGGTTTATATTAGACATACCGGGCACTTGTTACGGCTTCTAAACGGCGGGATGCTGCATACCTGAACCACCTTCGATGGGGTGCCATGTGTGCTTCTGTGCCACAGTGAATATAACAAAGAGATCCTGGCTGTTCTAGTTGATCTTTCTTTCTAGCCAGTGTCTCATATGATGGATGAAACCTGCACCGTAAACTCTGTGTCAGTATGCTGACACTGATTTGGACAAATAAAGAATATCCTATAAGGCTGACTCTTGGGGCCGTTACACACTCCTGCATGGCAAACTCCATACATTCTACAACACTATTTCGGGCACATGTCTTGTTTAGGGAGCCTTCCTTAGAGGACTCTACTGTACTCCCCCTTGTTCGTTTGCTAGAAAAGCTGTTCACTGCATGTACTTGGCCATGTTTAGTCTTATCTTATACTCTTTTCGAACAGTTACCTCTGACCGCCTCACTTCTCCCCAGATATTGTCCCGGTAGCAGTTTTTACCTCTCTGGTCTCACGTATCAATAAATATGGCTCGATATGGCCCTGTTGGGTACACACAGCCTTACTTTGAGAACCAACCAAACACAATATTTGACTATATCTATACCCAATTTTAATTTACTCTCACTGTCAACTGATGTTATATACAATGCATTCCCCCACTGCCACCACAAATACTTGTGCTGTTTCCTGCCGAGTCCGGAGATGTGCTCTCATCCCCAAAGGAATCAACCTGACCCTCGAGGAGGAGGCTACGGTCATCGAACGCATCGGATACTGTCCTATGCCACCTCCAGGGGCCATAACGTCAAATTGGTTTACAAGATATGCCGAAGTAAGCAAGGCCAAAGCTAAGCCGTGCGAATCGAGCAAACAAGAGGCTTTAAAGGCCAGCATAGGCGTCTGTCCCTGTAAAAAGGGGTCAAAAATCCTTTCTAATCAAAATATGGTATGTTGGAATTGACATTATCTAGCCGTCCTTTGTATAATACAAGCCAACAAAGTGTTAACATCCTGCTAAGACTTCTTGTTAGGCTACCCCTGAGATTCAAGAAAGCAATGTCCTGCCACAGGGCGAAACACTTACTTTTTCTCTCCCAACTCGCCTTCGGAAGGACTCTTGGAGGGTTGATATCCCACATATGAGCGAAATTAAACCGCTAAACGCCCCGAATTCGGCGGTTGCCTTGTCGTCGTCACCTCGCGAAGAGATACGTGAAGGGTCGCCGTTTGCTTCGACCCACGTCAAGCAAGCTTAGAAGCATTTCTGGGCTGGAGACCGCATCCGAACGTGGGGGCTGGCAATTTTCCAGCGAGGAACCCCTGCACGTTGAACATCCGAGTGTCGTGTAATAACAGTGATCATACATTGGAAAATGGGCGCCCTCGTCGAGATGGTAGGCACGGGGCCCATTCGCATGGTGGGATTCAACCAGTTGATTTCCCTATATGGTATTTCGTTCGTCTGTTTTATGTCTCAAGTTATGAGGGTGGTCCATGTGATTCTAATTTTTTTATTTAATTATTTATCTTTTTAATTCTTTACCTTTTCCAGTCTGTCATCCGCGACCTGTAGCCTTTGCAATTCTGTTCAATTACCATAAATACGAAAGTCTTTCTATTCTATTATCTTATTTAGGATGCTCAATGATTCCCGTCATGTTCACGGTTAGCCGGTTATACTACAAGCGGTTTCAACACCCCCGTGGGGGCCTCAGCGCGGCTCATTTGTATATCTAGTTCGAGGATAGCATAACCTCTTTCATTACGCCCTATGTCCAATCATAAGGAGGGTCCGCGGAATATTCATTGCCAAGGCTCCGCCCCGATACAGCGGGCCAACCTAACCTTAATTTAACCGCGAATGCCCCTATTGAGACAGTGCTTGGTATGTTCACGACTAGAAAAATCATATCGATCACATAGAACCAGCCACAGGGCACAGCTAGGGAGACCCCATCCGTGTTGACAGCCACCGCATATCCCTCCGCCCAGTGGAGTGATTGCTGGAGTAGGAAGTTGGAAATGACAGATAAGTTTGTGGAAGCCATGGCTTCGAGCCTCATATGTTCGGGCCTCTCAATAATAAGTCTCAGGAAACAGAGTTTACTAATCCCGCTTTAGAACATTTCACATCCTCTCTTCGTTGCCATATTATCGATTATTAAGTTCATTAGCCATCTGTTACTACCCATTCTCAAAAACCTTTGACTCTCAGCGAGCGAGCTCGACACATTCGACATTCAAATTGCATCGAGACCGAGAACACTCCGTATTTTCGGCAAATATTCTCGCCCACAGTGCAAATCCAGAGCGCCTACCCTCCTTTCTTATAAAAAACCGATGGCTCAATACGTCTCCGTCCTAAGGAGCTTACCTAGTCGAATACAAGAGCAGTAACTATACGGAGTATATCGTCAATATGGAGAACGACGCGTACAATTACCCCTTCTGGGGGAGCACGGAGTACTCCGTACAGCTTATTAGTTCGTTCTCTCAGCGTACGGAGTAAAGCTACAAAGTTAGGTTTCACGCGTATCCAGTTATCTCACGAAAGCGCTAAATAAAGGATTGAAATCGATATTCCTTCCCTGAGAGCCAGAATCTAGACGAATTATTGAAGTCAGAATACTACGAACTGCGAGAATATAATCCCAGCGTTATCAACAGGTTCGCGTGGGGAAAGCTTCTGAGGCTGAAGCAAAGAATCTTTTATCGCAGAGCACAGTGCCCATTGACCACCCTGACGGTGTGGATGTCCAAAATTCGGCGAACTCATCGATGACTCTCCACTAAATTAGTAGTCAGTGTCAGTGGAACAAACGCCGTGATGGAGTGCGATTGAGAACTACCACCGCCGTAAAAGCTTCTTTAAGCGTAATGTAAAGGTAACATCTGCATCAATCGTTCCCAGAAAAAAACAAGGCTGCATGGTTATCGTGGCCACGACAAAGCCATGGTCGAACGATGGCAGTGAGCGGCATTCTTATTTGTCAGCGGCACATCTTTGGGACGATTTTAGTCAGGTTTCATGTCCTCAACCTCCTTCCACTTTAGACCTTCTCCAATGCGCCGCCTCAGGCGCTTATGTGGATGATAGTCAAGGCAAACTGCGGGAACATCATCACAAGACAGCAAACAGAATCGTTTGTTGTGGAAACTGAATTCGATGTGTACTAAAGTCTATTTCGTCCATTCCAGACCCTCGGGTCAGCGTTTGTTCGAAACGCAGCCGACAAACAAGTTCTGCACAGATTATGGAAGAATGGGAGAAAAGATTTTTCAAGGGGCTGTCGAATCCAAAAACCCGGGTGTTGGTTTCTTTTTCCACCTCTTAAAATAGGGATGTCACCCATTTCGAGTCAAAGGCCGCTGCGTGCAAACAACTAAGAGCAAACGAGCTGGCGAATTGACTACGCCTCGTTTCGTCATCGGCTTTGGCTCATGGTCATAGTTTTTGAAGATCTCACATTCGGTATCGAGCGATATCCATTTTCCAGAAAGGTTGCTGGCGTTATCCGGGTGGAGCTATGAATTCGCTGATCACCATCACTGCACTCAAAGGCGAGGGATGGAATGGAAGTACAAGTCATGTACCTTGAGGGGCCAGACCTTTTGGCAATGGCTCATCACATTCAATAACACCGCTACTTCATCTGGGCTCAAGTTTGGACACACTTCCCCTGACCGTTACCCGTATGTCTGCTGACCCTTGCATATGCTTAGCCTTGCAGGCGTATTGAACGAGTGATCGGGGCATCACTGGGCCGAAGTCACTCACGATTCAGGGTCCTACTGTGCCTTTTAGAGCGCCCTGTTTGATGTCGAGCCAAAATATGTTACACCGATCGCCCGTTTATATATTTCTTCTTTCACTTTTTACCTTTCTTTTCCCTCATTTGTTAAAATTTTAAGAGCTAAACAATTCATGCAGGATGTCGTTATCTACATACGGCGTACATACAACCCGAAGCACCCATCCGACGTCCTGTAACTGATTCCTGCAGATATGTGGACCTATTTGAAGAGTGCCGTTGCTTTGTTCACCGACGATTTTTCACAGAACCTCCTAGATTGTGGGTCGTTCTGCTTCTATGTGCGCATTCTTATCCCGACAAACGCTAAGTAGGCTCAATGTTTCTAGTACCACTACTAGCTGACGAAAGATGCAGATTCGACAAGTTGTAATGACCCACCATGTTTCTGGGCTTACGGATGTGGCTTTGGGGGTCCTAGCTGGATTTTCTCCGAGTACCCCAAAACAGAATCCCCATTCTTTCCGTTCGTCTTGTGCTTGGGCCATTGCAATTGACATCATTCAGATATGCTAGACGGCCATGCTACTTTTATGCTAGGGGCAAGTGGCAAACGTTTCTATATCTGCTCTGGCTTATTTAGCCTGCTCACTCTGTTATCCTAAAATAGGCAATATCAGCTCGGCAGCAGACCCGTTTTAATTCGAAGTCTCCTGTCTCAATTGTGTGCCTTTCCGCTTTTGAACCTCATGCACGATAACCGTTGTATACAGGGGACCAAGGATAACAAGGGAGGCTTATGCAGGTTCCCGCTCTTAAAAAAAAAAAGATAAAAAAGAACTCAAAAAGAGGGTGAGGCGTGGTGGGAGTGCGATAACCCAGATATTCATATAATAGGTAGGCCGAACGAGGTGCGAATTTAAAGAGCTGTGCTTATCCTCCCTATGCAGACAGGATTATAATTCTTCAACAATCTTCCCAACGAGAACTCCTTATTACAATCACAATTCCCGCCAGCTCTTGATCTACTTGCCATACCATACCCTCGGCAGACCCGCCCCAATACCTTACTCCATTCTCACTCGTCTGTTGTCAGCGGGTTTTGAAATCTGTTTCACAGAAGGTCATAAGCTCGGCTGCAACGAACCGTGTAATACGGTTACTTTTATCTCTTGACAACTAAATTTTCTTTGGGTTCAGGAGTGCGTTGTCTTCCGTCAACGGGAGCATCGGGATCCAAGCCTTTGCCAGTCTATATCAAGCTGTTATTATCCCACCGATTAAGGCCCTTTTCAATTCGCACCCAAAGCCCTCGTTCACTTACTATCTTCTACTGTCATTCAGTGGAACTGCACAAATACCTCTCATCGCCCCCAAATCCTATCACTCATTCATTCCATTCATCTTTTTTAAACTTACGTTTTCACCCTAATCCCGAGTCCTACATTCTACCAAATGGCGCCAGCAAAAATCGACGAGGCAGGGCCTTGCTCAACGCCTGATAGTCACTTGTTGGAACAGATATCAGATGATGTCGATCTAGTCAATGTCATGAAGGCTAAGCTAGCTCAGTCTAGCTCCCAACAATCGCAGCCCGAGGGAGAGAAAGATAAATCCCAATTTCGACAATACGACAAGGCATGCGAAAAGGTTAAGGAGTTTTATCGAGAACAACACGAGAAACAAACAGTGGCGTACAACCTCGAAGCGAGACGCGCATTCCACTCAAAAGTTCGTGCTCGGATGACCGTCTGGGAAGCAATCGAGAAACTTGACACGCTCATCGACGAGTCGGACCCAGACATTTCTCTTTCGCAAATACATCATCTGCTCCAGTCGGCCGAGGCAATTAGACACGACGGAAAACCACGATGGATGCAGCTCGTCGGCCTGATTCATGACCTAGGAAAGCTCCTATTTTTCTTCGGTGCTGAGGGACAATGGGACGTTGTTGGTGATACGTTTCCCGTCGGCTGTGCATTCGATGACCGAATAATATATTCCGATACATTTTCCAACAATCCTGACTCCACCCATGAGGTTTACAGCACAAAGTTTGGCATATACTCCCCAAATTGTGGGATGTATAATGTTATGCTGTCGTGGGGCCACGATGAGTACCTTTACAATGTCGTGAAAACGCAGTCTACACTACCTGAGGAGGCATTGGCGATGATAAGATATCATTCGTGTTACCCATGGCATACGGAAGGCGCCTACAGGGAGCTCATGAATGAGCATGATCACCAAATGCTTAAAGCCGTCCAGGAGTTTAATCCCTACGACTTGTACAGCAAGAGCGATAAAATCCCAAATATTGAGGACCTCAAGGTATGTTTTACCCCCTTTTTTTTGGAGAAGGAATACACCATGATTTCCATGGGCCATTTACTACTGTTTCTAACTTATCCGTTTGGTTTCTAGCCCTACTACCTCGAACTAATCGACGAATTCTTTCCAAATCCGGTTATCGATTGGTGAAGGGGCAGATTCCTCCGCAGATTTCGCTTCCTTGTCCTCTTCAGCCTAGCCAAAAGTAATATTCCTTTCGATTTTTTTTTTACTGGGACTAATATTTCATTTTTTTCTATTCCTTATCTCCTTTTTGTTCTCCTTCTTTTCTCCATTACCACTCAGTTTAGACGTTCTGGAGTTTATTTGATTTTTGCTTTTGTTTACATTAGACAAGAAGCGTATTCTCCGTTTCTATGATTGAACTAGGGCATCATATAACTTATCTATAGGGGAGGAGGGCGGGTAGTTGTTTTGTACCGAGTAGGTGAGCCATAATGTTATTATCAGAACGAAGTCAGATTTCCCCTTGTCTTGATACGAAATATAGTTATGTTACAGCGCCTGACCAACGTGGGTAAGTGCCTTTAGCAACTACAATTTATACAATGGCCCTGCATTAGTGCAAAATAAATATAAATGCTAGAATTTTCTTTTCAAGCAAGGACGGAGTAGAGGTCAGGCGGTTTTACTCTCATGTAACTAATGTTCACCTAGCTCCATCATGGAGCTAGATCTGTCTTTCACCAGTAAATTCTTGGCCAAAAGATACCCAACAGTAAGTCGCGAATGATTCATTGTTCCCTATCCTGTTCCAGTAAGCTCTCGAGATGGATAAAGGCGACATAGGAGCCATACAGAGCCAGGCGGTATAGGTATAGAGAGATATTGTAAAAGAGCCACTCTCTCGGGTCTAACTATAGATACTAATAAGCAAATATTTAGAAAATTCGAAGATAGGGAAATGCATGCAAGGATGATGCAATAGTCCATGACTAAACGGGAGTACAGTACGTGCTCCGATACAGAGGAACATATGCGCGATGCGCGATCAGTGGGATTGTCAAATTTAACGGAAAAAGTGCTTTGCTGAGAGACCACAACGGCCAATGCTCTGGATTGCCGACATGGCAATGCATGCGCAAAAAAAGTTAAAATGCATTGAAGAGTGACAGATTTGTGTACCGTGTCCGTCTATGGAGACCCCGGAGCTCACTTCACGTCTCGCAGGGGAGTCCAGGCCTAGGAGCGAAGCAACTAGGGACTTAAATTAAGCCCCGAGCAGTAGTCCACATATATATCAGCATTTCCCTGAACGCGAAAAGCGACGGGGAGGCCTGCATCGAATTCGGATGAAGACTGGATTATCTCAAAACGGCCTGACGGCCGGAGACGCATGTGACGGCTAGGGGAGCGGAACGCCGCTTGACCTTGGCGATAATCATGAAGCCAGCTCCGATGATAGTTGTCGGGGGCATCGACACGCTCGTCTGATTGTTCAATTGCATTTCAAACGCAACCATTCGGCTCGGCCTTGTTACCGAGCGAGGACAACCAATATAGCTCAAGGCAAACGGGCTGCAAAGAGCTCATGACATGCTAGAACTAAAGCTCCAGCCTGATATTAGGTTGATGTGAACCATGAGATTCGAATATTCTGGCAAGCTGGCAAGGGAGCTGGAAGATATGTCCCTGTACGTGGTAGCTCTGCGAGCCATCCGCTCGACGGGTATGGTAAAAGATGGCGGCAACGGCGACTAGCAGGGAAAATCCCTGAATCCCAGAAGCAGCTGCGTGTCCTCTCCCGCGCTCTCACGCTCGCCTTAAAAGGCCGAGATCCAGGTTGTTTTGAAGCAGGCTGAAGGCTTCGTCCTATCCATGTCCGATATCCAGCCAAGTTATTCACCTCCACGTGACCACTTCGGGCAACCGCAGTCCACTGTAAACAAACGTCGGCGACCTGCAGAATTACAACTCACGAGAGCGCTCGTCTACCTGTACTTGTCCGGTCGTGACGATGTTGGCTTCGAAATCATGGCTCGATGCATATATACTGACCTTCAACTGTGCGAGAAACACCATTGATACCCACATATTTGCCTCGCACTTGTTCGACGGCCTCTCGAAGGATTCCGCCTCCGTTGAATACCCGGAGATCTTAGTCCTCTCGCTCCAGGAGATTGCGCCTATTGCCTATGCGTTCCTTGGGGGGCCCTTTTTGGAGTGGTATTTTGATGCGTTTAGGCTCGCCGTCGACCTGGCAACGCCCGAGGACCAGCGGTATCAAAATATCATAACGAAAAATGTCGGCATGACAGCTATCATGGTGTTTGTACGTGACGATGCCGTCGACAAAGTTGCATGGGTCGAAACAGCAGAGACCGGTGTTGGTGTACACCAGGCTGGCAACAAGGGTGCCGTAGGGGCGAGGATAGGCTACCGAGCGGACTATGATAGCGAGAACCAGCTTGCCTTGACATTTTTATCATTACATCTTGCTCCGGATGAAACTGGTACGGAAAGGAGAAACCAAGACTGGAAAGATATCTGCCAGAGGCTCGTCTTTACCGGCTCCGATCTTGCAGGTAATCCTGCGTGCCTCGAGAGGCAGCAGTACGACGAAGAAGGGACACCACTGCTTCCAAATTCTCCCGGTGCAGCAGGGAACTGCGGAATATATTCACCAGGCTCATACCTTTTTGTAGCTGGGGATTTCAACTATCGCACATCAAGCAGAGGACCGAAGCCTTGCGATATATCAGCGTTTCCCCAGCCTACGGACGATACGAGCAATAGCAGCCACTATATTCACCTACTTGCCCATGACCAATTGACCCGCGAACTACGAGGAAACAAAACAATGCATCACCTTTCTGAGCAGCCCGTTACATTTCCCCCATCGTACAAATATTCCCTAGAAGCCCGGGAAGGTAGCCTGCTGCATCCTTCCCAGGGCTTCAAGTGGGCAAAAAACCGGTGGCCCAGCTGGTGTGATCGCATCCTATATCTCGATAACCCATCGCCAGGAGACGACTCCTACAGAGTCATGCCCCATCATTATGGCATACTTCCGCTTTTCTCCACATCTGACCATCGCCCTGTTGTCTTATCCCTTTCGGTCCCCCTTCACACGAACCCAACTGGTCCAATCTCAGCGCTATCACCTCCTTTCGAACTTGACCCCGAATGGCAGAAGAAACGGTCACTTGCCAGGAAGAAGGAACTTACAGTTGGGGCCATGGCATATTTAGTTCTCACCTGGGAAGGCAATGGCTTGATCTTGGCATCAATCTTAGCAGTCGCCGCAGGATACTTTACCCTCTATGGCCTTGAATAGTGCCCTTCACCCCGTTGCTAGACATTCAGCAAACCCATAATGCTTTTTTTCAGTGCTATATTGGAAATTTTTTTGAGACACAGCCATTTACCCATCCGATATACTCAATTTTGAGCCATCTTGCTCACGCCCCAAATCTTAATGATTGTACCGAAATTCAGCAGATTCTTCGATCCAGATACGGAGTACAGAGCACATTATATCTTCCTTGCGCTGGATTATGTTGTCAACATTTAATCGGTTTTTATTTTCAGCAGACTCAACGATAATAGTCAACAGAAATATTAATTCTGCGGTATCTCCTAGCTCGCATCTTCCATCCCAACCAGATTTCCGCCATATCTCAGCTCTAGACCGCGAATACTACTCCACACGGTAATTTCCAACCCGCTTCGAATGTTTCATCCCCTATCCTCCATGCAAGGATGCGGTTCTCGGCTGTCGGCTCTTAAGTGGTAAATTATGAACACGCCAACCTTAATATCAGCCGCTATACAAAGTTATCTTCGGAGTAGCGCGATTCAGCCTTTCCTATTTTGAGCCTGAGCATCAAGGAGAGCAGAGGCGACGAGCTTTGTTTGACAATGCGGGGCTTCGTGTTTCTCGACGCTATACGGCAAGCTAAATATCTACACCTACACTCGATAGTGATCTAGGCCCGTTAATTTGAAACGACAAACCTATAGATGAGAAGGTCTAAGCGGCTCTTATCTTATGATATGGTATGGAGTAACTATTCAATTATCCTCTGTGATAAGCTACCTGGAATAAACGTCTCGGGACAAAACGAAGAAAAGATCTAGACCTCTGCAACGAATACAGGCATCTTGAACTGCTACCACATAATAACACAATTTGACAGACAGCCTACGAAGGGCTTACTATATATATCTTATTCTCTACTTGTGTCTACTTGTGTCTACATGGTCAGCGCGGGTGGAATTGTGTATGGAGTTGCCTTGGCGTATGTAGACGTGCCAAGGTTGCTAACTCAGTCAACACAGCATGAGTAGCTCTTGTACACTACAGCAAACTCCTCGACGTCGTCCGGGGATAGTGAAGTCGAGACGTCCTCACCCTACGCCTGTTGCATGGACGATAGCAGCCATGCAAAGAGGCCTTGCTGCCTGGCCCTTTCCGAGTCATTCCTGATGACTCACGTCTACGGCTTCTTGGGATCTCAAGTTGGATAAATACTGGGCCGCAGCTTGTATCCTTCGATGATAGCTCGCCTTTGAACTATAGATCGGACGTGGACGGCAATTTCACAGTACTTTTATCGCACAGAAGGGGTACGATGCGGCTTCTAGATGGAAGCACGCTCGAAGGTGGCGGCCAGTTAGTACGCATCGCTGTGGCTCTATCTGCCTTGACCGGAGAACCAGTGACAATCAATCGCATACGTGGGAACCGAAGAGACTCCAAGGGGTTAAAGGCCTCGCATTGTGCTGCAATCAAATTCCTGCTTGAAGTCTGTGGAGGGACGGCAAAGGGAAACCAGGTCGGACGACATGAAGTGATCTTTTATCCAAGGAGCGAGCAAGAAGATGCGGATCCGGAAGTGAGAGGCACGATCACATCGTTACAGCAGCTGTCTTTGAGTTCGATGCACGATTCACCGCGTGTGACTATTAAACCGGAATATGACATTCGGCTATCAAGCCCAGGTTCAGTTTTCTTGATTTTCCAGGCGCTTTATCCATATCTGCTGTTTGCCGGTGCCTGCACACCGACTGCTGAAGCCGGCAATGCTTTAGACACCGGGGCCTCACTGAAGGAGATACGATTAAATATCACAGGCGGTACCAATGTGTCCTTCTCTCCGTCGTACGATTATATATCTCAAGTCCTTAGCCCAAACTTTACCAAGCTTGGTCTCCCTCCCTTATCTGTTAAACTGAAGAAACGAGGATGGGCTTCGGGTCAGTGGGCAGAGTTGGGAGCGGTTTCATTTACTATTTCGCCACTATCGGCAAATGGAACAGCAGAGTTGGACACGATATCATCACCGTCGCACGACAGCGGCAGAGCTCAGGCCGAAACCCCCCTTATAATATTCCCGAGCATAGGTCTCGAGGCATTTGACAAAGGGGTTATCACACAAGTTGATGTTACAATTCTTGCACCAGATACCCTTGCACAGAATCTCCTGACGGAGCTGTCTCCAAAGGTGGCGAGGCGCCGCAACAAGGACAGGAAGTTGAGAGACAAAACTGCATCCTACCATCGTGCATACAAGCATCAAAGCCCGTATAGCGGTCAAGAGGAAGAAGACGAGGAGAAAAATGATTGTCACGAGACTGGGGACCAGGGTTATATGGATGATGCTTGTAAGATGAAGCAGGGACCACCTCAAACCGCTCGAGATTTCCTCAAACACCAAACAATTAAAACGCTATTGAAAGAGCTTACCCGCCGGGCCGGCGAGCAAAGCGTGCCAGTCACGCAAGGGATCGGCGCAAAGGAAAACGAGATGCAACCGCACATTGATGACGTGGTCGTTAATTTGCATACCTCAGAGGCGACATCTCACTACTCACAGACCTATATCCTGCTTGTCGCTCACACATCGACAGGGTTCCGGCTAGGAAGAGATGCACTTTATTCATCTTTCCACGGACAATCAACCGGGGACAAGCCTAAGCACGGGAAAAGCAGGAAGGTGCCAAAATCTAGCGAATGGACTAGTAACATTCTTGAAAGGATGAAGGGCATGGTTGATCAATGTGTGACAGATCTGATGGATGAATTTGAAGGCAATCCAGGGGACCAGGGGAAATGCGGGCGGATAATCCTGCCCAAGAGGGCCGTGGATGTTTATATGAGGGATCAGATCGTTGTATTTGAAGCACTTGGGAGATTGGCCCATCCCCGCCCTTGTTTGTCGACAAACAAGGGCGGGGAGCGGGATGAAGGAGAAGGACTCAGCCTTCATACTCAAACTGCAAGGTGGGTATGTGAACAGATGCTTGGATGTTGAGAAAGACAACATTTAGCGTAACGGGTTCAATAGCACGATCGCCCATTATTGGGACTTGAGAGCACTCTTCTCCTCGATTTGGGCACATTATATTAAAACTAAACTAAATAGTGCCAGCGACGGGGTCCATCTCAACACTCTAGGCCCTGTTTCACGTTGCCATAGTTGCGCTGCTAGGAGCAGCACCTTGAGCGCACCAACGGATAACTAGTTGGCGGAAGGCTTTATACTCGCATATCTTCATGCTAACGCCCAATGATCGATTTTCCAGGGCTGCTAGGGGGAAAAATCCTCGGATCTGCTCAGGCTGAGGCTAGAATTTCCAGCCAGGTCCTGGAGCGGGGAGAAAAAAGAAAAGAAACGGCGCCCAATGGATTAAGCAGCAGTCAGGACGGCGATATGATGTCATTTTGGCTGCTCTGCGAGTTGAAGATCTGGAGGCTAAAAAGCAAAGTCCTTGCAAGCCCTCGCGGAGGCTACCACTAGCAGTTACCAATGGGGAGGACGTTGGGTCCGCGGTGAAAAGCTTTCTAGCCCATGTTCAGTGCTAGAAGGCTAGCAAGGGCCACGGATTGCCGTTGAATAAGACAAGTATCTCGGCGTTTTGATGATCGCAGGTCTTAGCATCGCGTCGAGAGATTACATCGACACGGGAATAGGGGGAACTGGCGGGAAACACAGCTAATCTTATAAAATTGCAACGAGCCCCCCCAACACGTGGATTTATCGTCATCTTGTATAAGCCTGTCGCTTTTACGTCATGAATATAGAGCTGGAAAAGCCAAACGAGGGACTAGCGAAATGCAGAGCGAGGGAAGATCAATAAGTACTATATGAACTGCGGCCGCCAGGACCAGGTGCAGGACTTGAATCACAAAATACAAAAGTCTATGATAAGGCAATAAAGAAACAATAAACAATAAACCGGCTAGGCGGGCAGAAGGCGAAAAAAACGAAAGGTTGAAGGCAAACGGACATTTGGTGGTGGCACTTGTGGATGAGTTCTTTGTTTTAGCATACGAGACCTCCACTTAGATCGATCTCTTCGCATCCCAGGCCGCCATGTATCGATTGTATCAGGACCCTTTGCCACCCCCTGAAACCGCCAACCCAAAATATGGTCCCTATTTTCCTTTTGATGTTGGGCTGCGGGTGGAGACCGCTTGTGTTCCCACACAGGGAGAAAAACACACAGCAAGTCGCAGAGGAAGAGAAAGGCTTTGCGGTTGGAAAGTGGACTTGTCGTTTGAAGGCGGAAAGGCGTCCAGGGGGCTTTTTTTTTTTCTTTTTCACATTAAAAAAGTTAAGGTGTGGCACAGCAGATAGGATAGGCAAGCGAAAAAGGGGGTATGTTGCTATGGAGGTATGTAACAGAATTAACAGTAAAAAACAGCAGAAGCAGTACAGGCGATAACAAGTCCAGAATAACAGAAATCCAATCTGCTAAAAAATGCAAAACACGATAGCCTCCAGATGCAGTCAACTCGGCGTATAAAATAGTCATACTATGTAGATAAATAGCGGTCCGATCCAGGGGAAAAAGTAAGCGGAAGAGAAGAAAGAGGCAAGGCGGGCAAGCATTTGACCCCTAGTCCAGGGGGGCGCCTTGAGAAGCGGCATGTCGAGCAGTCTCTGCTTGGTATGCGTTGTCGAGGTAAAGGATCGAATGGGTTTTGGGTCGTCGGCAGGTTAACTTTTTTTGTCTTTAATTTGCGCCCAGGCAGATAGAAAGGGAGTGTGATGGTGTGAGGAATCCAGTCCAATTTCGAATAAGTAAATATATATGTGAAAAAGTTGTATGTTGAAATGCTTTTGGTGGCAAGGTCAAAACCGGTCCAACGGCCTACTCGTCGTCTTCGTTCTTCTCGTCCAGCCACGCCCGTCGATAGGCAGGCTGGGAGCGGAATGCAGACCCAAACGGAGACGGAGAAGCCGGACGGCGAAGATTGGAGGCCTGAATAGTTAGCATTGATAATTATACTGTTGCAAAGGGAAGACCTACCACGCAAGTAGCACACTTTGCGCCGTCAATGTTGACACGGCCACGGCATCCGCGAGGGTAGTTGACGCAGGAATACATGATTATAACTGTAGTAACCGGTTCAAACTTTTCAGACCCAGCTGGCGGGTAGATGTGTAGATGTAGAAGATGGATGCAGATATCGATATCAGATGCGGTATGAAGGAGTGGAATGGAACAGCGTCCGGATTAGATATAATAAACAACGACAGAAAGGAATGGCAGGCCAACGGATGAGGAGAGAGTGGGGAGAGGCAGGGGAGAAGGTCCGTATATAAAGATATCCAGCGTTCGAGGGGGAAAAGGGCCAAACAGTTCGGCTGTTTTAGACTTGCGCGCGCGCACTCCTGGGCTTCGTCAAGGCGGGAATTGCAGTGGATCACCGTCACGAGGATCGTAGGGCCAGGAAGAGGCGAAGAAGAAGCTGGAAGAGCGTCCGCCGTCCTTTTATCTCTTCCCTAGCTCAGCCACGCCTTAATACGCTCGAGATATATACGGCCTTGCGTTGCTGTCACATCCAGCGGGCCAATCTCTGCCTGCCCCCCCGTTCGTTCCGTGGAAAGCTGTCTACTCGCAGCCCAACCTGGAGGACGGAGTACGGAGTACGCCCGGCGCTGGAGGGGGGTGGTTAGGTTGTTGTATAACTACGAGTCTGCGTCTGCTGCTACTGGCTGTGATGACACCGCCCTTTGATCACACCGTCTTTCGCTATACGGAGTATCTAGTTACTGGTGCTGGTGCTGTTGTCTGCTGTCTGCTATGTCAGGCATCAACATGGTCTGAAACAGCCGGCGATTCCACCCAAACAGGTTTTGTTACCGGCCATGGAACGATCTTAATGCCCGCGCTGATATACCTCCCTCTCCCAGAGCAGTGGTAGATATCTCTGCGGCTTAGACAAAGGACTACGGAAACTAAGTCAGAGAGTAAGATTACCTGTTTTGATAAAACGATGGGAAAAGAAAATATAAAATGTAAAGGGAAGAAAAATAAAGAAAAAAAAAATAAAGAAAAAATAAAGAAAAATAAAAGGAAAAAACGGTCGATGGGTCTAACGGCGACCTGCCCTGGATCCTCGCAATTGGATGGCATCAAATTAGCGTCGGGCCCGTCGAGAAAGGCGTGAATAACGGCGGATCCATCGGCAACGGGGGCCAGACTCAGGTTTTTTCGACTTTTCTCCTGCTTTCGCCCGTCGAGCTGATAAAGCTGAGCCTGGCGGCGTCGCCATCGGAGCGACAAGACACTAGAAGGCTCGCTTGAACGATCTAGAAGCGTTCTTGTTTACGGAGCACTCGTACCGCAGGTGTGGATGGGCAGACAAGGACTAGGCTGTCAATCTGTCAAGTTTCGTTTCCAGCTGTTCGCCTCAGCCCTGTTTTATCTTCACTCCGAGCGGGTGAACCAGTTTGCCTGTGAGCCAGTTACGGCTGCCCTGCCAGAGAGGTCCCTAACATGGAACATGGGACTTGGACACGGCGTACAGTATATACGGATACTGCTACCTGCCTACCTGGTACACGCCCGGTATCCGATACTCGCCCCCCCTTATGCAAGTAATGTACGGAGTAGACAGTGCACCAAGCATCGCAGGCTACCGTGGTTCGGAGTAGATCCTCTGGATGCTAATCTCGTACGGGTCGAACGGTTTCACCCTTTCCCTTCATCCCCAGAGCGTCCTCTCTCTGCCAGCAAGTCTGGAGTCCGGACTTTGGACTGGACCCCCCCTCCTCCTCCATTCATCTCCGGCGGGACAAGAGACAGCCCTGTCCCGCCATGCCAGCGCCAATGCTTTGCCTGCCTTGCCATGTCATCGTAGGATGAGGCCGTACAGGGCGATCAGGTCGTCGTCAGCACAGGGCCAGAGGGATGATGGGTTTAATTAACCGGGGGAGCCAGGGCCAAAAAGAAAAACAGCGAAAAAAAGACAGAAAATGTCTTTTTAAGCTTATTTGGCTAAAGTGATGTACATACGCAAGGCAGGGTGCTTTGTTTTTTCTCTCTCCCAGATGGATTATTAATAGTGACTTGCATGCGGTTTATATCATCTCCCTGCATAGCGCTCCGTCACTCTGCATATCCAAGCGATGCAAGTACGTAAGGAGAATAACTAATTAACGATCCCAGCTGACACATGTACGCGGTGCTGTACGGAGTAACTCCTGCTTCCGTCTTTTCGGGTTCTTTCCCTCACCATGATCCTTGGTGCATTTCGTTATGCAAGTTGGGCATCATGTCAAGCCACGATCAACGGTTTTCTCAGGATCTATATGCAGCCGCCGACGCTTATCGTATGATGTCGATGGGCATGGTAGGTGCGCATTCCTGCGGCGCAGGCGTATGGAATAAAAATAGAAAGGGTTGGAAGAATGACAGGGAGTACTGGATCAAGTGTTGTCGACAGCGTAAGAGCAAAGACAGACACCCAGGTCAATTGAGTGATATATCTGCCCAACTCCGTAGGAAGAAGAAAAGAGAAAAGAGAGAGGGGGGAGAGAACTGGTGAGCCGCGGTAGAACGAGTGGCAGTGCTTCCGATGAACACTCCGTACGCATGCATCATCTCCATACTTCCGCTACTCCGGTCACGCTGAGGCTGGTAACTAACTCGCGCATGCACGATGCAGTCAGCCAAGCCAGGAGTGCAGCAAACAGTCATAGATTCCCCAAGTCTCAGCAATTCGGGGTTTCTCTTCCAGTTTTCGCTTTTTGCTTTTCACTTTTCGGCAATTCGCTGCTGGCGTTTGCACTATCCAACTCTGATTCCTATCGCGTAATGGAACGATGCCTTAGAGAGGGGGTTGGGCAGCAAGCAGGCACGGACGGGAAAGCCGCAATCTTGCTTCCTTAGTTTGCTTTTTTTCTCTCTCTCTCTTCTCTCCTTTTTCTTCCGTTCATATTCTTTGGCTTTCTCCTCTCTTCTCTGGCGAAGAAGCTTAAAAACGAGTCCAAAGCCTCCCTCCCTGGATTCTTTAGGCTTTGGCCGCCAGGTGCGCCTCCAAGTAGCCTGTTAGGCACATGTCTCGTCTTGACTGCATGGTTGGTAGTTAGCAGAGATAGTTGCTATTTAGATGGATAGATACACGGTCAACCTCTTACAGGGCTCCTGGCATGTTGCGGTTCGGTTTTTACTTTCGCGTCGTATAGCTCGATGCGGGCAAAGTGGGCTCTTGTATCTCACGCTGCAAGAGGAGCTGTCTCATCCCTTTCACGCTCGCATATTGGCGCGAACGGTATCCGTAGCGTTGTATCTTGGGTTTATCTTGGACGTTTCTTCACCTTGAAGTCCCGAGTCGTGATGCCGGCAGGTCACGAGACGCCCTCTTCCTCCCAGCTTTCCAGCATCAAACGTCCACGGCCTGCGCCAGCATCACGACTCGACTCTGCAGGGCTGGCAGACTTTACCCGGAGCTCACGACTCATCCAGGAACATGCGGGAGGCGAGGGACGGGAGACGGAGACGCGGGAGACGCGAGGACAGGGGCCGGCATGCACATCCTGCAAGATAGCAGGTCATCAGGTCATCGCGCATCGGTCATCGGTCATCGGTCATCAGGTCGAACGCTCTCTCGTTTCGTGCGAGATGTGATGGCAGCCGGTGTCGTGGTCGATACAGTCGAGCAGTCGGCAGTCAATGTTGACCGGCGATGTCTTCATACCGTCGATATACGATCCAGTTTCCAGACAAGATAGATCTATACAAAGATATGCCTCAACCATGCCGATATCATACCAGTCAATGATTCAGGTCAATGGTTATACCGGGTCAATGGTATATCAGGTTATTGATTATATCAGTCATGGCGTATCAGTCAATGGTATATTATATCAATGACAAGATGTAACCGGTCTACTCCTTCTACGCATCGTGAACGCGCCTGCTGGATCTTTACGCCTTTTTTTACATCTGATGTTTACGCAGACGAAAAGGAAGCCGAGATGGAATGGCCTGGTTGCCCCTTCTGGCCATGGACTTGCTCTGCTCTCCGGGCTATAACATAAACATTGGGCCAATTCTTCTCCAAGAACGCGATATCAGAGTGCATAATGCATACGCTTTTATCTTCTATATTGCATACTCGCTACGTTTCATCTGAAATACTACGTGTATTTTATGAGAATATTGTCAGCCATCAGCTTGAGACAAAATGCTTTCTAGAAACTCGAGCACCAATAAGAGAGTTAGGAGGTCGAAATCCTCAGTCTCCGTTCAGTCTCGTCGCCCGGCAGCCCCAGCCGAAGCCTTTAATGCGGAGCTGGCGCAGCTACAGGCATTAGCAGCAGCATCCCTCGCTATGCGGCGTCACGGTAATCGTCCTTCGTCGTCTTCATCGACTGCAAAGGGATCACGCGAGCAGTCATGCAGCGTTGATGGCGGTCGTCGACAACGTACACACCAATCGTCGATGCAAGAAAGCATCCTATCCGGGGACACAGGAAGCGATAGCTATAGCCAGCCAGCCCAAGTTGCTGAGACAGTCAAACAAGAAGAACACCCCTCCATGGCCGAGAAAGCTAAGGATGAGCAGCATCAGCCTAACACGAGCTCCGCCAATGATGAAGCAGTCTCGTCGCAACCATCGTCCTATCGGAGGCTTCGGAAATCAAAATCCATGTTTTCCACGCATCGGCTCTCGAGTTCCAATGAATCAAGACGCTCCCCTCAGAGGAACGGTAACCGAAGTACCAGCTCGGGCACTGGCCGTTTATCCCGTCGCACCCTTCGGAGGTCCCTGTCATTTTTCAGGGGCGGTAGCGAATCAACTCCAGTCCCAGAACGTCAGGCGAAACCTCCGGATATCCCGATTGAACTAGCTAGAGAGCAGTTTAGGAAGAGCTTAGAGCAAAAGCGAATCGCGAATGTGTCCGATTCAGCTGTCGGGCGCAAGCCACGACCAGACCCAAAGCCTTTCAAGAAATCTATGAGGTCGAATGGAGCGAATGCCAGGTCCACCCCCTCAGCCTACACGCCTAATGATACCCATCGTGGACCCAAAGGACGTTTGTTTTCGTTTTCTATCAAAAATAGCCTCCGCCGAATTTTCGGAAGGCGGTCATCGGGTACCAATGGGGGGTCATCAGAGCAGATTGACACCCAACACCACCTCGATTCTGGCGATATCGGCTCATCTGAAGACTCTATCTCCTTTGAGGGCTCCTCCGATTACGCTAGCTATCGCGACCAGCTATCTTCGCGAAGTGTAGCCAATGCAGCCCCTAGCGTCCGGTCAATGAAGAGCAGTTCTAGTATGGCCACGTCAAATTCTCGCGTGACAAGTTGGACAGACTCGACAGCTGCGAACACGATAACCATGAAACAGCCTCCTCCGATGGCTCGACAAGGGCTGGACATCATTCGTGAAGATAGTGATGCGTACACACCCACACCCTCACCCGGCCGTCACCGCCATGATGGATACTCCATTTTCCGGCAACCTCGGGATAATACTGTTGATATTGATAGCCAGCGAATGTTTTCTGCGCTTATGCGAAATATCGATGAGGTTAAGAATAAGGGAATGGATAAATCGACTTCACCCCTGAAACACAAGGCCAAGTCAGTCCGGGAGGCGTCAGCGAACTGTTCGCCCTTGACAATTCGGGCAGTCAAACAGTCACCGGGTGCATCGCCCATACGGTATTCAAAGCATCCCACAAGGGGTTCCCCGAGTGCCCGGAGCCAATTTTCTGTGAGGTCTAATCGCACTGTTCGATTAACGCCGCAGGAAATTGCACGGAACAACGAAATGATTTCCCGACGACAGTCAGAACAAACTCTTCGTGGACTCGTGGCCAATGATGAATTGGGTATGCCTGATTCTCGGATAGAGGTAACAAATGAGGTATTACAATATGAAGATGAACGACTAGGGATTCGAGATGACACAGGCAGTGTGATCATTACTAGAGCCACTGGCAATCCTAATCCACCAATGTCCCCAAGCGTCTACTCTAGGACGACAGGCGTGATGTCTCCGGACCAAAGCCAGACTAATTTTGATGTATCAGATTCTGATGATGAGGGAGGAACTGTTACAATATTTGACAGCCACCGTCTACCCTATCGCCCCAGAACACTTGAAGGCCCCAGGCGCCCCAGTCAAGCCATCCGAGGAAGTAGTACTGATTGGAAAACATGGATGAATTCCCAGATGGACTTAATTGATGCCGCAGCCCGCTCGACCAGTTTAGGCAAGCCTTCATATACCATTTCTGGCCACTATCGAGAAAATGCACAAATTGATGATCTTGATCATCAAGAACCCGAGCAATCTCCATTACCTCGAAGTAAACTTGCACTCACTGAATTATCCAGTTCCCAAACCGGAAGCCAGGCTAGGCCAGGGGAAGATAAACACAAGCTAGATCCGACAGAACCGTTATCTAATTCAAAGAATAATTTCTCACGGCCGCTGCGCTGCTCGCCAAGTGGTACTCTGTCAGCAGGTAGTACAGTTGTGCGGAAGCCGACTATGAATACGCCCACTGTCCACCAGGCCTGTACTCCAATTCTATGCGATAGCGAAATGAGCCCGTCGCCTTTATCTATTCGTGCCAGAAGCGTCTCAAGGACGCCAACGTCGGCATCTATATCCCCCCTTTTGTATAATAAAACAAGGCCTGCCGAAGCTACTGCCGCTTCAGAAGGCTCCCCAACTTCCAGAGTCAACCACTCCTTCCGAGGTCGATATGGGAAGTCAGCCTCACCATTATACCACAGTGATAGCAAGCAGCTACTTCAGGAAATCCAGTTCAACTCCGTGCGCCCCCGACGCGAACCAGCGAGTATCACCAAAGAGAACAAAAGGGGTTCTAGCTCATACCGTCAAGCTGACCGACCTAATTATGCATCGAAACTCAACGGCCTTCATAGTACGATTAGCACTAAACGAATGGTGGATATATTTTTGAGTGAGCGAAGTCAGGCGACGGGTAGAGGAGATTCAGTAGAAGGAACCCCTGAACCTGTGTTTCTTTGAGGTTATAAAACGGGCTGGTTCTGCCCACCTTTTCAATGTGTTCTCCTCAAGTGTTTGGCTTGTGGTTTGGAATATTTTAGTGTATGTTGGGGCTTCGAGGCATTGAGTTATCTTTGCTTGAGTACATGATACCTATACATAGAATAATCAATTATTGTTAAGCATCGGCTATCTTCATTTTCAACGCTTGTACCAGAGACATAATGTAGTGGATAATGCTATCTTAGTCTGCCTTTCAAACCATCTTCGCCAGTCTATCAGCCGTTGAAACGGGTACTCAGAATCTATACTGTGAATATGGTCTTTAGCTACGACGATGTTCAAAACCAAATAGCTAGGGGTTTTCACAGCTCAAATGTGCGATTCATACTCTAACAAGCCTGGCCTCTTCTCCAGGATGGCCGACTGCGGTCGCACTATTTTTTTCACGTTACATTTCACTCTTCGCAAATTCACACTACGTGTGACGAAGGAATGAGAGGCCGCCCCAACGGTATTTAAAAGTGAGACAAAGACAAGACCTTGCTGAGAAGGAATAATGTGCAGAAATCTAACGTCAGATGTATTAGACTAGCATGAATAACGAATGGTGGGATTTTATAATATTGTAAAGAGCAGGAAGGCGAATCGACATGAAGCACAAGTACACAAATTTATAGGGCGTAGCAAGTAGATACTTAAAATGAAGGGAAAACAAGGCGAACAACGATAATGTTCCTGCTATTCATTTTAGTATTATTTTGGTTTTGCTCATGAGCAATAATTGGCTGGGAAACTACCCCTGACGCCGCGCAATTCTCCCTGCCACCAGTCATCGGTACTGTCAGTCTTCTTGATGACGCGGATACGATCCCCTTCCTTGAATACAAGGTCACCCGCCCCCTGCCCACCAAAGTCATAGAGTGCAGTAACGAATTGGATCTGGCTGGCGGATGGTGTGCGTGGTGGTGGCGGAGGGGGAGGTTTTTTCTTTGCAGCAGCTGCGGCTGCAAGCGAGGCTACTCCAGCCATGGCCGAGGTGGCTGTGGCCTGGGCTGGTTTCGTCGCGGTGGGTATGGGAGGAATAAAGTGGGGAGAATTATGGGGAGCAGTGGGAGCTGAAGCAACATGGTGGAGAGTATTATTAAGGAACTCGTGTGTTGAGGCGGGAGAGTGATGCGTTGAAGCTGGAGAGTGGTGCTGATCTGGAGCTGGAGCATCAAGCTGTGATGAAGATGCATATCGATTGATTCGAGGTTTGGCATCTAATGACGGAGTAGACGGTAGGCGAGAAATGGATTTCGGAGAAGTAGATGGTTTGCGCGAGCTGCTGCCAGCACCGATAACTGCACGACCATTTGACAGTGTGTGGTTACCGTTCTTGTGGTCGCCAGATGTTCGAGGTTGGCGGGCAGTCTTGCCGCCGGCAACACAGTTGAATGTCTCTATTTCACGCTGTACATTGATAAAGTTCTCGTCAAATGTCCTAATAATATCCTCCATTGGCGGTGGAGGCGAGGGGAGCTGCTGCTCTTCACAGTAGGTGTGGAGTGTAGTGTAGTAAAGGGCAAGCAAGGTGTTCTGAATCTCGATCTGTGCGCCTAGGAGATGTGGGAGGATAGAGAACGTTGCCGTTATCAGCCCTGGGAGAATGGATCGAAGGTGATCGTCTGCTGCATTATAATCCTATATCAAGTTAGATGCCGAATATTATAAAGGGGAAGAATGGTGCTTACATCTGTAGCCTTGGTTAAATCCATCTCAGCTTTTGACAATGCAGCATTATCCCTATCAGAGCGTTTCGTCTTCTTTCTTCCAGAATCCACTCGGCTTTGGTATCTTTCGAAATCCAGCTACAGAATAACCGGTCAGCTTGCTCATGTTCTCTTCGGATATCACCACCAGCTGGTATCGTGGCCATGTCAAAGCAAACCTTTTTATCATCTCGTTTCTTTATAACTTTTTTCAACGGCTGGAGATAATCTCTCGCATCCATAGCTGGTCGAATTATTCGGTCATCGACAGCACTCACTTCCGCGACCAGGTCTGCCTTTAGCGAGTCATATTCTTCTCTCAATCGAACTACTCGATGTAGTGTGTGTTCAGGGACCTCCGCAGGAGTATGATCCGCCGATGGCTCCGATGCGCCAATGATGGGATTATATAGCTGCTCGAATTCTAGGACAAGCCGAGCCTGGTATGTGAAGATGGCTGACCATGCGTCGCGCCATGCCTTACTCGATTCAATGATCTAACGTGTCCAGAACGGTGGTGTCAGTGACCAGCTCGAGCAGAGATATCAGGATAAAGGGAGGCAAACTAGGCCGAAAATACCTTCTGCAGCAGTTTATCGGCGTCGTCGAAATCTTTAAGCAGAACCGAGACCTGGCTCTCGTCCGCCGAACGTTTCATAAACTTCCCAAACTGGCGATTTATGTTGAGCATGGTGGCGGTTTGCGATAGGCGGGCATCGGCTGGTGTCTGTAGCGGGCAGCAAGGGCAGAGCTTCGCCGTTACCTCCTGCCTGGATAGCTTCTGGCCGGGTCGATGGAATCGGTTGGATGGCTGCTGTCAGGTACTAATTGAGATCAGGCAGAGCTCTCAGAAGCGAGAAGAGCTTGCTTGCGGAGGAGAGGATAAATTAATTTGAAGGTCGATATTAACGAAGCATGGGCGCGGCGGGGTCCACCATGCCAAAGGCTCCAGTTGCAGAGCCACTCAGCGTTCCACCATGCGTATATACGTGAGCTATACGCTGGGCCGGCGAAAAGCAGGGAGGAGGATAGAGCGTAGGGTGTAAGTATGTAAGAGCATGGAAACCGGCTGCGTCACAGAGTCAAGAGTCGAGTGATCCTTGTTGTTTCATCAACTTCTGCGCCCTCTGTGCAACTTTTTTTTTTTTGGATTTCAAGCAGCAAGCAAGGTCAGTAATACATATGTATGAGTGGCACACCCAGCAATGTTCCCCCAGATGTATCGATCGTCACCATCGAGCGATTACGTCGTGTATACTTTCTCTACCCTGAGCCTAAGCAAATGCCAAGTGGTGGAGTTCCGTTCTGTAGCTCAATCGTGTTTCCCTGTTGCATTTTGCTATACTCAACTATGGCTTTTGCGAGGGTTGAAGAGGCGATGCTGTCTGTGTCTGATACTCCGTACCTTATTATCTAAATAACAGGGCGCCAGGAGCGGTTATTAGCATCTAATTCAAACGTAATTAAAGAGCAAGAGTACTCCATGTCGAGCCTAGGCCTCAGCACCCCCTGTGGTACTATGTATAGCGATATGCCTATCTCCAGGACCATACGCGGCCAACGCTAGACGCCGCAATTGCTGACGTTTCCAACCTGTTGGACTGTGGGTAAAGAAGACGATACCTTAATTGGCCACGGCAAAGAGGTATGTCCCTTTCCTCGGTCAGGTTTCTTCGCCTTTCTCGGGCCCTTTTGCTCTCCGGCGTATAGTTATCCTCTTCCAACGGGCTGAACTCTATCATACAGGGGTTCGTGTATGGCGAGCAAACGCCTGAGATGGGTGACAGCCGACGAAAGACCAATCAGGCTATCTTTCCCGGTCTGCAATCTGTCTCCTGGATGGAAAATACTCCAGATGCTTGCGATATTCACCCATTTACAACCTGTGAAGTAGCGATTTCCTTCTTGGGCGAGGGAAAGTAAAGCTGAGTCAGCATCTTTATCGATAATGACTAAGCAAGTCACGCGTCGACGCGTTGGCCCAAAGAGGAAAGTCTCGATGTCGAACTTTTGTATCTTCTTCTTATTCATGTCGAGCAGAGCACTGGAAGCCGGGGGGAACGTTGAGAAGAAGGAGACGAAGACATGGTATTAGGCGCCGATACTAAGCCATGGCTTCACAGAGAGCGTCCCTCTCGGTCCCGCCAACGCAGAATACCGCACCCGTGATCAAGTTTCAATGCCTCTTCACCCACGATATCAAGCGGAAGGCCAAGAGGTGGCAGGATGGATTTCTGCGATTCCATACCTTCAACAAGCGGGTGATGGTCTATGATTCCTCGGGGAATTTGGTCGGCGATCTACATTGGCGAGACCGCGATATGTTGCAGGATGGAGACGAGTTTGAATTGGAGAGGGGCGTCATGGTCCAGGCGGGCGAACAGCTTGAGAGTACAGTGACTGACCTGACGGGGCTGCTAGATAAACGGAAACCGTCACCCAAAAAGCCGAGCCAGACTCAGACCTACCAGAGCAGCAGCAATAACGAACGAACAAATGATTTTAGAACACCTTATCCGTCAAGCGGGAGGCTCAAATCGCTGAACGAAGTTTTGGGGATAAAGAAGAACACACCCGCAGCGAGGGTGGTGAGATCCCCGTACGAGGAGCGGGCAAGGATGAATCAGAGTATGCGAGCATCCGACGGGATAGAGAGACCGACCAAGAAGCGAAAACCCTCTCCTGTATGCGATCTAGAGGAGTCACGGCCGCCGTCGCCATCAGTGTCACCACCACCACCACCACCACCAGGACCAGCAAGACGATCACCACCGCCAGAACGAGGCATCTTTAAGGCTACCCGAACCCCCAGAGAAGGTCCTCCTAACGATACCCACCAGAGGACCACACACCCTCCAGTCCGGACATCAGGCGGTGTTAAAGATTTGTGTGACAAGACCTCAAATCCACGACAATCCAACTTTGCATCCGCCTCAAATGCCTCATTCCGTCCTGCGAGTACGGTCGAAGTCGAACCCACCCCCTCAAAGGATCGACGAAAAAAGTCTAGTAGTAAAACATCATCTAATCAACAATCTCTTACTACCATGTTTGGAAATCTGCCAACAACGACTCTTGAGGTCGCTCCTAGGCAGCCTCGCAAGAAACTTATATTTGTGGATAGGCTTGCTGAACAAGAAGCCAAATCAATAGAAAAACGAAAAGCGGCTGAAAATGCAACTCTGACAGCCGACTTATCCAGGAGACCAGATAAACCCAAGCCATCATCCGCCTTGACGCCTAGAGATAAAAATATAAACTCATACCAGTCTACCGCACAATTTCTTAAAGACGATGACAACGATAGCGAGGCCCCTCATGCCTCGCCACAAAAGTCAACGAACTTATTGGGGTTTTTTAAGCCAGCTACAGTCGCTGCTCGACAAAGTGATGGTCAGCACAACGAGGGCGATGCTACTATGAGGGAGTCAAAGTGCCCTACGCCTAAACGGAATTCTACGGTCATCCAGCGGAGTCTCTCAGCTACCGACCCAATCATTCAGGAAACCTCGGAGTCCGCTCCAGTCCCGGAGGAGACCACACTCCAGGCTGGGCCTAGTGAAGATCACCCACGAACATTACAGTCTGAGAGGAATGCACCCCCTGAGAGGTCAGTTTTGGATCCATCCGCCTTAAAACCACCTCAGCCTGTGGTTAAGAAACGGAGTGTCCAAACAAAATTTTTTCCAGACAGAATAATCCCACCGCCCGTGGATGAACCAGAAGAGGAAGTCGAACAAGGGCCATGGACCACAGAGGCACTTGATTTATTCGACTGGTGGCCTCCAGGTCGACCGAAGCCAGCGGCCGTCAGCGTACCCTGATGGATTATTATTGCCGGGGCGGGTTCCAATACTTATATCCCACTCTATCAAGTGGAGTTTAGTTGCATCTCTAGGGAGACCATATATTTTATGATTTACGACAACATAGTTACTATTTCTATTTAGAGCCTTGGACCGTATATATATATATTATCATATATCCGTGTACAATACCAGTTCACCCTTTATTTTCATAAGACGAGCATTTAAATCCCCAGTACATACTCTCACTCCCGCTTGACCAGAGTTCCGGAGACATAAGGCAGAGGGCCCGAGGCGAACAGCGTCTCTAGGTCAACACTCCCCCATCCACCATCGACATCTGCGACCGCTCGAAGTGTACGCTCGGTATCTCTGTCCAAATTGCAACCGGCCATGAAAAAATTCCAGCCACAAAGCCCATATATCGCCTGCACAAATCTCGCAATCGTGCTTCCTTTAGGTGTAGTCCAGGGATTCACCACATGTTCAACGACCAACATCTTCCCACCTGGCTTAAGCAAGTCGTAGAGCCCCTTCACCGTCTTCTCAGGCTCAGGCACCGAGCACAGGACTCGGACGCAAACAATAGAATCGAATATTCCTTTGCCTTCGTTATTCGCGTCATCGAGTGCGCCAGCCTTCTTGAGCGCTGGAAGTAGAGATTCCGGCTGAGCTCCGCAGTGCAGGATTTGATATTTTGATGCTAACCCACATGACTCGACCTTTTTGTGAAGATCTTTATGTAGCCCTAGACATGGCTCTGCGCCGTACATCACACGGAGATCCGGATTGGTGAAAAGTGGCGTTTGGGTTCCTGTTCCCGGACCAAGATCGAGAACCACTCCATCAGCCCGCGCGAGGAGTGGTGGTACCAGGGCATTTGACGCAACCGGCACTGGCGCAGGAGCTGATGGATCTGGTGTATCGCGAGCGCCTGGGACAGTTTAGTTAAGAGTCAAACAGACCAAAGATACATCATCTATATCTACGGACCAGCAGGGCCGTGATGTAGATAGTAAACAGTATTGAATAAGAGCACAATGAACCTACCAGAAAATTTGATCCAGAACCTAGAGAAGGCTTCTTCCTTGATCTCCTGAAGTTTGAATATAGGTGCAAGTGGTTGGCCACGGAACATGTACTCAAACATAACGGAAAAGAAACCTTTTAACAGAGTATTAGACCGAGTATAAAACATATCTCTCTCCTGTCTCTGAAGTTATCAATTATCTTTTTCATGGAAACTTACTGTAGGTAGCAGCTACTCCGATATACCCTGGCTCAGCGAGCTCTGATATGCGTTCCCCAAACGTAGGAAACGACATGGTGGCGGTAACAATATACTAGACCGGGACCTGGTTGAACGACTGGAGGATATGAGGAACTTATATGAGTGCAATGCCAGAGAGGAGAAATGAAGAAACACGCCCTTGCTACTTGTTCTCGTGTTCCCAGCTTGCTTTTATATGTGGGGGATCTATGCAAGGTTTCGGGTACTCGGTCACCCTTTTCCTTCGATCCCCGGTTTCTGGGCCGCATCCCGTTTAAGCTGCATGGTGAATGGTATCATAACCGAGGGAGAATGCTTTGAAGGCAACGCTATGTTGCTCATTTGCTATTTATACACTATGACATACGTTCATATATACTGGAGGTGGCGTATACTTGGAGTGCGATCAAGGGGCTGGAGCAATCTATAGACTATGGCAACTAGCACAAGGTTCCGCAAAGGAAAAAAAGAGCTTTCATTTACATGCGGATTGCCGCATTTTTAACTAATGCTTGGAAGAAACACACAAAAGGAAGCAGAACCAGAGAGATAGGTATGATGGGTGAGAGAAGAAGATGTTGGGGGGGAATGAGATATCGAAATAATGCAGAGGACAAGGAGAAAGATTAGTAGTTATAACAATCCATCTGAAAAAGCCAGACGGAAAGCATGCAAATGAAAGCAGGTGACCAGATAAATAGGCCAATTTGACATATGAAAAAAGTGCAAAAAACGATTAACATAGTAGTGGCAGTAAGAATCCGAAAAAAGAAAGAGAAGTATTCACAACTGCGCATCCGAATATTTGACGCAGGAAGAGGTGAGGTGCGAGTGCCAAACGACTGAACAAGAGGTAGGTGATAAAATGGTAGGATTCCCCCAAATTTGTGGTTCCAGAAGAGAAAATAGTACGGGTACCCAAGAAGAGCGGCGCTCACGACCAGGCACCCGGGCTCCATCCTCCAGGGGGGGAGATTTGAAAAGTGTCAACAAGGTAGGAGCCAAAGTAAAACATGAGAACGAATGAAAATGACTGAGAAAGCAGACATGATAGGAGTATTACAAATTTACTGTAGAGTGAAGATGTGGCAGAACAGCCAGGCACGTCATAAATGAAGACCAATCAAGGAAATTCGTAATGGGTGGACAATCACCTCAGTTTGGCACTTTTGCTTTTTTGTGCTCCGTGTTAATAGGAGACAACAGTGGGTATCAACCTGCAAAGTCGTTCTATGGGGCATAGGTTGCGGATAAATGCAGCCTAAGAGTGAGAGTGATTGCTTAGTCTAGAGTTGACGAAACGGCTAGTTCTTGAAAGCGAGCCAACATCATGTTTGCCTAAGATAAAAAAGTTAGTACACTAATCGCACAATATAAGATAGGTGGGGGAAAGAATAAAGGCTCACCATCACAGCAAGCGCGGACATTCTCTATCCTATCAGCTTCTCTTTCTTGTCTATCTAGGATCCGTCTTAGGTCTTCGGCGCTATCCTCATTTGTATCATCCACACTTCCCCTCTTACTGCCGTACCGGCTTCGGCGGCTGGAGAACGTCCCCATCATCCCTGAACTTTTGAATATACTGCTTAGTCTGGAAACAGACCCTTGTCGGCTCTGTTCAGCCTTTAGCGTTTGGTCTGGCGGTCGGCCTGAGAGCGAGGGGGATTCATGGCCTGGAGTAATGTCATACTGGCGAGGCATGCCCCGTGCAGTTCGACTATTGTGGGACGCAGCGGATCGTCGGGAGTGGTCAGTCATGCGAGATGTCCTGCCATTCAGGGAGGGATTGAAGTCATGCGTAACATCTTCTGGCGTCCCGTTAAGTGCCAATTCTCCATCTTCATCGTTGGCGCGCAGAAGGAGATATGAAAGTGCATTGAACCACGTTTCATGGCGCTGGCTAGTGGCAGCAGTAAACCTCATCGTTCTACCTGGTGTGACAACTTCCAAACTCTTACGGTGGAGACCAGGAGGGTATGGGTTATCATCAGTGACCACTCGGACGGCTTCGATGGCGACACTCTTGGCCATCAGTTGAGCTTTACTAGCGGTCTGTGGGCTCTGAGAACTCCAGTACAAGGTGCGGGTGAACGGATGGACCCAGAAGTACCGTCTGTGTCGCGTTTGGGAAAAGTCCGGTCGCCCTGCCTTGCGTGTATATTTCCATAGGAACTCGCCAATCATTGTCTGCGTGATGGCTTGGATCATGCGAGGATCTGTTCCGGGCTCGAAGCCACCATACTCCGATCTTGATAAATTGAATCGATCGTCAAGTTCAGATACAAAGGATGAGATTGACGATCGCCGGGACGCGATACTACCATGCCTGAGTCTAGTTTTCGATGAGGCACCGTTACTGCCCTGAACAGCAGCAGTTCCAGCTTGTTCGCTAGGTGTCCTGGGTCGGGAGTGGGCGCCAGGTCGATACGCGGAAGCAGGGGCGATTGGAGGTCCCATAATTCCGGTTGGGCTCTCAGTTGATACCCTTTGGGCAGCGGCAGCAATTGCTTGCTTATGATCAGGTGGCAGAGGAGGGTGGGCCATTGCGCTACGTCTCGCGCTTCCTGCGCTTCCAGGTCTTCTGGTGGCAGCGCTGGGAAGGAGGAAGTTCTCGTTAACTCCGGATGGTTGAGCTTTCGCCCTGGGAGTCGCCAAGATAGACTCTTCTGGTGAGCCAGGCAGGGGCGTAATTGCTATCTTCGATTCTGGCGTTTGCGGTGGTGCCGCGAAACGTCTTACGGAGAGGAGAGAATCGATCTGTTGGCTGGTCAAGATAGTTTGAGCGGCATTCTCTGCAACACTAACTGGCACAACCGGTGGCGGCGATGGTTCGGATCTCATCATGTCCGTATCCTCTGCATCGTACTTGGACGGCATCATTTCACGCGGAGATTCTAGAACTGAGAAAGCATCACCATCGCTATCATGGACAGCGGTTCTAGGTCTCCTTGGAGATGGGTCGGTTGAATGGACATCATCCGAGTTAGCAAATAGCGCAGTCACTGGTGGGATAACCGTGTGAACAACGGGCTCTGGCGCAATGGGCGTAGTGGATTCAGCATATATCGAGGACATCTCAAGTTGTATCGACGGCTTCACAACAACGGGCTGTGCGGGAGGAGAGATGGGCGGTGTATCGATAGTCTGAATAGACGATGCAATATATTTGGGGGGTGTGAAAGGGGGTAACGGAAGAGTAGTCACGATCGGTTGTGGGGTGACGGGGCGGGATTGCTCGAATGTCACACCGGAGAAGGCGAGGTGCATTGAACTTCGTCGCGGTTGTTCGACAATGGGTGCCGGAACTGGGATGGTTTCTTCGAACAGCATCGGTGAGAGCTCCAGCTTTACGGGTTCTGGGGTTGGTTCTGGTTCTGGGTCTGAGGTCGAAGAAAGGGGAATCGGAATGGGGACGGGTGCGATTATATCGCGGGACTTGTCCTCTTCGACGGGTGCAGCCACTGGGGGGGAGTCGAACATGACCATCATGTCACTTTGAACCATCTGCTGAGGCTTTGCAGGAACATATTGAGTAGCCATGTCTACCAGCGTAGACTTAGCCGGCTCAGTTGGTGGCGTATCAAACATGACTATCGCGTCACTTTGGGCCATAGACTGAGATTTCACCGGAGTGCATTGGGTGGCCATGTCTACTGACTTGACTGGCTCTGCTGGCAGCGAATCGAACACGATTATGGCATCGGTTTGAGCCAGTGAGGGACGCTCCGTGGGCGTATATTGGGTTGAGGTGTCTACAAGGACTGCAGAAGTCGTGGAGGTTGCCATATCCGCCGTTTCAGAAGCAAGAGTTTGTGTTGCTACAGTCTCGCATGCAGGCGCGGGAGCAGGCCATTGCTCGGTCATCATCGAGGAATCAACCATAATGATCCGTGGCGGTTGTTCAACCTGTTTATGTTGGATGAAGCTGAGATTGCGGATAGGCGTAGAATCCACTGAGGTGGTATTAGATTGCAGTGGGCTTCCGAATTCACCGTCACTTCCCAGGCCAGCTTCACCGAGCTCTGCGAAGAGACTTCGGCCGCCCTCAACTCTAGGCTTGGGACTATGCAGGCTTCCGGGGGAGGACGCCTCATAACCCATGCTGCCACCCGCCTGGATGGTCTCCTCGGACGACCTTGCGCGTCGTCCTCGCTGCATCTTGAGACGATAACGAGGCGGCTGCGATTGGACGGGAGTGTGTACTTCATCGTAACCGTAGTCGTCTTCGTCTGCTGAAGTGGACGCAGTACTCATAAACGAGGTGCGGTCACCGGCCTTTGCAGTTCGAATCGTGTATGGCTTTGCGCGTTGCACTGCTCCCTGTCGATCGGCGCGGCCTTCCGTCTCTGTAAGCTCATCACTGCTATCTGCCGCCATGTTTTCAGCGCCCGTTTGGAAATTTTCGCTCTCGGTAGCTGTCTCGGCTTCGTGCGCGGTTTCAAAGCCACCGTCTTCCGTCTCGTTTGCGGTCTGGTATGTGTCGCTCGCGCTGACCGAGCCAGAGCGAGGACGAGGACGAGGACGAGGGCGGGAGAACAGAGCCGAGCTCTGTCTTGCTTGCACGGCCTTGGTAGGACTGACTTCCATGACTTCTTCGTCTTCCCAATCTGGTTCATCGATTTCTATCTCCGTGACACCTCTCCTGCCGGCGCCAAGCATATCTGGGCGTGGTGGCTTTTTGAAGACCTCTGGCTTCGTCCTCTGGCGCTTCTGAGCGCTTCCCTGGGCGACGGCCTCGTTTCTGCGGGTTTCGAGGTCATCTCGAGCCTCTTGGAGCATGCGCTTGAGCTCAATCTTTTCGGTCTTTTCACGATGAATGTTGTTCTTGAGGTTCTGGATCATTCGGTGTGCGTGATGGAGAGAGCTCTTCAGCGTCTCCGATTCTAGATGGCCGTGGCGAGGCGTTGCCTTGTTGGGTGACGGCGGAGGAGAGTTATCCGGGGTGTCTTCGTTCTCGGCATTGTCGCCAGCATCCCGGTCGATGTCTCTGGCAGGCTCAGACTCATGTTGTCGGAGTTTGGCAGCTACGGCCTTTGCGAGCTCTTGGTTCTGGCCTACCAATTCGTCGACCTTCTTGCGGAGACTGTTACGTTCGGTGTCCCCAGCGGTCAGATTTCTTCGGAGGATGTGAAGTTCAGAGTCATGCGCCTTTTGGGCCGCAGAGTGTTCCTCTACCAGTTTCCCATTGGCCTGTTTGAGTTCGTCGAGCTCCCGCTGAACGCTGTTCTTCTTGGAGGTGAGCGCATTCAAATTGGAGGTCAACCGATTTTCGCGTGTAGCGGCCTCCTTGGCAGCCGCTAAAAGTTCATGGGACTGTGTTTCAAGTCTCCAATTCTCGTCCTTGTAGCGCTGTTCGCTCTCATCCAGGGAGCGGATACGCTGGGAGAACCCTTCGGCCTCGAGCTCTAGCCTAGACTTTTCGAGGTTCGTCTCGCGAAGGGCCTCGTCCCGCTCGGCGAGCAGGGCCTGGAGCTGGCGAACCTGGGTGAGCAGCGAGGTGCTGATCTCGGTAGCAAACTCAATGTCGTGTACACGGCTGGCAGGCTGGTTACGCTGTCTCCTCGAGGGAACGCTGACCTTTGAGGGCGAGTTGGTGGCCTGGCTGGAGAGGAAAGACGGGCTCGACGGGGTCTACTCGCGTTAGTAACGTATACATAGTAAGAGTTGTAGATTAGACCTACCCGACTGTCCAGGGGAGTGTCCTCTGGCGCGAGAAGCCTTGGCTTCGGGGCAAAGGTCGTCCTGGCGGACTCGCGCCCAATGTCGTTGTAGTCTTTCTCCAAGGCAAGCAGCCTCTGGCGCAGCTCGGGACCGATCTCGCCGTCTTCCTGCTGCTGCTCGACCTCTCTCAGCTTGTCGGCGAGGTCCTGCTGCTGCTGTACGAGAGCAGTGCCAAGCTTTGACGTCTCCTGTAGCCTGCGGTCGGTTTCAGCGAGATGAATCTCCAACGCCCGCTTGAGCTGCGATGGCGAGGACGAGTTCAGGGTGAGTAGCTGGTTGTCGAAGGATGAGTAGCGGTGCGGTTCCCGTTGGGCCTGGCTCGCTGCCAGCGGCGTGGCAACGAACGGGTCGTCCATGGCTGACGGTAGTTGTCGAGAGATGTCAGACGGGTAAAAGATGCTGTGTATGCGTGTGCCTTGTTAGGATTTCTCGGTATCTTCCACAGAGAAATCAGGCGTGCGACCTCATTCTCGCCAGCCTATCCGCGCGATGTCAAGTCGACGTCCAGTCCCAGTCGACAGTCCGGTCGACAGTCCGAGAACCAGATCTACCAGACAGAGAACGCAGAGACGAAGATGCAGAGACGAGAGATGCAGCAGATCGTTATCGAAGGAGAGCAGCCATGGGCCGGAGGCTGGTCTTCGGGGTCGCACTGAGGCCAAGGTGTGACGTGGGTTTGTTATTGATTTTCCCCGTACCGTATTTTTTTTCCTTCGCAGACACGCGTATCCGGACGCAGACAGGACACAATGGCGAGAGACGGCGCAGGGAGACGAAGAGTAGATATAACAAAAGAAAAATAGACAAAAGAGTGACTGATCTCGCGCTGCTTTGAGGCCGTGAAGAACGCAGCTCGCGGCGGTTTTTGGGCGGGGAGAAAGACGGAGAGAAAGGAGTTCGCGATGTTGTGATGCTGACTAAACATGAAACGTCCACCTTTTCACTCTCTTTCTCTTTGTATGTATCTATGTATGTATGTATGTATCTGCTTGCTTGCTATTACCGTTATTACTTATTTCTTTTCTTTTATTATATATTTATGTGATTGTTTCTTTTCCTTCCCGTTTGTTGACATGTCACGTGATATCAGATATGATTACTCAGCATGATATCAGATCGAGAAGAGAAGAAGAGAAGACAACTTCAAGACGGACAGACAGACAGATATAAGTGACAGAAGTGACAGAAGTGAGTGACAGACGGCGACAGAGATGGATGAGATAGTGCCGGCGTTCAAGAAACGGACGGCCAAGGCCAAGTCGAGCCTGCGCAAGAAGACAGCACCGCCAGCGTCCGACTCGGAAGACTTCACGTCCAGCGACGACGAGCAGGGCCACAGGATCAAGCGCAGACGGAAGAACGCCGGCGTGGGCGCCTCGTCCAAGACCGCTGCGCCGAAGCGAGAAGAGGACGAGAAGCCAGGAGCCACGGCCGAACGACGGGCGCTGCCCACCACCAACGACGCAACCAAGCAGTCGAACTGGTACGATGAAGACCTGAGCGAGAAGAACCTGCTGGGAAACACACGCACGCGCACGAAGCCTGAGGACGCTGAGCGGGCAGATGGCACGTACCGCGGCGCCTCGAGCTACCAGTCCTTCATCCAGAAGAACCCGGACGCACCCTCCAGGCAGGTTGGGCCCATGAAGCCCGCCGCAACCAACATCCGCACCATCACCGTCACCGACTTTGCCCCGGACGTGTGCAAGGACTACAAGCAGACAGGCTGTAAGTATTCTCTTCTCTATACTCAGTCTTAGTATATGATGCTAACGGCTCAGTTTGCGGATTCGGGGATAACTGCAAGTACCTCCACGCGCGAGAGGACTATAAAGCCGGTTGGGAGCTGGACCGGGACTGGGAGATACAGACAAAAGGCAAGAAGCTCGCCGGGCAGACGGTGGCTTCACGGCATGGCGGTGACGGGGAGGGAGAGGACGAGGACGAAGACGACGAGTTTCTGGAGAGCATACCCTTTGCGTGTATAATATGCAAGCAGCCGTACACGAGCCCGATCATCACCAAGTGCGGACATTACTTCTGCGAGGCGTGCGCGCTGAAGAGGTACCGGAAGAACCCGAACTGCGCGGCATGCGGCTCGTCGACGGGGGGAGTGTTTAATGTTGCAAAGAAGCTGGGGAAGCTGCTGGACAGGAAGCGGGAGCGGGCTAGGAAGAGGAGGGAGCAGGCCATCGAGGCCGGCGAGGAGGTCAGCGAGGATGACGATAATGACGAATAGATACCATGTACGATACTGAAGACCATCTCTAGACTGCATCTAGGTCTATCGTCTGGTCTATACGGAGTATATAATGACAGTCTGTAGTATTAGTATGTCATCATACATCTACCACTTCACCACTTCACTGCTCTACACTTCACTACTCTACAAGACCTGCTCTCAAGATGAAGGATGAGATCTGCATATCAAGAGCCTGAGCTCGTATAGAGATTAAGGTTAGGCTCCTTCGGCTAGCCAGGATGAAGGCATTGCTTGTTTCTACAGTACATATAGATACATATCATACGGAGTAGATAGATATACAGAGTAGAGAGACATATAGTAGATAGATATAGAGTAGACGGATATAGAGGAGACAGATATAGAGAGATATATATATAGATATAGATAAAGATAGGCATAGAGACATAAGACATAAGACATCGAGACAGGGGCATCAGGGGCAGATGCTTGATGCACTAGCAACCGCCTATGAGACGAAATACTCCGGCCTTAGTCAACTTACGAGGCGCGTCCGTCGCCGCAGTGGAGGCTTCAATCCAACATCTCCTCTTATTCTCCTCTTATTCCCTTCGATGGCAGTGTCTTGTCCTCTGCGATGTCTCCTTGTCTGACGCTGGCCAGCCTGCGGTGATCCTGGCCGGCTATACTCTCTACAGCCCCTGACCTCCAGCTCTCCTTCACGATGACCAAATGTCGGCTTCGTCATCTGCTCATCCTCACGGCCTCAGTCCTCGGCTGCGTCTGGTTCTTCCTCGGGGGCGAGCTCCGCGCCATCGCTGACCAGTACAACGTCCGCGACTATCTCAGAGACTCCTTCGACCCGGACAAGCGACCTGTCAAGCCTTCCCATGCCGTGGCGGTCGGCGACAAGGCCATCGTCATGGCCGCCCTGGAGGAGGAAAACACGCGCTGGGTCAAGGAGTACCTCCCAGAGTATGCCTGTCCCTGTCCCTATCCCATTTATAGACCTCTACTAACTGGAGCAGCTGGCAGCGGGCGATCTACACAGTCAACCCGTCGCAAAAGACGCTCCGGGACCCAAACCGCCTCTCGACCCCCGCCAACAAAGGCCATGAAGCCATGGCCTACCTCACATATGTGATAGAGCACTACGACGCTCTCCCTTCTGTCGTCGCCTTCCTGCACTCGCACCGCGCCGGCTTCCTCAAGGCCTGGCACGTCGACGCCCCGCTGCACGATAACGCGATCGCGATGCAGTCCCTGCAGACCGAATACGTCAGGCAGAACGGCTACGTGAACCTGCGATGTATGCGGAACCTGGGCTGCGCGTCGCCAGGCCGCCACCCGCTCATCACGCCCGAGGTATGGGGCCAGCTCTTCAACGGGACCGCGCAGCTCATCGAGGGCGCAGGCAAGGGTAAGGACATGCCCATGCCTATACCGAAGCTCGTGATGGCGGCCTGCTGTGCCCAGTTTGCCGTGTCGAGGGAGCAGATACGGTTGCGGCCGCTGGAAGACTATGTGCATTTCAGACAGTGGCTGTTCGATACGCGGCTGAACGATGCGTCCAGTGGTCGCGTATTCGAGTATCTGTGGCATATCATCTTCGGCAAGGAGGCTATCTAGTATGTTTACCTTCTCGTTCTTCTATATGCGTGGCTAATGTGTATACAGCTGTCCCGAGGAGGATGTCTGCTACTGCAAGGTCTACGGACGCTGCTAGCTTTCAATCATCATTTTGATTCTTATTATGACTGCCATTTAATTTACTGGTTAATCGTCTTGCGTTCTGCGTCTGCGTCTGTGTCTGCTTTCACCTTATTACTGGGATAGAATGAGGATAAAAGCTTATAGAGCCTGGTGAAAGAGTTATTATACCCCTCCGTGTATTACAGAGATCGTTATGTATATTGTTTAATAGAATAGTCGTGTTCAGGAATACTCGAGCCAATTCTTAACAACTTGCTGGCCGTTTTCCATGATTATAACTGATGATGACATGTCTTGAGATATACCAATTATTGCTATTCCCATGATGCGAGGGTGGAAGATGAGTGAGAGATACCATGGAGGTCACTCCCTTGTTGATAAATGGAGTAGCAGTCAACAGCCACAGTCCGGTCTTGACAGTCAAGGCTTGAATACACCTGTACAGCAACGGATGGAGTAGATCAACGAGCTACGTGCAATTAAGTACAGAATTGACAAACACAGGGCGAGGTCATCGAACGAGAGATATCATAGCCATGATGCATGGCAGCGTGTCTGCAGCCAGCAGTGTGTTACTAACTCGGCGAATGGCCATAAAAGCGAAATTAACCCAAATCTGTATTTCCTTTTCTTCCGAGCTTTTGACCTCTGAACAGATGAGATAATAAATGCCAGATGAGGGAGCGCTGACTGTACTTTGCATCGGGGACACATTCCTCGGTATTCGATTGCGACAGTCGAGCTCCATGGCATCAGCGAATAAACGACAATACGAGGCGATTATTGTAGTTTGACTGCGGTGATTCCCATTCTTAGGGCATCTTTATAGGCTGGCCAATGTCCTCGTTATTTCGTGCCGATCTGGTAGGCAGATGTTTGGTGCTCTTGGATGTCATAGCTGGTCGAGTGCGGTGATTTACCCTTGGTATATCCGGGCTCTGTAGCTGATATTTGTGGCCAACCTCTTCGGATGTATTCTGTTCATCCATTATGTTCTACGTATCGGTCCCAGCTATGCTTGCGGCTTCGCTCTGGCTGGGCGAACTGCCAATCTGTACCTAGTATAGGGTATATAGGTCGTTTTCTGTGCGCATCGTCTGAATATCCCCTTCTAGGCCCCTGCGTGTAGTCGACATAATGAAGTATAAGATCGAGATGAACATGTAGGTGGCCACGTCTCCGGTGAGTCGTTCCTGCGAAGAGTTATGTCTCGACGGATTTTTCGCTATAAAGGCTGATACATCATCTGTCCACTTGAGCGATTCGGTTTCTTTTGGCCTGTAAGGACCGTCCACTTAAATTCAAAGGTGTTAAGAGGTTTGAAGTTATCACCATCAAGCAGGCCCGTAAAATTCCAGCCATAATTTCTGTTACTACCGCAATTCATAAGCTGGGCCAGTTCAGCATTGTCGGCAGTCTCTAATACAGATATCACTAGGTACGTAGCTCACGTATGCGATGATGGTTGCTTTCAAGTCACTATGGACCGTGACCTCCGTGTTCTCTCCAAGGTGTTACCTCGATGTTCCAAGACCATATGGCTGTAGGAGGAAGTACCAAGCCCTAGGAGACAGGATGGTCAATCCATCGCCGTTCGAAGGTACGGGCAGCGGTTCTCGTAGTCCAGTTGGAGAAAGGAACAAGCTGCCATATACTCATCCACGACATGTTTCTCTGGTCGAGATGCACGCGTCGCCAGGTCTAGAGTGTCCACGTCTTCATCATCGCCGCAGATCGAAATATAGTTGGTCAACATAGCCTTGACATCGACTGGTGGCACCCTCAACTCTTCATTCTCTGCCGTAAGGGCTCCTCTGTAGACCCGTGAAAGACATATATTGTCAACGTCGCCGGAGTTTTTTTTCGAGGAGACATTCGCCTATATCGGCCTAAAACTTAGCGAAGCCTCAGGTACTTCCGTGGTGTCTGTCCAATTTTCAACACAAATTTCTCCTCTGACATATTAATTAAGCCATTGGTTTTGTAGACAGCGTTCTTGCGTCGGATTCTCACTGCTGACTGGATGCGACTTCAGCACAGGAGTGTGAAGATAGCCTGCATAAACCGTTGAAAGCTTTGCGGTCGAGCAGTGAGTTCATCTAGCCTTTAACACAGGCATCGTTTGAGTGATTTGGGAGCAGCACGTCACAATGTTTGTTGTAGTCGTTAAACCACGCTGCCGCAACGTCCCGTTTTCCCGTCTTCACTCCGGCATGGATGACCGAGAAGAAACTCAGTACTAATCTTTCTAGACTGTCTGGGTTGCGTTGAGTTTATGATGCCGTCACCACGCTGTGACTAGCGCCAGTTGTCGATGAAGTTACTGGCATCATGCGCCTCAGGAGATGGGGTTGAGGTGACTTCTATAGCTCTATGATAGAGTACTGAACTTGACCAGATATAATTATCCTTGTCTAGGTCGAGGCTATAAATTTTTCTCCGTCGTTGCGTGCGCATCGCAATAACTCAGCAAGGTAAGGAGACACCGGGCAAGGTAATATATAAAATAGATAGCAAGGATAAATGGCAGTATATCAGGTATCAAGACTAGGCAGAGGGTATAGTAGTCATAGCCCCAACGCCGCAGAGGGCGAAGGGGGGAATGGCCTGTCCAGCGGGAAGGAGAAAAATAGGGAAGAAGGAGGATGGATCAAATCCGCGGACGAGGGACGGGTATTTATGCCTGATTCTCAAGCTGACGAGTGATCCTTTTTTCTACGGAGTGACTGACTCCAGTTAATGATCCTAGTTATCTCAGTTAATCTGCTAGAATCACCAATGGAAAAGCGAAACTGTTAGTGAAGCGGGTGGAATATGTGAAGGATAGAGGCTAGACAAAGAAATGGAGGGTAGAAATAGTGACCGAGTATGTAGGCCGCCGTGAGGATGCGGCTATGAATGAACTGCTTCACAGATACCCGTTTGTCTTGATGTTGAATATGATGTTTGCAGTGATGGTGATGAAGGGTGAAGAGCTGGAGTCGCGGTCTTTGTGGATGTCGAGCCGGCGCATTCAAACGATGTTCCGTCGTTGATAGAGAACAAACGAAGGAGAAAGACAAACGAACAGAAGAGGAACCACGATGGTTCAGCAAGCTCGTATTACGTCTCAAGTCTACCGTAAGATGCACATCAAGAAGTAGACACGTTCATTTCATAAATAATAATCGAGTTATGTATGTAGGACAGTAGGAGAGTCGTCATTTCATCATCAGCGAAGAATAAGATAAATACAACAAAACAAAAGCAACCAATATCCAGATCCGGGTCTCCCGCCATTCAGGGCGTACTGTCCGTTCCTTTGCCCATCCCATTAAGGCATCCTTCGTTTGTGAAAGAGCGCGGTCAATCAAACACGATAGTAAAAAAAGCAAGTCTAGACTGCCAACATCGGGTAAAGGAATAACAGTAGAGAATATTAAGGTAAGAAATAGACAAAGGAGAAGATATCGTCATCATGGCCGCCAGCTCTCATCAATCCGGCCTCTAACCATCCGTCGACCTCGTCTGAGGCCGACGTTCCCTTCTCCAACAAGGGCTTTCCAGCGTTTCCCAACGGAATCGTGGTTCTTCCCCATCCGCCTTGCACAGTCGTTCCAGTCACGTTTAGAGAGCTTTAGCTTTTCCAGCACGAGTTCGACTAGCCTTCCGTCATCTTCGCTAGTCCACTCGGCAGTTGGATGGGGTGGAGAAGAGAATATCGAAGAGTCAATGGCGTTGTTTAATGAGTTGTGGGTGGTAGTTGTGATGGCGCATGAAGTAGTAGAGGCGGGAGATGTAACAATAGTTGTAGGTATTGAATTTATATCATCGCTTCGTAGATTCCACGGCCGTCGGGTGCATGGAGACTGGGTAGGTGATAGTTGCGATCCGCGACCTCTAGATGGGGAATCAAGTGATCGGAAGTCCCCGGTCTCGAGGCCCAGTGGTAGCTCTGGCGGTGCGCGCCTCTGCCTTTTAGGTGTTGAGAATTTATCCTCGTGCTCTCTGTTTTTGCTACCCGGCTGGAAATCCATGGGATCCTCGTAGGCCTCTCTCCGTCTCTTGTTGGCTCCTCGAGGGTACTTTACGGCCGGCTTGACGACCTTCTTGACAGTGCGTACTGCTGTCGAGGATGCTGCAGGAGACACTGATGACGTGGAGGCGGTGCAAGGTTGCAGGTATGCTGGTGGTTTCACCTGTAGCGGACTTTGAAGCCGCTCTGGCTTCGGAGCCCTGGTGCGCCCACGGCTGGGTGACGGCGCGGGGGATGCATTTAGTAAAGATTGGAGCGCACGACATGTCCCCAGCAGGCCGTTGCCAGCAATTATGCCATCATCGGAAGGAGGAGGAGTTGATGGGAAGAGGTGAGAGGTAGCGAAGCGCTGGCGAGTGGAATATTGTTGCTGCCGTGACTCGCACGACAGGGCGGAAGGAAGAAGCATCTTATCGAGAGATACTCCGGACACTGCGTATGCAGAGCGCAAGACTATGCGATAACGTCGGAGGGTGCGCGATGAGAAGAAGACGAGATTAAAAAAAGAATGTGGTTGCGATGTGTTTAATCGTAGCCTGGTTTTGCGCTGCGAGAAAATGCGCCGGGCGAGTTATTCCGAGAACGAGAAGCGGTATGCGGATACGGTAAACTGGGAACGATGGTATACAGCGGTGCGCTTCGTGCGCTGCGACGTTGCGGTCTTTGCGACAGCGAGAGGTGGTGGGAGCACGGTGCGGCGGCGGGGTGGACTGGTTGACTGCAGGAATGGGAACCTGGGGAGGGCGAGGAGGTTGGGAGGGAAAATCAAAATAATCGCACGATCGGGAGGACAGAAGGCAAAAAAGGGCTCTGACAGGCTAGCGGAACAAGCGGCTTGGCGCGCCAGGGCTAGTAAACTCCAGGGGGGCGACACCGTGAGCAGGATAAGCAAATATTGGTCGTGGCAGGATGGAGCACCGGTTAATTAAAGGATGGCGGCTTCGACAGAATGCTCCGTCACAGAGGGGGAGTTGCTAATTTATCGTCTGTGGTCTGCGACGAGGAGGCCGGAATGAGGCCCGGGACAGCGCAGCTTGGGACAGATTGCGGAGGAAAAGTAGAACAGGGAGAAGGGAACTAGAGAGAAGAGGGGGGAGAGCAGAGTTCGTCGGCTTGCTACTACAACTCTGTTGCTGCCTGGCTTTGTTTGTTTGTTGCTAACAATCGGGAATCTGTTCGTTCTTTCATGGCAGCAGCATGGCATCGGATAAAGGACCTTGGAGTTTGCTACCATGTCAACTTCTCCAGCTGCTGAAGAATCAACTGCTCCATAATTATGTATCCGGGTGACTGTGATGGCGCTCGCTGACTTCTCCAGGCCAGGTTGCAATTTGTCAACGCCAACTAGTCTCTACGGAGGTCCGGGAGACCTTCCACTGCGAGTCATCTAAGCGTCTGCACCTGCAGCGATTTCTTCCCTGACCAGCAAGCCTGCAGACCTGCAAACTTTGGGTTTCTGATCTCCCCCATGGACTGGAGCCCTCGAAGCCGCCCTCTGTGCCACCAGGAACGCAGAATGGCATCGCTGTATCACCATTGTCCACAGCAGACTGTGCACACCTGTCCGTTCGATTGGCCAGCCGATCACCAATCCCTGCGTGTTAGTTGAGACGATCTTATGAAAACGCCCACCGTCCACGACTCGGCTTCGATGGGTGAAGAATAAAGTTGGGGAGGAAGGGGACCAAGGGTGTAGAAGGTTTCGAGGGCGGCGGTCCGTCCCATCGTATTATTCCACTGCCTGACCTGACCATACCATCAGCCATCACCATGACGACGGAACGCTTGGTCCGTACAGCCCACTTCCACCAGCCATTGCTCCCTTCCTCGACAAAATCGCAAAGCCTAGGATGGTCAGCTGAGGCGTGAAAGTCACGATAAGAAGATATCGTTTCGCTTGCTCAGAAAATGGCGCCCCTGTCTCCTCCATGTCTCAGGTGAACGGGTCTGCCTGTATCGGTCCTTCGGAAGACAAGACAGCTCTTCTCTCAATTGTTATATTAGTCGAAGCCAGGCTGCTGCTCAACTCGACTTTTATCCTGTCTTCCCGCTCTGAACATCCGATGTTCGCCCCAACCTTCTCTCTTGCCCCTTTCTCTCCATCACGAAAACCACTTTAAGCTGACGCGCCACGCGCGCTAACGCGTCTGTCGCGCTTTTTCGCGTTTCGTGTACCTGCAGTAACAAACCTTATTATGACCAATCACAGGATTTGATGTGACCCACATGGTTTGTCATCCCTCCACGCGGAAAGAGCTTCATGAACAACGAAAAAGAGAAAGGAAGGACGAAAGATGGAAGACAAAGAGGGAATGACAGATGAGATGTTGGGCAGCAGTTACACGGCGGCCGTTGCTGTGTCCCCATCTGCCCAGATTTTCGTTTTTCGAAGAGGCGAAACAAAAGACGAGGAATGATATTTCTCTGCTATGATAGGCAGCCGACGCGTTGTCCCCCCCTCCCCGCCAGCAGAAAGATACCTCTACTGCTCGCTACCGTTCGCCATACCTGACTTGACGGTGTTTCCCGGTCACAGGATCAAGTACCTCTTCATACACCTCATCGTCTTGGAAAAGAAATATATCCTCCGCTGCACCGCGCGAATCCGTTATATCAGATTTAGTTGGAATCTGGAGAGCGCTTACTTTCACCGGCTTGAGGGCATCTAACCGCCATTGATGCTTGATCATAGATGATGGTAGTGGAACATCTTCTGCCGAGTCGGGGTTCCATTCGCGCTTCGTCCCTACTTCAAGCTGCCCAGGCTCCATCCCGCCCATGCTCCTTTCAGATTGTGCTCCCTTTGGCCGTTGAACTGGTTCGGCACAGCTCTTGTTCCATGCCTCGGGACTAAACGGGTCTCTGATACGTGACTTGGCCTGGTGGTCAGCTGCGTCATCGTGACTGGTAACCTCAAAGTAGACTTGAGCCGTTTTTTGGACCGCTATATCCCGCTTTTGGGCCGTTGACCCTGGTGGAGAATGAGGGGAAGGGTCCGTTCTATCACGTAGTATTGCAGGGGGGGCTTTGTTTCCCGGGTCCGAGAGCGTAATTGATACATTCCTCTGAGGCTTCACTAGGTTCTGGCATGATGTTGAGAAGTACAACGATTCCTCTACTTCTTCCTGAGACTCTACTTCTTCCTGAGAGGCCACCAACTGTCGTTCTGGGCTTTCTGAAGAAACCCTCGTTGCTGCCTTGCCTTGCCAGAAACTGTACTCACCCATTGACCCTTGCTCATATCGTAAGTCATATAACACTTTCTCCTTTTCGTCTCGTGGCTCCCATCCTCGTATCGCGCGCATGTAGAGCTCTTCGAATGCTTGGCTGTGTGCATGGTTGGTAAACCAGTCATGTTTCAGCGCGTCCTCAGCAGTCATCCGCTGCTTATCGTTAAGAACTAAAAGGCGGCGGACGAACTCTTTGGCCCTCTCACCCACGTTTTGCCAGTCCTCGTCTCGTTCGAGCACCCCGAGATTGCATTGCTTGGCTAGCTTTCCACAGTATTTTCCGGTCGCTGGGTCGCTGAATGGTGAACCACCTGTGAGCAGGACGACGGTAAGACAGCCCATTGACCACAAGTCAACAGATTTAGTATACCCTTTGGCCAGCTTAAGGTCCCCTTGGCCCATTTCCCTGTTACAACATGTCAGCGCACATGCTATTGTTTCCATGGTTATCATCAGTTCTTACGGAGCTGTGTATTCCAAAGTTCCCATCATAGACGCCATGCGCGACTTCTTTGGGTTCAGATATCTTGCGCACCCGAAGTCGGTCAAGATCACCCGAGATCCGTTATATAGGGATGTCATCAGGACATTATCTGGCTTTAGATCGCGATGAACAACATTTTGACTGTGTAGGTATACCAGTGCAATCACAACCTGCCGGACTATGACAGCTGCTTCCACGTCCAGTAGTTTGCCTCTTTTAAACTCGAGGAAGGAGAACAAGTCGCCTGCCGTGACCAAGTCCTGGAATATATACCTACTCCGTGCTCAGTACTTTTGCCATTGGAGGTCGCTCAAAGAAGTGAGACTCACATTGTATCATGCGTCTTGAACACTTTTTCTATACCAATAATATTCGGCTAGCAGCCCTGTTAGCTAATACTTCACTCGGCAAAAGAAATGTGAATTCCACTTACATGCCGCAGCTTTTGCAGGATCTCCACCTCCCGGTCGTACATCCTCAGTTTCGTTTGTACCCTGTGAGTAAGACGTCGCCGTTTGGCCAATGTATGCGGCACTATACCATCCTTCGGTGGAAGCTTTGCAATTTCGACTTGCCGAAGCCTACCTTTCAAATCAGCTAGGTTGACTACTTTGCACGCCAATTGCGTTTTTCTCTGCTTGTCGATTGACATGTACACCCGTCCGTACGCGCCACAACCCAAGATGCGGTTAGTGATGACATATTGATTTCCGAGAAGCTTCATTTCCTGAATCTGAGCTTCATCGAATGGAGTCCCAGATACTCTCTCACCCCTATATTCCAGAGCCACATCACTGGAAATTTTCACGATATCACCATCGCTTAACAAGAAGCCACCGCTTCCCTTTCCTATCCTGAGTCCGTTCCAGAACGCTCCATTGAGGGATAGGTCTTGGACATACACCAGAGGTGCAACCTGGGTGGGGTTTTCTTGGTCGAATATTATTGTATAGATGCGAAGGTGCGTGTTGGAAACCATAGGATCATCGATAACCAATTGGCTGCTAGAGTTAGCTGTTCTGACCAAGTGTTGCTTTACCTACTCTTGCAAGGGAAATACTCACCACGAATTTGGGTTGCGGCCCACGGTCAGCTCGTCGTTGGCAAATAGTTTCCACTCTATAATGCATTTCGATTAATACCAGCTTAGGCATATTACCATATTCTCGTCGTAGCTATGCCTCAGGACGTATATTTGGATACCTCTACTTACCTCTACTAGCCTTGGTACTCCCATTATAGACGTACATTGTACCAACATGGTCTGACGAGCATGGTTGAAACACGCCATTGTCATTCTGGAATTGTGCACTCGGCATGATGGGCGAGTAGTTGGCGTATAAGAAACTGAAGGAACAGTAAACACCTCTATCCAGCCTTCGTACAGAGGGGAAGACGCTGAAGAAGAATAGAAGAGACGTTGAAGAGATGAAGTCTAGATATCCCGATTGGGACCACTCCATCACCGCCCCTTCTATAGTGATCATGTGATGGTCAAATTTCTGGCAATTCTTTTTGGCAATTGTCACTACGTCGTCTTAGATGGCTATATATTTGGAGGAGATATGCCTTGACACTGGACGGTGCAGGTTAAATGACGTTTATATCTCCAGGCGCTTATTCGTTCGCGTTCAGCATTGAATCCTCAGGCAGTAACTAGCTCTCTTCTGTTGAAGCACAGAACACTCAATGAGATGATCGATATTATTAACGACGTACGTCCATACTATGAATCCTATGATCGCGAGGAAGAATTTGCGGTAAAAATAACCGACCAATAAGGCAGACCAGAAGGAGGCTGAGACCCCTGCCAAGGACTCATGCGAGCCCATGCCAATCCCCACGAGGCATCTCCACAACATCGGGAGATAGTCAATCTCTATTTAATCTGCAGAAGAACCCCAGGGTAAACATGCGCGCGCTATCACGAAAAATTTCCTCCAACATTACACCGTGGCCATGTCGAACGCCTCCCCAGCTGATATAATCACCTATATCGGCGTACCTCTTGCCGTAATTGGTGTGCTCCCAATAATTTACACCTGTGTTCGCGCCCTGCTTGTGCTACGTTCAATCCGCATAGTCTTAGCACGAAATGGCCACTCCAACTCCGCAGTCACCAGGGGTAGCATGATGTCGGGCATCGTCGAAGTCGAACTACCACGCTATACCATAACGCCCCTTGATCGAGAAGATGATGAAGAGTACTGGAAGCTTAACGCGGGCCGCTCTACACTCTCTGGAGGCTCATGGTCCTACTTTCACTGGAATTGTTTGGTAACGGGCAAGAAGCTATACCGAATCCAATATAAAGACGAATTGCTAGTACCTCAGGCGGAAATCGAATTTGATGAACTAGTTGGATTCCTCCTCGATCGCGGAGCAGTGCCTGATGAAAATGGCTGGAATATGTTGAGAACAAGTGGATTGTGGACGCCGGCTGGGACTGTTTTGCTACGATCGCCACTGAGCGGGTTTGGCGCTGTACTGAGAACGAGCGTGCCTGATGATTCAGACGGCGTTCTGAGTTTGAAGGTGCACTGGCAGTCTGATTGGGACCAACGAGACAAACATTGCCTGCCGCCATTTTGGATGAGGGTTCATCAGCCCAAGCTATTTCACGATAGAACATCTACTTCCGGTTCCGGCTCTACATCAAAAGCAGGAGAGGAGACCATAGATGACAAAGAAGGCCAGAAACTATTGTCCGTAGAAGGGCCCACTGGGGATCCAATAGAGGACATGCAGCCTGATATAACTGCTGTCCCATCACTTCTGGCTCATATTGAGGAAAAGCGCGCCTCTCTCGATAGCACTGATGCACTCAGCGACAGTATACGCTTCCGCATTGAAAGCGATACTGTCGAGAAAATCTACTTTGAACAAGACCACTCGCTTACTGGAAGGACGAGGGAAATGGGCCATACGGGCGACGCAATTAACCAGTGGTTTGTCTACACTGCATCATCCCTAGGGCACAACGAAAAGGCAGGAACATGGAGTTTTGCATTGCCACAAAATATCTTGCAGGCTGTGAAGAGAGAAGCAGTTCCGTGTGGTGTTATGGAATTACTGGACATCATGCAAGAAAGCGAGCTACCTCACTGGGCGTCTCCACGTCCACAGTTTAACGATCCCATGAAATTTCATAATCGGTTTCTCGAAAACATACGCGCAGCACAACTCGAGAAAACAATGCCTCCTGCGCAAGCCGAAGCCGCCCGTCGTGCCAGAGAACAGGCTAGCATGAGGGCAATGCATAATGACCACACGGAAGGGGTCAAGGTCATGCGCGAGTACGAAGAGAAACACAGGATTGAAGCGTTGACTTCTCCGAAACTAAGCAACAAGGCCGTCGCCAACGCTTGCTTAGCATGGCTGACAAAGAATAATTATGTTCCTAAAACGTACCAGATCAGAGATCTGGCCAAGGCAGCATTATACCTGATGGTACTCGATAGCAATGAAGCCAAGGCTATTACACAGGTATGTGATCGTTGGACGATCTGGCATCAATCGCCAGGCATGAACCGTTCGGAGATAGAATTCCTACGAGATAACAAGGCCTCCTTTTGTTATGCCTCGTCCATAATTTACACGATCCAAATAGCGGCACATTCAGAAGCCCAGGTATCCACGGACATGCAGGAGTGCCTAAAAGTGTGGAAGAAAGTGCGACTTGGTTGATATCTAGATCGGAATAATACGTTGTAACGAAAATCTATGTCGCGGAGCCACCTTGCATTTTTCGATATCTTTCCTCGGCAGCTCTTGCACGCCGCTCTCGTTCCAGTTTCATTCTCATCTCCGGCGTCATCCCCCTTGTCTCTTCCTCCCGTTTCTCTGCACCAGTCTTCTGCTGTATTGCAGCAAGCGTTTGACGGGAGGCGCGATTCTTCCCTCCAATCGAAGGAGTCTCTTCCTTTCTAAGACGTTCAACTTCCTCTGCTCGTCTCTTATCTTCGGCTTCCTGGGCCGCCTTTTTCTCTGTTTCTTCTCGACTTTCGCTTTCTTCCTTTGATATTGCAGAAGGCACATGGGCGGCTTCCCAGTCCCAGGTATCCTCCCCAAGCTCATGGCGAGCAACTCGGAAAGCGTCTCGCGTTATGCGATTCCCGGCAAGATCGAAAGCTGGCTTCCCATCGTCATTTAACTGGGCAGGGTCCACTCGAGCTTTCGTTAACAATGCGCTAACAATTGCTGGTGAATTGGAACCTGCAGCTAGATGGAGGGGAGTCGAGGAGTGGTAGTTCTGTGCCGAGTCCGGAGGATAGAAACGGAAATTTTGAGGTATCGAGTTACTGGAGATGTATGAGAGTAGCGCAGGGACCTTTGAACGTCGTATGAGGGCTTGGATCTGGGATGTATGAAGCATTGCGGCCTCTTCCTCTTTGGAAACCTTTGGCTTTTGTGGTTGAGTTTGGGCTGTTGGCTTGGGAGATTTCGATGCTGCATCTCGACGCTTTGCTTCCTCGGCCACAAGAGCAGCCTCATCAATATGGCTAACTTTGACCCGGGTAAGCTCTGTGAATGATCGCATCAACTCTGCCTGGGTTGCTCGGCGTGTGCTGAACGGAAACACCCGTATCCTTGGATCAGAATGCTTCATAACTTGTCCCTCATACGGCCCGAATAATATTTTGCGATTTGTCGATCCTGCAGCCCGGATGAAGAGCAGCTGTGAATCGTCAATCATGTCCTTCCAACTCTTCAACAGTTGCCTGATTTCGTTTTCCAAAGCTGCCTCATTATATCGTCGCAAGGAAGCACCGGCCGAGTGCGCAAGCCCCCCCGCAGCATCATTAGCTGCCTGACCACCTCCCTGTTTTCGCCTTGTTGTATACCGATGGAACGTTTTATGAGCAATCACTCTAGCCTGCCGCTCTTCGATGCCAGACCGTTTCTGAACCTCGGGCGCAAGGGCTACGACCATGGCCGCGAAATGACCTCCACCGATCATACATAGGGAGATGTGCTCCGAGTGTGAATCTTTTGTAATCTTGGAAGTATTCGAAGCCGTCTCTGAGCTATCTTGATTTCGCTGGATGATATGAGGTTTCTTCTGTTTAGACTTTAGCGAATCAATCAACTGGCTCTGTTCCCCCAATTCTTCCTTCGTGAACAATGCCCGATACACCCCTAGAGACGTATTTGGAGGGAGTATGGGACTTGTAAACCATAATAGTGGCTCCTTCCCACCGCGAACTTTCTTACTCGTACTTTCAGCTTCGTCAAAGGGTACCGGTAAATTTATCTTTGCTTGTCTTTTCAGTAGGGCCGTGAGGGTGCTATCAGGCGTCTGCTCTCCACTCTCTTCCTCGTCGTCAGATTCTGATTCCGAGCCAGATATAGATTCATCTAGATCTCCGATTGCTTTATGAAAGTCTACTTCGTTCAGCGTGGCCGTGCCCCGTAGTCTAGCCTTGAGGTTGTATCGGTGGTGGTCCGACTTGACATGTTCACGCTGTTCCCTGACGTCCTGAAATAGTATCTGGCATAGAGTGCAGGACTTGGAGCCCGGAGAACTGGTAGCGTCATCACTCTCTCGTACTTCGTATCCCGGTACGTTTGCGCTGGGTGTCAAGACCGTCTGGCCGTTTGTCGATTTTGCGGTTAACGATCCCAGGAGCTCGGCGGGGAGAGAGTACACTGACAGCCAGGTTAGTTCCTGACCCTGAAAAGCTATCCTCTAAACTCACCGTATAACGGGCGCTTTAGCAGCGCCTCGCCTTGCGGAGTGCCAGCCATGGCGTGTCTGATGTCTCAGGTTGATGCTGATATCAGTTGGCGGGACTTCAGCTTCCACGACAATAAGTAGTATAAAAGTACTTATCCGTCTGTCCTCAGTATCCTCTCAGCTCTTCTATACTCCGTACACGACGTCTGATCTGACTCACTTGAAGCCTTGGTCCTGGATGTAGCCTGAAGCCAAACCTGCATGGCAGGGTTGTTTATTACGTGGGGGCTTATATAGTAAGCCCGCTAAATCCGAAGCTCTCTCTGTGCGAGACACGGAAAAAGCTCGTATCCAGCAGCTCGATTACTCACTGCTCGTCCGTCCGCGCCGCTCCAGTGGCCCTAGGGATCAAGGCCGAGCAGCAGCTTCTGTGGATCAATTGCAGCCAGGACCGGGACTATCTATCCTGTGTAGCTCTTCTTTCTCCGGCGAAGGTGGAAGAAAGCTGCATTTGTAAGCTCCTGCTTATATAATCACTGCTTTTAGCCCTGCTCAAATAACCGATAGCTTCCCTGAGTTCGATCTCCAAGTTCTCCCCAACCACGACGCGGCAGCCTGTTGTTGTTGTGTATTTTCTTCCCTCTGCGACCGGACCATGGCTGGAATCGATGGGGAACAGGTGGTCTTCGCCCTGCCCCCGGCGGACATCGCTGACATCGTCGTAGGGCCGCTGGCTAAGGCCCGGCATTTCTGCGGCGATGCGGAGGGCTGGGGACCGATCAGCTCCATCAGATATGGCCTCACACCTTGCTTTCTGGACGTCTGGATCTGCTTCGTAGCTGTTTTCGGCCTGGTAGGAGCTGCCGGAGCTCTCTGGCTGCTCCTCCGGCACAGAACGGCGGAGAACATCCCCCGGAACTGGCACTTTTATGCTAAGCTGGTACGTAACGTCTATGAAAAGTACCATATAAGTATCAGCTTGCTAACACGGGCATTTAGTCATTGATATGGGCTCTCGTCATTGTCGTCGGCCTACAGGCATCGCTGCAGATCGAAAACCTCCCTCACGTGTGGGCCAGCGACTTTAGATTCTGGACCACCGTCCTACTTCTGCTCTCCCTCATCGGCATATATGCAGTCCAGTACCACGAGCACTGGCGAAGCCGCCAGCCAAACGGGGTGGTCTTGTTCTACTGGCTATTCTTCCTCATCGCGCACGGCGTCAAGCTTCAGTCGTTGGTGTCACGCAAGGTCTATCAGGATCATTTGCCCTACTTTATCACATTCAATGTCGGGCTCGGCATTGCCATCGTGGAGTTTATCCTCGAGTATTTCGTCCAGAAGAAGCAGAGCGTTTATCACGCATTGGGTGATGAGGATGAGTGTCCGTACGAATACGCGGATATCTTCTCAGTCCTCACGTTCTCATGGATGACACCGCTCATGAAACAGGGCTACAAGACCTTCCTCACCCAAGATGACATGTGGAATCTACGAGACCGAGACACCACTCGCGTTACGGGCCAGATGCTACAGTCTGCCTGGGAAGATGAGCTCAAGAAGAAGAAACCGTCACTGTGGATGGCATTGTTCAGAGCGTTCAGTGCTCCTTATTTCCGCGGTGCCCTCATCAAATGCTTGAGCGACATTCTAGCATTTGTTCAGCCACAGCTCCTCCGTCTACTGATCAGCTTCGTTGATTCCTATCGAACCGAGACCCCACAGCCGGCTATTCGTGGAGTCGCCATTGCACTTGCTATGTTCCTCGTCTCTGTTGTCCAGACTACCTGTCTACATCAGTACTTCCAGCGCGCATTTGAAACCGGTATGCGCGTCAAGTCGTCGTTGACGGCGATGATCTACACCAAGTCCTTGAAACTATCGAACGAGGGCCGTGCAACCAAGTCTACCGGTGATATCGTAAACTATATGGCTGTTGACCAGCAGCGCCTCTCTGACCTAGCTCAGTTTGGAACACAGCTCTGGTCGGCTCCCTTTCAGATAGTTCTATGCATGCTATCTCTCTATGATCTTATCGGATGGAGCATGTGGGCTGGAATTGCAGCTATGGTACTGATGATTCCACTTAACGGCATCATCGCCAACATTATGAAAACCCTGCAGGTCAAGCAGATGAAGAACAAGGATAGGCGAACGAGATTGATGACCGAGATCTTGAATAATATGAAGAGCATCAAGCTCTACGCCTGGAACACTGCGTTCATGAGCAAGCTAAACCATGTACGAAATGACCTCGAACTCAACACTCTCCGCAAAATTGGTGCTACCCAGGCCATTGCCAACTTTACCTGGTCCTCAACGCCCTTCTTGGTGTCGTGTTCAACTTTTGCCGTCTATGTCTGGGTTACTGATAAACCTCTCTCCACCGACATCGTTTTCCCGGCCTTGACTCTTTTCAACTTGCTCACCTTCCCGCTTGCTATCCTGCCCATGGTTATTACCTCTATTATTGAGTCCTCTGTTGCGGTTTCACGATTAACCGCGTATTTGACTGCCGAGGAATTGCAAGAAAATGCTGTTCTATACCAGGAGGCAGCCGCGCATCCCGGAGATGAGGCCGTCCTCATCCGCGATGCCACCTTCACCTGGAATAAATACGAGAGCGGAAATGAACTGGAAAATCTCAATTTCAGTGCCCGAAAGGGTGAATTGAGCTGCATTGTGGGCCGTGTCGGAGCTGGTAAATCATCACTCCTCCAGACACTGCTTGGTGACCTGTATAAAATCAGCGGAGAAGTTGTAGTCAAGGGCCGCATTGCCTATGTTGCTCAACAATCGTGGGTTATGAATGCCAGTGTCAGGGATAACATCGTCTTCGGGCATAGATGGGACCCTCACTTCTATGAGCTAACCGTCGCCGCCTGTGCGTTGGTAGATGACTTCAAAACGCTGCCTGATGGCGATCAGACTGAGGTTGGAGAGCGCGGAATTTCGTTGTCTGGAGGCCAAAAGGCGCGTCTTAGCTTGGCCCGAGCTGTATACGCTCGTGCTGATGTTTACCTCCTTGATGACTGTCTTTCGGCCGTTGATCAACATGTTGGAAGACATATCATCAACCGAGTCTTGGGCAAGAACGGTATTCTAGCTAGCAAGACCAGGATTTTGGCTACCAATGCTATTACCGTCCTGAAGGAAGCTGACTTCATTGGTTTACTTCGCAACCGTACAATTATTGAAAAGGGAACCTATGAACAGCTTCTCGCAATGAAGGGAGAAATCGCCAACCTAATCCGCACAGCTGTCACTGAGGATGACTCTGGATCTACTGGAAGCAGCAAAGACGACGGTTTGGAAAGCTCCGAGTCGTCATCAACCGTGATCGAGATCGGTGAGGATAGTCCTGGAATTTCAGACGCAGAGGAAGCCCAAGAACGCTTTGCACCTCTTGCTCCCATCAGAAGTAGCGGAGGTGGCAAACCTCGCCGTGAAAGTATGGCCACACTACGCCGCGCAAGTACCGTCAGCCGACCGAACTTTAGAGGAAAGGTTACGGATGAGGAAGAGGTCCTAAAGTCCAGACAGACCAAAGAGTCCATGGAACAAGGCAAGGTTAAATGGAGTGTTTATGGTGAATACGCTGCAACGAGCAATCTCTACGCTGTCGCGTCTTATTTGATTATCTTGGTTATGGCACATGCTACGCAAGTCGCTGGAAACTTTTGGCTGAAGCAATGGTCAGAAGTAAACGAAAAGGAGGGAAAGAATGCAGAGATTGGAAAGTACCTTGGAATTTACTTCGCACTTGGAATCGGCTCGTCAGCTCTTGTGATTCTACAGACTTTGATCCTCTGGATACTGTGCTCTATTGAGGTATGAGAAATATTTGGTCCGAGAACTTATTCGAGCTGGTACTAACAGTTCTCCTAGGCTTCGCGAAAACTGCATGAGAGGATGGCCTTTGCTATCTTCAGATCTCCTATGAGCTTCTTTGAGACTACTCCTGCTGGCCGTATCCTTAACCGCTTTTCCAGGTTGGTTTTTACTATATTGACATCTATACATCTTGGTTACAATGCTAACATGTTCCATACAGCGATATGTACCGTGTCGATGAGATGCTTGCCCGAACATTCAATATGGTTTGTCAACCCAGACCGGATTGCGATTCGAAAAGCTAACCATACCCTGTAGTTATTCTCCAATGCTGCCCGTGCCATATTCACAGTTGTTGTTATCAGCATCTCTACACCGCTGTTCCTTCTGCTAGTCTTGCCACTTGGCTTTGTCTATCTGAGCTACCAGAAGTATTATCTCAGGACGTCGCGTGAGCTTAAACGTCTAGATAGTGTTAGCAAGAGTCCCATCTTCGCACACTTCCAGGAGAGTCTTGGTGGCATCTCCACTATCAGAGCATTCAGACAGCAGAAGCGGTTCGCACTGGAAAATGAATGGCGAATGGATGCAAACCTCAGGGCATACTTCCCTTCAATCAGCGCCAACAGATGGCTTGCTGTACGACTAGAGTTCCTCGGATCCATCATCATCCTTTCAGCAGCTATATTCGCTATCATATCAATCACTATGCACACCGGCATAACGGCCGGTATGGTTGGTCTTGCGATGTCATATGCACTCATGATCACCCAATCTCTCAACTGGATCGTTCGACAGACTGTCGAGGTGGAGACGAACATCGTCTCCGTCGAGCGTGTCCTTGAATATGCAAATTTGCCAAGCGAGGCACCGGACGTTATCTTCAAAAACCGACCTACTCTGGGCTGGCCATCCCAGGGTGCACTTACTTTCAACAATTACAGCACTAGATACCGCCCCGGGTTGGATCTCGTGTTGAAAGGCATCAACCTCAGCATCAAGCCCCACGAGAAGATTGGCGTTGTTGGGCGAACGGGGGCCGGAAAGAGCTCGTTGACTCTGGCTTTGTTCCGTATTATCGAAGCAGCTGAGGGTCAAATCAGGTAAGTCGATATAAAATCTGTTGGATGCGGACGGGTGAACCAAACTGTCGGGAGATTTGGAAGCTGACCCGGCTTCACTTAATCCTTAGCATCGACGGGTTGGATATCAGCAAAATTGGCTTGCAGGACCTACGTGGTCGTCTTGCCATTATTCCCCAGGATGCAGCTTTGTTTGAAGGTACTATTCGGGACAACCTCGACCCGCGTCACGTACATGACGACACGGAACTATGGAGCGTTCTTGGTATGCAATCTTTTTAACTATATATCCTTATGCATCATGCACTGCTGACATCTATCCACCAGAACATGCACGTCTTAAAGACCATGTCACTAGTCTACCCGGCCAGCTGGATGCGCAGATACAGGAAGCAGGTACGTTTCTTTGGGAGGGGGGAGGTTGTTTATTAGATTCCGGAGCCGTGATCCGACTAGCATGCATTATACTAATGCATCTGGATGGTGCCTTAGGATCCAACCTCAGTCAGGGACAACGACAGCTCATCTCGATGGCCAGAGCGCTATTGACTCCGAGCAACATCCTGGTTCTCGATGAAGCAACTGTAAGTGCCGGATTAGTACAATGCAAAAGACACTTTGCCCGATTCGTACAGACCTATGCTAACCGTAAGTCTCAAGGCCGCTGTTGATGTTGAAACGGATGCCCTGCTGCAGCAGATGTTGCGCAGTAGCATCTTCGAAAACCGGACTATCATCACGATCGCGCACCGTATCAACACCATCCTAGATAGCGATCGGATTATCGTCCTTGACCGTGGCACTGTAGCAGAATTCGACACGCCTGCCGAATTAATCCGCCGCGGAGGACAGTTCTACACTCTCGTCAAGGAAGCAGGGTTGCTTGAAACCGGCACCTCTTCCCCGGCAGCCCTGGACAAATAGATCCCAAAGATAGACCACCAACATGGATCGGAAAATGGCATGGGGGCGGACGAAGGGACCAGAGCGTCGAAAGAGATGCCTTCCTCTGTTTCATTGAGCGAGTTTAGTTTTTTTTCTCCTTTCTTTCATCCAAAAGCCGTAGTCGAACGAACCCGATGGGCCGGCGGAAAGACGGGCGGGTACAGCACTGTCCATCCAACCCGCTGCTTGCCTGTTCGTTTATTGTTCCGCTTACGAGCCTTGAGCCTAGTTTACTACCGAGCCCACGGTTCAAGCGATGCAGCCAACATCCAACCTCTCTTTCAGCACCCGGGGAATGGACGGCTTCCGAACCGTCGGGCCCGTTATCCCAGCCAGCATCGCATATAACCTCTACCATCGAAATCCAGGGAAAGGGGAAGGGTGGTGTGGAGAATGAATCGAGGCTGGGAGATTCCGACCTGGCGTGACATACGAGGTAGTCAGACATTGTCCTACAACCCGCTGTATATATGTGACATTTTATTATAATGTACTCCGTATCGGCATACCAATAATAATTCCTTGACGTTGTAGCCTCGCGCCTCGAATCCGCCTCGGCAACCCATGTATGTTCCCACTATCATCGACACAGGAGAATACGAAAATAGTAGACTCTCGCAAGTATCGCACAAAACATGTACTTTTCTTTCGTAGCTTTCTTCATGACGATATCCTCCAGCATCTCCGCTTCTCCGTGCATCGCGTGGACGCCTCGGTGGCCTCCATTGGCCTCTGTCGACTTTTGGCGTCATGTTTGCTGCGTCAGGGTCCAGGGGTGCCCCTATATAGCCCAGTTAAGGCTGCTGTTTCGTCTCTCTCCCACGCCCGTCGGCCTGTAGACTTGCATTGGTGTTCACCCGGCCGTGGCTTATCGATATGGAGCCGCCTCTCCACCGTGGACTCCGTCGATAGTAGGCATCCGTCGATAGTAGGAGATCATGGAGTCATCTCTGACAGCACGTTCATACTCCGTCATGCTAATCATGGTCATACTCTAGCTCTGATATGGTCATGCTGAATAGTCACGCTCTATATCTGATATGGGGCTCTACTTCGTATGTCCTGGGATAGGCGAGATGGCGCCTCCTTTCCCCAGATCTGAACATAGATTCGCCTCGTACTGTGAGTTGTACTTGTACCTGCGTAGACTTGAACACCGTTACTCCGTAGTATGCACTAGACTACGTAGTATAGGCAGAATTGCGACAACGGGCCGCTCCTCCCGTTCTCCGCCAGTTACTATGTATATATAAGTTCCATTTTCCCGAGACAATTGGAGATGATCACCACGGTGGAGTGCGGAGAGAAGCCTCTGCCTGCTTTTCTCCCTCCTGCTCTTGATTCCCCCTCCTGAGATCATCCCATAGCGTCAGGAAATGGAGTAAAACTATCTGGCGCGGGCGGCGGTGGATTATGGTTGAAGTCTATCAGCGTGTCTTTCTCCCCTGAGCAAGCTCGCCTCCCAGCGATGTGGAATGTGGAACCGATGTTCAGGCTTCGGGTACGAGATTTACCCACCGCTGGGGGGCGCCGGGCCTGGCGTCGCCGCCGCCGTCGCCGTCGATGGCATTCACCGAGTCACCGAGTCGAGTTTGAAACAGGTCCGGTGGACGGCACCGTTGCAGAGGCGCGCTCAATACTTTTTTCAATAACTCCGGCTCAAGCGTCGACGGCGGGTCTCGCTTGATGATATAGCTAGTCGCAGCCTGGGGAAGAAGAGTTGAATGACTCGCCTCTGAGCAGCAGGGAAGGGATACGAGCCACTATCGAAACGCTAAGCCTGCGCGGATCGCCAGACAATTGGGACCCGCGGCCGTTTGATCTAGAGCAACCCCTCGCCGGTGTCTTGGGACGGCTCTGGTGGTACTCCGGAGTGGTGGTAGTGGTGGTGTTGTGATGTAGTGTAGCAGTGTGGTGGTGTGGTCCTCGAACGCTATCCAAGAGCAGTTCGGACATGGAAGTCCTCCGTCTCTCCTGGTTTTTTTTTTTTTTTTTTTTTCTTTTCTGGTAGCTCTGTAGCTCGCCTCCGTTTACGATTTATTGGAGATGGATAAGGTCGTGCGTCTGTTTCTGATTCCGCTTGGGTTCACCAATCATGCACCAGAAGTGGTGTTTTCATCGAATAGTGGCTGAAGATCGGCTGCTACAGGCCCAGCCCATGACATCGAAAGACCATCTCAGAGCACCACAGCGATGACAGGCTGCGAGATCTAGTTCTACGCGAACACTAGAACCGTCTTGTTGTTTTTCCCCTCTCCCTCTTTTGCCCTCTTGTGCCGTCTGATCCTAATACCGTAGATGTGGGTTTTGATATACATGATAGGCCCGCACGGCAGGGCAAAAGACGGATCCTACCGTACCGTCCAGACGGCATGCCCGCCTCGATGGACAAGAAACAGCCAGAACCAGAACCAGAGATAGAGCCAGAGCTAGAGCTAGAAGAAGGACTGGCGCTGTGCAACTCTGCGGCTTCATCTCCAATGTGTGTCCAGATAAGAATAATGGCTTGACGGAAGCAAGGGGAAGAGAAACCGAGCAATACTCAGCCCATCCATCGACCCTCTCCGCGCCACCGTGTTACCTGGTGTCGATGGGCGCCACTGCGAGTCTTGCCTGCTTTCGCCCTGGCTGCTCCTGTTTTGATTACTCCATACTCCTGCTGCTGACGTCTTTTGCCGTAGACCACGCTGTCTTGTAGTTCTGCAGTGGGATATACTCCGTCCCTCGTTCGGAGTAGTATTACCCGATTGCTCTCGACAGAAAGTGACCTATACAATAATAGTACGGCAGGTTTATATGCCGCTGGGGGGAAGTCAACGGAGTGGATACATATAAGCATCAACTGCCGATGGTCCCCTCCTCCGCCAAATCCAACCCGTCTTCCGGCTTTGCAAAGAGATCCCTGGTCTGTTTGTGGCGGGATAACAGGTTCGCAGGCAAAGCTGACTGCATATAGATGAAGAAGAGAAACGAACAGGTGTTGTATGCTGGGCGAGCGAGCATGGGATATGAAACCGGACCGAGCATGAACATGAGCGCTTATTTGCAGAGCCATATTCAAATAAATCGAATTCGTTAAACCTTCCAGGGTTTGGAAACTCAGCCAAAATTGATGCTGTGTGCGGAAGCAAATGGGAGCACCACCACTTTATTCCTTCGTGCATTAGAGAGGGAAACGTAGATGCCTGCAACTGCAGCACTCAATTCCTCATTCCGCCTGGCTTTCCTTTTTCTTTCCTTTTTTTTTTTATTCCTCCCTTTCCATTTGCTTTTCGCTTTTTTCGCAAAAAAATAACCCGGATGACCCATACTCTGTGGAGAAGGAGACAGTCGAAGCATAAGCGAAACTTTGCATAGGGTTGACGGAGAGATGCATAAGTCGACAAGTCGAGGAAGAGAACGAGAGGCTGTGAAGGAAAGCTTTCGTCGAGCCATGGTCGTTTGTCGGTCGGCCCCAAGGGCAGGCCTTCCGGCAAGGTTAAGAATATCTCCCGAGTCCCAGGGCCCAGGATGCTGGTTTGATGCCATTACATGTGTAGCAGGCGGAGAGGGCGATCGGGTCCAGGGGGCCCCCAGCATTAGAGGCCGGCATCCCAACCTGCGAGCATCGTCATGTATAGCATCATCGCCTAGAGATTATGATCATGATCGGCTTGGCCGTTCCGGCATGCAGTGCAGTACCCGACACGCAGAGCTAGCACTGAAGGCCAGGGACCCGATGCATGTACATAAATAATACGGAGTCGATATCCCTGCTTCACCAAGCATATATTAGCTATCATATACGTATAATAATATCCCCCATTCGATGCCTGAGGGGGGCCAACCTCTTCTTAATACATGCATTATAAAACAGGGAAAGGAAGGGGTTCCGATATTATTAGATCCCACTGCAAATTATGCATCATGCAGGAAAGATGGACTTTTATTCCTAGCCTGGGCTGTTGCAGGTACGATCGCAGTGGCATCCTTGCACCTGGGGCTTAAGCCTTGCTCCGGGGAACAGGGGAGGGTACAATCCGTGGCTTGGGGGCTTGGATCTTTGAAGCTAGCCGTCTCTCTCTCGCGTCTGCAACTCTAACGAGGAACGAGAGGAACAGCTTGCGTGCCGGTTGCTCGAATAATGAAGCGTCCGGCGGCTCGAGTCATTGAAGTATAACGGCTCGAGGACGGCGTACAGAGTCGATCAACGATCAAGCTGTGTGACTGGCTAAGAAGGAAGGTCAGTTAAAAATTAAAAAAATAAATATATAAATATAAACACTGAACACAAAAAGGAATGCACCTACGCCGTTTTTCCTATTTTCTCAGTGGCCTGTTGGAGGATAATTCGATATACTCGCGGACGTCATTTGTCCTTCACACGATATTCCTCCTATCCTCACTGGACCGCCACCAAAATTAATATATTTTAGTTTTTGCGCTCTTGCTTTGGACTTGTTCTCATGACAGCTGGGGATAGCGAATAGGACGGCCGGCTGTCTCGTCTTTAGTCCATTTACAGCCCACGAGCCTCCTGGTGAAGAATGGTTGAAGGCTTGAGCGCCTCTAGATCTAATATGATCACCAACGGAGACAGGAGAAACCGGGACAAAACAGCTGTATAGAAGGCGAACGAGGATGAAAACCCCCACGCAGCCTCACCTTTTTCACTCCGGGTTAAGCATTAGGCCCTGTGCGCATATACTTGTTGTGTAGATATGCAAAGTGGCGATGCATATCCCACAGGGCCTTTGCCCCGTCTCGATCTTCCCCTGAATTCATACTCGACGTTAAGAAAAAAATAAACATGTATAAACTTCATTCCAGATCTTGGACGAATATTGTCTCAAACCAGGTTCCAGCGTCGCACATCCAGAGGCACTGGCCCGCTAGCTCTCCAGGCGAGCATTTTTGATGACGCCGGGAGCCAAGTTCTATACGCTCCAGTGCTGATTTCAGACGGCTGGTGACGGCGAGAAAAAGGGGAACGCAGAAGGTTTGTTTCTAAAAAGAAGATCTGCTATCTTGAATCATTGCAGAAGACCTCTGTACCCCGTACTCCGTAATCCTACGGCGTCATCAAGTTGCCAACTCGGTCGATATAACGGAATATAACCCCACAGCGCCCTGTTTGTCCTTCCATGGGAGACAAGAAAGCGGCAGCGGCAGCGGCAGCGGTGCGTACCGCCTATAATTCATGGAAACGAAAAAAAAGGAAACCCAATGTTTATTTGAACATACTTTAGACATGATTATCGGAGGTGGGAGGAATGGCAGGGGGAAATGTCTACGTCAGCCAGGGGGATACTCGCTCGTCCTAATTTTAAGCACTCTGCTATACGGAGTACAGACGTCGAGATATGACTCGTGCAGTGAGAGCAAGCCCTTGTCCTTCTGCCTTTTGAGATAGGCGAGATGGACATGCGAGCGTGTACGCGGTTGAGGCGCGCGTGAGAGTCACCATGTGTGCATGAGGTTGTTGTAATAATAGCATCTATAATACCGTGAACTATTGCTGGAGCGCCCTCTGCTTGGCTTCGTTTGAGCCATGTTCGTGCGACCGCCCCCCCCCCCCCCCCCCCCCCCCCCCCCCTGAGCGAATGGACATGTACGATGTACGATGGCTATGGGGAAATGAGCCTATAGGCGATCGGACCATTTCAATATCAGCTCATCTTTCTCGAATATGTACGGAGTACGCTTGTCCCATGGACCTTTCGGATGGAGCAGTCCTTGCAGAGAATCTGCATATACATAGACAGGGAGCATACACCGCCAGTGGCATCCTGGCTACAGAGTGCAGCACTCAAGCAACATGTTCCTTCAATCTCGGAACTCTCTTCCACCAGGGGGAGGGGGGCAATGCCGGCACATTAACCTATACACGTATACGTGTATAGGCGGTGGATGAGCAGATAGGCGTGATAACCGGACAATATCCTGGCTGACTGGACTATTAAGTGTAGTTTCAAGGGGTTCTGTAGATGGGGAACATCGGGAAGGTTCTTTGCACCTGCATTTGGACTGCAGCAGATGCTGCACGATTCGATTCAATTCGATATTCCGAGTGGCCGCGGGACTCGTTACAGTTTTTCACGGTGCATCTTCCCAGTGGGGCGGAGGAGAGGGAGAAGCTGAACGAGAAGAATTCGCCCAGTTCCAGTTTTTTCTCTTTCTCTCTTTAAAATTAAGTTGCAAGTAGGGCTGGCAGCCTCTGAACGGGCATCAGGAGGGCGCAGGAATGGCGGCGGCAAGTATCTCGATCAGGCCCTTTGGAGGGCTGCCACTGTCTTGCCTCTCCCGAGGGCTTCATAGGTTCAAGATCCCGTCCCGGGAGCAGGTGAAGTCCGGATAGTCGTCAGCAAAATTGAACGGGTGTGCGCAACGTCGTTTGTTAAACGTTTAGCTAGCGAATCAGCTATAGAGCTATAGCCGGCTTTAGGGTTTGGGCTTTACATAGAGCAACTTGGCGAGATAGGGTCCCCTCTATGTTCCGTATGCTCGCTCTCTCGCCGGTCTAGTGCTGCAACGAAACCATTCTGGCAGTGGGATGAGACAGCGACAAGCCTAGACATCGCTACCCTCCCGACGGCCTCGTTGCCATGTTTTGATAGAGAGGGAGGGACATGCCGCCGGCCTGAAGGCAAAAGGAGGAAGGCCGGCTTGCCACCCCCTTGTCCGACAGTATCAACTTGCTTTAAACAACGGAGAGACTTGCATGCCTATATGCTTCGATCAGGGTGCCTGCGTGTGCTGCTCAGGGGAAAAGGGACTCCACCGTTACTCTTATCCTAGCCGCATCAATCGTCTGTCCCCTCGCGATGGGTCAGATCCTCCTGTTATCCCAAAGCCCTGGGAGGTTGTCAGCTCTCGTTCCACCAGGAGAGTCAGCGTCGTTTTGGCTCCTGAGCACTCTCACTCGCACCTCGCACCTCGCACCGTTCTCCACCGCCCGCCTGATGGCTTCAAATGGTGGCTCTTCCCGCCCGCAAACTGGTTCTGGAACGACGCTTTCAACGGCGGAACTAGCCGTGTATGTTCACACTATCGTAGGTCACCGTAATGCACTCTTGTACCAGCCTCATTCCTTCGGCCGTCCCCTTCACACAAGAGAGTTCCTTGGTCCAAGGTAAAATGTGGTAGTAGCTCAGCCATACTTTGCCCGCGCCACACGATAGAATCATCGTACATGGAGTACGGAGTGTACTTGCTTGTTCGTATTGCGTGTATATACTTCAAAGTAAGTATATAAATTCTTGTTTGCAAAAAGACGAACACATTTTCCCTGTCTTGCATCGAAGTGCCCAAAGAGTGCGGATTTACTCATCACATCGACTGGCCGGGTCACTGATTGGGCCTGCGCTCGGCATAGGTAGGGGCAAGACACCAGTTCGGTTAGAGGGCGCCACTACCTAGGAGAATGCACCACTGAGAGGCCGGCGGCTCAGGGACCCCAGATTCCGCGATCTCAACCTTGCATCATGTCCCGTCCAGTTGGTTCTCATCGAGATTCCGCGAATCCCTGCCAACTGGAATGGCCAGATTGGGCCAAGGTGGGAAAGACTATCGCCGCATAGACGTATTAGCCAGAATCCCCATACCGGCTGGCTGCGCCCAGATACAAAAATGGTTGCTTTTTTTGCTTTCGTTTCCTTTTTGATACTCCGTACTCTCTGCGCTTTGAGGAATCTTTCTTTGCCTGCCCACCCTCCCCCTGCCTGCTCAGGGTTAGGGCAAAAGCCAATCTTCTGCCCGGACGTGCGGCTTGAGAATCCGTCCCTTTATTGATCCAGACTGACGGGTTATAGCTGTTCCCTTGCCACAGCTGAAAATGCTTGGGAGAGGAGAGAGTCTGCAGGGCCATAGTTTCATTGCCGCCCTCCCGATGACCGACGGCCGCTGGCCTTGTTTGTCTGCAGTCGAAGCTGCTGCCCTAGCCGTTGAACGCTCAGTGCTCCCATAGATATGTATCGACGGTAACCCGAGATTTGCTTGTCTTCGCTTTGTGACCGTCCAAAACCAGTGAAGGGAACGTGAGCTGCCGCAGCCTATCAGTCTCGACCTGGTGGGCTCTCTCTTCCTCTCTCTCTCGCTATTTTTCTTTTTTTTTTCTTTTCTTTTGCGTCTTCCCCGTTCGTTTTTCCTCCCATACTTCCTTTTTTCCTCGTTTCTTTTTTTTCTATTTTTTCGATTCTCTCTTTAGCAAAAAACTCTCCCAAAGGCGATATACGCACAGACATAGGGTGGACCATCCTCTGGCCTGTCGGCTTGAAGGCTCGTGGAGTCGGTCGAGTTGTGTAGACCTGTGGCCCCTAAGTTTGGGGCAAACATATGTGGAACGCGCATCAAAAACACCCACCACCCGCTTCATCTTGATCGACATATTGGTTCCATGTGATTGAATTATTCGGAAACCCTGTTTAACTCATTAACATGCTGGCCGGAGAGCCACAGGAGCCCTTGAATGTGATTGTGGGGTATTGGTTTTTATGCACAGTCTGCAAAGTTGTATCTCGAGGGCCCTGCGGTGCGTTGGTGGTCTGTAACACTATTTATGTATGTCTGTGGATCAGTAACAAAAAAGAAAAGGTACGAAGCACTTACATCCATCCGCACGTTCGACCAATATATTTATGATAATACTTCAGACCTTATCTTCTGATCTGATCGCATCTTGATTTCCTTTGCATCCAGCCAGAGAACCCCTCCTAAGCCTTGGGACCTTCTTATATACTTCGTCCATCTTCCTGGACGCCGCTTCTATCAGCCTATCATCCTCTCATCCTCAATCCTATGAGAAGCTATCTCTATACAATTCTCTCGGGTCTATTCATCCTCCAGTGATATCTATTCATCGTCCATCTGATATATCCTGTTGCTCTCGTTGATCATACATCGTCAACACCACTATCCTTTATACACCCACACGACGGCGTCTCTTGATATCATTCATTCAATTATCAGCATCTCCATCTCATCTCTCTTGTGCAGAACTATATCATATTTCAACCCTTTCAAATCTTTCACTGGGCTAGGGAGCGGCGAAAGATTTCAAATCTCCTTCTCTCTACATCGCCAGACAACGAAACGAGGGTTCAGCGTTAACCGTGCAAGATGGTAGTCAATTCGGAAAAGATGGCCGGTCGGTCTCGCGTCAACGTCAAGGGGATGGATCAGTACTCCCCCATGCACTGTCATGCCCAAACTCAGGGAGTTGAGGAGTATCCTTCATGGAACACAATGCCGGTATGTGAACAGCCTGATATGGAATTCCAGGTGTGACGGGTTTTCATTTGACTGACGCTTGTGTATAGCCTATGATGGCTGGTACCCCTACCAACACCACCCTAAGGGTTCCATACCCGCATTTTGCATTGGTGGGTATCGATGGGTCTGGACAGCTCAAGTTCCATACCTCCTTTCTCGAACGGTTCAGCGGGCCCGTCTTCACCCCAGAATTCAAGCACTGGTTTGAAAGAGCAACGGGTGTCAAGGGCCTTGACCGGTCACCCATCTTCTCCGGTTGGTAGCAGCTTATTGAGACTCCTGCTTGTTGAAGTTCTGTTGCTTATCAAGTCATTAGGAGACGTCGACTCATATCAAGGAAGACAGTGGCCAATGGGCCAGGAGGTGGACGTCTTTCCCAACCCAGCTTACCCAAAGAAGCGTCGCCGTGAGATTATTCACCATGCTCCCATAGAGCCAGAGGGATCGGTCAACGACATGGACGCCGTGGAAATGGTACCACTTGAAATAGGAAACGAGGAGAAAGTTGAGGCATACTACGAATCCGCCTTCAGAGCTTTCCAACAGATCAACTGTCGACAGGTAGCAAAGGCCTATATCAAGATCATCGAGCCACGGAAGCAAGTCAAGCACCCCTACAACGGTGGACGAGGAGCACCCGGCGAGAAGGGAGACCCAGAGAAGACCAAGCCGGACTGGTGGCCAACCGGCGTCATCCACCGTGAACCAGATCATTTGAAGAAGCCAGAACGTATACGCCTTCTTGTCCACATCTTCCGCAAGCTTGGTAAGACACATGGAATAACTGCCGACAAGCTAGAGGAGGCCGGACGTGATGCCCAAAGACAAATAAAACCACGCGAGAGACTTGATATCCTGGATGAGATTTACAAGGTTCGAAGGGCAGAAGAGTGTTACGAGAGAGGCGAAGCAGGTATGCTTACACATGGATATGGTGTACAGGTGGGACATATCTAACAGCTAATTTGATTATAGATGCAAACGCCGTTGTCTATGTCATCAACAGAGATGCAAACACCAAAGCCGAACGGGACTCGGAAGCAATGAGCGACGCTGGACAGAGCTCAATCCTAGCCGACGAATCGAGAAAGGCAATGGAAGCCCAAACCGCAAAATATCCTACCCTATCACCATCACACCTTCATATGGCGAAGAGACAGTCATTGGTACGGGACCACAAGCCACCACATCTATTCCGCACACCAAACCTCAACGACTTCGGAGGCATGGAAAGCAAGCCACCGGCTGATCAAACCATCGAATACTTCTCCCAACCCGAGTTTGTCACATCCCCCGTCGACGAACACATCAACAGCATGAGAGACAACCATCACTGGTCTTCCTTCCAACAACCACTATATAGTCCCGTTGAATACAACCCCAACCATCTCGTCCCACAACAACTCCTCGCTCCTCACCCCATGGCCACCAGTGAAGCACCAAACTCTAGCCTACAGCAGACTCATGGCCTCCCTCTTCCAGAACCACATGGCTCAAGACATCAATCCTTCGACTACATTCCAATGGACAACAATCCGTTCAACGCTGGGCAGATGACACATCCCCTACTACCACAAAACAGCCAGGAATCAGACCCGGTTGCACGATATAAATGATCAATGACATTTACAATTTCTCGGCTCTCTCGCACCATAAGGCATGTTGCTCTCCTTGCGACGGGACTCCAGTTTCTAACCCGACGAGCTTCTTATTTCTTGCTCGCCCAGTTTTTGTACTCCCACTTTTTTTTACTTTCACCCAAGGTGAGATGAATGTATGTATGGCTTGAGCCCCTTCGGCTCGCTTTGATGGCTTCTTGGATATCTATTTTCTACGATCTACCTAATTCAGCTTCCTTTCTTCCGGTCTTTTTTTCCCAACGTTGATTTGGTTCTTCTTGGTGCGAACTCTTTCTTACTGTGCTCTTTATCCATTGCACTTGACAAAAAAAATTGGACCAAAAAAGGGTGGGCGGATATCTATCTTGTTCTTTCTCTGTTGAATTGAAAAAAAGGTGGTGAAAATGAGAAATACTGCGGCAGAGGCATACCCCTTTTTGCTATTTATTGACTTGTTTGGATTTCATATGGTGCGTTCTGGTGTGGGATGTGTGGTTCATGGGTGTATCTACGGGCGGCCTGGATTTGGTATTTGACATCTTTCTACTATTTATTTATCAATTGGTTTTTTACCTTCTATATCTTCCCATTCATAACTGTAACTTGATGTCCGGTGTAACTTTCTGCTATTATAGGTACCCTTTTTAGAGTATTCCGCCCTTACATGAGTACTTGTTTCCCTAAGTCAAAGGCGAATCCATCTGCTTCCCCCTGGTGTGCCGCATGCGCACAGAAACGGTTTCGGGGGCGAGTATGCCTTGGTTGGACTCTGCACACGTAACCGATTCAATATCCTCGAGGTTCTTGAAACAGGTCGAGGTATTGCGTGTTTTTCGAGGCAAATTCTATCTGCCAACACATCGAGGCAAAAATCAACGAAACAGGAAGCTCCGGGTTACATGGGATGTACGGAGTACTCCGTAGACATGGTCTTGATGTATATTATGGCAAATCCTGCCTATAATACGATACGAGTTCCCATAATCGTCCTCATATTGTTGGGGGGTGGGGGCAAAAAAGTTGCTGCGGACATCTGCCCAGCCGCTCCTCGCCTATGCAATAGATTTCCAGCTGTGCTGTGGGCCAACTGGCGGCGCTGCTGGGGGGGTGAATAAACCACCCCCACCGGCGGTTTGGGGTCCCGGTACCTCTGCTATCGGTGAGCGTTTCCCGCGAGAAGGCAAAAACAAAAAAGAACGCATGCCTGAGGGAGGGAGCTCATGTGCTCCAGCAAAAGCAGCGTTCGCCGTTTGAAGACCGTGCAATCTACCGAGATCACCCGCCGGAGGTCTGCTGTTTTTTTCATGGTTGATAGCTTGGACGGAAGAAATGTACCGCGATAGATCAAGTTTGCTGCGGCATGCGTGTATATGTGCGTTTCAAGGATGTAGTTTAGACTTTTATGCGCTTGCACTGGCTAACGATCATGTCCATGGATGTACCGTCCACCTATCATTGAGTGGAACATTACTTGCATGGTACATGCAGGTTGAATAAAGAAGCGAACGGGGGGGCAGTTTTAACGACGAGGAGTTTCTGCGAGATAGCCCACGGCTAGGCCAATGATATATTCAATATACGCTGGCTTGAGCTGCATCGGCCTCGATCTCTCGGCAGCAACCCGTGTATTCCTTGGTATCTCGGTTGTACGGAGTACGGTGTAACAAGCAACGCATGTATCCTTGTGGCTCACCCCATGGTCCAGAAGAACAAATACAGCGGGGAGCGGAGGGAGGACAGGAAGGGAGAGAAAAGAAAGGAATAAAGAAAAACGGCTTCTGTGGCTGGGCGTTCTTGTCTCCCGCCAATTAACGCGCCAGTCGACAACTCGGGCGTGTTGGTGACTGCGTTAATGCATTGACCGAATCGAGCAAGTCGAACGTAGGGAACGAGAGAGACGAGCCCGAGAGTCTGGCTGCGATCTGGATAGCGACCGATTATTGCAGAGCGACCCTGCCGAGAAATCGCTGTGCCTGGATGGCGACTATGCAGATATTGATTAGGGCATGCATGCTCCGTATATACTCTGCACTGCAGACTTGAATCATGTGCAGCAAAGCAGATGGTCTTTTTTCAAAATATCTGTATACAGACTGGCCAGCCGAGTCTACTGTTAAGGTTGAAAATCAGCGATGTTGTCGTACGGCATGGTCCAGGTGCATATATGCAGCGATTGGGCCACACGGCGATCGAGGGGTTTGGAGTGGCAGCGCCCCCATATTCCGTTATAAATCATGGCCCTGCAGTCTCGTCAGCATGCCAACTCTGCAGTTATCCGTTGTAGTTGCACTGGAGATGCATTTCCTTGGATTTCAAGTCGAGCCATGGAGGGCTCGAGGTCATTTGGTGGTACCAGGACGGGATGAAATAGCGGTTTTGACGCATCGACGGGTTCCCTAGGACAGTGACGGCCGGGATAAGTAGTGAATAGTTTGTGAAGCTGGGCCATATTGCGCTGAGGAGTTATATAGCCGAGAAGCAGTCGTCGTCGTCGCCGAGTCGTCGTAGTCCTGGTCTGTATAGGGGTTGTGCCGTACAGTATAGCCGTATAAAACACCTCTGCACCCTTGCACTGCCTGGCGGTCTCATCTCGCTACTTCATACGTTTGAGCAGTAGGGATGGCAACCTTGAAAGTGATAGTGATCATACTCCAAGTTGATAGACGGTGATAGAGAGCACAACGTGACCTGCATCCCAGCGCGTATAAAGCGCCGGCGCTTCCCACTCACTTCTATACAGCCAGCACAACAGCAACCAGCAACCAGCGCCGACGTCAAGCTCGATGTCATTCGATGTCGAGCTCGACGTATCTTCATGGAGATACTCCGTACTCAGCTGGTCCTTGTCTGCTTGATGTCAATGTTCAAGTACCGTCCTAGAGACGGCCAAGTACCGACACCCGAACGACGTCGTCAGGCCGTCTTACATGGCTTGCCTGTCTGATGATCCGAAAACCCTACGGCCTGTCTCTCGACCCCTGAACCAAGTGGCCGCCATGGGTTGTATCCAACCTGCCTGTCGCGTGTTGACCCTGATGACGACGAACGACCGCTCCTCACGCAGCAAGGGCAGATGAAGGGACGATGAGGACGAACAAAAGGACCATCGCCAAGGCATGCTATAGCTGATACTCTCGCACCTCCCTGCTCGCCCGTCGTCGACGTGTGATGATGAGACTTTTGACGGCAAAAGCCTTGAAACCCTCTGGCATGGCCAATCACCACGGGCGGAATCGGGACCGTATCCTCGCCAAGAACATATCCCGGAAACGCCTTTGCGGGTGAAGAATCCGACAGAAAACGATAAAAGCGCCAGGGCTGGGTGTCAGCATTATCGTATCGTTTTCTTGACCTCCCCGCGTCTGCATTCTGTCGTTGTTCCCCAGGATTCCCGATTTACCCCCCAGATCGTTGTCTATATTTATATGTCGACCGGCTCCCCCATCAGGTTTACTCGCTGCAAGCCAAGATGAACTGCCCTTCGCGTACAGACGAGGACCTCGTCCATCCCGACTGGAACCAGAACCCGCCATTTTTACCCCCGGATCTGACCAAGAGAGAAGATCTGAATGGCCGTGTGAATGACAGGCAAGGTCGAAACGGACGGGATCTGTCGTCCTCGTCTCTCGAGTGTCCTGGCGGAGCGTTCGAGTCGCATGTCATGACTATTGAAACCACTCCGTCACCGGCAACCGCCCCCTTTGCAGATGCAAAACTCGCTCGTTATCGAGAAGGTGAGCCGGTGTCTATATGAGTCGATACCGCTGGTCATATAATTTCTGACTTGCAATCCGTCTTCTCTAGAATTTTGCTCTGCTACCAAAGAGACCCCATCTATGGCCCATGGTTTAACCGCCTGGATCCACCATTTTAACCGGTGGCTTCTGCCCTACCAAAGCTACATTTGGTGGATGACAGCTACCATCTTCACTACGCTTGTAGTATACTGCGTGGGGGATATGTTTCGAACATTCTGTAAGTCCATACCTCAACCACTCCCGTCATGTGTGTGTCTCTTCTAACTGGGCCCAGTTCCAACCTCTCAAAAGATTCCCATGCAGAAAACAAAGCGAGCTTCGACATGCGGAACTGGCGGCGTAAATGCTGCTGAATACAACTTACCTCTGCATGTCATCGCCCTTTTCATCATTATGTTTGTATCCTCATTCGCCTGTGGCTTTCCGATGTTGGTGCTCAAGTATCCACGTCTGCACATCCCACAGTCCTTTTTCTTTGCCGTCAGACACTTTGGAACCGGCGTTTTGATCGCCACAGCATTCGTCCATCTGCTGCCGACGGCGTTCACTTCCCTCGGCAACCCTTGCTTGTCGGGGTTCTGGACTAGCGATTACCCGGCAATGCCAGGCGCCATCGCTCTTGCCGCCGTCTTTTTAGTTACCATTATAGAAATGGTGTTCAGCCCTGCCCAACATGTATGCGGTGGGACTAGCGATGTAGAAAAAATCGTCTGCACCAAGAAGCCGTCGAATGAACGGCAGCCCTCAGGTCTTGCCGGAGTCAGGGAGGACGGACGTGACTCGAGGCTTCAAAACGCCCAGACTGACTTGACCCGAAGTCTCAGCCGTCGAGAGCGCGACTCACTGAGCGGCAGAGCCTCCAGTATAGGGCGCGAGCTGAACCGTATGAAGCCATCTGGTCAACCAGGTACCACGCAGGTAGAAGTAGAAGATGACGACCGTATCGAGGACGGATCCGGCGACGAACTCCCACAGATAGTCTTAAGCCCGGAGCAAAAACGACAAAAGGCATTTATGCAATGCATTCTCCTCGAAGTCGGAATCTTGTTCCACAGCGTCTTTATTGGGATGGCGCTGAGCGTCTCGGTGGGGAGTAAATTCGTCATACTCCTCATTGCCATTACTTTTCATCGTATGTCCCAGATCCCCTATTCCGTCTTCATAACACAGCTCAATATGTTTTTAATCCAATGCTAACTTGTATGTGGTTTAGAAAGCTTTGAAGGACTCGCTCTCGGCTCACGCATCGCCTCCCTGGACTGGGAGCCTAATGCCATACAGCCCTGGCTTATGGCGTTAGCATATGGTTGCACGTAAGTTACAATCTGATTGTTTACATACCCATTTAATACCTATGAACTTTAGCTGTAGCTCACACATGCATCCGCAAATAGAACTCCTGCAGGTCAAGCTATCGGCTTAGCTACTCATACCTTGTACTCTCCGGACTCTGAAATCGGTCTTATTATGGTTGGCACTATGAATGCCATATCTTCTGGCCTGCTTGTCTATGCTTCCCTCGTCGAGCTCTTGTCCGAGGACTTCCTCAGTGACGAGAGCTGGCGCGTCTTGAGAGGAAAGCGCCGGGTGTTTGCCTGCATTCTCGTGTTCCTCGGCGCGTTTGGTATGAGCTTGATCGGGGCATGGGCTTGATCTTTACCCCCCCGTATTATCTATCTGGATCGACCTGCACTTATATAGTTAAATGGCATGAGTTTGAATAGCTATTCGATGCAACGTCTGGATGTGTAGTTCTATACTTGTATGTAAATAGGCGGCTGTAGACAAGCGCCGTCGCCACGTGACCTTACCGCGAGCGCTTGAGCTTCCGCGATCGCAACCAAGCAAGACGAAGAAGACTTCCTTCATCGCATTCAGCATTCGCGCTCTGGGACATCTCTAGCCACTTGCTCACAGAGGTGACGTTTGTCACTTCGCTAGCACAACACACCGATACCTGGCTTAATCATTTACCGCATCTCCACGAGCACGCGAGCGTCGTCAATCACCAACCGCCCTCCGACCGCCAGCAAGCTCCAAATCGCCTTTTCAAGTCGCGCCGGATCTTCGAAGTTCGAGTATGTAATTATCATATTCTTCAAGCTTAAACAAGCTCCTATGCACTACGCGTTCGTGCGTACCACAAGATGCTTTCGTCGTCCTATGCTACTCTTCGTGGTGGCGCCTCCATAGCTCCCCACGCGATTTGGGAGGTGTCGACAACCCAGAATATGAATATTTGGGGGATACGGGAGCTAGGATATGCAAATAGGGCTTTGCATAATTTACCCGTTTTTTCTCTTCAAAAGAAATATAATAACTAGCTGAGTATGCGATATGCTAACGAGTTTGACGTTAACAGGTATAAAAATCTCTGCTCCCCGGGTTTATTCATACCTCGAGATATAGCGACCTACTATTGTTCAGATCGATAGCTTCCCAACACCCTCTCGGTTAGACGAGCAGTGTCTTCCTTATAGCTGGCTCGGTTCGTGAAGAACCGCGTACGTTAGACTCGAGTTACCACTTAGTCACTATACATCTTCGACCTGGCATGTCCATATAGACCTTTTTCTCCCTTTGTACGTAAAGGGGAGGGGTCCACTCCTCAAGCGGGGAGTTGAAGATGTCAAGCCTCTATAAATCCGTTCTCACGAACTCTACAGGCTCAAAGCGGGGGTCGGGAACACCCTTCCGTGGCCGTTCGACGAGAGGAGGACATCGGACCCAGGGGGCATCAGATCCAGTTGTTCTTGTTGGGAATGGGAGTAACGCGCAGAGCCAGGGTCACCCTATGAGCGCCAGGGGCGGGCGTGGTAGGGGAACTATCTCGTCGCCGTTTGGGGCCCAATCTCGAGGAAACTTCAAAGCAGGAGACGGTAGCAATAGGAGCGGTTTTACGGGTAAGGCTACGCTGTGTACTGTACTGTAGCTGATTATACACATGTAAACATGTGCTAACTCCAATTATAGGATTTCGAAAAAGCTCCTCCCCGCCAGTCTCTCAAACGGACGGTCTACCGGCATCTAATCCATTCGGACCCAAATCAAACGCACAGGCCAGCTCGCCATTTGGCTCGGCAGCTCGGGGTCGAGGAAATCAACATGCTACTTTTGGGCAGGCTCGTGGCGGCCGTGGCAGTACGCGAGGGTTTGGAGCTGTTGACCGAGCTAGGGATCCGAGGCGTCGACCTGCTACGACCCCGGCTGGCATCAAACCTGCAGATAGTATAGCAGACTACACCACTCGATATGAACGGGTAACCCTCCCCTATATTTGACGCAGCCGTTTTGTTGACTGCTACATACAATAAAAAAAAAAAAAGCTGACCCTCTCTCTTTAGTTAAAACAAGATCGTGCTGGTCAGCGAGTCAAGGCTATCAAGGCTGGAATGATGATTGACCCAGACCAACCAACCTCTCTAAATAAGGCCATTACTCCAACCGGGAATTGTATAGAAATGTGTCCCGAGTTCGAGCGAGTAGAGAGAATTGTTCAGAAAATGGTGGATAAATGCGAAAAGGTTTACTCCTTTACCCCCTTAACCTCTAGTGAGATAGCTAATCTTATTCGTTATTCAGCATGTTGACCCGGACTCTGGCGAATCCAGCAATATGGAAGGGAAAATGATCAAACGATTTAGAAGGTCGGCTGCTGGCAAAGACGAGCAGCTGCCGTCCGATATCAGAAGTCCTAAAACCCTTCTTCAGACAATTAACTACATGCTGCGACACGTTACCACAAGCGACGAGACTCTTGGCTCAATACATAAGTTTGTGTGGGATAGAACACGCTCGGTGCGAAATGACTTGTCCATCCAACAAGTCAGCCAGCGGCAAGATATTGACCTCGCGGTCAAATGTTTCGAGAGAATAGCACGTTTTCATATTCTCTCGCTTCATCTTCTATCGAACCCTACAAACCAGGAGCAGTTTGACCATCATCAGGAGCGAGAACAACTAAACAATACTCTTCTCTCGCTCCTTTATTATTACGATGATAACCATGGTCGACTTGAGTTTCCGAATGAAGCCGAATTTAGAGCATATTATATTTTGTTTTCTATCCACGACCAACGTCCCGACCTTGAGGCACGAGTTCAGAAATGGCCTCGTGAATTAAGGGAGTCTCTACGAGTTCAGGTAGCAATGGAAATGTTCGCAGCAGCAGGAAACACTTGGGAGTACCAAGGGACGCTGGACGCTAAGCGGCAAAATCCCCTTGCCCAAGGGTTCTACTCGCGATTCTTCCAGCTCGTCAGGTCAAAGAGCGTGTCCTACCTTATGGCTTGCGTCGCAGAGGTATACTTTAACCAAGTACGCCAAACAGCAATCCGATCAATTTGGAAAGCATATTGCCGGCAACCTGCCTCTCAACAACATAAAAACCAGGAATGGACCATCGATGAGCTCACCATCGCTTTGGCTTTCGACAACGACGATCAAACCATAGCCTTCTGCGAGGAGCAGGACCTTCAGCTTGCGACCAATGCTGAGGGCCAACTCTATCTGAACTGGGCCAACCGTCCAATTGACTCTATTGGTGCGTATTTTTCAAAGGCCAAATCTATTTTTATTACAAAATATATTCGTGTCTTCGATTTTCTACAAAACGCTCATCTTATGTCGCGTATCTAACTATTTGCCAATCAGCATTTCAACCGTCATCTCGTCAGACTTTCTCGTATCAACTTGTGGAGCAAAAGCGCTGCGGAAGATCACTGGCCGCCGTCATACTTGGGATGAGCGTTTCACAGGCTATCAGACACAAAATGATTGATACATCTCTCCTTCAAAACGAACTATACAATCAATCAGTGCAAGCAGATGAAGAGGGCCTGTTTGTCAGTGATGATGAGAATCAACAGCAACAACCCGCTCATGCGGTGCAGCCGTCACCTTTCGAAACAACTGATGAACCACTTATACCGTCGACCTTCAATACGCCCTCATTCGGAGGCCCTGTATCCCAATTTGGCCAGAGTTCTCCATTTGGCTCTCCCTTCAATTCCCAGCTATCGCCAGCCGCTTCGCCCTTTTCGCCTCAAAACTCAAGCATAAAGGTTCGTGGGGTGCTCTTACAATTCAATATCATTCCTATCAACTCTATTTCGAAGTATTCAAAACCTGGGAAAGTGGTGAATCGTTTTTTTATATACATTTTATACGTACCCATACGCTAATTCAAATCTTACCATCCAGCCAATTTCCCAGTTTGGGCAACCAAGCCCTGCACACGCATCTACACCGTCGTCATCATCGCCGACGCCGCCTATGGTAGCAAATACAGGCGAAATCTCCGCCGCAGTTCCGTCAAATTCCACTACCTTCTCGTCATCGTTTCCTTCGGCTGTCCAAACAGGCTTCGGCTCGCCGTCTTTTACAGCGGCCCCCAGCAACAATCAACCATTTAAAGGAAGCCAAAATAACCCAGCCACTTCAATCTTTGGTACGCCTTCCGCTGTTCCCATTGGTACATCCGGCTCGACTGCATCAAACCCAAGCCCCCCCGAAAACCAACGACCTCTTTTCGGGGCGCCGTCACCATTCGGCCCTTCACCTGTGATTAAAACCCCAGAAGAAAAGGGGTCTCCTTTCTCAATAGGGAATACTCAACAAACATTCCTACCATCAAAGGGTGAGTATTACCCCTGACATGGTCCGCAAATCCATTGGCGTATGCATACCTAACAAAGCGCAGATGAAAGTTTGAAGGAAGAGTCCAAATCGCCCTTTACTGTGTTTCCCGGGAATACTCTTAGACAGCAGTCGACTTCCACTTTATTTGGACAACGTAGGTTTGCATCCTTGGTTTGAAATGACACGATCATGCTAATACAGTTTAGAAACATTCTCCAATCCCCCAAAACTGCCGGAACCAGCAGCGCCGTCAATGAATGAAGAGGCTATATCCCAAACATATAAGCCGGCATCTCTGTTCTCCCCATTTCCCGGCTCTCTTAAACCCCAATCAACTCCGTCTATCGACTCAACAGGGGGTAAACTCCAGGCGGAATCCGGACCATTTGCTCCAACAGCGTCCCATGCTGCATCTTCCCTTTTCAAACTCAATGGTATTAATACTCTACATCTCATCCAACCCCGCGGTATATTGACAACTAACCCCGTTCTCGCCATTTAGATTCTGAGCCAGTCTTGCCCCAGGCTCTAGACAGCCCGCCAAGTCAAACGGAGCCAAATGGTTATTTCCAAACAGGGCCTTCCATACAACAACGACAAGAAGCAGAGGAGGAGGCAAGGAAGAAGAGGGAGCAGGAAGAAGAAGAGAGGAGAAAAATTCTAGAACTAGAACGGGAAAGAGAGCGACAGAAGCGTGAGATGGAGGAAGCAGAGGCTAAGAAACGAGAGACAGAACGACAGGAAGCTGCGGCTCGTGAGGCAACTCGGGAAGCATTACGCAAACAAAGAGAAGCTCGGGAGGAGGCTAAGCGCCAAGCAGAAGCAAAAGAACGAGCCCAACGCGAACTCGAGCAAGAGCTTCAGGCCGGTCAACGCGAAATCGCAAGAAGGCAAGCGGCTGAAAAGCGAGCTGCGAAACAGGAAGCTGCCAGACGAGCATCGATAGAAGCAGATATTACGAAACGAAAGGCTGACGATTTCACTGAGGAACCGGATCTTTCGTACAAGAGAGCCTCAAAAGCAGCCAGACTAACTCCGGAGGATGAGCTGTCGGTCGAAGAACTTATGAAAGTGGATAGGCCTAGGCATAAGAGATCACAAACCTCTAACCCTCAACCTTCAAAACCTGCTATCGACGAGGATGAACTTCTACTCTCTGCCGCCAGGCTAGCGGCGCACACGTTATCTCAGGGAGCCCGGCTATGGGATGAAACCCCATCTTTCAGCCAATCAGTTTCCTCAGCGTCAAGTTCGTTCTTCGGAAGGTCTAGTACAGGATCTCGACCTAGCTTCGATGGGTCTCATGCGGTCGTTAACGGTTATGATGTTGCTCTTGCCCCTTCCTCGCCACTTGGGCTGGGCAGGACTCTCTCCAGGACGGAACAGAGGATAAGGGCAACGGGTGCTAACGGCCTGGCGTTTAAACCTATTACCCGCGTTCACAAGCCATCTAAGAAGATTAAAGAGAAAGGAAAGGAGCCACAGCGCTAAGCGATTTCTATTGGATTCAAGCACAAGGCTTTGATTTTTTGGATTATTCTGCCTACGGTCTACAGCATACATTTTAGGGCCAGGAGCATCTGGGCGTTTAGCATGAGGTTTATTGGCGTCTACCCACACGGTGCAAGGAGTTGGCTGAGGTGTTTATCTCGATTCTTACCCTTATATTGTGCGATTTCAGGCTATTTATATCTAGCAGTCAAATAAAGGGACCAATCCTTAATTAAGCATATTGCCCATCAAATGTTTAAAGCCCATATCGACGGGTATGTATGATGCAAGGAATAAGAGTTCAAGCTTTAGGCTTTAAAGAGGAAAAATTGATAGGGTTAACTACCCAATTACAAAAAATTGGGCCGCCCTTAGGTTAACCAATAAACCAATAATAAAAGAGAATAACCCCGAAAGTTGCAGAAAGTGTATATAATTGATCATGGCTGAGATTATATGAAATTGTATATTCAATATGGTAGAATCAATTTGCACAGGCATTGTAAGAGACAAAAAGCTTCATGGTGGCAAATTCCGGGCATAAGATGGACTTGCTTGAGGGCTTTGTCCATCAATGCCTTTACCCTCGGTTGGTCGAGCCTGCTGGGCCATTTGGTCCGGTTGAAGAGTACGACATAAATGGTGTATCGGCGGTTTCCTCCTCTTCACGCGGCTGTGTTGACAAAGGTTCGGCATTCGCTTTCTGATAAAGTCGCTCCGTGATGGGAACGTCATTGGAATGCGTTTCGTTGAGATAGCGAGCCAGTGTCGACATTGAAGCTGAAGGTGGTTTAAATGTGTTCGATGCACTATAGTCATACAAAACTGTTAATAATGACCAGTAAATCAACGATATAACAGGGCACCGTGTGACAATGCATACCTAGAAAGGGCTGTATCTGCCATATTCAAAGTCCTCGTTGGAGCAAGTGGATTTTTGCTACCGGCGGTAGACCGGTTTGACGGGTTGGAAGCCATAATAGCTAGCTATTATGCACTGAAATGGCAGAAGAGAAGGCTTTGCTGTAGCTTGTGTTTGGCTTTCAATAAGAGTGCATTGCTACTCTATTGAATCAAGCTCCCATCAAGGGCGAACAAGACTTATATAGAGTCCATGGACCTCTAGATGCATAACTGCTCGCTGTCACTGGTACTTTTGTAAGTGGAACTTTTGTTTAGTCTACTTATACCATGCTGTTTTGCAAAATGGCACAACGACCATGTCAAAAGTTCCAGATCTGGCGGCCTTGACTTAACGTGGTTCACCACCGAATGACCGCCACCACCTAATGACCGGCGCTTTGGCCACCCCATCCAAATCGCTGCATATATTAAATATCAACCTATTTCAACACAACGTAAATAACAAATTAAATTAGCTATTAAATAACGATAGTAGGGTTCCAAATTACATATAAATTAGTAAGGTTAAGAAAATAAACGAGTGTTGGGCTTGATAACTCGCCCGGAACGGCTTGCCCGGGGTTGGGATAGGAAGGGTGGTATTGAAGGAATAGGATCGATTGGAGCCACCTTCGTAGGTGAAGTCTTCTTCTTTCCTAATCGGGAAAATGAGATAGGGCTTAAGGCGTTCTTTTCAGCCTTCCTGGCCTTCTTGGCCATCCGTTCCGCTGCTTGTTCACCCGCTTTACGCTTCCGTTCAATCGCAGCCTCTGCGCGCTGCGCTGCAGCCTCTTTACGAGCCTCCTCATGGGCTTCCTTTCGCTGCTGTTGCTCTATCAACCTTTGAGCTCTCTTTTCTGCTGCTTCCTGGGCTTTAACATCCTTCTGAATTGTACGCTGAAGCTTTGATTGTTCAGCCTGCGCTATCTTATCTTGTTTTTCATGCTCTATATTAAGAGCCCGTTGCCTGGCTGCTTCAACTTTAGACGGAGAGAAGAACTGCGCCTGGCCAGCCCGTTCCTTATCAAACAAGCCCATTGCTTTACCTCTCTTCCTTTGCTTCTTCTCCATTTGTATTACTGCATGAAGAGACCTGTTCTCATGGGCTAATATCTCATTCTGGAAGACCAGTCTTTCACTAGCATGAATGACCTTTTGAATATTGATTGAGAGGCGCGATTGCCTGCGGTAAACCTTCTTAATTTGACGGCGGAGGCCTCGAACAGTAGTAGGGGTAGGAGGAGCAACCAGGTCTGGAGGGGTAATTGGTCTTCGTTTGAAATATTTTAATATCTGTTCAGGCATGAAGGGGTAGATACCCGTTGTTTGAAATGCAGCCTTAACGTTCTCAGGTGTTACTGCTTTACACCATGCTGTATAAAAGAGCCTCCAGAAATCTCTCTTCCTCATTGATGAATACCCATAGCTGCAACGGAGAAGGGTATCGATCTCTTGGGAGTATGCCTTAGCCAGTGGCCCAAAAACTCCAACATCTAATGGTTGTAATCGATGAGTTGAATGCGGAGGAAGGATTGCAAGAAGGATACGGTTTTTATCTGCGTAGTCGATAAAGCGCATATTGATATGAGAGGAGTGGCCATCAACAATAAGAAGCCTTCTTCCTCTATCAGCCTTTGCCTTCGTATGCTTATTAAATATCTCCAGCCAGCTAAGCCCGTAGTCATCACTGCTCCAGCCGTTGGGTGAGGCTGCAAAATAGGCTGTTTGCTCATGAGGGTTGAAATCATCAAGCCATGTATCTTGTAGATCTCCTTCTCCCTTATAAATCAGTGTAGGAGGAATCCTTTCACCATCTGCAGAGATGGCAGCAAGAAGAGAAATAAACTCGCGATTTCCATCATGAATAGCACCTATCTGCTTTCGTTTAAGCTGCTCAATAGGGACGATACGTTTGACTGCCTGACCTAGGCCAATAAGGAACCCTTTTTCATCGAAATTATAGGTGTTTTCTGGAGTAATATTATATTTTGAAATCATCAATTCAAGCTAGGAAGAGGTCAGTATTTAAAGATATTGATATCGATTTGATCACTAACATGCTCAAAGTAATGCGCAAAATAAGAGGAGTTATCAGCAACCTTGCGTTTTTGATCGATAGTCTTTAAATAAAGGCTCTTTATCTGGTTATGATATCTCTCGCAGAACCGCGCCACCCAGTTCAACCCAACAGGCTCTTTTGTTATCTCATATACCAAATTCCGGAGTATTTGAGGTGTAGGAGATAGGCCACGTAGAGATAGGCGATTTATATGCTTTAAAAGCTCTTTTTCTTGAGCAGTTGTAAGCTTCTTGTGATGTTGGGATATTGCTTCACTTCTTGAGGTAGTGACTCCTTGAAACCGCCGTGTGAGCGTTTTTCGATCGATTCCGTATCTTTTTGCAGTCTGGGTATAATTAGGGGCTTCTTGGGCCTTTAAATCTGCAATTGCTAAAGCAATTGCAGCTTCATTAACCATATTACGGCTGTTGCGAGTGGTTGTTGTTGATACGCATGAATCTTTGTTGGGGCGGTCATTGGGTGGTAGCGGTCATTCGGTGGTGGCTTACGTTATTAATAGAGCCGAGCATTGCTTATATAAAATGATTGGCCATGAGCAAAAGTCCCAACGCCCCCTGGAACTTTTGTTGGAACTTTTGTTGGAACTTTTGTTGGAACTTTTGTTAGAGAACTTTTGTTCAAGGATTTTCCACGTCAGCCTCACCCAAACCAAAACCAAGGGACATGCGGTTTTTGGTCTGAATACAAAAGTTCCTAATCCCGTATGACATATGGCGCCGTTATGTCTGATTCCTCGTATACTCCGTACTTCTCGACCTCCCTCTCCTCTCCTACCCGTCCATCAGCTTAGTTTCCAATTCGACGCCAACGCACCCACGACGATGCCGGGAAACAGTGACGAAGACGCAAAAGCACACAAGATGTTCCCCATCCATACCGATTCAAATAAACCCCTGAGCCTTCCAGACAAGTTCGGCCACTTTTATTAGTTCGTGCCTCTCAACAACGATATCGGTCTCTCCGTGGCCATGTTTCTCGCGACGGAATACCTTTTCGAAGGGGATGATGAGCTTCCCTGTGGCTCTGGTGATGCCGTTTTCATGAACCACATCAACCGTTTCCATGGTTGATCTGCTTGGCTGGAAAAGACGGGTCGCAGGTCGGGATGGAGAATAGTAGTGTTCCCAGCGCCGTATAGTGAGATGCGGAGTGCTTCGGTTGATGTTTATGGTAATGACAACTTGGGTCCTAGACCCATGCACCTCCAGCCAGTCTTGGGTGTCGATTGCTAGTTTCTGATCCCTCTCCGACAGGCCCGTCTCTATTACGAGTACGGGGCAATTTATATCATCTATCAGGGCATACCCATGGTCGGGGACCTTCTTCCAGGTGCCATTGGAGCTCGTTACTTCGGACTGATTGATAGGAAGCAGTTGGTATTCAAGGCCCATCTAGGTAATTCTGGCTTGGATATGTATCTATAGACAACCCGTCGCCAGTTCATGCGCTACCCTCGCCATGACTTCGAGGATGGTAATCGGATCTTCTTGAAGATTGCACGTTAGATGGGGACCTTTACCGTCGGGATGGGCCTTTTCGAAGCCGCCTAAGAAGGCAGTGGGTACGCAGGTCACTATTAAAAGGGGGCTCTTGGAACTATCTGCACCACAGTCCAAACATAGAGCCTCTACTATCTTCTTTAGCTGGCTCATACTGGTATATTTGACCTGTGGAGTTCCTTCAGGGAGCCCAATCAGTAGCTTTGAAGAGGCAACACATTGCTATGTTGTCCCGCTTGTTCCGCCTGGATGATACATGACGCGCTAGAGAGGATAAAAACACAAATTATGAGTTGTTTAAACGGTGCACTTTAGATGGTGCTGTTAGATGGTATAGCTATAGCTATAGACGCTGTTTGTTGTGGCGTCAACGTTGGCAATTTGCCGTGTCGGTCATGTGATCTAGATTATAAGCGCGCGGCTACTGCGTCTAAACGGGACTCTTCGTCTTAACTCCAGAGCAGCGATAAAACGACCTTTTATCCCAAAACCTCTACAAAAGGGCCACTATGCCACTACACTATCTGTGTCGGCACATTTGGTGTCTCCCTGATTTACATTTTACTTTGGACGACGTGTCCCCCCATCCCACATGTGTAGCTTGAGCATAACCCAAATTTAGCCGGGCAAGGCTGGGTGGTGCGGGACGGACTTGTGTATATAAAGGTGCACCTCCACCTGATGTTCTCGTATAGGCGTAGACACTCTTGCACTCGGTTATTTGAAGCTTATACAAATCCACCTCAGGGAAATCCGTCAGCATGGATATCTTTCCAGAAACATGGGATGCATTCAAGGAGACGATTCGGCAGCTTTATGTCGAGGAGAATCTATCCATTGCTGCTTTGATGCAGGTCATGGAGTCCCAGCACTCTTTCCAAGCAACGTACGAGATTATGTCCTGCCAACCCGTTCCTAGTTTGAAGTCATCCTTATCTGCATGGCCCCATGATTTGCTATGATGCCGTTACTAACAGGGGCATTCAAAGTCGGAAGCAATACCTGAGCAGGATTGTCAGGTGGGGGTTCAACCGGAATATTAAGGCTGAAGTTATGATCCAAATCGCTATCATCAGAGAGAAGAGAAGAAAACTAGAGGGCAAGCCTACCGTGTTTACATACAACGGCCGTGAAGTAGACGAGCGAAAGATTGAACGATTCATCCGAGACAAACTTGGAAATGGTCAACTTGACCGCATAAGTTTCGACCATGGTTAAGAATCCGCCCCTTGTCCTTCAAAAGGCCTTGTATTAACCACTGATACAGTATCCACTCCAGCTGGCGTTACTTATGGACCTCCTGGCGGTATGGTTGACGTTGATGTTGACGGGGACGCGGCCATGTTGATTCCAGAACCAATCGACCACGAACCTCCAGGTATGGCAGAGATGCCTCGCGCAGTCTTATGGGTACTTGGTGCGGCAAGGCCTCTTCGGGACGAAGAATTAGCCATCGCGTGTGCGATCATGGAAGATAAGGACTTGCATGATTATTTGCCTGCTATTCCCCCGTCTTGGACTCTGGGTATATTCCAAACGGACGAGAATAATTTTATTGTACCATCATCAAATGCCGGTGAAGCATTAGCACAGCTTATCCCCACCGCCGACCACGATAACCTGATTCTGGAAACTATCCTTAAAGGCGTGACGCAGGATAAATATCTCGGAGGTATCTTGAAAGGACCAATAATCCGTCATCGATTCAAATCCGAAGCCCCAGCGACCATGCAACGCCAGGCATGGTGGAACTTCCTGCAATATGCAACGCTTTACTGGCCGTCACATCTTTGTCGCATTAGCAATCCATTGGCACCGGATACCGAGGCCGCTTTAAATCAGTTGGTGGGCAGGCCCATATGCTCAACGTGGGTTGAAGCCCTCGCCATATTTACGAGGAAAGACTTTGAGGTCTCACTAAGCCGTATATTGCACATGATTTTGAGTTATTGCAATAGTGATAGACATCATATCCTCAGACCTGATACCATTCTCTCGCTGCGAAACTGGGCGAGGTGTTGCCAGCACGTCCTTCAGGACTGGAAGCGTGTAATATCGAGATGGCCAGGCGAAATCCACTATATCGAGCCTATATTTTTGCCCGCCGACAGCCTGTTCTTGCAAAACCACAGCATCAGTTCCCAATGGGCTCTACCAGCTTGCGGGTCGCTTGAATCAGAAACATCAAATATGTATATTTTTGAAAAAATTCATAGCTATGGCTACCTGTGCGAAATTGACGGCTCGGCCCGTCGTATATATGTTACCTCCCGAAGATCGCCTGGTGGGTTATCGAAATACATAATTTGGAAAATTCTATGTGTCTCACTGGATACGGGCCTACCAATTGCAGAATATACTGGAGAGTCTATCTTTGGGGTTAAGCACCGCACATTGGATACTACAGCTGATGCTCAATTAGCCTTAAGTCCTGATGGGTGCTATTTGGCATATGAAGTACTCATAGCTTGTTCTGGGCGGGAGGGGGATGTACAAGTTTATACATACTACTGGAAGCTACAGTCTACCGTGACTGTAGACGGTGATATCTTCGGCCCGAGAACATTAATTAATGAACTGGAAAAGACTACAAAAGCAATGCGCCATATGGAAACACTTAAATTTGGCCCTGACAACGTCACGCTTCTTCACACCCGTGGGATTTATAACGTGGAGACCCAAGCTCATGTCAAGCCTCAGCATCCAGTGGATCGTTCCCTTGAAATAGAGTCGGCAATTGTTTCACCCGACTGCACTATGACAGTATTAGCTGTGATTTCTGGCGGCAAGCTCCCCCGGAGTCCCAGGACGAGCCGCTCCATTGATCTCTGGACGTACTCAAATTTGCAAACCCCAGGTGGGATAAACAAGGTCCTTAGTGGAACTGAAAATCTATTTGCCGTGAGCAAGTCCAGTCGTTTCTTGGCCTTTACGCAAAAATTACCAGCGGAGAGCAAATTAGCCAAGGATGGTGGATCTAGCAAGCGCCTAACATATGGCTTCTTCGTTCTAGATACTAAATCCGGGTACAAGCACCAACTATTTTCCTACGACAAGGCAGCGTTGTCTCTGACCCCTCCCCGCGCAGAGATGGCGTTCTTTGGAAATTGCGAGACTGAGCCTACTCTATTCGTCCTTATGCGTACTAGCATCGAGGGTGGAAAGGAAGGCCGAACCTGGCGGCGAACGCTGGCGGGCTGGGTGAATATAGGCCTTATCCGCACCAATTGGAAACATTTACCTAAGAAGTTCAATGATGATGATACGGCAGTCATAGGAATTCATCGAGAAGGAATGTTCTCTGCCAAAGTTCAGGGGCAGCACGACTTCTGTCATTGCATAGAGAAGAGTGATTTTTCGGATGAAAGTGAGTTTGCACTATCCTATTGGGAAGGCTCGTCCTACTATTATGTAAATTCAGAGCGCCATGATGGGAAACACTACCAGGTATGTCTACCAAGCCTGTCCCTAGTTTGCACTGTTTCGAACTAACCTTGACGTGGAAGATTGGGGGCAGACTGTGGAAGTTCGGTGATGAGGCTTGCTTGAGTGTGGAATTCAATTTCTCTTCACCTGCAGGGCTAAATTCAATAAAAGATATTTGGATACCTTCGCCTGGAGACTTTATATACTTCACGCCCCTTGGTGGGCTGGGCCGATTCTCGTCGCAGGTCAATACTAATGACAGCGTGGTGGACGCTACTCGCCACATTCAGGAGTACCATCCCACCAACCGAAACATTATTTGTATTTCTAGCGACGGCCGGTATAAGCTGGCAGCATTATTTCAGCCTCAGACAATGATAATCGGCGAAACAAACGCGACTATGTCACTCCGCCTCGAAGTTTTCGGAAATTGGGGGTTAACTAACTGCCTTCGGACATTTCTATTTTGTTGCGAGTGGCTTATTACCGAGGACGAAGATGAAGAAGAATTATTTAGCGATGCATCACGGGCGATCGATGCCGCTTTCCATCCTTACCTGCCGATTCTGGTATGGAAATGTTCATATTTTAATTTCGGATTTTGGCTGTCAGACCTCCAGGCTGGTAGTAGGCCCATATTCATCGACGGCATGTACCCCCGTTCTCATCAGTTCACGCTGCAAGATGAAAATAAAAGACACTAACCTGTATATCAGACGTGCATTCTGAACTCTACAGTTTCTCGTTCTCTAAGTGTTCTCGCTACCTCTTAGTACTATATGATGGTGAAGTCGGCTCAACTACTGATTCAACCACTAAGAATGACATAAAAACGGACGTTCTAGTACTTGATCTCAGAAAAGGATTGAAATACAAATTTTCTTGGCTGGTGTCATCAATACAACATTGGAGGCCTTATGTCTTCTGCCATGATGATCAGGTCTTTGTCATTGAGGTTAATGATAACGGGCAGCTTGTTGCCCTGAAGTTACCCCTATGCGTTGATGGTAAACCCCAACAGCGATACCTCATGGTTTACCCTTTCGGCCCTTACAAGGTTCAATGGAGTGAAATAACCAAAGACAATCGGTTGAGATCACTAATAATAAATCGGTGGGGAAAGGCAAAAGCAGATGGGCGTCAGTTTGTTACCACGAGCTTTGACATCACCACCGGCTGGGAGGAAAATTCTTTCACAATAGATAATACATGTCAGTCCAACGGGCCGATTATTGAAATAGATAAGTCAGCATACCACCTTCGAGTACCGCCACTTAGCAATCCACGATCCGATAAATATATCGAGGTCACGAACCCAAGGCTATACTGGGAATGTAGGGAATGGAATTTGAGGGATGGGGATGAATCTATTCTCTTGGAAAGGCAGTATACTTGGCTCTGATAGGCATCAATGGGGGTTTTCATTTCTTCAAGAAGGGGGTAGAGCTTCCTACATACGAGTTATTTTGGTCAGCCAGAAGGTTTAGATGGCGACAGGAAGGAAGGTTGTGTCTAGAGGGAAGCGAAGGATTTACTCTTAATTTCAATATACTACATATTCTCCTTGTTTCAAGTGTTTATATGTAACATTAACCATGCACCTCTCCCTGGAGTATAATGGCGACTATCATGATACTATCTAGACCTAACTAGCCTTCTTCCCCAGCTATATATGACAATACACCTCCCTATAATACGGCCAAAGGTCAACGGTAGTCCAAATCTAAACCACGTAGCGGGCTGCCACAGCGTGGCTTTCGGTGCTACTATCGCCTTGCCACGATCGTGCACTTTGTTTTCCCCCGCCTTTCCTGTAAAGGCCTGGACAGCCTCTAGTATAATGCTCACCGTCGCCTCCGGTTGGCTTAGAAATGGCGAATGGCTTGTCGGTAGCTCCCTATGCTCCACGCTTCCACCCATCTCCCTCGCCATACCCACCTGCATTCGTTGCACCAGCACTGGAAAACCACGGTCTTCGAGGGTGCCAAGGTACCAGACAGGTACATCCTTCCAACCGGTATAGGTGTATTCACCGCTCTCAAACAATGCTTTAAGGCTTTGGGTAGTGAGCTGAGAAACCCAAAATTCCGCCTCTTCGTCTGGTAAGTCGTGATAAAAGAACTCGCGAGGAGAAGCCACAAGCTCGGCGAAGCCTGTTTCACTATTAATACGCCAAGAAGGAGGAGGATGGCCGAATAATGGATCCATAAATGCGAGGCCTGTCAGGGTAGAGCCAGAGGCTATGAGAATAAGGCCAATAACATGCCCATCTGTTGAGGGCTGGGTTTGGCTTGCTGTGACGGCTCGAGGCGGCTGGGCGAATCCCTTGATGGCACTGTTGCCAACTATTCCGCCATAGGAGTGTGCAAGGACTATAACATCGCGCCCAAGGGTTGTCTCGCTAGATATAGCTCCACGGGCAGCATCGAGATCATCTTTGAAGGTCGCGGCTGGGTTTCCCTCCGTCGAAGGGAGTGTTACCAAGACACATTTCAACTTATGCTGGTCTTGGAGGAGTTTGGTGACTTTGTTATAGCATGTAGGTTGATGCCAGGAGCCAGGTATGAAAACTAGCGTTGGTAGATTGGACATCTCAGAGCATACCACAGATACTGTTGAAAATGGGTATCTGGTGGTTACACTTCTTGAATAAGTGCAGAATAGGGTCAGGGTATTTGCAGTGATATCCAATGACAGGAGAAGGCGGGACTAATGGCTACTGGGTCCCATATATAACTTCAGGGAGATCCAGGACGTAGGAGAAGGGGCTGAGATGAAGGTGAAGATAAAGGTGAAGATGAAGGTGAAGATGGAGATAGAAAAGAGCAAGGTCCGAGCCGGATGACTAATCAGCTATATGCATGCACAATTGGAACTACATGCTGCCCTGGACATAGGATATCCTAGGATGTATAGATTTACGTCAGACGGCTGCCTGCCCGCGTAAACGGGGTTTCTTTATTTGAATACTCTCCTTTCCTTCGATCACTAAACCATCTGTCCATATACGCAGTGGGAATCTACATTTGGCTATGAGGATTGCAACGTTTCAATTGCGCCCTCGACTTGGCGATGTCGAGGGTAATATCCGGAGAGCTGATGTATTAATTGGGAAGTTGGAGCGGATGCTTCAAGGCAATGATAAAAGCAAAGGCCTCGATTTACTAGTCTTGCCTGAGATGGCGTTTAGTGGTGAGCTCTCGGAGTTTATCGTGAATCTAGGGACATGTCGAATGACTATTAATGCTCCTTCATAGGCTATAATTTCCCGTCCTTGAAGGCTGTACGACCATATCTTGAGCCCTCAGAGGCTGGTCCCTCGGCTCGGTGGGCGCGTTCGGTTGCGCAGAAACTAGGCTCCGTTGTAGCGGTGGGCTATCCTGAGATCTGCCCTTCTATACAGGGGAAATCACCCTTGCAAGGAAACACGGAAGGGAATGGGGCCCAGTCAGAAGATGAGCATCGATTCAACTCGTTGATTGTTGTCAAAGAGTCTGGAGAAACGTTGGTGAACTATAGGAAGCACCATCTTTATTACACTGATGACCCGTGGGCCCATGAAGGCGAATCCCACGAGAGCGGATTCTTCTCAATGCCCCTAGCTACTGCTGCCTTGCCGCAAAAGATATCCAGGGACAGCAATGGCAGTGTCCCTGATATGCCCTCCTTCCCAAGGAACGAAATACCTACCACGGTGGGGATATGCATGGACATCAACCCGTACAAGTTTATTGCCCCCTATAGCGCCTGTGAATTTGCAACACACGCGCGTTCCAGCGGGGCAAAGCTAGTTATTGTGTCTATGGCGTGGCTGACGCTGTTGGACTCCGAGGACCTAGCTACGATGAAGGACAAACCGGATATGGACACCTTTCAGTACTGGATTACCCGATTTGCACCACTTTTCCTACCCGATGAGGAAGCTGTGGAGGTGGACGATGAAGATGGCCATGGAGAAAAGGCCAAGCCGCAGGTTATCATCGTGTTTGCCAACCGAGCTGGGGAAGAAGAGGGCCTAGAAGGGAAGGATACTGCAAGGTATGCTGGCTCGAGCAGCGTGGTCGGCATACGACGTCGCCCGCGAAAAGTGGGGGAGGAAGCGGAAGCAGGTGATGAGGGCGTGGATAAAGTTGAAATACTTATATGGGATATACTGGGGGCTGCAGAAGAGGGCATCTGTTTCGTCGATACCGACTCGACACCAAGGATGGTTGGAGCGGTACAGATATGAGGCATAGACGTGATGGTGTCGGTGTATAACTATGCTTGCCAAACACCGTACCATCGCCATCACACTGTAGATACAGCCCACTAGAGACATGTTAATGTGCCGGGCGAGGAGGCTGATGAGACGGTGACCTCGACTCCAGCTTCGACCTTCGTCTATTTTATATCACCTGAGCCCATGTGAGCCCATGTGACTGAAGCGTGATCTTCCCGATTAGGGCACACCTCCCACGTAAAAACAAGTTCCTTTTCTTCTCTTTGACCTCATCAAACCCCCATCTTCCTGTCCATGCATGTTAATGCATATATTTGGTGAGACGTGGAGGGGAAAAAGAAAAGGCGATGGCCAGTCAGACGAGATAGACGCAACAGCTGGCGGGTCCTGGCATGGAATCGGGCTGTGGGGTGTATGTGTGAGGTGAGATGGTGGTAAGTGGCCTCTGTTTATACTTGTCACCGTGTTGCATCTATATTAACGACAGGTCAAAAAAGCAACTTAGCTAGCCGGCGCCAGCTCTTACTACATGTATTGAGAGACCGGTGGAAGGCCCTGGCAAGGCTGGAGTCGAGACTAGGTCTGTGGAACGGTGAAGGGGAGAACACGCCTATTTGACTGGCCAAAGGAACCGTTCGCCAAATTGTTTGGTTTGACTTCTGTGTGCTCGCGGCATGGGCGTTCTATCGCGATGCTCACCCTGCTGTGAGCGACGGATGAAAAAAAGCAAACATCGGACGGGTAAGGATGACTGTGAACTCGCGCTACCAACCATAGCAGTGGGTACCCTGTCGTGAGCAGGTGATCTGGGTGCAGGGAGTCGAGAACTCGTCTCACCCTCAGTGCTTTGATGAAGGGGGAGGGGATTTCCATACGCGGCCATATAGCCCCCTTGGAGACCTGAGTTTCTGCTTCGACCGGATCGGAGTCACCTGGATCTCCAGACGGCAAGATAGGATATATTCCGTATACTCCGTACCCATGCAGAAAAAGGCAATGATCCATGGGAAGATCCCGGGGGATCGATAGCCTTTCGATGCTAGGAAGGAGAGAGAGCAGCACATGAAGGGACGTTCCAAGCCTATTATCAGCTTGGATCATCCAGCCAGCAGCAAACAACGGCAACATCAAGGCCAACATAACACTAACAGCCGAGATATGACTGTATACTGTCGAAAGCAACATAGAACATCCTCTGGTGGCACTATCTCGAGACGAATCAAGGTTTCTGCGGCGGAGGACCATGCGCCCGGTGGCTCCTCCGCCCTTCGACGCACCAGGGCGTCCGTCTCCGCCGGCAGAGGCCCATGGTCCCTTCACTGAAGCCTGCGTCCTCCGTCCGGGAGCATCCAGCGCCATCTCCCGTGCACACCACCAGGAAGGCGATGCCCAGCGAGTGCATCCAATGGGAAGCAAGAACAGCCCCGTGGAGCCTGATTCGTCAGCAGCAGCAAGACACGGGACCTGGGCACATGACCGGGATAGATCGATGAGTTGACTATCTCTATCACTATCACTTCGAGTATAGAGCATAGAGCATACAGACATACTGACCAGACAGACACAGACGATATACAGACAGATACTGACAGACAGGCGATATGCAGACAGACGGACACAGACGTCGAAAACAGACAACTACATTACAGAGATATATCCAGGATAAGAGAAGGAACATCGTTATAGTGAATAAGTATATGGTGTATGGTGTATGGGATGGACTGCGCAAGTGGCGGTGCGGCGTGCCGTAGAGCCTTGCCACGTGAGTTTCTCCCTCGCTCTTCCTCCTCCTCCCTATATCTGCCAGCTTTATTCTGCATCACCCTCCTGGCCAGAAACCCGCTGGCATCTCGTGTGGGCAATCGCTGCGTCTGCTCAGATCTCTCGCTGCAACTACCCGAGCATTCCTCTCTCCGTTCTTCTCTGGCCTTCCCTGCTGCAATCGCCCAAGGCGCGATCTATATCGCAGACTCTCGAACAGGTGACTTCTCGTCACCTGATAGATCATCAAGGTATGCAAGGCCATTTCATCATCTCCGTCGAGCTCCCATCTCGCGCTGCATCGCGAACCCATCTTCCAGCAGATATCTCTGCTCCTCGTCCCTCTCTGTCCTCTCATCGGTGGCCGTCGTCGCCTGTCGCGTCGCCCTCGGCCAAAAACATCGTCTCAACCCCGCCCCTCTAGCATCTTGTACTGTCTTGTTATTCCATCCATTCCTGGCGCGTCTCATCGCGATAACACCTCCTGGCGAGCTCTCTCCTGACTCTACCGTCGTGTTATTGATGAAAATTCTCTTTCCCCTTGCTTTTCACTCCAATTTGTGGCCGTCAAGTTTGTTTTTTCAATCGCGGGTTTGCTGTTGAGATAAAAAAAACATGCGACGCGACTTGTTTTCCTTGAGACGAGCAAGCCAGGCCTCTCGCAGAGCAATATTACGTCCACTCTTCTCCGCTCTTGCTGATGCGGACTGCACTCGTGGCTGGAGTATGCGCTAACATGGATCTAACGCGATCAGAATCTTCATCACACCCAAAATCGTCTGTGACAAAGAATGTCAGAGCCCTCTATGAACGCTATGGATCACGGCTCAAACGACCCCAACGCACCTAATCACAAACGCAAACGCGAAGCTATGGATTCCGGCGACGTTCAACGTCTTCGCTCTGCCCACGGGCCTAACAATGGTTCGGCGACCGGCTCGCCCTTCGACGTCAACCTTCAGGCTACTGAAAACTACGGCTATGATGCCCACGGTATGCCCAACAACGCCACCGACCTGAGCCACATCGACCAGCAGCTCTTGCAGGCCGTGGGTAATCAGAACGGTGTCTCAGATGAGAATGCCATGACTGCAAAGGCCGCTCTCGCTGCCCATCAGCCCGAGTCCAAGTACCCCCCTCCTGAGCCATCCTTCGATGGCAACGGGCTTGGAAACAACCTCAACTTCGGTCAAGATGTCGGCCAGGTTTCCATGGGAGGCGTTCAGGGCCATACCTCTACTGCTGCCGCCGTGTACGCCGCACGCGAGGCCCAGGCACAGGCTGCTCAGCAGATCAGCCCGAAGCCGACTGTCGGGTCTGTTGAATGGCACCAGGTGCGAAAGAACAACCACAAAGAAGGTAGGCTCTCGAGACATGGATTCTATTCCCTATAGCACAAAGTCTAACATACATCTAGTCGAACGTCGTCGTCGTGAGACCATCAATGAAGGCATCAACGAAATCGCCAAGATGGTGCCAGGCTGCGAGAAAGCCAAGGGCTCTATTCTCCAGCGCGCCATCCAATACATTGCCAAGCTGCAAGAAGACTCCAAAGAGATGGCTGCCCGCTTCGACACTACCAACATGACCACTAACCAGGCCATCACCGAGATCAGCACACAGAACGCCAAGCTCAAAAATGAGATCAACGTCCGTAGCGACATTGCTGCCAAATGGATCCAGCGCTGCCGTGACGCGGGGCTCAATTTTGACGACTATGATGATGAAAAGAGCCTGGGCAAGGTTCCAGTCGACGAGTCCCATAATATTTAACCGCTGCTACGACGTTATGATATCATCACATACTGTTTTTCATCCCCAGTTCGCGCGAACCATGTTCCTTCACCAACAGTCCTGTCTTATTCCTGGTCTCCACGATGGTTTCTTCTTCTTCTTTTTTTCATCTTAGGGAGCCGAAGCAACAAGTATCAGACACCCGGACTCCTAACGGCCTTATTCTCGTATTTCAACGTCCAATCGGTGCGTGGGTGACTTGTGAGACCAGGCTGACATGAAGCATGGCACACGGGCTCGCCTTTTGGCTCCTTTTTTTGCTTTTGTCCCGCTCTCCTTCATGGCGTACATGGCTCGTTGCTTTATTTTCTTTCCTCTGATTTTCTGTCTCTGCGCCCACACCAGGGCCAGCTCACATTCCAAAATGGGCGGATGCCTCACTTGTCTGCCAGCCTGCATGCTTTATTAACGTGCTCACTCTTTCTATCCCAGGGTTCAAGGGAAACGTTCTGCAACCATGGAGCATAACGGAGCACACCGGAGCAGGTGATGGTTGCCAGGGATTTGTCCATATTTTTCTCGTCTTTTCTCTCCTTTATCATTTTGTGCCCACTGATGGTTTTCTATGGAGGCGTCACCGGTCTGGACCGATTGGGGGGAAGACACTCAGTCATAATAATTGTTTTGCCTTAGGGGAGTGGCTTTGAGAACTAAAATCGAATATATTACTGTCGCCTTGAGTATAATCCTAGTGCTGTCTATCAAGTATGAGCCTGCTTAGTGCATGATCTACGGCTGTGCTTTCCCCCGGGAACATCATCGATATACAGGGACGCTTCATCTTGATTTGTTACCGCTGTATGCGAGTATATCTGCTTATTTATTCTCCGTAAAATCACTGCGAGTTTCTCTTGAACTACGCCTGCTTACCTAAGGGCCATGCATGCTTCTGTTGGACAAAACTACTCGCATCCAGATGTCAACGGCGAACAAACAGCTGTTATTCGTGGAGACGAGATGCGGACCAGATGTATCGGAAATAGAATAATATAACCCCAATATATTTATTGGCGATACATCAGCCTGGTTGCTGCTGCCTTCTATTCAGCCCCCATCACCCTCAGCCCCGCGCGCGCCGGTCCACCGAGCATCAGGCACATCGACTGATATTTGGGTAAATAGTTAACGCCGTCGATCAACTGCCGCTGGAAAAGCATATAAAGCCACCCTCTGCTCGCACAGGCAGACTCCTGTTGCGCTGTCATTTCTATACATTAACATGTCGGACAGAGTAGCTCCGAATCTTATACCTCCTCGTACAAGCTCAACAGGTGTCACAGCTGGAACGTCCATTCCCACCGTTAAGCCAGTGCCGGAAGAGCAGTGGCTAGCCTCATCTTCCAAGAAGCCTTGTGCGGGACCATCTGGATATCGAACTGAGAAACTGCCTTCTGTGCCGTGGGAGAAGTCTACCGAAGCCATGTGGACGGACGAGAAAGAGAACCTGGTGCTGGGACCGTACAATTACATGGTCAACCAGCCTGGTAAGGATATTCGAGGACAGTTGATCGCCGCGTATAATCGATGGCTTCAGGTCCCGGAAGAAAGCCTTGCTATCGTTACGAAGGTCGTGGTGATGCTTCATACTGCGTCGTTGCTGTAAGTCGTCTTGCCCTCAGCTGAAGAGTAACGTGTACTAACCTCATGCTAGGGTCGATGATGTTGAGGACTCGTCGCATCTTCGCAGAGGAGTTCCGGTGGCGCATAGTATCTTTGGCGTCCCGCAGACGATCAACTCTGCGAATTATGCATATTTCCTGGCTCTGGAAGAGATTCAGAAACTAAACAACCCCGACGCTATTAATATCTTCATCAAAGAACTCATGAACTTGCACCGAGGCCAGGGTATGGACTTGTACTGGAGAGATACCCTGGCCTGTCCTACTGAAGAAGACTACCTGGAAATGGTCGGTAACAAGACTGGCGGTCTATTTAGGCTGGCGATCAAGCTTATGCAGGCTGAAAGCAGTGTCCCCATGTATGTTGCCACCTCATTCGCTTCCAGTGTCGCTAAATCATAAGCTAACGATACAACAGCGACTGTGTCCCGCTTGTCGACATAATGGGCTTGATGTTCCAAGTCTGCGATGACTATCTCAACCTCTCCAACCCAACTTATAGCAAAAACAAGGGCCTATGCGAAGACTTGACGGAAGGGAAATTCTCCTTCCCGGTTATCCACAGCATTCGAGCTCAGCCTGATAACCGCCAGCTTATCAACATACTGAAACAAAAGACTAACGACAACGAGGTCAAGCAATATGCCGTAAAGTACATGGAGAGCACCGGCAGTTTTGCATACACCAGGAAAGTAGCTGTCGAACTACGGGACAAAGCCTTTACCCAGATCGACGAGCTCGAACGCACCTTTGCCCAAATCCCTAGAGAGGGGGGTGCAGAAGGAGAGATGGGAAGCGGCAGTTTGGTGCGCACGATTCTAAATCGTATCATCGACCCTGTTTTGACGGACTATGGAGACAGCTGAAGGGATTTGAAGTCTCGCCCCGTCGGCCAGTCTTAACCTGACCTGGCAGTTATCTACCCCTTTTTTGCTTTAATTTTCGGTATCTCTATCTCAAGCGACTAATTCGGGTATCTGTCTGCTTTGCTTTGATTTCAGCGGGAGTTGCCGTGTGATTGAGTATTAATAACGAAAATGAATGAAATACATGTGCCCATGATTTTAAATATCGAGGGGGTTATATCCGATGGCGGCTAGATCTGAAATCAAACAGTCTTGCAAGCTATATATATAGTAGTAGATCTAACGACATAATCAACGCAACCCGTAATGTTCAAGTCGATGATAGACAAACAGGGACCATACCAATCCAATCATCAATCGCGGGTATCGTTAAAAAGCATCTCCAACAAAAGCACCAAAAATAATCATATATCTAGTTTATATATCCAACTATCATAACCAAAATCTGACCAACAACCCTTTACATGACGATACAGCAAGCTTTCTCCAGTTTCTTGAAAACGATGGGTAAGAGCTTCTGAGCGATCTTCTCAGCAGGAGACTCCTGTTGGTGGCCTTGTTGGTGTCCTTGTTGATGGTGCGGTTGACCATGCTGTGGCTGGCCATGATGGGGCTGGTTGTGGTGTGGTTGGCCATGGCCCTGAGGAGGGTGTTCCTGATGGGGCGGCATGTTGGCAGGGCCCCCGGTGAGATTGACATATATCCTTCCAGCATTATCCTCGGTGGTATATTGAAGGCCAAGGTCACGACAGACTTGTTCGACACGGGGTTTTATTTTCTGGACGTGGTTGACCGAATGGTTTCCTTTTCCGACGATCCTAAAGTCGTTCTGTGTCAGTCTATTTGCGAGTAAATTGATGCGTGGATTGTAACATACACATGAAGGTGATCCTGTCCATGTTGTCTCGCATACTTGATGCGTTCTTCCAAGATATCTTCGGCCTCCTCGACGAATTGGCCGTGTAAATCGATGGTATCCGCAGCAACACGGCCCTCGGCGTTGTTCTCTCTGAATATAAACTCCGAGGCCTGCTTGTTGAATTGGTCCATCTTCCGGCCATGTTCTTTGCCTTCCTCGGACAGTTCCTTGGCCCGCTGGCCATCGCCGTTCTCGTAGGCTTGACGGGACTATTATAAGCAAGACGGGCTGTCAGACAATCTTCCTTTAACATCAATAGGGTGAGATTCGGGCTTAACATACTCTGTCGAAGCATGAGCCACGCAGCCCAGCTTCATGCCGGGCTAATCCTCGTAGTCGATCATACTCCGTCTCCGCATCTGAGTGCTGTTCATGGTTGAACGCTTCATCGCTCAGCCGTTAGCCGTTGCTTCTGGACGGCGCTTCACCGGCGCGCCTATTCAGATGACGGGTAAAACTCACCACGGGCGCCAAGAAAGGAGGCAGACATAGCTGTGAGAGGGTTTATATAAAGAGAGACGGTGTATATGGACTTGCGATCCTGATCGACGAAGGCTGCGTAGGCTTGAAAGCGCAGTCTTCTCTTGTCGCGGTTGGAGGTCGAGTCGGCGCTTGTCGCAGTTCTCCTCAACCCGATCGATCGCGCGCAAACTTAAAAATAAATCTACTTGGATGAACCATGGATATCAAAGATTTAGACAAAAAGGCAACCGAACTTCGGTTATTTGGGAAACGTTTGATCATATTTTGATATATGAATATTTCAAATAAAGAAAAATACTGAATGACTGTCTATTTAAGGAATGTCAAGGCCTGATCGTATATTCTAACCCTAGAGGCTGGCTGTGATGGAACTATGCATTCATTAGCACATTTCTCATATCTCCTAGATAGAGTAAGTGACAGTAATGTGATAATAGGGATAAATTCGGGGATTCAGGAACGTCACTACACGGCCGTGATAGAATCCACGTCGATTCCATTTATTGGCAGAAGCACCCATCGACTGGCTGGGAATCCTGGGACTTCACAATCTCTGGCGAGATGATATAAAGATAGACGTATTCGAAAGCTGGCTCCTGTTCAACCTGAGTCCTTTGATATCAGAAAACAAAAATTCCCTATCCGTGCCTACTCTCTCGATCATCTGGACAGCCCCTAGTTCGTTAAAGCGTCCACATATTTCTATTCAACACCTAACAATCGTCATCGCAAAGCCGTCAAAGAGTCCTGCACCACCTGCCATACTTGTCCGGCATAGTAGCAAAAAACCACGACGCAACGGTACTAGTATATCAAGGCCTTTGAAATGGCATTTGGAGCCCAGTTTGTTAACCCATTTGGCCGAGCCGGCTCTCGCGGAGCTCGTGCGGCGGTGACAAACCGGACACAGCAGAGCGAGGAGGGACGGAGCTGGGACGGTGGGATGATGGATATGACTTGTCTTGGAACCTTCGAATGTGCTTCCGTATGTGCTGTTGCTGTCCTCGTCGTTGTGTCCGGCGTTGTCGTGGGGGCGCTGGCGTTGAGCGGGAAGCTAGGTTGATGGACGTATCTGCTTGCTAAGTTGGCTAGAATATACAAACCTGATATCTGCTTGTCCGTATATAGGAGTCTGATATCTTGCTTGTAGATGGAATGTAATTTGGGATATTGTTTGCTCTGGTGGTTGCCCCTCTGAGAGGAAGGTCATCTGTATCAACCGTTAGCAAACAATAAGAAACAGGTTTCCTTGGGAAACACCAAGCCACGCGCTGCTAAGCCCTCCGAGACTCCATCCTGCTAACTTGCGTCATGTTTCTTTTGCTTGTTGCTCCTTGTTTCTTTTCTTTTCTTTTGTTTCCTTTAAAAATAAAGAAGCGAGTAAGAGCTTGGCGTAGTCTTGGCATGAAGGATCATGTGGCCTGATCTTATCTGATCTTGCCCGATCTTATCTTGATCTGATAATCAGCGGCACTTCCAACCTCCTCCTCCTCATTCCACTTTCCTCCTCTTTTCCTTCTTCCTCTTCTTCTCTTTCTTCTGCTTCTTCTCTTTCTTCCAAACAAACAAACAAGCAGAAAGGCCACTATAACCACAGCTACGCCCAGAATAGTCCTCCGACACCGAGTCCGATCCTCTTCGAAGCTCCGGCATCTTGTCGAGCTGACCACACCTCACTGCTGCTCAGCGTATCTGGCCGACAAGATGAAAGCCTTTGTTGCCCTCTCGCTTCTCTTAAGCCCGTTTGGCTCTTCCTCTCCTGTCGGCTTAAAACATGAGATCAACGCCCCGGAGCAGATACGAGTCGGTTACTTCGAAGGGGATACCTTTTACTCCCCGCCCTTTGCCCCTCCCCGTCCAGATAGTCACGAGGAGGAATATGAAGCAGGAGAAGGTCTAATATCCGATATGGCCATGCCAGACTGGCCTACAACTCATCTTCTAGCACGCCGTCTCCTAGCACTGTCTTCTACAGGCATACTCTCTACCGTCTTCCCGAAAGGTTTTAGAGACCCCGCCCTCGCCGGAGTACCTGTCGGTCTGCCTGACTACATCGCAGACTGCTCTGCTTACGATAATAACACCTCTTTAACAAACATCCTCGGACGGGGGAACCCACTCATCCTCGCGTTAAATGTTGGCACATCGTTTAGGAACACAAGGGCCGGATCAAGAATCTCTTTGTCGATAGACTGGTGGCAGCACTTGACTCCTCCTAAACAGGGGGATGACCCTCTAGATCACGTACCAGCTGCTTTACCTCGTCTTGCTCTTATCGGCCACCTCGAAGAGATCTCGCTCGCCTCGCTGTCTGTCGGTGATCGAACGGCCATCGAAAAGTGCTTCTTAGCGGGACATCCAGATTCGAAAAACTGGCTTCCAGGTTCCCCCAGTTCACCCCACAGCGGATATTGGGCACGACTGGTAGTGGAGAAGGCGTTATGGGTGGGTGGTTTTGGTGATAGGGCGAGGATCGGCTGGCTCGATATGGATGTTTGGAAGGTTATGAAGGAGAAGGGCAAGGACGGTGAGAAGGGCTGGGCTGATGTCAAATTACCAGGCGAACAAGGAGCATAGATACTTCAATGTATCCAAGATAGCTCTGCGAATTTCTCCTTTATTTCTTTTAGGGTCGTACTAGTTCAGCATATCCAGATCATGTTTCATATTACAGCATCGAACAAATGGCATCTTAGCTTCCGATTTTAATTTATAAAGAGAAACGTTCCATGATATTAATATCCAAGCTGCGAAAATGGCCAGATGCCACAGCCATCTTTAAATTCATAGTGGGGAGAGAGATAAGGGTATAAGTGAACGGTATTCACTTAATAGTCCGTCGAAACAAAATAGTCTTCCAGTGACGGCCACACTCACGCGACCACAGGCTTCCGACCTCATCTCTTACCTCAGAAGTAACATCTTTCCAGCACTTCTCAACCGACTCCCCTCGCTCATGTCGTAATCGGTTCTCCTGCGTTTGCGCTATCATTTCTCGACGGTGGTCACTCAGCGGTATAATTTCGAGTCGATGCCCAGCCCACACGCCCCGATGGATTGGCATACCCTTGGCGATCTTGAGCCCTAGAGGAGGCTTGGTTGACCAACAGGCACGTATCAAAATTGCATCTCCAAACCCTACATAGTCGTTTTGTGGGCCGTGTCTATCCTGCTTCCTCAAAGATATAGCTTCCGTGAGGACATACTCATTAGTTGTGAGGTTTCGGAGCACCCAGTCAACATTTTCGGGGTAAAAGTCACTCATCGCCGGACAGAGTCGATCAATCATCTCGCCTATAAGGGTAACTGGTAGATTGTAAAATTCCTCGTCAAACCCTTTGGAACTGAGAAACCCACAGTCTGCCAAGGTGGGAATAAACGGCGCAGGGGCAGAGTCGCAGCCACGAACATACTCGAGCAGGGTTGGGTGATCCATATCGGCTGATTTGTCTAATTCTGGGCCGAAGGTCACTTGAAGTGTAGGCTCTTGATATACCGTGGGAGGGAAGTCGTTGTCGGCGGTCTCATCCCCAAGGCATATAATACTCTGCCCTGCCCACTGGCCCAAGGTGGTGGTGGTCATCGACTGGAGATGCTTTGCAAGCAGCCTCAAAAAGTAGCGAGATGTGAGGCCAAGGTGGATTACATCCAGTAACGCAAGTTTGTCGATAATTTTTTGGTGCACACTGTGAGGGAGGTACATGAATTCAGGTCTATTGCTTCTGGCATCGCTTGATGGCGACATCCACGCAGTCGGAATACTGGAGTCTTCGTCATCCTCGTCGCCGTCGCCGTCACCGTCATCGCGGTCGCTCTTGGAATGTTTCTTCGGTCTCTCGTCGGTTGAGGTATCGTCGAAGCTGTCACTTTCTTCCTGTTTGCGTTTTGCAGTTTGGTTCTGGTAGACTGAAAATGTTTCCATCGTAGACTGTTGTATCGTGTTTCGTGGGAGCAATTCGCCATCGCGTAACTGGCTAAGCATATTAGATACGGCTCTTGGACTCGATCCAGGCTGCGTGTCTGAAGTTGACGGCACTGTCTGGTCTATCGGAGGGCTTTCTGATTTTTGCGACTCAGTCTTTCCCCATGATACAGGAGATAGATCCGAGAATTTCGAGGACGTTGACGAACATGGCTTTCGTTCTGTGGCCGCAATGAAGGCCTCTGACCTGGCGCGCAGAACATCAGCAGGGCACTAGCTAGACCTGGACTTCAAGAGACATACAACAGACGTATATCCGGGGCGGCGACATGCCACATCAGGTCATCTGCGACCTTAATAAGAAACAGTCGTCGAAGCCTAGAGGCGCTGTAGATTCTCTGAGAAGTGGTCAGACAAGCAATATGGAATGCTTGATCTTTCTTTGGGCCAACCGGCATTGGCCTTTTGAACACTGGCTCTTCTTCCATAAGGAGCAGAGGGGGAAGATATCTATAGGGCTTTGATAATCTGTATAGAGCGCCATATGGATAAAAACTAGAATGGTATAGAGCTGCCCTTGCACTGGCTGAGCACTGAAGTCAGAGTCAAAAGGAAGACGCTTATAAAGTGCATGGGGAGAGGGAAAGAGTAATATAAAGCCTTGATCGTGGCTCCCCAGTGATAGATGGCACTGATGGCAGAGTGAAGTAGGAGCTATAGAGACCAATAACTCAGCATGCACAAAGCTGAATAGAAGGGAGAGTTTGTATGCATAGAGATTTACAGAAATAAGGGGTTTATGCCATTCACTCACTCACATATCAAGAGCCAGTCTTAGTTAATATCTTGATATCAAGGGGCTGAGAGTAATAAAGAGCAACCCTCCAGTCCGAGGATGGCCAGTGGAAAGTAAGAAATATTGAAAAAAGAGTATGTATTTATGTGGACAAGAGTTTGACAGATTACTGTCGAAAGGAGTAAGACTTCATCTGTATCGATATCATTCATGCTGGCATGAACTATGCAAGCTATGTGCCCTTCACACAGCATAATATGGTCATAAAGTCTGGACCTATATAATCTCCATATCCATCATCTAGTGTAAGGAGCTGACGGATGTCACTTTCTGTACGCAGTCAAACTAGCTATCTGCAATCAGATGCAAGACTGGCGTAGAGTGATGAGCCAACGGTATCCTTTTCGAGACCTGGTATCGGTTGGTTTATATTCCCAAAGGAAAAAAAATGGTCTGGATGATTAGTGGCTATGAACCCTTTGTATACATCCAGGCGGGTTGACACCTAGATGTAGGATCGTAAAGTCGCATATCGCGACGGGGTTTGAATATACGCCGCAGCGCCCTTCTAGCACTTCTCATGGCTTAGAAGCCATGTTGCACTCTCGGAGTATTTTCCTAACGCCAGCGGAGGCACGACCAGTTTCACCACCATCTTGTCGCGCAGAATCAATGCCTCGTTCAACTGGGACCTGGAAGAGTTGCGCGAAGACTCTCAATCGATCCTCGCGAGATTCATACATATCACCTTCTTCCTTTTTTACGCTGCTGAATAGGTCAAGGTAGGCGAATGGTGACGCCTTGGTCGGGAGGAGATGATATTGGACATGGCGAAGTGGGAATAAAGCCCCGCCATCGTTCACTCCTAGTCCCTCCCCGGATAAATTTGGGTCATCTGTAAGGCCGATCCCTGCACGAAGGAACTCAGCAAAGACTTGTAGAACCCTCGCTGCCAACTTCCCCTCGCTGCCAGATTTTCCGAATGAAGCTTTATTCGATGACCACTTCGTCGAGGCTTCGGTGTGCCACCCCAATAGCGAAAGGAAACAGTTCAAAGTTTTAATCCAGCCTCCCGCGGCAGATACCACTTCCTGCCCAGCAACAGACAATAGCCAGGATAGTATTTCTACCGAGGAGAGCCTGATATCTGCCGCCAGGTGTGTCATGCCAGCTCGAACGTACGGTAAGAACGCCGACCCATGCCCTTCCAAGTCTTTTTGAGGTAGAGCCTTCAACAGCCTGAGTAGCTGCGCTCGAACTCCGTTATTTCCATCTAGAATAAGAGGGAATAGGATCGGTAATATAACTCCAACTGGCCGTGGAAGGGGGGAGTCAACCGGTCGTGATGTAACAGCGGTTGCGAGGTGGGATAATGACTCTTTCCTTTGGCTATCCGTCTTGGAGCTTAACAAGGATAACGAATGGGTGAATTGAGATGATTCCGACGGGGCGGCGGCCAAAAGTGACTGTTGGTTTAAAACGATTGCTAGACAACCATATCTGGTCAGCTTATCGGTCCTTGTGGTGTAGCGCAAACAAAAATTCCTCAGGGAGCTTACATTTCGATTTGAAGCTAGTATTTGTAAAGTTCGAGGGTGCGGCCTTTGTCTTTCCGACCTTGAGTTTGGTTTTCTACAGTTCATTAACGATGTGGACGTCGTAGGGGTTTTTCATTTATATATGTACATACCTGGAAATCTTTCTTCTTTTCATTTTTCTTCTTTTGGCTGGAGCCCATTGTAGCCGGACTGATCTGAATGAGGATCTAAAATCGGTTCAAGTGCTAGAATCTACCAATATTAAAGAACGAAGGGTAATAATTATATCTTGTAGCGAGAAAGGGAGTAGGTAAGTATCTGGAGGAGAAACGATGCGCTTATCGAAGTCTTTTTTTCCTATCAACCTTGAAGCTACCCTCGCTTAGTAAGCATATATCTGCTACTTCGAGATAAACATCAGCAGAAGACAAGCAAGGGACATGGCATGCCCAACACAAGACCGATATCTTTTCCAACTTTCAAAGCTTGAGACACGCCCGGACGATTAGTCTTCCAGATACCTGCTAAGAAGGAGGATAGCCTAGATTAGACACCAGAAATGGCCGAACGGAACACAGTTCGTTTAGACTTCTATCCCTCCTTTTCTACCCACCAAGTACAATCAAACCATTCTAACGACCTCTATTAAAGCTGACAGAAATTCCCCGGCACGTTGCTGCGCAATTGTCACATCTCACATCGCGACCTGGAGTACAATCGACGCTGATACTCTCGCGGAAAGATGGCTCGATAATACAAACAACCGGCCTACTTGCGGCGTCGAGTACAACAAACGGCACATCTCCAAGTTCTACACCCGCAGCTGAAACAATGACGCCTTCCTCATCATTAGACCAGGACGGTGATCCCTCAGACACGACTGATAACTCAGTGGCTACGAAACCGAATGGACCCATGACTCCTTACAAGCCCAGTCCGGCAGAGACTCTCGCCGTCCATATACATGCGTTCGTGTCTTCGGCATCCTCCCTAAGCACGGCCCTATCTTCGCCGTTGGGTGATGACGATAAACATGGCTTAGACGATGAGAACGGGAACAGCCCCAACAAGGACGGAAATTCAGCTGGCAGTAATCCCTTCGAGGACGCCGGACTGCCTGAACGCGAGGAAGACGATGAATTAAAGCTCTTACGGCTTAGAACAAAAATCCATGAGATAATCATAATACCGGATCGCAAATTTCTGCTTTGTGTCGTCCATGATGTCTCGGCTGCGGCGAGTGGAGCTGGAGGAAGAGCTTCGGCACATTCAAGGCAGTGAACAGGGATATAAAGACGGTCGTGCTCGACAAACTTGCACCTTAGGGAGTGAAATAAGTTTAACATGCTATGGACGACCGTAGGTCATGCCTCGGAATAGACGAATATCTCTCCTCGACATGAACAGAAGCCTCCACCAGCTACTACTACTATATGTGGCTTGTTCGTGATTGCCTTGATACCCTATTAAATGAATGTTCAATTGAATTTATGGACTTTATTATCCCTATGTTTTCTCCATATCCAGCAAACAAACCCGCGTTCATTGATACGGGGAATATCCACCGAATCAATAGAGGCTTCTGACTCGCCTAGTTGCACAGGATTGTCCTAAACCTGGAGGTAGTTTAGAGCGTCATTTACTTGGCTATGGAAACCAGCGGATTAGCGGCCATTCAAGAAAGGGGAACACACTTTGACAAGGGGATTAAAAAAAACCAGAGCCAGATTCAGTGGTGGGACGAACCGCCTGGTACACTACCTGTGACGTTGGAGGCAGCATCCTTCACGGACTGTGCGGCCTCCTGGCCCTTCTGCTTAAGCTCATCGGTCTTGCTCTGGCCCTGATCAGCGAACTTTTTGGCGGTGTTCTTGGCGTCGCCTATACCGAGATGTATCGTTAGCACGGATGCTTCAACTCAGACGGTAATGCAAGAGTCGCATATCCCCTTCGGCTTTGCTAAGTCTGGGGCACCCTAGAAGGGTTATGGGGTATATTTCTCACCGGGCTGCTGCTGGGCACCCTTCATCTGATCCGAAATCCTGTCCATAATGCTGGTTTATAGTGGTGTTCTGGTCTATAGACATGGCGTCAGTTTCTCCTCTTTCTCCTTTTTGGCAGTGTTAGAACCCCCAACTCAACGCACCTTGGTGTAGTCTAAGCTTTGTTTCTCCTGTGATGAACGTACGTAGAGGATATGTTCGAAGTACTTCTTCCTCGAATGCGGGGACATCCCTGGCTTCTTTTTAACCACCGTCCATCAACCATCCACGTGACCTCTCTTGAGTTTCCGCCGACGTCATGGCCGCGCCCCACACACTTTATTTACAGCTTCACTTTCTCCGTCTTTATATCTACATCATTTCATCTTCTGCCTCGAACGATGCTGGTATATAGGGGTCTGCCACACCGGATAGCTGCTAGACTATCAGAAAAAGTCACCTTATTTGTCTTTTCCGCTGTCGAATTGAACGATATCAACAGTCTTCGTGAATTTAATACCGATTCAATCACAATCTCTATGCTCTCATATATCATTGCCACAGTCTAAAGGCGACTTATTTCCTGAGCTTAACAGAGCCTGGACAATTCTACTATACCAGTCTTTGCATATCTCGCCTCTCGGCTTTCCCAACGGTCATCACAGTTGGTCTAACAGTTCTCCATCTCCAGGCAATCAGTGTCCGCTTGATCTGATATTGTCGTCATCACTCCACATGGCGCTAGAGCATGATTACTTCGTATGAGAGAAAGCGTTCAGATTCATCTAAATGCGGATTTGGAGGGTTATTAAGACCCAAGATAGTGACCATATCACTCGGTTGCGGTCTTATTTTCGAGTACGACACTGCTAGTATTTAGGCGCTATTCTCAATCGCGCCTAACAGTATGTTCATGATGAAAGCACATACAGACGCCGGTTACCCTGTGTCTCAACTTGCGAATGCGTTTTGAAGCCGTAGCCCGATAATTAAGGGACATCGGCCAGTCTGAGAGACAGCCGGAGAAATGGAGTGTTTAAGCTGCTGAACTGATATAATAGGATACCCGGCGTGCAACCCGAAGACGAAATCAACCACCTAGTCATGCTCGACTTACGATATGACCATTCACCCAATATAATATGCCGAGCAACTTACAGAAAGGCACCGGGGGCACCATTTTCTAATCAGGCTGGGCGATATTCCAACACGAGTGGCGATATTTAAAACTCGGCCTATCTGTCGGCATTGAACCAAACGGTACTTATCGACTGCTAGTCTCCGTGTTAGACAGAAATGACCAGAGTCACGTTACTCAACGTCTCGACTCTGCATGTCAACAGCACACCCCTTTTTATCGATGTACAACCTATGTTGATATTTTATGCCTGCTGAATACGACATGCAACTCCGGGTATCGTTCCTAGTACACACATAGCCAGCAAATTGCCGAATCTAAATACTACCTAATAGTTTTAGCATCTACTTCTACATGTGCTAACCAAAGATGCGTCAAACTGAAAAGATGGCAAACTATTCTTCAAGGAGGCACTTAAAAATAGGAGTCGTCTATTTCTCTAGCACCGCGGGAATGAATTCCAGTCCACTGTCTAACGGCTCTCAGAAAGTTGATCGGGAGGCATTTTGTCTCCGTCTGACAGGCCTTGATATTTACCACTGATATCCCATGGAATAGTTGGGTTCGCAACTTGGTATTTTGTAGAAAGGGGTTGCATTTCAAAAACACCGTTTGGAAAGAAAGCAGCGAAGTGGGTTTGTGGAAGGAGAACCGTTGGGGGCCTCCACTGGGGAGAACTATGGCTGCGATATCTGCTAGGTAGAGATCTACCTGCGAGACACATACCGTACCCCTGAGGAACTGGCTACATTTTGCCTATAAGGAGCTGCTGTGAAACGTTTCGCTACTCTCGCAACGGTGCCCAGGAGATAAACCTCCCAGGGCTACTGAATGCGGGCTACAAAGTCGACAAAATGGTGAAAAGGAGCGTGGATACTGGTAGTGTTTACTCTATCACTGTTTCACGGCAATCCAGGCTAGAAGATCAACTAAATACCCTTTTTCTACCTATGATAAACTAAAGGAGGTTTATTCAGATATAAATATCAAGACCTCCGCCTGTTCGTTTGATGTTCCCAGGATCACTCCTAACTCAAGCACAGAAACCATCCTCAATATCAAAAAAACACGCTATAGCTTCATTGACTTGATTGACTACTCCTTGACGCGTGAATTTCACCCTCATTTTATACCAAAATGTTCTTCTTCCGCTTCCTTGCTCTCGCCGTGGCGACGAATGTTGCCCTTGTCAGTGCTGAGGGCAAACCCAGCGACACTTGCAACGTCAATGTAAGTCAACCCCCTGGGGAACAATTTATCTAGAGCTTGTCCCAATATTAGGAGATAGATGCTAATACTTCTGGGTTAGGCATCCATCTGGAGTCTAACTGGCTTCAAGGGCCGCCGCAAGGAAATACCAGTTGATTCCGAATGCAATCCTCTAGCTGATCCATTGTAAGGGCCCCTTTTCTTTTACTAATAAGCGTGCTCTCTTTTTACCACTCCTCAAACCAAAAGCATATCGCTGATAAATATTGCTATTTCTAGTGTTGCTTCTGTTGGTTCTGCCAAGTTACCACGAGGAACTCTATGCCAGCTTTACACGTAAGTCAATTGTCTTCTGATTGTCTACACCTATGCTCTCCGACTTCTAACAATTGGCCCAGGGATCCAAATTGCGAAACTAGGAGTTCCATCGTATCATCCCGCAGCACTGCAGACACCTTCAAAAACAAGGGCCGTCAAATCAAGAGTATCAAATGCCTTTACATCCCTGACGACCAAAGCGAGAACTCTGAGAAGGCAGAGGGCGAGAATGACAACTAGGCGACTCATCCTTTGTGTTTGGACAATGAAGTCCATTTCTGGCAGAATAGGCCACGGAGGGCTGGAAATCATATAATATTGTTGTTTTTTCTGCGTTCCATTATTGTTCTAATACGGAAACTTGAACTTGTTCATGTATCTTTACCTCTTTACTTCCAGGTGGGTTGCATAAATGTATGCAACCGCCCAGTCACTCGCTTACTTATTCTCTATATAATTAGCTAATATTCAGTTGGGTCACAAGCTCTTTCATTTGGACATCACGTCCCTTTCAGTGAACACGAGTATTTAGTAGAAAGTCATTATTGCACTCGCGGAAGGTAGATTCATACTAGTCGTACATATACGTGCGTTGTCACTCGAGAGTACGCTGCTGGATAGAGAATTTTCATCATTCAAAGTTCGACCGCTCATAATCCCGATGGTATAGATGTGTAACTAAAAATGAAAAAAAAAACATTGCACGCTCCGGACGCGCTAGAAAACATAGTGGGATGTTAGTTGATAGGTGCATCCATGTACCTAAAAGGACGATCTAAAATCTATGTGGATCTCGAGAAAATAATTCATCAGGTCGAAGAGAACACAGCTCACCCAGCTCGCCGTAACTCTTTTTTAGTATTCGACATTGCTGGCACATGAGAAGCTGGCGCCGGCGGGGCTGTCATGGAGTGCCTTGCCAGAGACGTAGAGGCCAAGACCACACTAATACGTCGTTAGCAATGGATTCGATACATTTAATAGACGATGAGAGTGGTATATGATTGGCCAAGGGTGAGTAAGGTGATATAGAACACTTACAATTGTGGCTCCTGCGAGGAACACTAGACAGTTGACAATTGTGAGCAATATTTTGCGGGGCGAGGAGAAGTATTGTCCTTTGTTCATGTAAAGCCAGAACAAGCCGCTGAGACCATCTGTTTTACTTGTTAGCCGACTATTATGACATTATGAAACAGTGGGAAGGTGTTGTAGACTTACAAGTGAACCAACTTGCGAAGAGAGCAGTCTGCATAATCTAGTTAGCGCCATGATCATCGATTTAGATGGATTAATATTTTTGGCAACTTACGATCAAACTGAGAAGGTTGTTGAAGACAGGAATGGCTTCGGCGATGACCCAAGCGATGACCCAGAGGACGACGGTAATACCGACCCAGGTTCCGATCGAGGTGAAGTTTCGTAGAGACATCTTGTTGGTTCCACGGAAGATTCGGACGTAAAGATATTTGCTAGCAACATGGCCATTGATCACACCAGCAATAACAATCTATAAAGCCTCTATGTTAGCGTTTATAAAGCTACAAAAGCTCCATTTGGGGCGTACCGTTGGGATGGCGACTCCGTAGGCGACCTTTCGTAGGATCGGCCCGGTAGAACCAAGTGCTGGTGAAGCGACATCCTTTCCACCGTATCGGTATATGACAAGTGCGGTGACGGCATAGAGTGTCGTGTTCGTGCCCTGGAGGAGATAAAGAGCTTTGGGGTAACCAGCAGGCTCCTTCAACTCAGAGATGAAACCGAAGAATGCCACATGGCCAGCTGTTTGATATTAGTTTGGGCCCGTACAAATAGTTCTCGAGATGGGTAGGACCTACCATAGGCAAACACAATGTTGCTAACGGCCAAAAAGCCGTGGTAGAGATCGGTTTTCACAGTGGCATGCACTTCCTTTCCGGGATGCTGAATAGCAATGCCGATCATGGTGATGAACACCGCTCCGAGAATACTAATGAAAGCTGATGGGAATTAATAAACGAATACCTTGGGAGAAAGAGGGGTTTAAAGGCTTACATGAGATGGACATCCAAGAAACGTTCTTCAGTGTTCGTGGGAGTGCCAGGACCAGGGAGACAACCATCCCAATAACACCGAAGACGATACTGCATGTTCCGTGCTCGGTGAGAGTGTTCATCATGACGATGAAAGTGAGAACGTGGCTGCCCATGATGAACACCAGGAACAATAGTTGGGCACCTCCGAGAAGCTCGCGTCCAATAGGGCCCATGAGTACATCTCCAGCGTCCGCCATGTTGTGGACGTGGGGATATCGCATTTTAAACTGACCGATAACGAATCCAGTATATGTGGCGACGAGGCCGAGGCCTATTATAATAATCATGGCTCTATAGGGAATACATGTTAGAACCAGGGTAGATCAATCAGAAGGTTACGGTGGTTGCTTACGGAACGATTCCCAGCGCTCCAACTGCGGAGGGTAGGGAGAGAATCCCAAGAGATATCGTCTCGGCAATCATAACTACAGGATGTCAGCTCTGTACATGGGAAGATGTAACATTCGCAAGAGCTCGTACTCATTCCACATTGCCTATGAAGAAGTGTTAATATGGTTACGTTGATGACGATCGAAACGGACGACTGCTTACCACCAGGTCATGACCTTATATTTGACATCTGAAAACTCTTCATTTCCAAAGGGATCATCTTGGTAGGCTGGGAGATCCTTTGTGATTTCTTGTTCTTCGTCTCTGCTGCTGTTGTTAATGTCCTCCCGCTCGGCCTTTGGCCCGTCCGTCTTTTGATCCGCCGACATGGTGGTCAATAACCCAAGGTCAAGATATAACGAGACTGGTTAATGCGACGGTGAATAGTGATACTCAAAAGCCAGAGGTATAGAGGTCCAGATAGATCATCCAGACGTGATGGAGAGCTCCAGAGATGCAAATAGGCGGCGATGGATGGATCTTTAAACAGACTGGAAATTTCAGTTCCCCGGCTCCGTTCGCCACGCACAAGTACCTTAAGGCCAACCGTGGTAGAGTACATTTCTGCATCATCATGACCGGTTGTTAGGCGAACCCACCGTCCTGAGTTTGCTGCCAGGATCAGGTCGGACCAAGGACAGGCCTGTCGCCCCAGACCCCGGGAAAAGAAGACGCGAAGAAGCTGATCGGCCGTCTACACGAATGGCCGCCGGGCAACTCGTTGACCACCACGCAAGGATCGGCCGGCGTCGCCTTCGAGCGCGGAATTATATGCGTGCAAGATGACGATCGGCTTGGACGCTGACGTCCTGATGCAACCAGGAGCCGTCAACCTGAACGCCGACTGCTCCGCGACTCCACCGTCTCCGTGGGGCGCTGCAACATCTTGCGTCCTTCGTCCTTCGAGAATGTGTCAAGAGATGACGGTGGAGCTCGCCCGCATATCACCCCGTATATACCTATATTGTATATACCGGTACCGCGATGCTGGCTGCTGTAGAAATAAAGATGGCGGCAGGCTCGGATGCGCATGCCGAGGACGGGAACAGGGTTAAGCTTCCTTGGCTACCGTTGCATGCGAAGATGACATGCTGAAGAGTGAGGTTGACATGAAGTTGACGTTGACTGACAGCGGATAGTTGTATGATGAGAAGCCGGGATAGAGCTGGGTTCTACGCCTGGCCAACCACCACGGAGCAGCCGGGAAGAGAGTGGAGGGCGCGCTGACTGATGGTGGGCTCGATGCCGTTTGTTTTACTCCAAAATACCCAAAATACCCATCTACTCCGGACTCCATATCCTGGGGCTTAGCAGCAGGCCCGTTTGAAATTGCCCAAGGGAAAGGCAGTGAAAGAGCATTCCATTAGTAAAGATTTTCGATTTATATTTTATCCGTCGTCTCCATGATCTCCCTCTGCCCCTCCTCCTCCTAGATAGTCCGGTTTCTCCGCAGCTTCGTATTCAGCTACCAGGTCCATCACCACCTCGCGCGCTTCGTCGAACTCGCCCAGCCCGTCTGCAAACGGCGCTTCCTTCTTGTACTGCTCCAGGAAGGCGTTGCGCTTCCGCAGACGGTCGTACTGGCTGACAATGCGCTTGAACAGCGTTGCCACGGACGTGTGGTTGGCCAGCATGAGACCGCTGACCCGGTGCGTGTTCTGGAGGTACGGCGATTTCTTGGGGATCGCTACCTGGATGCTCGCTGGACCCCAGGGAATGAAGGATGCCAGATGGCGCTCGCGGATGCGCAGGACAGACTTGTGCACGTCCGTCTGGTCCGCCTCACCTTGGATGATGTTCAGAATGCTGATATAGCAGCTCGATTTTCCCGGGGTAATCGACATCATGCGGTTCTTGGGCTGGAGCAGTCTCCGCATCACGTCCAGTACCGTGGTCTTCCGCACCGTCTTGGCCTGCTCGACCTGATCGCCAGTGAACGGCGTGTATGATGTAATCAGGAAGTGTGCCCGCGGAATTGGTATGAGGGATGCAATCACGCTAACGAGATCGTTGTGCATATACCCTGGATACCGAAGGGTGGTGGTAGACGCGGACATTACAGTTGAAACCTAACGCATGCATGGATGAGCAGCCGGAGATAAATGATAGTTATTAAAAGAAATGCCGCAACGTACCAGCTGGTTTGTCTGCTGGAAGGATGGTTCTTGGACATGAAGCCTATCGGCTGCGATCCTCGATAGCGCTCCATTGTCAAGCACGACCTTTAATACGTGGTAAGCGGATATCTATATCTCTGGTTGGTTAGGCAGGACTTACTACTGAATCTGCATTTTGCGTCAGTCTTCTCATGGTCAGGAGACTGTTGTAAGGGTTGACAACGACGTCTGCCGCCTGCGTGTCAGGAAACACCGAATACGTCTGGATTAACTTCTTTGGAAATCGGTCATTCATCCGTTCAAGAATGTAACTCCCCAGACCAGATCCGGTTCCGCCGGCAATAGAATGAAGAAGCATGAAGCCCTGAGCTCTAATTAGCCATGTCATCTGAGATTATCGTACGATTATAGCTCCCCCGTACCTCCAGGGAATCACTGCCGTCCGCCTCTCGATCGATGATGTCGAAAATCTCCTCTTGGACAGATTCACCTGTGGCATAACCAGCTGCCCAGTTGTTTCCAGCACCGCTTCCATCTTTGCCTATAAAGAAGTTCTCTGGGTTGTAGATGTTGCTGTACGGGCCATTCTGGATCGCACTGAGGACCTACATATCGATTAGCCTAGTTAAAGTAATGCCGGAGAGGTCCCAGGCGTGTGATCGAGAAGCGTACCCTGGGTTCGAGGTCGATTAGTATGGCTCGGGGGATATATCGCGTATCGTCACTCTATAACCGTGGCCCTGGTTAGCAAGATCACACTGAGTGGTACACCACTTGATCGAGAGTATATACCTGGTAGAAAAACACATCTTTGCGGTCTCCTCCCTCTGTTGCAAACTCTTCTAGGTTGCCATCCTGGTTGATGCCATGCTCGAGGCAGAGCTGCTGCCAGAACTGCGTCCCAACTGCGAACCCACGTTAGTAACCGGTCCCAAAAGCAGCCGTCATCTTTCACGATAGCATATTATAGAGATATAGCAGCTCAGAAGCAGCAGTGCGACTGTCTCGCGTGCTGGATGCCGGCGTCGAGGGGTCTCGCGGGGTCCAGGGGAGCATCGATAGGAGGGCTCAACGTACTGTTGTTGCCACACTGGCCGGCCTGGATGGTAATTATTTCTCTGCAAGGGTCGGGGGTCAGTATATCGATACAGCATGAGGATATCCAGTCTGGAGTTCGAGTGCTTACCTGGGCATCGTAGTCGGTTACATTGCACTGGAGTTGTTCGCTGGGAAACGCGTCGCGTTGGAGGATTTATTTAATGGGCAACAAGCATCAACAACTGTACAACAAACATCGAGTACGTACTGATTATTTACCGAAGATTATATTATTACTACTTCTACTTCTACTACTCAGACAGGATAGAATATAGCTATCTAGTGAACCTGCGCAGCCCAAGGAGAACTACAACGCCAGCAGCAGTGCCGTCTACTACAGTAACCTGCTCCTTCGCATCAAATGCTTCGAGAACAGCTTCTTCCATCCCTGCCATCGCCGCGCATCCCATACTGATCACTCGCAGTGATGGACCGGCAGTTTGCTTCAGTCGTTCAGTTGCGCTGATGATACGGGACCTGACTACGTCCGCTGGAGCGCTGTGCAATTCACCGGCCGTGAGCCCCGTCGTCTCTACGCCTGCGAATATCGTGTCTGGGTTGCTTCCGTTGGATAGTAGCATGTTTCTCGCTGCCGTGTCGAGCTCGTCTTTCCACTCGTCGGCCGTGGTGATGATTCCAAACTTCCCTGGGACGACAGGCTGGTGCAGAGAAACGCCGTTTGCGAGAGATGCGCTCATCTGAATGCTTGCGTCCATGATGCCTGTCACATATCGTTTTTTGCACAGTGGTTTCTCGCCGGATGCTGCGAGCTTTGAGTTGTGCTCTTCGATTGCGCCCCTTAGCATACCGACCAGCGGATGGGGAGAGTAGCATGCTACCAGAAAGCCGTCGTACTCTCCTACCAGCGGCTTGAGATGCGGGAAACAGTGCTCAGCAGATTGTGTCGACTGCTTGACGTTGTTTATACTCGGTATGCCTTCGACGATGTTTCCTTCGGATACAGTTGGCTCCTGGGGAGCTGTGAAGTAGTCGAATTGAACCTCTGGCAGCTCGTCTGATAGCTCGTCGCGAGTTCCGTTGTATATTTCTGCGGCCGGGTTACCTCCGAGCTTTACCCCGTTGACGATTGGCTTGAGGGCTTCGGTCATACGGGTCGAAGTGTTTGGGTTGATTATGAGGAGCCTGTAAGGGGCTCTGTTTGAGGCCATCTTGTGGGTGGCAGAAAATTACTCTGGGCCTCAACTTTCGGTGAAATGCTACGATGTTGGGCAAGGCTCGAGATATCTATTTGTTCCTTTGGGCCGCAGCCTATCTCTGATGATGGCTGATCTTCATGCTCCATAGCTAACTACCCGATGTGCTCTGCCGGCTTCAGTTCGATATAGATCGGCCCACTTGGGATCGTGAATGAAACGCACGCGAGCAACAGGAGAAGCATTGCCATTTATTAACTATGTATAGGCTAACCTCACTTCTGCTTAGGCTTGAACAGCGCGGCCTTCGTATCATATGTATATTTCAGATCCAGATGCCAATAATTCGCCGTAGTAGCCTTCGCGACCATCCACGCCTCGTCAAGCGCAGCAAGAACCTCATCTGGGAGCGGCCCCTTTTCCAGCTCGTCCAGGTTTTTCTCAAGCTGCTCATAGCTGCTCACGCCAATAATGATCCCGTCGGTTCCGTCTTTGATGTTCAGAGCAGAATGATGCATCACCCAACGGAATGCTATCTCAACCAGACTCAGCTTGTGCTTTTCAGCGACAGGCTCGATAATTCTTAATGCATCGAACACGGAGTCTTTGAAGTATCGGCCCCGGTAAAGTTGTCCTCCCGAGTGGACGTCACTATATCGACCTTCTGCGGGGACATCGGCGGATTTATACTTGCCAGATAGGATTCCTCCAGCTAGCGGGTTATATACGACAATGTCCATTCCATACCGCTTGCAGCAAGGTATCAATTCAGCTTCAATTGATCGAGCTGCATTAAAAAAACATACATCAGCTTCAGCTAGTCTTCAACAAGAGAGGATCCGCAGCTGGGAGGTCACTCACTGATAGCATTATACATGGCCTGGTAGATTGTCGGCCGAACCCATCCTCTCTCATTGCACATGGTGACAATCTCCGCAACCTCAAATGCGGTGTAATTGCTCAATCCCAACTGGACAAACTTCCCTTCGTTGTGCAAATCATTAACCGCCTCCAGCGTTTCTGAGAACGGCACAGACCGATCCGCGGCATGCAGATAGAAGATATCGACGCAGTTGGTCTGCAGCTCCCTCAGGGACTCTTCGAGCTTTGCCCGGACTTCGGCTCCCTTGTGCGCCCCGGGAGTTCGGGGATACCATTTCGTCGCCAGCTTGAAGCCGCGCTCTTTCCAGCCAGCTTGAGCCGTGAATGCCTCTTGCTTTCCGGCAGCGTAGACTCGCGCAGTGTCGAGTTCATAGTATCCCCTCTTCATGAAACAATCGAGACATCGCTTAAATTCGTCAACAGTTGTTATGCGGCCCATATCTTTCTCGTCTGGACCGAAAGTCATAAGCCCCAGGACCACCCGGGGCTTCCCTGTTGGTACCACAAGAGGCATAGTTGAGAGCAATTGACGCTGGTCAGTTATGAAGGAGGGAATGAAGGGTTGGCCTGGGTTTATCGACGAGGGGGCGGGGTTTTTATACGCATGCTCCTGCCCGGTTATATGCCATGCGAAGCTTCTCTTCAGCAGGGTATGATTGAGTCAGAATTAGAGTCTAACTCGTATTCCCTGGCCTGCTTCATCGGTGTACAGTACTGACTGGCTATATAATTACTAATTGTTTACCTGTAGGTTCTTAGCCATATCGTATCACCACGGAGTTTTTCGTATGAGCTTCGTACTGTGAGCTACGAGATCGATCACTGAATGGCGATTTCTCGGATATGCTAGCTCTGTAGTAGATATCCAGCATGCCGAAGTCTTGTCGAATGGTGATGTTTGTATACTCCGAGCCCTGTGAGGATACAAGATGTGACGTCATTCGTCTATATCAATGGCATCGACATGGAAACGCTTCAAATGAGAAGATGAAGGAGATGAAGATGAAGATGAAGCTGTCAAGGATGGCGTCTGTAGTACGCCGACCTCTGCTCCCTGGCCTCCAACCAGCTTTATCTCCTGTTACGAGGACTTGGTTGGTGTAACTGGTCACCAGTGGCTTGCAGACGCTTCATCCTGGAATCGCATCTGGACGACGCCACGGCTGTCTCTGTACGAGGGACCATCGATAAATCTCCAGACTGCTATTCATAGCCGCCATGATGACCATGACAAGGTAGACAGACAGCCCCTGACGCCGACCTGGTGATCGATCAGAGAGTCTCCTGGACTGCTATAAGCATGTATGTAAGCCACCACGAGGCCGTACGACAACACAACGGCCTCGATATCACCAGCTCAGGGGTGAAGAAATGCCGGATACTCGCACTATCGTATCTAGTGGAAATGTCTTTTGAGGCTTGCATCCTCTTTGCTCTCAAACACTTGTCCTTTTATCAAAAGGCGTGGTCTTACATAAGCGTTAGGGGCAACTTCTTCGGCAGTTCCAGATTCGTCGTCATCGGCTTCATTTTTGTCTTGAGCAACAACATCGAACATCGAACACTTTCAGCGTCAAGAGACAGGAGAGAACCTCATGTGTCTCTGACTGAATACCGCATCACGCGTGCTACGTTCCGGTCTCTACCCACACCGACTCCTGTCCCGGTGCCACAGATACAGCTGGCAAGTTACGAGGCGCATCGGAGGCTGCATTTGTTTTTTGGTTGTTCGCGCAACCGTCCAATGTCACAGGCGCTTCACGACTGGACGTGAGCCGCAAGGCCATCAGCCTATCATAGCGAGAGAGAGGGAAAGAGAGTGAGAGAGACACAGGAAGGAAAGAAAGAGGCGGAGCGAGACGACAGGATTCCTACTCCCTTTTGTAGGGTTCCGCATGGATGTCACCACAAAGTTCCAACCAGCCAGTTCATATTTCTAATATTCATCGGGACGAAGACGGGTTTAGCAGGTCGGATTCCGAACGACGAAGCTCGCTTTCTCGCCGCAGAGCAGCAGGATCCAGCACGGTTTCTTCCAGCACCGATATCCGGCTACGGGAGTTGAAACCAGCGCACAATTCGACGACTCTCTTTTCTGCAGACGACGGTCACATCAGGGGGTATAACTCGGCAGAGGAAGACTCGGATGGAGACATGGCGATCGAACGCCCCAGTATGCAACGACCGGGTGAGAGTCGGTCCAAGGTACCGCTGTTGAAGGGTGAAAGCCGAGGGCGGTCATCGAGTGTTGGGCCAGCCAGCATGGAAGAAGGACGGCCTTCTATCGCCCGAGCAAGACCGAGTCTTAGAAGCAGGAGTCCAGACTTCGATGCAAAGAATGCTACAAGGAAAAAGTACATGATTGCTGCCTTTGCCCTGGTTATCAGTCTTATCAGCTTTACGGTTCAGACCCAGACTGCCGTCTATATTCAGCAGGAGTTAGGATGGAACAAGCCGTATTGCATGCTGTGAGTTATCCCGAGGCTACTCTTTCTCGTTTAATACGTTGCTAACGGTTCATCCTAACTATTTAGCTACCTTACACACGGCTCGTGGATCTTTCTATGGCCGATACAGCTTCTCATTCTTCGAATACAAAAGCGACATCTCAAGTGGCCTGCCTTTTGGCGTAGACATGTTTTTATTTTGCGAACCACGGCACAGATGGTTGAAACCCAGGACTTGCACCTCACCACCCGCGAATCGAACAAGTCTCCGGTCCCTTACATGGTCAAAACGACCGTCTTCGTCGCTTTGGCTCTCACCATAGCCGGTGGCTCATGGTACGTCGCCGTCGACCTGACCACCAGTAGCGACTTGACGGCCATCTATAATTGTTCTGCCTTCTTTGCCTACGCATTCTCGATCCCACTACTTAAAGACAAACTACGATTCGACAAGGTCTTTTCTGTTTGTGTTGCCATTGTTGGAGTTATCATTATTGCATATGGGCCCGGTGGGCCTCCGGAAGGTGCACCTGCGGAAGGCGCTGATACACTCAAGGCATCAAATCGGGCGCTGGGGAATATCATAATTGGCGTTGGAAGTGTCCTTTATGGGTTATACGAGGTTTTGTTTAAACGGTTTGCTTGCCCGCCGGAAGGGACAAGCTCGGGACGAGGAGTCATTTTTGCAAATGCATTTGGAAGCATGATCGGTCTATTCACGCTTCTTGTTCTTTGGATTCCACTGCCACTCCTACATATTCTCGGTTGGGAAACATTCGAACTGCCACGGGGCGAAGCTGCGTGGCTCCTGGTCATTTCTACTCTCTCAAATGCTAGTACGTATAACTTTGCCAACGGAATTCTCTGCCTCTTTATACGCCATATATACTAACTACTTTCCTTTTTTTAGCTTTCTCCGGTTCATTTCTTGTTCTTATATCTCTTACCTCGCCAGTCCTGTCATCCGTCGCCGCACTTCTCACAATATTCTTGGTCGCTCTTGTTGACTGGAAATTCAGCCATAAGGAATTGGGCTTCACTTCCATCGTCGGTGGAATACTGATCGTCGTCGCCTTCCTCCTTCTAAGCTGGAGCACATATCGTGAGCTAGACGAAGAACGGAGGAAGCGATTGGAAGACGACGGGCCTGATTCTGAATCCGACGAGTGAATTTTCTGATTAACGACCAGCACAACTTTGAGCCATGGGAAGATGTGCAATATAGTTCGTGGATATATTTCTATATCTTACCAAGGTCTATTCTTCTCCTATATGTTGATAGATTTTTTGGCCCCCAACCTTCCTTTCTTCTTTGTATAACTTGGAATATGTTTATTTGACTCGTAAGGAAGCGAGTCATGAGCGGCACTCTGATATCTCAAGTCGTCTTTGTATTTCTATTATGGTCTACTTTCTTTCTACTAGACGGCTACACCTCCAGGTCTTTAACGGTTAATATGTTCTCTCTCTTTCATTTCTTCAATCGGGCATACAACAAAGAGGCAAGTTAGTATATGTTTTAAGCTGATAGCCTCTATCTCCTTACCGAGTTAGAACTTGGACCATGTTCCAATTCCTACCTAATAATGACATGCTGATCTGATAAACGGATAAACAGGCTATTTCTTAGTTGGTCATGAAGTACGTGATCCGTCAAACGAAGATTAATCTTGGTATATACTGATTTATCTCGGTCCCAGCTTCTCCAGCGCCCTTGTGCCCTGTTCCTCCCATTCTTGTTTTGAGATCCACATATTGTCCTTATCGGCGAGCTACACAGTTAAGAGCCAATGGTTAGTTTAAGAATCTGAGATGATGGATTGAATTGATGCCTAAACCTACCAAGTTTGCGAGGACAGCACCGCCCAGGAAGACCATATGTCGTCTTCGTGGAGGATCTTCGATACGAGGTTTAAATTTCTATTATGTTGGTCAGTAACGCTTACGAACCCCCAGACGCGGAAGATGGGCCCGTCTTACCTCTAGTCGCTCTGGGTCGCCATGTAGATTCCTGGTCAACCACAGCTGCTTCAACTCCTTTTCTAATCGTGACGGTAGGCCGGGATACATGCTGCTACCACCACTAAGAACAATAGCTTTGTACAAGCTGCTTCTGACATCGACGTCAGCCGCCTGGATGGTGTTAAATAATAATTCGGCAATACCCGGCTGGTCGACATCGACAAGGTGCGGCTGGAAGAGACACTCGGGGGCCTCGAAGCGCTCGCTTCCAACCCTTATCACTCGTCCGTCTGGGAGGGTGTATGATTCTACCAGTACGGTAGTGTCTTCGGAAAGACGCTTGTCAAGTTCCAGATCGTATGAGACGTAACAGAGCTTTTCTTTGATTTGGCGGACGGTCTCGAAGTCTGCGGTTCGATTGAGGGCGTAACCCCGACGGAGGAGCAGGGCGATGAGGTTACGGGTTACATCTCGACCCGCAACATCAAGTCGACGTGTTAAGTGGTTTAGGACTGTAGATTCATAAACAGGAATAACGTGTGTTACGCCATCACCAGAGTCAACCACGACACCACTGCTCAACCCTATCACCACCACATTAGCATTGGGCCGTAAGCACCAAAGAATCGAACAAGATAGGTGCAATCACACCTTGAGCGTAAAGTGCTAGGACAGCTTGAATGGCAACATATACGCCGCCAAAATTGTATCCTTCAAACATAGTCTCACACATCTTCTCGCGGTTTCGTAGCGGGTTCATTGGAGGTTCGGTCAGGAGGATCTTTCGGCCAGTCGGGTCGATCTTCATCTTATCGTAAAAAGTGTAGTTCCACAGGTGTTGCATGTCTTCCCAATTCTTCACAATTCCGTTTTCCATCTACAAGCCGGCGTTAGGAGTATGGTCAGGCAGCAGGGTATCAACACACGCGGGTTCGGGCCATACAGGATAAGAAATCTGAAGCATGGACCTGGCAGCAGCAGCCTCATCTCCGCACATGATATCCTTGACTACTATATCGCCAGCCTGCTCTTCCGTTCGAAGGATTGGACGTCCCACTATCGAGGGAAACTGGTGCTCTGGGAAGTTCTGGAGTGCGGGGAGGTATACAGTTAGCAACCACCGTCCTCCCATATCAATGGACGCCATATCGAAGAGCACTCTACCTGCGCGGCATATCCGACTTTCAAAAATCCCGTTCCGCCATCGAGAACTGCGATATACCAGCGTTAACAACGGAGGACTTATGCGATGTCATGCTAGGAGGGGCCTATTACCGATGGGAGGCTCCGCCATTTTCTAGAGCGTGCGGAGATATCTGTGCTTCCGGGGCCGGTTGTTCTAGCTGTAGAGCAGTGATACGACGGGTAGCAATGCCAGGCAGCCCTCGCTGGGTTGTTTCTAAGCCGTTGATCGTGTGGACTGCGCGATGTTCGACCTGAAGTCTACAAGTTGCGTAGTAAACGGACTCTTGGCTCGGTGTACGTTATAGGCCCGATCTGGTTTAGCGTCACATAAGGAACTATTTCACTGATTTCGACATTGTTTATGATAGAAGAACAGAGTAGATATCCGTTAATGACACTAGACTGTGTATTTGGCTAGGTATCTGTATAGCTAACACTGATGTATATTGCATGCTGAACTCCAGAATTTGATCGACGTATACCCCCAACTCCCCCGCTCAAAGCGTCAAAGACGACATAAAAAACCAAGCACACCACTCGAAGACATGTAAGAGTACAAACAAAAAAAAAGGGAATAGAAGAATGTCAAGCGCTGTTGCTTCGACCGCTGCTTTTATGGTTCACTTCAGGCACGATTCGGGTTGTGTCAACCAGATGGGGGTATGTGGTCGCAAATAGCGTCCCAAGGGACCAGTTATTCAAGTCGCGAAGATGCCTTTCGAACACCGGGTTTATTATTAGCTCGTCGGAGTCGGTGGTGGCCAGTAAGGTGTCGGTTGGCTCGTAGGGCCAGTTGAGGCTGAGCCCTGTCGTGTACGGAATGAACCAGTTGGAGAAATCGTAGTCGGCATAAGAAGCGACCATACGATCACGCATACGCGGCCATGGCAAGTAATCCAGCCACGCTGCATGGGGGGTGACGATTTGCGATGTCCTCGGTGTGATCCATTCGGGGAGACGATCGTAGTTCTCGCGCGTCGGGTATATTTGCCATCTCATGAGAAGGAACATGACGTATAAAACAGCGACTTGTTCCGGTAGGTTGGAGATGTTGGGGAATTTACTGAGAATGTCTGTAAACACTTTTGAGAGTGGGTGTGAATAGATGCCCTTTGCAGGGTTGAGAAGGGAGGAGACGCTCGGGTAAGGAGGGCCGACTAGCTGTTGATTCGGAACCCCTTCAGCTGCCTCACGCTGACGGGATCGAAGGAAGTCGAGTAGGATACCATCGAGCGGACAGGTAGGTTCGACATTTCGGATTGGTGCCGCGTACGGGCACATGGCAGAGTCGTTAAACGAGGGATTGTTCAGACGGCTGTTGTATGTTAGGGAGACATTGATTGATGGAGAACTAGAGTTTACTCGAAACTCGTTGATCCTTGGGACATTCTGGGACGACTCCAGAAGAAAATTAAAGCCTAGTCTCTCTCCATTACCCGAAAGCTCGAGGTTATGCGTAAGGTTCCGTTTCTGATAGTCGAATAGTTGATTATGCGATGGCCAGCCATGGTCCGCACTGCGAGGGATGGGAGAATTCTGTTGCCAGTTCTGTAGATGGCCCTGTGCTTGGCCAGATGCCGACGGAGGAGACGGGCTCACACTCGCCGCAGGAGAACCGCTATAGGTTGTACCGCTGCCATTCATAGACTCGAGGCTCGCAGGATTCCGTAAACGTCGTTCGGCAGGCCCGTTGGGTAGGCCATGCTGAGAATTCTGGTCTGACTGGGCCGGTGGAGATAGTGGGATATTCGTTTGGGGACTGGGACCGTTCATGTTGGTGGTAGGGATATCACTATGCGGGCTTGGTGGTACAGTCGCTGCTGGAAGACCTGAGTGGTCGAGTATCGGCTGGATGGTGGCCATGATAGTAGCCAGTCTCCGTTTGATCTCTGTATTCTCTGCCTGTAGTATATGTTTTTGCCGCAGTGCATCTTGTAGGTCCTGATACGGCTGCAGCGACGTCAATTCCCGCACTCTCTGTTCCAGCACCTCTATCTGCGTGCGCGTCCTCTTTCTGATCGCCCGTTGTGCCTCCCTATCGTTTGCTCGTTTCTTCGCCAGTTGCTCCGCCGTGAGATTAGCAACTCCTCGAGAGGACGTGTTCGTTCGTTTCTTCCCAGGCAACGCAGGCCCGGTTGCGCCGGGGCCGGGGGAATTAACGCATTCCTGCTTCACCGAGGGCGAGTTGCAACTCGAAAGAGTCTCGGAGGCGGGCGAATTGTTCTGAAGCGAGGGTGACGCCTGTCCGGCCATGGTGCTTCACCCTTCGCCGTAAAGAAAGGCAGGCGACCAAAACTGCGGTAGTTTGAATCGTTCGGTTTTTCTCCCCGCGCGTCAACAGTAGGTAATGCACGACGCCTAGGAGAAAAGGAGGAGGCAATTGCGACTTGGCTGGCGGAGTTTGGAGATACCAGCTAGACGGCACGAAGAAGAGAATAACCGGGGAGGAATCAGGCTAGAAGGTTCCCCCTGATCTTGTCCGGTACGGTCTGCCAACGATTCCGTTCTTTTTTTTTTTATTCTATCGTTCTTTTTTTTAGCCAACGGTACGTGGCCGTGGCTCAGGGAAGATGGACTGCGGCCCTCCGTCAACCTTTTGGGAGCGAAAGGCGCTTTATGGTCGAGTCCAGGGATGGACGGGTTGTCTCCATGATTGGCCTTGCTAGAGCGCCACCGTTGAGCTGGGGTACTTAAATATGAGCGCTAGGGGGCTGTGGCCGGAGGACGCTAGCTGAGTCTGCAGAACTGAAGCAGCACGAATCGCAGGAGACGTCAAGCCCGGATTTACTTCGCCTAATATACGCCGTATGTCGTAGAGATGTCCGATACAGGTTGCTACATAATAAGAGGCTGCAGTGGTTGAAGGATTTTGTTTGATAAAGTACCTCGTACTCCGTATGGACGGGTACATCCCTGGCGTCCGCGTATGTTGCGATAAACGGTTGACGTCGCCGGCTGATTCTATCAAAAGCCATGCCAGGGATTCCTCCCGCCGAACATGGGGTGTGGGGTGTAGGTGTGGGTGATGATGGCGAGGCCCTAGCGGTAACCCAAAGCTGTGATTCCTGGCAGAGCAGCCCGGTTTTGATCACAATCTGTTCCGACCAGGATCAGCGTGGGAGTTGCCTGTCGGCTTCCTGTTGATTGGAGTATTCTCGTCTTATCGGGGGAGGAGGGTTGGTTCGAAATTGAATAATAGGCTCCGTATAGAAAAGGAATTAGTGCGATGCTACAGAGTACCCCTAAGCAATAAATGCCCCAAGCCATTCGCAGAAACGACGAATAGGGACCATCTAGCGGCCTGCTGATCGTGCTTAGCTGCTGTCGACCCACCGTCCTGCCGGCTTTGCGCTACATCTCGAATTGGTCAAATTTCGAGCGTTCCGACCTGCGGTGCGAGGACGCACTTTAGGGCGCTGCCCATACCTTTTACCCGATTTGTCGTAGGCGGGCCGGACTAACCACCCATCCCCCAGCGGCCCAGACTGCACGATTCAATTTGTTATGCCGTCAGCCTCAATTGTCTGGGCTGCATGCGATAGCTTAGGCTATTATTAGCAACGGTTGGTGTGCCAATCGCCTGTTCCCAGGGCCGTGAAACCGGGTTGTAGTCTGGTCTAGTCAGGCGCTGAATGTGCTACTCGAAGCGCTGCCACGAGGTAACAAACATGTTCATAACAGGAACTCTGGAATAGACGTGTCCATGCCAAGCTCATCTAACCAGCTGAGAAAGCTTTCGCCTGTCCCAATCGATATTCCATTGGTGAGATCGTTACCGAAAGGTTCAGGGTGTAACGTTTGTGCCCCAACATCGTAGGGCTTAGTGTTTCCCACAATAGCATCAGCGTCTACTCTCGGTCCTTCAGAGGAGACAGCGTGTGCGGCGACTGTCTCATTACCTCCGATTCGGCGTCGAGAAGTGCCAGGCTGGTAGTTCAGAGTGTCGTCCAATAACTTGTTAATAGCTTTACTAACTTCCACGCATGCATTGTGGGTGACGTTCAGGGAGAGGTCTGTGCATTCAAACCACGAAACAATGGTGCTAAGGTTACGTATTACCTCAGATCGAGGCGCGGTAGACGATAGGGGGGTCTCCGTTATCGTGCATCGATGTAGCTCGGTCGCTAGGACGCCTGCCGTTGGCAAAGCGTACAGTAGGAACTACGAAATTTATTAATGCACAGGCACTCAAAAACAAAACCATACAATATTTACAACGGGAGAGAGGGGATTGCATGAACTTACAACCCAGGCAAAATGTTTCCAAATTTTGTTACCCTTTTTCTCCCCTTGTTTTGTAAAGTCAATCACAGCTGAAACGGCCTGCATCGACGTATCCAGGAGATCCCTTACAGGGCCCTCGTTTTCACGGCAGCGAATTCGTTCAATCTGGAAAATTGTGTGAATGCACTCAAGATAGATGACAAGGCTCACAATGCATATGACTGGATCAAGTATTTCCCAGCAGTTTGGACGATAATGGAACCATCCAGGGACCCCGTCCCACATCTGTTTGCATTCTTGGTATGTTTCCCTATTACATATGTTAAATATTGATTGTTTAAAGTGATATAAATAAGAGACTTACTGGAGGTCGTTTGAGAAATTAGCTCCTTTTCGTCCAAGCGATAGTCTCAGAACTTTCTCTCTCAAGATTGAGGAGATATAACGCAGCCTGATTGCAGTTGCAGCACGCATTTTGCCGTCAGAAACACTCCCGGAATTCCATCCATCATGGGTTAGTTTCTGGAGAACTGTTTCAAGCGCATCTCCGTCAAGAAAAAGGTCTTCGTCCTCGATATCTAGCGGAAGAGATACATCACAATAGTGGTAAGGAAGGCGTGGGGGTCGACCCAAAAGGGTGGCCATGGTTTTATCTGCGCGGTAAGTGGCTGCGACTAATCTTTTGCGAACCTCTGAAAGGAAAAAAGGCACGTCCGTATCTGGTGGTTTGTATCGGTGCAGCCCCATCCCGTAGATATCAGTAACCAAGTCGCCCACCACTGCATACACATGGTGACCTAATAGTTCATTAATCACTGCTCACTTCAACACGGGACTTCATAGGCGGTATAATTACTCGTTTCTCCCAATACTTCGGATGCAAGCACCGCATAAATGTAATGTAGCCATATCATTATGTCATTGCAATTATCATAGCGTTTGCACAGCTGCAAGCAACTATTAGCTGAAGCAGCCATCTCTTTTGCAAATGCTTCTTCATCCAGGGGCTCTCTTTTATAAGTGCAAAGCCCGGTAGAGTGGAAAGGCTCTGAAAGGACACTCAATCCGACCAATGAATAGATCACCCCGACAAATTCCCACCTAAGGTTTTCGCCCGAAAATAGAGAGGTAAAATCTTCTAAGGAGGTTCCGGAAACATGAAGCGAAACTGCTGTGTTTTGTGTAATTTTGGCATAAAGTTCACGTCGCCGCGACTCCTGAAGCCAGCCGTTGGAATCCAGATAAGCTCTGGTGGCTCGTAGCGGGTCGAGGACTAGCCGTATAGGGAGGAAGGGGAGCAGACATGATTTATAATATGTTACGATCAACTCCTCATACAGATCGAACGCGGAAAGAAGTCGTGTCAAGTTGAGCTCTGTATGGGCTACGTCATAACCCCATCGGCCCAAGTCCACTTGAGGTGATATAAGCGAGCAGCTGGAGAATCCAGAAGGCGTTTCCTGGAAGACGGATAAGAAGCTCGTTGATCCAAGATAGGCATTCTGGATAGTCGTGCCACCATCCGCGTCCTTCTCCTCAGAGGTCCCTGGGTATGTACGGACATTTTCGGGATAAGAAACGCGTCGCCTTACAATGTCTGCCCTAGGAATAGTAGATATCTGCGGCTTAGTGACTCTATCGCGGTTCTTTGGGCCAGCCCGAGTCAATGGCGCCTCATGATAGTAGCACTAGAATATCCAGTTAACATTATATACTTTCAAAAATCCACAAGTCTACCACGATAATCCTTCCTACCTTGGCCGCAATGCCTCGTTTCTCGCATCTTCGACAGATGGGTGTTATATGGTCACACCTGACTTTGGAGATGCGACATGGCTCGCAGGACGTAGGCTTTCCGTTCTTTCGGAACATGCTAACTTGGGCCACCGGGGCCACCACGCTAGAAGGGGTAGGAGTTAAGCTCTGCATCTTTTGTCCCAGCGTGTTTCTCCATACAAATCGTCTACGCGCCAGCTTCGAGATAGAAGAGCGAAGGATGGAGGCTGGGGCAGCGACGAAAGGAACCTCGGGACCTGTCATGTGACTACTTATGCCAAGCATTGGCATCTAATCTTATCAATCTTTGCTTTTTCTCCAACAACCTCCTACTTCTACTTCTACTTCTACTCTACCTCTTCTTCATCGTCATCTTCATCTTAGACTATTGATATATCCATACATGGTATTCACAGTGCGGAGTGCTGGTGGATATCTAGCCCTATGTGCTTACCCGTATTCCACATGTGTGGTGTGTCTGGAGTTGGTGATAGCTCTCCAACTTTTCTTGCAATATTTAGTTGGCAAAGTTCTCTCCTTGTTATCTCTCCTTGCTACCTCTCCTTGGTATCTCTACACTCATCCGCCGCCTTGTTCGACACTCCCATGCTACACTAAAGAAATCATCGCCTGCCACGCCGTCCGTAGAATGTCGTATAGAATCCTCCAAACCCTCACGATGCGCGCGCCGTCCTGGGGCTGGGTCATCTACCGCTGTTCCTACAAGGACGAGAAGCTATGGACCAACTTCCTCTCCGAATGGGATAAAGCCATCCACGAATCCATTTTCCATTTCGATGAAGAAAAATATCTCCCATCAATGGATCTGAAAATAGTTGAAGATCCTTCTCTCGAGGGCGCTAGCAAAGAGTCCATCTGCGAACGTCACTACGCCTGGGCAAAATCCGTCGGATGCGCCGTCGACTGGACCAAAGAACATAGCGAGGAAAATAATTACTTCCCTTCGCCTCGCCATCAGTTCGCTGTCCAAGTCGACGAAGGCGCGTTACAGAGCGCGTGGGACCACCGTGGAAAGCCTCCGGGGGAAAGTGTAGGGAAATCCTACGCCAATCTGCTGTTTGCAACGAAGTATATGGGCAAAGAAGCTGCTGGGGAGAGATCTGGGGATCGTCCCTGGGTGAACAACCGGTGGTGGATGAGGTTGGAGCTGTATGGGTTGCCTGTATATGCGTACCACGAACTGACCAGGTCTACCAGGTGGTATTGGGTGTATCAGGAGCCACCGCAGATAGCAGGGCCCCATGGTGATGATTAGATGTGTATTTTACTCTTTTACTATTCGATAACCTATGGTTGATAGGACCATCATAACCGCTTCGAAAGGATACATCCTGGGGTGGATGAACGCTCGCTTTATTTGAGGGGGGGGTGCCAATCGCCATGGGCTCGCGAAGAGCAGGTTGCAATATCGTGTAAACTTGACGGTTTCTGGGTATCATGCTGCGGTCGCCTGTCGGCGGGTGACCAGTGGGTATTGTGGATGGGTGGTTGGGGGTGAGGAGGGTGAGGCAAAGGGGGAGGATGAGGGTGAGGACGGGGTGAGGTTATAACGGCAAGCCTCTCACACTAATCCAGAGAGGGAAAATCCCTATCTCCCAGTAACTACCTAGGTAATGCAGAGCCCGGAGACATCTCGGAGCGTTTTATGCAGCGCCCCAGCAGGCTCCAGGTTGGCTGATTTTAGCCCTACGATATCGACTCGTGCCTTTAGTGGCGTACGAAGGATCAGTCATACAGTAGGTGTAACGTCGATCGCAACTTTCGGCTGTTGGTAAGAAATTATCAACATCATGCCTATCTTCTATCAGCCATACATCAAAAGAGTTAGAACTACGCATTAAATAGATAGGTCTCCTGATCTCGACATGTATATAATAGAAAATTAGCAAGTTTGGTCGATAAATGTATTTATCGAGATGACTTATGTGGGGGTTGGCTACTTGTTGGATAAATAAGCCAGGGTGACGCCGCAGTCATGCAGTCTGGATGGTTTGTTTGAAAGCTTCAAAGGTACCTAAACCATCCATCTAGACGTAGCTAGTCCTTACGTATACAGAACAATAACAATGGGATATTAATAATGTTCCTCGGAGACAATTGGAATGTCTCCGGGGTTTGGAGATAGGATGTTGGGATGTATAAAAAGCTCACATACGCCCGCCTAATCTTGAGTACTTCATACATAGCAATCAGCTTCAACGTCCCATCTCATCTCGAAAATCAATATATCATACACCCCCATTTTGAGTATTACTTTGATATTGGATACCCAGCCATGTCTGAACATCAGCATCATCACCACCACCACCACGGCCATGACCACGGCCACAGCCACGACCATAGCCATAACCATACCCAGATCAACGGGGAGTACTGGAGGTATGCATAACCCATCATACGCCTCCAGCTCTATCATAAGTCGACGGGTTACTAAGAGTATACAGTTCCGCCGCAGCCACTACATTCGATCAAGACTGGGTGGTTGCTTGTCAAAGGCAGACCCTCGAGCACCTAAGGGAGAACTTGTCCTGGTTTGGTGTGAGAGAGGGCTCCTCAAAGGATGACCAACCTGAGCGGAAAATGATGGACTATGCTTGTGGTGAAGGATATATCTCACGAGTAAGTGGAGGCCATACTTCTTGACTTAGACCTAGCTAATCAGATACTCAGTTCTTCACGACTTATTTCTCCAAATGTATTGGAGTCGACGTCGCTCCCGGCATGGTTGAGAGATTCAACCAAACAGCTCGCAAGGAGGGATTCCCAGAAACTCAGCTGTACGCTGTTGAAGGCAACCTGACAGAATCAGAGGTATCTCCATCCCTTGCAAAGGAGGAGTTCTTCAACTTCGACCTCATCATCATTGCCATGGCGTTGCATCACGTTGCAGACCCGCAGGCGCTGGTCAACCGGCTCGTCGAGCGCCTCAGCCCAGGTGGCGCTGTTGTCGTCGTTGACTGGGAGAAGGAAGATGATAACAGCACCTTTAACCCAGGGAAGCTTGACCATCCTGCCGCCCGTACGGTGGCGCACGTTGGGTTCAACAAGCAGGAGATGAACGATATGTTCAGCAAGGCCGGATGCAAGGACAGTGATTATACGCTGATGAAGGAGCAGCTAGTCGTTCCATCGGCCTGGGGTGATAAGAAGACTCTCTTCTTTGCAAGGGGAAGGAAATGATAAGAGATGTGCCTTTTAGTTGGAGTATATCAGATATTCATTCTCATATCTATGGCGACCAGATGATTAGATTTATTACAATTTTGGAAGGCGTCCTGAATTAGGAAAACTAAGAGATCTAACATTGAGTATATGGATATCCTGGTGTATATAATCGGATCATGGTATACATGCACAACGAAACCCTTGAATGGAAAAATGGGCATCAATTGGAAGAAAACATTTATAGGTTCATCGACACGTAAAAAAAAAGCCAAAAAAAACACAAGCATCGGGAAAGAAAGAAGAAAAAAACGCTGGAGTTCAATGGAAAGGCGCTTGAGAACTGGTTTTGGGAATAGTTTGGCGTATATAAAGTAGATGTGTCATGTAGTGCAGACTATTGAAAGTTGGCGTGGGAAATACGATATTTGATTTATTCAATCATATGGCCCATCTTTCCAATCTATAATGATAAAACGTCCACTGGTTAGCAGCTGTCAGTCAAGTATTCCACCACGAGGCCTAGACTCACCTTGGTCCTAAGATATCCTTCAATCTCTGCACTCTTTATCCCCCTGGTACCGCCCGTTTTCCACGCGAGTGGTACCATCGGAACCCTCTCTTTGACAACAACCTCTCGGTTCAGACCCTCCACCGCCGCAATTTTGTCAGGATTGTTAGTCAACAGTCGGATCCCACCGTTCGACGAGTCCTCCCCTAGTCCCAAGTCAACGAGAATGGCAGTTGCAAGACCGTAGCTGCGTGCGTCCGCGGGATGTCGGAGGAGCAGGTTGGCCTCTACGGTATCTGAGCCCAGGTCCTGCAGGTTGTATGCCTTGAGTTTCTCGCCCAGACCGATCCCACGCCCTTCCTGACGCAGGTACACTATCACACCGCCCGGCCCCGAGGCGTTGGCATCAGCGTTGGGTGTGGCGGCTTCGGAGGACGCGGACGTGGGTTCGGACATCAGTCGTGCGGCTTCGTCTAGCTGTTCGCCGCAATCGCATCGTGCTGACCATGCGGTTTCACCGGTGTAGCATTCCGAATGAATCCTAACCAGCGGCGCCTGTGATGGTGACCGAACTGGAGTCTCTGGTGTCAGAGGCATCGATGACTCCGGTACTGTGCTCTTGACACCATTGTCCGCGTTCGTAGCCTCGTCATAGCGACTGCTTATCCGTCCCGGCCGTAGTCTGCCAACGTACGCACCCCTGATCATACGGTCCATCTCGGTCTCTCCGTCCCGCACCCGGTCGAGACTACGGCTGCGGATCGTATTGCCAAACACAATGGCTAGATGTTCCTTGTTATCGGCGTCGTTCTGGTAGAGATGCAGGAACATCTCTGCGCCGGTTGTGGTTGGTATGCGTGCGCGAACAATGCATTCTACCTTCGGGAGATGCGGCAGTAGCCTCGGCGGCTTGGAGGGTATGTGTCGCACCGCAGTGCCAGGCTGTGGAGAGAGAATGGAGGGATAGTTGCTGTTGCTGCTGCTGCCGGCTCCGGGGGTGGATGGAGGAGTGAAGGCGGGGGATATTATAGAGGACGGCAAGGCGGGAGTCGAGGAGGGATTGGGGGTGGTATAGTCATCGTGATCAGTGCGTGTGCTGGTCCTGTCTTCTACATCCGAGCCGGCAGGGCCATCTCTGCTCTCTGGGGGTATACTCCGGGGCGTCGACTCGTGTGTCAGGGAATATTCGCTGACTCGCTGGTGGGCGTGGATGGGGCGCGGGGCGATGAACGGTGAGGCTTGGGCTGACGGCGAGGGCATTGTGAGGTCGCCGCATGAAAGTAGGATGCTGTCGAGGAGTAAACCGTCTTCCAGGGAGCGCTGGCTGTTATTATGTTGTTATTATCTTCTTCTCCGTCGGCGATGTCTCTTCGGGCTGCGCGAAAGAAGGACGAGAAGCCTCGGCCGCCGTGGTCGCTGAGTAATCACCGACACCGGATGATATAATCATGACATATCACGTGTATATATGCTTATTAATGCGGCCTACGGCTTACATAACATGATACGGATACAGCCTATCAACACTTTATACACAGTCCTAAGGGCTGGACGAGAGGTAGGATTCATTAACATACGGACCTAATCTATCTCTTTGTTCTTTTATGTGCTCATCTGGCAGTGTGCGGGTAATGGATGGAAACGTTTCGGTCGTTTGGATGAGAAGCCTGTTGATAGTCTGTTAACAAAGTGGTATACAGGGAGCTACAGAGAGATCGCGAACGTAAAACGAGGCCATCTAGGTGCCAACAGTTTTGAAGAGGTATTGTTGGAGTTTCCGCCCGAATTTGAAAACACCAAATCACTCTGCAGAGAGCTGCGACGGATTTTATTCTCTATGTATAGGGGTGACTTCTTTTTGGGGACGCCGGTACAGGAGGAACTTCTCTATGGCCCAATCCTCGAAGCATTCGACAAGGCAATTGAGGACCAGATAAACTAGCCTAAGCATCGTTATTCTGTACCTTGTCCAAGCTTACTTTATACCCTCGGCCTTTGTTAAACCGGACGATTCTCGCCTGAGACTTCATAAGTATAGAGTCAGTCGTTTTAGACATCCTTATAGAGGCCTAAACTGGCCTACGCATGATTATTGTCTACCTTGTTTACGCTTTATACCTCTTTCCTGTAACTAGTTTATATTTTATAGTATTCTACTTGGCTGAGCAAGGAGGCGAAGAGCGTCATCTCGATAAACTAATACGTTTACCTCTAGTATACATGGAATAGTCTGAAGAGCGTCTTCAGGTAAGAAATATGATCATATCGTGTAGTCCAGCACACATATCCAGTGCATGCAAAAAAGATACCTCCAGGACACCTAACTTGGACTCCAACCTGAAAAGATGAAAGAAATAAGGATGGAAGATGAATAAATGAGGTAAAAGGAAGACATAGAATCACTTGTTCGGGATGTCGAGGACGTAGCGACGGTCGACTTCCATCTCCTTGTCGTCTTCCTCGCCCTCGAACTTGAGCCGGTAGACGTCCTTCTTCAGGCCCATCACTTCGGCCCGGTAGAAGGTAGTCGTGTCCGGATACCTGGCCAGAACTTGCTTGCCTAGCTGGAACTGAGGGAGAGGAGTGCCGGCCTTGGGGATGGGGATCAGCGATGCCGCCGCGGTCTTGTAGATGGCACCCTCTTCTCCGTTTTCGATGGGCTCGGGATCTTGGACGTCGTATCTGCAGGGGAGAGTGAGCAAGCCACACCTTGGTAGTATGTATGTAAGTGATGCTGCTTACCGTCTTTTGCTTCCTTCTCCGGTGATATTCTTGATAATGCACTGTATACCTTCTCCTTCGATACCTTGCTGTTTCTTGTTATGCTTGAACACAACTTCGGCACCGGGAACTAGCTGGTCTCCCTTCTCTGTTGCCGACGGCCTGGCTCCTTCGGCACCGTTATCCAGCGAAGCCGTATTCTCGCGCTGGCTGCTCGAGACGCTTGTGCTCCGCTGGGTCGTGCTCTTGATCCGGTTGAGCTTATCAGATACGCCAGAGGAAGATGGCCCGGGAGATTCGGTCGATGTCAGATCCACGTCTCCTTTCCTCTTGCGGGACTTGTTCTGCGAGATGGACCGGCTCTGGGGGTCTGCTTCAGACGCTGAGCGTAGGGCGATCAGGATGCCCAGGTTCTTGGTGACATCTGCGGGCTCGTCTTGCAGGATGGTCCTCTCCTCCTCGCTCAGCTTGAGCTGCTGCCGGTGAAGGCTGTCCAGCTGGTCGATTTCCGCCAGCGACGGTTCTGTCCAGTTAGCTTATATACAGATATATACACACCCATATATATACAGCCATATATGTATATATTATGTAGACAGGCATCAATATATAGCAAGTAGACAAAGAAAACTCACTGCTTCCGTTCTTTGCGATCTTCTCATTCAACGCGGCAATCTGCAGCCCGATGGTCTTCTGCTTCTCGTTCTTCTCAGCGGCCTTTCTGATATCCTGACAGATCTTGTTCCACATCTCAACTTCCTCGTCGGCCGCCAGCCCGTTCTCCCTCGTCGCCGGGCCCCTGGGACGGTTGCGCGACATGTCGACGACAACGCCCTGCCTGCTCTTCTGTATATCCAAAGCTTCCCAGTCGTGCGAGATGTAGAGCGGCGACGGCTTGCTCCGCGTGCTCCTGACGCCCGCCGGAGAGAAGCTGTTCTTTAGCGGCGTGCGGACGTGGGATTGTGTTCTCGACGCTGCCGATAGAGATGTAGATGCTGCTGATAGTGTAGATGCTACTGCTGACGATGCCTCCGAGGGTGAATATACGGTCGATGGCGTAGAAGAAGAAGAAGAAGCCGGCGAGGAACCATGGATGCCATTCGCTTCGCCCGTCCCCCCTGTGCGCTCGTTATGCGCCGCCAAATTGAAGACCGTCGGCGCTGCTGGTCGCCCGGTCGCTATCTCGTGCAGTCGAACCCGTAACACTGCCCGTCGAGCTGGTCCTGGTGGAAGCTGTGGCGTTTCGTCATCTTCGCGCTGTGGCTGAACCTTGCCTTCCATGCCCCACGGTGATACCAAAGATACCACAGTATACACCAGATATATCAGAGACAGATACACAATAGAAGATATCTACTTTGTATAGCATATCTGTATAGACTGCTGTCTGCGAGAGCTATGCAGGTGCCTCTCTTCCGCCTCCAGTGCGGTAAGCAAGCTCGTCCTGTATAGGGGCAACTGCGTATACTAACTGGATGCTCTACAGGAGTCAACAGCTACGGTTGGGGTACGGCTTCTTCTCTCCTCGCGGCGACTATAGCAATTGCTGATATCTCCCAGGCAAGGTCGGCTCCGAGTCCGCGGCGGCCAGGTATGCGGCTGCAACGCCCGTAGAGGGCTTCTCCGTCGAGTCTGACAAGCGATACGCAGAGGTGGGCAAGGCCGGACACATCTACGGTATACGCAATTGCTAACTGGTATAGCTGTGGATGGGCACACATCCCTCGCTGCCGTCGAAAGATGTCGAGACCCAGAGGTCGCTGCTGGACCTGGTGCAGACGAACAAGGCCCTCATGTCGACCGAGATCGTCTCGAGATACGGTGGAAAGCTCCCGTTTCTCTTCAAGATCCTCTCCATCGGCAAGGCTCTCAGCATCCAGGCCCATCCGAACAAGAAGCTGGCAGAGACCCTTCACGCAAGGGACTCGAAGAACTATCCAGGTAGGCTGTTATCTACGAAGAGCAGAGAGACAGGGCTAATGATATCTAGATGACAACCATAAGCCAGAGATGACCATTGCAGTGACTCCGTTCGAAGGTCTCTGTGGTTTCCGTCCGCTCGCTGAAATCGTCCACTTCCTCCGCGCCGTCGAGCCTCTCCGGGACCTGGTCGGTGGTGCTGCTGCAGAGGCTTTTGAGAAAGCCGTCAGCGGCCAGGAAGCATCTCAGGACGAGGCCGTCACGCAGAAGAACAAGGCCGCACTCCGAGAAGTGTTTACCAAGCTTATGCAGTCGTCACAAGAAGCAATCACCAGCGCTACCCAGAAGCTGACCAGCGCAGCCGAGAGCTCCCCAGAGACCTTTGCGACCTCCTCCGCCTCCCCAGACACCAACCCAGCCAACCCGGACGAGCTCGCCGAGCTGGTCATCCGCTTGAACGGACAGTTCCCCAACGACATCGGCCTCTTCGTCCTCTTCTTCCTGAACTTCATCAAGCTTGAGCCGGGTGAAGCCATGTTCCTCAAAGCAGACGACATCCACGCCTACATCAGCGGAGACATCGTCGAGTGCATGGCGTCCTCTGACAACGTAGTCCGCGCCGGATTCACACCCAAGTTCAAGGACGTCTCTACCCTCACCAGCATGCTCACCTACTCCTACGCACCCATCGAGGAACAGAAGATGACTCCCACCGAATATCCTTACATGAAGATGAACACGACGGCTTACTCCAGCGGCTCCTCGGCCTCACTGTATGACCCGCCAATCGAGGAGTTCAGCGTCATCAAGACCGACCTCAAGTCTGCCGGTGCAAAGGCCACCTTTGAGCCCATCGGCGGCCCGAGTATCATCATCTGCACCGCCGGTGAAGGTAAGATCAGCGTCGGCCCTGCTAAGAGTTTCGATATGAAGGAAGGGTACGTGTTCTTTGTCGGAGCCACGGCCGAGTGTGTTATCGAGAGCACCGTCGATGGCAAGGACCTGACGACGTTCAAGGCGTTTTGCGAGCTTGCTGATGCTCCCGTCAATGGGAATCTCTAATATTCACCCCCTTTTTTAATAGTCGCTTTAATCGCACTTCCCACGCTCATTCAGTTTTAGTGCCAGCTTATAAAAATGAGAAAATGAACATAATGACCACTCAACTGTTTACAACACATCAACCCTAACTGATCAAGTAACAAGCTTCATACCCTGGTCTTTATATCTACTCGCAAGGATCCTACCGAGGTCAAAAGATGCTTTCCCGGCTATTTCACCACAGCATTGGTTGGACTTTGTCTATCATTTCTCAGTCAAGCAGGTCGTCTGACGTTAGCCCGGCTGCGATGATAGTTGTATATATAGTGATATATATACATAGATACATTTGATAGTTTGACGATATCCATACTATCAACAACATTATGCGTCTATCACACTCTCTGCTTGTCTACCTCGTCCCCCTTGCGACGGCCCTCCAAGCAGCCAATTTCAATGTCTCCAAGGCCCTCGCAGAGTCTCACTCTTGCGGCTCCGAGTGCCAGCGTCGCCTGAACAACACTATCCCAGCAGACGTAGCCATCCTCAGCCGTGACTTTGACTTCTCCTTCTACCAAACCGCAGCAAACTTCTTCTCGTCTCTAGCTCCAGGTGAAGTTCTCAAATTCCAGCGTATCAACCCAAAGAATCTCACCATCGACGGCGGCGCAACTGCTTTCCGGTTCCAATATACGTCCCTGGACTTTAATGGCTCTCTCGTCCCCGTCACCGGCTTCATCGCTTTCCCATACACACCACACTATTCCTTTCAGGACCTGGCTTCAAACTCTTCTTCAAGATACAGGCTGGCAGCGTTCGCACACGGCACGATTGGTATATTCCCCGGGTGTGCACCATCCAACGGACCCGCCTTGAATGACTATACTAGCTGGCAGCCCGTTCTTGAAAGGGGCTATGCGATAGTAGCTACGGACTATGCAGGCCTGGGAAACAACTATACCAGCCACAAGTACCTGAGTTTCCCAGCACACGCGAGCGACGTATACTACTCTGTAGTAGCAGCTCGCAAGCTGTTCCCGCGCTCGTTCACCAAGGAATGGATGACCTTTGGGCACTCCCAGGGCGGAGGAGCAGCCTGGAAGCTCGCAGAGAGCAGATATGTGCGAAAAGACCCGAACTATCTCGGCACCGTAGCCCTGGCCCCGGCAACATATTTCATACAGCAGCTCATCGACAGTTTTACTAAAGCAGTTTCTTCCCCCTCGGGCGTAGAAAAGGGCACCGGTGTAGGATTCCTGCCATTCTTACCCACTGCCGCTCAGCGTGTTATCCCTTCATACAGGGAATCGATACTGGCGCCCACTTTATGCAACAGAGTGCAGCTGGCAACCAAAGCACAACTATGTCTCAATGCTGTCCTCGGGATGAGCATCGACTTGGACGCCAGCCAGCTCGTTTCAGTAGCCGGTGCCAAAAGGGACATTCCAACGCTGTTGAAGTGGGAAAAGATGGTTGCGCCAGCACAGGGGGGTGCAAACCCGGCACCGATCTTTGTTGTCCAGGGCCTGAACGATACGGCTGTGTCGTGGAATATCACGGTTCGGGCATGGAAGAATTCATGCCATGCTGGCAACGAGCTACATCTGAGGCTCTTCCCTACGCAGGGTCATCGACCGGTCTTGACAGCCGGCGCTGCCGAATGGCTTGCCTGGATGGATTATCGGTTTGAGACGAGAGGGACGCGGTCTGGTAAGAAGCAGTGCACCAAGGAGACGAGACATCCGTTTAACCTGGAGTACGTCAAGGCTCCTACTGACGAAGACTTGAAGCCGTTTCTCAAATAGCACACTTTCGGCAACTCACCACATTCAAAGGTTAGCATAAATAGTATATCTGTATACCGTCAAAGGTTAGCATAATAGTACGTTGTCAGTTGTATGATATCGCTAGATGCTCGGATTAAGCGCATGCAAGATCTTAACCTCGGGATGGCCAAACCCCTGAACAATCCATGGATCTAGTTAAATAACTAGCGTATCCTCTCGCATTTTGCACTTCGATCTGATCAGATCCGAAACGGAGTAACCATGTAATTTGCATGTGGATGCAATCATGCCGAGTCGATCTTTATATCGCTCTCCCCCGTCTTTAGAATGCCTGTCGTAGTTGAACCAGTGCAATTGGGTCGTCCTTACAAGTTCAATCTTGTACTTAATATATATTGCAATGGCTGAAAAGGCACTCGTCCCCGTCAACGCTCCGACAAAGCTGACCCTGCGGGAGAAGCTGGACTTCATACCAGCTGGTCTCGGTTTCGTCGCGACAGCCATAGCTGCAGCCATTACCGGCCTTGTGCGCGGACAGGATGGAATCAAGTCTTACAGGACTCATGTCCGCTATGCCGTTGTTCGGAGATTCCTATGGCGCATGTCGATAAGACAGCTCCAGTACGTTGAAATATATGGATTATGCATGTAGTAGACACTGACTCCCTTGATAGCTTCATTTATCCTTCTACGGCTGAGGCTTACCAGATCCTTGCAAAGAAGAAGAGGTTTACTCCTGAGACTGTTCAGCTTGAGCACGGCGCCCAGGGCCACTGGATAGGGAAGAAGGACGCAAAGAACGTATTGATATACTACCACGGTAAGCTCGCTTCTCTGCATACGAACTTCAGACAGCAGTATATTTATTACATGTCGTAGGAGGCGGGTTTGCCCTATCTGCATACGTTGGACACTTCCAGTTCTACTATGACATGATGACCGAGCTCAACGCTGCCGGCAAGGATATTTCTATCTTCTTTATCTCATATACCCTCAGCCCGGAAGGCGTCTATCCAACCCAGCTAAGACAGGCCGTCGGAGCCCTTCGCTACATCGTGGAAGAGACCGGCCGCGATCCCCAGACCATCTTCATGGGTGGTGACTCTGCCGGAGGACACCTCACGTTTGGAGTCCTGTCGCACCTCTCTCATCCTCACGAGGCCATCAAGCCATTGGATATATCTGGTCCTCTGGGCGGTGCCTTTACGATGGCACCGTGGGTCTCGTTGGCCGCCGAGCTGCCCTCGTACACCAGAAACGCCCACAAGGACTATCTCTCCATGAAATGCGGATCAGCTTGGGCGGCAGTGTGCTTTGCCGGCTCGGAGCCGGACAACTATAACCAGGCGTCCCAAGCACCGCCAGAGTGGTGGAAGGACATTAAGACCAAGGCCCTCCTTATTGTCATCGGAAAGAATGATGTTATCGTCGACGGGGTCACTCAATTCGTAGACAAGATCAAGGTAAGCCCACGCCCCCCAGCTGCCTTTCCGCTGAACATGTTTTGTGCTAATATTTCGTAATTAAGCCCGTCGTTCCCTTCACACAGTACGTTGTTTCCGATGGAGAGGCTCATATCGGTCCTATTATGGACCGCATTATGGGCGATAAGACGGATACGGGAATGAGCAAGGCAATGAGAGCCTGGTTTATGGAGCAGTTATAAAGAACACACTGTAATGAAAGACCATCAGCTATGATACCATCTAACTTACTCACCTTTATGTTGACTCCCTTGCCAATATATAATGCTAGTGTATACCCGAAAGTCATATCGCAAGGACTAGTGAAGCTCGTTGCGAAAGAGTGATAAACGTAAAATTCATTATTATTGACCGACGATAGCCTAGTTCTATATCATAACGAAATCATATTTAAGCCTAGGCTTTGACGGAATACTTCGCTGCGGCCGCGTCGAAGAGTGCAGACTTCTCCTCCAAGTCGGTGAGAAATGCATGGTCAGGTTGAACCTTGCTCAGTTTTCTATCAAATGATCCAACATTAGTACGTTATTGAAGAGAAGTCATAGGTTTCTGCTGAAAGGGTTCATACGCTATCAGTTCGTCTTTATCCTTTCCATTAATCGCATTCAGTACAATCGAGTTTGCGAGCACCTGTGGATCTTCTGGGTATTTTTGAATGGCAGACTGGAGTGCGGCCTCTGCTTCAGGTAGACGGCCCAGATGTAGCTCAGACACCGCCTGGCCGACTATCGATAGTGCCGAGGACGTACTGGGAACGGATGCGAGTTCTTCATAGACGTAGAAAGCAGCTTGGTACTTTTCACCACCCTGATATCCCGGTCGTGTGTCAGTCTGGTTCTTGAATATTGTGCCATTTTCAGGGTGTATAGACGCACCACTCTCATTCCTACCCAGGACTCTGCCAGGTTGACAAGTAACGAATCCTGTGCCCATCTTCTTGCTGCCTGGACCTCCTTTAATGCGAGATCGGACCTATTCTGTTGGAGGTGTATCTGGACTATCAAGGCGACACTATTTGACCAGGTGGAAATCCAGCATTAGCAGTGTCCCGATAACCCCCCAAGCGCGGCGCATCCCCCGCATGGACTCACGCTTCAAGATTTCCAGAATGCTTCGACAGCAAGGCCAGAGCCTCCGCGGCCTTGTCTTGCGCATGTAGCACCAAGCCAGCGAGTACCTGCACTGTTGGGTTGTCTTCATAGTTGGCTGCCAGGTCTTCGGCCAGCTTCAGGGCCTCCGCTTCGTTTCCAGAGGCATGTTGCGCCAACGCTGTTACTGCAGCCAGCTCGGGTGTGTCCTGCTCGGCTTTTATGCTTTGTAGGACATCTTTGCTCTGGCCGAGAGCTATCTGTGCGCGCAACTGTAGAACACGGGCCGTGAGAGTATTTTCGGAGGAGAAGGAGGAGGTATCGAAGTCGACTACTTCTTGATACTGGCCTTGGTAGAAGGCATTGTGGATGTTGAGGAGCTCTGTTTTCGAATTGAGAGGTCAGCCACGTTGCAGGCACTACCATTGCAGCTGATACATACCTCCTTCTGCTGAAAAGGGATCCATTATGCTCGTGTGGTATATGTGAAATATGAAGGTGATGCTTCTAATCGTTGTTCGATGCGTATGTGGCTACTCGGAGGGATACTCGTGGCACGTGACGTGGATGCTGTTTATCGGGAGAATACTATCTACAGTCAACACCTTTCGGCGCGGAAGTTGCCTCGTCTAGGAGGAGGATGCGTGGATCGCGAAGAAGTGCCCTCGCAATGGCTTCTCGTTGACACGACCGCGGTATCGTTTGATCGATATGGCACTGAATATGTGCTAGGATACTACCATGACTACATTTAGCGATAGTATCCTGCATGTCCTCGCCTGTACATGAAAACAATGATGCCAATTGAACTGAAGAGCTTCAATTATATACCCATAGATGATGGATTGCTTTGGTATTGCTACATAGCCTAGCTACAGTCGCGCTATCACTAGCTATCCTGAATTTTACATATCTGGACAGCGTCAAAACATGCCATGGGTGCCGTCTAGGTCCTGGAATACACCATCCCATTGAGAATAATCCCAAACCGCATTGAAATTCCATGAATCAGCCCATGAGCCTCCTGCATTTCCTCCTTCCATGCCGTGGAGCGTGTTTGCGTCCTGCAGATAACCGCGAGACTTTGCCGGCGTTGACTCGGTCGGTGCCAGTACTGGCTCTTTTCCAGCACCGTTGTTGGAAATGGAATCAGTGCCTGCCAGGGGACCCCATTTTGCCATTACCTCCTTGAGTTTCTTCAAGCCTCGCGCGGCGATGATGCTACCCCTGGACGCTGCTTCTTCTAACGTACGGCAGCATTCTAGGATTTCTTGCGTCCTCTCTTCTGCACGCGGCTCATGTCTGTTGAGGTGGAAATCCATAGCCAAGATGATTGTAGCAAGGAACACCTGGTACGCGATGGCCCAGACTTTGGATGGATCTGGACTTGCAGGGCTGATGGTTTCTCTCATCCCCCGTTCGACCTCGAGTACCACGCGGGCTGACCGGAGGCAGACCATGCGAGAGTATGCATAGCGCGGGTCACGGGCACCGAGGACAAGATATGGACGATGGAGGCGGGATATTCTCGTGCAAGCTCCAAACTGTGCCATCACTCTCTGCAATTTAAGATAGGGCCGCTCCCTGTCCAGCTCTCTACGGCTCTTCTCCCACTCTGCATAACGATCATTGCCCTCATTCTCTTCTCGGAGGAAATACGGTAATGTCTTGAGAAAGTCGCCGATCTTTTTATCGAATGCGAGCACTTGGTCATAGTCGATTTCATCTAGTTCCACCCCGTTCCTATTGACGGTTTCCAGAAACTCAAGGAACAGCACGGCCAGTTTACACCGGAAAATGAAATAGGTCACTTCGGACGGTTCGGTCAAGGGTCTATCCGGACAGGAGGACGGGGTTATCTCGTTATCGTCTGCATTGCTAGGCAGATTTACGTGCATCTGGTGAGGATGAACCATGTAAGTCCCGGTTTGATATCCAGAGATAAACGCAAAGATCCTAAACATATAATCGTCAGTCACTACATTGCTACATTTCTATAAGAGAGCGATGCCATACCAGTCTGTGGAAGCGATATGCCACCAGATCCGCCTTTTTATCTCCAATTCCAACTTGTTATATGGCCCCTTCTGGCGAAGCCTTTTGTTTTTCGGGGAGTCGACTTGGTGCAAGGATAGAGCTTGGGCGGACATATACATGGCTGCTGCTAGCACTCGAGCCGAACGAATTGCACCAGTATTCCCCAACAGACAGGTCCCCGCTAACAGCACCGCCTGTATTGATTCGATGGTGGGATTCTCCAAATGGCCCGTCTCAGCCAATGCGCGACTGGCCATTTCAACATACTCCTGGTGGGATTTGTCTCGAGAGGTGTCCGAACCCTGGAAAGCCGAAGTTGAGGAAGCGAAATACTTGGATAATGCAAATACTACACAAACAAGAGCAAGAACCGACAGGTTAGGCATCAATCCCGCCCCTACTTGCTGGTATGTTTCAAAGACCTGGCGTCTTAGAGTTGGCATGTGCAGCAAGCGATAAGACCAAGCGATATGGTGCTGGTAATAATCAACTAGCTCGACCGCTCTTGAGTAAGGAGGAAGGAAATCTGAAAGATGAGAACTTTTTATGGTCGACACGAGAGTATGTGGCCAAATCTCGAGAAGATAAGACTGGTCTCTTCCTGGCTGTAAGATGCTGCTTACAATGCGAGACTAACCAGGCAATGTCATTATTGCTATCCTGGGTAGAGAGAGAGATCCATCGGAAACACTTACGGCCATATCACTATCTTCTTCTTCAACTGTTTCCTGTTCGAGTTTACTCTCCGTGGGCCCAAGGATGGCGGATTCAAACTGCATTCCCTCAACTTCAGGCCTGGTGGTGGAACTCTCTTCTTCATTCAGAGATTGGCGGAATGGAGCAGCAGATGCACCGGCACCTGTTATATCTCCATTTTTCGATATCTCATCGAAGGGAATCCCGAGTTTTCCCTCGATTCGTTTCACCCTTTCTTCAAGGCTCTTGAGTGATCTACAGAAGTCAGATATTGAACACCCGCATGTTGACCTGATAGCACGTCGATGCTGGTACTCTACTTGCAAAATATTTGTAGTATATATAACTCTGGGTCGGCGGAATGAAAGTGGGTTCCTACTTACAATATCTGTGCAGTCTCTCCACTGCTCGAGACTGGGTCCGGTCCGGCCTCATTTCTCTTAGCTAGAAGTATTGTTAGTATATCATCTAGACACCATATCAACCGTGGAGGATGAACAAAAGGTCAAGCTTGGTTTTATCAATTCCCATGGTTCAAGAACCCCGGAGCCCGGATCCTCCTCCATGGAGCTCGGAAAGTCAATGTACCTTCTATAGCCTAAACGTCATGTACTCACCTAGTGTAGAGATGCAGTCTATGTTGCGCGATCGACAGTTTGAACAAGGCCATTCTCTGCTGCATTTGAGCTTCTTGCTCCTACAGAAAACGCATGATACAGGGTCCTGGCGTCTCCGGGCCTTCTGACCGCCCGCTGGCTCTAAACTGCGCTTCATCAGGAACTGCCCAGTCGCAGTATCTCAGCCTTAAATTGATATCGGCATATAATTAGGCATAACTCAGAATATAATTAGGTATAACAAGACTGCCAGATCTATGCAAGTAGTCTCTGTTTTCAGGAGGTCGAGGCCTGGCCGGAAGCTCCACGGAGCCTCGGACTTTCCGGCTCCGCGGCCATAACTATCATTTAGTTAACTGGAACATCTCCTTCTCGATATACACCAACCACAACACGGATTAGAGACGGGACTGGATGGCAGGATTGATCTAGGCATGGATATATTGCAGCAGAAAGCTCAGCTGTGGGCCATGCGGTCTCATATTCCCCCGTCGATGACTCGGCCATCACGAGAAAGGAATGATGGATAGATAGATATAAAAGTCAGCGGACTTCTATAGTATCTTTTCCAGTATTCTTCAATCAGGATATCCTATATATCAACCTTCAGCTTTATAAGTGCTCCTTTTAAACAAGGACGATGTCAGAGATACCGTCTTCTAGCGATCTAGAAAAACACCAGGATGATGCCTCCAGTGAAGAAAGGGTATCCGGACCACCCCATGAATCAGAATGGAAGTGAGTTGAGACCGTCTATCATGCATTATATCATTATACCAGTATACCATGCTAAGTCTTCAGTCGTCGGGCGGTCCTCACACTCATCGGCACAACATGCATACTCTTCTGCACCGTTGGATTCGTCAATGCCTTCGGCGTCTTTCAGGAATTCTACACCAAGACGTTTTTCCGTGACAAGTCATTATCGGCAGTATCGTGGTTTGGATCGTTTAATGTATTCTGCATGTTTGCTGGAGCCGTTGTAACGGGGATATTAACTGATCTTTGCGGTCCAAAGGTGAGTTTATGTCTCTATATCGCTAGGAGCAACGGCTGATCCATGTGCTGTAGTGGCTACTTCGAGGGGGGACCGTTCTGGCATTACTGGGAATATTCATGACTTCTCTTTGCAGAGAATACTACCAGTTCTTCCTTGCTCAGGGATTACTATTCGGTCTAGGAGTGGCGGGCCTCTTCTTACCCAGCTACATCGCGACATCTCTTTACTTTGTAAAGCACCGGGCACTCGCGCTTGGAATCACCGTTGGCGGATCATCGATAGGCGGCGTTATCTGGTCAATTGCTCTTCGACGACTACTGGTAGACTTTGGCTTCCCTTGGACGATGCGCATTGCAGGATTCATAATGATGCCTCTTCTGGTGCTTGGCTGCCTTACCGTCCGTCTCCCCAAGAGGAAAAAAGCAGATAAGCCCAAACCGAACGTTGCGGCCATGAAGACACCGGCCTTCGGCATGTTGGCAGCTGCATTTTTCCTGTGTTCGCTTGGCCTCTTCGTTCCATTCTATTTCATCACCTCATATTCTATATCTGTGGGGAAGGATGCTGAGATATCCTTCTACTTGATCTCCATCATCAACGCGACCAGCCTATTTGGTCGACTGCTTCCTGGGTTCTGGGCTGATAGATACGGCAAGTTCAATGTCATGATCGTGGCGGCGCTGTTCTCTGGTATCATCTGCTGCTGTATGACCGTGGCGACGTCTCTGGGCGGTCTAATAGCCATCTCCATCGCATACGGCTTTGCATCGGGGGTATGTCCCTCTCACTGCGCTATTATCCCTTAACATTGTTCAATGCTAACGACTTGACAGGCCATTATCAGCCTCCAGGGAGCCTGTGCCACGCAGCTCGTTGACCCAGCGACCTATGGCGCCGCGGTGGGCTCTATCATGGGAATATGCTCCATCGCGTAAGTTCTAGCCCCTGCCCTGTCTACTTACCTAGGGTACAAGGCTAACCATGTCACTGACGATAATAACAGGAGCCTTATCGGGGCGCCCATAGCGGGCGAACTTGCATCCAAGTATGGCTATCTCTCAGCGTCCGAGTTTGGGGGTGCATCGCTGTTGGCAGGAACCGCTTGTCTGGTTATATCCCGAGCACTGCAGAGTACTCATCTCTTTAAAGTCGTGTAGCCCTTTTCATTCTCCCATGTATTTAATCTATCTGGTCATATCCCTGCTCGTAGTGATAGACTTTGGAGGCGCATTTAACATTACCATCTTCCCTCTTAACCGCGTTTTGTTTTATTATGAAACGATGTATCTCGACTACTCAGACAGGGTAATTACAGCGTCTATTCGGTACATGTTACACCCTCTTACCTTACCTCTTACCTCTTTCAACAGGTTCATACAGATCATCTCGGCTGGTAACCTTACTCTTACTCTTAGCTTGTCGGCTATTTCTATCTCGGATATTGCAATTATCCTTAAACCCTTAAAGCATGACTGAAGGAGTTCATCCACTGAACTCGCCAACGGTGGCTATCAAGCCTTCTCCCGCTTAACTCTCACTCTACTTTTAGAGGATGGTACCACAGAATAAGAAAGTTCCTGTCTATTTCTGTTGGTCCGCCACATATACGACATACCTCCGACGTCCAAGGTCCAGGCGGAGGCAAGATGAGAAGCTAGCTGGGCCTCTCTGGGATCAGACGACGCCCTTTGCCAGACGAACAGACGAACAGGCGAACTGCGGGATATATCTCTACCTCTCACGTGACACTGACCATGCACTGCTCGTGCCTCTGCGGAATCAAGCGCACTGATCTATGTAAGTAAGTATGTAAGTAAGTAGACTATCGAGAGCTAAGTAAGTAACTAGTGGCGACAGGCCCGTTGCACTAGAAAAGCAGGCCTAAAAGATATATATAGAAGCATTAAGCTTCTGTACGCCTTTTGCTTGACAGCGATGTCGAGTTGGGAAGCGAGGTAGCACGATCGTTGGGATGGAGATGAGATGGAGAAAGAGTATGGAGTAAGAGTCTGGAGATGAGATGGAGTCGTATGGAGATGATGAAGATGGAGATGATGGATGCTGATCTGGGGAAGGATGTTGCGGGACCACGACTTTATCTCTCCTACTCTCTCCTACTCTCCTACTTTACTCTACTACTTTACTCTCTACTCTACTTTACCTTGATGCGACCCAAGGGATCCCCCGCGCCCCGCCGGATACGAGGATATTATGTAAGACCATGCATGTGACTCCGATACCCCTGCCCTTACTTCTACTCTTACTTCCTTACTTACACTTTGACAAGGCCGGAGTAATATGGAGCAGGAGGAGCAGACGGGGATGGAGATGGGATGGAGATATATGGGGAGAGATGTATGGGTATGGGGAAGCCGTTACGTAAGGTCAACCTTCCAGAACGCAGCCAAGGTACAGAGTAGATACGGGGACCATGTTACATGGACTAGCGACGTAACCCCAGACTTACCCTGGCAGTCTTTAAGTCTTTAGAGAGTCTGTAGAGAGAGAGTCTCTGTAGAGAGACGGGTATCTCCGTTAGTAGAGTACGGTAGAGAGTCTGGTTATGGTAGAGTAGTGTCAGTAGAGTGGTAGAGGGTCGGGGCGACCGAAGAAGGCAAAGGTAAGAAAGGAAGAAGTATGTTCAGGCCTAGCGACTAGCGTGTCTTCCAGAATGTTCCCTGTTCGGGCAGTCTGCGCCGACCAGAGAGATAGGGGAGATGATAGGGCGAAGGGGACAAGACAAGAGACTTGGGAGACTAGAGAGTGACAGGGAGACCGACGGAGGCCGGGGTATATCCTTCGAGAAGACGAGCCCGCTGATACCCAGAAGGAAGGAGACATCCGCCTGCTCGGTCATGAACCTTGAGGGCGGGAGATTATGTGCATCCCTGGACATACCACATACCAACACCTGGACGTGTCTCTTGTCTGTACTTTGTCTCTTGCTGTCCTTGTCTGTCCTTTGTCCATGTCTGTACATCCAACAGTACCTCACAGTAGTCCTATGTCCATGGTGTCTGGTGGCGTCGGTGATTTTCTTCGTACCAGCCCGCACCCCACACGTTGTTTTAAAATTGGCTGTAGGGATGTGTCTAGCGTAGGCGTAGTGTCCGTCCAACCAGGCGCCAGAGACGAGTCCGGGGGCATAGAGTTAGCACCATGCAGCTTGTTTCTATATAGAAAAAAGGAAGGGAAAAAGAAGGTGGCTAGCGCTGGTCTTTACCTTATATATCTCCTCGCTCTTCTCTCTCTTCTTTTTCTTCTTTTTCGTCCTCTCTTCTCTTCTACCAGCTGTACGGAGTACTCTCTTCTACCTACTATCATATCTAGCCATGGAGAAGGGCGTTGGCGAGAAGGCGGACTCGGTCCCTGCCTACGACCACCCCCAGAAGGCCGTCGATGTCAAGGATGCCGCGTACGGAGAGGCCGCTGACATCTACGGCGATGCTGAGGCCGCCGAGCGATACGGCTATGTTTCTAGAGGGTATGTCGTCTTTATATGTGTAGATGTGCTTTGTGTAGAGTACTGACTGGGCAGGCTGAAATCACGACACATCCAGTTCATCGCCCTCGGAGGGACGATTGGAACAGGTCTCTTCCTGGGTATCGGGCGCGCGCTCACCCAGGGTGGTCCCCTCTCTCTGCTCATCGGCTACACCTTTGTCGGTCTCGCCATCTTCGGCATGGTAAGTCCCTCTATCACTCTAGTAATAGATCTGGGCTAACAGGATAGATGATGTCGCTGGGTGAGATGGCGACGTGGCTCCCGTTGCCCGGTGCGATCCCGCAGTTCTGCGCCAGATACGTCGACGACGCCGCTGGTTTCGCCGTCGGATGGAATGTAAGTAGGATGTCCATGGTAGAAGTCAAAGAGATAGGCTAACAGGATAGTTATGGTATCAATGCGCGATCACGCTCTGTGTCGAGATCTCTGCGGCCGCCGTCATCATCCAGTACTGGCCTGGCGCAAAAGACATCAACGTCGCGGCGTGGATCGGTCTGGTCATCGCCATCATCGTCTTCCTCAACGTCTGGGCCGTCTCCGTCTACGGTGAGGCCGAGTTCATCTTCGCCAGTATCAAGATCGTCACCATCCTCGGTCTGCTTCTCCTCTCCCTCATCATCGATCTCGGTGGTGGGCCAACCCACGACCGTATCGGCTTCAGATACTGGAAGAACCCCGGAGCCATGAACGAGTACTTCGGCACCGGCGACAAGGGACGTTTCCTCGGTCTCTTCTCTACCCTCGTCAACGCTGCCTTTTCCTTCGGTGGTGTCGAGTCCGTCGCCTGTGCTGCGGGAGAGGCAGAGAACCCGCGCAAGAACATCCCCAAGGCCGTCAAGCGTGTCTTCTGGCGTATCCTGTTCTTCTATGTCCTCGGTGCTCTCTTCCTGGGTATGCTTGTGCCGTATAACGACAAGAACCTGCTCTCGGCCCAGAAGAACAACGAGCCCGGTGCGGCTGCCTCGCCTTGGGTCATCGCCATCCAGCGTGCTTCCATCCCCGTCCTCCCTTCCATCATCAACGCCGTCATCCTCACCTCCGCCACCTCGTCTGGAAACGCCTTCTTGTACACCGGAAGCAGATACCTCTACAGTCTCGCCCAGAACAAGCAGGCTCCCCGCTTCCTCCTCCAGTGCACCAAGCAGTATGTCTCTTTCTCTTTCTTCCTCGTTTGATGGTCAAGCTAACATTCTTAGGGGCGTCCCGATCTACGCGGTGCTGGTGACCGCCTCCGTCTCCCTCCTCACCTTCATGGCCTCCACCACCGGCTCGGCCACCGTCTTCATCTGGTTCCAGAACCTGACCACCATCGCCTCCCTCTTCAACTGGGTCAACATCCTCGTCGCATACATCCGCTTCCACGCCGCCCTCAAAGCCCAAGGCGTAGACCGCGACACCCTCATCCTCAAGTCCCCCTTCCAGCCCTACATCGCCTGGGTCGCCCTCATCTTCTTCTCCATCATCATCATCTTCAACGGCTTCGACACCTTCAGCCCCTTCAAGTTCAATACCTTCTTCACCGCTTACGTGGGTATCGTTGTCTACTTCGCCCTCTTCATCTTCTGGAAGGTCTTTAAGCGGACCAGATGGATCCCCTCGGCTGAGGCAGACATCTTCACTGGCAAGGCTGCCATGGACGCCGTCGAGTGGCCGCAGCAGATCCCCAGAAACGTCATCGAGAAGATATGGTTCTGGATCGCGTAGTCTGCGTCTTGTTCTTCTTCTCTCGTCTTTCCTCTGGGTTCCGTAAGATTGTGTCGTTCATGTCTTTGTATTTGATACCTTTTCTCCTCATACCCTCACTTCACCTCACGACCATGATCTGCGATCTGTCCTAATCAACGTCTAGAGTCAGCATGCTTCTATACACCGCTGCCACTACCACTTCCTTCCACTTACCTCATGTACGCAAACAATCAAGGATATCCGAATATAATGACTCGCACTTCCATTCGTAGAGCATAACAGAAATACCAACTCGTAGTCAAACAGGGAGTACCACTTTATACCCAACTTCTGTAGCAGAAAAAACGGTCTTATATATCCGAGTGGACTTACGCCCTATACATCCCCATAAGGGCGTCAATGCTCCACAGCCCTCCACAGCAGCCAATAACATGCACCACCCACGAACTTCATCGTGGATATATTATAAATACAACGTCTGTCATCGTTAACGGGTCCGGTCTCTAACACGTTGGTTATCTCTGGATAGGGCGTGAGGTGTCGTGTCTCGGACCGGCGGAAGCTAGAGCTGGTTACCTCTACCAACAGAGGCTGGTTCCGTGATATCCATGGAACGGGAATGTCAGGCAAACACTGCATGAGCTGTGGGTTTGGAAGTCTCGCATTCTATATATATACTAGGTATATGCATATAATCAGCGTATACGCCGGGTTGGATGGTTTATACCCTCACTACCTCGAATGCCGCCCTAGGAAGACCATAATGGAGCAACGCCTAGGCTATACGGCTATGAAGTCTACAATCTATCATTAGACATGCTACCTTCTAAGACTCAGACTATACACCACTGTAACTCTAGAAGCATTCCATAAGATATAGGAGTTATAATCCAATGAGCAGCCGATATTGTATATATCCATGGATGAAATCTGTAACCGACTGGCGACACGTGACCTGTCTTCCACTCAACCTTGTCGCGATATCAACAGCTTTATAACTTATAACGACGAGCAGCTCATCAGGATACACGTAGATATTGTGCAAGACGCCAACCCCATGGACCCCCCGAGGACCATCTCAGAGATCAAACTTGGTTTTCTCCGCGACCAGGTTCGCGTGCTGTCTACGCCCCTTGACCCATCCCCTGACTGGCGCGAGTATGGCCCAATTGTCGAAGACGATATCAGCGACAAAGTCGTTAACGAGGTGCTGCAAAAATGTAATCTCCGTTTACCCCTTTTGTACACTATGCTCGCCCCTAATGTAATTCTTTGTCTATCTTGCATGTCATGGACAGGGTTGACGGGATCAAACGCAGTGAACACGCTATTGAAGCAGCATAGTCGCACCGTCTTCTCGACACAGGCAATCCATCATGTTTCTCAGCAGATTGAGCGTCTTTACTGGAACTCTATAAGTCCCGAGTTGGGGGAAGAGAGTACCCAGCTCGTCATTGACAAGGGTGTTGATTTGACGAATACCAGGTATGCAAATGATCTGGGGATGTATGTATGTATATGCACTGCTAATGACAACAAAGGAATATTGCCCGGTTGCCCGATGAGTGGCATGAAGACGGGATGAGTGAAGAGGATAAAGCTCGGTAGGCCCCTCACACCACCTACGTATGCATACGGCGCTTATGACTGTCTCAACAAAAAGGTACGACCTGCTTCGTGGACGCCTTATCAAGCTTGATGCAGAGCGGAAGAAACGAGAAGATAGACTCTTACAGTATAAGCGGCTAAAGAGATTATTGGAACCGTTCGAAGACCCCATGAACACGATCCAACCCAACCTTGCCACGAGAGATGGCCAGCTTGGAGCTGAATTGGACCGTATGAGGATGCTGCTCGCCAAAGTGGCTAGCAAAGTCGGGAGGGCTCAGAACCTCAACTCCACTTCGGAACAGGAGACGGAGCCAGTCATGGACGCTGAAGAAAAGCTGGCTCGACTGCTGGATATGACCTGAGTGTTCCCATGTCCTTTTGCAAAACATAAACATTTCCCAGTCAATTAGGCGGGCTGCATGGTTGAAAGGGACGGCAGTACGTGTACGTAATAAAGAGGCGTACAATCCAGGCGTACACTCCCGTGGGATGCAGCCACAGGCCCTCTGAAAGCAGCCGGGTAGCACCGATGGGATGCATGGATATTCCCTAACAAGGTAGAGAGAGAAGGAGTGAGATACCAATAGGGCACCCTCTGAGTTACATTCTAGGTCTCTAGTTGCACATTGAGGTAATAGAGCCTGTGTTTCAGATGTTGTTATCCTGAATGAATGCATGAGTCTAGGGCTCTCTTTAAGGCTGGAACTGGATAGGGTGTATCTAGAATAGGAGAGAAGCAGCTCATGGAGTAACTATTTCTAGGTATTATAAAACTTCCATCAGCATCTGATCCTATGCCTTCTCTGTGAGGGTAAGGGCCGCTTAGTCGTTGCCCTTCACTATATAAGGCAAGACGTAAACAAGAACCACGTCCTGTCAACAACTTCACCTTCCTGCCAGCTTCACCCATCTTCACCACCTGTCAGCTACAGTGACCACATCTGCTTGTTCCATCAAAATAACCCTGATATTCTCCTCTTGACCCTTTACTCAGAGCAAAACATCTAGATATCCACGTGATCTCTCTGTCTGCTTAGCGTGACTTTTCGGAACGGAAGAAGTCATGTCCGCTAACCTCCGATCACCTTTTGCTGAAGAAGATGAAGGTGAGCAACACAACAAACACCAACTACAACTCCCATCCCCCCATCTTCGCGCGAGGATAGCTGATAGTCTGACTCGTCCTTCTTTCCCAATTGCCATCAGACACCGGCGAATCATCTAATACGCGTGCCCTGCCACGGCGTCCAGCGAGTGTCCATCGTCGAAATAGGACTTCAGTCACCAACGAGGACCTGATCAGCTTCCGTGAAAAGATACTCGGCATCCCACGCGAAGAGCAGCCGCCCATTCCACGATCTGAACCCAAGGAAGACGACGAAGACTTCTCTGCAATCAACGCTGCCGTTGCAGCTTTCAGCATGTCTGTCAACCAGAACAGCCAAAACACCGCTAATACTCCCTCCTCTGCTGCTCCGTCGAGCGCGTCTACCAGTGGACCGTCGAGTTCTGCGGGTCTGTTTACAAACTTCTTCGACTCTAGCAACGCCAGCAACGCTGCAGGCAATCCTCCAGCCATGTCAGCTCCTCGTCATACCAACTCTGCTCCAGCCAGCCCCGCCATGCATAACGGTGCTCCAGCCATGCCAGCCATGAATGCGTCCTTTCCAATGAACGCTGGACACCAGATGGACCTTAACCATCTCTACGCCATGGTCAATGAGCTGAGTGACGTCTTGAAGAATAACCGTGACCTGACCAGTGGCATCATCAAGAGTGCCGAAGATATCGCTGTAAGCTTCTCACCTTCACCTCACTTTACAACCCCTATTCCATACCTATTTCATGCCTATTTCTATTCAAATAAAGTGCTAACTGACATTGTATAGCGTCGTGCCGCAGCTGAAGGTACTACTCCGAGTCTACAGGAAGTTAACGGAGAGATCACTGGTATGCAACTCCATGCTAAACCGCTATACCACCAAAATTAAATGACATGTAACTAACGCCTTCACCAGCTACGCGTATCGCGGAGCTCGAACGCGCACTTGCCAGGGAGAAACGCCGGGTTGAGACCCTCCGTCACGAGCAAGTTGAAAACATGAAGCTCATCGCCGAGTACGAGAATGCAGTCGGCACCATGGTCGAGCAGATCCGCAACTACTGCTGCAATAACGAAGGCCATTTCCTCTCGCAGAAGCGCCGCTACAATGACCTCCTGCAAGCCGAACGCGACGCCCACCTGGCATCTCGCCTGGATCGTGACTACTGGCACGCACAGACCATGAAGTGCGCCGAGATGATCCGAACAGCGTACCGCCTACGGTGCGAGGAGGAAGTCCTTCCTCTTCGCATCGTGGCGGGGCTGCAAAACGAGGTGCGGGCATACCGCAACGCGCTGGGGATGGACCCAGAGAAGCCAGAGGAGGAGTGGGGATGGGAGATCCTCAAGGATGCTCCCCCAGGCGTTGAGTAGCCTGGGAGCTGAATTGCTCTCCCCCTCCGTGGCGTCTGTTCTGAGGATGGGCCAGCGTTGGCTTTGTTTGTTTGTTTTTCCCGGTGCTCCAGAAGGGGCCCGGAGGCGTTAGGGGCTACGAAGATACCCAGGGACGATAGAGAAAATTTTCCCCGGCACGGCGTTTATCTCGGTGGGATCTCAGCTGACGAATTTCCTTTTTTCTTTTCCTCTTCTTTTAATGATCACTATGATCTGTTTTTAATGCTTTCTTATGCCCATCCCAGATGAAGATGGTTGTTCGGCGGGCTTTCGCCCTTAGTGAAATGAGATCTGATGACCTATGATGACCGTGAAGCTTCTCCTTCGACCTTTCTAACCGTAAGACCGTATATCTGCCCTTAGACACCGTTCGTAGGTAGCTTAACGTGAGGCGTAAGTTGGTCGGGCGAATCTCCACCATCGCAGTAAGGTCTGACCTCGGCACAATCCAGCTTCTTCTTCCACCGGATAAGAAGACCGGCCCCGGCTATACTTCCTGGCAAGGAGGAGAAGTGATATATATATCACGCTGAAGAAGTCGAAGTAAACCGCTGGCCGGCCATCTTCAAGGACAAGCAAGATGGCGCTGGCGAAACGACCGAGGGCGCTCCTCTTCGACGTCGGAGGCGTCTGCGTATGATCCTCCCCTGCCTTTGTCCATATAGCATATTCTAACAGGATTACAGGTAATATCACCATTCCAGGCTATCCTGGACTATGAAAAGGCCAACAACCTACCTATCGGATGGATTAACTACAGCATACAGCATACTTCTCCAGACGGCGCATGGCATCGACTAGAGCGAGGAGAGGTCCAGCTTGACGCAGACTGGTTCAAGTCGTTTAACAGCGACTTCCGACATACGCATCTATGGAAGCAATTCAACGCCCAGTCACCTACTAGTACGAAGGAGAAACATCCTGACCTCCCACAGGTCGATGCCGAGTACGTCTTTTGGGAGATGATGCGAGTTGCGCAAAGTCCAGATCCCTACATGTTCCCTGCTCTACAGCGACTAAAGGACTCCGGCCACTTCATCATGGGCGCTCTATCGAATACCACCATCATACCGGACGAGAGCAATCTAGGCAAGAACTCGGCAGCTGAGGACGTGAAGCAGTTCTTCGACTTTTTCATCTCCAGCGCACATACGGGGCTACGGAAACCGGACCCCAGGATCTACGCACTCGCTATGAAGGAGATCAATCAGGCTGCGAGGGAGAAAGGGGTGCAGGGGGAGATACGGCCGGAGGAGGTGGTGTTTTTGGATGATATCGGGGTGAACTTGAAGTGGGCGAGGAAGTCGGGCATGGAGACGATCAAGGTCGACCTGGGACGTACGCAGGAGGCCGTGAGAGAGCTGGAGAAGCGTACGGGACTGAGTCTGGAGAATAAATCGAGGCTATAACATGTCTGTTTTATATAGTAGCCATGCGAGTAGATATCATTTCAGCAGTAGACTATAAATAAGGAATAACCAAGGAGAATAAGAAGAATAATAAAAAGAAGAAGAAGAAGAAGAAGCAGAAGAATAAGAATAAATATAATGGCGAGAAGAATAATAGTTATAAGAAGAATGATAATAAGATGATAGGGTCGTCGCCAACCTCGCTGTCTGACTTTGGCTGCGACTTTTACCGAAGCGCGCACAAATAAATTTGCCCTCTTTTCGCACAACGACCAAAAGATTTCCTCCCACCACGCCAACCGCCAACACAACAACGAACGCACCAAGTCGTCCGTCGAGCAGCCAGCAAGATGGTAAGTGTCTACTTCGCCAGTCGTCCTGGCTTTTGATTCCCGTCCGCCCTTCGATGTGCTGTCCCGCTGGAGTCCCGCAAGATGCTTCGGAATTGAATCTTCTGAAGCGCAAATTGCTGACTCGCGATGTCTTTATGTCCATAGCCTTTCACCAAGCTTGTCAAGAACCGCCCATACTTCAGGTAAGTCTGCTCTGCAAATAAATGGAATTTTAGATAAAGTACTAACGGCTGTATACAGTCGTTTCCAGACGAAGTTCAAGCGTCGTCGTCAGGGTAAAACCGACTACTATGCCCGTAAGCGCTTGATCACCCAGGCCAAGAACAAGTACAACTCGCCCAAGTACCGCCTGGTCGTCCGCTTCACCAACCGTGACATCATCACCCAGATCGTCACTGCTGAGATCTCCGGCGACAAGGTCTTCGCCTGTGCCTACGCCCACGAACTCAAGCGTTATGGCATCAAGAACGGTCTCACCAACTGGTCTGCCGCTTACGCCACCGGTCTCCTCCTCGCCCGCCGCACCTTGAAGAAGCTCGGCCTCGACGAGGACTTTGCCGGTGTCGAGGAGCCAGAGGGTGAATACACCCTCACCGAGGCCGCCGAGACCGACGATGGCACTCGCCGTCCCTTCAAGGCCGTCCTCGACGTTGGTCTTCACCGTACTTCCACCGGTGCCCGTGTCTTCGCTGCCATGAAGGGTGCCTCTGACGGTGGTATCTTCGTCCCCCACTCTGAGAACCGTTTCCCCGGATACGACATTGAGGGCAAGGAGCTCGACGCCGAGACTCTCCGCAAGTACATCTTCGGTGGCCACGTTGCCGAGTACATGGAGGGTCTTGCCGATGACGACGAGGAGCGCTACCAGGGTCAGTTCTGCAAGTACATCGAGAACGACCTCGATGCCGGTGAGCTCGAGGAGATGTACACCAACGCCCACGCTGCCATCCGCGAGGACCCCTTCAAGAAGGACGAGGAGGCTGGCCCCAAGAAGAGCAAGGCCGAATGGAAGGCCGAGAGCTTGAAGTACAGAAACAAGAAGCTCACCAAGGAGGAGAAGGATGCCCGTGTCGAGGCCAAGATCCGCGAGTTGGCCGCTTAAACTGCTTGCCGCTCGCTGTTCTCACCTTTTCTTCTTTCTTTTTCGACTCTCTACACCTTGACCACCAATGTAGGCAAGTGTCGTTGTTAGCACGAAGCAAAATACAAATGGGAAAATGCATCTGGTGTTGAGTGTATTTTAATCCTTCTCGTTCTTCTTTTTTTACGGGTGTTTTGCGCTACTTCTTATGACCTGGGGGACGGAACGGAATAATGACATGATTTCTTTATTTATGACCGGACCATGGAGAGAATAAGAGCCTGCGTATTCCCGAATCTCGTTCTCATGTCATCCGTAGGATTCCCAAGATATCTTTGCTTCTACTGTTGACAAGTATATCATCTGGCGTAAGAGAGTTAAATGGTCACATGAGTGTTTGGTCAAAGGAGACGCCCAAACATATCAACATCAGGCATCAGCAAGCCCAAAGGCCATCAGCCATGAGAGACAACGATGGCCCCAAGTTGATCGGCCTTGGTCGGACTGGACGTGTGATGCGTACTGGAAACATTGCTGTGAAGACTGCCAATATTTGGCCTGTGTCTGAGGACGCGTCCGAGATAGCAAGAATCTCCTCCCTACAGATGAATGAGGCGAACAGAGAGTCCCTCAAGCATGAAGGGCTGGTGTATCGCCATCTGGGGCACGTACAGGGCGTTATAACACCCTGCCGGATCTCTGACACCGAGATTCAGATGCCATATCTACGTCAGGGGCCCCTTAGCAGCTATCTGCGCGCTCATAATGATAGCCTGGACGACGCTCAACGACTACGATGGCTTCGTGAAGCTGCAGATATCGTCCGTCGAGTGCACGAGCGGCGGGTGCTGGTTACTGATATCGCGGCGCGAAATTTCCTGCTTGATGAGAATCTTTCCCTCCAGATGTGCGATTTCACCGAGTCTGTGATAGTGTCGAACGATGAGGACATGGCCAGCTATACGTCCGAGGACTTTATTTCAGTCAAGTTCGACATCGCGCGTTTCGGTTCGATGATGTATGAGGTCATCTCCGGACGTCGATATGAATTCTACGTTATACCCGATATCGAGACTGATATTGATGACGACCCCGAGTCCAAGACCTTCAAGGTGTGGCCAACAGCTGAGAAGTTTCCGAACACGGATGATGTATTCTTGGGTGAAATCATCAGGAATTGTTGGCTCGGGGATGGCTTTCTCACCATGCAGGAAGTTTGTCGCGCCTTGGACAATGAATCGCGGCCAAAGGCTTCTAAGGACGATTCGACTGGCAGTATCTACTATGCTTAGCCAGTTGATGGTCAAATCATTATTGTATGTTCCACGACTTTGGCTTCCGGCTGACGGTATCAGCCGTTCTACCATAGATCAGACGTTGATCCTCGTTGTTTCCTATCCAGAGTCGCACAGCAAAACCTGGAACAAATGGTGATATCATATATCATAAGTCAGTAAGATGCAAATAGTAACAGATAAAGAGATAGTACTCCGTAGTCCTCCGTATATTGGGCTAGAGTTGAATATTGAAAGTAGTGAGGACAGCTATCTATATCGGCGTCGCTAGCAGGCTTGGACAGTCGGCGAGCTATGGAAAGGGGCATATTGGTCACCGAAGCCAGGTTTAGGCCGGCTTTAGGCAGCATTTAGGCCAGCAGCTAGGGTAGCTAAGCACCGCAAGCACCGCAAGTATACAGCATGTGGCTGCACTTGATCTGATGAGTTGCCCCTAGCATCTCGACCGAAAGAAGGTTATTTATCCGCGCAGTTTCAGCAGTTCCGCGTGAGGCTTAACGGGAGCATCTCACCGTGGTCATGGTTGTGGTCGTGGTCGTGTTGGTGATGCCTCTGAGCCGTTGAAGAAGCAATATCCGTACGGCCATGGCCTGGAGCTGGCATGTCGTCCTCAGTGCGAGTGCAGTCCCCGTGCCCTACGGCCATATCACCGCCGTCTCGCGCTGTTCCCTGGCTGTCTGTATGTGAGAAGTGACGGCGATGTCGAAGGTGAAGTTGAAGGAGGAAAAGATCACGCGATCTCCGCGCGCGGTGGATACATCGTAACTACATCCTCGCTACATCTTCCTCACGGCCACCAACGAACATCCCCGAGATAGCGCAATACAGCGTCGACTAAGGGCAGGGTAGGCTTATAACCCTCCTCTCCGCTCCTCGTCCTCGTCATCAGTCTCTGCTCCGTTTCCATACTCTCGACGCCGCATCGTCTTGGTCCTGGGGAAGAAAAAAGAAACTCTCCATTGATTCACTGGGCAAGCGAATAGGCATTTACCTTAGGCTAACTGTCGTCAATAGTTACAGGGAGCAGAAGTACCAGGAAGAAACTTTGGCATCAGCCGCTTTGTAATCCTGGGCCGACGCCTGGGTCGTGGGGATATATCTCGACGCCGAACACACAGCGCAGCACAGTCACATCTATCATAGCACCAATCCCTGCTGCGTCTTCACGCTGAGATCACTCTGGAATCCGGATACTGCACCGTCAATCGGCATTCAGCTTCATGATGTCCCGTCTCTGTCTCACTCGACCATCCATGGAACATTCCCGCCGGAAACCGCTGTGAAAATCCGCCGTCACCACCACGATCACTCCACGAGCACTCTGCCATTGCCTTGATACTGTCCCTGATAACTGGCCTTACACTGCACAAGCTCTGTTTGCCCTTCCCGGAGAGCGAGAACTGTTCCCTGTCTTCGTGTGCAGCGCCGCCGTTGCATACTACAATATCTCAGCAGTCCGCCCTCGTGTAATAACGCCCGACGTTGACCAGAGCCTTGGTTTTAGCCGTCTGGGCCTCGTGTTTCTCTCCTTTCGCTGCTCGGCCGGTTATACCTTCGTTTTGTCGACATGGACGGCGGCGACGAGGCCGTCGATGTGAGCTGGCTCCATCATTCACAGCGGGGTATGTTTTCTTAATTCGAGATACAAGTTACATATACGTAGCGTGGGCTCGTCTGACGGTGGTGTATAGCTGATAATGCCGGTCGAGGCAAAAATGCGCCTGCCAGGCCTACTCAAAAGCAAGACGAACAAGCTGCAGGCGACGGTGCCACCCCCCACGAAGATGGAACCAGCACCGCTACTACTACTACTACAAATGGACATGCTCAGACCCAAAACTCCAGATCAACACCAACATCGTCGCTATCGAAACCCTTGCCAATACCATCCGAGAGCGATGAAGACGAACCTGCCAAACAAGCGCTCTCTCCACCAACCCAGAGCCAGAGCCCGGCCCAGGCCCAAGCCCAGGCACAAGTTGCGAGCGCGGCTGCAAGTACAGCCATACTCTCAGGCGTAAATCAAACTACAGTGACGAGTACGCCCGCCAAACCGACACCACCGAAGCCTATACCCCGACGCAATTCGTGGATTTCCACTCTAAGCTCCAAATTCACCTCCGGCTCTACCCCTCCCTCTCAAAGTTATATGAGAGAATCGCCGTCGAATAGCAAACAACAACCTGACGCAGTGAACCCTTTCGGCGCTGCGTATTCGCCAAAGGACGCTGACAAGTCAAACGAGGGCTCTGGCTCCTTCACGAGCGGCTCATTGAAGAGCGGACATCCGTCATTCTTCCATACTGCGTTTCGCAAGCTGTCGTCCTCAGGAGGTTCTGGGTTGGGCAAATTGGGTTCAGGCCACGCACCGAATGGTGGCGTATGGCCGAGACGTGTTATGAATATTGACGCGGAACGGGATAGGTGTAAGATCCCGGAGCTGAACCAGGCGAAGCTACGGCGTGTTGCGTTTTGTGTGGATGTAGAGATTGCGGGAACTGCGCGACGGTCTGAGGGCGACGACGATAAGACCGCGAAGAAGAAACCTGACGCCAAAGCAGTGGAAGCGGAAGAAGGGACCGTTTTGAAAACCGCCCTGGGTCACGGACCTTCATCTGATGAACCTTCACCAGCCCCTAATGTGCAAACAGCTAACGGCACAGCACAACCTGCGGATCGGTTACCGAATGACGAGGAGAAGTCAAAACCACCACCGACCAAGAAACAAGAGAAGAAGAAACGTTCGGAGGAGGAACGAAAGGAACGTAAAGAGAAACGGAGACGACAGGCTGAGGAAAATGGCTCCGTTCCGCTACAGGTCAACATGGACGGTGGGAGTAATAGTACCTCCAAGTCAAACTCCATACATAGGTCGTCCCGCGGCCAGGACCAGCCAACTACGGACCCCCTACGGATATATCGACGGTGCTGCCAGCTTCGGGAAACAGGCGTGTTGAAGAAGCTCGTCGAGCAGATCTCTTCGCCGTCCTCCATCTTGGCAGAATCCCCCGGTACCGTCGCGGTCCTGGACTTGACTGGGTTTTCCATGACTCTTACCGATATCATTACCTTTAGTGATTGGCTTTCTATCGTTCCCGTTCGAAAGCTGATATTACAAGATTGTGGCCTTTCTGACGAAGCTGTCAGAGTTATCCTAGGCGGGCTACTGGCTACCAAGACGATAGAAGCCGCGAAACAAGCGAGACAGTTAAAACAGCGACATACTGGAGAAACATTGGCGAAGGAAATGCGGTACGGTGCCATTGAGAAACTGTCACTAAAAGGGAACTCAAAACTCGGCCACGAGGGATGGCGACATATCTGCCTCTTCATCCACATGTCTCGTTCTCTCAAGGGAATCGATCTGTCCGGCATCCCATTCCCTCGTCCAGCGCTACCTACCAATGGCCCGGTATCGCCTGTAAGCCGAACATCCAAACCTATATCTGATATAGGTACCATATTCGCAAATGCGCTATCCCAGCGCTTTGGAGGCGAACGACTAGAAGAGCTTGTTCTCAGCGAGTGTTCGCCGTCTACTGAGGATGTGCAGAAAATATGCGAAGCAACAAGATCAGTCGGACTGCGACGGCTTGGTCTGGCTAATAACGGACTTACCAAGGAAGGACTCGAGTATGTTATCGGTTACTTCCAGGGCGGAAAATGCGAAGGCCTTGACTTGGGTGGTAACAAGCTAGAAGCGCACATTGGTCTCTTCGCTTCAGCCATTGAGAAATCATTCCCTCTTAGTGCACTGAGTTTAGCGGATTGCTCGTTGACGCCGAAAACACTTTGCTCGTTAATGCAAGGGTTGACGTTGTTACCCAATTTCCGATTCATCGACCTATCGCATAACCGGGACCTATTCATCACGCAACCAGATTCCCTAGGAATTCTACGAAGGTACCTCCCCCAGATGCAAGACTTGAGGCGGATACATCTTGCAGACGTCTGTTTGGGATCAGAACATGCTATTGCCCTGGCGGAGATTCTGCCCGATTGTCCCAAACTGTGCCATATAAATATTCTGGAAAACCCGGCTATCGAGGAATTAGCATCTGCGAATACTGCCGAAGCCCAGGAGGAGGCTTGCGCGCTGTACGCGTCGTTCATGTCAGCGGCCCGTATATCACGGAACATAATTGCTATTGATATCGACATACCGACGCCAGAGAATAACGAGGTCGTGAAAGCCCTCGCTTCACAAATAGTGGCATATTGTCTCCGTAACCTCCAGTATGGCGAATTGAAAGAGGAACTATCATCGTCCATCGACTCTCAGTCTGCCGTCAAGGACGTTCCTGTTCCTGACATTCTAGCACATCTGGTTGGCCACACCGATGATGCAAATGAGGACATCGACGATTCGAAAGTCACTACTGATGATGACTACGTCATCGGTGGTACGGGTGTTGTCAAGGCCCTGGGGATCTGTCTGGGTAACTCTGATTATACCGCCGTGGACGAAGTTTTAGGGGAGCAATCTCCTACTGCGAGCGGAACATCCACGCCATATTGCCGCCTCAGCCAGGTTCGTGTGACCAAGAAACCACGCGATATGTCAAGGGATCTACTCAACTCTGCGAGGAAGATCCGGCTACGGTTGCAACCTGCTTTAGTCCGTGAGGATCGGGCAGGTAACGACCTTAACTACCGTACGTATTTGTACCTCCTATATATTCTCTCTAACTAAAGAGAACTTTTAACTAACCCATCACAGGCCGACTCTACTTCCTCGACATGACCCTGCAACGAATGATCCAACGTTTTGAAGACGAATTTCCAGATACCCGCATACCTGACGAAACATCAACAACTCGCTCAAGTGATGAATCCCCTAATCGCTCTAATATTAACGACTCTGCTATCCTCGAACCACAGGATTCGTCCGCCAACCCCAACACAGGTGACGACGATGAAGTAGATCGATACGCTGTCCGCCTCTCGCGAGCAAGCTCAAACACCTCTCTACATTCCCGCGCCCTGACATCTGAAGAAGGCACAGTCCATCGACTCAGCCATCATCTCAACCATACACTACTCCATCGTCACGATAAAGACAAGGATAAGGACAAGAACCAGGATCAGGACCAGCAGTCTCCTGAGAAACCAATCTCCCAATCTCCGCCAGACGCAGTCCAGGTTCAAGCTCTACGTGAAAAACTTGAGCGACTGCGTGGCCTCGAGGGACAAGAAACACATGCACATACCGATACTGAAGGGCGGCCTTCTTCGTCCCATTCTATACTGCAAGAAGGTACATCCAACCTTGAAGAGCTGTTGGCACTGCAGAAGCAGGATCCCGAGGCCTTTGCGGAGCTGAAGGAGAGCCATATTGTGGCTCTTATTAATGCAGGCCTGAGGAGCTCGGATGATGCGTGAATTCCATCCCAACCAATCTGACTGCATTGTTTTTCTTTTTTGTTTACTCAAATATATATCTCCATTCTAGCCCAACCAAAGAGCATTTGCAAGGGATCACCATCTCCCTACTCAACTTATAGCCTACATATTTTTTTTGGTCAATCTCCCATCCTTCAAATATTCGCCATCGATCTATCTCAGTTATAATCTCCTTTCTTGCGGGTCCCTTTACGTTTTGAAGCTCTGTATTTACAACATCATATGCACATATTTGGTTTAGCGAGGACGTGGATGACTTTCCCACAGGCGTACATGCAACTGGATTATGGATCTGCTTTCTTGCATCTTGTTTCCTCACTCTGATCCGATAGGTTTATGCAGTTCGAACTCAAACAGTTTGTTTTTTTCACTCTCCTCTTTCTTTTTCTTCTTTCTTCGGCAAATATGCTGTTTACTCGTCATGGGTTGGAACTTGAGCATGGGATGGAGGGCTTTATATCAAAGCGAGGACAGATATTTCTATTTAATAATAAATAATATCCAAAGTCAACATATCTTTTGAGTCGTGGTTTTTTTCTATATCTACTTTTCCTCGGCGATTTCACATGCCAGGTCGAATTACCCCGGTCATGTGACGTCGGCTTGAACATCGCGATGACATCGATGGAAATCAACGTCGTGAAGTTGAACAACCCGTTGAATCTGAAGTTGAGCGTCCTGGAGCTGGAGTTGAGGCTTGAAAGATGACAGACGACGCCTGTCTATCCTAATTCCTAGAGGTTCCCTTTCTCGGAAAAGGCAGTCGCTGCGGCGGGCTGCTGCTGATATACCCCAGAAATATGGCAGTCCTCTCCCAGCCAGCCGGGCTGGAACGATCAATCAAGGATATCATATCCCTCCTGACGAAGAAATACGTTAAACATCGCACCGGCATATCCCGCGCCGTCTACCTGACGCTTTTCCTGGCTCTCGCGAAACGAATTCATAACGCTATCGCTGAGCAAAAGTCCGCCTCCGAGATACATGCTGGGAACAGGGCGGGCACTCGAAAGCTAGCCGGAGACGATGCCACAGGTGCTACTGGTGATGACGGTAACAATAACGGCAAGGAGGGCGGATCTTCCCGGAAAAAGGTTGGGCTGAATAGGGAGTTTCTGCGGAATCTACTACGCTTGCTGAAGATTGTAATACCGGGCTGGAAGAGCAAGGAGCTTCGGCTCCTGATCAGCCATTCGGTATTCCTGGTTCTGAGGACACTGTTAAGTTTATATGTTGCGGAACTGGATGGGAAACTTGTTAGCAGCTTGGTTAGGGGCAAAGGAAGGGAGTTTCTTCTGGCTTTGGCATGGTGGATGACGGTTGCAGTGCCGGCCACCTTCACGAATTCAATGGTGAGTAACCTCTATGCCTCTCACGCTTAACCTATTATTTTCTATACTGACAACTCCTGTTTCATAGCTTTTATATCATCAATGTCAGCTTGCTCTCCAGTACCGAAAACGTCTGACGGATCATATCCATAACCAGTACCTGTCGAACATGAACTTCTACGCATTATCGGCACTAGATGATCGAATCAAAAACCCTGATCAGCTTATAACCGTGGATATATCGCGATTCTCTAATAGTTTAGCGGAACTATACTCCAATCTTGCCAAACCCATTCTCGACATGGCCATTTACAATTACTCTCTTTCCAAAAATGTGGGTGGGGAGGGACTTTTTATCATGGCACTACTAGTCCAGCTATCTGCCAATGCGATGAGAGTGCTCACACCTCCTTTTGGCAAATATGTGGCCGAAGAGGCAAAATTGGAAGGAGAGTTCCGCTTCCAGCATACAAGGTTAATCGATTATAGTGAAGAAGTTGCTCTGTACCATGGCCACGAGTCAGAGAGAGATACCCTGGACAAGGGGTATTTTACTCTGATAAAGCACGTTAATCGAATCCTACGAAGGAGACTCTACCATGGGTTCATGGAAGACTTCGTTATCAAATACTTCTGGGGTGCTTTGGGCTTGATACTATGCAGTGTGCCCGTGTTTTTCAAGATTCCTGCCCAGATAACTTCATCAATGGGAGACAGGACCGAAAGTATGTTCAAATTCTTCCCCATTATTCCTACTTTACGTCGCTAACATGCCGAAACAGGTTTCGTAACCAACCGAAGAATACTTCTCTCGTCCTCTGATGCTTTTGGTAGAGTAATGTTCTCATACAAAGAAATTTCCCAACTTGCAGGGCACACTTCTCGAGTGGCATCTCTTCTTGAGGTAATGGACGACATAACCGCCGGCCGTTTCCAAAAGAAATTGGTTTCGTCTGCATCAACGGATTCAAACGCCGCTGTACTTAGCAAGCGTGGTACCATCATCGAAAGTGATTCAATCGAGTTCACGGATGTACCCATCATTTCACCTAACGGGGATGTTTTGGTTGAAAAGTTAACATTCACTGTCCACCCAGGAGAACATCTTCTTATCGTTGGACCAAACGGTTGTGGGAAATCATCTTTATTCCGTATCCTCGGCGGACTCTGGCCTGTTTATGGCGGTACTGTGAAAAAGCCATCCTTTGAAGATATCTTCTACATCCCTCAACGGCCATACCTGTCACGCGGCACGCTTCGACAACAGGTTACTTATCCTGATGACCTCAAGGAGATGCATGACAAGGGAGTAACAGATTCAGACCTTTACGACATTTTATCCATTGTTGAAATTTCATCCGTCGTTGACAGGCCTGGTGGCTGGGATGCGGAGGAGGAGTGGCGAGATGTGCTGTCCGGTGGTCTTCAACAACGAATTGCCATGGCTAGGCTATTCTATCATAAGCCCAAATACGCCATCTTGGACGAATGCACATCATCCGTGACGCTGGAGATTGAGAAAGTCATGTACGAAACTGCTAAGAAGCTTGGTGTGACTTTGATGACTGTTTCACATAGGAGGAGTTTGTGGAAATACCATAAAAAGATTCTCCAGTTCGACGGTCAAGGTCACTGTATCTTTACCAGTTTAGACTGGGAACGTCGATTAAAACTTGAAGAGTAAGTACATTAATATCCAGCCGAGGGTGATTTCATGGCTAACTCATCATCCTCCACAGTGAAAAAGAGGATATTGATCTTCAGCTTCGGGCCGTTCCTGAGCTAGAACGACGCGTCAAGGAGCTTACCACCGCATAGATGATTTGAATATATCTCATCCCCTTCAGATGTGAGATCCCTAGTCTCATAGGGAGCCGTCCTATCACGTACACCTCATCCGCCAAATACCAAAGTCGGTCTAAATTAAGGTGTGCAAGGACATAAATATTCATTGATCATGGGAGAGTGAAACATCAAGCCTATGTATATCTATATACCCATTCTGAGAGTATCTCATACCCGTACCAGTTTTTGTTCTACGATCATTCATTCGAAGCATTGCATCGGCACACCGGCCTGGAGTATGGAATTTCGGAATGTACATATTAACTGAATAGCAGTTTAAATACATGAATTCGTTCTGCATTGAGGGCTTATACGCTACTTCTTAGCCCAATTAACAGAAGTTCCTTTTGAGGAACAATATCTTCTGGCATTATTTCAACATCCGCCGGAATACCCAAACCAAGTAGAGAGCGATTCCCTCTGAACTCAATAGTTGTCTATTTGTCCACTATATTAGTTACCTTAGTAAAAACTTGAAGGACGTTACTATGTTTCGGCATGCCAATACCATACTCCCTCGCCACTCGAATGTCCTCCATCGTGGTCCCGTGTAAATCCATGTCGAACTTACGGGCCATGGCAGCAAACATGAGATATAGCTCCGAGTATGCTAGGCTATCAGGGAGAACATAATTAGCATCGATAATCAGGCAGCTTTTGGTATCTTAGAAGGAGAGGGTACCACGGGGGAAAGCTCACTTTAATCCTAGACAAATTCTGTTTCCCTTGGTGAACGAAGTAATATACCTGGTCAACCGTTCCCCCCTCTCGGTAGCTCGGATCCAGCGTTCGGGGTCAAATGTATCCGGGTCAGGGAATATCGTTGGATCCATATGAACAAAGTATGAGGACTGGCTAACCGGGGTCTGTTTAAGGCATTGAACAAGAAATAGTTAGATGGGTCACTGCGTATTTCTCATGTTTCTGTGAGAGCTGCAACTCACCCCTGGCGGGATCACGAAATCCTTATATGCCAAACTCTCGTTCCGTGCTGCACGCGGGAGCCGGAGAACTAGAGCGTGGGATAGACGAAGTGATTCGTTGATAAATGCAGTCTATATGGCTTTCAGTTAGAGTTACTCCCTAATAACATGCCTGACAGAGTATAGAGCATACCAGATATGGTAATTGTTCCAACTTTGTCCAGGTAATGTGGCTGTCTGGTTGTGGCATCACCCCTTTCAATTCCTCACGTAGTTTATAGAGTATCGATTTGTCGCGGTATAGATAGAATGAGCCAACCGTAAGTACTCTTGCCGTCGTCTCTGTAGCAGCACCGAGGACAACGAACCCCTCCTCTTCCAATCGCTTGATCTCTTTCTCCTTGGCCGGCACCGAAGGGTCACAAAGTGCGTGAAAGATGGTCTTTTCGGGCCCTTCGGGTGCTTTATAGTCAGGATGACTAGTTAGCTTGAGAGTAGCCACAGCCTGGTCGTGGACAAGCCTCCTCATAGCAAAGATACCCACGGTTTGTGGCTGCAGTATTTCCAATATCCACTCGGGTATAGATTTAAAGAGAGAAATCAGTGTAGGGAAGAAGGTAGTGACATGAGCCAAACGAAGGCTGGCATTTGCAAAATCCCGAAAGTCGTTTTGCAGGTCTTTGCTCTCCAGGCAGTCCAGGCTTCGTCCATATGCATACTTTGAGATGACATCTGCGGCCAACGCAGCAAACAGTTTATCAAGTAGCATAACGGCGTTTTCTGCAAAGGCCTCTTCAAGGCGTTCGACCACGCGGTGGACCTTTGCTAGAACAAGGGACTCAAGGCTGACCACTGCTCGTTTCGAGAAGAAGTTGCTTAAAAGCCCTCGACGAAGACGATGGTGCTCATGCTCAATGGTGGAAATCATAGACAAGAATACACCAAATGCCGAGACCGTGTGGTAGTCTTTATCCTGCTTTCGAGAGCTGTATATCTCGTCATAGTAATGAGAGTCTTTGATATGAAGCTCGCGGTGGTTAATTCGAATAATCGGGCCTTTCAACTTCATCAGCCATGAACCGCAAGGGGATATGTATTATTTCTCCCGCCGTGAGCTTCGAATTCCAACAGCCACAAAATTCTCACCATATTCTTCATGCATGCGCTGTACCTCCCAGATGTACATGCCCCCCTTGATCACGCTGAAGTAGAACTCATAATACCGGCCGATTGCCGCCAATTTAGGGCCAGGGAATTTGCTCAGAGGATGGAAATAAAGACGGTAGATCGTCTGGATGACAAAGTAGCTAAAAAGAGCCAATATCAGTGCCGTTAAAAGGTTTAGGGGCTCCATGGCAAGCATCTTGACACGGCGCAGAGGGTGGGAAGAACAGATCCATTGAGTTCTCCCTAACTTCAGGGAATTTGACCAGCAAATAAACCCCGCCGGCCATAGTTATAGTAGAAACGTAAAATCATAAGAAGAGAAAACAAAAGCAAGAAAAGGGTCTTGTCGTGCATACTCGATCCTGCAGAGTCGGAGCGCATGGCCTAATGGGCGTCAAGATACGACGATTAGCTCCCCAGTGGGCGTCATGAACATGTCATTCGGGAGGGTCTAAACATCCCAGTATTATGTGGCATCGCGTATACGAAGCAGGCCGTGAGCCTTCTTTTCCTTCTTTGGTGGCGTCCATGCATATCCTCCTGCAGTTCTTCAGGTCGAATCCCTGCACTGAGGCTGACAAGTCGCCGAATCTGCAGGGAAATCCAACCTCGCAGCAACCTCGTTCTTCTGCAGCTAATCAGCTCTAACTCAAACATTCACGGAGTTAGCCCTCTTGAATCAGTTGGCTCTCCACCTGATCCGTGGTGGGAGGACCCCAGCTGGCGATGGTGGTGAATCCTGCAGCCATATAAAAGTCAGCCTGAATGCATATACTCCGTAACGAATTAAATAGCAAGAAAATACCAAGTCGACAACTCTCAGGCCTCGTTACATCCTCTTCCTCCGTGCAAGGTTTGCAGGGTTAATTCCAGCTACCCGGGAGTCGGATGCCTGATGCATAGGGATAGAACGCTCAACGGGCACGCCAGAGACATGTCTTCCTGCGATGGTAAAGAAACAGGCGTTAATAAATGCCAAAGCGATGGACTCATATAGAGAACTCACTGTCTCACGGCCCTGGCACGTCTAAGTAGCTATCAAAAGCTGGATGCCGTTGACATCTTCGCTCGAATGACATCGTCTTGCCTTATCACGAACATACGCATGACGTCGGTATACTTCCAGTCTGGATTTCAATTTTCGAGGATCGGTGTCTTATCGTGGACTCTCGGTGAAATTTAGGTAGACTCCTTTGCAGATGGATTATCTGTCTGAGTTGGAGATGTTGATGAGCAGTGGAAGATGTGAGGTTGGCCTCTTACCCTTCTTGTTCTCTACTTCGTCCAACTCTGCTCTGTGTACATAAGGTCCAGCGTGACGGTTAAATAATGATTTTATTACTCCGTACTGAATTAACAATGAAGAAAGGGAACTCGATTAACCTGATAGATTGGCGACCATGTCTTTCATCACGGCCACGGAACATATGCATAGTAAATAAATAACAATCAACGAGAGTATTTTAAACGCCGTCTCACACTGGGACGATAACGGACGAGCAGCCTAGTTAGTGACATCCAGCGGCTCTATATTCCATATTCCCTCCGCATATTCCGCAATGGCCCTATCGGATGAGAAGAATCCCATCCTCGCCACGCTCTGGATACTCTTTTCCACCCATCCTTCCTGGTCCTTGAACGCTACATCGATCATATCATGGGTCTTGACGTAGGAGTTGAAATCGTCGGAGACAAGGTAGTAATCGCCATGTTCGGTGATGGAGTCGATGATTGCTGAGAAGGAGCTGGCATCGCCAAAGGTGTTGGAGCGGATGGCGTCGAAGACAGCGGAGAGAGAGGCGTCAAGGGTGATGCTCTCTGGGTTGTAGACGTGGGCGTGGCGGAGCTCCTCGACGTCTTCGGACAGGTTGCCGAAGAGGAAGATGTTTTGCTCGCCGATTTCGCGGGTAATCTCGATCTAGATATAGGGTTAACTACATTGCTTCACATATAGAATCGATGGATAGGACATACGTTTGCACCATCGCATGTTCCGATGATGAGACCTCCGTTGAGGACGAATTTCATGTTACTTGTTCCACTCGCCTCTGTACCGGCGGTGGAGATATGCTCGCTGATATCAGATGCCGGACAGATGATCTCGGCCTTGCTGACGTTATAGTCCTCGATGAAGATGACCTTGAGCAAGTCTCCGACGTCCTTGTCATTGTTCACTACCGCACCTACACTGTTGATCAGGTGAATGATCGTCTTTGCCATCCAGTAGCCGGGAGCTGCTTTGCCTCCGAATATGGACACGCGGGGAGCAAGCTTGGAGCGTTCTTCGGGACTCATGGCCTTGATGCGGAGGTAACGGTGGATGACACCGAGAATGTTAAGCTGTTGACGCTTGTACTCGTGGAAACGCTTGACCTGGATATCGAAGAGGGCCTTGGGGTTGACACGCACCCCCGTGGTGTCGAGGATGTGTTTGGCCAACCGCTCCTTGTTGGCGGTCTTGATAGCAGCCCACTCGGCCTTGAACTCCTTGTCGTTGATGAAGCCCTCCAGTTTGTCTAGGAGGGTGAGGTTCTTGAGGAACTCATGTCCGCCGAGTTTGGAAGCGATGAGGTCCGAGAGTCTGCGGTTGGCTTGGTGTAGCCAGCGGCGCGGGGTGATGCCGTTGGTGACGTTGCCGAACTTGTCAGGCCCGTAGATGGCGACGAAGTCCTTGAAGATAGTGGACTGGATAAGGTCGGAGTGAAGCTCTGCGACACCGTTGACCTTGTGAGAGCCGATGATGGCAAGGTGAGCCATGCGGACCATCTTGGGCTGTGATTCCTCAATGACGGAAACCCGGCTTAGGAGATCGTGGTCCTTGGGGAACTTGCGTTCAACCTGGTGAAGGAAGCCCATGTTGATCTCATAGATGATCTGCAGATGGCGTGGGAGCAGGTTCTGCATCAACGGGACAGACCATTTCTCCAGTGCTTCGGGGAGGACGGTATGGTTCGTGTAGCCGAAGGTGTTGGAGACGAGGCGCCAGGCCTCATCCCAGTCGAGACCTTCTTCGTCGACAAAGATACGCTGAAGCTCGACGATGGCCAGGGTTGGATGGGTATCATTGAGCTGGATGGCTACCTGGTCTACGAATTCGCTCCATGGTCGCTTGGACTTCTTGTATCTGCGTACGATATCGAAGAGAGAGGCAGCACACCAGAAGTACTGCTGCTTCAGACGGAGCTCCTTGCCTCGATCCAGGTTATCGTTTGGATAGAGGACGGCGGAGATGGTCTCGGCACGCTGTTCGTCGGCGACAGCGCTCTCGTAGTCTCCGGCATTGAAACGCTGGAAGTCGAACTCTCCGCTGGCAGCCTTTGACGACCACAGGCGGAGGTTGTTGGTGGTGGGAGTCTGGTATCCGGGGATGGGCATGTCATATGCCACAGCCTGCACGATCTCTCCGTCCTGCCAGGAGTGGACGGTCTTGCCGCTCTCGTCCTGGTACTTGCGCACCCATCCGTAGAACTGGATGTCGACCGTGACGTCGTGGCGTGGGAACTCCCAGGGGTTGAAGTCGAGCCAGTAGTCTGGGACCTCGATCTGGTAGCCATTGACGATCTCTTGCTTGAAGATACCGTATCTGTACCGCAGCCCGTAGCCCCAAGCCGGGTAGTTCATGGAGGCCAAACTGTCGAGGAAGCATGCTGCCAGTCTCCCGAGGCCACCGTTGCCCAGTGCGGCGTCATTCTCCTGTTTGATGATGTCTTCGACTCGGAAGCCGAGATCGTCGAGTCCACCTATACAAATGACGTCAGCCGTGCATCTCAGTTGATAACAGGACCAACCCTTACCCTTTGCCAGATCCTTCAATCCCACGTTCAGCATGGCATTGTCGAGTGCCCGGCCCATGAGGAACTCTAGAGAGAGATCTAGATATCGTCAGCACCAACTTTTTTAGGTCATCATCTCAGACGTACAGTAGACACGCTTCTGGTCCTTGAAGGTCTGACGCTGCTGTGTCTTGTTCCAGTCGATGATCAGACGGTCTCTGAAGGCCAGCGCAGTGGCAGAGTATGCAGCTCTAGGAATCGTTAGCTATATTCGACAGGAAAGGTGGTGGCCGTACACTTCATCGCAGTTGAATATAGAGCGGGCCAAGCTGGTCTCGACATGACGAACCACTTCCGACTGTAGACGTTAGCTAATAATAGATGATAGATGGTATATAGAAGACGTACCTCGAACTCCTCCTTGGTGCTGAACTCCTTGGGAGACTACAGACGTCAGCTGGGTACGCAACCTCGAGCACTTCACATACGTATTTCTTCCATCTACAACGATCAGCATCAACCACGAGCATCAACCACGATTAACAGTTATAGGAGCACTCACGCCGCTCTCTGAGGCTCAGGGATGCTGGCCTCGACGGACTTGAATTCCTTTGGCCCGAAGCCGGTGAAGGTTCGCTTGTGTTTTGGGCGACTGAAGCCCGGTCCGACGGGGCCCTGGAGGTCTGAATGGGGAACTCCCACGGACGGCCGGCGTTCGCGGAGCGCCGGAGCAGTTTCAACGCCTGGAGCCATCGTACGTGATAGGGATAGATGGATAGATGTAGAGTGAGGAGAGGATGAGAGAGGAAGAGTTGAGAGAAGAGAAGAAGAGAAAAGGGAGAGGAGGGGTAGATAAGAAGTCGCACAGCCTGCTAGCTACCTAACCGCCTGCATGCCAGCATATCCAAGCAAGTGCAAGCAAGCATCCTCATGGTGGCGAGCAAAGCAAGCTCCGGGAACTGAGTGAGACCTGGAGCCTTTGAGTTCGCCGGGCTGCAGCTTCGACGGGCCAGACGCGCGAGCAGGTAAGTATCCTTGTTCCCTACGTTAGACCGACAGCTATATATATATACTTATATCTATATATACAGACATGTCTATCTCGACTTACTCTATATCGACTTATCCTCTATATCAACTTATATCAACTGTATACGCGTCGGCATATCGGACCTGGTTCTTCCGTGCCGAGATAAGATAAGGCATACACAAGATGGAGATGGAGATGAAGATAGTTACATGGATGGATGGAAGAAGTCAGTGGAGTTGGTGGAGCGCCACTCCAACTTCCAACAAAGCAGATGCAGGGACAGGGAAATCGCTCAGCCAACCATCGGCCGCTGCAGAAAGGGACGAAAAGGGACGAAAAGGGACGAGAGTGCGTCTTTTCCGTATTGTAGTGAAGCTGCTTGATAAAACTTAATCTAGATAGACCATGCTGGCATATTTACCCCTAGGAGAAGAGAAGTAGAGGAAGGGAAGAGGAAGTAGAAGTAGAGGAAGTAGAGAAAAAGAAGTAATGTAGTAGTAGTGGCACACATCACGTACTAGTGTAAACAAAATCACTCAGAAATAAAGTAGAATCAATCAGATCAACCCAGCCCGAAGCCTCATCACAGGCCAAGCCGAGAGAGACGGTTTCTCGTACATCATCAGAATAAAGACAAGACAAGACAAAGTGGGAGGTAGGTCGTTTTTGGTGCAGAAGTGAAGAGAGAAAAGGGAAAAGAGAAAAGAAATAAGCCGGTGGTAAGACATGTGAGGTGGTAATTAAAGGAAGAGTAGTAGTATCAGGTGGGTAGGTTCGTCGCGAGGGTAGATGCATTAACCGAATGATAAGAAAGAAAATAAGTACGGTAAAAAGCGGGCGTGGAGAACGTCATAAGGTGAAAGGAGGACGAAATGAGGAGACTTTGAGATTGGAGAGAAAAAAGACACAGATATGAAACTCGCTGATGGAAGGTAGGAAAACCGAGGAAAGACAGGACGCCGCGCCGCGCCGCGCCGGTACAGTGTCGTCCCGTAACAGAGAAAGGAAACGTAAACAGGAACGCCGGTAGAAGCCAGAGGTCGTGGTGGTTGGAAATGGTATCAAGGTGTCGTGTTGTAGTGTAGTGTAGTAGGAGTAGGAGGAGTAGGAGGAGTAGGAGGAGGTGGATGCGGTTATAATATGCCCGAGTCCTTGAGTGCGTTCTGCAATATGGTTTCCTTGACGGCTGCAAACACGAGTCGGATGTTCGACGTATCGGTTGCTTGCGTCAGACTGCGCCAGTTAGCATTCACAATGGATATAAATATTAAGGTAATAGACAATTCAATTATGTAGAGGGGATGGACACGCACTGGGGATAGAGATTGAGGTGCGCGCGGTTGACCTGGTTGAACCGCCAGAGCAGGTACTTGGCCGCGCGATTGACGTCGTTGCCTCCCGAGTAGTCCGGGAAGTACTTATTTAGCGGTGACCGGCCGAGCTTCTGGCGGAAGAGATCGACCTTGTTGAGGAAGAGGACGATGGAGGTGCGCATGAACCAGCGCGAGTTGACGACGGAGTCGAACAGGACGAGACTCTCCATCATGCGATTCTGGTTGCTTTCCTCGAGCAGGACCTGGTCGTACTCGCTGAGGGCGACGCAGAAGATTATAGAGGTGACGTTCTCGAAGCAATGGATCCACTTTTTGCGCTCACTTCGTTGTCCGCCTACGTCGAACATGCTGCACTAACTGTTAGGAAGATATATATCTCGCAGGGAGGGATGATGCGTACTGGATGCTTAGCTGGCCCATTGTGAACCTGGTCTCGTAGATACCGGTGGTCTTTGTTCGGGCGCGCAGGACGTCTGCTTCGTTGGGTATGTAGTCCGGCGTCGTTATCCGCTTTGCCTCCTCGAAGAAGCTATTCCATGTTAGCTGTAGATAGAGAGTAAATAGAATAGAGAACGCACTATGGGGCAGAGTCCATGAGATAGAACTCGTTCTGGCGCTCGAGGACGGCCGGTATGCTGGGGTCGTTCCAGAGATATGTGATTGCATCCCCCACCTTGAGCTCGAGGGAGACATTGGGGTCCGGGTCGACGTTGTAGTCGAGCAGGTAGTCCATAAAGTCTCTCACTTTGGCGCTAGACGGCTGTATCTCGAACTGATGCATGGCCCAGACGAGCGACTTGGCGCAGTCGAGCAGGTTCTTGTATACTGTCAGACGGTACATGGAGAGCTCTTCGACCGTGTAGCCGTTCTGGTGGATAATCTTCATCTGTTTTACGATGGTCGACTTGCCGCTCTCTCCGGAACCTGCTGCCGTTAATATTTTCACCACAAAGTGACAAAACATGGAAAAAAGGAAGGGAAAAGAAACACACCGAGGAGCAGTATCTTGCACTCCTTCTTGAGCCGCTTCATGTCTTCTTCCAGGACTCTGTCTATGGCCTGGCTCTTCTTTTTCTGCTCCGCGATCTCGTCCGACCCGACGCCGGTCGAACTCAGACATCCTCCCATCCTTCCCGGCGGAGACACGGTGGCTGATCGGATAGTGTAGTGATGGCAGTCCCAGCGTTGATGCGGTGATCGGGGTACGGCGTGTATGGGAGATGGGTGAAGGTCGTAGGTGGTTGGTGTCAGGTTGGGGAGGTGAGGCGTGCGAACGCAGAACAAAGGCCAGGACCGCTTTGTTGAACAATCCAGCTGTCCCAGCTCTGTCTTCAGTCGCCGTCAGCCTGTCGTCCGTCAGCCGTCGTCCTTCGTCTTTCCTCCTGCTCGTCCTGCTCGTCCTGTTCAGTCCTCGAGATGGCGATGGACCTGTGGATCCTGGGCCGGAGACCCAGGCGGAGAGTATCAAGGCCAGCAGCGCATGTATTCGTTGTCGTAGTCGTCGTCGTCTTCGCAGTGTGTCTGTCGTGTGTAGTGTGTAGTGTCTGTCGCAGTGTCTTGTCTGGAGTGTATGTCTGGTGTAGTGTCTTGTCTGGTGTAGTGATGTCTGCTGTAGTGTAGTGGTAGAGATCTCGCGGGGAGCCCTGCCGTGACTGGGAAGCCCGGGGCCCCGTCCCAGAGCGGCCTGGCGGGCTTGCGGGCGTGCGGCTGGGGTTAGGTAAGCGTATTACCCACCATTACCCGCTTGCCTGGGCGTCCCTTGGGCGTGTTTCCCGCCCTGCGACTCCTGCCATTACGGCCTGTTACATACATAGATTACGCATATACTATAAGAGACAAGAGAGACACAGGGAGAGGAGGACAGAGGTCGATAGGAGAGGAGAACACGGGTGATCTGTATGACTCGCATTAGGCCTTAAGAGCACTGTTAAGGCTCTCTCGCCGTCTTGTCCCTAGCTTAGCACCGCTCGCTTCCAGGCCAGCCATGTGGGAGCGGCAGGGTTGCCTCTCCTGAAGTATAGACGAGGGACATCCTGATATTCTCCGGCATCGCTGGACTGCTGGTTGAATTGGTCCCCTTTTGCCTCCTGGATACTCCGTACTATCTGCTGTCTCTGCGTAGTCAAACCCTTCCGACACCAGAGGTAGCAGCTCAGCACTCCCGCGTGGCTCTGAAACCGCAACCCGTCCATCGCCGATGCCTGGCGTCGCCCTAGCAGGTACAGCCGGCCAACCAGGCGCTCGACCTCGCCATGGCTGGCAGGAGTAACTCGTTTCAGCCTTGGCTCCAGGCTGGCAAGGGGGAGACACCACGCTGTTTTCCTTCGCTTTGTCTGTCTTGTTTCATGAGATATCTTTGCTAGGCCGTTTCTTTGTTTAGGGTACTCCTGGTGTACTCCGTCTAATCATGTCGATGATCCCGGCCAGTCCACGTTGATGGCGGCGCGTTCCTCCCATCCGCAAACCCTATTAGAACATGAGAACAATGGCAATCACTAGCTGTTCTTGGGTATGTGCTGGCGATGAACATGGCGTTTCGGGCCCTGGTAATCATGATGCCGCGCCCTGTCTGTTGGCCCGGATGCTGTGTCGGCATGGCCTGCACCGTATTAGGTTAACGGTTCCAAGCTCAAGCTCTGCTTCGATCGACTCGTAGTCTGCATGGAGGCGACAGTGCGGTGGCGACGGGGAGGCGAACTGCCCTGTCCATCCTGTCAGCAGGGGCATTATCAACGGTATCCAGTAGAGGTAGTTATGGTGTAGTGTAGTGTAGATGGTGTAGTATGTAGTGTAGTATAATGGTGTAGATGGTGTAGATGGTGTAGTATGTAGTATACGGAGTGATGGTGTAGGTTAGCTATCCATGAAGAACATATCTCATCATCTCCATACCATAGAACCCATCTCCGTATCTCCATCGCTGCCGGGGATAGAAAGCCGCTGTATACCCAGCTCTTAGCTGTGCGGATATTGTTTAGGGTTGCTTACCTTTTCCACTTCCCACGTTTCGCCCGCTCGTCCATGGCCCCTCCTCCACGTCCACCGCCACCACCGCCAACTTCTTCGTCCTCCTCCGTCCATCTTCATCCCACCCATCTCACGATCTGCGACACAGTCTGACAGCCAGAAGCCAGACGCCAGACGCCAGACAGCTCCTCGGGTCGACAGAACACCCTCGCATCCTATAGTTGCTGCTGGCTCGGCCTGTCAAGCACAATGGCAGAGTTCGTTCGCGCCCAGATCTTCGGCACCACCTTCGAAATCACCACCAGGTACGTTCTTTGACGAGAAGAGAAGAAGACGAGAAGATGGACAGGCTTATCTGACTGTTATAGGTACACCGACCTGCAGCCGGTGGGGATGGGTGCTTTCGGTCTTGTCTGGTACGTCCCCCGCCTCTGGCTTGATATATCCTGAATCGACCAGCATCAACTAACAGGCTCATAGCTCAGCGAGAGACCAATTGACCGAACAGGCCGTGGCTGTCAAGAAGATCATGAAGCCGTTCAGTACCCCGGTGCTGGCCAAGAGGACCTACCGAGAGCTCAAGCTGCTCAAACACCTACGACATGAGAACGTACGATACCCTCTCCCTTGTCTATACCTATGGCTTACACCCCGCAGGTCATCAGCTTAAGTGACATCTTCATCTCGCCACTCGAGGATATGTATGTATGCCGCTGTCGAGATACCGACGGCCATCGCTGACGGTCGTCTCAGATACTTTGTGACCGAGCTACTGGGCACAGATCTCCATCGACTACTCACCTCTCGTCCGCTCGAGAAGCAGTTCATCCAGTACTTTCTATACCAGATTCTCGTACGTACCCCATATTATATGTATATACAGAGCTAACGTTAGCAGAGAGGCCTCAAATACGTCCACTCCGCCGGCGTTGTCCACCGCGACCTAAAACCAAGCAATATCCTAATCAACGAGAACTGTGACCTCAAGATCTGTGACTTTGGCCTGGCCCGTGTACAGGACCCGCAGATGACAGGTTACGTCTCCACGAGATACTACCGTGCTCCCGAGATCATGTTGACATGGCAGAAATACGACGTCGAGGTTGACGTATGGAGTGCGGGCTGCATATTTGCCGAGATGTTGACGGGTAGACCGTTGTTCCCTGGCAAGGACCATGTCAACCAGTTCTCCATCATCACCGAGCTGCTCGGTACGCCGCCGGACGAAGTCATCCAGACAATCGGCAGTGCCAACGTATGTTCCCCGCCCCCATCTCATACTACCCTTTTTTGCATGCATCGGCTAACCACCTCCAGACCCTCCAATTCGTCCAGTCTCTTCCCAAGCGAGAACGCCAACCGCTAAGTCAGAAGTTCAAGGACGCAGACCCCCTAGGTATGTCATACAAGGTACATCATAATTGTGGACACGCGATTAACCAACTTCCCCTCCCCAGCTGTCGATCTACTTGAGAAGATGCTGGTCTTCGACCCCAGAGCGCGTACTCGTGCCGGCCAGGCTCTGACCCATGAATACCTTGCACCCTACCATGATCCAACCGACGAGCCCGAAGCAGGCGAACGGTTCGACTGGTCGTTCAACGACGCAGACCTACCCGTCGATAGTTGGAAGATCATGATGTAAGCCACCCTTCAGCCACAAGCCACCAAATTACCGTTAACCACCAATACTGACGGTTCTTTACAGGTACTCTGAGATACTCGACTACCACAACGTCGACCAGGTTACGCAGGAGTACACCCAGCCCCAGCCGCCGCCAATAGATATGGTCGCCGCAGCAGCGTCTATGGAATGATGGCCCCCCCCCCCCTCAATAAATGAAACACTTGAGACAACGCCGAATGACACAGAAACTATTGAAAGGAGAACGTGACTAGGCGATCATTCGTCACGACGAACGGAAGACGGAAGACGGAAGACGGCCAGCCCGGCCAGCTTTAATTGCTAATATTTTTCTCTTACGCAAAAAGACACATGATATACGCGTGGCCATTGATCATCGTCCATTCCAGCTTCTACTCTTCTCTAAGGGTTATTAGCTAACCGACGTCACCGCTTCTTCTCTTTCTTCTTCTTCTTTTTTTAAGGGATGGATACGAGTCAACCTTGGGGAGTTGATTCTGGGAATTGGAATTATTTACGAGACCGCGATGTTATTTTTCATCTTTCCTCATACCTACATCTAGTCGCACTATCTTATATCCGGCATTATCTCATTCTTTTTATTCCTCCCTATTTTTTGTGCTTTTCTTTTCTTTTCTTTTCTCGTGCCTGTTTTTGTTTCTTTTCTTTTTTCTCTGCATGTTCCTGGTTGTTTGCTGTGGCTTTTTTGTCGTCTCCCCCTTCCCGGCCGGCCCAACCTTCTATTGGCCTGGCTGTGAAAAAGAGGCAACACTCGACCTGTGCAAGAAAACCACCATACATTGTACAGTAAAAAAACAAAGCAAAGAAAACCCAGTGAAAAAAAGTTGAAAAAACAGAGACACACGAGTACACGTCGGGAAGGCTGATGGGAGAAAAGGAGAAGACCGAGAACCCCGACCCGGTTTGCCTTACGCGTGTCGATGGACTGTCGATGGACTGTCAATGAACTGTCGAGCTGGTCTTGTTCTTGATCTCGGCTTGCATGGCTGGTCGAACTCGTGTTCATGCCATGTTATATATATGTGGTGACTCGGGGCATGACCTAGTTCTGGATATTAGAGCTCAAAGATACTACATATATCAAGCATCATACTCCATCCTTTTAACGATACTCTTCTGTAGATATTCCGTATATGTAGAGTAATATATGTAGAGTAAGATGAGAAACCCGCCGGGATGGAAAATCTATCTCACCGTCCGAGGTTCCCTGCATGCATGCATAACATACATAGCAACCGACCATGAACATCTAGATGAACAAGACAGCAGGCAAAAGAGACGGAAAAGCGCCGTCTGGTCGTGTCGATACACTGCATCTTTCAATGAAGCTGTGACATGGGCGGCGGTAAAGTCCACCAGGAGCCTATCGTGCTCGTGGTCGATTTCCATCATGCAAGGTGATTTTGCTTGTCCCACCAAAACCAGACCAGACTGCCCATGCATATACATACGCGTACTGTCTAGAGATCTATAAGCTAACTGCCGTCACCAATATAGGGGGCCCGAAGTCGAGTTCTGGTTCTGCGACGATGGAGTCGACCCGGTGCAGAAGAATGATTGGGCATTGCTGCCGTTCATGGCACTGTCGGACGGAGCGCATGCGTATGGAACATTTCCTGTCTGGTGTATAGCTTGGGGTAGAACAGCTCACTTACCCTTTTACTCGGTTGTGATAGATCTACGGAAGACTTCTCCTACTTCACGCTGCAATGCAAGGCGACCGAAGATACACCGGCTACCTCCCTGTTCGGAATATCGTGCACCACGCAGCTCGACTCGGATAAGTTGATAAACCGTCCAGCAGACGTGACGAGGTCGACGGTGCAGAAGGCAGTGGTGGCAATTATAAACGAGCCGCGCCATCTGGGCCAGCTGCGGGAGAAGCTATCGATCGTTACGTCGGCCTGGTTTGCTCAGCGGTATGAATTGCTGGTTTAGACCTCTATATAGGGTTGATGGATGAGTACTGACCTTCGCAGTGACTTTACGGATACGGATATCCTCCAGGTAAGTCGGTCTGTGCTATAAACATTGAGAAGTAGCTAATTTATGCCGGTAGAAATTCTGGGAGAGCTTGAAGATAAGCTTGAAAAATGAAGACATACACAAGGACGAGCATTTGGGCCTTTCGCTACGAGAAATGATACACGAATTCAAGCACCAGACTCTAGTTTTGTTTAAATGTTTATTGTTACAACCCAAAGTATGCTCTCAACCCTTCAGTATATGGCAATGCCGACCACCATTTGCTAATTCGCTCTTTAGATGTTATTTTTTGGTTCCAGATGCGAGCGTTTATGCATGATACAATTCTCATTAATTTCCTTGATACCCGGCCTTATCCATAATCTTCAAGACTGCGCGGACCCGGCATACGATACATATGCCCAGTCGGTCAAAAAACCAAGCTCGCTTAAAACGAGTGAGAGGAGCTCATGTATGGAACCCGTTTCTAGCAATGGGGGAAGGCCGTTCGTCTGGTTAACATTTGCCATTTAGTGCTTGCTTACATGGGGCTGCCCCTTCAGATATTTGGCAAGGGAAGCATGTTTGGGCCATATACGCCTCTTCAACAGCTGGACCTCCTCGCCGACTACGGAACGAAATCATATCTTGTCGGCTCTACCAACTCGTTACTCCTGCAGCAAAAGGATCGATATAGTGATATTCTAATAAATGTAACTTTCCCATCTCTTTCTCTTCCCCCCAAATTGCTCCAGAGATCGCTGACAACAATATGTAGCTTGATGAGGATACAGTCAATATCTCGTCTCCGTCTCTACGAGCAGCTCTCTCCCTTTCCGCCGCAGATCGTCGATGGATTGATTTCCTTACCCAGACAATAAACGAAACCTGGGACGATGCGCATCCTGCAAGACCGAAAACACACGGCTACCTAGGATCGGAAGAGTTTATTCGTCTTCAGTTCGAAGAATATCTTCTAGCCCTTATCTCTTGTGTCAAATACCACGATGAAATCACTGTGGGAGGCGTAACGAAACAACCAGCAAATGACATAGATGGCGACCCTGCGTTGGATTTCAACCTTGATTTCCTAGAACACTGGCGCCAAACTCCCAACTTTGCTCTTTTCGACAGACTTACTTCTGACGCCTTGCTATTTTCAGTCGTCGAACCTCGTCACCCGTGTGCCGGAGGGCTAGGGATTGAAGATATCCAACGACGACTAGCACAACAGGTGGCAGACCTGCACCTTGATGAACGGGTACGCGAAGGCCGCGAAACGCTAAATAAGCATCTAGCCACGGGTCATCAAAAAGTCACTACGGCGTTTAACAGCCTCTGGGCTGAGCTTGAAGCAAGGCGTGAAGCTCAGAGGAAGAAGATTGAAGAACGGGCAAGACAATCGGCACTAGCCGATGCCGACCCAAATGATAAATCGGAACCTGGCCCTTCTTCCCCCACACCATCCTCTCCTCGACACTCCACATCTTCGAACCCATCCGGATCAACGTCATGGTCATCGCTCGCCGCACGCAAGCCGCCAGCTGTGGATCTATCACAGGCCCAATCCACTGTTTCCGCGGCCAGTCAGAGAGCATCAGCATATTTTAGCTCCTGGGGTTCTTGGGCCAGTGATCGGCGGAAAGAATGGCAGACAAAGAACACCGGTAGCCCGGTCTCATCACCAACAACCACCACTCCAAGAGTTTCAATGTCTGCTAATGACAGAAGCTTGAATGAACACGCTAGCAACCCCCCAGTCACAAAATCGGCCAACACAGCCACAGAGAAACCAAAGGAAGATGTTGATCTGCCGCCTCAACCGGAGAATGGCGAGGTAGAGAAGACCACTCACAGCCTCCAGCATGAACCCGACCAACCGATGGAGAAAGATACCACGGCTACTCTAGCTGAGAACGATCCGCCTCCTTCCAACGAGGCTTCTACCGTCCCTCTACACGCACATAAATGAAGCTAATAATTTTCCCTTCTTTGGATCGCGAACAAAGTGAGCTGCATATTTTGATGATTAGCATGAGAGATGAAGTGTTATCCTTTTATTAGGAACTGTTGGCTTAGTTCGGGCCATATGTAATTTGCATATACTTTGATATAGGATGAAGCAGTTAAGTCATAATAGTAGATTTGGCGTCATAGAACTGTTAGCATTCTTATAGCAAAAGTCGTATTACTGTAAATGGAAGATTAGAATGGAGATCATAGAGTGAGAGAGGACACTGATTTATGTTCGTTTGAAAGTACTCTAGAGTACTCCGTACGTATGATTTGGAAATAATCTCGTGGGAAAAGTGAAAGTGGCTAGCTGCTCGCTCAGGATGAATGATGGTAGTTTGTAAAAGGAAAATAAAGAGGAAAGGGGGGATATGAAGGTGTATGTGGGTTTTCCAGCAACGGTAGCGTTTTAAGACTCTCCTCAACCGATCGCTTTCGTTGTTTGTGTTTAGTTACGCGTAATGACTTTTGCAAACGAGCAACAGAAATCCACCTCTATGATACAAATAGGGAGGGAGGGAAGGAGGAGGAGAAAGAATAAGAAGGAAGAGGAAGAGGAGGAAGTGTGTACCGAAGAATGCAGATGGATGGATGAGTATTTATTTCGTGATCACGTAGCATTGAGTGGCTGTTTAATTAAGCAATATATGCTATTTCATCACCATCCAGACGCTCAATGTATTCCTTCTCCATCAACCCTTCAATGTTTTTCTTGATGTCAGAGATCTTAGGTGGGAAGCGGGCGCTGACTTGCTGGATGACTTCCTGGACGAGCTGGACATGCTTCATGCGCTTGCGGGACTTCATGATACGCACGATGGCAGACTATAGCTAGGGTTAACAACGGAAATAAGGATAAAATATGTAAGTAGGTGGCTGCTTACCTGGAGAACCAACTTCCTGTCCTCTTCAACAGTCTTGTGTGTATCCTCGGCCTCGTGCTTCTGCTCGGACTTGACCTGAATGTTTAAGTTGACCTTGATCTTCTTCGCTTTGAAGTTATAGTTCAGTACGTATGAGGTTCCTGGACCTGGCTTCGCATTCTCAGGTGAAGGGATGAGAACTTTAGCCTTGACGAAGATACCAAGGTTGGGATCAAGAATATCAGAAGAGAGAGCAGTTGCCTTCTCAATCTCTGAGTACTCTAGGCTATCGTTGTCGTTATATAGAAGTAGAATACCCATTTGGTAGGTAGATACCTGGAATGTGTAGGGGACCTTCGTGTTCTTGACGTAGTTTGCCTTGATTTCACCCTTGCATAATTGCCAGAGCCAGGTTAGCTTACGGCCGCTGTGCTTGTCGAAATAAAACGACTTGAAGCGTTCGACGGTCTTGTTGATAACCTGAGGTGGAATAAATTGCGTTGATGGAGGGTTGAGAGGCCAGAAGCCAGTGCCGAGCACCTGGAAGTGCGGATCGACCATTTTCTTACGGTCTTCCTCGTCGAAAATCTTCTCCTGCCATTCACGGTAGTTGGTGTTGAGATCCTTTGAGATCTGGATATCTTGGAACATTCGTTGGAGTTTGTTGGTATATTCGAAGCCACAAGCCTCCTTCAGTTTGCTGATCATACTAGTCTCAGCGTCATCGGATACGGAGCTGACATGAACTAGACGTTTGGCCAGCATTCGAGAGTAGAACTTTTGGAAGACGTCCTTGTCTTCGATATATTTGAAGACGGTCATGATCTGGACGAGGAGCTCCTCGAGCTCTGATTCTTCAGGCGACTTGGCGCCCTTCTTGAGCAGAGAGTCGGTGTATCTAGCCAACAGCTCGGGGGATTTGGTTGAGCTGGTGGTGCAAAGAGCGTTACGGTTGACAAATTCACGACAGGCATTATCTAAGGATCGAACAAATTCGGTTTCACCAGCGAAGGCATCGTCCACCATCGATCTGTACTTTCCATGCACTTGCAGTAAAGAGTCAACATACACTTTTGGGTCAACAGCTTCGCCGCCTGGAGTGGCCACTTTTGCAATAGCAGACAGGCCAGCTTTCCTAACATGAGTTTCAAACCTATTTCTTAACGGATCCAAGCCATCCTTTATCTTTGACAGAAGTCGGTACATCCTGGCAAGATCGTCTTGTCGTTCGGCGTCAAGGAGGGGCTGGAATTCGTCCCGTAGTAAGCCACAGTGTGAAGTAACCAAGACATCCAGACAGGTGTCTGTCAAATTCTTAGTAACGTCCGGGTGAAGGTACAGGTCGATGCGAGCGCGCTCTTCCTCTAGTCGAAGTTCCGCCTTCTTCATGTATTCCACGACGCTGTTTTCAGCCACGAACCGTTTGGACTCTCTATCATAGTAGACTCGCGTGGCCTCGATGAATGGCTTTTCAAAGTAGTACTGGTAGACAACCAGAGTCGACTTGGAATTATCGTTTTCATCCAGACCGAGAGAGACGAAAGAATCGACGATGTGCTTTATCTGGGACTGTTCGATGGTTTCGCCATTCCGCTGCTTCTCGATGAGACCTAGTACGGCACTCATGACGTTCTCGTGGACAAGCCTGAAGAAGTCCTCCTTCCATCTGACAAGGTGAAGGGTGTACACATCGTAGATATCCTTCTTGCCTTCGTCGACTTCTCGCTTTACCCAATGGCGGTTTAGGTATCTGAAAAGATGGTTGATGTATTTCGCGGCGGTGGTATAACGGGACCATTCTCTAATGTAGAACGAAAGGAGTGGCTCGTCAGAATGGCTGAGAGAGGCTTTGTAGACCCCTTCGAGGTGCCGGGAAAGATAGTGCCCAAGAAGGTTGTAGAGCTCCTCTCCGAGCAGATGGGCTGGATTTATACGGTTAGTGCTACGCTCTTTTGTTTGAGGAAGTTCAAGTTGCAATTTCTTACCGCCTCGCGTGCCATGCGAAGAAGAGGAATGGCTCGAGAAAGCTTTTTGGGAGGTACAAAAATTGTGAACAGCACTGTAACGAGTCAACTTCTATCCGGCTAAATGAGGTGGGGGGAAGCTAACGTGTAAACACCCATATACTAGAAAAATGGACATATTAGCATTTCTAGATCGAATAGTGGAGCAATCTCGTCGAGCTTACAGATGACATATCAATGCCGCTGTTCAGGTCAGTCATCACCCTCTCGATACCCTGCTCGAGAAAGGTCCATCTAAACAGGTAGAAGAACATGGTCAGTCAATATCCGACTCCGGCTACTGGTTGAATCAGCTCCACTCACGTCTCGTCAAGGTCATCTCGGTGAGGCGCCGCAAACCTCGAGGGAGGCATATCTGCCGTTCCTGTATGCGTTCTGCGAGCAAGACGGTGCTTTTAGTATATCGTCGGCTGTGACGTGGGGGAGCCCGCGACCAACCTCGAAGCGAGAACAGGTGCCTGGATGGCGGAGAAGAGCGCTGGCTAGCGGAGTAAGAAGGGATCAACTGAGCTCGTAGGCGTGTGCTGTGCTAGGAGCAGCCGGCCAGCGAGAGTCCTAAAGATATATGGCGAGTAGAAGAGCCAGTAGAGACCAGCAGATTGAGCGTGTTGGTGGGATGACGGGGAGAGAAGTATGTTTCAGGGGAGGCCAGGACAACGATAGATGTCCGTAGATCTGGCACGCTGGCACGGTATCTGCCAGGCAGCGAGATGGAAGGGAAGCTGTCGACTGCTGTCTATCTTCGAGGAGCTTGAGAGGCCAAGCAGGCAGAAGAGGAGACTTGATAGAGGTCGAGATAGCGAGGGAGAGGAAGAGAGAAGAGAAGAAGAGAAGAGAGAGAGAGAGTCAAAGTGAGGGAGAAGGCGCAGGCTGCACAGCGCTTAGGTAAGACACGCACTTTTCCCCTTATCGATAACACTCGGGAAGATGACGTTGTTTTGCAACAGAGACAGAGAAGACGAAGTCTGATGGACAGGACTATTGCTGTTCTATATCACTGTTCAGTCTTCAATATAGGATGGAGAAGATGGAGAAGATGGTCAGACCCTTGCCGGAGTTGCAGGTCACGAAATGCTTGATCCCAGCCTGGAGGGACATCCCCAACACCTCTCTCCAGTCCAAGCCTCTGCTCATCTATCATTCAGTGTTTGACTTTGCCTCTTCCGATGAGGTCCGAAAGCACCTGGACACTGTTGGTGCGGTCACTCCCCAGTGGACGTACTCGATGTATACCACAGATCACTTCCACTCAACCACACACGAAGTACTCGGCGTCGTGGCGGGAAGGGCCAAGTTGTGCTTCGGCCACGAGCAGAATCCAGACAGGTACGAGCCGACTGTGTCAAGGGGGGATGTGATCATTGTCCCTGCAGGAGTAAGTCACCGGCTGCTCGAGGACGTGGATGGAGGCTTTGCCATGGTCGGCGCATATCCGCCTGGAAAGCAGTGGGACATGTGCTATGGAGGAGAAGAGGACGCTGGGAAGGTAGACTCGGTCAAGTCTGTCCGCTGGTTCGATAGAGACCCTGTATACGGCCACTCGGGGCCGGTGTTTGACGTTTGAAGGAGTGGTTGATATCCCAAAGTGATTCAATAGCTAATATGTAAATGTATTTATATGTACTCAAAAAAAGGACTCAAAATGCAAAGTGGTAGTGCAGAAGATGGAATTATTGACACCGCATCCAGTAAACCCTCTCCCAACCGTGAGAAAATGAAATCAAGAATTCCAGCGATTGATGCAAAATGTGACAATATAAAAGGCCAAAGAGAGAGTATCTAGGACGTAGAAGGAAAGATGTGGCAACATGCAGTGATAGGATAGTAGGTGTTACAATGTAGACGAAAGATAGGTTTGGTGATGTGTAGATGTAGACTGTAGATATAGGGCGTTACTTGGCCGCCACACGCTCGATGACCCTATATAATATTAGCGAGAACTATCTTAAATAAAAGAGGATAACATACCGTAGAGCACTGATCATAAAAGTCATCAACCAGGCAACCAGCACAACAAACAAGACAGCAGCCAGTACCTTCTGCCTGTCACAGATGAGGTCGTTTCTGGGATCTACCGCCTGGTTCGTATCGCTGGTAGAGCATGACTCGTTAACGTCAGACAACGAAGCAAAGGCCAGACTTAGATTCGCCGATGCAAAGACGATGAAGACCAGGTCGAGGAATATCAGCCGAATCTTTGCCGTGGCTGACCGTAGGCCCAGCGGTTTCCCCGTGTACTCATCGTAGGTGATGTAGACTAGGTATACGAGTGCAATTGCATCGAAGATGATGGCCATGAGAGATGACGGCCCTTGCGGTCGACCGTGTTCCGTCGAGAGCTGCCGGATCGTGCCCCCGAGCGAGAGGGCGATGGCCGAGAATATGAAGACCGTGAGCCGTATGATGAGCGGCACCATGGGACTGTGGAGGATCCTATACTGGAATCCCTTCACCCATCTCTTCCGCCGTTGTATGAATGTGCCCGAGTTCCGTCCGCTCTCGGCATCCTTTTCATCAACGTATCCCTTCCACGGGCCGGACAGGTCACCAAAATTCTCGTTGAGCCAGTCCGAATCGACGATCTTGCCTTGCTGTGTCGTGTCTCGAGGGTATGCCACCGATCGAGCGAACGTCCTCCATCTGGATTCCTGCGTGTAGTGCGTGTAGGCCCGATATCTCGCTGTGTCTTCATCCCCGTCTCCGCCGTCCAACACGGTTTCCTTGCCCTTGGTCGTCGAGTAGTGGTGGTCAGCAATCCGGGCATCTCCCGGCGGCAGCAGTAGTGGCTGTGATTGTGATTGTGATTGCGGCTGTATCTCTGAAGCATTGGCTTCTCCGTCGTCTCCAGCGTGTTTTACCCAAGCTGTTCAACCCGTCAGTAAAAGACTTCTATTCACCAGACGACAACATGTACATACCCGGAACTGATCGAGCAGACACCGGCCCCGACCCTTGAGTTCGCGGTATCGATCCCTGGCTTCTGGGGGAGTAGCTCTTGGTGGATTGGCCCTGTCTCGAGCCTATACGCTGATATATCGACCGTTGCTCGTCCGACTGACTCGCTCCCGAGACCGACTGCGCCGACCTCCGTCTCGACAGCGGCGGCTCCAGCAGCCTAAGATCTGGTTTCAGCCTGGGAGAGCCTCCCCGGGACGCCGAACGATGAGACCGCACCGTCGACTCCCCCTGCGTGGCCATCTGTCTGTCCTAAGGGGGTACTCTTGACGCTCTGCTACACACGATATCGCCAACGACCGCTGCGGCGCATGGTTCCGCGACGTCCGGGCAGCGAGGAGGTGGAAGAACGAAGGACGAGCTGCAGGGACGCTGGGAGGGGGAAAAGCACCGCCGTCTATCTGTTCGTCCGCGGGCGGGATTGTTGGTGATGTCAGATCTTCTCTGCGCTCCCTTATGGCATCAGGGACTCGATGAACGTGGGATTCGCGCCAAGGGGCTAGAGAGACGGGGATGCCAACCTGCGATCAAAAGCTTCAAGAAGACCAGGGAAGAAGAAACGAACGTCGCCGCAGCAGAACCTGTTCGTTCGCCTTCGCGTCGCCTTCTCTGGCGCATCCTCGTCTGTCGCATCTTCGACCCGCCGGGCGCAGCAATTCGACGGTGGCGGACCTGAAGATGAGCGCGAAGCTTGAAATCTCGGACAGACAAAAAGAAAATATATACATAATTTAAAAAGGCAACTTCCCAGTATCTGCCTGTTTGACCTTTACAGACGAACCAAGATGCGTCTCTTCCTGATCCCGATATCGACGGGCCGCACGCTCATCTACTGCAAGAGACTCGACGCCGCGGTGCCGGCGAAGCAGCTGAGCTATCTCGACCGCATCACGAACAAGGCGACGGCGACCTGGGCCAAGTGGGAGACGGCAGAGAAGGGATGGCAGAAGACGCTGGTCACGTACGGCCATCGGGCGCTGCAGAGGATACCGTACGAGGAATGGGGGCTGAAGAGCGTGCCGCCGCTGAGCTCGCGGCGGGAGACGGAAGAGCTGCGGACGAAGAAGCCAGTTGAGCTGCTCTATCCCAAGAATGCGATCCAGACGAGTAAAGTGCTCGGCCTGCTGCAGAAGCTCGCGACGGAGAGACAGCAGCTTCACAGGAAGCGGATGTGGTGGAGCATCGTGGTTGCGCCTTTGACGGCTCCCTTTGCGCTGGTCCCGGTGTATGTCTATCCGCGTTCTAGTAGGTTGATGGAGACTACGTGCTGACTGCGTATAGGATACCTAATATACCCTTCTTCTTCTTCTGCTACCGCGGCTGGTCCCACTGGAGAGGTCAGTCTTGTCCGTTATAGCTGGGAGTATAGATACTGACTGTCACAGCATGGGGTGGCTCGAAGCACCTGGAGTTTCTGCTCAAGGAGAATCTCATCCAGCCTAGATCGCTTGCGGACCTGGAGAACGTCTATCTACGGCACTACCCTCACAGTGAGGGTGCGAAGACGACTGATGAGAAGGCCACGGCAGAGTGTGCAGACGGCCACTGCGAAGAAGTGATGCTGTTGAAGGATACGGATGGCAGGGCGCTCGCAAAGATGCTGGATGCCCCTGAGCTCGTCGCCGAAGTCGAGCGAGCCGTCCACCAGGTCGAACAGCAGCTGAAGAGACCTGATCAAACGAAGAAACCCGACCAAAAAGAAGCTGACGAGAAGAACGACGAGAAGAACGACGAGAAACGGTGACGACTCTCCTTTGCATATAAAACCTTGCCATGTATATTATTGTTTACGGCATAGACCTAGTCAGGCATCATGAGCCATGCAGATATATTAATGACCGACCTTCTGATACTCTATATCTACATCTCCATCTACATCTACATCTATATCTACATCTACATCTACATCTATATCTACATCTACATCTACATCTATATCTACATCTACATCTACATCTATATCTACATCTATATCTATCTACGTCGTACGTATATATTGTGCCGGAAATAAGATATTCCGCTTACTCATCCACCCCAGAGCTCCATCACGATAAGCAAAGTGAAGAAGAAGAAGAAGAAGAGAAGAAGAGAATAAGAGAGAGAAGAAGAAGAGAGGCCAGTCAATTCATACGTATACCTCTCTTATCCCTGTCTGACCCTCAATTATGCCCGAGAAGAAAATAGAGCAGTGGGAAGTCGAGCGGTACTGGGAGATCTTCTCGTCGCTATCTAATGGCCAGCCACGACTCAACAACGCGCAAGCGGCCACCGTCCTACGAAACAGCCGGCTGCGAGATGACCAGCTGGAGCGGGTGTGGGATCTGGCGGACGTCGACGGAGATGGAGAGCTGGACTTTGAAGAGTTCTGCGTGGCGATGAGGCTTATCTTTGACCTGGTCAACGGGGTATACATGCCTGCCTAGCTACTATACAACAAGAGTGATACTCATTATGGCTATAGGAATACAACGATGTACCGGCCTCTCTACCGGACTGGCTGGTCCCGGAGTCAAAGGCGCATCTTGTCCAGGCCAGTCGAGCGCTGACGGGCACACAGCCTCAATTCGAGAGAGTAGAGGCAGACGACGACACGCCTGGCCTCATGGACGGGTTCGACTGGTACATGGGACCGCAGGATAAAGCCAAATATGAAGAGATATACTCTGCAAACAAGAACCACAGAGGAGAAATCGCATGTACGTATATACCCTGTGTCCCTTCTGGCTGGCCTATCAACTGACCCCTTTCCCTTCCCAGTTTCCTCTCTAGAGGACCTATACGACTCCCTCTCCGTGCCGGACACAGATGTCCGCTCAGCATGGAATCTCGTCAACCCGTCCGCCTCCTCCACCATCTCCAAAGACGCAGCCCTTGCCTTCCTCCACATCCTCAACAACAGACATGAAGGCTACCGCATTCCCCGCAACATCCCCGCCTCTCTACGCGCCTCCTTTGAGTCCAACAAGATCGACTACCAGCTCGACAACGTCCGTACAGCCAAGAAATGGGGGGTCTCCGGTGATGCTGACACAAGTACAGGCCGGAAGGCTAAGTTTGGTGATGCCTATCTAAGCCGGTTAGGCGTTGGAGGGAAATCCAGCTACCAACCACAAGGCACAGATTTTAGTGCTACCATACAGGACGAGGAGTGGGAGAAGGTCCGTCTACGGCGAGAGCTAGCGGATCTAGATAAGAAGCTCGAATCCGCCAACGCTGCCGTGGAGGCGAGGAAGAACGGGACGCGGGGGAGAACAGACGGGCCCAATTGGACCATTATCAAGAAGGAAGCATTGCAGATGCTAGAATATAAGGAGCGTGAGCTGAGAGAGCTGAGAGAAGGGACTGGTCGGGTCAGCGAAGGCGAGAGCCTCAGCAGGGTTCGGGCTGATGTCAAGGCCGTCGAAGAGCAAGTCGAGGGCCTCAAAGCGCACCTAGCAAAGCGCAACGAGGTTTTGTCAGACCTGCGCCAGCAAGTTCAGGAAGCGAAACGTGCTCGATAGTGAGTGCTGAATTATATTAAACCCTTTTTTCTTACCATAGTATTCCTCTGGTTTATTCAGACGGTGTATCATTTACGTTAATGCCCTATTTTTCTACGGAGTATATTTAATGGTATTCTTTTCAAGGAGGCTCTAGATAGCCTTCTGCTGCAAATTAACCTATTACGCTAGCATGCTCTATATCATTACACGTTTCACGCCAAAGATAGCGGCTCACTTCGACCGACAACACCTTTTTCATTTGGTCGTAATGTCAGCCATGATCTCATCTGCGTCAGTCTTCGCCTTGACAGCAGTAAAGGCACGACCGCTCTCATTCATCCCCTGGTCAGAATACGCCTCTTCACTGCGGTCCGTCAGGATATCTAAATCCCGCTGAGAAAGTAACGATTCCGAGGTCGTTCCCGCGCCGATATTGAATACTTCAATATCCTCATCACCGAATATCTTCTTCAATTCGTCTGCTTGACGCTGCGGGTTAGATGAGCCCGACGGGTCCAGTAGACTCTTGAATTTGCCCTTTTGAATAACTAGTTTCTCTAGCCGGCGCTTGGAACCAGCCCGCTCAAGGAGGGTCTGTTCAATCGTACCCCTGGTGGCCAGCCGGTAGACAATAACAGGCTTCGTTTGGCCAATGCGGTGGGCGCGATCCTGTGCTTGGAGATCTTGCTGTGGATTCCAGTCGGAGTCGAAGAGAATAACAGTATCGGCAGATGTAAGGTTGATTCCCTGGCCCCCCGCTCGGGTACTTAGCAGGAATATCCTGTAGTCAGGATCTGTGTTGAAGGCATTGATCTGCTCCTGACGATCGGCCTGCGCAATTGCGCCGTCAATTCTACAGCAGTTCCAAGACCGAAGCTGCGTAGCCCAATCTTCCAAGATGTCAAGCTGGCCTTTAAACTGTGAGAAGATTAGGATTTTGTGCCCCTTTGATATGAGACAGGGCACAAGACGATCTAGCAGGAGCATTTTGCCGGATGACGTTACAAGAGTCGAGTCGACTCCAGGTGAGTTTTCATCCCATGGCCAGTAAAAGTTGAGCGGCGAGTTGCAGACCAGCCTAGCTTGCATTACAGGATTTTGCAGCTTCTTGGATGAAATTTCCTTTTCTGTGAAGATAAATATTAGAGGCTGTACAGTTTTCGGCTTCTGAATAGGGGGTAACACGTACTTGCTAGCTTCATTGTCTTCGCTCGTTCAATTTGCTCCATCTCACCTTCGCTAGGCTCACTCGTCTCCGGGGTATCATCTTCAATTCCACACTCAAGTTTTGCCAACTTGCTATTGAACTCCCTATCAGATATCTCTTTGTAGGTTTGTCGCCCTCGACGGCGAGTCCGGGTTGGCGTAGAGTCACGACTGGATTTTGCGCTCTTGTTTGGAGTACTTAGCTCGCTACCAGTTGCACCTCTCTTCAAACTTTGTGCTCTCGACTGCTTAGCCCATCCGTTTCTGGCTTCTATTCGCTCTGCGGCTTTCTCTTCGAGGTACTGGCGGCTTGTGCCATTCGCTATCTGGACATACAATTCCTTTTGTTCCGGTGTTAAAGGGGCGTACAAGATGTATTCTCGTTTCTTCGGGAGTGACGATTCAACGTCTGTCTTTAATCGCCGTAATAAGAACGGCTTGAGAATAGCATGCATCGTAGACACGAGATTATGCTTTCGTCTTTCGGTAACGTCTTTCTGGCCTGACTCGTCGAGAACGGATGAGAAATCAAACCAGTTTTGAAAGTTATCAAGGTCATTGAATATCTCTGGGAGTAGGAAGTGAAGCAGGGACCACAGCTCGGCTATATTGTTTTGTAGAGGAGTTCCAGTTATGAGTAAACGATTGGCAGAGGGATAGGTCAATAGCTCCTTTATCAGTTTACAGTTCATATTCTTAAGCCGGTGTCCTTCGTCCTATGAGTTTGGCCATTGGTTAGCCTCCAAATCACGCTGTTAATAGCTCAAAACGATTTCACTCACCACGATGATATATTTCCACTGGTAGCTTGCGAGGAACTTTCGATCATTCATGCAGATCTCATATGATGTGCAAACCACCGGAAAATCCGGTGATTTCTGATCCTGGGTTTTCATCTGTGTTCGCCGAATCTCGCTCCGCTGTTCCTTGGTTCCATGATATAGAACAGTTTTAATGGATGGAGTCCATCGCGCGAACTCGTTCACCCAATTGCTCACCGTACTCAGGGGTGCAGCTATTAGGAATGGACCCGAGATGTTATGTTCCTTGAAAAATGCAATCAGCGATATTGCCTGGATTGTCTTGCCGAGGCCCATCTCATCGGCGAGAATACCGCAGAGCCCGTTCATCCAAAGGGACTTCATCCATTCCAAGCCCTCGAGTTGATACTGTCTCATTTTCCCACCCGTAATCAAGGACGGCTGTTGGGTTGCAACCAGATCTTCTTGCTCGCCTAAGGCTGAAGGTTTCGCCTCGAACTCGTCCGCAGCCTGTGCCAAAGCTTCTTGAACAGTAGGTTTGTCTTCTGCAACTTCGACATTCGCTTGCTTAAAGTAGCTGGTAATACTGCTTTTGGACCCCTTTGTATTTTTCCCAGCCCCTGCTCGACTAGGCAGCTTGGCTGCGCTGGTCTTCTTCCCCTGGGTATCTTCGGTATCCTTGGGCATATCGGACGGAGCATTCCTCCCACTAGCTCTTGTTGTTCGCTTGCTCGCGGGTTCAGTAGTAACCTGCTGCTTCTCAGCGAGTGTTTTTGGTTTCGTAGCTTGTCTTTTTGCCTGTTCTTGTTGTTTCTTCTGCTGCTCCTTCATTTTATCAGCCATAATAGCTACAAACACCTGCAAAATCTCATGTTAGCTTCTTATCCTTCAAGTCGAGGTTTTCGAAATAGCCTATTGACATACCGAGCTAGTTTGTAGTAGCTTCGTCAATGCTCGGGCTTTTATACCCATACCCTCCATATCATCTTCCTCTTCCTCTTCCTCGTGTTTATTGATAGCTTTTGATTCCATGATGTTCTCTTTATTTTCACCCCCCTGTACTAACAAGCTTGGACAGGTGGTGGCGGAACTCGCGGCAAAATCGAAAACGATAGAGATGGTAGAAATTGTGGTGTACACCCTGATATCCCTCTTCAATATGTCTATAGGCTTGGTTAGCTATCCATCACTATAACATCTTTCATGTGTAGGATACTAACCTTGAATCTGATGAAGACGAATTTCGTCAATGAGAAAAGAACGGACGGAAAGCCTGGCAGGCAGGTTAAATGCAGACAAATATAAGAATAGTTCCAGGCATATATCACGGCCAACCACTGTCTGTTCGATTATCTACAGGGACCTGTATCCATCCCTCTGACGTTGCTGCCTCCTACCACTTTACGCGTAAAACTACTTAAAAAAAGCGCGTCGTGGTAGATATTATATAAGCGCCAAGGCTGTTACCTTTTTAAGCCTCACGATGTGTCACGTGATACAGCTGCATTTCAACCTCAAAGAACCAAGAGTCGAAGAATCAAAAGAACCAAAAGGACCAATTGTATAATCAAACAATGTTTTTTTTGTTATTATTATGGGAAACCAATATCTTGGAGAATACAACATAGCTACAGTGCAACACCAATGAGCCATCTACCAGATAGAGTGGAGATATGAACCTCGCAATCCTGACGCGCCGCAAGACTCCTAAACTAACAAACTAACGACAAACCAACGAGATGACCGCAACGAAATAACAGATACCCAAACAGATGGATTAAGAGGGAGGGCTCTGATGGTCCCTTTGTTTCTTTTTTGAATTCATGGCTTTGGCGTTGATGGCGCCGCTCGGGGTCTCAGTGTCCTCACAGCTGAACCATTCAATCTTGTACTGCGCCGTCTGTCCTCTGCGGGAACAGCTGCCTTTTTCTTGGCCAGTTTCTTCTTCGTTTGAGTCTCGCCGATTTCTTTCTTTTCTTTAATCGTCGGGGCGTTTTGAGAATCGGCTGGCGTGAGATAGAGGGTATGAGGAGCGCATTCATCCTGCTCGCTCTTCGGTTTACACGGCGGAACGTCACAACACACATGGACGACAGTAGTAAACGATTTAACATCGCAAGTATCGTCGTCTTTGGAAATATCTTCAGGCTTAAGCTTTGGGGGTTCCGTAATTGGAATAGGGGTCTCCTTCTCCTTAGTTGTCTCATCGATTGAATCGGAAGGCCCGGTGGAACTTTGTTGAGAGTGCTGAGTCTTCTGTGATGGCGAAACGGGCATTATCTGTTCAACTGTGGATAATCCTCCCTCTGCTACGATAGCGCTCGCTGCTTCTCTTTGGTTTTCTCTCTCGTCAGTGGAATTTGGGATATCAATGCCCATGAGATCAGTATCCTGACCTTGTTCATTTACACTCCCAGTCATCCCTGTTAATGGGAATGTTCCCATTTGTGGTGATATAGGCGAATAGGCTGGGCCACGCTCCCTATCCCCTGGAGAGCTAGATGTCAGATTGGTATCAACCTCTTTATTGGTAGTCTTTATAGTCAACTGTGGGATATTTTTCTTCGTTGGCGTACTAAAGGGGCTCGCTGTTGAATCTGAAAACCCAGGCGGAGGAGTCTGGAGGATCGTGTCGTCGCTGCATGCGCTAGGTGAAGCATGGGTGCTGTACATCAGAGGTAGTTTCCGTATCGGTAAGCTGAGCTGTACCCTCTGAAGCGGTTTACCTACCGCGAGTGAGGTAGATTGTCGCTTAATCTCAGTTTCAGCTCTCACCGCATGCAGCCTTTCGTTTAACTTCTGAGACGATGTGACTTCATTCTGGGAGCCAGCCTGTCCTGAATTATACCACCAGGGCCCGCTTAATACCCTCTGCACGGGGAGTGTGTCACGCCGCCTCAGAGGACTTGATGGGGCTGCAGATTCCGAAAGCCGGCGTTTTCTAGACTCTGTCCGTTTGGATATTGCAGAAGAACTAGGTGGTTGGTCATGACTAGAGGGCAGTGGCACGGGAGGGCTCGAAGGTATGCCTTGAGGTGACGGCGGTGATAACGACAGCGTGAATGGGATGCTTTGTATCTGCGCTGCGCCCTCAGGGCCAACACTCAGTCGAACGATTGGACTTTCAGGTCCATGGCCATGGTTTACAGCGCGACTTGGTGTACTTCTATCATGTCTCTGGAGGGATTTTCTGCGACCGAAAATTTGTTGAGCAGCATTCAGGGGAGTCGAGGGCAACGGTGGGTTGCTTTCTTCGTACAGTGGTACATCATAAGCGTTCCCGCCGGAGTCTCCAAAATGGTTGATGAAACGAACATTTGAGCCGACGGTGCTATCATCCTGCGAAGAAGTTGGAGGTGAGGAATCTTCAACCTGGGTCGCTGACTGGTTGCGTGCACTCTGCTCGGGGTCATCCGAGTCGAGAATCCACTTGAATTCATCCTCACCGTCGAAGTCTGACGTCTGGTTAATGGTCGCAAGATCATTCTTCCACTCCCCAGCATATTTTGTGTCGATACCAAGCCTTCGCAGGAACCTCCGAGCAGCTAAAAGCTCGCTTGCCTTGATCATGAGATGATCAAGTGTGGTGCGGTTCCTTGTAGCTCTGAGATACTGTTTTGATATGCTTCGAAAGACCAGTTGGCCTGGGACTCGAGACTTTCGCAGGATGCTATTATCGATGCGGAGAAGCGCTCTCAGCTGCTTTACCTGCATTTCGTTCAACTTCTCAGCTTCTTCCTCAGCCTGCTTCCTGCGACGTGCTGGGGTTTCGAAGGCGTCTTCCTGTTCCGAGGATGTCAGTTGCAACATGCCCACAACACGCGGCCATGTATAAACTTGGGTGAGGTTCTGAACTATCTCCATTTGTATGATGGGGCTGAGATCTTTCCATTCGACATGTGTTGGCGCGTGAAGGTACTTATAATCCTCGACATCAACAGAGTGGTCGTCATCGCCCCCACTGCCATCTTCGTCGCTTGATTCCATGTCGCTCCATGTCTCGCTCTGAAATCTAAAATTTTAAATACCCAGCATCAGAATACAGCATCAGAATACAGCATCATAATACAGAGCTGCCGTGTCAGAAAAGGGGCCATGACTCACTGATTAGCAGCACTATTCAGAGAGGTTATTCCATTGTTTGAGGACGGTACATTTCCCGGCCGAGGGCTATCGTATGTGGGAAATGCAGCCGGGGGTGAATTCGGATTATAATCGATGTACGGCGGTGGCCCGGCCGTTGGCCTCGCGATAGGCGGAATACGTGGCGGAGATGGCAGCTCATCTTCCATGTCGTCGTCTAGTTTTGACGCGCCTCGACGACCAGAAGCATTTGTTCCTACCCAGTCTCCAGCCCCATACCTATCTGGAGGCCGGAGGAGCTCTCGCTCTCTCAAACGCATGTTGCAGAAGGCTGTACGGCGCGTGGACTCAGCTGTGTTCCTGTCAGAAGTGATGTCAACAGTGACTTTGATCTTATAACAAATGCCTAAATATCAAATCGAAGCTCTGAGTCCTATCCTCTGGTCTCCAGCAAGCAAGGGAGGGAGTTAATATGGCCAAATATGCAAAGCACGGCCAGTCTTGTAGAGGTAGCAAGCAGCTGGTGGGTTGTTTGCAGGTAGAGAGAAGTGAAAGGATGCTCCAGAAGAAAAACAGGCAATGATGAAGGCCTGGTATCGGCGCTGTGAATGTCCATTACGACGCTGTGATATTGGCAGGTCACCTATACCCTATTTGATATCGGAGGCGCCGAGGGCAAGCTATGGGTAGAGAGCATTGCAGCAGGCATTTGGAACATTAGTTTCTACTGCTGAGAATGCAGAACTTCACTGCATGAATAGTATTGTCCCTTAAGCTAAGAGAAATGACACTGTTGAAGGGGTAGTATAATGAATACAATGAGCAGTGAAAGGGAGCGTGGCAATCATCATCAAAGCATTCAAAGGGGGAAAACAAAAGGAAAAGAAGCCAAGCCAGTGCATCTTTATAGACTCGAGTGTAGCTTTCATGAAACGGAAGGTAAGTCTCTAAAGTTGATTCCCTCTTCGCACTTTCTCAGGAATGCGTCAAAATAGAAAATGAAACGTAATTATTAGAATAAAAAAGGCATGTCCCTTCACAGTCGTTACTATCTTATCCTCGGCTTAAATCACGGAATGGAGGCAGTGAAGGCCGGCTTGGATAGTCCTCCCTCTCCTGTCCTCCCAAGTCCATGTCCATGCCCATGTTTCCACCATCCGTAGATGATTCATAGGCGACATAAAAAGACCTTTTCCGAGAAGGTTGACAGTCAGGCTCTAGTCCACCGGCTTGCTTTTGCTGAGCCGCCGTGTTTCTAACGACAGCCTTTTGTGCATCGAGTATAGTCTCGAAAGACATCAATATGTTGCCAAAGGCCAAGCCCAGGTTTGTACATAACCTCCGTACTTGAACATGGCTTCCTGCTGCGACGGCTCTGGCGTGGTACATAACCATAAGGTATGCGGCGACTACGCATGCTGATTTCTCATTCCCCGTGTCGCAGAACACGAGTACTTTCCTCTCCTCCTGGCTCCCACCCGGAGGCCGATGAGACGGACATGGACATATATGGTTGTTGATCCGCCGGATGGCATTCGGAAACTGACTGATAAGCTCCTGCGTGCTGGATACCTCAAAGAAGTCCGATTCAATACCCAGTGCGGCCGCCGCTTTATCCCCATTGACCGTCAAGGCTTGGACTCGATTTCGATCCCTGATGGCCAGGAGTAGTGTAATACCCTCCCGTCGAAGAAAGTCCTGATCTCGAGTGACAGTGGCAGGTCCTAGATATAAGAACGGAAGGATACTCTGTGCAGCCCGGCGCTGTTCATAAGACCAATCCGAGCAATGCATGGGACCCGGAAGCTGAGCGCTGGGCAGGGAATTGATGAGTTCTAGGCAAGCAAACTGTCCTAATGGGAAGTCGTGTGAGGCCGGCACAGTCAAGGGCTCTGTTTCAGCAATCTCTATGGCTGAATGGACGCCATCTCCCTGTTCAACAGCCCACCAACCGCTTGTATATTGCTGGTTAGCAATATACTGCGGGGTTGAGGGCTCCATGACGGCGTTGTAAGGCGCCCTTTATCCTCAATTATCGGTAGTCCGTAGATATCTGGCTGTAAAACGTTGCACAGGAGAAAAGACACGCAGTCGGAAGATTGATTTAAGTGATGAGAATCACTCGTTGTAAGAGTGAGTTGGCTGAGGCCAAGCGAAATAAAGGTTGTTGTTAAGAAGTGAAGGTTGTCTTGAGGATATTCACTATGCAGTGCGATATTTATATAATGATGTGACGGTCAGCCGGCGGCCAAATATGGTTGGCTTTTGCTGCTAGATTCTTTCTTATTGTTGTCAATACAATTCTCAGCTTTCTTGTATCTATTTATTGGTCCTTTGCAATTGAATTAGCTGATTGGCCGAATCCTGGTGCGCTGGTTGGACGAACGGAACTTCTCGGGCCTATTCACTTCCCTTTCTACGAGACCTGGTATAGGTCTTTTCTGTTTGATATGAGAGTACCGTTAATATACAGACATAAGACTAACGGAAAGCCTACAAAAAATATTAACCGAAGCCCCTATGAAGCAGCTCGCTATGTACTTAGAAGATGATGAGATACAACGCGAGCAGTATCTCGTTTCCTCTTCTCCACGGGATCCTTTAGCGCTCGATCAAAATCTATAATCATCGGCCCGTTATTCTCTGCGTTCCAAAATATGTTACCCTCATGGGCGTCGCAATGTCGAATCCCAAGCTTCTGAATATCAGATAGAGCTTCGCGAATGGGGCGCTTAAAACTTTGATCTGGACTCCCGTGGAGCTTGATGGGTATCCCTGCATAGCTGAGCAACAGCAGATAGCCGATTCTCGCAATGCCGTCGTAATACAACGGTCGGCTGGATATATCCACGCTTCCCAGACAAACAGGTACACGTATACCCTGAAGGGAACGTAAACGTTGATACACATCTTCCTCATGCGGATCATATCCAAACTCAACAGGAGTTCCTTTCGCCACAAAACTATAGCCGTGCGAGAAGAGGTTGAATCTGAAAAGGGCGGCAGAAACACCATGTTTATGCATGGATTCACAGCCGAAAGGGCCATAGTCCGGCCTCAGAATCTACGCGCGAGCTAACTCTAGCAGTTTATAGCTGTCGATAACATGCCACCCATCATTCCCGTGGCTAGCCACATTCGGACAGTTCTCGTCAAGCCGGCCACCGTTTACCAAACCTAGGAGGCACTTCTGCGTGCAGTATTCCATCCGCCCACCGGCTTGTCTATTGCTGGCCCCTTGAGCTGACTTCGGCAGGTGTACGGCGACCTTGGCATTGGAGAGGTGACTAGGAAGTTGCGTGCTTGGGCTGTCGGGCCAATCTCTGTCATTCCCACTGCTGTCATCATCGCTGGTATCCCAGTTTGTCAGTGCCTCTATGGGGCGACATGAAGAGCCAGCAACAAGACCATTTGACCGTGTCTTGACCGGCGACATGCGTATATACTCATTCCTGCTCGGTCGATTATGCTTGTATTCGGGCTGTATATCGTCACTGCTTTTGTCCGAATCCGACCCGAAGATATTGCTCCGTGTAATCTCCCATTTCTTGAGCACCTTTTCTGCACGACTACGCCAATCCTGGTCGTGCGGAGGCGTTCCCAACGCTCGAAGAGTGAAAGCCAGAACCTGTCCTATCGTGGTCAGATGTAGCTTATTATCGCAATCAGAACCGCCGATCCAGCTGGTAGTGTCTCCAACATCATCGTTTGGAACAGAGAGATAATAGTAGACGGTAGTAGGGTCGTCAGGATTCACGTGAAGAAAAATAAGTGTTTCTCCAGTGCATACACAGCCATATTCAAGACCAGCTTGAATCATATATGAAAATATCTGCGATATGCATGCGGCGACTCTCCAGCGGGCCACCTTCGCCGGATCGCCCTCATCGAAGTTTTCAATTACTTCATCAACATCCATATCCACAAGCCCTTTATTAATAATGTCCTTGGTAAGCTTATGCGGTGCCTTATATTCAATGATATAAGCTGGTATTGCTTCGTCGAAACCCGTATTGTATACACAGAACTGATCGGCACGAGGGCGAGACGACCTTGACCGCACGGTTGGAGTTTCAGGGACAGCATCCCCGTCCTTATTGACACTCTTTTGCCGCTTGCAAACCGGTGACTGTTGCGAGGAGCTGACATCTGGCTTCGTGTGCCTGTCTTCGGGACTTAGAATATTTCTATGATTTGCAAATTGTATTTCCCCCTTGAGATTGAATAAATTCCGGAGGGCTTGATCGGAATATAGCTGCCGAATAATAAAAGATATGCGATCTTCAACGGCATATCGCTTATAAAGGTTAAGATCTAGCTCATACCCTAGTAATCCCATGCGCATCTCCTCGCCCAATTCTCTCAGCATATTCAAGGAGGTGAAATGCCTTTCTAAAGTAAAGTCAGTGGAAATTTTTTTTTTCCAAACACGCGACAGCTCCTTGGGAAAGGTGACCCATTCCCGGATTTTATCAGGACGCGGCTTGGATTCAGCATTCTCGGGATTTCTCCTGGTTCTGGTCTTACGGTTTATACGCAAGGAGACGCCCACGGAGAAATGAACGTGACAGGCATCTAAAAACTCGGGAAGGGAGGTTGGCTGTATCTGGGTTTCCACCCATTGCTTGCTCTCTTCTGCCTGTCGCCTGTATTCTTCCGCCTGTCGCAGCTCTTCTTCCGCCAGTTGTCGATCTTGCTTTGCTTTCTCCAGGAGCCGACGAAGCTCTTGCTCTTGGGGCGTCCCAGAATCTGGATGAGCCATAGTCAAAAGCGCATTTTCGACAGCTTCTCTCAAATTCAGCATCGCCGATGAAGGCCCCAGGGACCGACCTTCCAAGGGACTCGATGAGCCCTTGGAGTCGGGAGGTGATATACAAATGTTCAGTATCAAGAAAGGAGAGCAGGCAGCAGACGGAATAACTGTTTACCGAAACTCCGAAAACATACAAAATGGACCTTGGAACGATTCTCTGCCTATACTCTTGCTGTACTTGCAACGGGCCGTCTATAATTATTATAGTACTTAATGGTTGTCTAAGTCAAGGTGTCTGAATGTGTTAGATTGTTGGCAGTCTAGTTTTAACATCCATCTGCGCTCCACTTAGTATGGGTTCATCGAAGCCAGGCTTATGGATCCAAATTTGCTGCATTTGATTGGAATCAACTGGTTTAGGGCAATCTCTCGTAGCCATATCTGTTACGAGGCATTGCCGGTTGCCTTTTTCTATCCTTCATGTCAATACACTGAGATACATGGAGCAAATGACCTCTCCTCCGCCTAATAAATGACGTGTACATTCCACCAGCAACGCACACCGCAGCACAGCTTAGCGCAACTGGATATTGGAACTGCTTCGGGCGAGAGAAGATAATGGTTGAAATGTAAGAGAGGAGCTCGAAGCCGTTCTGGAAAGATGCCTCGAGCGAAGAGAAAGAGCCTCTGTGGTCTAATTCGACCTCCTAAAGATTGGATATGATCGTCAGCATCGGATAGAAAGTGAAGTCGAAGACCTGGATCACAAGATATCAATTACCTCCTGGATGATGGCCTGGGCGCACAGGTCAAAACCCCATAGCCCAATGCGACTTATGATGACGCCTCCAACCAGGCCAGAAGCAGCAACCAGCCTTTGCTCTGCGCCCCAGAAGAGCCCGCTCGCAGCAACCAAACTGAGAACCTGCCAATTTATGAACCATAATCCTGCCCTTAGCGGGCCGATCTTGCGCATCAGCTTGGAAGCTATCCAGGTCGCTGATATCTCAAGCATCACCGAAATAGTTCTTGCAATACCAATATGCGTGGAACTATAACCCACAGATAGGAGATAGGTGACCATCTGACCGGAAAAGGAGAGCACGGTGAAATAGAGCAGACACAGTGAGATTGACGGCAAAAACGCACGGTGTTGGAAGTAGAATGATAGGGCTGTAGAGATCGATCGACCACAAGAGACCAGGCATCTTGGAAGGTTACTCAAAAGGTTTACCACCGGGAACGTTGACTGGATGCCATCACCATTCAAGGATTCCGACCTCTGAAGCCCTGGTACTGTTTTGTAGACCTGGTGATCCATACAGTTTAGCTAACATCATAGAATGATCGGACAGGGAGATATTCAGGGGTACCTCTGCAATTGCAAAGTATTCTATTCCAACCGATGCAAAATTTAGTACCAAAGTGAACAATATGGCACCTGGTGTCGAAACGCCATCAATAAGAGCGATTGCTAAAGGTCCAACGAGCTTGCAAACCAAATCAATACGGCGCATCCGGGAATTGAGTGCTGCGAGAGAAGGTAAGCATAAATCGGAAGTATGGAATCTTTAAAACCACCGTAAAAATGAGGGAGACTGCAAATATAAGGGAGAAGTGACTGGCCTTGGAGTGTAGGAGCGTCACCCCCTGATATGACAACCACCTATGATATCGATTAACACTTGTTTAACTATATACCAGCTAGACGCTTCATCCTACCCAGTCACGCTCGACCGATACCAAATTCATGATTGAACACAGCTTCTCAGCACAGGCAAAAACCACCAAGGCTCCTAACAATACCGATCTAACGATTGGCGGAGCCGGCCAACCTGTTACCAAGAGCCAAAATGCCATGCATGACAAGGCCACCGCGAGACGCTGTACAACTTCATGCGTCATCAATGTTACTAGAGGTCGACGAAAGGCAAAAAGTGATTAACTTACCAATTGAGAACCTTACAACTTTCAAACGGTTTCCATGATCGATATAATGCCCCATGGTAGGGGATAGAATAATCGCCGACCCAGCACGCACCAAAGCGTAAACAGAGACCGGGAGCAGGGTCCCAGGAAATATCCTGGTTAGAAACAGTACTGCGCCAAACTCGAACATCCGGGAGTTCCAGGTGGAGAGAAAGTGCGAGATGTATAGCCGTCTGGTAACGCCTGACTGTATCCCAGGTGTAGGAACATCCTCCGCTTCAGGAGTCTGATATTGGCCATCCCGGTCCATGCTGGCTGGGCTTATCAGATCCGTCAAAATCTGGCCTTGCCCTCCCGAGCGATATATCACCCTCTAGAGACCCGATCTTGTTCCCTGCGAATAAATACTACAAAGTATGGGCCATAACTATCTTGAGCTTTCTCAGTGCGGAGTTGAGGTTTGACTATCTTAGTTACGTAAGCCTCCCCTTTTCGGCTCTTTTTCAGCTTCAACACAGAACAGAAGCATCGAGACACTATCACTATGAACAGGCAGTAAAAGAGCTGATAAATCAACAATATGTATAATTACCCCCTGAACCTGATGCATCCCACAGGATCGTGACAGTCCAGCACTGAAGGAGTGCGGTGGCTGGTGGCTGAGGAAATATAAGGCAGAATGGTGCAAGAATAAGCATATCTGTACAGGAATCTCGTCCAGCTGCGTCGATCTACGGAGCGCGGAGTCCGCAACCGTCTTGGTAGCATTCGCTTATCAAATATCTGCCCCGGCGTGATGATTCGCTGCGCAGAAGTCCTGACCGCAGCGAAGCTGAGCTCGAGGATACGAGGCTGGTGCCTGCATGGAGCTAAGCCGCCAGGTTAGTTGAGGCTCTGCAGCTCGTATCATGCGGCTGTCCAGGGTTCCTTACGATCTCGCTCCCAGCCCAGCCGATGGCGCGTTCAGAGTCCGAGAAGGAAATAAAAAATGTGCAGGAAGATTATACATGCGGGCAGGGATTGGATTTGTTGGGAGTCAGTATATTTGTTATTTACAATCATAAACTGGATAAAACGCTATATAATGGAGTCGTATATAATTATAGAAACATGGGGAGGGTCGGCCGTTAGTTTATTTCATGCCATGCAACCAAAGAATTCAGCTCACGTTAGAAGACAACCCTTGCCAATGACCAGGGGGGTATAAAACAGTGTACGCCTTGCAGCCGAAATGCTGCGGGTGATAAGATCGGGAAGGAGGTGAGTTCACATGGGGGGCCGGAAGAGAAGAGACGCCCAAAAAAAAGTAGTATCATATGTCTATATTCTCTATTGATCACGTATCCTGAATTAACCGTCGTAGTTCACTCATTTCTCTTTTCAGCTCGTCGATTTGGGAGCCTTTGTATTCTAGTTCGCGGCGTAGATGAGACACCTCGTCCCGTAACACACGCACCTCCGGGGCAGCCTCGTCTTCAGATACGTAGACCGAAGAGGAGATGGAGGATCTTTTCCGTTTTGAAGGAGGGTTGTGTACTGGTAGTGAGATGGGAGGCAGGACACGAGGGTCACTGACGGCGGACGGAGTGGCGACCGGAGCTGTTATCCCCGCAATAATTATGGTGCTGGTGGAAGTTCGAGAGAGAGGTGGTAGATTGGTGTTGTTTATTTCGACTGGGAGGTCTTCAGACCTGTGAAGACGACGGATATGTTCCTTTAGGTTTTCTTGTCTGGTGAAACCCTTCCCGGAGCTCCGGTTGCAGTCAGAGTACGGACACATTAACTTCTTTCCCTGGGTATGCATCCTGTGCACTTCCCGCTGATGCCGGAGCAGTCCGCCAGAGTACGTAAATCCGGGCAGCTTTGCGCAGTCTGGATCATTGCATTTATAAGGCCGGTCATGCTTATCCATATGCTTACTACAGATAGTTAGTACTCGCTGAGATGTGATAAGAAAGAAAGGATTAGAGAAAATACCTACTTCCACTCGCAGGGACGACGGAAGATGGGAGGATCACCGGCGCATTCGGGATGGTCACAGTATATGTTTCCATCATGGTTCCTCGGGGGGTCGCGGGTACGCTTGACCGCCAATCTCGGCCGTGGTGAAGTAGCACCGACTGATATTGGCGAAATCCTCTGCGACATCTTTATTTGTTCGAGGGGAGGAGTGGCCGAAGGGGTTCTGATTTTCCATTCACTTCGTGGAAGCAAATAGTACTCGACTCGCTCAACCATACCGTAGTTATTCTGGACCAGACCGGCGGCCGTTCAACGCATAATTATGGGCTGTGCAGTGGAGAAAGAGAGGTATTGGAGCAGCAGGTTTGCAGGTACAAGGTTACGAGCGAGCGAGTAGTATATCTTATATATACTGCAGATTTTCGAGCCTTGCCCTTGTTCGTATTGCGGCTCAAAATATACGGTCACGCTAAAAAGGGCCGGATGGAGAGGATCCCAAGGGGAGTTTCAGCTGTCGGCAAAAGGTCAATCAGCGCCTGTTATTAGCAGCCACAATGCTTTCTCTAAGCTGGAGACAGTCATCGCCGTCTCTAAAGATAGCCGGAGGTCCTTTATAAAAAAGGCAGCCTAGCCGCCAGCGCGGCTCGTGACCTCGAAGCCAGGCAGATATCTTAACATCTTCCACCGTGAGTCACGGCATCGACCACCTCCTATGATCCTGTAGCCATCCTATAGCCATCCTGGAGATATCTTGGTGCCATCCAGGCTCTGAGGCTTCTGAGGCTTCGGGGCAGTGAAAGTACTAACCTTTGCGCTTTCTCGGCTGTGCTTAGGAAGCCATGTCACGTGCACAAACGTCGGTTATGAAGACAACACGAAGATATCTACCTCCTCGCTATGGGATGAAGGGATAAACGAGAAGACGGCTGGGTGCTGGCTGTGAATATGTCAAGGCAAACGGGCGAGCCATGCTAATATCTACACGTCTGCCTCGCACTGGCGTGTCGTGTCGGCCGACCAGGCGACGGTGACTCTTGTTTACCATGGACTGCCATACGGATGGCTCTTCTCTCTCGTCCTCCGGTCTACACGTCTAGCTTCCGGATCCCAGTCAAGGCTTCGGGCGTGCTGAGTTGTCTCTCTTCGAATGGGCGAGTACACAGAGAAGCTCCGTGCGAAAGCTGGGTGAGCCAGCAGCAGGACGGGTGTTTGGTCAGGCTACAACGCGCTGCTGCCTACCGCTCTATACAGGATATATGAGCGGGTGTGTGAAAGTAGCTTCTCTGCTATCTTCGTCAGGACGGGGGGAACACGTTGGACGGCGGTGGCCAATTATCCCTCCAAGGGCTCTTCACCTCGATCGAATGCGCCATAGCCACGTCGCCTGACATTTGTCTGTTGGCGGCCATCGAACTCACCTGGCCTCATACTTATGCCTATCATATTTATGCCTATCCGCTTTCTATACAACGACACTGGAGACATGGAGCCACATAGAAACCTTCACGCCTCACTAGGCAGCCTCGTAGCCCTGTCTACTCCAGCTATGATGATATCAACCCAAGAGGAAGTCTCATCCAACGTCCGTCTTGCATATTATTTGCATTATATGTCCTCATCTATATCCTATGTCCTGATACTATATCCTATATGTCCATCCTGTGTCTTGATCTATGTTCTGCGTCTGATATCAACCTGCATACTCATACTCAACCGAGTGTCAACTATCAATATCAGGTCTGAGCGGATAGTATGTATAAATGTACTCTAGACAGCATCAGTGACAGCTTGATTCAAACATTGTTCTATTTACTCGTATAGATCTGTAATATTCTTAGTAGGCTTATGCTGGAGAGCATATGGTATGCTCTGAGTAGATATTCCATGCCATGTTCCGTGATGTAGATATGCAACTATATAGAACATCCAGATATCTTCTCTCTTTCCTTTATTACTGCTCTCTTCTCTTCCATATATCTTCGCTTCTCTTCTCTCTCCTCTCTCTTCTCTTCTCTCTTCTCTTCTCTCTTCTCTTCTATCTCTATGTCTTACATAACACGGAACATCTTTCCGCCGTGGTATTTACCTCGATAAGGAGATGAACTCTCCAAGTCGCCAGCAAACACGCAGGCTCGCATCAACAGCTCCCGATATCCTCGCAGTCAGACCTCGCCGGCGCGCCTCTGCTCAGCGACATCCCCCGTCCTGCTCCTCCGTCCGCCCAGCACCCTCGTCGCATGCCCCCCTGACCGCCAGCTGTGTCCCTTGCGCCCGCCCAGACCACTCACGATACTCGCTCCCCCACACCCGGCCGGGCTTCCCTGACATCCTGTGGACTGCTGCAGACAGCGGAAAAACAGCTGAAGCAACCCTTTATAGAGGGGCCTTGGGCCTTCGAAACAGCACGAAACCGTTACTCCCAGCCCGTTCCCTGACCGAGGGGCCTCTAGAATGAGTCGGATACTGACCAATCGGCAGGCCGAAGAGCTGTAGGTGCAGAACTAACCATGGGTCAACGAGCGGTCGAATACCAGGTATATTGGAAGCTAACAGTGCGCTGCAATCAAGTCACAAGTCAATTATAGCATATCTGACTGCCAACAACCTGTCGAACACGGCCAACGCGTTGAGGACGGAGCTGAATCTTAACGAAGATGCCTTTGACCCGGCGACTGCGAAGAAGTACGAGACCTTGCTGGAGAAGAAATGGACGAGTGTAGTCCGGTTACAGAAAAAGGCAGGTCCGCTTTAGTTTTTTCACCTCCCTTGTGTTTGTCTCATTCTATGTGTGTTTGTTCTGGCGTCGTTCTAACCGTGGATCCAGATCATGGATCTTGAATCTCGAATGTCGGCGCTGCAGTCTGAGCTCGACAATGCGACACCTACCTCTCTCTCGAAGCGCAACAAGGATCCTGCTTCTTGGCTTCCAACTGCGCCTGCTCGACACGCTCTAGAGTCCCACCGAGACACCATCAACAGCGTCGCGTTTCATCCGATATTCTCCTCCATCGCATCTGGGTCTGACGATTGCACTATTAAAATATGGGATTGGGAGCTAGGTGAACTGGAGCGGACGATCAAGGGCCACACGCGAGCAGTGGTGGATGTGGACTTTGGAGGACCAAGAGGCGGTATACTCCTGGCCTCGTGCAGCTCTGATTTAAGCATCAAACTATGGGACCCGGCGAACGAGTACAAGAACATACGGACCTTGCTGGGCCACGATCACAGCGTCAGCGCTGTTCGTTTCATACCACTGGGGGCTTCGGGGGCGCCGTCATCGGGGAATCTGCTTGTCAGTGCGAGTAGAGACAAGTCTCTGAAGATATGGGATGTCAACACCGGATACTGTGTGAGGACTTTACAAGGCCATACCGCCTGGGTGCGAGACGTCTATCCTTCTCCCGACGGGCGGTTCCTCCTCTCGACCGGAGACGACAGCACAGCTCGATTATGGGATATATCTGCGTCAAACCCGGAAGCTAAAGTGACCATGTTTGGTCACGATCACTTCATTGAGTGCTGTGCACTTGCGCCATCTTCGTCTTACCAGTATCTCGCACCCCTAACGGGACTGAAGAAGCCCCCACCTGCAAGCAGCACGGCGGAGTTTATGGCCACGGGTTCGCGAGATAAGACCATCAAACTGTGGGATGCTCGGGGCACCTGTCTGATGACACTGGTTGGGCATGACAACTGGATACGGGCGGTGGTTTTCCATCCTGGTGGCAAATATCTATTGTCGGTATCGGACGACAGGACTCTACGATGTTGGGATCTGAGCCAGGAAGGAAAGTGTATCAAGGTGATGAGGGACGCCCACGAACGATTTATTACCTGTCTAAGGTGGGCTCCGGGGATATTTAAAGACGTCCCCGCGACCCAGGGAGCGGGTGATGGAAGGAATGGTGACAGCAAGAAGACAGAAGCGCCAGATGTCCAAATCCGATGTGTTATTGCGACTGGAGGCGTGGATATGAAACTAAGGATTTTCGCCAACTGAGGCCGAAAAAAAGAGAATGTCTGGAAGAGATGACAAAAAATCTATACTACCCACGATTACGTGGAGCTGCGGGGAGGCTGCTGCTGAAAGCCAAGCGACCTGCAGACTTCAAAAGATCGCATGGCTTCGCGCAGCCTGTCGGGCATTGCGCGCGGTTCGATGACGATATTACTTACTTTGATCGCGGCCTCGTTCAATATCTTGCCTGGGGGGGAGGGGGAACTGGGTGGTCAGTCCATGTGGCATCAATCCGGTGCCTTTATCTTCGTGGCACGCAACTGTTGTCCTTTTACATAGTAACACCTCGTCTCGTACCTCTGCTGAGAGGCCCGTATGTATGTATACCCAGGCAGAAATGCCAATGGACCTTGAATCTCTCCTCGATACATATATACTACATTTTATATTATTACCAGCCCGATATATGGTTACCCTTTCAGTTCTGAGCAACCAATCTCAACCTCAACCTTTCAAACAATTAACAATTAAGACAAATACCAATCCCGTTGCTTTCAGTCTTGTCCTTTTCCGAGCTCCCTTTCTTCAATAGGTTGTCTTCCCCGGTGGTTTTCCCGCTGCGGGCAGGGCACACATCCTTGTCCAGCAGGTTTTACAACCCCCTTCTCTACTCCGGACTGACTTATCAGCTATCCCTGCGAGTGTCTATAACTTCCGGCAACGATATGCTCCGAACACCCGGTTAATCGTAAATATGCAGGCGTTTATACTTGACCTCCGGCTAGCAGTGAGCCGGAGTGCATATGCCCTTTGATCGTCGTGCAAAGCCACAGTTACTCGTTACTACCTGGCATACAACTGACCTTTATGTACGACCATTAGTTCAACGTCAACCAATATCCCTACCAATACCTAAATACGATACCGTCTTTGCTTCCATCAAAAGTTATGGACGCTCCAGCCACTAATCCATTATCCGGGGTAGTTAACTATTGATAGGAAAAAGCAAAAAACATACCCTTGTCAGACCGGTTAAATCGAGTAACGAATCCGGATCTACCCAACTCAATTATATGCATTCATAAGATTCGCGCACCGTTTCATCGATCATGAGGTTATCCACCATGGCTACTCCGGTTTCTATATTGCAGCATTCTTATACCCCTCTCAGACAAAGGAAACCGTATTCAGGCGGCAGATCTCCCTGCACTTGCAGCTCTTGGTGGAATACACTTTCGTTCACAACTACGATGCTTGTGTTAAACGGCCAGATTCCGGACGGCTATGTAGCCACTTCTCCGGAGGCTGCCATGGGCTTGATTATACTTAAATGTTCGATCCTCCAGCCGGGTCGGCCAACTCCATTCTAGCTACTGGGTCGCTCTTATATCTAGGACAATTCTACTATTATGTTTCCACCGCCCCTTGCAGACCTCACGGTCACTGGTGGATGCGCTACAGTCGTGTTACTGGTGGTACGTATGCCAAAACAACCTGTTGAGTTCATCCTCGATACTAAATAGCCAATTCTAGATATTTTATTTCGTCGGATCCGCTATTTATAACCTATTCTTTCATCATTTGGCATCGATACCTGGCCCAAAGCTAAATGCCATTTCGCAAATCCCTTTTCTATGGGAATCGTATCATGGAAGATGGCCGTTCGTTTTAAAGGCTCTTCATGACAAATACGGACCAGTCGTCCGGACATCGCCCACGGATGTCTCGTTTAACGATCCAGCAGTGTGGAAGGATATATATGGCTATAAGAGTCGTGGAGAAAACCAGTTCGTTAGAGACAGGTCGCTTCGTGGGAAAAGACCTGGGTCGGGAATAGGCGATGAAAACGAAGCAGTGCACGCTCGGCACCGCCGTATCCTCTCCCATGCATTCTCAGAAAAAGCATTACGAGGTCAAGAAGGCATAATGCAGCGTCTTGTAGACCTATTGATCTCCGGACTGAAGTTGCATCTTAAGGAGCACGGCTCCGAGCCAGTGGACATGACCAAACGATTCAACTGGACTACTTTCGATATCATTGGGGATCTGGCTTTTGGTCAGTCGTTTGGATGTCTGGAAGCTAACCGGCCTCACTACGTGATCTCCATGGTAAATGATATCTTTTACATCCTGACTCGCTCGCAACCTGGCAATCGACTTCCGATTTTGAAACCGTTTGAACGCTATTTGGTGACTTCAGATGGGCTAGATGCATTACCACGCTTCGACCATTTTGCGCTCTCAACGATAAAGAAAAGGATTGAGGATGGAAACTCTGACAGGAGAGACTTTATGTCGTACATACTGGCTCATAACGACAGGAAGGATTTTACAGATGATGAGCTGACTACGAATGCCTCGGCCCTGCTCATTGCTGGAAGCGAAACCACTGCAACAACGCTGAGCGGCGCGGCGTATTATCTTCTCAAGAACCCATCAGCATACCAACGCTTAGTACAGGAAATCCGATCGAGCTTCAACGAAGAGAAAGAAATTACCATTAGCGAAGTCGATAATTTGCCGTATCTCGCGGCCGTCATCGCTGAAACAATGCGGATATACCCTCCCGTGCCTGCCATTATGGCCCGAACCGTTCCTGAGGGAGGCAAAACTATCTGCGGTCACTGGATGCCGGAAAACGTATGTTCTCCACTTGATATGTGAATGTTTTCACAAATGCCCACCTCACCGCTGTTGAGCTACGTTAACTTGCTGGTATTCTGTATAGACCATCGTTTCTGTCTCCCAGTATGCTGCGTATCGTTCGGACCGTAACTTCGCTCGCTCCGATGAATTTATACCCGAACGTTGGCTTGATGACCCACGGTTTAAGAATGATGTGAAGGAGGTTTTCCAGCCATTCTCAGTCGGGCCGCGAAATTGCATTGGCCAAGTGTATGTTCCCACCCACATGTGTGCGCTACTAGTACTAATTCGCACTTCCTTGCAGCATGGCAAAGGCTGAAATGCGACTGGTCCTTTCCCGGTTCCTTTGGAATTTTGATTTGCAACTTTCACCGGAGTCCACGGACTGGCCCGATGAGCAGAGTGTTTATGGTTTGTGGAAGAAAGCGCCCCTTATGGTGAGCCTCAAACGCGTGGTGAGAAATTAGCATAACTAGCGTTCTCTGTCCAATACCTACAAATCCAAATGTTCAACTTCTCTACCAGAACATTTACGGCATCGTCTCTCTGTTGAGTTTTATTCTTTGCTAAATAGTTAATAGCAATGATGGCTAATATTGGTTTGGACCTCTTCTCCTTAAGTGACAATTTAACAATACTATCTAAGCAAGTACATAAGGATATCTCGAAGATGGCTATCTTCTTGGTCGTTCTACAACCACACGATTCATGATCTATATCAGCTGTTTCTATATATAGAGTTTAGGTATCAACCTTAACTAAGCCAAGCCGCCTTGGCAGCGGGATGTCACGTTGAATCACGTGAGGAACTGCCAGAAAAGTAACGTGGATGCAATCATCAACTCCCAACCACCTGCTTTATTCATTGAATATAGATTGGAGACGAGAACGGAGGCGAAATAGAGTAAAGACGGCCCCTCGGTGATAAGTAATGGGGATATCTACTGCGGCCAATCTTTCTTTCACCAAGGCCCTTCCAAAAATAGAGGTAGAGTACCATTCATGCAATATCCCTTTAGCCTCACACGCAATGGTGACAAAAACCCTCATCTTTGCCTTCTTAAACTAAATATGGGCTAGCTTCACGCACATCTGAGTGGAAGCATAACGCGGGAATGTCTTCGAGAAATATGGCTGCGGAAGAGGGAGCATGATCCGAACTTACAAATCCCGGACCCAATGATAGCCATGCCGCCAGGGAAAGTTGATTATTCACTGAAGACGTGCGTGATTTGTTCCTAGCATCTAAGGCCGTGTCGCACAATTAATACCCCCTCGTCATCAGATGAAAGCTTCCCATCTCTAGCTGTCACACGTCGAGGCTTGAGGGGTTGGGTTGTTTGTTCAAAATAAATGCTAACAAAGAAAACGTTAGATTCTTTCAAGTGCTTTCCAACCTAATCTACTTGCTCTGCAGCGACCTGGAGAGCGTTCGGTACTCCACCAAGCGCGTCCTCCAAGACTTCCAGGATGATGGAGTACGATATCTTGAATTAAGAACAACGCCTCGAGAAAGCCAAGAACACAACTTCTCAAAGGCACAATATGTCTCTACTATCCTTGACGTAATAGATGAATGCAAGAATGAGACAATGTCAACCTATCTCATTCTATCCGTTGACAGGACAAAGTCAGCCGCAGACGCGGATCTTCTCGTTGATCTGGCCATTCAGTTCAAACATCGAGGTGTCGTCGGCGTTGAGTTGGGTGGGAACCCTTCAAGAGGAGATGTGTCCATATTCAAAGATGCATTTTCCAAAGCAAAGCAAAACGGCCTCGGCATTACACTGCACTTTGCAGAGGTTGAGTTCTCGTCTTCGCCGCAGGAGCTAACTACGTTACTCTCTTTCCAACCCGATAGGCTTGGTCATGTAATCAATGTCCCTGATGAGATCAGAGAAGAGATTGTCCAACACAAGATAGCACTTGAATTGTGCCTATCGTGTAACGTACATGCGAAATTAATCACAGGGGGGTATCCAGATCATCATTTTGGTTACTGGAGACACAGGGACTGCCCAATTATACTTTGTGTAAGTCTTTAAACTTCCGCATAAACGACGCTGCTAACATTACAAATGGCAGACTGATGATGTCGGGTTCTTTTGCAGTCCGGTGTCCAGTGAGTATTTGCTTGCTGCGGAACATTTCAACCTCGACTGCTCAATGTTGCTTGACATTTGTAGAAAAGGAATTGATAGTATATTCGGAGGGCCCCAAGAAAAGACCCGATTGCACAATCTGGTCAATGAGTTTGAAGAACAGCAGCAATGATTTATAACCTTTGATTGTATAGAGCTACAAGAGCCATATTGGGCGTACGCCTTGCATGTTTCATCCTTCATACATAGGTAAATAATTATCGAATCAAAACTTCATCTCGGTCCCAGGGATAACCAGACTCCCTTTCATAACTTCCACTCCCTGCCCGGTTACACTTGTGCTGACGGCCTCTCTGTCATCGATACCCTGAACACTTTTCCCTTCCAATAACCCAACGGCGATAGTCAAATAACATGCCCTTCCAGCCCTCAGTCCCTGAAGAACTACAACCTTTTGTTCTTCCTGGCTAGCCATAGCTCCAAGTTCAAAAATGCCATATTTATATAAATATGCAGCCATAGGGCCCGCAGCGCTCCCAGTCGCGGGATCCTCCCCGGACATTCCAGGGCTGAAAAATCGTGCATGGAAGATAGGCAAACCATCTGCGGCGCTCGCATTCTGTGACGAAGGGGTGAATAGGTATAATCCATACGCCATATTATCCGCATATTGAATTTCCTTGGCTAATTTGTCACGGTCGACCAAGTTGATATTATGAAGTACCGTCTCATCAGAAATGGGAACAAGAAGGTGTCTCGTCGTGGAAGTGGAAACGACCTGTGGTGTGGCTATCGTCTTTCCCTCCCATTTGAACCCAATTGATGCTTCGCTGATACCCAAGACTCCAGCTAATTCTGCGAGATTTGGGTGTATACCGTGGAACTTGGGAGGTGCTTGACGGAGGGTGACGGATAGCCCTTGGTTGTCATCTCCAGGATCCTGATATACGACGACGGGTAGCGCATCCGGACCCAGCTGCTGGTTAAAATGAATACGGTTATCTGCACCGCTTGGCTTAATAGATCCTAGGCTCCCCTTCTTCGCTAACCACCATATCGCTCCAAGGCTATTGTGTCCAGCCCCAAACACTTCTTTGCCGTCTGGAAGAAAAGAGCGTAGTCTGTATACGGCGTTCTTAACAGTAGGTAGGCTAACAAAGGTGGTCTCAGACAGGTTAAATTGCCGTGCAATATGTTTCATTTGGGTATCCGTTAGGGACGAGGAGAGGTCATCAACCACGGCGAGTGGGTTGCCCTTATAGGGAGTTGTAGAGAAGACATCCACGACGGAAAATTGGACGGTAGACATTGTTGGATTCTTAATATAAATATGTGAAGGAGTGATGGTGACTTGCACTGGACAATGGAAATAAGATACTGGATAGCTGATAGCGTATAGAGGGGAGAATCTCCAACTCTTATAGAATCGGAAATTCAGACCAACCCATAAAAGGCATTACAAATCCTCGTTTTATTACTATTACTTTTACAAGGCCAAGTGATGCCGTCTCTTGGTTACTCGTGTCGTAGAAACAATATAACTTTCTTTTCCTCGTGTTAGTGGTGTTTTATCCATCATGAGCCCTGAATACGAAGCCACCACCGCTTAATTATAAATCATCAACATTTCTAGGAGAAAGACTAAAACCATTTGCTATGACGTCGTTTCTTGCCATTAATAGTATTGCAGTTTATAATGTCTATATACTTGGTAAGCCAGCCTATGTACTTGGTAAATCGTAGAACTAAACAGAACGAAACAGCCCTCTCCAATGCTAGAACGCTGCACCTTTCTAAAACACAAAACTTTTTAGTTATGATCCCACTTTCCGAAGCGAACATAATCGTCGTAGAGTGTCTTGAACACCGCACGACTCGAAGAATCCATCCCTGCGTTCATGGCACGCATTGTGCTCTGTGACATTACGTCTAGAACCACATACATCCCCGGCATTAGCGCTGCTTTCATTTCTGGGGATATATACCCCCTTAACTGGCACGAAGAGTACTCCATGACAAGATACTGCAGATACTGGCCTGCCAAACTTTTCACTTTCTTTGTATTATCGCTCAACCCTTGACTCGAATGGTCGCCTCCTCGCTGTCTTTGAACTGAAGAAACAGTTGGATCACAGAGTGCGCTGAGAAGACGAGAAAACTGTGTCCCATGCGCTGCTTCAAGACAGGAAGAGTCTCCAACCCATGGTGGAAGAGTTAACCCCGCCGTAGGTGAGTTCGCCGTTTTCTGATTGCGGGTAAATAAGCACCGTAAGAGCGCTTGCATGATCGGTAGAACCAGGTGGAACCTCCCACTAAGCTTTTGTCGATATAGTTCAAACAGAGTGCCTAGGAGTTTGCAGAGCCGCGTGTGGATCGGACCCGCGAACTTCGCATCAATTGGCGGGCCGCCTGGAGATGCGATTAGGGATATATTGGCTAGTAGGTTGTCTATGTTCCACTGGGTGATAGATCTAGACTGTGACCGCAAAAGAGTATCCAAAACTTCAGCTGCGAGACTGAAGGCTTCGATAGAAGTGTTACGGGAGAATGCCGCTGACACCTTGGTGAAAGCCGTCGATAGTTCACTTGATGCTAAGCTTTCTCGATCCTGCACTGGATCCAGTTTCAGTACTGCCATGCCTAACAATAGAAGCTGGTAGCCGCTTTGCTCCCCTGATAAGTCTGCTTCGCGTAAGTTGTGAATTAGTTTTACCACTGTTTCCTCCTTCATCTGCGATAGCTGAAGGTTCACCTTGTGAACTAGGGATCTCTGGTCCTTCCCGTGTAGCTGTTCGAGCGGAAATAATATAGTGCAGTCAAGTAAACGAGATTCGACATCGGCGCTCGGGGCCTTTGAAGTGACCTTTTGTAACTTGGCTTGTTTTTGGAATTGCACTGGTAAGTTGTATCTAGACATATATTCTTCGAGTTTGCTGATTTCCTTCCGTGAATCTTTGCTCTCTTGCTGAAGATCCTGGAAAGCATCCAACATGCACAAAATTCCCGCCAGCTTGACAGTATCGAGGTCATCCGATCCCTTCTTTATCGCTCTAGCTAAGGAGTGTATATCCGAAACTAAGGCGTCAAAAGTTTTCTGTCGTAGGCTACAGATAGCCTCAAACTTTTTGCTGCTGTCAAGCTGTTGCTTGCGTTTGTGTAAGAACGAAAGGGTGAGGATGAACAAGGGGTATTCCATAGTTTGGTAATTTGGTGAAGCTGCTTCATTGGTTACCTTTAGATATGTGCTCTTCATGAATTTAGTCACGGAATCTTCAGGCGCAGCTTCAAACCGATCCATAACAACTTCGTGGAATTTCCGGAAGGCATCAAAAAGTAGTTGACTATTGTCTTCGCTGCTCACATGAATTGAACGAGAAATTGCCCAGGTTGTGTTCTGGTCACTGGTGATTTGAGCTGGCGACCTCGTGGCCTCCATTAGGCTTGTCATGAGCAATAATATATCTAATTTCATATCCGCGTCGACCTTACCCTCCAAGAAGAAAGATTGAAGAAGATCCAAAACTGAACCTCGCTGTGGCCGGGCTACTAAGCGGGTGGGAATAGATAGGAGAGTGCCAACCAGCAATTTGGACGGAACCGCGTCCTGTTCAAGTTTATCATAAACCACCTTGACGATGTCGTCCACGACACAAGACGAATCTAAGACTGACTGTGGTGATAAAAAGGAGCTCCAAATATCAGCAAGCTGTGATTTTATCGTAGAAGTCGCTTCGTCCCCAAGAGTTGAGAGGAGATTGGTAAATAGAAGTTGGCGGGTTTCGGAGGTTAGCTGGGCCATAGCTTGGTTATTGGCAAGTAGGGTGGTGAGGCAGCCCATAATAACGGCCCCTGGAGTTACAAGCGTTTCCATTCGGCCATCCCAAGGGGGTAGCCTGCTTTTTGAAATAAGCTTGAAATGTGGTAATATGGCGTGGACCGCCCTTTTTAAGTGCTCACTAACAGTATCACCTGTGGACTTGTTTCCAAGACAGATGATAAAATTGAGGCACCAAAACGTCTCTAAACAATCCTGAGCTAGGATAGATTTTGGATGGTTGGAAAACTCTTCTAGCTTATGAAGAGCAATGGGAATCAAAAACCCCTCCATATCGAGCTGCATTGATTCCGAACAAGCTTGGTATCTGTAAACAGAATTTTGCAATAGCCGCCAAATTCTCCACCTCCAGGTCGCCTGAAGGCTAGAAGAGAGAAGTGCGGATAGATTTTGTAAAATCTCCTCATAGCGGCCATTTGAAATAGCATCGAGTCCCCCTTTCAAGGGAGACATCAGGATGGCGTCAAGTACAACTATATGAGGATATGTACTCGATATGTCAAGTGAGGATCGTTCGGTCGATTGGACCTTTACCAGAATATCTTCGACCTGGGCATCAAGCTGTGCGTCTGCCGCCAGAAGTTCTCCACAAGCATTGACTACATCATCATCTTCCCAGACAGAAAATAATATGCCATTCTCGCTGGTACGTCGCGCCGTTTCAAGTCGGGATAGCTGTTCGGTCCATATTCGGACAAAAGCAGAGCCATCTCTGGCGTTGAAAAATCCGCGCGCCAGAGGGATGACGATATCAAATTTTATCGTGTTGTATAGACCACTTGAGGTAGATTCTGGCTGGAGAGATAAAGACGTGATGCCACCTAGCAGAGAGTCTAGTAGGGTGGCAGATTGTTCTAAGCCGGAATTTAACAAGAACACATCAACATCGAGCTTCAATATCTGGGTGATTAGATGCCATTCAATTTCACTCTGAGACTTTGACAGGAGCTGGGAATATCCGCTCGTAATTTGGACCAGTGTCTCCAAGGAGAGTTTCAACTTTCGCTGGATAGCTACACCAAGAAATTCCTGTAGCAAGGAGACACTTCGCGTAGAAGAATTTGCTGCCCGTTCCCCACTTAGTGAATAGCTGCCTCGTGCCAGAAGGGAGATTGCGAGTGATTCGAGCCAAGGGTTTTCATGCAGCTGCCGCCTGAAATTATTCCTAGGCATAGCACGGATAGAAACATCGAAAAGCGTTGGGAGAATATAGCTATTTGAGTCAGAGAGTACTGCCCCTAGCCTTGATTGAACCTCGTCACTGAGGAGTTGTACTTTCTTGGGGCTGATCTGGTTGTTGGTAGCTGTGGATTCCGAGGAGAAAAAATTCTCGCGGAGATGGAGGACGACATGAAGGACCACTAATCGCTCGAGGCCATTTACTAATTCCTGATTCCTGGAGGCACCACCTTGGGACTGATGTATGTTTCTAATCAAGCCCAACACACCTACAAGGGCATGGGAAACAAACAAATCCTATAAACAAGTTAGTATTAGGAGGACGTGCAAGAATAGCCAAAAAGGGTGTTAACGTACATTACTAGACTTGCTCGAGTCACCTTCGGAAGAGTCTGATCGGAGTGCCCATATCTCCACTACCGAGACGAGAGAGGAATATAGTTGCAGCCTATACGAGGCTTCTTTCGCAACATCTACTTCATCAATGGCAGTCAAAGCATGACTACAGGATTGACCAAGGATTATAGCACTTGCTTTAAGCTGTCCACGAAAGACGAGCTTCAGCTGAGCCCTCAGCGAAATTTGGGCTTGCGGGATTTGGTTGGCGAGCTGTACAAGAGCATGAATTGATTCGATAATGGCAAGGAGAGTGCCTGAGGAGGCATCGCATGAGCTGTCCGCTTCTGGAGTATCCGTGCTAAGCCCGCCATCTGTCCGCTTGCGTTTCCGGCTTCGGGTAGAAGAGTCTGATTCGGGGACTCGCTTCAGCTGCGCGCCTACTTTAGAGTCGTATCCCGCATCCAAAGCACGCTTTTCTTCATTTCCCGTCGATTCCAAGGCCACCAACGAGTCTTGAAGTATTGCCAGGAAATTATTTTCGTTCAACGTAAACGCCAGGCTCCTAATTGGGATTCGGCCAAAGAGAATCCGCAATAATATCCACGATCTCTCGTTCTTCCTATATTCATTCCGTTCCTCGGCTAGACCCTTGAGCTTCTTCAGCAGCCATCGCAGAACCCATTCCTCGGTGGGTGCAGAGAGAGCCGACGTAATTGAGGGGAGTCCACCGTCGCCTGCCAAATATTGGTGTACATAGCTCTCAAGATCAACTCCTGTGATCCTAGCAGCCTCTGCAAGCTGCTCAACTGGCGAACCTGATGTGCCCTTCTCAAGCTCAAGCAATGCTTGATACGCGGGGGGCTGATATGGTGAAAATTGACAAACGGTTAGCAAATTTCAAACCCACAGAAGCAATTGACAAGAGAACATCGCCTACCTCGGCCGCTGAAACCATCCTAACTACCTTTCCTGTCCCCTATCAAGGCGACGTCAAGCTGTCGGTTTTTCCAAAATTTCGCGATATCTCCAAAGCAAAGCATGTATGTATGGGCCGGGATTTTTATAGTCGGAGCTAAGATCTTCCGGCGCCGGCACCCGCCATTTCCATAATTCAAATGCCCGAACATCGAACAAGATAACAAACACGCTCGCGACTCTCTTCCAGACGTCACCACTCTAGGTAGGCTGCTGAATCCCCTCGATCGGATGTAATTGCTAATGGAAAACTCTCCAGGTTCTGTCGAAATGGCCGATTCCGTCGAATCCACACAATCCGCGGCTGTGCCTCGCGCCAGCAAGCCCGTCAGCGAGACTCTACTGAACGAAAAGGTACGCTCCTCGGGCTATGCATGAGTGGACGTTTCCGACCTGAGATGAGAATGGAGAAGAACTATGTTCGTTGACGAATTGAACTCTATTAGTGGGACCGCGCAATTTCGTCCCTCCTCATCAGATCCTCCGTCGGTCTCGGCTTTGGTGTTATATTCTCAATCCTACTGTTCAAGCGACGAGCATGGCCTGCCTGGATGGGATTGGGCTTCGGTGCTGGACGAGCATGGGAAGAAGCTGATGGTATGGATTTATGGAACACTATCTGTTCCTTCTATTACAATATTCACGGGCTGTTGGTATTTGGTATGAGATTCCTAACGTACGTTCTTTGACAGCTTCCTTCCGACGAGGCGACCAGCCATGGACCCAGAACCTCCGCTTCCCAAGATCGTAAATCATACGTGAGGAGGGTGTGCATGATGAGACCGAAAAAGTGCAGGGAGAGTAAAAATACAAGCAAAATATGAACCAACACATATGTCCATCCACACCACTGGCATTCGACCCTTTTTATTTATTCCTCTTTTATCATAGCGCATACTATCCGTATATCTATCTCCCTCGGCCTCATGTCGCAGCAACTTGCAGGGGCCTGTACAATATCACTTTTTTCTTATATCAGTGCTAAAAAATCAATAGAGCGTATTGAATAAACCATCCAGGCGTTAAATAAAATGCATGCATACAGTTGGAGATATGTCTGTGGTCAATATGTGAATGAGTACCAAACACGGTACTAGAGTAGTAAGTGGAGAGGAGAAAAGATGTAGCAATAGCTCTATCTAGGGGTATATGGTACCATTTTTCGAAAAACAAATTCAAAGATCAAAAGAACGACTACTCCATGATATGCATGCCAAAACCCTAGGCAGGAGGAGACTCCACCGTGGCATGGCTAGAATAATATGCATTATACCCATGAGAAACTGGAACCTGTGCTTGCAAATGCGCCTGCGCCTCTGCTTGAATGTGCATATCTGTAAGGGATGGTGTTTGTGTCTGCATCGGGAAGAAGGTGTTGATCTGTGGTGTGTTCTCTACCGGACTAGTTATCTGCGGTAGGTCGGGAGGTGGTGAGGGTTCAGCAGATATGCCGCTGTGGCCGTGATGAGTTACGCAACCGACGCAGCTACAGTTCATGCTGCATCGACAGGTCCCCGTGAGGTTGGTACAGGGCCCAAGCATACTGATGGGATATTCCACCGTGTAGTAGGCAGTAGGGCTCATCATCAGTTCACCGTTACTCGTAACCGCGTTCTGAGACATTGTTGCGGATATAGAAGGGTTATCTGCGTAGTTGAAGGAGTGTTGTGGAAATGGCGAGCTGTGAACAAAGCCCTGGGAAAAGTGGCTTTGCCCGAAGCCGCCAAAGTCTGATTCAGGGTACTGCGGTTTCGAGGGGACATGTGCATCGTAGGGGGGTGATTGGACTTCGTCGCCTGTTTCGACTCCTTGGTCACCATATCCGGATGCCATCATGTAGCCCATTTCTTGAATGTAATGCCGGGTTGTATCGTTGTAAGGGTGGCTTGCACACCCCAGACACTGACAGCCGTCACCACAGCCACAGTTATGACCTTTGCATCCGGCCTGGAGGGTCGTTTGGCTGTAGCTTGCAGGAAGGCCTAGTGTAAAATCATCGGGGGGTCCAAATTGGTCATATGTGCTGTACTGCTGTTGCTGATGTAGTTGTTTGACAGTTGGAGACGTAAAAGTTGTGGTAGGAACAGAGTGGGAGTTGGAAGGATATTGCCCATATCCGTTGCCCATTGGGTTGACGAGGAGAGGACTGGGAGAGGGTCCAAGTTCGGATAACGAGGAAGGAATTGAGAGTGATTTATGCAGTGCGTTCAGTTGGGTCGATTGAGACCGTAGAGGAGTATATGTAGAGGAGGTGGATATCTCGTAGCTGGGAGATTTGTGCTTGATATCCCCGCTGGCAGCAGGAACATGGCCGTTTGATTGCTGTTTCGACCCACAGCACCCTCCTCCTCCTCCTCCTTCTTGTACCGCAGATGTTCCCGCCGCAGCAGGACTATCTGTTGTTGGATATGTGGGCGTCTCACTCTCCATTGCTGTAGAGTCATCCGTCTTGAGTCCATTCAGGGTAGACGACTCCTTTTTGACATGGACCGGGCCTGACGGCAGCATCCCTAGACTCCTAGCCACGCTATCTGCCGATGCCTGTATACTATTCTGCCGCTTAGAGCGCTTCTGAATACGGTTTGCATTTGGCCCTGTTGAAGACACCGGAGACAACGGAGCCCCCGTTGCTATCGACGAGCCTGGCATCGATGAACCCGCTATTGACGAACCTGCCACTGGTGAACTCGCTATCGACAGCCCCGTTGCCATCGATGAACTGGTAGGTAAGGCCTGCCGCTGCTGCCGTTGATGTTGCTGCTGTTCCGCCTCACCGGCCGTCATGGGCACTTTGTACAGCGGCCGACACAGACAAGTCGAACCTGCACCCCCGTTAGCCCTGCCCCTTGCAAAGAGATGGTATAATAATATGCTCACCCTTTGGTATTCTAACCATGAATGCATAGAGTTTCTGACAGCTGCAGGTACCCTTTGGATGAGGGCATTTCTGGAGCGGACGGCCTGCCTTGGGCACCTTCATCATAAGCCTATCGAAATGCTGGCATTTGGACGAGCGGTGTCCACGAATGCAGGGCTCGCTGCAGCTGTTAGCGGTATACTGTGATATGGATATATAGGGAGGACAAGCTGTACCATGACCATTTGGCCCCCTCCTCGTCTAGAGGCATGATTCCGGCGTCTCGGCTCGTCACAGCAGGATACGGGTGCTGGCAGGTCTCGATGACAGATTCCACAGATCGTCAGACGGCGAGCAGCGCAGGATTCCAGTTGGCGGACGGAGGGCTGGTTATAAGGAGGTCTGCTTTCCGCTCCCCTTCCCAGCACTTTGCGCGGGGACCGGCGCGCGAGCAAGTGTGTGACGGGCAGGGATGGCCGCAGTAGCAACGAATTACAGCGCAACTGCAGACGAGAGACGAAAGACAAGCAGGCCTAGCAGACTGTGGCTAATCGTGAATCGTGAATCGTGAATCGTGAATCGTTACAGGTATCTCGTTCCCCTCCAGATATTTCAAAAGCGCCCGCGATATCAGTGGAAGTCGGATGCGCTAGCCCGAACGGGAAGGCCGCGACTTGATACTTCTATCACCAACAGGCACAACACAGCAACGAGATCTGAAGGCCAGAGACCAGAATCAGAAGATGGCGGAGGATACGGCCGCCAGCACAGAGTCCCGGTCGTGGTTTCCAGCGATCCCGCAGCCCGTCAAGCGCGTCTTCGACCAGTTCCCGCTGGTGACATATCCGCCCAACGCAGCGCCGGCGAGGTCGACGGGCACGACGGGCACGACGGACAAGCCAGACGAGCACCGGCTGTACATATTCGCCAGTCCGCAGGCTGCCAGAAAGGGGAGACCGTCGGTGAACCCGCAGTGTCTCAAGTGGCAGGTCAGGGCTCTCCGTTCTGAGCTGCATTGCATTTGCTGACAGGGAGAAACAGGCCTATCTCAAGTTTTCGGGCATACGATTCCGCACGATTCCTTCCAATAACCATGCGTCTCCCAACGGGGCCCTGCCGTTTCTCCTCCCCGCATCCGCAGGCAATCCGGGGACAGACGACGCCCTCCCGGTGCCGTCGAATAGGCTGCAGAGATGGGCGGACGAGCAGGCGCATGTCGACCAGGGAGAGGCCGCCAGCATGCGGGAGGAGGTGTACACGTCGCTGCTGGACCACAGGATACGTGATGCCTGGGTAGGGATGTCTCTTCGCTTGGGAGGGTAACGGGCTAACGTTGAATAGCTGTATACCGTCTACCTGGATAGCTCCAACTTCGGCTCCATCGCGAGAAGAGCGTACGTAGAACCCTCGACGAACAACTCGATAGTGCGGACGGTGCTGGCATGCCAACTTCAGGAGGCCGCCAGGAGCCAGCTGCTACGGACGTCCACCTACATCGACGTCGACGACATACTCGCCGAGGCAAAGAACGCCTTCGAGGCCCTCTCTGTCCTGCTGGGTAGCGACAGCTACTTCTTCGGCAGGGCCAAACCGGGCCTGTTCGACGCCAGCGTCTTTGCCTATGTCCATCTCATACTCGACCAGAAGCTGGGATGGAACCACAACCCGCTGGCAACCTACCTGGACGGACACGATAACCTCTTACAACACCATGAACGTCTCTTCAATACGTATTTCTAAAAAGGCACGCTTGGGAAGGCGTTGGATGGGACATATCTTTCAGTTTATATAGAGCATCTAGCGCGAGTCGATTTATGTACAATATCGATCTATGTACAATATACCATCCCCCTACACTTTCTCTTCTCTCGTTAGACCGTCACTCCTTCGGAAACAGCCTCCATACCACACTCTGATGCCAATCCACTTCGAAGCCCGCGGCCCCAGCAACGGAGCAAGCTTCTCATCCACCGTCACCTCCTTCATCTCTCCCGCCAGCTCCAGACCAAACCGAGCAGCCTCTGCGACGACCTCCTCTGCCGTATGTGCATAGCTTGTACCACTGATCTTCATCCCGGTCTTGGGGTCAGTGAACCCAGCCTGGCTGATGCCGCCCATTTCAGAATGCATGTTCGTTATCAGCAGGACGCCCCCGGGCTTCAACATGGATGCCACCGCTGTAAAGAAGTCCTTCATCGGCACATGCTCCAGCACCAGCGTCGAGATGATCCCGTCGGCCTCGAGTGTACATTCCGGCGGACCACTAGATGCAAGCATGTCGTAGGTCTCGAACTTCACGCGGTCGATGGCTGCCGTACGCTTACGCGCGAGCTCAAGCATCCCCTTTGACGGATCCAGGCCGATGATGGCTGCCTTTGTTGCATGCTGGGCGAGAGGCAGTGTGTTTCTCCCTGTCCCGCAGCCTAGGTCGACGTATCTTGCATTCTCGGCTTGTGCATTGCTCAGAGAGAGGAATGTTGGCAGCAGCGTTTTCATCTCTAGGGTATCTAGGGCCTGTAGGAAGTTCCCGTCCGTGTCGTAGATCTGTACTCTGTTAGTGGCTATCTAATATATATTAGAGAGTAGGTATATACGCACCTCTGCCCATTGGTTGTATGCATCGACGGTGCTGATGTACTTGACTTCTCTCTTGGGTTCGGCCATGGTAGAATTGGGTGTTGTTGCCATGTTGAATATAACGGTTACTCTATCCTCGAGATGTCAAGATACCTCCTGGCTATCATCTTATATCCATCGTCAGTATAAAATTTCATGTTAATACGAGCACTTGAGTCATCCAATAGCCTCTTTGGGACTCCGAAGTTTTATCCTAGGCCCAACCTTGGTATTTCTCGGCATGGCAACGTCGGACTTGAACAAAAAGATACTGACATTGAGAAATTAGTGTACATAGAGTGCACCATCGAGAAGAGAAATATACAAGATGGACAAAGTCAACTCCCAAACACCGTGCGGAGAAGAACAGACAAAAAGGAAAAGCCTCGAACAACAGGAACCAAGTTGTGAGAATCCGAAATATTTGCAGCAGACCGAAAAAGAAAGACAATAATATATACGACGAAAAGGTGGTGGAAACTGGCAAAAACAGCTAGAAGACGGAACTGCCGAACGGTGCAGTCTCCTTTAGATCCTCGACCAGATCTTCGACATTGCTCAGATACCTCCCCAGGAGACCCTGTTTCTCCTCGGTCGACTTTGTATCCACAGTCGACGCAGACCGTCTGCGCGCAGAGACGTCAACGCTCCGCGACGAGGGGGCTCCCAGTTTGCTTGGAGTTCGCTGCAGGCCGGTGGCGGTGGCGGGTGCACTGGCGTTCACTGCTGGCAGCTGCGGAGTTTCCGGCATAAGATAAAAGTACAGGAACTCGACGAGCTTGAGCTTCACTTCACGAGAGGTCGAGCGCAGCTTGAACAGGGAAGTTATCGTCAACAGGCCGTCGAGTTCTTCAAAGGTGCGTGTGTTGGCCGGCGTGTCGAGGAGGGCCGTGACGAGGGTCAGCAGCGTGGCCGACTGGATTGCTGGACAGTTTGCCGGCTCCAGAAGGTCAAGGAGGATGTTCATGTATATCTCGCGCGCAAACAGGGAGCGAGACGGCGGGTGTAAGAGCAGGATGCCCTGGATGAGGTCCAACGCGGAGACGATGAGCAGGTCGTTGGTGCCATTGCTCCCGCGGCCGAGGAGGTGCTCAAGGCATGATATCAGCCGTAGTGCGACTGGTGTGAATGTTAGCGCACGGCAGAGGACAGACGCGGGATCGGCGTCAAGGCTCACCATTCCACTGAAAGCCATCCTGAAGCTTGTAGAACTCCCTGAAGGCGGGATCGTCCGTCAATTCGCTGGTGGACTTGGGCGGCGACGGCGTCGAGCCCAGAGGTATCATTGACCGCCTCTTCTCGGCGGCCGTCAGCTTCGACCGCGACAGACATATCTGTGCCAGCAGACCCTCGACCTGTCGAAGGCCCTTTCGGATCTTGCCCTGGTCGTGGGACGAGAGGTAGTCGAAGGAGTGTGCTAGGAGGGCCTCCATGAGAGCGATAGCCGGGTTCTCTGCTGTCCTCGCGTCGTCGTCGACTTCACTGTCTTCACCGTCGTCGTCGTCGTTGTTAGGCTGTAGGCGGAGGCTGGATGCGCTGTCTCGCGGGGAGGTCGCAAGCTCGATCTTATCTTAAGCCTGAAGAACAAACTCGGAGGAAGCGAGAGAGCAACTTGCCTAAAGCGGCTAGGCGTCAACAAGCCGCGGTTGCCGAGGTAACGGCACGTGATATAAGCGCCGAAGGAAGAAGTAGAAGTCTGTATAGAACAATAGTAGAGATGAAGAACGACAGTAGATGAATATATGATGGTGGTCAAATGGTCTGTATAGGCCATGCAATCGCCAACCGTAACGAGGCACATTTACTGACCTAGCTAAGGGATCAATCGAGAAGACATCCTGGCTACCGTCATGTTGCCCATATACTTGATCAATTCCAGGTAGACGGCCGAATGGTACTCATAGTGTCTTGGTGATGGAACCTGTGGTTTCGCTTCTCTGGATGCAATTGAATGCCAGCGATGTTCTTAATTCCCACGTCAAGAGCTTCGTTCGTCAAGCGATGGCCGGGCTGTCGTATTTGCACAGCTTAGGCGTCATGCATGGAGGTAGTCTTATATCCCGACTACCAGGGGTACTTGCTTACCAAAATGATATCCGCAGGCCTTCATCTTGGAAACCTCGCTTTGGCGCTTCCTGACCGTCATGAATACAGTGAAGCTGAGCTGTTGAATTTCTTCAGTGGCATGGAAGCGACTGTCCTTCTAGCCTTAGACCCGGCAGACCAGACGGATTCCCTGCCCTCTTACGTGCTTCTTCCTATAGATCTGGCAGAACTTGTATTAAAGGAGATCCGCGTGTCAACGAGCGACGAGTTATGCGTGAAGATCACCGATTTTGGAAATGGTAAGAATCTAACCTTCTGATAATACCTTTTATGCTAAGCCAACAGCTTTTCGGCAGGGGGATCTAGGCGGACATCTGGTCGATGGGCTGCACGGTCTGTACGGCGCCAACCATCTCCATATCATTTCTAACATGTCTCAACTCCAGACATACGACATGATCTGGGGCGAGGCGTTCTTTACCATATGAAGTGACAAAGACGTCCTGCTATCTAATGTAGCCAAATACGGAGGACCGTTACCCTCCTCACGGCTGCCTTATATAGATAGTAAATATGTTAACGGTTCGTACATCACACGTTTACCCTAAAGGACGCTGAGCGGCGATACGTACAGCGGCCTCCAGTCCAGCGTGGGAAGAAGATTGGGATAGAATCCGCGACTCTGCGCTGAAGTACCGACCAGCAACCATACCATGGGAGGAGAATACGCATCTGATGATTGACATGATTCGAAAGATGCTAAAAGCCGAGCCATCAAGCCGCACGCCGATGGAAGACCTAGTGGACCATCCTTGGTTTGGAGTTAAGGGGATGACGGTGGAGAGCCAAGCTGATATATAGAGACCGCATGACCTGTATACGTCTCAGGGACAATATGCAGGAACAAGACAATGACTGGCCGTCACGCCATCGTGCGCGAATATACCGATGGCAGCATCGACAAACGGCTCATCCGGGGCCTCCACGCGAGACTGCTCTCCGCATCGAACCTGCTAGGCCTTCCCCGGCCGGGTCATCCCCCGCTTACTGGAGAGAGAGGAGTGAATATAAGACATATACAAGCGTCTCGCCAGTTATGCCTGATTGCAGCGAGGCAGTTGACGGGTATAGGTACCATCTGCGGCGTGAAACAAGCTGGTTGGCAGGAACAAAGAAGCATGAGGCGCTGCGGGCGTTAGAAGAGGCGTAGAAGAAGGCTAAATCTTGGACTTTCATTGTCCACGGCCACGCCTGAGGTATTTAGCAACGCGCGTGTCGTGTTTCCTAACTGAGTGAATCTGGTAATGAATCCGGGGAGGGATATAACTGGAGACATCTGGGGCTGCGTGATTTCTTGTACCGGTACAAGTCCAACATGGATGTGGAGGTTCATCTTCACTCGTACTTGTTAGATGAAAGAGAAGAAAGAAGAGAAAGAAGAGGTCAAGAGAAGGTTGGATGAGTCAGCAGCCGTAGCTTACACTGTCATGGTATTACCGTATAGATGACAGTAATAACCTTACAGCCAGTGCGGTGTAACAAAGAAGTTCTTGTACTTACAGTGGGATAGCTGTGGTACCGTGATGTAAGTGTAAGTAACAGTATCCTCCCTTACGCTCTCTTCCATCTCTTCATCTTCATCATCTTCATCTTCAACTTCATCTTCATGACAACGTTGCAGTTCGCTCGCTTCGTCTTTCCACAAGAACCATGTCGCAGCTCATCCTTGACCCTGTATCCTGGCCTGCAAGGGAGCTCGAGCGGGGAGCATGACCAAGAAGCCCTCGACGGGAGGCTTAGACCAAGACACGACAAGCCGACGAGACCAGCAGCCAGTGGCCATCCATGCATTAGCCCGTCCTTAGTGGTCTCTTGATGCTCTCTGAGTGGCCTTAGCGGCCCTTTGATGCACTCTGAGTGGACTTTAGTGGTCGTTTGATGCGCATTTAGTCGTATCCTGGTCGTGTCTTGGTCGTATTAGCTGTCTGCTAGCCGTCTCTTAGCCTTCTCAGGCCATGTACCAGTACCGCGCATCCCTGCGAACCCGACGTCATCGCCAAGTACCGGTACTTCAGGCCCGTCCGCTTTGGGCGACGCCTTTAAGCCCTCACCGAGGGAGGATCAAGGTCGGGCAAAACCATGGCTACACGAACATATTTATATACGGCCGGGGGGCTGCACTTCAGCTCGGCATTCCTGTGCAACCTGCTTCACTTATAGCAGTGGCAGCTCCTCCATCCATTCTACACGCCCATAGCCTATACAGCGGATTCGCAGTCTACTACCAGTAGCCAGCATGGCTGATGCGGATGGGATCAAAGGGTGAGTGTCTCTGGCATCTACTGTTTCGGCACTGCTAACAGGCATCCCAGGACCGAGAGGCGTCCCTCTCTCTACGGCGCCGTCAAGGACCGCAAGAAGAGCATCGCCGAGTTCACTGAGAACGTCACCGGAGAGTGAGTCGAACTCGGCTTGTCCCTTGCCTCGTAGCTCTGGCTGACAAGTAATGCATAGAATCAAAAACCCGCTCGCTGAGATCCCCAAGGACCAGCTGCTCGAGGACGTACGCAACTTCGCCCAGGAGTTTGGCCTGCAGGGGATCACCGCGCTGCTTGAGAAGGGTGCGCTCGTCGCCCAGAACCCTGCAGGCTTTGAGACCCTGGAAGAGCTAGACGAGGATGACCGTAAATGCCTGCGTGAGGAGGTCACCCATCGGTGGAAGCTCCCCTGGGGCCTGTACTATACCATCTTCCTCAACTCCATTGCTGCAGCCATCCAGGGATGGGATCAGACCGGTATGTTCTATCCCGTAGCCGTTGTCGGTCAGTCAGTATTAACATTGTATAGGATCGAACGGAGCGAACCTTTCGTTTCCTCTTGAGTTTGGGATCCCCGATAGCCGTCCGCACTGTACCACTGATGCCATCTGCGAGAAGAATGCCTGGATCGTCGGTTTCGTCAACTCTGTCCCCTACATCGCCATTGCTCTCTTGTAAGTCTAGCCGACATCTAACGATCGTAATGGCTGTCTAACGGGTTGATTGCAGCGCTGGATGGCTCTCCGATCCAATTAACGACTTGATCGGTCGTCGAGGAACGATCTTCATAGCCGCCATATTCTCCTTGCTCGCACCCATCGGCTCTGCATTCACTCAGAACTGGGGTCAGCTCGTCGCCTGTCGCATCATGCTTGGAATAGGCATGGGTCTGAAGGAAGTCACCGTTCCCGTCTTCTCGGCTGAAAACACCCCTGCCAACGTCCGTGGAGGCCTCGTCATGTCCTGGCAGGTCTGGACGGCGTGTGGCATCTTCCTCGGTACTGTTGCTAATCTGGCCGTCGTCAACACCGGCCGAATCGCATGGAGATTGCAGCTCGGCTCGGCATTCATCCCAGCCATTCCATTGGTGATTGGTATCTTCTTCTGCGCCGAGTCGCCGCGATGGCTGCTGAAGAAGCGCAAGGTCGCCAAGGCATATCGCTCGCTGTTGAGACTGAGAAACACCCCTCTGCAGGCGGCGAGGGATGTGTATTTCATCCATGCTCAGTTGGAACATGAGCGCGCCGTCCTCGTGGAGACCGGCCTGATCAAGACGGACAACTTCTTCACTCGTTTCATCGAGCTTTTCACCATCCCCCGAGTGCGCCGTGCCACCCAGGCGTCCGGTGTCGTCATGATCGCCCAGCAGATGTGTGGAAGTAAGTATCTTCCTTCGTGGTATCTTTTGCATATACTAACAGGCTTTATAGTCAACATCATCGCTTTTTACTCATCCACCATCTTCGAGCGTGCAGGTGCAAGCAACATTACTGCTCTCTTGGCCTCCTTTGGCTTTGGTGTTGTCAACTTCGTATTCGCCTGGCCCGCCGTCTGGACCATCGACACCTTCGGCCGTCGCGGTCTTCTACTCTTCACATTCCCCAACATGTTCTGGACCCTTCTTGCCGCGGGTATGTCCTTCTACATCCCCAGCAGTAGTCCTGCGCATCTCGGCCTCATCGCAACGTTCATCTACCTCTTCGGCGCCTTTTACTCGCCCGGTGAGGGACCGGTGCCCTTCACTTACTCGGCCGAGGTCTTCCCCCTCTCCCACAGAGAGGTCGGCATGGCCTGGGCTGTGGCCACGAATAACTTCTGGGCTGCCGTGCTGGCTCTCACTTTCCGTCGACTAGACCTAGCATTGACCACACCAGGAGCATTTGGATTCTACGCCGGACTCAACGTCGTTGCCTTTGTAATGATCTTCCTGTTCCTGTACGAGACCAAGCAGCGTACCCTCGAGGAGCTCGACTATGTCTTTGGCGTGCCCACTCGCACTCACGCGAAGTACCAGCTCACCAAGGTCCTGCCGTGGTGGATCAAGAGGTATATCTTCCAGCGAAAGCATGCCATTTGCCCCGAGCTGTACCATCTTGATAGCATACGGGAGAGTGTCCCGGAGAAGCAGCCCGTCCATGAACACGATGGCGTCAAGCAGGTGTAGAGCAGGGCTAGTGATGGCAGGGATCGTAGTAGTTGATGAGATTGATATGACATGACATGACATGATTGATTGATTCGTTGATTTGCTGGCATGGTGTTGGTGTATAAATGATCTCATAACTGAATGAACAAACAATATCAAATTACGGAATATCTAGCCGCAGCATGCACCACCGTACACTATCCCCAATCCACTTGATATACATCCCTGACCGAGCTATCCCCGTCGTACGTAGATCCTCGGCCGGCCTACTCTCGGGCTTACAAAGCAGCTCTAGGGTTCTCCGGTTGAAGCTCCGATGAACAGGGACAAGGGAGGCCTGCTCAAAGATATATCCAGCTCCCCTTCGTACATTATACCGAAAGCGATGTGCAAACTGGCATAGAGGAATGCCCAGAGTGAGGCGATGGGATTGTCTTTAGCCAGCAAAAAAGCAAGTACACGATATCTAGTTAGTTAGTGGTTAGCTGAAATAGCCCTTACTTAATTACCGAGGGTAGTGGTGGTGTCCTTGTTTTCACAACTTCCCATCAACCAAACAAGTTGATATAAAGATTGATATAAAAGATAGACACGATCCCACCTGGAGAATAGCATTGATCCCATCTATCCATTACACTGACGGCTTCACATCCTCGCAATGGCTACCAAAGACTTCCCACCTCCGCCAACTCCCACCATCGGTATGACTCTTATCATGATACCAGCTGTAGATAGATGCTGAATATATTCTCTAGACTGGAACAACATCGGCTTCAAGGTCAGAGAGGTAAACGGCCATGTGGAATCGCACTTCTCTCATTCCGGGGGAGCCCAATGGTCTGCCCCTCGCTTCGTTGCGTCTCCTTACCTCCAGCTCCATGGCATGGCTCCGGCCCTCAACTACGGCCAGCAAGCCTACGAAGGCATGAAAGCCTTCCGCCACCCTCCATCCCCGTCTCATCCAAACGGCCGCATTGCCATCTTCCGACCAGACCGCAATGCCGCCCGGTTGCAGCGGTCGGCCGAGTTCGTCTCCATCCCACCCATCCCTGAAGAGCATTTCGTCGAATGCGTACGTCGTGCAGTCAGCGCTAATGCCGACTTTGTCCCTCCCTACGAGACGCGTGCGGCGATGTATATCCGTCCACTCTTGCTGGGTAGCTCTGCCCAGCTAGGCCTCGTGCCGCCGGATGAATATACGTTTGTCGTCTTCGTTATGCCAACGGGCGTCTACCATGGTGTTCACGCCGTTGATGCGCTGGTGCTCGAGGACTTTGATCGGTCTGCTCCCGAGGGGACCGGATCAGCCAAGTTGGGCGGTAACTATGCTCCTGTGCTACGGCATAGTGACAGGGCGAGGACGGAAGGGTACGGCATCACGCTGCATCTGGATAGCAAGACGAGGACGGAGATTGATGAGTTTTCTACCTCGGCGTTTATCGGGGTACGCAAGGACAAGATGACGGGTGAGGTCACGCTTGTGTTCCCAGATAGCAAGAATGTGATTGCCAGTGTCACTGCGGCGTCGGTGCAGGAGATTGGAGAACGCCTGTGTAATTTCAAGATCGAGAGGCGAGCGGTTCTCTACGATGAGCTGTCCGGGTTCGACGAAGTCATGGCTGCAGGTACGGCGGCCGCCTTGGTGCCGATTAAGAGTATTACGATGAAGTCCAAGGATGTCAAGTATGAGTATGATGCCGGCACCAACGACGAGGGAGGTGAGGTGTTTAAGAAGTTGATCAAGACGTTGCAGGGAATCCAGATGGGTGAAGTCGAGGATACGTTTGGATGGCTTGTGGACGCTGAACCCGTCGAGCAAGGATGGGTGGAAGGGAAATAATCATCATTCCTCTGATCTATCTACGGCTTATTCTTAATGCTTTCTATGTTTATGGCTAGATAAAACAAATAGGTAGTAAATGAACAATTGTGAACATGCAAGGAGATCATCAGTTAGGTTAGGTCATGTTAGATTTCACTAGTGTATGCTAAGGTAAGTCGGGACTACTCTTTCGAGTAGCTAGAGAGGTAAAAGAGAGGTACTTACGGGATACAGGGTAAGGTAGATAGGAGGCAGAGGTATGTATATACAGAGTGCCCGTTGCAGGTGAGCGCAAGGGCAGATGGCAGGGGGGGGAATATATGCAATGCATGTATGCGAAGAATCCTCATCACTCCAAACCGATAAGCCAACCAGCCAGCCCGCCAACCAAGAGTAACAAGAGTAGCAAATAAACGAAAGTTCAAGCAAGACAGGTCGGTCTATCACGTATAGCTTGAGTGAGGCAGAGAGGATATAAGTGAGAAGAAACGCCGCACACACGTAATGCATCGCATTAAAAAAAAAGACAAAAACAAGAGCGAAACAAAGGAGTTTTCCGTTTTCCTTTCACTTTGTTGTTTGTGTTTATTTCTTCTTGTTTTGTTGAAGCTCCAGACACCAAAAAATAAAAAAAAGATATCAGTGGAAGATTTTGCAGCTCAAATGCCCCATAGCGCCCGAACGTTCTCCTTACCGCAGCACGCACGCTTTACGCTGACGGAACCAGTAGCGCTCATACCTGCAACCTTATTGACCAAGAACGAGTCAGCAACTTGGTTGTCACGTAGGACGGCCAGAGAGTTGCTATCATCCTCGAGATCCCGCGCATCAAGCGCCATGAGATGGCGCACTTTTTGCTGCAGGCTGGCTTCTTCGGATGTGGATGGGGCACGAGAGCGTTTTCGGCAACGTCGAGTGCTGTTAATAGGGGATGGAGTAGTGCAATCCAGCGACAGTGGGAAGCCGGTGGCAAGCTCGTACAGGCCCTGGATAGCAGCGGCGTCCGAGTCGGACGGGGTGTTGAGAGTAAAATTCGACAGGTCGGGAACTGCACTGATAGCGCTGGTAGTACGGGAGGGTGGGGAGGGAGGGTATGTATTATAGCTTGGTTCGTGCTCATCGATTGGGGTAGCAATAACGAGGGGTTTTCTGCTTTCTTTAAGACAGTTGTTTGGCTGGGAGGTGGGGGTAGTGCGACGAGATGTGCGGGGTGCGCAGTTCATGGATGTGACAGATGAGATGGAGGAGGATCGAGAAGATCGAGAAGATCGGGAAGAGAACGACAGTGACGGAACATCAGACGCCATCGACTCAGGGGATGAGGTGAAGGAAGACGAGCGAGCCAGGGAAGAGCGGCGGCCCTGGAATGAACCGGAAGGACAGTCAAAAGAAGGTTGTTTGCTAATATACAAGGGTTGCGTAGGACGCTGGTCCAAGGTAGTCCGTTGAACGAAGGCCGTCTGGGCCTGCGAAAGTGCGGAGCAGATGGATGGACGACACGCACTGGCACTCACTGCAGGAGTATGCGTGGTGGCGTTGACTTGCGGGGTGAGCTGGGGGGTAGGAAGCAGTCCAAGCCTTGGAAGCGACGGAAGGGTGACGTTGGTCAAGTCGACCGTTGACGGTCTCCTCGGTATCTCAGTGAACGAGAGACCCGAAGGAGGGCTGCTACAGGTAGAAGGACTGCTTGGTGTGGTGCTATCGACTGGAGAGCCCACATTCGACACTGCCCAGGGGCCATCGCCCTGAGACTCCAGCGTATCAAGCTGGGGAGTCAGGATAGGGATGACCGTTCGCCAGCACATGCCGTCGACACTGGGGATGCCGCTGGCATTCGGTGTATACTTTAGAACGATATCGTTCCAGCGCTGAAAGACGGCGTCTGAGATGTGCAGGCGCCAGTCGACAGCCTGCAAGAACATGAGTTCGTTCTGGTTGATCTCTGCTGTGTTGAGGCCTGAGATCTTGCTCCACGCACGGGCGGAGTAGTTCCTGTCTTGCAAATACTTTGAGGCAAGGATGAGAGCAGAGAGGAACATGCGCCGGCCACATTGCATGGCGCGGGAGTAGGACTGCTGCAGTTTGGGCTGTTCCATGGTAAAGTCGATGCTTGGGACATGCGGCTTGATCAGGATCAGATAATAAAGGGCAACCTGCAGAGTAGAGTAGCTGGTTCGCGATCTGCGAAGAGTCTCCTGAATGAACGTTCTTAGGGGCAAAACCCCCTTGCAGCCAAGGGTAGACTCAACGCCTCTCGGGGACGCAGCGACTGAGAGGGGCCAGATAATCTCTACGATTTGCGATGCAGAGTCTTCAAGGGGAGGGCAGATATGCGTTAGACTGGTCGGAATGTACGGCGATGGAGGGAAGGGCGTAGACTTACCAACAAGACTATCGACGAAGTTGGTTTTCCTTTCGCACTGGCGCACCAAGGTTGGGGGAGGACGCGTAGCAGCCGTACGCCTAGGGTGTTGCCTCAGGCTCGTCGAGACATCTGTCTCTCCAGCCTTACTGTAGCAACCCTTTGCGGAGGTGCGGACTGCATCGTTCGTTGCGGCAGCCTTCTTCTCTTGAGAGTTGGCGGGTATCTCGTTTTCCCAGATCACATCTGCAGATGTGCATGTGGACGAGGCAACCGAGGTTTGAGACGAGACAGCGTCAAGAGAGAAGACCGACGATGCCGACGAGGACGCCGACGAGGCGAGCGAGGATGCGTAGGGGCAAGTCTGATGAACAGACTTTGAAATGCTCGGGTTTACAGGATTGAAACCCAAGACGTCTATAAATGTCGACATGTTTCTAGATCTGGACGTGAAGGTCCCGACTTTGAACTGTGTGTCGGTAGTGATAGACGGTTTGTCCGGGGGGTAAAGTTTGGGGGGGAATAGACCGATAGGTAGTAACCGTTTCGAGGGGGGCAGCGTAGGATGGCCCGTCTTTATGATGACGAAATCTGTAGGCGACGGGGATGCCTTTTCTAAATTAAATCCACAGCCAGACTGAAGGTGTTGATATGTGAGCTTGGAGCTGGTATGTGAATCTGTTTTTATGTTATAATGTTGTGACTGGTGAGTCACTTGGATGATGATATAGATGTAAAGCGGTGACTGGTGTGTGTTCGGGGGAGGCGGGTAAGGTGTAAAGAAAAGGCGAGGTCCCGATCACTTGCACTGGAAAATTCCAACGTCGCGGGCGCAAGGGGTGGTGTGATGAACGTATGATATGATGAAAGCAGGATAGGTCCAGGTCCGTTGAGTAATGTATTATGTCGGGTAGTCTTATGCAGGTACAGACGCAATATAAGAGGCGCGGTCAGGTATGTCGTTAAGGTGGCGTGCCTAACGACCGTGACTCTTCGGGGGCAAACGGAGGCCCGGCACTCAGACGGAGACGGAGATAGCAGTCATTATCACAGTGGCTTTGGCGTTGAAATCTTCTGGGCAGGCGATCGGGCTGGTGGTGGTGGGCGTTGGGGCCAGGAACATTGTTACCTGACCTGGCTGGCGTGGTGATTAGGCAGCACCAGCACCAGCACTGGCTAGGACTCGGCCGGCGCTTGTCGAAGAGACGAGAAGGGAGAGATGACCGGAGAGAGATGACAGGTGACGGGAGGTGACGGGGGATGACGGAGAGAGGGAGAGAGAGAGCTGCGGCGAGTCAAGAGTGAGTAAAAGGGCAAAAATAGCTAGGATATAAAAGTCGATGATGTGGTATGACTCCCGGGTGAGAAACTGGAGTGGCGAAGAAGTGGCGAGAGTTTCCGGGAACTCGCGGTGGAGCATCCCCCCCAAGCAGATAACCATAGCATAACCACAGTAGCATAACGGACGTACCTTTGCAGTGAGTCAAGCAGGCTTCCACGTAAAACAAAAATGAACGGAAGGCGATTAATACGATTAGACGATTAACGACGATTAAGAGGGCCGGGTTGGGCGTAAAATAGATAAGGAGAGGAAAAAAGTAAAGAGTGAGAGCAAAGACAAGCGGAATACGACAGCAAGAGAAGAAAAGGAAGAAGATGAGAGGAGAGCGAAGTAGATATAAGGTCTGCGTCTGATGTCTGCTTTTTCAACGTGGGACCGTCAGTTAGCCTGGGATAGAAAGAAGAGGGAGGGATATGACTCGACGCCCGGCTTAGCGCCCACCCAACCACCGTCAGTCAGCGAGGCGCAAGAGGACGACGAGCAGGCACCAGCAGCGGCGGACAGGGAGACGTTCAGCATCAAGTGATCCTCCTCGTAAGAGACAGACGACGGGCGAAGGCAGACGCGCGCGAGCAGGCAGCGATGCAACAGATACGGAGTCTTACCTGGACACAGACCTCAGCCGGCGATGGTTGGCGAGGACATCGATGATCAGGCAGACGCGCTGAGAGGAGAGTACGGAGAGTAACAGAAGAACGGAGTACGGCGTAAACGGAGAGTAGACAGAAGTAGACGGAGGGGAGAGTGTAGAGATGAGAGGAGAGTGTAGTTGAAAAGTGAAGAGTGAAGATGAGGTCGAGGAGGTGAGGTCGAGGAGGTGAAGTTGGCTTCCGAACTGGGAAAAGCAGAGGCGAGAGGACAGGGCAGAACGGACAGAAAGGGCGGGTACCCAGAGATACTTTGTTTCTGCGGGGAAGAGTTGGTGTCTAGGAAGTACTACTAGGTATCCGTGTTTTTCTTCTTCTTCTGCGCCAGTTAGAGTCACGTGGCATCCCTTTTAGGCACCCCACGCTAGACCCAAAGTAGATACGCCAAGGCTGACACTTCATGGTCTCCATTTTTACTTTGGCCAATCAGGTCCCTCTTAGTAAGCTGTCAGCCCTTACACCCGACTGGCCAGATATATACAGAGTATGGAGTATACGGAGTATTATATTAAAGAGATAAGTAGGATGTTATTTATAAAAGGATATCCGCAGGATGTCTGTGGCTGTGGGACGCGCCTTGGGATCTGGAATCATGACCGTCTCTAAAAGATGGATGTCTTCTTCGGGAAACTGCAGATGCTCCAGTATCGCGCGAAGAGTCACCTCCTCTCGCTCCGGGTCCAGCTCGGGCCAGCGATCCTTGCACTGCTCAAAGAACGGTATATCGTATAGCCTGAAATCGTGGAACAGGTCAACGCGGACTCTCTCCTCGTATCTCTGCGTGGCATCTGCGGCAGACTCGTCGGGTAGCCGGTCATAGAGACCCCAGATGTCGGGACGAAGGTACGCTTGGATCATATGGAGGTACTGTGCAAGGTTAGCCCCTTCCAATAGTTTATGTAAAGGACGATGCGTACCACCATGGCCCAGCCCCATATGTCGACTTCTTTAGACCACTGGAGTCCAAATAAGATCTCTGGGCTTCGATAAGGCATAGGCTGGGCGACCCCGGTAGACGGGGGGGATGCTGTAAGATTCGACACAGGATCAGCCTGACCTACCAACGACGTAAATGGAGTGCATACCAGCCCATGTAGAGCCCAAGTCAAACAATTTGGCAGATGTCCCATTCAGCAGGATATTTTGAGCTTTGATGTCTAAGAACAGCTTGTTAGAATTTTGCTTCGCCTGATAATGATGTATCACGAACCTAGGTGGATGATGTCTTTTGCATGTAGCTCCTCGATACCTTCAAGGGTATCTCTCATTATCTTCCGGATGCCGGCCAGACCGAACTCGGCGAGACGTCCGCTTTCACGCGCGTCCCAGAGTGTTCCCGGCAACCATTCCAGCACCATTCCGTGATCAAAGTCTTCACCAGGAGTTTCGTCCTTGATGACGTCCAGTAGTTGCCGGATATGTGTCGCCCCTTTGAATCGTTGGCATTGCGATACTTCCTTTTGAAACTCTGCTGGCTGGGCCGCGTCCTTGCGAAGCTTCACGACGACATTGTTGCCAGGACTAGCTAATTCGTTCACCAAAGTCAACCCACAAAATGAACAAGTGGAGCACTAGGCTTGTTGGTCGGTCTGGCATTGCTTATGCCCTTACTGAACCAGTCTACCCTCGTTTCTGCAACGGTATAAAACCTCATGTGTGGAAGGCAACGAGTTCGACTCCCATCTTGGTTCATCTCTGGCTCTCACTGCCAAGGTGTATCGAAATCTATGTGTCATAGTTGGTTCTGGCCACTAAAGCCTTTGAAGTAACCCTCCCTCCATTGTACTGACTACTTCGTACAAGATACATCTTCATAGGAGTCTTATGGCTCAGCTAGTGGTCAACACTTTATATTGCAAGGGTGCTATAACGGCGAGTACCTGAGTAAAGAAACATCCTAGCCTCCGAGCATCAAGCTCTGACGCGGCCCCATCCGTCAGACAACATGTTAAAGAAAAGTAAAGTAGGTAAAAGTAGAAGTAAAGTAGAAGAAGAAGAAGAAGAAGAAAAGAAGGAGAACCTTGGGAGCAGGAGGCGGAAGGGGTGGTCACGTGTGCAGACATATAAGAAGCTCCCCCTTTGCCCTCAAGGTCGTTCAAAAGGATATATACAGAAGTAGATACTAGACACTATTTACATTCATGGCCATGCCCATGATCATGCCCATGCCCATGCTCATGTTCATGCTCATGCTTCGTCTCACCTTCGCCCTTTGGGGACTCCACCATTACTTCCTTGATGCTGGTGTTAGTTGCAGCAGCAATTAGCCCTTTGCCGGACTGGAGCACCACTGGACCTGTGCTGGCCATGATCAGGATGGCGATGAATACCGTACATGCCGGGTCTGCATAGTACTTTGGATGCGGAGCGCCAAAGTGGTTGTGTTCCATATCGTGGTGTGGTCTTGACTCTAGCGAGTTGTGAGACGGGACCTTCCAGATGATGACCGCCGATATAATCACGGCCAGGTTGTTGAGAGCGTCTGCTGCGACGTGGAGGAGCACGGCTTTCATGGAGAGGGCGGTTCCCTCCGAGTGCTTCTCCGCGTCGCTTCCACTATGTCCATGGCTATGGCCGTGATCATGACCGTGGCCGTGTCCGTGGCTGTGGCCGTGATGATGGTGGCCGTCTGCCCCCAGAATACCAGCACAGGCGACGTTTGTTAGTATACCAACACAGCCGATGATCATGACCAGCATGGGGTTGTCGATTTCTACAGTTTGTCAATACGCCATCCCTGCAATCTTCGCTTGGCAGCCACGCCTTCCAGGATCAGGGGAAAGCAGACAGGAGAGGGGGAGTTCGTTTACCTTCAAGATGCACAAACTTCTCCAGCCCTTGCAGGAAAATAGCAAGGCCCAACGCGAGCAGGAAAACGCTGTTGAAGAACGCAGCCAGGAGAGGCAGGATATGGCGTCCGTCCTTCTGGTCGATGCGGATAATTGCGGTGCGGTTCACGGCGGCCTCGAGAGTGCTGGCCGAGTCTTCAGGGATCACGTCCCGTTCTAATGCAGACGAATGCTGGAGAGGGTTGGGATACATGTTAGCCTCGCAGGTCACAAGCGATCATGCCACCACTATACGGCCGCCACCACTGTGCAGCCCTTGAAGACTGGATGGTGTCGTGGCTCGAATGCTGGGGAATGTACCTTCTGAGCGAGATATGCAACTACAAACGACAGCAGGTCACCGGTGTAGTGGAATGCATCTGCGATAAGGGCGAGAGAATGGGTCTTGAAACCAACGGACAGCTCTGTGATGAGAAAGCAGGTCGATACCGCGATTACCACCAGCAGTCGGTTCTGGGGGGAGATCGACGGAATTCCACAACTGAAGGCCATGTTCGCGCGAGCTCCTTGTTGTATGAACAGTGTTCGCAACTTGGCACGAGAAGCACCTCCTATTCAACGCCGGGGTTCTGCAAGAAATGTAGAAGAAAACCTTTGCCGCGGGCCGTTAGCAACGGGCAGTAGGGATCATGAGAGGTGCAGATTCAGTTCTAGCTGCCACAACTCTCCTTCCCCAGCGAAGATAATCCAGCAAAGACAAAGATAATCCAGCGAAGATAGAAAGCGGTCGAATACTGACTGGATTAATTCAAGTCTCTATCAAACAAGCCTGAGTGTATCTGGATATTCGTGCAGGACTTGACTAGAGTTGGGGACTATGAACATGTAGACCAATGCATGTACCAGGGCTTCCTTTCGAGCGAACAGATGCCAACGCGAACGACGTGTTGAGCGTAAGAGGAAGATACAAGGAAAAAGAGGAGGTATCAAACGGGCATCCAGGCCCTTTTTTAATATATTCGCAGCTCACCATGAATACGCATCTATCCGGGGTGGGAGGGGAGGACTTCCTACGTGTAAGTACATTTAATATGGGTGATTACAGGATTGCTCGAAAGGGGAAGGCGGGTGCTACGGCGGCTTCGATTGCATGATATCGCACTTCTCGAACTCTGCAAACACGCAGACAAGGGTCAGGGATCCAATGCCCCGACATCTATACACCTACGGAGCACTTGATCTGTTACGTACTGCGTACTCCGTACTTCGTTGCCGCACACACCCTTGGATACACGTCGGCGTATCATCTCTCATCCCGGTTTGAGGCTGCTCCTTTCCGCCGAGGACGAGGATTCTCTCGCCAACTCCAGAAATTGAGCCGGCAAGCTAGCGATTAGGACCTTGAACCTCCAGCAGAGACTCCACCCTCGTAACGGCATTTTGACCACTTCACTTGCCCATATCCAATCGAACACCGCAGAACGAGCCCCGGTTGATATCAGAGTTGATATGATTTTCGTGTCCCGCCACTGGTCGGCCCCTCAAGACGATCAAGGGTTTGCCCAGACATGCAAGGAACATGGATTTGTTTTCTCCATACGCTTGTCGACATCATCGTCTCAGCCGTTGTTTCATCCAAAAGAGGAGGGTTGCGCTCGCTTATCAAAGAGCTTCGTGCTACCGCTCTATTCGACAGCTGGCTGAGGTTTCTCTCTAGCTCGACATCATAGTTACGATTCTACCGACAACGACGAACAGCTGACGAGACAAGACTTTTTACCCCGGGAACGGCCCATGGTCGAATCCCCCGCCTTAAACGCAGTTGAGTTTACTATCTTGCTGCGGAAAAAAATATACATTTCTTGGTGTCATTGTTGGAAATTGCTTATATCTTGCACTATATATACGGAGCACACACACTCTGAATAGGCTGTTTGCTTGATGCCGACGGCCGGGCCTATCCTGCGTAGGAATCGTCTCCTTATTACTTACTATATACTCCGTACCAAATGTGCTTCTCCACGGTACGGGTCCGACACTCGTGTTATTGCAAGATAAGCAAGTCTGGAGTCGCAGACCCATGCAAGCCAACTGCTGCACCCCACAGGCGGCAGTGATGCCCATCTAACCTCGGTCTCTGGATAGAGATGACGGCTGGGCCTGAGTTAATGCGTGCATAAATCTGTACACTGCCATGGCCGGCCCCATGGTGAGAATTGTCTACAGCAGTGATATCGATCGCAGCCCCCAACGACCTGTATCTGCGCATTCAACGGGGAAAGGCCTGTGGCGAGCATTGAACTAGTTACTTGGTTAACTAATTCTTTGTCAACTTAACCGCTCACTAACATTACAACATTTACCAAGGCAAACCCACCGACATTCAATTGAATCTCACAGAGTACGGACTATACTCTATTTTCGTTCACGGCTGGACGTGCTCAGAAGTATACAGATTTTGAAGGTCGCGATACCCACAGGCTGAGAAATAGAGTGGATGGTGTTTTATCTTCTGTGTCACTGGGCAGCACGGCAACGATGCAGGTACTGCATATTTCTTTGACCGCATGTATCGACCGTCGACTATATCGCTCTTCCTCTTTTAACATGCATCGCACTTGATACCGTTGACCGGGTGTGGCGAAGATGGACGTCGCGCATTGACTGCGAGCATTCACCAACAGCATTTCCCGGGCGCAACTTCGGGGTGAATTGCGATGTGAAGGAGATAGATGGAGAGGATGAGGATTGAGGGTAGGAGAGTCGGAATATTTAAGGACTGGCGAGAGCAGCTCGACAGGATTATTTTTTTGATCATCCTCATCATCAGCATCCTCAGCACTACATCAGCTACCTACTCCTTTGACTATCTCCAGCCGACAATACTCGTCTAAACCATGGTTAACTACGCCATTCTGCCACTGCTGGCATCTTCCCTTGCCCAGGCTGGCAAGATCGATTGGAACCATGCTCGAACCCCTAATTTTGGGGTTGGGCAGGCCGTCAGCACCAGCTGCACCTCATGGATAAATGTGGTCAACAACGCCGGCAATAGCTGCGAGGCCTTCTTGGACTCTATCAACGTCTCCAAGGAACAGTTCATCTCTTGGGTAAGTGGGAGGACTTTCAGCTACCCCCGACGTGACTATACTAAACCCGGCCCTTTGATGGTATAGAACCCCCAGCTCAACAAGGAATGTTCCAACATCATGAGCAAGCAATCCTACTGCGCATTCGTGCCTGCAAAGCCTCGAGTCTGGCATACCGCTAAAGGCGAGCACGGGAAGAAGTACATGAGAATGAACACCGACGAAGTGCGCAAGGAAAAGCCGACTCACAAGGCCGCTCACGCTGGCACCATGGCTCCCGTTATGGCGTCTCCTACGATGAAGCCTCACATGGGGACCGGAATGCCTGACTCGCCATTGATGCCGCCACATATCCCTAACCTCCCCGACGGATTTGAGAAAAAGATGCCACCACGTCCTACGACGCTGATCAAGCGCATGAAGCCAACTGGCTGCTCTAAGCGTAGCGTGCCAGCGCCCACCAGCACCGGCACCGTCGCGATGCCAGGATGCAAGCAGTACCACACCGTGAAGGCTGGCGACACCTGTGCCGAAATCACCAAGAAGTATGCTGGCCTGAACCTCGCCCAGTTCTTCAAGATGAACCCGTACGTTGACTCCTTGGATAATATCTTTTCCTATGGCTAACATGTTTACAGATCTCTCGACGTCAACTGTCTCAAGCTCCAGGTGGACGACCAGGTCTGTGTAGGCGGCAACCCGACTACCAGATACCCAGTCCAATCTCACACGCAGGCTGTTGCTGCTCGCGGCGCACAGGGCTGGCCGTCTCCCACCAAGCCAGGAACCAACAGCGGATGTAAGTGCCCCTGTAGCTGGAGAGTTTGGATATCAAGCGGCTAACACACCCTCTACCAGGCAAGAAGTTCGAGATGGTCAAGAAGGGCGACTCCTGCGAGGGAGTCTCTGGCAAGCATCACATCTCGGTTAAGCAGCTCAAGGAGTGGAATCCCGCCGTTGGACCTACCTGCGAGAAGCTCGAGATCGGATACTATGCTTGCGTTGGTGTCTAGTCGCGTGGTATAAAGACACTGACCTGCCGGCAGACAGCTCTTCTTCTTCTTCTTCTTCTTCTTCTTCTTCTTCTTCTTCTTCTTCTTCTCCTTCTCCTTCTTGCTGTTGCTAGTCAACCTCAAGATCTCATGTTTCTTCTTATCCCTTTTCTCCCTTTCCCTTATTTCCTTCATCTATCTAGGTCTAGATTATCTCTCAACTAGGCTCAATGAATATCTTTAACTGACGCCACGACGTAACCGTAGACGGAGAGCAGAGTCGCCAGAGATACGAAGCTGCTCGCATCTTCAAACTTGATAGATCTTGTATATGCTGTCAACTTGTCGATACGAGGGCAGAAGTACCTCCCCACCAGAATTGTTAGTAAAGGTACTTCTACCGTCTGTTCTCGTGATTTCGTCCCAACTTCAACTTCAACTTCAACTTCATCTCTTCAACTTCATCTTCTATACACTCTCTTCCACCTCGTCCTCGCCTAGGACTCCAGTCGACGCGCTGTCCGCTCCCGTATGCTGCTCCCCAGCGCCGTGATGTCCAGCCACAGCTAACACGGACGCCGCCTCGTACAGCATCGCCGTCGTCCTGCTCCAGAGTCCAGCAGCGAGCTCAACGCCGGACGAATCGCTCGCGACCTCGCCGTCTGCTTGTCGAGTCCCCTCGCTCTTTTATGCAGCTGCAACCGCCTCGCTGCCGCTTGTCGAGATCGCCGTCCGCGTTCTGACTGCGCCCCTGAGTTATATTTAGACCCTTGAGGGCGCTCGCTGGCCAAAACTACACCCCACCACTGGCGGTTTTCCGACGGCGCCATCCCTGCTGGGATCACTGTTCACCAGCCCGGGCAGCCAGCAGCCAGCAACCAGCAACCAGAGGACGCAAGACAAATCTGCAAAAAGGGCTGTCCGTCTCCCCGCTGCGCAGTCTGCTACTCTTCCTCTCGAAACGTCCCGAGGACCATAGCCTACACTCATGCAATTCTTCCATAAAAACAAATCGCAGCCGACACTCTTGAACTCCGTGGAGTCGGCTCCGCACAACGATAGCGACCACAGCATCAACAGCCAGAGCCATCACTCTCACAGCAGGGAGAGCAGCCAGCAGCAGCAGCAGCAGCAGCAGCAACATCAGCATCATCAGCACCACCAGCAGCAATCGCTCGGCCCCCACCTGCAGCATACTTTCCAACCTGCGAACAACTCAGCTGGATCCCACGAGCTGTCCGGCAGGCCTTATCAACTCGGCCAGCATCTCAACACCAGCTATACCCATCCTGCCCATGCGGGGAGCCGCTCTGAGAACTTCTCTCTTCCACTGCAGGCCTCGCCGAACGCTGCATCGCCCCCTTTTTCTTCAGCAGGCAGGCCGACCTTGAACCTCGTCCCCTCCGGCCCCTCAGCCAGCCTGCAGCCTGATCACAGCATCGATACGCTTTCCGCCGCCCCATCGCTCCCGTCAGCGCCTCACAGCACGGAAGCTTCCCCACTGACTGAGACACAGCCGCGCAAGTCCCGACGGAGCTTCTTCGGCCTGCACTCAAAGGATAAGGATAAGGGCTCGTCACAGAACCCTGCCAAGCCGGGTCGCAGCGTGTCTGTCAGGAAGAAAATCAGCGCTCCCATCCCGCTCCCAAAGCCGTACCAGATCGGCCCGCTCCCGCCTGCTGACCCTCCTGCCCTGGAGCAAGAGGAGGGAGACTACATAGAGAAGAGGCTGCCCCAGCTCCCGAACAACTCCTCTCAGCCCAGCCTGCCTCAGTCCATCTATCCCGCCAGGGGAGCTAGCCGGTCCTCGTCCCACCTCGACAGCCAGCCCTTCGAGCCTCCGCAGATACAACGTGTCAGTACGGAGCCCCTGGGACAGCACGAGGACTACTACAAAGGCCGGCCGCCGCAGTATAACCAGTATCAGCTTGGACCTCCCCATCAGCAGCTGCCGCAGAACCCTCAATTCCAGATCGACCAGCCTCAGGCACAGCCAGCGCACAGGCAAAACCAGGCTTCTGACCAGGTATCAATCCCCCCAAGATATTCGCCGAAACTAGACCCATATCATCCCCCCAGGCCAGCATCCCAACAGTCCCTCGGGCCTCCATCCCCTCTCCACCCCCATTACCAGTCTCCGGATTCTAACTATCAAAAACCTCACTTTCGACAGTCCCTCCAGCCCGTCCCTGGCCCCATACCAACCCAGAGTGGAATGGCCCCGGAACGACCAACTGGCCTCAGGCAGCCTATTGACACGGCTCAGCAGCAGCAGCAACAACCGCAGCAGCAACAGCAACCTCCAGGACAGCAGCAGCAATTTCCACCGAGTATGCCACAGGGCCAGAGCTTTAAAGGAACCTCACAGTCAGCTGGGGCCGGTGATCGTGAACAGGAGACCCCACCTCCAGGAAAGGCAAAGGACGACACATCTGAGCTTGATGTAAACGGATGGATCCAGAAATATGAAGAACTACGTATGTCTTTTTTGCCTTTAACTGTTATTTCTCTATTAGGGATTTTTTTGCCGTTTCTTGTAGTAATGACGGCTATGTACTGACCGTCTACAGAGCTTAAATATAACAGGGTAAAGAGATATTATTTTGACAAGGAAGCCCAGGTACAACAACTGCAAAATACGGTTGCCCATCAACGCATGTCCGCGTCTAGAACTGTGCTGGATGACAACGAATATGCTACTCGGATGGGCCGCCTGGACGGCGCCATTAACAATCTTTCATTCAACATTCGCAAAGATTGGAAGAATATACCCCCGTGGCTTCAAGGCGTCGTCAACGAGGATGCTCATTCAGTTGGTACAAAGGAGATGACTGCCGTTGGGCGAGCTTGCCTTACCCGTTGGATCGTAGACGAGCTGTTTGATCGTTATTTCCACCCGGGACTAGAGCCCAATCTCAGCCGTCAGCTAAAGCAGATCGAGCGCAATGTCCGGCGAATGGGCAAGTTCGTCACCGAAGAGGAACAGGAAAACCATCTGTCCAAAGTCTCATCCTGGCGTCGCACCACTCTGGACGGACTTGGCGATATTTTCCAAAGCAAGCTCGCCGATGACCATCGAGCTCTCTTGACTCGGAACCTAGTCGAGAAGCTCACAGCCAGCCTGGAGATGAACCTGAAAACTCCGCCTCCGCCTGGTCTTGAAAATGGCGTGGCGATGATTGTTGAACTTGCTGTTGGCATCAGTGCAAATATTCCCCTTGAATCAAGAGATATCTCTATCGAATATTTCCTCCCTGGCGCTCTGATCACTGAGTCACATATGAAGATAGAGACCACTCTACCTCCTCTCTCCAACCCAGGGATAGAGCCGCGACTCGCATCCGAGCCGTCCTCCGCGGCAACGGATAGGGTAGACCAATCTTCGATCAAGGGAATTGAGGCGGCCATTTCCTTGGACGCTCCCGGCGGAGACGACAAGGATGGAAACTTCCCCATCCAACCTCTACCAGCTAGCCAGGGTCGAAAGAAATCTGTCTTCGGCTCGCTCATGGGCAAGAAACCACATCCGGGACCCGGAAACCCCATAGATGCTGCGAGGCCACCATCTGGCCATTTCCGAGAACGCGAGGAGGCTATTGAAGCCGTTCGCGATAAGGAGAATGAAAACCGCATTCGTTTTGCTGCCTTTGTCTCCGTAGAGATACGGGGCAAGGGAGCCGGCAACGTTATCGTCAAGGCGCCCGTCTATCCATTCTCATGATTCTATCTACACCCCTTTCTTTGATCAATTTCAGCTCTATCTTATCATGTTACTCTTTGACGTTTTTGCAATTGAAAAAAGATATGAATTGTTCTTTTCGTTTGTTTTTCTTGGATATGGTTTTCTGACGCAGGCAGTATATATATATGCTCTTCCCCTTCTTGATGTTGGAAGCGAATACCTTTTCCCATTTTTTATTTATTCGTTTTCTTCCGCTTTCTACTTTGTTGCTATATCCGAGTGGACTGCGTTTACTTCTTCTCTTCGCTCGATCAGACGTTATCTGGCTGTACCTAGAGTTGCTCGTTCCTTTCCTCTTTCTTCTCTTATGCCTGTTATCTGGATTTTGGAAGCGCATGAGTAGCGTACACTTACGTGGTGCGATTTAAATTATGACCCGGCTCGACTCCCTTGTTCCTTGTGCTCACGCTCTTCTTGTCGTATTTCTTGAGTTGGAGAACACTGCCGCATGATTAGTCTTATATAGACGATGTAACTGTCCTCTACATGAATGAGAAGACAACTGACGACGAGAAATCCTATCATTCTCATATTCACCAGCACCGATTAGTGCGAGAGGCTCGCCGTTACCCTACCCATACATTCGAGCAATCCGGTGCCAAAACTGGGTTCAACTTATCAAACATGTCCTCATCAAGCTTGTAGCTCTGCTGAAGTAACTAACAGGTATTGCCTGGTTTTACTAGATGGTAGTTCTTGCATTCCTTGCTGGTACCAGGGGTCAACAGTCTCATCTAGAGAGTCACAGTTTATCCATCTTCCGATAAACGAGAGATCTCTGTAGGGCGCAAAAGACCAATAACCAACATTTGATAACCAGTACTCATTGGCTGGCCTCCATCGTCCAACAACTGAATAATTCTGCTATATCCATTGGCTAGAGGAGCGTACTAGCTCAGCTTTCGAGTGATCCCTAGGCGAAGAACAGGGGCAAGGATATAATGAATATCACAAGGGTATAAGTGGGGTGTGATATGTGATCCATCCTCTTTCCACATACAACTTCGAGCCCTACAGAGGTCAGCAGTAACACTGTTCGAGGAGGGTCAGGATGTAACCACGGCAAATCTGTGGAGGTTAAACATGGAATATGGCATTGACGAAGCCACATATATACCCCATACGTACGGAGTACTCCGTAGTAGTATTGACTGTCTTTGGCGAAATGGATGTATGGAGTACTCCATACCCTGTTTATCCAAGACATGGGCGTTGAGGCTCTGTACGGAATACAGAGTATTCATGCGGTATCACGCCCTACCTGGTAAGCTAGGATTATATATTGCTGGGATATTGATATGCTTCTCTAGTTATGTATGGTAATAGCCACAGAGCCGCATAATTATTTTTTGTTGCCTGGAAGTCCAGTTAATCCCGGTTCATTTACGTTGCCCTTCAGTATCGAGGAGAGCGAGTAATTTCTGCGCGCCGTAACACTCTGCAACGTGCGTTAGGAACTCGCTCTTTACCATAACCCGCAAGCTCTTCTCCTGAAGTGCATGAGACACTTGGTACTCACTCCCGAGTTCCAAGTCATACAGCACACTGTCAGGGAGATCCTTGGACTCGTAGTGCGAATATACCCACTCACAACCCTTGCACAAATGCCCATGCTCAAGCACGTTGTCAGGCCGCAAATATGGAAATTGTATTGATGACATACCGCCGAACTCATTATTCTGTGGGCTCAAATCACTGTCATCCGAATCAGGCCATGGCATCATGCAACAGGCCAACATTAGATTTTCCGAGTCGAGACCATCATTGGTAGCCCCAGCAGGAGCACCAAAAGTTGTTATATTGGTGCCTGGGATAGGAGCCGAGGATTTATTCCTTGCGCGTTCCTCCGCGACCTTGGCCTTTGCAAGTTTCGACGCGGCGTCGTAAGTAACCAGCCTCAGCCGCCGCCATTTTTTGACCACCTGTGTTTTATAAACGCCAGGGATAGTGTTCAGAACATTGAGTCTGTTAAGCTCGCGCCGCTCGAGGTTATGGATTGTCTGAGCCCTCGGGATAGAAATCATCCTAAAACGTTTGTGATAAAGTTGACAGTAATAGCAGCATCGTTCAGCGGTTGGAAGGAATACAAAGGGACCAAATTTTCCACATATAACGCAATCTTTAGTTCGTAAAACGGCACGCAGTTGATTAGCTGTATAGAAGCGAAGAAGACGGGTTTGACCAAGTGCCTTGAGGGTATCCGGTACGCATTTCATGAGAGTGCGGTATATTGGTAGCGACTCAACCGTGGCTCTACCCCGGTGGGATACGCGCGAAAGACGAGAGAGAGACTTGATGTCTAATAGATATAAGATCTCATGTAATATTTCGAGCGATAGAGGGTCGAGGCGGCCTAGGGATGAAGGGCCAGGATGGCGCGCGAGGGTGCATAGATTTGCTGGTTCGTCGACGGTAATCATGGGGCCGAGTAGGTAGTCAGGGCGACTGGATAGATGCGAGAATACATCTTCGTCGGATGCCATGGTTGATATGGCAGCATTTGATATAAACAGAGCTGGTGTTCGTTCTGAAAAGAAGCAAAAATGAAAATATTTAACTAAGCTTGCGCAGTAGGTTTGGAAAAACACCCTGGCGTATTTAATAGTTGACCATAATATAGCTACACTTTGTCGTTATCACCCATGCCCCTGTATAGGTGGCGTAGGAACGGTGGCCAGTTGTATCGGCGCGCTTTAATGGTTCAACAGTCCAACGAGGCACATCCTTCGTCTATTTTCCGGCTTTTGCTGTTGGAAGTCCGCATACCCTGTCTTCCTATAAGCGTCCCGGCTGATAAACCGCCTACCCAAACCTGCGGGATTCCCCTACCCATCCATACCCAGGATAATTGCCAACTTAATGTTATTATACGGACTGTAGTTGGTGATAGGCTTCATGCACAGCCAGGGTTGCTTAATACACGTGCTTGTGTGCTACTGGTATACTGGTGAACCGTCCGCCTGGATAGATGGCCGGAGGGTATATAAATATCCTACGGCTACTACTAAGATTGGTGGATACAAGCTGAACAACGAACTTTTGACTAGCTGGTTAGACCCCTTGTCAATGTTCGAAATGAGGGGACAAGCGCCAGGTTCTACCAGGCGTGGTGACTTTTACGGGGTACCCTATAAATATATTTCCATATGACTCTGTTATGTATGCCATTTATGCTAAACAAGAGACTTGAACCACTGAACAAATTGAACAAATTATAGAGATGCAATTATCAAGACCCTCCAAACGCAGAACTTCTGAGCTACGGGAGTCTACAAGTGCGATTCTACTATCCAAGGAGGGCCAACGACGGGCGAGAAACAGACAAGCGCAGCGTAATCATCGTGAGTTATTTCTCTCCACCCCTAGATATCCTGTTAAATTCTAGAGACCATGATATTCATACTGGTTGACATAGGAAAATTGGTCAAACGGCAATTAGAAGAATTGGATCGTCTCAAACATGGGCTCGACGGCTCAGGGAGAGGCCCAGATAACGGCCAGGACAATGGCCGTATATCACGTCCCATGAGTTCCAACGATTCTTCCCTGGTTTGGTCTCGTCTACCAACTTCTACCGATGAGCCTCTCCAGGTGGCTGATATTCATCCGATGTCCCCTTCAACGCCACGAAACGATGACTTATATTCTTTGCTTCTGGGTGGATCCCAGAGCCCCGACGAGGGCCCTCCAATCTTGGATGATGGAGAATTTTTATCACCGAGTCCTCCAGCTGGACATCTCCCTCTTGTGGTAAGGATCTTATAGTTACCCTGCAGATCGAGCCTAGAGATTAAATGCTAAAAGAAAAATCATTACTCCAGCGATACCAGAGCCTTGAACCTATCCTATACGACGCATTTATCCTAGGGGTCACGCCCGCCGCTGATGCAAGTCAGAATCAGCCGCAGAGTCAATCACTTTTGCACCATGGAGTCAGCCTTGATGACGAAAATATAATACTTACTCTACTCGAGTATGGAGCTGACGTTAAGGCTCAGGACAGTAATGGGCGTACACCTCTTCACCTTGCAGCGCTTCTAGGGCGCGAAAAGGCAGTACGTTTACTTCTACAACATGGAGCGGCCACAACACTTTCGTTAACCGATAGAGCTGGCTTAATGCCTATCTGCCTTGCTGTCCAGAACCGGCATGCACCAGTAGTAGCACTTCTAGCTGAGTTTGGAGCAGATGTAAATTTACAGTATTAGACAGTCGTGATTTGTACCTTACTTTATACCCTTTAGTTAACCGTTTAGGGCCTAACGTAAATCAGTAACCCAGTCCTAATACTATTGCTTTTATTAAAAAGGTGCTGCTATTATCTTCCTTCTCTCCTTTATCTATAGTCGAGATTTATTCCATACCATACCCCTATCACAAATAGCTGCCTAATCTCTAAATGACTTCTTCCAATAGATAGATTATCGCCTCCTCAATAAGGGCAGCGCTGATCAAACCGATAGAACAGCGTCTGATAGAACGGCGTGGCTCCTACATAGATCATATTTAACCTTCCCCGGCCGGCTGGGTCAGGCCCGAAAAATTAAGGCTCGGCTTAGGCCTATGTTAGTTATACGGGCAAAAAAAGCTTAAATAGTTAAAATATAAGCCAGCTTGCTGTCAGAGCATTAGATGCTCTATGCTTAGTACGACCTCACATCTATTTACATAGGTCCAGTTGGAGTATAACCCCTTTAACTATCTATGGCCGCGTTTTGTGCTTGGACGAGGTCGAAGTAAGCTTGTCGCAGTTCCATTAGCTCTGCATGTGTGCCAGACTCAATCACCCGTCCATGAGCTACAACGCATATTCTATCCGCCTTTTGAATCGTACTCAACCTATGTGCAATTGCAATTGTAGTGCGCTGCTTTGCAGCAACATCTAATGCTTCTAGAACACTCTTTTCAGATTCCGAGTCAAGGGCCGATGTCGCTTCGTCTAAAAGCAAAATTCTTGGGTTCCGTAGCAATGCACGAGCATTGGCGATGCGCTGCTTCTGGCCTCCGCTGAGAAGATTACCATGGGGTCCAAGGAGCGTTGAGAATCCATCCCTAGTCAAATGTTAACATACTTTAGGGCCATTAGAGCATGTCATACTCACGGAAGGGATTGTATGAAATCCAAAATATTAGCTTCTCTGCAAGCTTTTCTTAAGTCCTCGTCTGACACGCTATCAGTGTTTGAGCCGAGAACAATATTTTCTCGTATTGTGCCTTGGTATATTGTTGTCTCTTGGCTAACTAGAGATATCATGCGGCGATAGTCGTTGACATTGAACTTTGAGATATCTTTGTTTGCAAAGCTGATACGTCCGGAGGTTGGATTGAAGAATCGTTCAATTAGGGATACCAGTGTGCTTTTGCCAGAACCGCTGGAACCAACAATCGCGATATACTGACCAGGTTGGATTGAAAGGTTGAAATGGTCAAGGACCAGCTGTTGTGGTCTTGACGGATAACTAAAGCAAACGTCCTTAAATTCGAGCTGACCGTTCGTAGTTTCATCAATTGGCTGGCCGCCATTATCCCAAGAATCGATAATTGGTCGGCTATCCAAAAGTGCTTTCAAGTCACTGCCCGCGTGTAAGGCCTTGCTTATATCCGGAGCAAAGGAGAAGATGGTACCAGCCGATTGGGAGCCGGAGATCAAAGCGGAGAAACATATAAAGAATTGCACCATGGTATATTCCCGGCTAGCTATCAGGGACCCTCCATACCAGAATCCAAGCGCTGCACATAGAAATACAACAGATTGAGAAGCCGCGTAGAGTGCTGAGGCGTATATAATAGAGCGGAGAGACTTCGAGGCTTGACGAACTAGAATGCCGCTATAATGATCGAGAACCTTTGGTTCAAGTCCAAATGAAGCAACGGTACGAATAGCACCCACAGCTTCATTTGCATAGCTAGCTGATTCTTCTTGGGTCTTCTTGATCTTCTCATCGAAAAGGGTCAAAACCTTGAGGCGTACCCAACCGCATCCTGCCACGAATGGGATTGTTGCTGAACATACGAGAGCTAGCTTCCATCCAACTATAAGTGAGAGAATGATTCCACCACCAATAGTTGCGATAAAAGAAAAGATTGAGCCTAGGATGGCGCCGCCCAGACTGTTGAGGTTATTTGTTCCTGTAGAGAGGAAAGCTGTGAGCGCGCCTATGGAGTGCTCTTTCTGGTCGAAGAAGCCAATATCTTGTCGCATTATAGACTGCATAGTCTTGTATCGCGCTCGGCGTGTTAACTTCTCCGACACAAAGGAGAAGCATAAGCCCTGAACCAGCCGGGCGGCCAATCCAATAACGCCCAGGGCAAGGTACATGAGGCCCCAAAAATTACTTCGTTGCAGAAGATCTCCGTATGAAGTTGAAGGCAGTGATAGCACATTGATGAAGTTTGCAAAGAGCACAGATTGGCTAATCAGGGTTAGCTATCACATCAAAGTCATGGAATTCATTGGTACATACGCTGGGGTGATGAGTCCAACTATGATGGAGAAGAACAATCCCGTGATAATAATCCAGCGCTCGTGGCTGACCAAGGTGATAACAAGCTTGACTAACTGTCTCAAAGACAGTTTAGGGGTATTTTTGGCACCGTCCAAGGAATTTAGTGGAACTTCAGTAGCTGGTGGTCGATCACCCTCATATTTTTCATCTTCAATACTATGCTTTCCTTGCATAGTATCCTCATACTCTGTACCCCTAAAAACATCCGTCGTATAGTCTTGACCTTTTTCTTTGTCGAATCTATCCTGCATATCTACCATCCCAGCGTAGACCCCATTTTGCAGCATCAGATCCTCATGCCTGCCGTGCTCTACCACCATGCCGTCAGACACAACGATAATGCTATCAGCTCGTCGAATGGTCTTTAATCGATGTGCTATCACAATTGTGGTGCGGCCCTTCATAGCAGTATCTAGAGCATCCTGTACCATACTCTCAGATAACGAGCCGAGGCTCGAAGTTGCCTCATCTAGTAATAGAATTTTTGGAGAACCGACAACGGCACGCGCAATAGCGATGCGCTGACGCTGACCTCCCGATAATTGCAAGCCCCTTTCCCCTACATCCGTTTCATAGCCACAAGGTAGGGCAGTTATGAAGTCATGTGCGTTTGCAGTTTTGGCTGCTGTTATAACAAGAGTTCGCAGCTCTTCCTTGCTCCTACTTACGTCATCTCGGAGGCCATAGCAAATGTTCTCAAAAATTGTAGTGTTAAATAGCGTTGGTTCTTGGTTGATATATGCTACTTGCTGCCGTAGCCAGCGCAAATTTAGCGAACGAATATTGCGATCATCTAACTCTACAGGGAGTATTAGCAAATATCATAATATTCATCGATATATGTAGCTTACCAATTTGCCCAGCAACTGGTTCGTAGAACCGTTCTAATAATCCAAGTACACTGCTTTTCCCGCAACCAGAAGGGCCCACAATTGCGGTTGTTTTCCCAGCTGGAAATTCCAGGCTCAGATCCTTGAGGACAGTAACATCTTGCCGTGACGGGTATACCAGTTTCACGTTCTTGAGAACAACTTTGCCAATAATATCCGAGGGCACCACACCGTCATCGGAGAGAGGATCTTCGGATAATTTCCTTGAGATCATTTCGAGTATTCCTTTTGCACTAGCTAGGCTATCGATAAAAGCCTGTGCGCTCGGTGTTACCTTTCCAATCGCAAAAGCTCCTATCACGATAGCTAAGGTGGTAGTCACAACATTCCGGGCACCTACTTCACCATTAACAACATAGCGAGATCCTTGCCAAAAAGACAAACCATAGCTGAGGTAAGGTATGCCGTACATAACTCCAATCATTAACGCCATAATAGCACCAGCTTTTATACTATGCTTCTCTGTGGCTAGAACAAAACGTAGATATCTCTGTGCGAGTTCTTTCTGAATGCCATAGGCCGCTACGTGTCGGATGGAACTTATAGCCTCGTTTGCAACAGTAGTACCATGGCCATTTGATTCTAATGACAGCTTTGTGTATTTGAGAGCGAATCTCGAGCTCAAAGCCCCAACAGCAGCCATGGCAACAATTGTAGACGTAAGGATGAAGGCTAATTTCCAATATTCGATGAATGCAATCACGAAGGCTGTGGTGAATGTTGCTGCCGCAGTAATGGCAAGTGAAAGCTTGCTCGTAATCCCTTCATGAATGAGGTTGATATCCGATGTAATCCGGCCTGTCACTTCTCCTGGCCCAAGCATGTCGAAAAAAGCCATATTTTGGCGAATGACTGCGGTGAGGTATTCACGCCTTAGGCGCCGGACTATTCGTTCTCCAGTGTGGTAAAAGCCAACGGTGGCAATGTAGATGAACACAAATTCGACTATAGCAAGATAGATGAAGTAGATTGTGTACTTTGTAATTGTAGACAAGAGCTCTGATCCAGAGATTTCATGATTAGAAAACTCGGCAAATGCCCCAACTAATCCACCGTAAATGATCTAGGCTCCGGTTAGCATGTTGCTCTGCTTCACACATGTACATTAAGACGTACAGTCAAGATTGGATTGAGAGTCCCGGCAATGATTGCGGCTAAACCGCTGACAGCCATTATTGCAATATCAACCCGAGTAGCATATGAAAACACAGAGTCGGCCCCATCGTTCTCTTTGGTTAGGCCATGGATCTGACGATTCAAAATCGCTTCCTCCTGTTTGCTTCCTGACAAGAGTTGGAGCTCAGTAGTGTCTCTGGTGTGTGGGTTTTCTGTAGACATTTTGCCTCCTTTTACGTTTCAAGGAATTCTGGTCGCCAGGGGTTTGAACAGTGAGACGGTTAGACATTCTGGCAGGATTTTGACAGCGTAAGCTGATGCATAAGTAACTTGATATCAGAGACGCCTCGCCGGAAGCACGGCATGTTTGGTGGACAATAATACAGATCAGTTGTATATCCAGAGTTGGCCTACACCAGGGATGGTGACTGTGCATATACGACACAGCAAAGAAAGCATATACATAGTTGCAATGTAGATCAGAGTAGTTGGTAACTACTCATGTATGGATGCAGGCAGACGCGATGGCAACTAACCCTGGTCCCTTGAAAAAACTCACAGGGAAGATAGAAGATGATAACTTGGTTAGCCACAGGAAGGAATTCTCCCAGGAGTTATCACGTGATTGTTAACTACCAAAACCGGGCCCAGAACTATACAACTACCAAGTGCATGGAAGATATGATAAAATTCATTGATCTAATTTTTTACAGCTGCTCCATCGGTGTAGAAATATAATTTGGAATAGATGTTTGACTGCTCTGAAGTCCTTTTGCAGTGTAGTTGTATGCATCGTCACCATATACGCTACCAACATGCACAGTCACGGATGCATGTTGATACTACGACATAACCACGGCTAAGGCCTAATCCTAATTATATTAGTTACCGCATAAGAATAACAGCTGAGTTTATGCCTATTTGAAGAGCTGCCGGTAACCTGACGCCCACGTATAGTGTCTGCGAGTATCTCTCAGCTACCTTCTTCTGTTCTCTCTTTGGGAATTTGGAGTGTTGATTCTAAGATCACATCAAATTCCACCTTACCTTGAAATCCCCTAAGAGTCCCATCAATTGGTTATCCAAATCATCCAACAATGGATCGGACGATGATCCTAAAGCAAGGCTCCGGTATGAATATAATGTGTGTTCAATCTGTGTGATTATTGTTCTAAACAACTCTAGAAAGCTTCGAATGTAGTTGGTTTGCCAGTCATATATCTATGGGAAACGGCCAGTACCCATATTGGAAGTCTGTGGATATTATCATCCGAAAGATTTCCTCGTTGGCAAATGGTGGTCCGCTCTGCGAGGTTGAACCAGTTACCCAATCGCCTCTTGGACCATCGGCCGCCGGGACAGACTTCCTTCAGACACTCCTATCAGCCGCCGCTACCGCCCCAGCCGGCAGAGGGAGGGCCGCCAAATTGGTTATACCACAAGTTCGGGGGTATATTGTTCGATCCGATATCGTTCCACTACGCATGGTCGATTACCCACAGATGACAAGCGTGGTCTCCTTTGCGAAGCCTCAACAGTGGTTCTCCGGGGAGGAGCTGACCGACGAGAGTATATGCAATCTTCAGGAAATTTTTATGATAGCGGCTGGTGGTATAATCCTTGATACTGGTGAAGCAAAGTCCGAGATGACTTCAAGTCTAGATGACCTAGAGGTTGAAATACGGAATCGCTTGTCGTTCAAATGGTTATTGGAGGAACCACGGCCTAAGCAAACGTTGGCGTTTGTTGGTAACTATCTGCAGTACCCAGGGCACGAAGGCACTGGGGCAAATCACTATTCCGCCGCAAAAGCCCTGGATATCACTGTGATAGTACTTGATGCTCCTGGATGTTGGTTGGAGAGGGAGGAGTATGCGAACTTGCGTGGAGCATTCCTCCCCATTGATATGAATCGTGATCCTGAGCTTCCCAACAGGATCGTTAATGCCATATCTGGGTATGGGGGAAAGATCGACGGGATTATCACCTTCCACGAGTCTCTATCAGCATTAGTTGCCAGGGCTGCGCAACTCCTTCTGCTTCCGACGGCATCCCCAGAAGCTCTTGAAATTGCAACTGACAAGTACAAGACCGGTGTTGCAGAAGGGCGTGTGGCTTATCACGCGTCTAGCGTTCAGGATGCCCAAAAAATTTCCGATCAAGCTGATTTAAAGTACCCCTTGGTTGTAAAGCCATGTCGAGGCGGGTCTTCTGAGGGGGTTACTAAAGTTGATAATGCTTCTGAACTCATAAATGCAGTCAGACTCATCGACTCACTCGCTGATCGTCATGGATCACAACTTGTGATTGAAGAATATTGTGATGGGCCAGAAGTGGACGTCAATTTGGTACTCTGTGATGGGGAGGTGTTGTTCGCTGAAATTTGTGACGACTTCCCCAAATGTGGTGATGAAGCAACTGTGGAAAATGGGTCGGGATTTAGTGAAGTTGCAATGGTTTATCCCTCTAAGCTTCCTTCGCCTGAGCTGAACACGATTCGCAGGTCTGCACATCAGAGCCTGTTTCGACTTGGGTTTGAATCCGGTATATTCCACCTAGAAGCTCGTGTCAAAGACTCGGATATGGTCTATGTCCTTGAAGACGGAGTCATGGATCTTGACTACCGTGAAACTGTATCCAAAGGCGCTACTCCGAGCTCTTGGTTGATTGAGATCAATCCACGGCCACCCGGAAAAATGGGGACAGATGCGGTTGAGGCCACGTATGGTATCGATTACGTAGGACTTGGCCTACTATTCCCACTGAATGATAAAGAGCGAATAAGAGCTTTAACACAGCCCTTTATCCAAGGTTCACAATACTGGTGCCAGGTTATCTTTATCCCAGCAAATAAAGGGGGTATTTTCGACGCTGACAATGTGTGCGACGAGCTGAAGCAGCGCAGACCAGATCTTACACAGCATATTTCAACCAGCGTATGCTACTTCAGAAAGGGCGATGTTGTGCCATCTCCTAGCTCCGGAATTCCTGCGTGGGTTGCCTCTCTCAATGTCTTTTCACGCGTCGGACGTGCACATATCTTAAGGATCTCGGAAACCATCCGACAAGAAATCACATATTCAATTGTATAGATAGGTGAGGAGCACTCCGTATATTCAAGCAAATCAATAACATAGGGGACTTCAGTATTCCACATGAAAGACTGCCTACTTATTAGATAGAGTGGGAAGGGGAAGGGGAGTTATGCCAAGCCACCACATATGTACCTTACGTAATATAATAATTTTCATCGGATACTTCACGTGACCTCAAACGGCCAGGGGTTAGCCCTTTCCCACGCAACATATATAAACATGGCCTGTAGACTTCGGTATCATCATCTCATATTACGCCCACTTTGAACTCCTGATCGTGTCGTCCCAGGTTATACAGCATTTTGTTGCGCTGTGTTAGAGACGCCATCCTATTGGTTGGTTGGCCGCCCTGAGAGTTTATATTTGCTTACATAAGAATCCACATCACGTGGCTTACATAATCCACCAAGCGAGCCCTTCCCACAACCTTTACCCAAAGCGGCCTAGCGCCTCGTGATTTTCGAATCCCACACAAAACATCGCGAGCCTTCAACCTCTTGCGACTTTCCGACCGCAGCGACAGCATCTCTGTTCATCTCATCAAGCGCCAGACGGCTGATTCGATATTTCATATATCGCCCAGCATGTGTACGTCCTGCCTCTCTCCCCCTTTCCTTGCTGCTTGCATGGGCTCGCGAGCAGCCTGGCCCGGTTTGGAGTTGCCAGCGTCGTCAATTTCAAGCACCACCGATACAGAAAGCTACAATGAATACTGATGGATGATTGTGATATACAGCGCTCGTAACCGGCGAAAAGTCGAACTTCCAGTTCATCCTCCGTCTTCTCAACACCAATGTCGACGGTAAACAAAAGATCATGTACGCCTTGACCAAGATCAAGGGTGTCGGTCGCCGATACTCCAACTTGGTCTGCAAGAAGGCCGATGTCGACCTCCACAAGCGGTAGGGCACATCCTCGCGTACTCCCGGTACTGATATTCTTGCGACGTTGTACTTATCGAATCTTTTTTACATATTATAGTGCTGGTGAAATTTCCTCCGAAGAGCTCGAGCGAATCGTCACCATCATCCAAAACCCAACCCAGTACAAGATCCCCACCTGGTTCCTCAACAGACAGCGTGACATCGCCGACGGCAAGGACAGCCAGGTCCTTGCTAACCAGATGGAGAGCAAACTCCGTGAAGATCTGGAGCGACTGAAGAAGATCCGCGCCCACAGAGGTCTCCGTCACTACTGGGGTCTCCGTGTCAGAGGTCAGCACACCAAGACCACCGGCCGACGAGGACGAACCGTCGGTGTCAGCAAGAAGAAGGGTTAAACGTGTTGTCTTTGCTCCTTTTATGTTGGCGGGCGTACATGGTGGGGGGAGAGCGGGAAGGGGAAGCCATCTTTTTGTCTTTTTCTTCTCCTTTTGAATACGTGACGCCGGTTTGCGAGAGTGGGTTATGTGATGAGACGAGAATGTAAAGATTATTCTCCCTCATTGAGGGCGGAACTAGTTCTGCTCGGGAAACGGACGCTTCTTCGACTACCTCCTACCATGGGCTTCCCCACTGCCTACGGCGGCGTTAGTCTGATGTATGAAACAAAAAAAGCGATAATATATGGGAATATCCCGTTTCTAAACTACGATCTATTTCTTTTGTCCGAGTCAGGCGCTTTGCATATACTCTTACAGCGTGAGAAAGTAAAACTATTTGTCAAATGACACAATGTATTCTGTAGAGCTCTAATCTCAGCTATACAAGGCTGGGTGGTCCCAGCGAGGTAAACAATCCAAACGCATCATAGCAGAACATACAATAACAAGTAGACATTCAAAGTATGGCAATTTAATCAACTCCCGCGCCGTCCCGATTCAAATCAGGACGCTCTACTGCCATTCTTTCCTGAGCCAGCGGTTGAAGAATTCCAAACTAGCTTCGGGCTGATTAAGTGGCACCATGTGGCCGGCTCCGAAAATACGCATGAAGGTGAAGTTGCCGCTCGACTTGACCTGACCAATCTTCTTGCCCTTGTGCTCGTTGTCCACGATCTTGAGGTCCTCCATCTTGGCGGCAGCGAACTTCTCGCGGCCAGGCCATTCGAGAGCATTGGTCCAGGCCTGGTTACCGAGCCAGTTGCAGATAAAGTCAGCGTCACCAGCATAGATGAGGACAGGGATCTTCTCGAGCACGCTTGGGACAAGACGGTGGTATGGCTTCATCCAGTCACCATGGAAGAGGAAGTCGCGGTTAATACCGGAATTGCAGCTCTCGTAGCTGTCAACTTCGGCACCGAGAGCCTTCATGACTGAATTCTTGTTTAGCCACTTGGTGATGTCGTTCAGTTGAGGGTAGCAGAGCGAGCCCATGTCCTCGCACTTGCTACGGACATCGTAGGGGTTCATGCCGGTCTGTTGGTAAGGGGCAAGGATGGCGCTGTTGCAGTACATGGCGGCTGGAACGCAAACCCAAGCAGACTCAGAGCTGTAGCAGGTCTCGATCAGGGATAGACAGCGCTCAAGGGAGTTGTCCATAGACTTGCAGGTACCCTGGTCCAAGACGGCTGGGTAGCCACCGTCACCACAGGCCATTGGTCGGTATTCAGGGTACTGGGTCAGAGGGTCGGTCAAACCGTTGCCGATGAGAACGGACTTGAGGTTGATGTTGGTGTTCTTGTGGGAAAGGATCTCGGAAGCAAAGACCGGGATATAGTGGCCGGCATAGGATTCACCGGAGATATGGAAATCCTGAGTGGCATATTCGGGGAATTGCTTGAAGAAGAGGGTCAACAAGGCGTAGATATCCTTTCCGGCAGCAACAGTGTCAGAAACGGATGAGCCACTGTAGGAGAAGCCAACATTGACTGGCTGGTCCAGGAAGATGACGGATGCGTTGGCATTCCAAGAGTAAGGGTTGTTGACGATCTTGAGGTTCTTGTCGATGGTGGCAGGGCCGAGCTCGAGGAACAAGCCGGTCAAGGAAGAGCAGCCTGGGCCACCGTTCAACCAGAGAACGACGGGGTCATTCTTGGGGTCGTTTCGAGATTCGAAGAACCCTACCGGATCGTTAGCTTTTGGCTGATGCCTAAATGGGTGGAATACGGGAAATGCTACTAACAGTAGAAGAGATGCTTGTCGGCCTCGTTATCGTCGAGATAACCGCTGTACTGCTTGACGCCGGGGTCGATACCGAGGTCAGCCGGGTTGACGGATTTTACTCGAAGATCGTAGTTTTCAAGCTTCCCGTCAACCTCTCTGCGTTTCTCGCCATCGACACCTTTCACCCACAGGCCCTCAACGTCGGACCCACGGATGATGTGGTCCCATTCTGAGTCAGCACGACGAGTGTGCTTCTTGGGGAGTGAAATGAGCGGGAGATAGTCCTTGAAGTTGGTCTTCATCTCGGACCAGAAATGGGTGATGCCATCCTCAACGCCTGATTGGAAGTGCTTGAGGGTCTCGTCGAAGATTGACGTGGTAGGCTCCTGCTGTGGTCCAGGGCCCTCGGCGTTGAGAACCTGTTGTTCCTGGGCGGCCGCAACCGCAGCACTGGCCAGAAGGCCAGTCAAAAGAAGCTTCATGATGGGTGGTTGTAGTGCTGTTGGTGTGGTGATGGAGGTGGAAGAGGAGGGAACAGGATGAGGATGAAGAGTTGGTCGTTGGAGAAGAAGGCTGGGGAAGGGGAACTGCCTAGCGCCGGATGACGTCGACGATCGGTGCCGAGGTGGAGCTGGCCGCTAGTTATGCACGATCAAGACGGCGACGGAAGACGAAGCACTCGGCCTTTGTATGGTACACTGCTGCTACAAGAGTATATCCAAGCAGACAAGTAGATATGGATGATGATGAACGATGAAGTTGAAGTTGAAGTCGAAGTCGAAGTCGAAAGCAAAAATATCGCCCAAAAAGGGAACCAGGTCGCGTGACTTGATGACAAAGCGTGATATATTATGTAATGGATATGTCATCCATAAGGTAACGTGACTCGTCTTATCGCAAGTCCCGTGACTCACCAACTTTGCTTATCGACAACTTTTTGATAACAAAACAGAAACAGAGAGAAAGACGAGATAATAATACCAATATCCTTATAGATTTGGTAGAGAAGCGATTAGATTAATAGACCGCGGCTTGAACAAGTGATTCTGCCAAGATGCCGATGATCAATCAGCCGTCAGGCCAGATAAAATTTACAAATGTCTCTATCGTCAAGCTGAAGAAGGGTAAGAGAGGAGAGGGGGGGGGTTAGGCTACGGTTCTTCCATCAGATCTGGCTAACTGAATGACTAGGAAAAAAGCGCTACGAACTAGCCTGTTACAAGAATAAACTGCTGGAGTATCGCTCTGGGGCTGAAACGGACCTTGACAATGTCCTCCAGATCCCCACCGTCTTCCTGTCCGTGTCTCGCGGGCAGACAGCCCCGACAGCGGAACTGGTCAAGTCGTTTGGCAAGGACTACAAGACCGAAGACGTCATCCAGGAGATCTTGCGCAAGGGTGAAGTACAGGTGGGTGAGAAGGAGAGACGAGATATTCTCGAGCGGGTTGAGAAGGAGGTGCTGGAGATCGTTTCCGCGAGACTCGTCGACCCAGTGTCGAAACGCGTCTACACCGCAGGGATGATCGGCAAAGCGTTGGACCAGCTGAGTGCAGCCAGCGGCAAGGAGCAGCAGCATGGAAATAGTGGGACGGGGGCGCCACGGCCCGCTAAGGATGCGGAAGACGGTGACGATGGTGATGGTGACGGTGACGATGACGAGATGGCCAAAAGGGCAGCAGACTTGACGCTTACTCCCCGGAAGCCACTGTGGACCGGCGTCACTACGGCGAAGTCTGCCAAAATCCAAGCCCTGGATGCTATGAAGGCCCTGATCGCCTGGCAACCTATACCCGTCATGCGTGCCAGGATGCGTCTCCGTATCACCTGTCCTACATCTATACTGAAACAAGCCGCTAGATCTGCGACATCATCGACCGCCCCGGCCGCCGATGCAGGGAACACGCCGTCAAAGAAAGACAAAGGCAAGAACAAGAAAGGTAAGAAGGCAGCGGACGACGAGGAAGAGGACGAGGGTAAGCCTGCTACCGGTGCGGCTACTGGGACGGTCAAGGATCGGATTCTGAGCTTCCTTGAGCAGGTCGAGTCGCAGGAAGTGATCAGCGGAGACGAGTGGGAAGTCCTCGGGTTCGCAGAGCCTGGCGCCTTCAAGGGACTGAGTGAGTTCATCGGCGGAGAGACAAAGGGGAAGGGCAGAGTCGAGGTCATGGACATGGCCGTCACTCACGAAGAGTGATCAGATGTTTACTCCGTATTTCTCTTTGATTGGTATGAAAGGCACGGTACATACGATTAACGAATAATAATAAAAAAAAAAGAATATCCTTAGGGATCATGATCTTGTCTATCGTTCATTACTCCATGCTAAATTAAACAAAATACCCCGATGCCCAACGCCACGTTCTATATTCCGCGGTAACCCTTAATATACGGAATGAGATGGGAAATAAAGAGATAGAAAAAGGTCATCCGTATGTCGTAAATTCATGTTTCAATGGCGTCCAATGCGTCGTGTAGGTCCGTCGCCGTGAACGCCGTCGTCCGCTTCAGTCTCGTCTCTGGCCACCGCGGATGCTGCTCTTCCTCCGTCGAGTGAGAGTGAGAGGTGAGGAGGGTAGACGAGCTGATATTAACTCCTCCATCCGAGCTGAGTATCGAAGTCGCGTTTGAATCCTCGTCTTGCGAAGACTCGTCAGCGTCGCCGGGACGCCTGGTTATGGTCGTTGCGGCCAGAGAGTGAGCGTCGCCGGCGCTCTCTGCTCTCGACGGCGTCTGCGTATCGAGGGGACAGATGTGCGAGTCGATTGACCGTCGTCGATGCAGCTTCGTCGCCGTCACGATGGTGTATGCCGCGAGACTGGCCATATGTTTCCGGTCGACCGGCCCACGGTATTTCGGCCGCGGGACTTCGTGGGCCTTGTATAGTTCTATCTTCGGCCACTGCTCTTCTGTCTTCCGCTTCGACGGCCGTCTGAACGTGAGCGATTTGATGATGCTCGAGCGGACCGACTTCGTGAACGAGCGAGCCGGAGCTGTCTGCGAGCTCGTCGGGGTAGGCGTCACTTCGCGTTGTCGAGCTGCTGGAGACGCCTGCTTCTGTCCCTTTGGAAGGCCTGTCGTGTGTTCTCTGGCTTCCTCGAGCCGTACAGCCAGCCTGGAGGAGGGTTTAGCTGTTTTCGATGATTTCGCCATGGTGAAGGGGTGAAGATGGGAGCTGAAGAGAGCTCTCTTCATCTTCTCTCGAAATCCCATGCTGAACGAGCCCTGCAAGATGAACCGGAGAGAAGACGACAAAGAACGAACAACGAAGAACAATAAACAAAGTTGGCAATGCAGGACGGAGGGAAAATAGCTCAGGACAGGCCGGCTTCCATGCCTCCAAGAGAGACAACCTGAAGCAACAAAGCCCGCGTTCAACTGCGAAACAGCAAAGACTGCCGGCCAGGAGGTAGCGGGATCCTGACAAACGAAACACAGGGGGCTATATTCGAACGGCCCTCAATTAATTAATAGCGAAATGAAAAAAAGGAAAAAGGGAAAACGGGCTGGGGAGAAGCTGGACTACAACTTATTCCCCCAGATTAATTCGGGGTCGGAAATTAATCTCAACTATCAACTATCCAGTCAATTTTTTTCCTTCTAGGCCTTCTATCTGGTGGTTGAGATGGGCCCGGCGACCAAACAGCGAGCAGCCCATGGACCTCTTAATCGCCACATGCCTGCAGCCAAGGAGAATGCAGATTGGGCGATGGCGATGGCGAGGGCGATGGCGGGTGCCGGCGTCGTCTAGCTGTCTCGTCTAACTCGTTCGTTGGCTGCGGCAGTTGGGCCGGTGGCGCAGTTCGCGACGAGAAGATGGAGTAGCAGTTTAGGGCTATCTCCGGCACATCCTGGGCATACGGAGTGTATATATAAAAGGATAGGAGAGTCCGGCTTCACGACAGCTGAAAGCACCGTTGACAGCTCTAACCCCTGGCGCCGTTCTATTGGTAGATGCAGAGCTGACAGGCCCTGGTCTGGTCTACTGGCCAATTTTTGTGACTCCAGTACGACATGGAACGACCATTTTTGAGCCCTGCAGAGGATCATGGTGGTTGGATGGTATGCCCTTTTTTTGGAGACCTACGGCTGTCATTCATACAGCTGAAAATACGGAGTAGAATGGAATATATGGCAAGTTTGGATCACATTGGATTTATATGACCTCATATTCCAGACGTTTCCGCCACATTTCCATGCTGTAAAGACCATTTTCAATTCCCTTTGTGTTGTTTTTGCTTGTTCGCTTTGCCTACCGCGTTTATATATAATATGAGAAGGTCTATAGGCCTAGGGGCTGGAAGCAACTATACATACCATATACCACCCAATCTATTGCAAATATCAGTTGGCTGTGTGACTTCGCCAGGTCAAGTTCTGTTGTCGGCTGTAAGTGATAGTTGGTGAGCCACAAACGTATTGTCACTCGAGCTGAACGGAAGCGTCCTGGCCAGGTCCGGGTGTCAGCGGTGAACATGTTATCCGGACAGGGCTCGCATTTTACGCAAGGTAATCTTGCGGCTGCGAAGAAGAAGACGAAGAAGGGGAAAGGCCGTCATCGCCTTGCACCTCCTGTTTCAAAGCCTTCTAATGTCGACAGGAGTCAGGCCGCTCCCCAGGCCCAGACAAACGCTGGAGGAATAGCAGCGGCGGGTGCTCGTACATATAGTGAGGAGAAAGTCCCCGCTGAGAAACCTCGTCCACTGTCATTCGCTAGAGGTTGGCAGCTTCCCTGATGAACCCCCTTTTTACATAAGGTTGATATCGATACTTACCACGAATAGACCATATGGGAACTTCACCGTACGGCAGCGGGCATGGAAGAGGGCTGTCCGACACAGTAAACACTTCACGGGGAAGCACGAGGTTCGCACAAGGTGCCTATAGCCCTCCATCGCCAGCTTGGTCCGCGGAAGATTCCAAGATTGGGGTACACAATGGCCACAATGCTGCCTCTAAAGCCGCAGCAAGCGCTGCTTTCTTTGGCAAGAAACACGTTTCCCAAGATCACGCCCAACCTCCTCTATCCAGCATGCGAGCCGAGACGCCGCGGAGGGACTCCACGACGCTCGGTACCGCATATCGGCTAGACGGACCTACCATTGGCGCCTTTCCCGCTGAGACTCCCGATGTCTTTGAAAGTGGCGCTGGAATGGGCAATGAAGAGGGCAACGTTGGTTCCAGAGCAGAAGAAGAACATGATGAAAACGAGTGGGAGGACGAGGATATTCACGATACGGCCGGGGCTGTAGCATCACAGCCTGGACCAAAGGACAAAGATGAATGGGTCAAGGAAGAAACCAAAGAGACGCCGGAACAGACGTCACATATCACACAGAGGCACTCTGAGGTGACTGAATATATTCCAGAGAATTCCGCGGATGGGGTATCAGGGCAGCACATAGAGCGGAAGATAGAAAAGGATACCGTGCGGAAGGAGATCATTGAGAAACGGGTTGACAATCAAGCGTCAGAAAATACTGGAAAGCCAGCCCAGAAGCCCAGCTATGCAGCAATGGTTGCAAAGGAGCGAGAACCGTCTCCTGTTCCCGCCGTTCCCCTCGCCCCTATTGCTCCCGCTGCTCCCGCTGCTCCCGTTGCTCCCGTTGTTCGCGCTGCCCCTGAAATGCCGCCTGCGCCTATTCCGCCGTTAAAAGTGCCCACTCCGTCCACGCAAGCTCCAGCTCCAGCTCCAGCCCCAGTCCAGGCGCCAGCTCCTGTTCCTATCCCGGCTCCTATCCCAGTGCCTCTAATGAAACAGGAACAGCCCCCGGCAGAGAGGACCGAGCAACCCCAAGCTGCGACAGCACAGGAACAGGTTCCAGCTCCCACGGCGAACCAGGAGGCAATCCCAGCAACGAAGCAAGAAGTGCCACCTACAGACACCTCAGGACTGGCGGCACCAGTAGTTCCAGTAAAGGCCCCGGAAAGGATGGTTGCCACTGACCCTGTACTTCCGGGTAGCGTTCCCGCCTTAGCATCCGCAGACGCCCAGGTGCAAGCAGCAGTAGCCACAGCTGGTACCTCGAAGGTTTCGGAGAATAAAGAAGCTATTCGGAAGCAAGCAGACGAGCAGAAGTCTCAACTCACTCGCCAGCAGAGGAAAGAAGTAGAAAAAGAAGAGAAGGTTAGGAGGAAGCAGAAGGCGAAGGAGCAAAAGGCCCGTGATAAGGAGTTCAAGGAGAGCCAAAAACAGCTCCGAAAGGGCCATCTGCGCCCGGCAGACGCAGGAGCGAAAAAACTGGGCTTGAGGCAGAGGATTGCTAACCGATTATCGAAGTACCTGGTTTAACAGGGAGGGTAAAAGGGTCAATGGCGTCGTCTTCTTGTCTGCTAGCTGATATCACTGATCCTCCCTCCATGCGGAGTAATCTATGTAAGTAGTCGATTGTAGAATATATTCCTGCCATAAATTAATACGCATTTCACTGAACATGGCATACCCGCGCATCCAATCGCAGCGAAACAAGTGTATCGTGAGAGGATGCATGGTGGAAATGCCATCCCTGGTCGTAACTAAGCTTTGCAGCCACAGTACAAGCTTTTGCCAATCAAAAGGATCCATCGACCTAGGCCGGCGCTGTGGATATGCAACGATGCCAGGGAGCAAAGACCGGACGAACCATGCGAATAGTGCGAGAAAAAGGGGCTCCATACGATGTCGTTGTCGTGCATATTCTCGCTATTTTCACCGCAGAAACATGTGTGAACCCCTGTATCCCAGCACCGCCACAATCCATTCCATATTGCTTTAGCTCTGCTTTACCCCTCCTTGACATGCGTATGCTCCAGAGGCCAGGGAATTGCGATGGTCGTGGGGCAGCTCAGTGAAGGGGGAGAGCTGATGGCTATATATACGTGGAGAGAGTTCGCTTCCCGACCTGCTCTTCCTTCGTACATTTCCCCATTGTCTATCGCCTGCTGTCCAGGAGTAAATATATAGCAACTTGAGCAGTTAACCCCCCCTTTAACCACTGCAATGGTCCACTTATCCAAAGTCCGCAAGGACTCTGTGGCTTTCCCGCCCAAGTTCCTCAAGCGTGTTGACACTATAGACCTTGATGAGCCACAAGACCATGACTACTACTCCAGCGTTTATGGCTCTCGATTTGCGGCAGAAGATCTCCCTACCGATGAGATGCCAGAGAAGGAGATGCCCAAGGAAGTTGCCTATCGAATGATCAAGGATGATCTCAGCTTGGACGGTAACCCCATGTTGAAGTATGCCTCTACTCCTCTCTAATTGTCGTATTCCCCATCCTATCGGCCTGCTAGTTATGTCGTGTTCTCCTCGCTAACCGTGGTGTGTAATTGAATAGTTTGGCGAGTTTCGTTACCACGTACATGGTGAGAGCGATGAACCTATATCGACACGTTTGCTGTACACTAACACTCCTGGGCCTTCAAGGAAGACGAAGCCGAGAAGCTCATGACCGAAGCGTTTAGCAAGAATTTCATAGATTATGAGGAATACCCCCAATCGGCCGATATCCAGAACCGCTGCGTTAACATGATTGCACGTCTCTTCAATGCCCCCGTCGGCGAAAGCGAGCATGAACACGACCACGCATTGGGCACTTCCTGCATTGGGTCCTCCGAGGCCATCATGCTGGGAACCCTTGCCATGAAGAAGCGCTGGCAGAACCGTCGCAAGGCCGAAGGAAAGGATTTCTCTCGACCAAACATTATCATGAGCAGTGCTGTCCAAGTCTGCTGGGAGAAGGCTGCTAGATATTTCGACATCGAGGAAAAGTTCGTGTACTGCACCAATGAGCGATATGTCCTCGATCCCAAGGAAGCTGTAGAGCTTATCGATGAAAACACCATTGGCATATGTGTGATTCTGGGAACCACCTATACCGGCCAGTACGAGGACATCAAGGCAGTCAACGATCTCCTGGTCGAGAAGAAGATTGACTGTCCCATCCATGTCGATGCTGCCAGCGGTGGCTTTGTCGCACCTTTTGTCAACCCAAGCCTTGAATGGGATTTCCGCCTTGAAAAAGTCGTGTCTATTAACGTTTCTGGGCACAAGTACGGTTTGGTGAGTACTCTCCTTGATCCTGCTTCTCGTCGTCCACGGTTGTTATATAAGTGAAATACTGACCCCAGCTGGCATTAGGTCTACCCTGGTGTGGGATGGATCGTCTGGCGATCAACCGAGTACCTCCCTCAGGAATTGGTATTCAATATCAACTACCTCGGGGCCAACCAGGCTAGTTTCACCCTCAACTTCTCCAAGGGAGCATCCCAAGTTATCGGGCAGTACTACCAAATGATCCGTCTCGGAAAGCGTGGATACCGCGCCATCATGCTTAACCTCACGCGCACTGCAGACTACCTCGCTGCTTCTTTGAAGGAGCTCGGATTCATCATCATGAGCGATGGGAAGGGTCGCGGTTTGCCACTTGTCGCCTTCCGTCTGCCCCCAGAGGTCGCGGACAAATACGACGAGTTTGCTATCGCCCATCAGCTCCGTGAGCGTGGTTGGGTCGTGCCGGCATATACCATGGCTCCTCATAGCGAGAAGCTGAAGCTTATGCGCATTGTCGTTCGAGAAGATTTCAGCCGTAGCCGTTGTGACAGCCTGGTTTGTGATTTCAAACTAGCGCTATCTCAGCTAGAGGCGATGGACAAGAAGACTCTAGAGAAATACCAGGAGTAAGTTTCTTCTCTGCTCGCCGTTTTGTTGAATCATATTAACTGGTCTTGATTAGATATACCCGCCGTAGGGTTGCAAATACCGGGCTGGCCCAGCATGCCACTACAGCCTATGAGAACGAAGACCACTCTCTCCAGGGGAAGACTGGAAAGACCCATGCCGTCTGCTAGACAGAAGCACCTCATAGTCTATATACTTATAATTCAGTGTGTCTTTGTTAATAGCCTTGTGGTAGCTACGTTTGTGCCGTAAGTTGCAGCTCAGTCTCGCCACGGCGTAGGGGGTTTCGTAAACCGCTGGGGGATGTTGCGTCAATATGCCAGGGCCTAATTTCCAACACAGTCGCCCGCACGAGGCCCGGAAGCAGTTTTCAATAGTACAAGCCTATCCCTGTGTAGCAGTATCTCCGGCATCTGTAAACCCAGAAGCGATCGAGGGAAACTTGAGCAGCTCTAGGAGCTCGGTATCTGCACTGGGAGTGAAGTAAATGCATATGGCGATACACTCCGCTCTGAGTCTCCCTTCTACCCAAGGCTCCCAGTGCGATATCAAGCACATAATGCCCATCCAATGGGCCAGTATAATTAGTGCCCGCGCATCTTTGGCCCTTAACAGGGCAATATATCTTTGGTCTAAATGACCAAGAAAGGATGAAAAGTACCCAGAAGTTGTAGCACTCTTCTCTAGCTCTAGCATTGAGCTTGCAACTTGAAGCGGTTTGAAATACGGACTCGTCTCCGCGGTGGTTGAGTCATGTATCTCACAGAAGTCTGCCAACCTTGGATGCATGCCTTCTCTTCCCCGTTCGCAATTGTTCAGCAGTATCTCGTGTGCCTGATCGGCAGCTTTAAAGGCCGGACCCCAGATACTCAGATGAAGGATGGGGCCTGAGAGCTCTAGAAGGTATGGCAGGCCATTCTGCAAACAAATCCAGTTCATGGCCGACGGATTGGATGATAGGACCCATGAATCGCATGGTCGGAAGTTCTGAGGGCACATGCAGTTAACGAGCATGAGCATGCATGTGGTCAGGAGAGCGTCAACGTTTGCAGGGCTGACTTTATAGCAGAGAGCTGTTCGGTATGATTGAATAGCCTTTTGCCAGTGGTGAGCTTCTGCAAACTCCCGGGCCTTGCATGGGGGAAGTATGCGGTTAAGGTGGAGAAGTGATACGCCAATTATGGTATGCATAAGATGCGGATTCTGCGTGTATCAGTCAGAAAAGAAGGAATACGAAATCTTGCCATATGGGGGGAAAAGACGAACTTACCGAGAAAGCAACACGTATGGCCTCTGTCCGCATAACTTTGCGGATTGCAGGGGTGGAGATTGACTCTACAGTGTTGTCTACGAAATGTCGAAGTGCGAGCACCCCCATGGGCCGATCAGATCCTGGCACATTTGGCATACAGTAGTCCGAGTCTGAGTGCATCCTTAACGTCTCCTCAATCTTAGCGGCCAAGTTATCGAGGGACATGGAAAACATGGCCCTACTTGGGCCACTCGTCGTAACTGTTGTAATATCCTTGCTGGCACTGGGAGGAGTGAGAGCTGCAGGATAGTTACATGCCACGCCGTAATTGGCACAGTTATGGCACCCGGGCCTTGCTTCATCGCACTGGGACACGGCGTTTAGTCGTTTTATATGCAGTGATATATGGTCTTGGGACATCCCCGTACCTTGACTTTGCGCCTCTTGCAGACGAGACAGCCAGCCTTCGACTTTCGGTGAGATCGACGAGGACGGAATCCTGAAGATTTCCTCTTCTCTGGCGCCAGATTGCGAGTCTGAGCTGGTGCTGGCTGTGGGTTCAGTCTCACTCGAAAGACCGTCTGCCACTTTCGGGCGTTTTCCTTGCTTGTTTGTCCATCATCTGGAGGGTTGGAACAGACATTCGACGAATTATCTGACGCCATGCCGTTTTTTGAGCAAGGTTATACAACCAGTTGCATAAGTAACCGCCGGTAGATCATCGTCTCCGTCCATGGGGGATGTTGGTGTTGGGTCAGTTAAATAGGAGATGGAGGATCGAGGTTGTTCGTGTTCAAACCAACCACAGCCACAACAAATCAGCTTGCGGCGAAAGTCAACACTAAACATCCAACCATGTCAGCGATAATGCTTGATTTATCTTTATTTGTTGACCTCAGCTGTTCGTCTTCTCCGTATTTGCCGGCTGAGCCCCAGGGAACACGGAGCGGGCGCAAGAAGTACGCGTTCTCTGCACCCTAGACCGAGATATAAAACCTCTCCAGGATCTTCACACTTGTCTCGAAATGACAACTTTGCCAAGGGATTCGTATTTCTTGAAGCTGGCGGAGCAAGCTGAGGTGCCTCATGGCCGAAGCCGTCTGGTGAATTGTCGGACCCGGCGAGGCTGCAGCCATCCAGAGCAAAGGTTTACTATTGGGCATTGGGATAGCTGCAGAAAGCTGTACTATGTACCGGCTCATCCCAGAATCTATGTACCACGGTGGGGGAGACGAGCAGCCCAAATGAGAAAGTATCTCGAGTTCGGTTGGGCCTTGCGATGGCTGCTGGGTTCGAAATCGTGGATATAAAGACTCACTCTGATGTCTCTGTGATATCCAAATTATCGTGACAGCCTCAGTTGCTCGTTGAAAGATCCTTTGGCAAAACATGTTTACGAGACTGTTTTACTTCGGCCTGGTGGCTGTGTCTACTCTCCACGCTGCTCTCGCCAACGAGCCGCCTGGCGAGCTTCCGATTCTGAGTCTTCCCTATGGACGGTGGAGGGCGGCGAAATATGATAGGGCCGCAGACGTACGAGCTCTAGCGATGATGAAACATAGCCTGGAACAGACTGCTAAGATACTCGCTTCTAGGTCTATACGTTCCGCAACATTCGATATGCGGTCCCTCCTACCGGCCCCTTGCGCTGGACTAAGCCAGTGAGGCCCAAAATCCCAGAGATTGATATCCAGGATGGCTCCTACGACCCACCCTGCATCCCCGGCCCTCAACCAGAAGGGTTCGAGGACCCAAGCTATGAAAAACAACGAAAATCTGCCAGCGAAGGTTGGTCCTGCCTTGGAGTTCATCGTGTCATAGACGGGTTCTGACCTGGAATCAACTAGACTGCCTCTTCCTCGACATCTATGTTCCAGGAAAAGCATTGAGGGAAAATGGTAGCGATAAGTTACCTGTTATTGCGTGGATTTACGGTGGAGGGTACATCTCGCCTATTCTCGTGATTTCTCAAGCTTAGCTTACACCGATGAGTCTATAGATACACGATTGGGTCAAAAGACCAAGCGATTGAACAGGGTATATATGATGGTACCAGACTTGTACAACATGCAGCTGGAAATGCCATCGTCGTCACCTTCAATTACCGGGTACGTGTTGTCCTCTAGTTGTTCTATATCCCAATCAGCATACAATGGGCTAAGACCTTAATAGCTAAGCGTATTCGGTTGGCTAGCTGGGACCACAATGGAAAATGAAGGGCTGCCTAATGCCGGGCTTCATGACCAACGCGCTGCCCTGGAATGGATCAAAGACTATATCCATCTCGTAGGTGGAGACAGGAGGAAGGTCAGCGCCTGGGGAGAATCTGCAGGCGGCGGATCAATTCTCAGCCACCTCATTATGCATGAGGGCAAAACTGACCCCCTCTTCCGACGTGCTGTGGCCTTGAGTCCTGGCCTGAGTTTCCCCGTCGACCGCAAGGGTATGGTCGAAGACCAATTCCGGGACTATTTGTCAAAGGCTGGATGCACCGGAAAAGGCGTTGCGTGTTTGCGAGCAGCCAGCATTTCTAAGTTGATTCAAGCCAGCCATAATGGGGTGGGACAAGTAGGGCCAACGCCTGATGGACGCCTACTTAAGCATGTATTCTCCGTGGAGATGGCTAGGGGTGAGTGATGTTGGTTGGAAGCATGGGAGGCCATTACTAACAACTTCTGCTCTAGGAAAATATTGGAAGCACCTTGATTCCCTCGTCGTATCTCATGTTTTCGACGAAGGAGGCCCCTTTATCCGCTCTAACGACACTCTAACCTCCCTACATTCTTTGGTCCAATCATTATTCCCTGCATATGCAGCTGAAGCTGTCTCAACTCTCGCGGACCACTATAATCTGAATAAGCCCTCCTACGAATCTGTGAAAACAATAGGCTCGAAGCTCGTACGAGACGCTATATTTGCTTGCAACATACGCGCTATCGTGCAGGGTTATCCACAGCGATCATACCTGATGCAATACTCTCCCCGCGCAGCCACACATGGCGCTGATGTTGCGGCAGTATGGTATTCTCCTGCGCTGTACAACGTTACCATACCTCTATTTGCCGGATATCAGTCATACCTGCTCAGCCACGCTATCACCAATGATCCAAACTCTCTTCGAGACCAAGCACTTACGCCTCCAACTATTGCGTGGCCACGAGTTGCAGGCACTGACAAGGAGAAGCTTCGAAATGTATTGAACGTAGGAGACACTGGATACCAACTTATCGCCGACGAGCAAGTTTTGAAGAGTTCCTGCGACATCTGGCAACAGGTCCTTCTGGACGCTACGAGGCAAGGAGGCTACCTGTAGCGGATATCTAGGAAAAAATAATCTTAGTATGGCTACGCAATCCTACATGTAATAACGGTTTCATGTACTCTTGCGTTAGCAATCAGTAAAGGAACAATACATTAATTGTTCGACCCGAGAGTGTGTTCTATACACCAATGCATATAAATACTCATATTCGTTGAAACTGTTATTATGAGTTAAATGGCCTATGGGTTAGCATCGGGTCTTGGGTTTTTGAAGGGACAATCATCCTTTCCATCCCACCAAACACACCCCCCTGAATCACTCTGCCATTCTTCTCCGGATGCATCTGGTGCTTGACCCTGATCCCACTTGATTGCCTGCGCCGAAGATCCACCAGTTTCAACCCACGTAAAACGGTGGTTCCTATCTCTCATCTCTTTCACAATAGGTTTGTTGTACATGCGCGTATCATTAGTCAGTGATAGATCAAACTCCGTAATATTAGGGCTCAGCTGGTCGTGCAAGCGCGGTGCACTAAGAGCGCCTTTTGCTGACATCTTTCGGTCGATGACGTTGATGATGATCTGAAGTGTAGCTGAAGGAATTCGCATTCCACCAGCAGACCCCGTAACAAAACGCACATGTCCTTTATTATCAGTAATTATGGTGGGCGACATTCCAGAAAGTGGCCTTTTACCTCCATTTTCGATGTGATTATTGGCAAATTCCAGAGGGTCATCATGAGTTTTACGCTGGAAATCGGCCATGACGTCGTCAAAGATGATTCCAGTCTGGGGGTCCATAACTCTGCTGCCAAAATATTCGCCAACACTGGTGGTAAGGGATATAGCTAAGCCAGAGCTGTCCAGCGCCACAACATGGGAAGTTCCCCCTTCCTTTATGACGGCTTTTCCAGACGGAGGCGCCAAAGATGCTTCGGCTGTCGAAGGGTACGGCAGGATATACTTCAGAGGGTCACGTAGTGCTTTATCTGTGATGTTGACTTTGGACGCAAATCCGTTCTTCCCGTCTATCAGCCATTTTTGATACGCATCCATATCGATATCGGGTTTGAATTTCATGTCCGGGTCCCCCAGTCTGGACCTCTGTAAAATTTATATTAGAGACGAAAAAAACGTGTGAGAGACATGATAAAAAGGGCATACACACCTGAGCGTATCCGAACCGCAATGCTTCAATTAGCCAATGGGTGCTTATTTCATCAGCGCCGGGATTGAAATTGCCCATGAACTTTTCCAAAACTTTCAATATGCTGAGAACCACCGTCCCACTCGCAGGAATTGGAGTACTTGTGACTGTATAGCCATGATAATCAATGTTGACGGGAGCGCGGATCTCGACCTTATAGTTCTTAAGGTCCTCCTTCGTCATTAAGCTTGGACTTGTAGCATGACTCAAAGTGCGGTAAGTTGAGTCCGCAATATCCCCTTCGTAAAAGCTTTTCTCTCCTTTACTCGCAATATTCTCCAGAGTCTTAACGTAGGTCTCCCGAATCACTGGGTCACCCTTTTTCAGGAGTTTACCACCTCGACAGAAGGTTTCGTTCCAGGGATATTGCCCCAGCCAACCACATTCGGGAAACACAATTGGTAGAGGGTCGATTGGCGGGTCTGCAATGACCTGTTGGATGAAGTACATCATATCATCAGTCGCATGGAAGTCGCCCTTTGCTGCCTTCATCGCCGGCGTAAAGAGATCATTCCAAGGAACTCCCCCGTACCTATGGAGTTCCCAAAGCCCTTTGAGCTCACCAGGTACGCCACTTAGTCGTTGCATTAGCGCCAGTAGATAATAACCTTGCATCAAACATAGAGGTTATAGGAATTTTTACCTTGCTGCACCACCTCGGTGTACATCATGCTTATCGTAGTAGCTATCGTTTGCGCTGTTTGGAGCAACGGGGCGGAAATCGATGGCTTCGAACTTGTTCTCTTTTTTCACAAGTGCGAACCCTCCTCCTCCAATACCACTGTGGTACATCGCTATATGCGTATTAACTTATTATGCCGCTCGGGGGGATGTTATATGTAGCACGTACCAACAGTTCCAATGCAAAGAACAGTAGCTATAATCTAATGGCCAAGTACGTAGCATAGTTAGCTTTGGTCTCCCGTATATTGACTGCACGTTCCACCACTGATAGGTATCAGAATAAAAGTATCACGATGTTTAAGGTAACTCACCGCGTCGGCTGCAGTAGCATTTTTATTCTGCTTGAAAAAATCAACTCCCTTTTGGTTACAATACTGGCTTTCGCTAGCAATAGAAATCCCACGGGCCGCATAGCCAGTTGAGCGGCCATCATCACTCCCACCACCAGGCACGGGTGGGATTGCTGACGCTGTAACCAGCGCAGTTGAGTGAAGAAGTGCTGAGACAAGAGCTGGAAAAAGCATGATTTCCACAAGTCAACCAACAATCGGGATGTAAGATGTGATAGAGAACATGATGATATTCATCTATCGAGATAGAATATATAGTATATATAACTATTTTAGAGGTACTTGACATGGCCCAATATTTGGGCGATCACCAAATTCTGAACCATCTCATTCCCCGTGTGATCATATGCAGTTGCAATGGAAACCTCCAACTGGACCCAGGGGATATTCGTCGAATGCAGGTTGTAATTCAAAAATTGGCTCATATTTGGCCAAATATACTGGTTTCCATGCTTTGTTTAGGCAAAGATCTAGGAGTCTCAACTGCTGTAACACAGTAAACACAGATCGGAGAGGGGTATCAAATTAGAACTGCTGCTGCCTGAGAGCGCACGAAAGCGGGGGATAGCGTTATGCACCCTTTTTTGAGACTTAGAAGCCATGGAAAGCCTGAGACATATCAGCCAGCCCAGGTATAAAAGTCGAATCAAGCCTATACTGGTTCCTTTCGTAGGCCGTGGATCGACGATCTGGCGCAAACCGTTAAAGGATAGGGCGCAGCTGATGATGAACCTCGAAACGGTATAGAGACCGGACCTCTCGGCGTCCATGGGAGCATCGACGAAGGTTCTGCAGGTCAAGACGCCCTCACCGCACTGAGTTGTCTTCCATGTTTGTAAAAGAGCTGAGTCTTTTCTTTGGTGAAGCGGGAGCATGCAAGTCTAGCCTGCTCCTCAATCCGTGGGTTGTCATCCTCTTAGATTTGATATTTTCCTCCGCCGATCGTCCGGTTCCCCAACGGGAGTAGCCGTCAATGTACTCCGTCGGCTAGTGAATTCCGACAGGGTAATCGACTGGCAGGTCCACCAGCTCTGACCAGGAATATGTGCTCCATACCAAAAGGAATTGGGATGGCGGTGGCCCTTGGGCCTGCGCCAGTGTTCCCAGAGGCGCCACCGCCAACTCCAAATCGCCGAACGACATGTTTGCTGGACGATCTTCCATCAAGCCCCAAATCCAGAGACTGGTTATGGCTAGGTCCCTTTTGTTTTGAGCTAAGTGTCTGGTCCGGACTCAAATGCTCGAGAACCAAGAGTAGCATGTAAAGGTGCTCCTATTCGAGCATGATCTTGTAATCCAGACGGAGTATTCCGTGGATACCGAGGATACCGCTCTTTGCCAAATACGTGCCTGTCGCACACGTACTGTGAAGCACCGCGAGATTGGCGTTTCTTGACGGATGATGGATGGTGGAAGACAGCTATCAAGTTGGTCAAGCGCGAATACTTTTACCTGTCACATGACTTGTCGACAGCTGGCAACAATTTCCACAACTCGAGTATTCTTTTGATCTATTGACTATACTGATAAATTATGTACGTTTAATATATATCCCCTCGTCGTTATATCGCTGTCAACTATTGGCAACGTTAGCAGAGTTGCTATGGTTACCACAATTTTATCACCAGCCAAACAACGCCGGTTGATCCAACCACGACCACACTTCAAAATGGTGCAAGCCTGAACCAAAGAATCAGATAACCGCAAAATATGGAGTACTCCGCACTGCTTCCAGGATCCGGAAAAGGATACAGCACTCTTCATTTTCCCACTGGGGTGCCATGGTCGCTAACTGCGGACATATAGGCTTGCTCCACCTTGGAATGGATTCATTCCATGGCAAGCCGCGTTTCCCCAGGGAATAACTACAACCTACCTAGATTTCATGGGACTAGGAAGTTATCTAAGAAGTAGCATCTGTGCCGGTTAAGTGATGAAAAACTACAATTGCCTGAGCTACATGACTCCGGAGAACAGCCAGCATGTCGCCAGATAAGACACCATAGACGGCTGTGCGAGACAATCTTACGGTTTGGAGGCTAGTTGCCAGTTTCAACATCGCCATGGACTTATCCATGTGGCCAAAGAGCCCTTCAGCCGTCTATGCAGGCTGGGTGATGCCATAGGGAAAACCCCCATGCTTGAGTACCCCAGGAACCACGAGTATGGCGGCTCTCCCCTCGCCATGGGCTATTGTTCTTGAAGGGGGTCAATGTCCCCCTTATCACTGCTTGTTGAAGTGCTTGACGGCCTAGACTTTCGTCTCCTTAGTCTGCTGTTCTATCCTTATACTCCTTGAGTCCCTGCATTGTTTTCTTTCGCCCCTTTAATGGGACAAAGAGCACGGCTGTTTTCTTCACATCGGATTAAAGGCAACCCGTTCACTATCTGGATTAATCTGAAGGGTAATGGATCCAGTTTCGATGGTTATCGTTTTCTTTTCATTTCTCTCTGCCGCGCCAGTTCACGTACCTTTCGTCCTTCTCGTTATCCGTTGTCCACTCATTGTTGTGCTCGGCTAGACAATGACTATGTGTTCCCTTGAGAAACATAGGGGAACCTGCCTCCTATACGCGTTGCATCTGCTCCATCTGTCTTGTCTTTTGACTATTTAACCCTGGGCTTTCCATAGCTTGTCGCTCCAACTACCATTCCTTGATCCTTTCGTTGCGGCATAAACGATATTAATTTCGTCTTTACATACACATTCCCCCGTCAACTCTTTTAGAACCAAGCAAAATGTCCAGGGCATCGTCTCCTAACGCCAACTATCCGGAAATCAATGAGAATTTCGAGAACTTTAACTATGAAGACCTAGATCATCCTCCGCCTGACTGGGAGCTATATGATACCCCCGACAAAACACATTTGCGCAACCGCGCTCTCGACCTAAAAACATTTAAGAAGCTTGTAAAACATCACGCCTGGGGCTTTGGTGTTGTCATTTCAGAACGGAAAACGAAGGATAACCTGCTCCAGGTATTAAAGCGGATTATATATAACCAAGAGGCCAACCTACGTCCGACTTGGCATCAGTTTGTTAGTCGAGACTGTGATTCGGGCCCTCGACTTTTACGTCGGTCGTATAACGCACCTCAGTTTAGCCGAAGATTACCTAGAGGTGTCCCGGGGTGGGATCCCACGGCGCATTCGAAAACATCCCAGGAACAGACAGCTGCCCAAGCAATCCAAAATATCACCGAGGGGGGATCGCTTCCCGGTAGCATCGCTTCTCCAATCCAACTCACATTGTTACCTACACCCCCCCGGGATACTCGTACTCCCGTTAAAGCTCTGCCTGCTAGAAATACTGCTCCCGGTCAGCGCCACATGAGTAGCCAGCTTGCAACAAGATCAAGCGCTAATCAGCTCTCAAGATATGATGAAACCAACCCGTCATCAAACCCTACTACACAAACTGGAACGGAAGGGCATGCCACATATTCCCTCAACCCCCAACTGGCCAAAGTGAAATACAAGACCGACGTGACGCCCTCTATGCCAAACCAACCCGAATTGAACCGTCATATTCGAAAGAATGTTTCACGTTATGCTTACAGACCTTTAGACAAAGTCTTATCTAAAAGGACACCCCCAGCACTTATCAAATATACTAGGGCGTCTGGGGCCAGTTTAATTATAGGGGCGGCAACCTTTTCCTATCTTCGATTAAGTGTCTCAGGGGATCTAACAAGCTTCGTCTTTGATACCCGTGGAACCCTCTATCCGTTCAGAGGCCGTGGCCCTCTATCTTATGACGGACACTCAGATATCGTCGACTGCGTGATCGTTGCAGGGCTGTTGACTAACGCTGGATCATGTGCAGTAGACGAGCAAGGCTGTCTTGAACAGCCTAATAACCTCAATGTGACTGAACATGCTTTTATAAAGGCTATGCAGGACTGCTCTGATGACATATCCTCAGATGAGGCGGTCTCAACGTTAAAAGGAAGATTATGGGATATCTACTATGAGCAATATCACTTGGCTTCTACGTATATGAATAGGCTCACAGTGGACCCGGCCGTCATATGGTCACATTTCACCAGGCCATTTGCTCAATTCAAACTTGAATATACGGATAAGTATGATGCCTGCCTACACTGTGGCTCGCAAACCCAAAGCTCTACCCGCCGGAGAACTGCTGCTGTTCTAGATTATAGTCCACAAAATAATAGTGGGATGGCAGTGTCCGATATACTACAGCGCTTCTTTGACAACGTTTCGGGTACTAATTGCTCTGGATGCAGAGAAAGAACCATGATAAAACGCAAACGGACTTTTAAAGCCACCCCTCTTCGTCTGGTTGTCCTGCCTTACCGGCAATCCAAGATTCGAAACATATATACGGGCCCTATAACGTTAAAATTTACCAATACCCAAGGCGAGATGGTAGAAGAAGAATATGCTTATATTGGTGGTATCTATAGCGCCCCTGGAGCCCGCTCCGCCCATTACAGACTCTGCTGGGACGATGAGCGTGGCCGTGATATCAAGCGTGGTCAGTCACTACGATTTTATGATGCTGGCAAGATATCTGGCATGATTGCTGGAGGTATCAAAGGATTCGAAGAATTCGAACTCGCGCCAAGTTCATGGTTATCTGAGGGCAAACCAGAAATACTCTTTTTTGACAAGATTATACAGCCACCCAGGGAGCTTTCACGTATGAAAGAGGCGCATTATAGTATCAACGAGTCACCGACCCCAGCATGTCCAGCGAGGAATGATACCCGGCTCCAGCATAACAAACGCCTGCCGTCGAATTCCAGGCAGCCAGAGGTGTTACCACACTCAACGCCGCAGATTGCCAAACCACTGACTCCTACTCGGTCACCACTACAGAAGTTTCCCACCAACAGTCGCCAAGTTAATTCTTGTCAAGAGATCAATAAGCTTCCAATAACCAGAGTGAATACGCCTACAAACCTTCGATATTCCGAGAATTGTGATCCAACCAATAATCACCAGGCTACTCCCTATCGAGGGGTCCATAGCCCATCAATATCTAGATCCGATACTCCTACGAAGCCTCGTTATTCTATCAGCAGTGAGCCAAATACAATACTAACCAGCTACGCTCACTCTAACACCTATCAAGAGGCTCATCGTCCGCCGATACCTTCTCTCGATGCGCCCATTAACCCTCAGTACTCTATGAGCTATGGGCCAAGTTCGATACCAGCAAACAACCAACCAGCTAACGCCAGTCAAGAGACCCATATTCCCGAGATATCCACCTTGGATACGTCTACTAACCCTCCTTATCCTCTCACCTGTAGGCCAACCCTAACGTCAAGCAGCAATAATCAGGAGATGGACCAGCAAGTCTATGAGGCAGTAAACAGGGAATTGGATGAGTTCTTTCTCATTAATGATTTCAGCGAGATGCCAGCTCTTCAGCAACCGGCAGATGCTACTGTCGATTCATCCTTACCTCCCTCTAATGACAACGTGCCTGACCGAGCAGCCCAGGTTCAGGTTCAGGAGGTGCCTGGGGTATATGAGAACCCGGCATTTACAGATCCCCTCGGAGCCCAAATTCAAGGAGCACCCGGATCAGTATTTGAAAACGTAGGATTTGCAAGTCCTGTAGTTACCGATGCGGTACCCTTTACAACGGACGAGGAGTGGTTTGCCCAGTGGAATGGAGGTAACTCGGGTGGAGGGCCTCCGCGAGCTCTGTTGGCTGACGGTCCCTCTACCAGCAACAACTTAAAGAGAAGGAATTCAGGTGGAAACGACCCTGATTCATACGGAGCACTAGAGTTGAAGCGAAGAGGGTGAGCCTCCAGACATGCAAAGACTACCTCACATACCAGAGATACAAGATTAACCTCTCCAAGTCCAGCCAACTAGACGCAGTGTAACTAAGCTATAAGAGCGTAAATCCATTATTACTATCTTCATTTCTTCATCTACCTTCTATCACTCTAATCGTTTTCTACCAAGCCTTTTCTATAAACTCCAAGTGACTATAAGCGAAACACTGAAATCGACGATATACCTAGAGATGAGCTCTGGGTGCCTGGCCTGGAGCAGTTGGCTTGTCACTCTTCTTTGGCGCAGAGACATAGCCGCCCAGCTTGTTGTCGGTGTTGACGACCTCGCCCTGCGCGTTTCTCCTGATCCCCAGCTCCATCAGCTTGGAAAAGGCCTTGGAGAAGTGGTCGAAGAACAGCTCCTTGTCGTCCGCGTACCTGTTCACCCACATCGCGAAGTCTGGATCGGAGAGGAGAGCCATGTCGGTTGGCAGCATCATGAGCGGCTCATCGCGTTCCTTCTCGGGGACATCCTCGTCGACATAGTTGAACTGCTTGGTCCCGTTGGACAGGGTGCGAGGCTTCCACTCCAGGCTCTTGAGGAGGCGGAAATACTGGTTTGAGAAGCGAGTTGGATTGTTCACCCAGGGCCCTTCGAAGCCGCTTCGATCCATATGCGTGCGGCCGAGGTTGTGGGCGCCGGACAGAGCCACGATCTCCTGGTCGTTGAAGCCCATGCGGTAGAAGATGTGTCTGATGTGATCGCTGCCCTTGGTGGCATCGGGCAGACGGCCGCGCGGAGGCACCTTCGAGTCGTCGACGAAGTCTGTTCGGCCAGGCTGCCAGCTTATCTCGGGGCCTCCCATCTCCTTGATGGCGACTATGCCGGCGAGCGTCCAGAGATCCGAGTATGTGATCCAGGGGTGTTTGGCCTTGACGGGTTCGAGGAACGAGCGGCCGTACTGCAGACCGGCGTTGGCTGGGTCGCCTCCTTCAGCTTCATATCGCATGCCAGCGCCGTTGGAGCCGCCGGTGTCGCTCTTGACGTCGTATGTGCCTGAGGAATGCCTGGGATATGTCAGTCGACGTTTGCCGTGAGAACGGGCAGAGCTGTCTTACCATGCGAGCCGGACGAAGACTGGTCCTGCGCTTCCATCGTCGTACCCAGGCTGCTTCATCTGGGCAATTATATCACGCCTTACGGCGGCGAAGTCTCCCTGTCTGCTCATCTTGTCAATATTCAGACTGAAATGATGGACGTTGCGATATCAACGTATTCGACAACAACGGAAGCGTGAGAAGGGATTATGAGGATGACCACGATGAACCTTCGATTATTATATACAAGGACAAGATTCACATGGCATCTCTACGGGCGATTTTTACGGGGAAACGATATCGACGGTTCCACTGTCTGCTCTCGCGGCCAAATTTCTATCTTAGCTTCATGAAACTTTTCCCAGATGCCGAGGCTCATCCTAACTCCGTACTAAACAACAAACTAACGAATTCCACCTCTAATCCTCTTCCTCTTCCTCTCTCTCGACGGCGAGAAGTGATCTCATTCGGTCTCATGTGATTGGCCTGGTTGTTAAGGTCCTGGTTGTTCAAGACAGGAAGAAATACGGCCAGAGTTCATTCCTTCGCCTTCTCCAGCTGGTCTGCCCTCGCCTTCATCTGCGATATCGCCTCGAGAGCACACCTCGTCAGCTCCTCGATGTCCTTCTGGTGCTGCTTCTCCATGAACGCAATCCGCGAATCCTGCTTCTCCAGCTCCGCCATCAAGCCCCTCGTCTGGCTCCTCTCGAGGCCCAGTATGCTGTCGATGAAGTTATAGATCGGGACGGTCTGGCTGTTTGTCAGGTTGCCTGCTTCGGCCTGTTTGGCGATGTATATTATCGACGCCGCCATGTCGTTTGCCACGGCGAGGATGCGCGCCGTCTTTTCCGCGGAGGACATGTTCTCTAGGCCTGTGAGGCTCAAGGCACCGCCGCTGGTGCCGTAGGAGCGAGGGGGTTTGTATTTCTCGAACATCGTGGATAGCAGGGTCTGTATATGCTTAGTATGCAGCTTGCATGAGATAAAGACGCAACTCGGTCACTGTACGGAGTAGCTGTAGATTATGCCAGCTTCACTATCTCTGTAGATACATGTAGATACACGTAGATGGCAGAAGCAGCTGTTTATATCTTGCAGATGGCAAAGCTCGACCTTTGTCTGATGAATCTCTTGTACATGAGACAAGACGCCAGCCGCCCGGTGTTTTCATAGAATATGCAGCCTACTATGTCTTCTACAGCAAATAACTTCTCCTTCTCTACTTCTCCCTGTTCGTTTCTACTTCTTTCATGCTTCTTTTCTTCTTCTTCTTTACTTCTTCTTTTCTTCTTTTTTGCTTCTTTTCTGCTTCTTATCAGATCAAAGATGGCTGACATAATCCATCAGATAAGCTTGTTTGTCTTGTTTGCTTCTTTTTTTACCCAAAAGGGAAAAAAGCAAGATGCGGCTCAAGAGAAAAAAGAAAGAAAGAAAGCGAAGAAGAATGAATGAAGAGACGGAGGATACGTCGTCCTGTCTACTGTGAACATATTTGGATAAAGAACCTCTTTGAAGGACGATACGATAAAGACACAACCATGGGCCGCATAGAAGAGCTTCCAGATGATTTTGATGAATCCCTAGACCTCAACAAGGAGCCCATATTCACCCCGCCAGCAGCGAAAGAACCGTCCTTCCTACCGTCTGGCGAAACTCCCTTTGGGATAAAGCAAGATGCCCTGCCTAGGGAGAAGTCCACTACTCCGGCTATGCCGCCGGCCATGGAGTCGGTCAAGTCTCACACCGCAGACGAGATCATAGCGCTTATGAACCAGACCCCGCTATTCATGACGGATGTTGATAAAGCACTGCAAGCTGGTCTGTACCCTCTCGGCGAACACACTTGAAGAGCGCCAGATGTTTATTGATGACCTCTCTCGGTATCGACAGAAGGCGAAAACGTACAGCTAGACGCAATCCGCGCCCTCCAGAACGAAGGCACACGAGCAGACAATGCACAGCGGTTCCGCGAAAATGGTAACGAATTTGCAAAGACGAAGCAGTGGAAGGACGCAAAGGAGTGCTATACCAAGGGAATATCGACCTTGACCATGGACAATAACTGGGAGGAACCCGAGGATCCCAAGGTTGAGGCACAACGGTTACGGGAGGTCGAAGAAGCGTGCTATATCAACAGAGCTCTGTGCAACCTGGAACTAAGTATGACACTGCTTTTAACTATTAAAGTGAGCAGATTGAGGCTGATATTGGGGTAGAAAATTACAGATCTACCACCCTCGACTGTGCAGCGACGTTAAAGCTCAACCCAAAGAATGTCAAGGCATTCTACCGCTCGGCTGCTGCCCTACTCGCGCTTGATAAGGTTGTCGAGGCGGACGATGCGTGCATGAGAGGTCTTCATCTTGACAAGTCGAACCAGCCTCTACAAACGCTGTCAAAGAAGATAGCGACGCGGAGGGCGGAGCTCGATAAGATCGCTGCCCGTAAGCGAGCGGAGGAAGAACATGCACAGAAAGTACGGCTCACTCTCAGCACCGCTCTGAGGGCTCGTGAGATTACCGTGCGAGAAACGGCGCAACCACCCGATATGGAAGACGCGGTTATGAAACTCTCTCCTGACCCGCTGTCGGCTGAAAGCACGATCGTATTTCCCTGCGTTTTACTTTACCCGATGCACGCACAGTCCGATTTTATCAAGGAGTTTGCTGAAACAGACACCATCGCCCATCACCTCAAGTATATCCTCCCATTACCCTGGGACACAAAGGGAGAATATACTATTGGGTCTGTCGATTGCTACATAGAGACAGCTAATGGTGGGATGATCAAACCTGGGAAGAAGGTTTCGTTGCTCGCGATCCTGAGCGGCGGGAAAGTCGAGATTGTTGACGGTCTGGTGAGGATCAACGTCGTACCAACAAAGATGGCAGGCAAGTGGATTGCGGAAATGAAGGCAAGGAAAAATGCATGAGCTATGAGCATCCCTGTTGTCGGAAGCTCGCTCCATCCAGCCCCTTGTGCAATGTAACGTTTTGTCATTAAGTTTGGGAATTCGAGCATCCCTACGCTGCCCAGGACGACAATAATTTGCTCTATTGCGCAAGTGACAAGCCTGCCTGAGCTATCAAATACCTCCTCGCCGGCCACAAACTCCATATCAGGTATATTCTGAAAAGAGGCCAAAGCCCAATCAACAGGTCGTGATATTCATAACAGCTAAGGGCGGACCTATCTAAAAAGTGATAGCGCAGGCTAGTTTCATAGGAAAGCCTTTACCGTCCCCCTTTATGTACCTATGTATGTTTATACAAAACAATAGACTGAAGAAAGCAGGCCAAACAATACCCAGATTACCCGTACAAAAAAAAATATGCACACATTTGCGCCTCCCTCCCATGATATCCTAGATATGAAAGATGGATATCAAAATGTATAGTAAGAACAGCCGTGTAGAAGGAATTTTATAGCAGGCTTTATGTCTGATATGCTAAGTCGGTGAGCAAGAAATCCCATGGCCCGTCGAAACTCATTTCTAGGGGGATAGAGTCGTTATAGAAACAGTTGAGCAGCTCGAGTTCATCGCCTTGACTATTGGGGTTGATGCTGGTAGTAGGTAGAGCTTGATTGATATTGGCGTTCGCGAGGGGTTGGGTGATGCCGATATTAGGAAGACCGTGGTTAGTAGGGGCAACGGAATGAGGGATATAGGCTTTTGGTTGCACTCGTGGCGGGTCGAAGTCTGAGAATGATGGGTTTGGGGCAATATAGGGAGGCGCCTGCGGCATTTCGCTCACGTCTGTCGCCGAGCTATTGACATGATTATAGGTATAAGAGGCCGGGGTGTTCGTGCTGTATGTGGGCACGCCGGGGGTCGTCACGCTGGTCCTAGGGTTCATGGGACTGGCATGTCCATCTTCATTAAGAACGTAGCCGATTTCACACCGCTTCAGATACTTTCGCGTGGTCTGTTCGCCACCAAACACAACCGATATCTCGGGTACAAGGGACTCGGGCTCAACTGGTTCCCTTTGCTGGCGGCGATCGTACATATCCAGCATCTTAATCAGTGTATTCCTCCCGCCTACGGCAATTGAGATATCGGCCGTGCATAGACTCAGGTCTGATATCACCATCTCAATCAGCGGGCGGATGTTGTCCGCCGGAAAGGAGCGCTCGACGAGTAAGAACCCCGCCAGTGCCACCGCAGCGGAGAAGATCTGGTACGCCTGCACAAATAGTTTATGTGATTTGCGAAACTCTTCGACGTCCGGGTTACGCATGCTTTGGTAGACAGCTAGAACTTCGTTCGCAGCTTTGGCGCAGACTGCCCATGAATCGCCGGTGCGCGCGTGGATAAAGGGTCGGTTCATGCGGATGCGCTGCATGCAAATGCAGCTGTGGAGCAGGTGAAATTGCCATAGGATGAAATTCTGGTGTTCAGGAAGATTCGCGCATTCACCGCGTTCGTCGAGCTGGAAGTACCAAGGGAAATTGCGACACAAATTCGCAAGCTCCAGGTCAACAGACCGCACGTATTCGTAAGAAGAGAGGTACTCAAAGCCGCTGTCAAAGAGTTTTCGCATGATTAAAAAGACTTCGGAGCGGAGGATGTTGGCGCTCGTCTCTGTGGGCTCCTCAATTGGTCTTCCCTCGGTGAACGAATCGGTGATGTCGACGTCATTGCAGTTGGCGGGGAGTGGAATTTTGGGGGCAGGACAGTGTATGAGCGGCGTTCGGCTCATGCATATCGATTGGAAACTGTGTCCGTTAGCTCGAGGTCAAAATAGAACACTTTAAAGGGGGAGGTTCGCGTACGTGTCGCAACAGAACAGCTCCCACCAGATACGTCGCCTCTTTTCCGTTTCTAGAGGGCTAAGGCCTGGAACATCCCTATCCAGATTCAATGCCTGCCCATTCCGGATTGCCTGGCCCAGTGCTCTGTATAGTATTAGTATATATAAGAGATAAACATGAGAACAATCAAAACCCACGAGTTAAGTGCTTCAATATTCTTTGTAGATAGCCAATATAGCTGTGTCACGAGAAATGTTTCTAACTGCGTCAAACAAGGCCGTGACTCGTAGTGGCCGGCACTCAGCGCCTGTCTGGACGCCCAATGCCATAGGTGGGCCTTTTTGCGAATCGTGTCTGGGTTGAGCCCGACAGCCTCCACGTCAGGAAACGGGATAAATACAGCGCCCGCAGAGAGTATACTGTATAGGAAGGAGAGCCAAATTATATCGACATCTTTAACGTCGGTATTCCAAAAGGCAGCGTAGTCCTCTCGAAACGACGGGGCGTGCACTGAGTGGTATACAAAATTCAGCTCGTCGATGAAGTATGTAACGATCAGGTCGCATTGATGAGACAAGGGGAGCATAGAGACGAGCTGCGCGCGCCAAAAGGTGGCGATATCATCGTCATCCAAGGGTTGTTGCGCCTGATCAGAGAGTAAGAGCGGAATGAATGGTGGGAGGGTGGAGACTCCAAGGACGTTCGGGGGAAGGTTGGCCAGGCTCTGGGCCAGTGGAGTTTCGAGGAGTGCATTTCGAGCGCTTTTTGAGAGTACAGTTTCTGCCTGGTCTGGTTCGGTGGAATGAAGGTTATAAGGAGCTGGCGGCTTGCTCTGCAACGGCGCGGTTGACGCCAATTGAGTCGGAAGCGTATGGTAAGGCAGAGCTGCTGGCACTGGCGCTGGCGCAGGAGCATGGTCTGGCGGATGGTGGAGGGAAACCGCTCCTCCTCCTCTCATGACAGAGGACGGGGGCGGGTTGAGACGACATTGGTCTTCCCTCCGATAGCGCACGCACGAATGGCAGGGCACATGGCGGTTGCATTTCAGCTTGTGCCTACGACAGGGCAGGCAGCTAAGCGCTCGACGCTTTGCGGGTGTCTTCTTCAACTTCTTGATGCCAGCATGGACAGAGTCGAGGGCGTCGTCCGATGGCTCAGCGTCGGTTGCAGGGAACGCTGGGAGCAAGCTACTCATGCGTCGAGGTGTCAGTATGGAAGGATAATACGGCGAGGCTTGGGAGAAACTGACTGCTGCGATGGCTTTCCCATCATCTACGGCGTGGTTCCATGCGCGAGATAGTCTGAACAACGCTGTCCATGACCAACAGAGAGCCGCGAGCAGGCCTTGAGCCTTTCCTGGGAGGGATCTTTTTGATGCTTGGGATAAATGGTTTGAACTGACCCTGCTGACTGATCACGACAATGATCCCAGTCGGCGGCCTCGTATTCGTCTCTGCTGCGGTGATGCAGCTCAAGGTTGCTTCTTGGGTCGATGGCCACTTAGCCCCGAACTCCCTTCTCCGCCGCTTCTCCAGCCGGAAAGCAAGGCCTATTTTGCCCAAACTAGTGTTCTCTCCCTCCCGTCTTGCCACTACAGGCGCGCCTCGGAGGAGGCAAAAGATATCACGTGAGGGTGTTGTGGCTGTCGTGGGCAGCGATGCGGCCGGCAGCGAGAAACAGACCTGGCGTCTTCTCAGCTAGTGGCCTGTCGACAGTCCATGGTCTCTGCTTATCCCGACGTCGTTGTCTGGATGTCTGGATGGTTTTTTTTTCCGTCGTCGTCGAGATGGGTTGAAGTAAGAACTGCCTCTTTGGGACGGCTTAGTCAGGGCTTAGTTATTATATTAGTCATAGCTTAGTCATGGTTTCGTCCTTTGCTCCGCGTTTGCATTTTAGCTATGGAGAAGTTTCATGGAGGCAGTTTGATATTCAAAGACTTGACTGGACTCTTCATGCTTCATCCATGGCATCTGCGATCATGGGAGACAGACAAACGGAGAGAGGGAGAGAGCATAGGTGAGGCTCGACTCCTGTTACAGCCCCTGCCCAGGCGTTGCTGCGTGTATCTCACCCGGCGTTGACTATTGATTCTTGACTTTTACGCCTCCTCGACCATCTTCAAACGGGGATCATCTCTAGAGCTATGGCATGCAGGCGACGGTACATCGAGTAGTGGGCGGCTCGCCGTGATATTATACTCTGCATTGATATTACACACTGCATACTCCGTATACCAGGGTCGTCACACCGGACGGCATGGGCAGGGATACACCCTCAGAACTACGGAGTATGTGAACTGGTGGTAACAGGAGTGTTATCAGGATGATTCCATGAATCCCCGTCGCGCTCTTTGCAGCTTGATTCTCTCTTCCCCGCAATTGCGTCGCTCACGACTGGGGATAGCTCGCTGTTGGCCGATCAGATAAGAAATATGGTGGCGGGGCAGGGGGATAGGCCAACTCTCGCAGGCCTCTGGACGCCGAAGAAGCCACGCATCAAACCAATCACTCGGTTTCACTAGCTGGTCACAACCAGGCTGCCCATGCTAGTCGGCGAGTCCACCTAAGATATGTATCTGATAAGATGGCCAAGACCAGCAGGGCATTGAGCTTATCCAGAACCCTTGCCCAAGGCATACAACTTGTCAACTCACGACGCCGTTTATACCAGCAGGAATCCAGGGCTATTCAAAAGGCCGAATTTTTAAGCCCTGATATGGGAGACACGCATGCACAGGCGCAGTTTTACCGTTATTACGGAATACTGTCTTGAGTATCCACCGAATAACCTATCTCCTGCCGCATGTCTGGATGCCAAATGATGTATTTGATACCCTAGCTCATGAATCCCGGCCTTCAAGCAATAAAGCTGTATCAGCGCGGACCGAGGCAATGAATCTGACGTCATTCATGCTCTTCTATTCTTCTACCTTCCTTCTATATTTTCTTCTTTCTCTCGGCATCACCTTCTTATTTGATATACGTCATTTCCTAAAAGGAAACAATGACCAACTAAAGGAAGGAAAACAATGACCAATATATTCGGCAGAAGAAGCTCTGGTTGACCTAGTCAACATTCTATACTCTATGCAATACCGTTTCAATTGCTATACTTATATCCATCTCAGGCCGGCCCTTGGTCCCATAATCGTTGGCTCCAGTATCGTTAACGCTGAATATTTAAGTGTTATCTTTGATACTTGGGACATACGGCTTTCCCCAGAGATATATGGACACCTCGCTTCATCAAGAGCCATTTCACTAGTCTCTAGGCCGGTTATTTTGTGGTTTTGTGGTGGAAAAGGCGAAGGGAACAGCCGATGCAGTAAAGAGACACCTACAGATCAAATTACCCTTTTACCTCTAGTAAGTCTGGTTGAACTACGCTTACTTGTTAGAAGCTTTAACCTTTCTTTTTATAGGACAGCCGCTGCAAGATATACTTTGTGGATAAAAATACAGTCTGAAACCTAAGCTACTCCGTCCCTCAATTTGGATATATAACTGATGTGCATAAATTATTGAACGCATAAAGTTCCCTTCCGGAGGTTACTGCGAAGATAAAAGAAAGTCACAACGAAGACTTAGCCGCTAAGCACGACCATCAAATTATACAAGTTTCAACGCAACATTTTTTTTTTCTCATTACAGAGTAATTTCCTCCTTTCGCCGCCTGATGGCAACCCGCGCGCTGGTCGACATGAATGCCCCACCAGGCATCGTGAATGGGGTGGTGTCAGTACCTTCTGGGACCTTGATATCATACTTGAGAAGAATATGGGTGAGTAAGATCTTGAGCTCGTCCGCGGCAAAGAATCGGCCGGGGCAGGCGTGTATGCCGTGGCCGAAGCCCAGATGATCTGGACTGGTGGCAACGAGGTTGGCCATCCTGTCCTTTTCATGGTCTCCCTTCATCTTGAGGAAGCGGTATCCGTCGAATTTGTTGGGTTCAGGATACACGGACTCTTCCCAGTGACCGTGGGTAGATACAGAAAGGCTCGCTCCACGAGGAACAACAAGCCCGTCTGAGAGCGTTATGTCTTGGGTTGCATATCTCTTCATGGCGACTACAAACAAGTCAGTGTTGGGCGCAAAACGGGTTTAGCAAGTGGGAAAGGGGAAAGGGTTCGAGGTGTCTCACGTAGGCCTGCAGGTTTGAGTCTCTGACTCTCCTTGATGACACTATCCAGGAGCTTCATCTGGTATAGAGAAGTTGTATCCCAGCCACGGTTTCCTAGCACGCTGATGGCCTCTTCTCTGAGCGGCTGGACGAGCTCAGGGTTGGCGCAGATGTCGTAGATGGCCTGGGTGCACAGATCTGTCGTGGTGTGGATTGACACGAAGGAGAGACTTAGTTGGGCGATTGCTGCGTCGAAGTCTCGACCGCCAGCCTTTGCGTCCAGCCACGAAATTGCATCGTCGTACTCCTTGACCGGCTTGCCCTGGCGAAGTCGTTCGTTGTTTTCCGCATGTCGTTGATCAATGACCGGTTGGATGAGTCGGCGTGCATCGGCTACCTGGTTACGTATCAGTTGACACGTCGGGAGAAACCACTGGACGATGGGACGCAGCGATGCCGGCCAGGTCTGGAGCTCGTTGATGGCAACAAATAGATTCACCGTGTAATCGGCGGTGATCCTTAACCATTCCTCGTTACGGCAGAGCTCCTCTCCGAGGAAAACCCTTGAAGACACGCGAGCCACAATCTTGACAATGGTCTCCTTGATGGAAAGCTCATGCCACTCTATACCAGGGTCAGCATCTATCAACGAAGGACAAAGTCCGAGGGATGGCTTCTACCTTCGTTATCAGTGAACTTTTCACGAATAACTGCCGTTGCCTCTTCGGATAGGGCCAGCTTGAGATGTACTATATTGTCCATCCTTAGTAAGAGCATCAATCCTGGGCCTTGCGGTACATCTTACTGGGCAATCGTGACAGTTTGCTTTTGATTGTCTCTTTCAGAACCTCGTTTTTGCCTGCCTCCTCGATATGGTGAAAGGTTGACAGGTGGGTGAGGAGTGTCTAAGAGGGTTAGCCAGTGTTTATCTACACATCTGGGATAATGCTTACTGAGAAAATTGCCTTTGCGAAATCCAGGTGAGGGTCGCTCTTGATGTCGTTGACATAGCCCGCAGAGAGGATGATATCCTTTCCAAGGGCGGTGTTCATGTGGAATGCATTTTTATACTATACCGAATCAGCACTGTTCATAACCACATCCAAAGAGACACCCACCTTGCTGAAGCCCTCTGCAAGCAGCAGCTTGGTATTGGATATGGACTTGTTGCTGTGCAGCGGGAACTTGGAGTACTTTTGACGCTGGCTTATGGTTCGAGCGAGATATGAGACGACGAGGAGGACGACGAAGGATATGGCCAGGTCGACCCGATAGGCACTCCCGGTCCGAATTAGAACGTCCAACATCTCGACTGACCTGAACAAGACTATCTGGAGAAAAGCGAGAGGCGATAGGCCAAGTTGAAGCTGAAGCTGCCAACTCAATGGGAGGGCGTAATGGCTTTATATAAAAATGCCGCTTGTACGAGCTGGGTTAACGCTCGATCTGCATATACCAAGCCGGACCTAGTTTACGCAAGACAAAGGGATAAAAGAGAGTTGAGCTGTTTTGACGACCCGGATAGCACATCCCCCGCGCATGCCACGGAAGCAAGTCAGTAACAAGCATCTCTGCCGTCTTTGTGAACTGTCCATTGCTATGCCGAACAGCTCATTCGTCCGGTGGGCAGAGGCAGCACAGCGAGCAGCCAGGGGGCCTCCCATAACTCGCTGCGGTCATGTGGCCGGCGCCCGGATGGAGATGTTGCCTGCTTCCGAAAGTCCACATCCACCCTCCACGCAACTTTGCTGCAAGCGAGCTCCATCTTCCTGCTCGCGGTTCATGGCTGGGAGATCGGATGCTTAGCAGTACGAGTTATAGGGTCAAGGGTCGTCGCTTGTTCAGACTAGCCCGGACGGCGGGACTTAGGCTTCCCGTCGCTCGCATGGAGAGATCGCATAGGGCATCGCCGCCACCACTGACTGACTCGGAATAAACATCTTCAGCCATCTTCGTATATGATCGTGAAGACATGGATCGTGGATATAGGCCAGGTCTTGAACAAGTTACGACGTCCGAGCCGGCTTGGTCGAGTCCGTACAGCCGTTCTCGCAGGCATCCGTGACACTCTTCACCTGGATATCGACGAGACCTGGACTTGGTGTTGGATGCCTTTGTCGCTTGTGTTTGACTTCGCGCATCTGAATCGCCAGTACATAACCAACTCCCTTTGAACTGACTTTCCTGGCCGTGTGGCTTGTAGCGCATGTAAGAGAGTCTGCGATGGACCATCAGGAACTCTCGGTCAACGGTACAAGTCAGGGTATCGATTCCAGTACCGCGACCTTTCACCAACAGCCCAGCACCTCTTGGACGGTGCATCGACATGCGCCAGGATGGCCTGTGGAACATGCGTGCAGCTTCGTTCAGAGTCGAAGCCTCTGCCGGTTACACTTGCGACAGGAGTTCCATCAGGTAAGAAGCTACCAGTGACAGATATATCAACAAGCTGTAGTCCATTTTAGCTACGATCAGGCTGCAGGAGCGTGAAGGGCCGATATATATACGCCGGGTCAGACGTATTTACCTAGTATGGACAGAGACAGCCTCCTTCGACCCCTGCCGGCTGTGATCCAATTGCTGCAACCGCTACAAATGTTGGACTTCCGCCCTAGGAGGTCGCATCGTAGACTCGCGCAGCTTTCAGACGTACCCACGCAGCTTTAAGATAGTATATCTGTTATGCAGAGTCGGTCCTTTGTCGCCTGTCTCTCTTGACTCTCAACATTCCATCTACGCTCGTTCAAAGGTCAATTTCGGTACTTCTTGTATACTATGGACCTAACATTCGCTGCAGGATGAATCTCAAGCCGAAGGATCAGTCCGAAGGAGCCGACGTACAACAGTCTCGGAGCTGCTTGCAAGCTGTATGTTGTGCAGGAGGACGTTCTGCTGGCCTGGCCTGAAGCACTGTAAACACATCGTACCAGCGAGAACATCGACGGTGCTACTAGACTACCCATAATGGTGTCACCGAGATGTATTAGTTAACTATGTATTATGTAGATGCCTAATATGTCCATGTTGATATCCTAGGACGTCTACTCCGTACTTTGTCACATCTCTATCCCCCCTTCATCGTATCTATATCATCCCTCTCTTATCATATCTATCCTCTGCTATCTCTATCATATCGTCCTATCTTCTATCTATATCTATCTATATATCTATATATCTATCATCTTTATCCTCCTTTCTATATATTGTCTCTGATCACGTGTCTATATAAAGCATGTCAGGTGACCTGAAGTTCCGACTCCCTGAAGAAACGAACGAAAGCGACGAAAGAAACGAAGAGACGAACGAAGAACGAACGAACGCAGCGGCAAACGAGCGCAGAGGACGCCAGCAGACGAACACGCGAACGAGCAAACGTTCACCCTCCAGCCAGCACCTCGGATCGATCGCCTGTCGCTAGGTCGGAGCGATGATTGGGAGCTGCTGATACGCTCGCTGCCCGGCCCATCCACTCGTCCTCCAGCGGGCCACAGGGGGAACCTCGAAGCAAGCCGCCCTGCGTTTCGTCTCTGCAGCATTGCACCCTGAGTCTAAGTATTTAACTTAGTTTTGATCGTCGTCGGCGGACGGAGCCTGATCTTGACCTCGAGTCACCATGAATCCACCACCCATGGCATACCACCATCCTCTCCAGCAGCAGCAGCAGCAGCAGCAGCTTCAACAGCATCAACAGCATCAGCAGCAGCAACAACAGCACCAGGTCCAGCAGCACCAGCTTCAGGCCCAGCACCAGGCCCAGCATCTCCCGCAGCAGCAGCTTCCCGTATCCTCGTCCGTCGTCACCCCCCACGCCGGTGCTGCGTACTTCCAGAATGCCTCCCAGCCCGGCCACCACATGCCGTATTATCAGAACCCCCCAAACGCCTATCCCCAGGCCTCGTCGTTCCAGCAGCAGCAGCAACACCAGCAGCAACAGCTTCAGCACCAGCATCAGCCTCAGGTCGGAGGCGTTCCACAGCATGCCGCTCCCGGCAGCGTAGCTCCCATGATGGCCTCCCCTGCACCCATCTCTCACGGTATGTAGGCCATCGGCTCAGTCGGTTTTCCTTCTTTCTTTTTCTTCTTCTTCTGCTTCTTCTGTTTCTTCTTCCTTTTTGTTTTTTTAATATTGCTATTCTGCCTTGAGCTGCCCACTATTGGTGGCCCTGGCCCACTCCAACCCTGCTGTCCCAGTCGATCCTCTCCGTGGTTGTTTATCTTGTCCGACCAGTGGATGGAGTGGATGTGGTGGGTGTGGTGGGCAAGGAACACTTACAATCACACCCTCCTTGAATTTCTGTTTACTTTATTCACCGGTGTTCCCTGTCGTCTTCTGTTATTATTCTGTTTATTATATTTCTTTCATTCTTGTTATTACTGCTCTCGGCATAGACTAACCTTTACCCTTCTGCAGCTCCTTTCACCACCCAGCCATTCACAAACTCGGCTCTCCCCACCACCCTGCCGCAAGCAGCACATCCACAGCCTGTCATGGACGATATGTCGAACCGCTCGCCGTCGACTGACCCCCAAGTTCACAACATGGCAGCCATGCCTTCGTCAAAGGCCATGTACTCGACACCAAATCGCCCCACCACTCAGGCACAGGCGCAGGCCCAGGTATCGCCCGTCTATCAAACACCAAACACGCTCTCCCCGCAAGCTGCCGCCCGAGAACGCGCTCGTGTCACGATCCTCCTGGAAATAAACTCGGCATTATTGCAAGAGGTGGTAAATCTGCAGGCAAGCGGCAAGGCCGGGCCAGCTTCGAACCAGACCAGTGCCACCGGCTCGCCGTCGTCGCCTCAGGATCCCCAAAAATCCAGCAACGGGTCAGATAGCGCCAAGGCGGCTGCACCAGCTGGCAAGCCCGGGCAGGAATATGTAGACTGCATGCGTCGGCTCCAGGCCAACCTCGCGTACCTCGCAACTGTAGCAGACCGTGCAAAGAAGACCAGTGCCACGGCTCCACAGATTCCCGCGATCATGACACCACCGCCGCATCTCCCGTCGGTTAACCAGCTATACTCCTCACTCAACGAACTATTTACCAGCATCCCTTCCACGCCACAGGCCGGCATTGGAAGTCCTCTGACTCCCCAGCAGCAGCAGCAACAGCAACAGCAGCAGCTATATCGACAGCGTCAAAGCCAAATGCAGTTACTGCAGCAGCCTGATTTTTCGTACCCTGGGTCGGCTGCTGGATGAAGACTGCAGGGACCTGATGTACAAAAAGAAAACCCGTTTACCGCATGTTTCAAAGTGGTTTGTGTTGCCCGGGAGCCGATCACAAGGGACATATCAGCTGTCCCCATCATCTCTCTCGCACATGATATATAGCATTGTCAGCAAGAAAAATAATCTGGGGAAAGCTCTGTAGATCGATGCAGAGGCCCCCCTGTTACCGCCGGCCTTTTTCTTGAAGGCCTTTACATAGGGTCAGTAAGACACGACGGCGGGACATCCAGACCATGCTGAACTCCGAATCGCCTAACGCACGACGTCCCCCTCAAAATATATTCAACAATCATGTATACTTGTACCACCAGACTTGATAAGTCATCATCGACCAAGGATCGCTGGCTGCAGCATCACGTCGATCTCCCGCTGGCCCTTGTCGCCACTAGGACTGGATGTCTGTGAATAGATAGCGCATGGAGGCGACGCATGCCCCCGTCTTGGATACCCTTTACGTCCGCCTAGATGTTTTACTATCAATAAAATACTTTCTTGTCTCCGTCCTCGATTTTACCGTCAAAAGTAGAAGTCACGTGCTTATATATATCCCTGTAATAATTGTAATACTTGTATCACCGCGTATCATAAATTACCACGCCTAAAATGGAATTTATCAAGACGAACAAAACGAACGAGACGAAGACGAAGAACAAGGCGAAGACGACGGCGACGAAGGCGAAGGAGAACACGGCGAAGAGAGAAGAAGGACACGTCTCCCGTACTGTCGCCGGCCAGTCTTGTGGCCAACTATCTCAGCCGCAGCCTGCTCGTCTTTAGCTCCATCTGGTGTTCACGAGAGCAACTCCGGAGAGACCTTGCATAAATATCTATAGCTGCGTCAAGGTTGGCTCCCTCCACGACCGAACACTCTTTGCAACCTTGTTCCTTGTCTCAAACCTCCCTGTGACCGTTTCTATTTACTGATCTGTTTAAAAGAATAGACGTTTGCGTGTACAAACTCAGATCCGACCCTCGTTGCTGCGCACCAAACTCACCGCGAGAAAAAGTTATACCAGCGAGCCTGACAGAAAAGCTTCACGTCTATCATTTAGAGGGGCTATTCTCTTGAATATACGTCTTCATCTCCTGAATATACGTCTTCAGATACCGTCTATCTCTACGTTCACTCCGGCGCCGGTGACCTATCTCCTACGTACTGCCGCTGTTTAAGTACAGGACCAAGGCAACTTCACTACGTCCTACACATACTCCCCCATCGTCTTCACCATGGAGATGAACGGCGCCGCCAAACGCAAGCACTCAGGCAGTGCCATGTCCCTACCCTCCGCCAAACACTTTCGACCAGACCCAGCAACACCTGCCATCACTCCCTCCGGCGACCAGACCCCCGCAGACGTAGCGATGTATACGTTCGACGACGGTGACTCTGAAGCTGCTGTCAGGTCCCTGCTACCGGCCGTCAGCCAGGTACAAACAGACTCAGCGGAGTGGCAGGAAACCATTGAGAAGGTCGTGCGTTGTGTCGTGTCTATTCATTTTTGCCAAACGGCTTCCTTCGATACCGATTTGTCCATGGCGAGTCAAGCTACTGGGTTCGTCGTGGATGCGAAGAATGGCTATATCTTGACGAATAGGCATGTTGTCTGTGCAGGTCCATTTTGGGGGTACTGTATCTTTGATAACCACGAAGAGGTACGTTTGTTTACGCAACGAAGAAACTCTGCCCGGATAACCTGCTAATGTCTTCCTGGATAGTGTGATGTTAAACCCATATATCGAGACCCCGTTCACGACTTCGGTATTCTCAAGTTCGATCCGGCTGCGATCAAGTACATGCCTTTGACAGAATTGCGGTTACAACCCGAGTCAGCCAAGGTAGGCGTGGAAATTCGAGTGGTGGGTAACGATGCAGGAGAAAAATTAAGTATCCTGTCCGGTGTTATCAGTCGACTGGATCGGAATGCCCCTGAATACGGAGAAGGATACAGTGATTTCAACACAAATTACATCCAAGCGGCCGCGGCCGCAAGTGGTGGTAGTTCTGGCAGTCCGGTTGTCAACATCGACGGCTACGCCATTGCGCTACAGGCTGGTGGACGTGCAGACGGTGCTGCTACGGACTATTTCCTTCCACTAGACCGCCCTCTCCGAGCGTTGCAGTGTATTCAAAATGGGCAACCTGTCACACGCGGCACGATTCAGACTCAGTGGATCATCAAGCCTTTTGATGAATGTCGAAGACTTGGTCTATCGCCGGAGTGGGAGGCAGCTGTGCGACTGGCCGCACCCAAAGAAACGGGCATGCTTGTCGCGGAGATCGTGCTTCCTGAGGGCCCTGGAGACGGGAAGCTCCAGGAAGGTGATGTCCTGATCAATGTGAACGGAAACCTCCTCACTCAGTTTGTCAAACTAGACGATATCCTTGACTCGAGTATCGGACAGGAAGTCCGTTTGCTGATACAAAGAGGCGGCGAAGACATCGAAGTCAACTGCAAGATACAGGATCTGCATGGGATTACTCCTGCACGATACGTCAGTGTTGCCGGCGCTATATTCCACGATTTGTCCTACCAGCAGGCGAGATTGTATTCTATCCCATGTCGGGGAGTCTACGTCTGTGAAGCCGCAGGCTCTTTCAAGTTAGAGAGCGCATTTTCCGGTTGGATCGTAGATTCCGTTGATAAGAGACCGACCAAGAATTTGGATGAATTCATTGAAGTTATGAAGACCATACCAGGTACGTCACACCCTGCCGCCAACCATTCTGTGTCATCCCTTACCTAACTCTATTCTAGATCGCGCTCGAGTCGTTTTGTCGTACAGGCACATCCGCGACCTACACACTAGGGGAACTAGTGTCGTGCATATAGATCGTCATTGGCACCCGCAGATGAGGCTCGCCGAGAGAAATGATACAACAGGCTTATGGGATTTCACAGACCTGGCCGACCCTCTCCCAGCGAAGCCACCTGTTCCCAGGAAGGCGGATTTTATCCATCTCGACGGCGTCAAGCATGCTGCCGCCAATGACATCGTCCGCAGTTTTGTCCGTGTGTCTTGCACCATGCCAGTTAGACTTGATGGGTTTCCACAAGCCCGGACTCACGGGTTCGGTCTGGTAATCGACGCAGAAAAGGGGCTTGTTATCATTTCTAGAGCCATCATTCCCTTTGACCTCTGCGACATCAACATCACAGTTGCCGACTCAATCATTGTTCAAGGGAAAGTCGTCTTCATGCATCCTCTCCAGAATTATACCGTGATTCAATATGACCCCAGTTTGGTGCAAGCGCCAGTCAAGTCAGCCAAGTTAAGCAAGGAATATATGCAACAGGGTGCTGGAACCCTATTCGTCGGCTTCAATCAGAATTTCCGCATTGCTGTTACGGCAACGACTGTCACAGACATCACTACTGTCGCGATTCCCCCAAATGCTTCTGCGCCTCGATACCGCGCCATAAACCTTGATGCTATTACGGTTGATACCGGACTCAGCACACAATGTACCAGCGGTGTTCTGTTGGGAGAAGACGGTGCTGTAGAGGCACTTTGGCTTAACTACCTAGGTGAGCGAACAGAGGGCTCTCATAAGGACGTTGAATACCACCTTGGTCTTGCAACTCCGTCACTTCTCCCGGTGGTCTCCCAGATCCAAAGTGGCGCGATCCCCAAGCTCCGCATTCTGGATATGGAAACATATGTTATTCAGATGAGCCAGGCACGAGTTATGGGCGTATCCGAAGAATGGATTAGCAAAGTGGCCATTGCCAACCCGGCACGCCATGAGTTGTTCATGGTTCGAAAGGTGGACTGCGCCTCTCCGTTGTCTACAGACTCGAGACCTCTAGAGGAAGGGGATGTCATACTTACGCTGAATAACAAGCTTGTCACCCGCGTCGCAGACTTTGATGCCATGTACGACCAAGAGTTGCTGGACGCTCTGATCGTGCGAAATGGCGAGGAGATGAAGATACAAATAAAAACAGTCCCCACCGAGGACCTCGAGACCGACCGAGCCCTGATCTTCTGTGGCGCTGTTTTGCAGAAACCTCACCATGCGGTGAGACAACAGATATCTAAATTACACTCTGATGTATATGTCAGCGCAAGGGTATGTTCTCTCATCCGCATAATATCATAATATTATGACCAGTACTTCTCGTTTACACAAGCTAACCTATCATTGATCTTCACAGAGCCGTGGATCGCCTGCCTACCAGTACGGCTTGTCTCCCACCAACTTTATCACTGCAGTCAATGGAGTAAAAACACCAGACCTCGACTCGTTCATTGAACAGGTTAACGCGATTCCTAATAACACATACTTCCGGTTGCGTGCTGTTACATTCGACAACGTCCCTTGGGTAGTGACCATGAAAAAGAATGACCACTATGTAAGTTTAACCTTAACCCTGAAATTAAAGAAGCAAAAGTAGCGCTAACTCTTACGTTTGCAGTTCCCCATGTCTGAATACCTTAAAGATCCCACTTCCCCTTCTGGGTGGAAGACAATCAGCCATACACCTGACAGAAAACGTCGAGATACATATGATACGAACAATCCCAATGCCGACGCCATGATGGAGGATAGAGATGGCGATGTAGATGATATGGAGCCTGAGGTGGATGAGTGAATCCTGTAACATTATTTTGATTCCTCCGCTGTTTTAAAACTTGTATCTTTCTCTCATTCTCTTTCATTTCTTCAAATTTGTGTTATTGGTGTCATACCCTAGGATATTTATCTTTTATGGCTTTCCATTGATATTTGGGTGCCGGATCGGGACTCGGTTGGCTAACGGTATACAACGCGCAAGCAATTGGATGTGGCTATAAAAATTGCATTGAATTTTAACTGCCTTCTAGATAGTAATCAATAAAGCCGATGCATGTATCATCACAATTCCTTATCTCACTACTTCATGGAAGCGTATACGTGAGAACACCTATTTTGCTTGAGAAATCATAAGAAGAAACCCGGTAGAAACCAATAAATATTTATAAAGCTATACAACTTCTCAAATTTCTAATTGTAGCTCTAAGAGGTTCACGGACAAAAACGGATGGGCATATTCGTAAGTGCCATGATATAAAACAACGAAACTCCATCAGCAGGCTAATATGTAACAGGCAATGTATGTATGCACTCGAAATCTTAAACTCCATACATTCAACAAAAAAGGGACAAAAACACGTATAGATGTAGGGCTGGAGTGTAGCTAAAAGTGCCTATTCCATGCTTTGGAAATGAGTTGGAAATAAAACAAGAAACAAAATTATAAGGCGTAAGTACCCAATGCCCAAAAGAAACCCTATCAACGCTGGACAAGATATAACATGGTTATCATCCCATCGTGTGTCGACATTATTACCCCGAAAGGAAAGTATTAAGTGTTCTTGTGTCGATGAGATTCATGAGAGGTGCCTGGAATAAGTGAGAAGGATTAATGTGGACTAAACACCCAACCTCCGTTGTTTTTGAGCTTCTCCCTTTCTGCCATGTCCCATTTAATTTCATCCTGTGTCAGCCCATCAGGGCCGTTCCAATTGGCGCTACTGGTGCGATCACGGAACTTGCGTAGTCTCTCCTTGTTGCCTTTGAATATCTCTTCCATATGCAACGGAGCGGATGGGCCGAAGACCATCTCTCCATCCTGACCTTCTTGCTGCACAAGAATGTTATGGAGGTTTTCTTCCTTGGCCCAATCGGGAACATGACATGGTTCTGCATCGGAATCTTCGTCTTCACTATCCGTAGGAATGTCGGGAAGTTTGATGTTTTCGCCATTCGGATAGGCGGGAGAAGACTTAGGTATGGCGTGCTTGCTGCTGTGACCGGCTGTTTTGAGGTAGTTGGGGTTCGGCTGAGATGAGCTGCTCGGTTCGGCAAAGGGAATCTTTCCATTGGCATATTTTGCCATCTCCAGGGGATGAGTTGGTCGACTACCTTGGGCAGCCTGCGGATGGGCTTGGAACTGTCGCTGTGCCCCCATTGAGTTTTTAAAGATCGGTGGGCAACCTTGCATTTGGTTCCCCTGGGGAGGTGCAGCGGCTGAGTACTTGGGAACGCTGGGGAAGTTGTTAAGTTTAGATGCGATAGACTGACGTATCGGGGGGGCCATAGCTGGTCGAACGGCAGGTTCAGCAGTGACAATTTCATCTTCTGTCTTCCTTCGCTTCCCGTCCGGCTGGTGAACGCTTCCTGATTTTGTGGCAGCGGGCCGGATTGTGTTATGTTCGTCGTGTACGCGCTTGGGTGGTTTGGCTGGGTTTGGTGGTGGGTAATTATGTGGCCGGCTAGGGGGTTGGACACTACCTAGCCTCGAGCCTGGTCTTGCTGGACCCTGAGACTCACTGAGTATGGAACGGTCATGTTGAATTATGGAGCTCTATTGTAGTGTCAGTAGGCGTAATAATTGAGGAGTAAGGGATGTGAATAACATACGGTGTCATTTGATGGAGTCTGCTGACGACTACGCTGCTGTTCCAATCTCTTTGCGTTCTCAAGCCGTCTCTTCTCAATTGCCTGTTTCTTTGCAACGGTCTTTGGATCATCTGTAACGGACTGTTCCCGTTCTTGACGCTCAATTCGGGTTCGCTCGAGCTGTTCCTGCCGACGGGTTTCATCCTGTTGTACAAGTCTCTTACGGTCAGCTTCACGCCGTTGCTCCAATTTCCGCTGGGCGTCTCGCTGTTCCTATTATGACCATAAGTATGTAATCAAGCCAGTAGGTTATAACAAAATATTTACCTGTTCCTTCTTTCTTTCGGCCGCTAGCATGGCTCTTGATTTCGACGAGGCAGAAGAGACAGAGCTCTTTAGACTGCCCGTAGACGCTGTGGTAAGAAGCGAAGCATTGCTAGCCTTTTTGGTGACGGAGGTTTGTCTCGTTGTCGGTTCAGGGATGGAAGGAGGTATAGGGGTTGCAGATTCTGCCCGTATCCGCTGTGAGGAGAGAGTTCCAACACGGATATTGACCGGTTGAGGTTTTGGCTTTCGCACTTCTCTTATGGCCTTAGCAGGCCTGCGGCTTTCATTTTGCTTTGGCTGAGGCTGTGGGAGAGTTGGAACGGCAAACTTTTGCTCTTCCTCTTCGCTGTGTTCAGGTTCACGACGTACAGGTACCCTGGGTGCTGGCTCTACCTTTCGTGGTGACGACTTTGCAGGAGGGTATTCTGGCAACTCCACCTTATCTAGTACTTCAGCCTTGGGGACATTTTGAGTAGGCTTTGGCGGCACAACTCGCTGTCTCTCTTGCTCTCTAGCCCTTTCCAGTTGCTCCTCCATTCGCTGACGGTCCTTGATTTCTTGTTCTTTACGCCTATGTTCCTTCTCTATAGAACCGCGTGTTCGTGGTGCTCTGATTGGACTCTCCGGGCGCTGGGATTGCACCTGAGGCTGGCCGTGTTCAAATACGCCGGATGTGTTAGGGTGTTGGCTCGCTTGACTGCGCGTGGATGTAGGCGAGAGAGTTTCTAGTTTAGCAGTAGCGGAGACACTTGCGCTACTACCAAATAGACCCCTGGCACTTTTCATCAAAGATTGAAGCTTGGATTTAGATGCGCTGAGGGGACCATCGAAACGTTTTGGGGAACCAGCTGGGGTGGTTGACTCGCCGTTAGTATCCGCAACAGATGGAGGCTTCTGTATAGAGCTTGCTGTACCGGGCCGTGGAGAGATGGGGAATGATGGGACAGAGGATGATTTGCTGTGAAAGAAACCGGCTGGTCTGAATGGTTTAGGGCCCGGCGAACGCCTTTCAGGAGAAGCAGGCTGAGCCGACGGTGCTCTTAAGGCTGGACTAGGAGTGTCTTTGTAAATATGGGTTTCCGCGTAAGACCTATTAGCTGGGAAGGAAAACTGATCCGCAACTAGCTGTGTTCGTTGAGGGGAGAATTTAGCTGCCTCCACCATGGATGCCGGCTCAGTAACCGAGCTGTTTTGTATATTATCATTCGAGGGAGCTGCGGTTGGTGGAGGAAGCTCTGGGTATGCGACCTGTTGTGAACCTAGGGAGGGCAGGGGAGCGGTAGATTTGGTAGTTCGAGCCGCTTGCGACTTTCCTAACATATTTATCTTCTCATGCAAGAGTTGCGTAGATGATTTGTTAAGACGCTTTGGCGCCTTATTCTCTGCATCGGAATCGTTCTCATCCTCGGCCCATTCATCGTTGCGATCCTTGTCGTTCGTTTCGCTGGGTTTATTTTTTTCGCTGTCCAAGAGTATTTGGGTCAGCCTGGCTCCGCCTGTCTGTCGTCCGAAGTAGCCCGGTTGGCCGACTATGCTCATATTCATCTTCGGGGGGTCGATGTGGCTAGTTCTGGACATCCGCCCTCCCATACTTCGCTTCGTTGTAAGTGGCTCTCGTGCTGGGAGGGAAGCAAATGTAAGACTACTCTTTCGAATCGGGGCTCGGACCGGGGTTGGCCCATCAGATGGCGAGCCTATATCGTCGAGGTTATGGTCGTCCAAGTCCTCCTTGAGCTCCGATGGTGGTGGGGCTGGGAGTACTGGAGCGTGAGCCTGGTTTTCACCCTGCTTCACCACAAGAGCAGAAGTAGTAAACGGCTGCTGCTTCGGAAGGGCCGTATTCTTTGGGATATAACGGGAGTATTCGAATTCCATGGGCTCAACAGTGTTTTCCTTGCTTGGGGCAACTTCTCTCGCGGAGTGAAATGAGTCCTCTGTGATACGACGGGCTGCAGATGGACTTCTGTCGTTGCCATCTACTGGTAAGATGGTCGAATCGTCAATGACCTGGGTGGCAGTTTCGGTCTCCATATGGGTCTCTGGCTCGTCGGCGTCCGTGTGGGGCTGCTCGGGCATTCCATGATATCCAGAATCAGTGTTGTAGTTGGGGTTTGAGTTCTGGGTGTTTGAAGGAGGCGACCATGGCTTTTCATTGTTAGTGACAAGCTTCGCGATCTCCTGGTTAAATCGATTTGTCGGCGCTGGGCTATTTCTGGCGTTGTGTCCAGAAGAGAATATATCACTCAAGGGCTATAGTCAAGTTAGAAAGCGACTCTTCACATACGAGATAGCAGGGCTGTCCTATCTTGACTTACTACTCGAGCTTCCCGCGGCGTCTTGAGAATCTTTCGTGCAGTCCGGGGAGTCTTTCCGCGCATCTTCCCGGGAGTTTTGAAAAGCTCGGTAACGCTACTACGTGACGGTTAGAAGGAAGGTAAACTAAAGTGGCAAAGGCAACGAGAGCTGAATGTAGCATGGGCGGCCATACAACTGATCGCGAGTAAAGATCTCCGCCATATGTTCGTTGAGCCATTCCATCTCATGGCGGACAGGAAACTCGACCTCGTCCAGCTCCTGCTGCACTAACTGCATACAATTTTCCTTCTCTGCGGCGACCCATTCTTTCGAGCCTACAGGCTTTCGCGCCCTGGCTGCCGCGCTGGCCATGGCGACGTCGTGATGAGTGGTGAGCGATGACCGAGGAACGTAAACAGGCGTCGTCGGTGTGGGAGCGTGTCGGGGAGACGGAGCAGTCGACTTATAAGCGTGCGCAATGCTCCATGAAGGCAAAGTGCGCAGAGGAAGCTCTTGTGTAGGCGGTTGGTGCAGCTCGCGGTCGCCAAAGTGCGTATTTATCGATCGCAACTTGAGCGAAACGTCTGACTTGCCCGAAGCAGGTTGGATCAAAACAACGCGACTCGGCTTAGTCATCCACGTGACTTACAGGCTCAGCACCACCAACAATAACACACTGTAAAGACGCCTTACTGTGTTTCACTCTACAGATACTCAACAATAAGACCATCCTCCTCGAGTACAAGATATCGTCCTGTTGGTTTATGATGTCGTTTGCTTATAGAGTAACGGATTACATAAGGTATTACATAAGCGTGTTGATATAAAAGCTTGGCGTGTTGTGATTTTCCCTATTTGGGCTAAAGTGGTCTCGGCCCGGCGTTGATCCGCTAGAAAGCTTAAAAATAGCAAGCGCGCGGGAAAGAAAAAGACGAAATGGGAAATGTCAAAGTCAACAAAACATCAACAGACAGCAAAGTCTTCATTCTGTAGACGCCTACACTCCGTCACTCGTTTATCCATCGGACTGCCATGCAGAGCCAGGTTATCTGAGCTGCACGCCCTGGCTTGCTTGGTTCTCATCTGCGTCTTATATCTACCCCTGAGACCGTTATAAACACCGCGGAGAGCGGTTCGACACGATGTCAAGCGATTTTGATAGCGACGGTGCTAGCTCGGACTTTGCACCGGTGAGGCTTCAATTAACCCCCCATTCTCTCTACGTATCCAGCGTCCAGGTTCTAACGATATGGAGCAGAAACCAAAGGCAAAAGCTGCCCCGAAGAAAGCGGCGGCCGTCCCTAAAGCGAAGGCGGCGCCTAAGAAACTGACCCAGACGACCCTCAAGCCGAAAGCGACGTCGAAAGCTGCGGTGTCGAAGAAGGCTGCCCGTCCCGACCCTGAAGATGAGTTGGACTCTCTAATGGAGGATGCGGGGGTGGATAACCTAGACGCTCTCGAGAGTACCCCCCCAAACGCCTCCAAAAAGACCAAGACTGCGCCGAAGAAGGCTGTTACAAAGCCACTTTCCAGCGTAGAGAATGAGTCCTTTACGACTGAGACTGCGGGGGCAGGGGAGTCGTCCGATAAGTACCAAAAGGTAAGTGTCGCCAATAGCCCTATCTGCCAATTCTTTGACTTGCACTAACCAGCTCCTCAGCTCACCCAATTGGAACATATCATCAAACGTCCGGACACCTACATCGGCTCTATCGAACGAACCGAGAAACAAATGTGGGTTTACAATTCTACCACAGAGTTGATGGAGTACCGAGAAGTCTCCTACGTTCCCGGCGTATACAAGATCTTCGACGAAATTCTAGTCAATGCAGCGGACAATAAGCAAAACGATAAGAACATGAACGAGATCAGAGTCACCCTGGACAAGGAAGCAGGCGAGATCAGTGTTTGGAACAACGGCCGCGGTATACCCGTGGAGATCCATGCGGTATGTATTTTCCATCTTCTGCCCTACATTATATCTTTCCTATGCTAATGACTCTGCAGAAAGAGAAAATTTACATCCCCGAATTGATTTTCGGTCACCTATTAACCTCATCCAACTATAACGATAACCAAGCAAAGATCACCGGTGGACGCAACGGTTATGGAGCCAAGCTCTGTAACGTTTTCAGTACCGAGTTCACCATCGAAACAGTCGATTCGAGAACGAAAAAGAAGTTCAAGCTCACCTGGACCGATAACATGTCAAAGATGGGCAAGGCGAAGATTACAGACTGCAAGACCGACGATTATACCAAGGTCACTTTCAAGCCGGACTTTCAAAAATTCGGAATGGATGGTATGGATAACGACTTCGAGGCATTGGTTTATCGACGAGTCTATGATATGGCCGGTACTTGTGGGACCGCTGTGAAACTCAACGGCTCTAAAGTACCAGTCCGATCGTTCAAAAAATACATGGAGATGTACACCAAAGCGATCAAGGCTGAACGAGGAGAAGATCCCACCGCCGACAAGAATGATATAATCGTAGAAAGCCCTGACCCACGCTGGGAAATCGGATTTTCCGTCTCAGACGGTTCGTTCCAACAGGTCTCGTTCGTCAACTCCATCGCCACAACCTCAGGTGGAACGCACGTCAACTATATCAGTGACCAAATCTGCAACAAACTTGCCGATGCATTGAAGAAGAAGAACAAGACTGGAGCCACATTGAAGGCGGCCCAGATCAAAAACCACATTTTCCTCTTTGTGAATTGTCAAATTGTCAATCCCGCATTTACCTCTCAAACCAAGGAGCAGCTGACCACCAAGGCGAGTCAGTTTGGCAGCAAATGCGTTGTGTCCGATGAATTCATGAAGAAGGTCATGAAGACCCGGGTTATGGAAGATATCCTCCATTTTGCTGAAAGGAAGGCCGACCAGATTTTGAAGAAGACGGACGGCAATCGTCGCTCCCGCATGAATAATCCAAAACTCACAGACGCAAACAAGGCTGGGACCAAGGACGGCCACCACTGCACACTGATCCTAACCGAGGGTGACTCTGCAAAGGGTTTGGCAATGGCAGGGCGAGCTGTTGTCGGACCTGATCTCTTCGGGGTGTTCCCGCTTCGAGGAAAGCTACTCAACGTTCGAGATGCTTCTGTTGACCAGATCTCCAAGAATGTGGAGATTCAAAACATCAAAAATTTCATTGGTCTGCAACATAAAAAGGAGTACACTGAGACCAGAGGTCTCCGCTACGGCCATTTGATGATCATGACTGATCAGGATCATGACGGCAGTCATATCAAAGGCTTGCTCATCAATTATCTCCAAGTTGCGTTCCCAACCCTGCTGAAAATTCCCGGCTTCCTCATTGAATTCATCACTCCTATCGTCAAAGTCTGGAAAGGTGACCCTAAAAATCCAACTCATACCAAATCCTTCTTTACTCTGCCTGAATATGAAGAATGGAAAGAAGTCCATGGTCACGATAAGAAATGGGAAAAGAAGTACTACAAGGGTTTGGGTACCAGTTCGACTGAAGACGCTCAGATCTACTTTCAGGACCTGGATAAGCATCTCAAGCAGTTCCACACCCTTCAGGATAAGGAGGCTGAGCTGATTGAACTCGCTTTCTCAAAGAAGAAAGCTGACGAACGAAAGGAGTGGCTTCGTCAATTCAAACCTGGGACATATCTTGATCATTCAACAGAACAAATCACATATACTGATTTCATTAACAAAGAGTTAATTCTTTTCAGCATGGCTGATAACATACGATCTATTCCCTCGGTCGTCGATGGCTTGAAGCCTGGTCAACGAAAGGTCTTGTACACCATGTTTAAGCGAAATGTGAAAAAGGATGTCAAAGTCGTTGAACTTGCTGGTTACGTTTCCGGTATGACCGCCTACCAGCACGGTGATAATTCCCTCCATACAACGATCATCGGGCTTGCCCAAACTTTTGTCGGCTCAAACAACATCAACTGCTTGGAGCCTAGCGGTAACTTTGGAAGTCGTCTTCAGGGTGGCGCTGACAGTGCCAGCGCTCGTTACATTTACACACGTCTTTCGCCCTTCGCGAGGCGTTTGTTCCACCCATCTGACGAGCCGTTATTGGTAAACAACGTTGATGATGGTAAAGTCATTGAGCCAGAAACCTATGTCCCAGTTGTTCCACTTATTCTTATAAATGGTGCTGATGGTATTGGTACGGGCTGGAGTACAAATATCCCAAATTACAACCCAGAAGAGGTGGTTGCCAACTTGAAGCGTCTGATGGCTGGTGAAGAACTCGAACCAATGAAGCCATGGTTCCGTGGGTTTAAGGGGGAGGTCACCGGATCTGGCGACCGTTATAAGTTTAGCGGAACTATCAAACAGACGGGGGACAGTGAGGTGGAAATTACAGAACTGCCCATTCGAACTTGGACGCAGGATTTTAAGGACAAGCTCGAGGATATTATTAAAGCTGACAAGGTTCCTTCATTCATCAAGGATTATAGGGACTACAACACCCACACCAATGTGCACTTTGTCATCCAGATGGACGAGAAACATATGAAGAAGTCCATTGATGAAGGCTTGGAGGAAAAATTCAAGCTTACTAAAACCATCACGACAACAAACATGGTTGCCTTTGACGCCGAGGGTCGCATTACTCGTTATGAGACCCCCGAGGAGATTCTACGAGCTTTTTATGCTGTTCGTATCAAATTATATGAGCAACGGAAGGTATGTCTATTCTATTCAGTATGTGGGTAAACAAATATGGTCTAACACTCGTGTAGCAACATATGCTTTCGCAACTTCAACTCCAACTTGATAAGCTGACCAACCAGGCCCGCTTCGTCCAAATGATTATCGATGGCAAACTAGTGATCTCAAAGAAGAAGAAAGCCGTTCTTATTCAGGAGCTGAAAGAGAAGGGGTTCAAGCCTTTCCCGAAAATAGCAGAGGCCGTAAAGGCGGGTGAGATCGCCGAGCTTGTTGAAGAGGAGGAGGAGGAAGAGGAGGAAGGGGCCGATGCAACCCTGTCCCAAGATGCCTACGACTACCTGTTAAGTGTAAGTGCTATTTTTATTTGATACTCGATTACAATTCGAAACTAATACTTACCTCATTAGATGCCTCTGTGGTCTCTTACTCAAGAACGAGTGGAGAAACTGCGGCGCCAGATTGGAGAAAAAGAAACGGAAGTCGATTCGCTGATCAAATTGTCCAAGGAGGACCTGTGGAAAAAGGACCTTGACGATTTCATTACTGAATGGAGATTTCAGCTTGAAGACGAAGAAAGTCGTCGCAAGAAAATTGCTGGGCGAGGCAGACGGTTGTCAGCAAAGGTCAAAACCGGTATTCGGGGAACAATCAGTAAAAAGCGCAAAGCCGATGCGGGTGATGACAGTGACTTCGATGCCCCCAAGGGGAAGAAGGCAACTGTCAAGCGTGTGCAGCCCAAGGGAGGCCTCCTTGACTACCTTAGTAAACCGAAGCCAAAGCCCAAAGAAAAGGTCTCTGTCGATGGGGCGGATGATTCAGACGAATTTGATGTTGAGGTTATGCCAAAGCCAAAGCCCCGAGGTGCAGCTCAAGCTGTTAAACCCGCTCCTGTTGCCGATGTGCTAAGCGATGCGGACTTCATGGACATTGATTCAATGCCGGAAGAAAAGCCCAAACCAAAGATGGCGCCTCCTAAAGAAGAACCTGCAGTTGTCGAAGATGATTCGGATATTGAGATGATTCCCAAGCCCGCTACCCAGCGGAGAGCTCGAGCCAAACAAGAACCTAAGAAGTATCATGGTTTTAGCACGTCTGAGAGTGAGGGGAATGACGATTTTGATGTGAGCACCATGGTTAAGGGTATTGGTAAAACAAAAGCAGACCCGGCTTCCGAGGCCAGGACACTGTTCTCTGAGCCCTCTCGTCCGGCCGCAGTTGGAGGCGCAAAACCCGCGGCCAAATCGACCAAGGATGCCTTGGAGTTTGACCCAGACGAAACCGACTATTCGAAGCTTATCCCTCAGAATTCACCGAGGCGATCTCTACTCGTGAAGCCGAAGGAAACCAAAGTCTTCTCAGACTTGGAGGATGACATGGATGAAGATCCCAAGCCTGCCGCTAAACCGATAAGTAAAGCTAAAGCAGCCACTTCCAAGCCCGCTGCAAAGACTGCTACGGCCGCCGCGAGAGGGCGTCCAAAGAAGACGACCACTGCAGCACCTGCCGCGGTCAAAAAGACAGTGCAGTTTTCACCTGCAGCTAAAGCGTACGCTTCCAAAAAAGCCAAGACTAAGAAGCTTGCTGACGATTTGTCTGACGATGACATCGACGCTATGGCAAACGATATACTCGACTCTGAGCCGGAGGAAGACGTGAAACCCGCATCCAGTAGGGCGCGGCCTGCGCGTCGTGCTGCTACAACAGTCAAAAAGCCAGTATACGCCATTGAAGATGACGATAGTAGCGAAGCAGACGGGGATGGAGCAGTTTCGAGCGATGACTTTTCGGACTAAGCGGTCTGTATTTTACTGGGCATAGTTTGACCGGAGTATGGTATTCAACTCTTGTGAGGGAACAGGTTGCCGGATGGTGTTTGGGGGGAGGCCATGGTTTAGGTATTTTCTGCAACTTGCTATTGATTTATAGCTGTATGGATGCATTCGAGGGTTTATGTACTGTTATCATCCTCTATAATTTTCGTATGGATATATCGAAGCAAGTTTCCCCCGTATATCTAGACTCTGTATTCCCCAGCTGCAGTGTACCCCCCACACGCCCGTCGCTTCTTGTGAAAGGCCACGCGCGACCACGCATCAGATATTCATGTTTCCCGTTCACGTACGACTCTGGGAGGCCTTGGGCGGTCGTTGTGCCAGCAACCTGGGAGCAAGCGGTTAGTTATACACTCCTCATTTCATCGCTAAGGAACCCAACGGTTCTAGAATGGCGACTATTTTTGAAACTTCCTCGCCGTCGGGAGATACTTAAATTAAAGGACTATAGTTTATGGACGAAGAATCCGTCAATCCGGGGAAAGCTGTTGGACTGTACTCCGTGCGGCCTGAAAGATGTACTTTTCTTAGTTAACCGTGATGAGGTTGCTTCTTGTTGGCCAACTTCAACTTCCACTTCCCAACCTCACCATAACGTATCCTCAACCCCGACTCCAGCTCCAGAAGCAACGGCTCTATGTTTTCGAGGAATTTGCGGCTAGGGATAAGGAATACCTTGCTAGACTTCTTCGCAGGCGCCTTGACTTACATTTTGAGCCTGAATAGTGGTTAAAATTGGCAAAAACGCGTATAGCGAGGAGAGCCTGGTGGTGTGGGCATCAGTCCATCCGTCCCCCTTGACCCTTGGGAACGAGGAGTCTTTAGGGGCGGAAAGACGGGTATAAATCCTTTCGTTTTTACTATCTCTACCCATGAGGTGTTTCACATTCAGGCTTCCCGTCTAGAAGCTGTGTGGGAAGCAAAGGTATTTTGCACCCTGAATATCAGAACTGGAGACCAGTTACTAATTTTAAAGCCCAAGTCTACGGAGTACTTGCGTATAGCCTCCTGTAAGGCTTCAGATATACAGATGATAATGCAGGCCTACATGATATGGCAGTGGCATGATGTATATCCCCCGACTTGAGGGACATGAGCTGCGAATGCTATCACGGATAGGATGGGTTTTCTATCGAGTGTCGTTTAAGTCGCACAACTACCAAGGGGCATATTGGAAATATGGCTCTTGTTAATTCCAAGAATCTACACTCCATGCTTCAAAGCTTTCCGATGTAGAGCCTCAGGGGACACATTCGCAGAGGCCCAACCTGACGCGCTAGGCAGCCTGCTTTTCCCAAAGGACTCTGGCCAGGTAGGCCATGTTTGCCATCTTATCCATTCTCAGTATCCATACTGATCTTGTTGAGTCGAAACTGTGGGGTCAGATATGTACCTACCCGTGACACGAGCTTTCAAGATATGCATTCTCCCACCACGCGCCCGCGGATCAGGCAACCGCTGTTTTTCCCTTTCTGTCTTGGCCGGGCGAACTTTGGCAAGAATCCACGCTTGCCATACGGGCTCTCTATCGGCATGTCCATCAGATCCTGACCCACCCTAACTGCTGGTCAGATGGCGCTAGCTCCGATGAAAGCACCTTTTATGCATGGCCAATTGAATAACCAAGGTGAGATGGGATAACAATTAACAATAGAACAAGGGAGATGCCTTCATGGCTCATTGCCACAGCATAGAGTTTTGCTGAAGCGGATAGAGCCCAAAGAACTTGCCATGACTCCGCCATGTCACACAAATTGAACGCGGGAGTGCAAAAGTGATGAAAATTGAAAGAGAGCAGCCTGGGAATTTAAAGGTTAATCCCCATGTGGGAATCGTGGGATAAATGAGTCCAACGTCAAAAATGATAATAGAAAAAAAGGGCTATACTACAAGGTTGTTAAGGGACGTTGAATGAGGCGCTGCCTAAGAAACGCCCTATTTCCAAGTGCCTGAGGAACCTGTGTTGCCCACCTATCAATCTTCGGGTAGCCGCATATGTTGACTGAAACGCCATCCTCCTCGATGGAGCACACCCATCGGCTGCCTAGAGAGAATGGGATGCTTGCCATACTAGCAGAATATACCCTTGAATTCTCACATTCCCCCCATAACGCTAGTCTGGAGGCTGCTCCATGCACGTCACTACGCATATACGTCTTCCTTTCCGATAAAGCAAGGGAGGAAGAAAAAATTCCATCGGAATAATGTCGCAGGTTCCCCTGATTTCGGGATTGTAAGGGGGACCTGCAAAAAGCTTCCCAGCTAGCAGCTTTCAGAGTTAGCTATGTGGCAGAATGTATCCAATATTGCAAATGACCGTTGATGCTTCCTGGCCTTCAACTGAGCCAAACAATATTTTGCGTCTTCTTTAGTGAGACCTGCGCCAGTCAAACCCCACAGCCTTCTAATTCCCATTCATTCTTCACCGCTTGCCCAACTGTGGTAGGTTGCCTCGATGCTAGATATGGAGTATGAGTGGTTCCTTGCACGATACAAACAAACAGTTACATTAGGCCCATAAGTCCCCATAGTACCTAATGGGTGTGGCCGGTCTTTCTATCCCAGTTTTACCCTAGAGGTATCGGACCGTCCTTACAAAGCGACCGGCATAGAGGCCTCCGGAGAAGCAAAAGAAGATACCGAAAAGAAATCTTGCCGCTGGTGTGATTTCACTTCCTTCATACTAAGCCCTCATCCTCTAACGTCAATAACCGCAATGCCGTTTTTATGCTAGATGCAATGTCCTGCACCAGGCCTAAGCCTTCCTTTCCCACACCTTTACAGCTCTATATCCCCTTTCAGCTTCACCACTCTTTCTTTATCATCTAATCCTGTCTCAAATCTTCTTCATTATCAACTGCCGTTGACTGCTGATGTTAGATGTGAGGAGAGGATATCCCGCTGCCATTTCCTTTCCTTGTTCGTCAACTATATTTTTATCGAAACTGCGCCATCCGTTGTGACACTTCCTCAATTTCTCCGTCTTGTACAATTCTACAGTTGAACCGGTTTTGATCTCAGACTACAATCCATCTCACGGGTAACTATAGTCTGAGGGATCTACGTTCCAGGCAAACCCTAGCCGCGATGACATCTATTGCGTCGCTCCTCAACCCGGAGCCGGATGCTTCCCAGCAGAACCATAAGGCCCTAATGCCATGCTCTGAGCAGAATGAAAGAGGGTGCCAGTCTCCTCCACTTAGGCAAAAGAAGCAAAAGATCTCCAAAGATGCGGCGGTTTTTACAAGGGGACGGGTCAGGGGCCAGCTCAAGTACCCTCCTTGCGAATATCAGGATGAAAAATTGGCCGAGGCGCACAGGACCTTCGAGATTCACCCGATGGGACATATTACAGAGTTCCCTCGACACATTCCTTACAACAGCGAGAAAAAGTCCTTTTTAGAAAAGACGGGGAGGGAAAGCTTCGAAGGTGAGATCTCAAAGTTAGCCCAACGTTAACCCAAGGTTAACGTCAGTTGTATATTCATGGGAGATTCTAACTGAACCATGCGATAGTATTCCAATACGAATTCAAAATTCCGGGCGACGACAAAGTGTATACAGTGATGTGGGACTACAATATTGGCCTGGTTCGGACAACCTCGCTATTCCGATGTAATAACTATTCAAAGGTATGCCGTCCCCCATTATTCCTCCTGAGCTGATACTGAACGTATTTTTCTCAGACTGCACCGGCAAAAATGTTGAATGCCAACCCTGGGCTCAGAGAAATCTGTCACAGCATAACTGGAGGGGCGTTGGCGGCACAAGGTATGCTCTTCTGTAATACTACAAGGCGCTACCTTAACCTGCTAACGATCGGTGATTTGTAGGGTATTGGATGCCATTTGAGGCAGCGAAGGCCGTTGCTGCCACCTTCTGCTGGAAGATTCGGTATGCGTTAACTCCCTTATTTGGGGTAGGTTTCCTTTCCGAGTGTATTCCACCAAGCGATGAGATGTTTGGCCGAATGATTATCGATCCCGCCATCGTGCGATCTGCGACAATCACAGCACTCCAATACCGCAATATGGAACTTGAGAAATCTTCCTCAAGTCGAATTCCAGGCTCAAATGTCTCTTATTTACCTTTAAAACCGCGGGCTGAACAACAAACCAATATGAAAAGACTGCGACCCAAAGGCCATAGCGGCAGGCCTGACGACGAGGATGTCATGGAGGTTGATAGTAGGGGCCAACATCAACACCAGATTCCATCATATTACCGACACCAACCCTACTCGCCCTCCATGTTACCAAACAGTGGATGGACGCCGGCTAACACGCCACGATCTACTCAAGCTTTCAGACGCTCGACAACAAATTCAAAGGGTACTATTCTACCTTCCCCGAAGGAGATCATTGCCTCATTTTCGAGGCTTACCAACAATCAAACCATGCACTATGGTTCATTGAGGCAGTCTTTCGATGATGTGGAAGAGAGCGATGATGGTGACGACGACGGTGAAGGCACTGATGAATCAGCCTCTGAAGATGACGTAGAAAACGATCGACGTGCTCAATGGTCCAAATCAAATCATACCTGTGAATCTGCAGTCGAGGCTGGAATAGAGAATGAAGATGATGTACCGACGAGGCCCGACCACAACTCACTCCCATGCCCGCCACACCAACTGCTAGAGGGTGCCGGAAGGGAGACAGAGAGCGGCATCGGACATTCAAATATCAAAGAGTCAGCCTCGTTGCCTGAAGAATTAGGAAGCGAATCAGGGAAGAGGGCCCCTGAAGAGAAAATTGAGGCAGAAGCGAAGCTAGAGTCTGAAGGGAGACAATCCCCCGTTCCTCTGACAAACGATGCTCGGGCTGCGTACATGTTGATGAAGTTGCATATGCAGGAAGCTGGAGGAAACAACGCGGCAACCGTAGATGAGGATCCAGCAAGGAAGAGAAGACGTGCATCAGCATAAAAAGGGAGTTACTATATCTTGGAGTTCTGTTGGAAGGTGAGCTTCTATTTGGCCATTTGTGTTTTTTTTGGCGTTTTTTGGTTCTTTTACGGACCTAGCTACCTCTAGCAGTGATATTGGATGCATCGACGGCGGTTTGACTAGGAATGAAGTGGACCAGAGGATCTATGCTTTTCTTTACTTTCACTTAACTTTTGGTTACCCTTAAATTTGGAATTTCATCTCCTATTCATCAAGTTAATATCTATCACTTTTCATTTATGTATGACAGAGTTATTAAATAAGACCAGGCTTCCCACGGACCACTCACAGGGCCTTATACTTACAATAATACGGAGTACACGGACGAAATTTTCAATTTCCTATTCATTAATCCACATACTTTTGGCTAGCTATACTCATTAATAATTGGATAAAAGGGCTGAAAAATAGGTTGGTACAAGAAAGTAGAACAACAGAACACAAAGAAATGATAGAAGTGCAGTTTTGATAGCCTCAGATGTACGAGTAGAACCAAGGACAAGTGAAATAAAAAGAAAAGAAAGGGAGAGAGTGGATGGAAACCAAGGACCTAAACATCCAGGATGACACAACGATGATAGTTTTTATGACAATAAGAGAATTAAAAATTGGGTAGTGGATGGAGTTGGTCGCTCAAGTTGAATATGAAAATTTGTCCCGGCGGGGGTGTAATCCGTCGTGCAAGTGCAGGCGGCGATAATAGAAAAAGGGGACTTCTCGAGCACACGGCTCATGCGTACTTTGGGGAGAAGCGTCCATGCTGGTAGTGAACATGGGGCGGAGGGTCTTTTGTTTATGCAATTTGGATCAGTTCTGGACCTTTGTCTGCGTCGTTGACTTCGCCAACGGGTTCGTCTTTAGGAGCTTCAGGAAAATCTGCATGGGCCACTTCCCGCAAATCAGGGGTTTCCTGCAGATCGGGGAGTTTGTCAAGTGTCTCGGTCTTTGGGACCTCTGGCTCGGAGGCATCGATGGCGGCGGTTTCAGGAACAGATTCGTGAACGGTCTCAGGGACTGCTTTGGGAGTCGCCTCAATTGCAGTCTCAGGCGCGGTGATAGCAGGTACGGGAGCGCTAGACGATCCGATGTATCCATTGGCCTTAGCTCGATAGTCGCCTACATATTGCTTGACAATGCCAGTGGCCTGTGCAGTTTGAGTTTCAGCCATCTCCTTCACATGCGACGCTTGAGTGGCGACAATTTCTTGAGCGTTTCCAAGCTGGCTATCGATGAACTCCTTGTTGGTGATGTAGACCAGGGGGGCCAAGTAGGCAATGCAGGTAGCAATGAGAGCCAAACCCCATAGGGGCAGGAACATTACAAGCCAGTACGAAATGAGAGCAGTAACAAATGCCTAAAAAAAAAAAAAAACACACAGGTTAAAATGGGGTGCTAGCAGCTGGCTGGAGCGTGGTGGGGATACATACGGAAACTGTGTATGTCAGGTTCTCGACGAAGAGGATGCGTTGGAACTCGATGAGGAAGAAATCGACTAGGTTCTCGAGGTCCTCCAAAAAGCTCTCAACAGTGTCCTTTGGAATAGTATAGTACTTGCGTGGACGTGAGGCGCTGGTCAATCCACGGGAGAAGAGAAGGCGGCCTCCAACTTCAGCGGAGGCGGTCACTGAATGAAATTGCCTGATGAGTATGCAATCGATGCAGAAATGCCAGAGCTTCCCCGGGTGAGAATAAACCTACCTCCCAAAGCGAGGTAAAGGAACTTCAACGTCCACCGGATGAGGGGCAGATATCGGCTGGCAACTATGAAGAGGACAACGGTTGCAAAGGAGCTAGCTGTTGCACTCGGCCGTTCCCACTATATCGAATATAAGTATCCCAAGACAAGCCGTATCGGTCGAAGGGAGGGGCAGTGCTCACACTCAACAAGCTGTATAGTTTCGAATGGTAGTCTGCGGGAGAGATTGTTTAGTCTGTATAGCTCTGGATGGACCAGCAAGGAGCGTGCGGGTGTAGGAGGCGAGCCACATACGGGTCAACGGCTGAGAAGCCTGCGGGGTAGTAGAGGAGGTGCCATTAATGGCGGGCTTGGTCGTTCCTATATCCGACATCTAGCAGTATCCATGTCTCGTCAGCCAGCAAGTCCAACGCTGCGTATTATCCGACAGTCCACATCTGTCTCAGGGGGTTCGTTCCCATTGCCCATACCATTGTCAGTGACAGCTCCGTATCGATCAAAACAATCCACTCCGTGCTCCTAGTGTCCACGTATGAGAATCCAAAGGTCGTTCCAGGCTTCTTCCGGAGGATATTGACGAGTAAACTAAAGATCCAAAGCTCCGATATCAGCTAACGGACGAGGGAAGCCGGACTGCTATAACTCGACGAGCACTCACCTTACTGCTTTTCCAGAGCTCGACAGACATGTCCGAGAGGGCCTTTTCCCTGTCTCTGCTGGAACGAATAGGGGATATCAACCGTTTGGGAGAAATGGACTGAAATAGGGGTTACCTGATGACTGTGGGCGGTCGCCCAGCTGGGCCGCGTTGGTGGCCATTCTATAGATCTAGGGCCCCGGTGCGACGTGCAAGCAGTCCGGTCTCTCCGGTCAGGGTCTAGCAAGCAGCCTGTAGTCGGTAACAGTTCTCGATGAGCAGCGATATCTCGTCTGGACGGTGGTGGGAGACGTCCTGGGTGTTTTGTGTGGGAAGTGGAAGTTATAAGCAAGAAAAAACAAGTCGATGAAACATGTGATGCAATACTCTCTCTACATCTCTCTCTCTACCTACATCACTACACCACTACATCACTACATCACTACTCTACCTCATGTCTACATTATTCTCTACTCTACGTACTCTGCATCCTCTACATCTACTCTCTACGGCTAGAGATGTCCTTGTTGCTGCCTGACGCGCTCTGGCACATTTGGTCGCTCGCGTGCATAAATGCAACATCCAGACCAAGATCCCAGCAGGTCGACCAGGCAGGGATGCTCTGCCATAACGTCACTTGGCGAGTATTTGGGCATCAGGCGAACACGAGAGAAGAGAATAACGGTGCCTGGCCGACGTCCGTCGAGATCTGGTCGATGTCCGACGATGATGGAATACGGTGCAACAGCTTCTAGCCCTGGCCTGGATGTGAGACAGTGACCGGTTTAGACAGCTTGCCAGGGGAGCTCGTTGGAGGAACGCAGAAGGGTGCAACTATGAGGGGTCTTTTATTTACTGCGGAACTACAGGGCATATACGTGGTCTATATACGTGGACATTCTCTGGCTTGAAGTACCCCGGACCTGGCCTAATAGCTTCGAGGCAGGTCAAGGGCCTTTTCGCTGATGAAATTCATGACCATCTCCTATTACCTCCGTTAGCTTGGCCGTCTACCAGGGGAAGGGTTAACATACGCGGCTGATGGGCGCAATTCGAGGGACAAAACACTCCCGCAGATATCGTTCAACATGATACTCCTGGGCGTATCCCATCCCCCCAAGCGTGAGGACCTATTATGGCCCTGTCAGTCTGCTTTCTCTCTCAACAGCAGAGGGGCACGACTTACTGCTCTCTCACAGGCGGCAAAGGCAGCTTCGGCGGCGAGATACTTGGCTGAATTGCACGCTATGCCTACGGACTGCTGTCCGATGGACGGGTCGGTTCTACTCCCGTCGTAGAGCTTGGTGGCGTGGTATGTTGCCAACTTTGCGGCTTCAAGGTTCATGAACGCTGCCGCGAGTGGGTGGGCGATTCCCTGGTTCTGGCCGATCGGACGCCCAAACACGATTCGCTCTCTGGCATACTTTGCCGCCTTCTCTAGGGCGACGTATCCCAGGCCTAATGCTTCGCCTGCGAGAAGACATCGCTCCGCATTCATCCCATGCAAAACCTACACGGCCTCAAAAGTCAGCACCGCCGAGCCTCATGACGAAAGGATCGGCTGGATCACCTACAATCTTGAACCCTTCGCCCTCCTTTCCAATCAGGCTATCGGCAGGTATTCTATAATTGTCAAAGAAGACTTCATTGGCGTCCACGCTGCGGCCTCCCATCTTCCTAATCTTCCGTAAATCCAAGCCCGGCGCGGTTTTGTCAAAGTCTATAAAAAAGAGCGACAGCCCTTCTGAAGGCTTCTTTACTTCGTCGAGGGGCGTTGTTCGAGCCAAGAGAATCATCTTCTGTGCCACTTGAGCTGATGATATCCAACTATACCGGATAGTTAGCCCCCATACTGCCACGATAGATGTTTTGCTCCCTCAACTTGCATCTTCTGCCCAGACACTCTGTACGAGTCGCCATCCTTTGCCGCTACGGTCCGAAGTTTCAGCGTCTCCAGGCCGGTGTTTGGTTCCGTGCTACGATCGGTCAGCTTCTGATGTATCGAGGCAACCCGATTGAGGGAGCGGCGTACACTCCGAAACAGGTCCTCCATTCTCCAGCAATCAGGCGAGGTAGCATCCTCTTCCGCTGATCTTCGGACGCGAACTTCGCAACCGGCTATAATTTTTTTTTAACATCCCCGCACTTAGTATATGCGGCGTTTCTGTGTGAATCCGATACTTCATATCTTACCTGCGTAGCATAAACATTTGCGTGGATCGACTGGGCGCCGGCCAGGCCAGCTCCGCTCCTGTCGCACACTCAAACGTTAGTATCATGCCCGTCCTACCGCCAAAAAGTAAAGAAGAATAGCTAGCAGTCGGACCGTACTGGGCGATAGTCTGCATCATCATGGTAGCCTCTGAGATGCCTAACCCGGCGCCCCCCAGGTCTTCAGGCAAGGCAATGCCTATCCAACCGTCCTTGGACAGTGCAGCATGTAGCTCGTGGGGGTATTCCTCTGTTCGGTCATGCTCGGCCCAGTATTCCTATTCAAAAGTCATTAAATATACTGGACAGTCGGAGAGCCTCATCTTGCACACATCTCCGCCTGCCATGGACGTACGTCTGGAAAGGCAGAGCAGATCTTGCTGATCGACTCGCGAACCATCAACTGTTCCGGCGTAAAGCAGCTCAGGTCCATGATCCGGCTGGGCTGTGAAACGGAGAACTGTCTCCTCTGGGTGGACCAAGTCCAACGGTTTACAGCGTTGCCATGTGAGATCCCTGCCGTCACATAGCTCAACCCCGACGATGAACGGTTAAAGAGTTGAAAAACGCTCCTCGGCGAGCAGGGGAATCGTGAACCCATCGCCGTGTCTGGGTATGTTCTGCTGCCTAAAGCGAGATATGGATGCGATGTTTATATAGGCCACGGCACTCGGCAATTAGGGATCCTGGCTTCGGGACAATCCGCCCGCGGCGAAAACGGCAGCAGACACGCGGGAAGAAAGATGCGAGGTCTTAGCGTGCCGTAGGGCGTCTCTCAACCCCGGCAAGAGAATAAAGGCAAGCTCCGTGAGTCTAGTGACGGCGTTCAGGAGAGACACGGCCAACAGGGGGATATTCGTCTCTTCTTGGCTGCGCGTTAATGCCGAGGCTTCGGGAAAACGTTGACGCGAGTTTCTATATAACAATTACAATAACATCGCCAGTACTCAATACATTATACGGCCTAGTCGATAGCTTAGATGACAGCTTAGACGACAGCTTAGACGGGCGGCCTTAGCTGGCGTATGAAGCAGGGGTCCCTGGGTGCAAGAAGGCTCAACGGGCGCTATCCGTCAGCCATTGTCTATCACCCGTATTCATCGCAACAGCCCCTCCGGACGGCAGGATAGCGACACCGCACACTCTATGCACTATATACACTCCTACCTCATATAATAACGTCTTGATATGTCTTCTCGCGTTTCTCGCTGTATTCTCGCTGTATTTCCGTGGCCTCCTGTCTCCACGTGACTAGTGGCCAATAGCGTATTAGTCAGCATGGCGAACCCCTTATCTTTTCGATGTATCAAGAAGCTCGAAAGCCGTTCAAGGACGAATGTTTTGGACTTCGTTCACACCTCCCACGCTCATTTTCACTCTCTCGTCGAGCTGCAGCTGCCGCTGGATACGGCTGGCATCCCCTCATTTCGTCTGCTGCCGGGCGCCCCATGGCAACATAGCTACCCGGATCGTCAACGCACGATTTCTATACAACGGCCAGCTTGCACCTAACCGACTGATTCGTTCGTTTCTCACACAATGGCGGAAGACCAGTCAGAAAAACTTCGGGGTTCGGTGGACATGGAGACTCCTGTGCTGTCTACGCCTTCGGATCCCCGCCCATCCTCGCAGAACCACGAAGTACGCGGGCCTCTACCGACAGACTCGATGGTGACCGTGCCACTCTCGGATAGGCATACGGGGCCCAGGATATCGGGGGAGGGACCCTCGTTATCTGATGCTGTATACTGCCCTGACAGCGTCAGCACCGTAGGCTTCGAGCTGGGAAGCACGGATGAAACACAGGATGAGCAAGGGCTCGTTGAAGACGACATCAGACCAGCCATGGAAGAGCCAGAGGAGCTCGAGGAGCTCGAAAAGCCACTGCCAGAGTCAGAGCCACACTCAAGGACTCCGTCGGCAGCCTCTTCCAGCAAAGCACGAAGCATCAACGGGACCGATAAGCCAGACACGGAGGATAGCCGCAGCGTTGACTGGGCCGGCTTGGAGGAAACGGAAGTCAACGAGTCCAAGGCATCAGGGGATGATGTCGTAAGTTGTTCAATGTCTCAGGAATTGGGCCATTAAACTGTATAGCTGACCGGGGGAATGAACAGTCGACAACGTTGCTCCTCGCACGACTAGAGCAGGAAAACAATGCTCTAGCCACCGACCCAAAGTCGGCATCCGCAAAAAAGGCATCACTCCGCAGCTCCAGACCGCCCTCCATCCAGCAGCTAAAGGACCTAGTCAATGACCCTCGATCTTCACTGCGGTATTCCCAGCTGCCGGCTCCCCAGATGACCGAGCTGGAGTTTTGGGCTGCGCTGGTTGCCGATTACCCTCGCACCGCCCAACGGCTACCCACCCTCACCTCGCATAAGATTCGAGGGGGTGTCCCGCCGCCGCTTAGGGGTGTCGTCTGGCCGAGCATAGCTGGAGCTCGAGATTCACATCTCCATGACGAATTCGAAAAGCTATGCGGTGAAACTAGCCCGTACGAGGGTCTCATTGGCAAGGATATCGGACGAAGTTTCCCCAACGTGGAGATGTTTCGAGATCCGCTTGGGGAAGGCCAACAGATGCTAGGCAGAGTACTCAAGTGCTTCAGCCTTTACGACAGCAAGATCGGCTACTGCCAGGGCCTTGGCTTCGTCGTTGGCCCGTTGCTGATGCATATGAGTGAAGCAGAGGCTTTCTGTGTCCTTGTCAGGTTTGTATTCAATCAATAGAAACCCCTTCTGTTGTCGTCAGTCCATGCTAATTCCTTTATGTTCATCTATATCACAGACTGATGGACCATTATGACTTGCGATCCTGTTTCCTGCCAACTTTATCCGGCCTCCATCTCCGTATCTATCAGTTCCAGTCGCTCCTTTCGCATCACGCGCCGGAACTTTACGCCCATCTTGATGCTCTCAAAATAGAACCAGTCTATGTATCACAATGGTTCTTGTCGTTCTTTGCCGTTACTTGCCCACTGCCTATGCTTCTTCGAATATACGATGTTCTCCTTCTCGAAGGAGCCTGTGAGACCTTGATGCGTGTCGCCCTATCCCTTATGCAACGTAACCAGAATCGGATTCTGGCGTGCACGGAATTTGAAGACGCCATGCAACTGCTGCTATCTCGGAGCTTATGGGATCCGTAAGTACCTCCACACAGCTGATATTACCCAACAATCCATAGATGGGAGTGTCCTGGTTTTACTCACCTCTTCTGAATGTAGGTACGCATGCAATGCCGATGATCTAGTTGCGGACTTTGTGTCACTCACCTCATTAGTGACGCACGAAAGCCTGCACGCTCTTGAGGTGAAGTATCAGGAGGCCCAGGGTAATGCACAAAGCGTGTCGCTCCCTCAGCTTCAAGCTATCGCTTCGCGATTCCTCGGCCGATTCTGGGCCGGGTCCAGCTCGCACAGTTCTGTGAAATCGGTTGCCCAGAGTCCTGATATTCCAACGCCTGGATCAAGCCCACTTATGGGTGTTACCCGTACCCCGTCAAAGCAGAGCATGGCTTCAACTCTCAATTCCTTAGAGTCGTCGACCTCAGATGCCAGCACCGCTCCAACTGAGGCTTCAACCCCTCCGAGCTCCAGTATCGAGCATGCAACGCCAAAGCCAAAACCACAGCGTCCGCATAACAGTGACAAGGATTTACACTCCCAGATAGAGGACCTCCTCATTGCCCTTACGGACATGCAGCGAGAGCAGGCAGCGCTCGCTAAGCAATTACAACAAGAACGAGAGGAGCGCAAGGAAGACCAGCTGGTTTCTGCTCAAATGCTCTCCCTCATCAAAAAGTTACCAACTGATCAGCAAGACGCCGAGCTCATTGTCAAGGCTGATGAAAGGTTCTCATCAACAGAGCCACGACGCATGTCGATGGTGCAGACCAAACAACAGCTTCTCGACGACGTTGAAATGTGGAAAGGCAAATACGAACTTGAATCGACCAGGTGTCAGGGCATGGGTAGGACTATTGATGAGCACGAGCAACAGAATAATCAGCTTAAAGACCAGCTGAAAGAGGCTCGGGCCCGAGTACAAGATTCTCACAGGGAAAAGCAGCGGCTTGAACGAACAATACAAGAGCTACGGACAAGAAAGCCGCCTCTTTCCAAGATCCAGACCGAGCGGCCTGATTCGGTTGCATCAGAGGACGATAAGTCTGCTAATGGCCTACGAGAATTTAAACTTGGAAAAGCCAGCTCACCCAAGTCCACCACATTTTCGAAGCGTACCAGTAGCTTGGGAGCTCCAAAGTCGCTTGCCGGCGACGAAGAAGGCCTCCTTCTGGAGCTTGTGAACTCGAAGACGTCCGAAGCGATCGCGCGACAGGAGCTCGAGGAGATGAAGGTTAAACTGGAAACTCTTAAGCGGCTGGTGAGTCGTTCTGCGGCCGCAACTTCGCCTTCTACTCCAGGCGACACCAGCCCTAGCATCTTGGTCACAGGATCGAAGACAGCACCAGATATAACAGCACCGCCGAAGTCGCCAAATCCATCCCCGTCCGTCGGCTTCTTTACAGGATGGACCAGACGCACAACGTCGACCACCAGCGCAGTCATTCCCGACTCCAAGTGAGGCCTACCTCCTCGCTGTTTTATTGCCTTCAAATCATTTGCGTTTAACAAAAGTTCATACTTTGACATACTAATACAAATATTGCCAACCTTTCATTTTGCACCACATTTTCTAGGGTGTTTTTACTCTGGCATTTGCAAAGTCCTCAGCTATTTTAGGACTATTTGGGTTTATTTACTTTCTTTTTTGAACCTGCCCTCCCAGGGATCACCGCATCATTGCCAGCATAGCGATTACACAGATATATCCCTTTACTATTGGTGTCAGTCTGTACAAATACCCTTATCACGGATTCTTCATTCATTTTCTTGGCATTGCTTTCTTCTTGATCTTGGCCAATCTCTTAATTATGCATTATTTCACTCGCAATTGGTTCAGCCATGTATTTATATATATCCCTTTCATTTATCAGGCTAAAAATAGTTCGCTGTGAACTGGCAAGTAGGAATTTATTGGTTATTGGGAACTTTGTGTGCTTTTGCAAGGGTCATAGAAGCTGGCGCTTAGATGCACGGAAATAGCCCCTGAAACAAAAAGCTACTCCTGGCAACCTAAACACATACTTGAAAATAAACCAAACAAAGATGTAAGGATAAAGAATCATGCATTAAATGGATATCCTGCCTTAACTATCCACCCTTAAGGTCTGCTCCTTTAGCGCTTTGTCCTGGGTCTGAAACCTGTGCTCCAGGGACCTCCGATGCGCGAATGGGCCTTGGTTGGACGCGAATCGGAAAAACTACTAGTTCAACAATAGAATACACGCCGGGCTTCACTAGTCAGCCTGTCTAGGAATATAATTCTGGCAAGTATGTGATGCTAAAAGGGAAGCCTGTGGTATAAATATCCCATTGTTTCCCCATGCAGAACCTTTGCTCCAAGCTCGATAATTACAACTCGCAAATCGGTGACCCTGAAGCATCAAAACAAAACATTTACTCTATCCCCGTACTTCAACCTCAAGATCAGTCAACATGAAGGCTTGGTTGATTCTCGCCGTGATGTCTGTGAGCATGTCTCTGGCATTGCCCGCGAACCAGACACCCAGCACTGTAGTTGCTCAGGTAAGTCAAGTACTCTTTGCTTCATTTGCCGATGAGTTTGCACAACTAATCTCAGTTTCTTCTGGATGGTGTTTAGCAAGGGAAATGTCCAATTGATACACCATGTACGCGCCAGGAACATTGCACTCGATTTGGTGGAAAGTGTTTTTGCCGGGTGAGTAGGAGAATAGCCCAGTTTGATATATCTGGACTTAACTAACCTGTTTCTCTTGTTAGAACGGAGGTGCTGAGGATAGAGCCGGCCTCTGTGCAGACTGGGGAGTACTAGGAGGAGGGCACTAGACACATGGAATTAATGTGCAATGCTCTCAGCAGCGCAAATAATTTACACTCCGGGTCTATTTTGTTTTAACGGAGATGTTTTGTATTGGTTGTACGACTGGAGAGGACGTTGGTGTATTTGATAGAGACAAGAGATGATTTCTTTCGCATAGCGCATGGAGTACGTTTTTTTTATTTTTGACTTATCTCTCTCGTACTCCGTCTAGCACTGCCCAGTCTAGGCTTGTAAATCTATTTTCTGAGACTGATGTATCCGGCGGGTGGGAAGGCCTTTGCCTATGTCTATTCAAATCTCGGTACGCTTAACTTAATGATAGAGGTTCCCCGTCCAAGGGGACAGCTTTATACCCTATAACCTAGGCGAAAGAAGTAGAGCAGGAAACGAAAAACAAACGCCAGATATTATACACGATAATAAAACAGGGGCGAAAAACGAAGCATATGATGATGATAACCACTGCTCGACTATGCTCATGCATATCGTCACTGAATCCGAGTAAACTGCCAACTGCGCTTGACATTAGGCGATCAGGTAAGCAGTAAAACTCGGGTTGCTTCAAACATACCAAATCTTGGACGGCTGCTAGGCATCAGTCGACTTTCCAGCGTCAAGAGAACTCCTCTGGTGGATAGCGCGGCGATGCCTAAGTTCCTTTCTATTACGATCAACACCCTGCGCAAACTTTGACCTTGCGCGTATTGCAGGGCCCTTCCAGTAGAAGATGTATATGGGTATAGTGACGAGGAAGGAGATACAACCTAGGATAGTGGAAGGTATTTCGAGACGGTATTTGTGCTTGATACTTCGATACACTTGTCACCATAACCGCGGTCAGCTCTATAGATATGTTAAGGGTAACAGGATTTACTTACTGGGCGTAGAGTAAAGGGCGGCTATGCCTGCTAAAAAGTCCCTTGCCAGAGCGTTGCCACCCGTAGCTGACGCAGAGTATGGACCATAGCTGGCGACCATATAGTCAATTGTGGCCATATAGATGCAATACTATGAATCAATTAACCCAGCTGCAATGGATGGGGCATAGAAAAAAACGATCGTACTCACATTTGCAATTGCAATCAGCATCGAGAAAAACATTGGAGCAAACCAATGCACTGCGGGCGGGCCCATGCTTGTCCATGCAAATCCAAAGAGGCCAATCGTTTCTAGTGGAGCAGCTAAGAGACCCAGGTGTTAGCCTTACATAGCCCAAAGACTGCAGGTACAGGTATTACTTACTAAAAAGAAGCCACCAGAGGCGTGATTCAGGCTCAAGAGCGTCGGGGTTCCTCGACATGGCCCTTTTGTCTTTCATGATGATAGGGAAAAACGAGAAGTATGCAAGGAAATAGCCGATCATGATGCTGTATAGTAAATATCAGTAACATAATAGTCAAATTTGTAGGACGCAAAACGTACGGTATAAAGGCAAGGCCAATCTGGATGGTCTCAAATCCCCACTGGCTATAGACTGGTCTGAACGACTCAAGAAAGGTGAAAATGAGGGCGTCACTAAATCCACTTAGAAGGGAAAGGAATAACACAATCGGCTCGCGGATGAACATGCTAAAGGGGCGGATCCAGATTGTAATGACCTCCTTTAGGGCGAGGTTAGAGCGACGAAGCTCTCGTGGACCGTAAACTTTGGCTATTCCCGATTTCCGTTGTTTTTTCGCCAGGTTATTCAAGACGATGGTCGAGCGAGTTTCTGGTACAAGGAGAAAATGGGCGAGTTGGACGGCAGCTCCAAGGATGAGCTGGATCCAGAAGTTCCATCGCCAGTGTAGGCGGACTTCCATAAACCCTCCGGCAATGGGACCGACAACAGAGCCGGCAACCGAAGATAGAACGATGAAAGCGACCGCGTATTGCTGCCTATCCGGCTCCCACATGTCTGCTATCATCCCCATCGTGACCGAGCCGCCGGCAGAAGACAGTCCCCCCAGGGTACGGCCGGCAAGGATGTAGGAGAATTTGGGCGCGAGTGCGCAGAGAACCTGCCATATATTGACCAGGAGCAGGCTGAGCTGCATCACAGGCCAGCGCCCGAGTTCCTCGCTCCACGGCGCCCAGAGCTCACTACCAAATGCATAGGCGATGAGGAAAGCCATCTGGCCGAGTCTGGCGGTGGCTTCGGTGATTGAAAAGTGTTCGGCCATGGGGGCGATAGCGTTGGCGTAGACGCTCGTGTTGAAGTTCATCGAGACCTGGACGAGGAAGATGATGACCAGGATCGTCCATTTCTTCCACCAGGGAAAGGAAAAGGGCAGCTTGTCGTAGTTTTCTGATTCCTGTACCTCGATCTTAGCTGTTCTCAGGGCCAGAGTCCGTTCATCATCTAGCTTGAAATTGTTACCCATTTGGGGGTAGCCGGTGCTGCTGCTAGAAGAGACGGTCTCCACTGTCTCTACGTTCTCCGGCATCGACTTTTCGGAAGGGTGGGATAGTGTATCTGTATCCTCGCCGATCTGGCTATTCGAATGTCGATTATTGCTCGTATCGATTCGTATCCTGGGAGCTTTTTCACCCGACATGCTGATAACCAATGCACTGATAATCTATAGAATAAGACTAATATCAGAGTATCCCCAGTAGCATAAACAGAAGCTGATATGCTTATGTGGGAGAGAGAGAGAGGCCAAAGCCAAGTCCTTCTTTGCTATTCTCTCCTGGCGTATGGAAGGAACAGTGCAATATAGGGCAAGATGGCGAAAGAAGAAGAAGAAGGGTCTATTGGGGTATATAAGCAGCGCCTGCCATACAATATAAGGAAGTAAACAACGGTAAAAGCAAGCTGCCAGATGGAAGGAGCATGGCCTATAAAAAAAGAGGTCACATATCGTCTTCATCCGGGTCATACAGGTCAAGATCCAGCTTTGGCTTCACATTCACAGGTTCTGCAACATGGCCACCGCTGTTCCTCGCTTGATGGTTGATGGGAGCAACGACTGGCTGCTGCTGTGCGGGCTCCCTGATCCCACCAGCTCCAGTATCAACGTCTGCAACAGCCTGCTGCTGTGACGTCTCCGTCTCATCCTCTGGCGAGTTCCTCTGTCCTGCAGCCGCGAGGACGCGGTCGACCTCCTTGTCGACGTCTTTGCCCTCCGCGGCCGCAACGGCATTCAGCTGGCCCATCAGTCCCATGCGGATGCGGTCCTCGCTCGGATAAGGCAGAGCAGACATGACCCGAGTCCAATTGGCGGTTTCGTCCAACCAGGAGACGGTGTCTTGCGGGAGTGACGCGATGCCCACGCCCGTCTGCCCCTGATCCTGAGCTGATCTGTCCTCTTCTCCTTTCCCGTTGGCCTCTGGCTGCCCTTCTCTGTCCTCGTTTGGCTCCCTTGGAGGCATCCGTGTGCTCGAGGCATCAGCAGCAGCTTCGTTATTGTATTTGCTGATCCGCCTGGCGAACCCGAGGAGCAACTTGTAATCTACCTCATTCTTCCGTAGCTTATCGCTCTCCTTCTCGTCCGACGTACGGGCATCTCCCATATCAAGGTCACTCCCGGCTTCGCCTGCAGTATCGCTGTCCTCGTCCGAGTCCTCATCGTCCCCAGCAGCCGCAGATATCTCGTCTCCCAGCTCGCCCACCTGCCGCACGGTCTCTCGAACCCGCTCCTCGAGGCTGACAGCTTCAGCACGTAGTCGAAGGATCTTGGAGTAGTTTGCCTGGTGTACCCTGAGTGTTTTCAGAGCACCGGTCAGCGCATCGTCGGCTTCGAGCAGGGAGACCGTCGCGGCCGGAGCTCCAGAGGCGGTGGGAGTAGAGGTGATGGCGGCGAGGAGGGTGTTGAGCCGGGCCTCCAGAGAGGTGAGAGGTGCTAGTATCTCAGCATCCATGGCATCTCATCAATTGCTGTTGTGATAGCTCTCTCTTCTCTTCCCTTCGTCTCTTCGTCTCTAGATGTTTGAGTATTGCTTATGTAATATACCACCAGTTAAGGCTTAACTAATCACTCTTAACTAGCTTAACCAACCTTTAACTAGCATAACTAAGTCTTTAACTAAGTCTTTAACCACGCTTTAACTAGCCTTAACTAGGTCTTTAACCAACCTTTAACTAGTCTTAACCTAGTCTTTAACTAGATAAATAGATAACCAGGTTAATGCCACTCTTAGAGCGAACCAGCCTAGATGATGAATAATGGAACAGAATGAGATGCAACTGACCATATCTCAGTCCTGTAACAGTCCTGCCTGGAGTGTATGGCTGTCGTACCTAAGTAACGTTACGTGCCAGCCGTAACCTTCTTCCTCCCTCCTTCTTTCGCCCTCCCGCGATCTTGAGACAGCGATATCCCAGTCCCGATCTCCAAGTCTCCCTAATCTCCTGCAGACACAGCTGCCAGCTTGATTCTCTTGCATCCCCATCGCCACCGTCGCTTCACCCCTTCGCCCTCCTCGCCCTGCGCTCTCGACGCCCGAACTCATCTATATCTACCCCGCGAGCCGCCTAGTTGCCGCCGATCGAGAGCCTCAGCCATACTCTCGGCGACACCACGCATCTTCCCAGGCGCCAGGCGCACGCTTCCTGCACGAAATCGAAGGCTATACCTGCTATTCCCTGTGCAAGGGATCGAGAAGGATGGGGAAATCGTGAGTCTACCGCCGTGGGCGTCCCCCGCGCTCCTGGTCTCCTGGTCTCCTGGTCTCCTGGCCTCCGCGGGGCTGGTTCCTATATCCCAGATGTCTCTGTTTGATATACCGGCCAGTATGGCTCTATGTTGTCTGGCATCTAAATAGAGGCATTACCGTCTTCTTCGCTGGCTATCTTGAAGGCGTACTGACTTGGTTACCCCTGCAGACAGTCCAAATTATCACCGAGCCAGCTCGAGGAGCTCCAGAGATCAACACATTTCGACAAGAAGGAACTCCAGCAATGGTATAAAGGTCAGTTGGGCAGATATATTCCTTGGTGGTTGCACTCCCGCTGAACGAGTCCCCCCGCATACCAGGCTTCTTGAAAGACTGCCCGTCCGGCACCCTCACCAAGGAAGAGTTCCAAAAGATATACCGACAGTTCTTCCCCTTTGGTGACCCGTCGTCGTTTGCAAACTATGTCTTCCGCGTGTTTGACGCCGACGGGAGCGGCATGATCGATTTTAAGGAGTTCATCTGTGCCCTGTCCGTGACCTCTAGGGGCAAGATGGAGGATAAGCTCGACTGGGCATTCCAGCTTTACGATATCGACGGAGATGGTAAGATTAGCTATGAAGAGATGCTTGCTATTGTCGAGGCTATTTACAAGATGGTACTTCCACCCCTCAATCACAGGCGGCCGTTTATGCGGAATGATACTAATGTCTGGCCGTAGGTTGGCTCCATGGTCAAACTCCCTGAGGACGAAGACACTCCGGAAAAGCGTGTACAGAAGATATTCCGGATGATGGACAAGGATGAAAACGGTAGTCTAGACATCAACGAGTTCAAGGAGGGCAGCAAACGAGACGAGACTATAGTGAGCGCCCTATCCTTGTACGATGGATTGGTATAGGTTGATCGTAGGGCTGGCGTGGCAATGCTTATCTCGCTCGTTCTCCTTTCCCCGTCTCAATTGATCATCCTACATCGTGACGTCTTTTCTCTCGTATTGGTGGTTTACTAAAAAGTCCACATCTCGCTGATGCTGTTCGATGGTTATGTTTGCAATTATTTTCACACGCATCTCAGTTATCCCCCTGAAACACTATCACCTCCTCCGATCGCACGCCCAACTACATTGTTTGGTCAATGCAGGTGCTATTGGTTAACCTCTAGTTGCTCTATATGCGTTTTGCCCGTTGGCCACACACTCTTTGTTTGTGGGAATAAATATCCTCGCCATGACACCAGTATTATATTTCTACGTGGTATAGAGGATTGTTCAAAATAGCAGCTCTAAACCACCTATTACTCTAGCTCACACATTATTAACAGAATTAAACGAGGGTGTGTAGTGTTTGTATTTTCATCAAAATAGTTATCATAGATCTAGAATCAACCTGCCAGCTTCAGTCATTAAAGTGCAAAGGGGATACTAATACAGAGACTCAAACCCCAGTCTAGGTTTGGAAGGGAGGATGATGGAGACGTGAAAAGGAGCCCCGTCATTGAATAGACATGGCAGGCACAAGAAAAAAGGGGGAGAATAACATCGGAGGCCAATGTATCAGGAAAAGTACGCGCGCTTAAGAATGGAGACGAGTAAAGGCTGGACAAAGCCTTGATTAAACAGTAAAAAAAGTATATGGCGCAATTGACATGTTCACAGAGTCTTAATCAACCTTGATCGAGCCATAGATTCTATGGACGAAAGCCCAACTGGCAAACAGGCCAATGGTTCCTAAATTCCCAAGGAAAATATATTAGTATCAAGAAGGACCATTTGGGTTATAATTGAAAACATACCGGTTAATACAAAGACGAGGAAAGCCAATAGCGCAGAATAGCCCAGGTATAGAACAGCGCCCGTCACGCCGCCGAAGCTAACACGGGTAGCCCAAAAGATGAGCGCGTTTATGAAAACGTATCCGCCGGTCATACCGGCTCCAATAAATGCGCGCCAGTGCCATCGGTAGTCTTCTGCACAAAGCAAGAAGTATACAAGGAGAATGGTCGTAGTTGCAGACGTCATGATCATAAGGCCGTAGCAGAGGAAGAGGAATCCAAACATATAGTAGATTTTGTTCGTCCAGAGAGAAGTCATGATGAAGTATAGTTCCACAAAGATGGTGGCAAATGGAAGCATGCCGGTTATAAAAGTTGATGGCAGAGGGCGGAGAGACCACACCGTTGGGGGGATCTGACGGGGGATTTGGTTCGTCCTGGTAGGTCCTTCAAAGCCCTAAAGACAGAGTCCAGTTAGCAAATGGATAGAGAGAATGTCAACCAAATTGAAAGGATTTATAAACGTACCGGGAGTCTGAGTCCAACCCAGCTTCCGGCAACACTAAGCGGCACGCTAATGACAAACCAGATGATAACGGTGAGAAGCATGGTGGTAAACGGAACAGCGCCGCTGGAGCCCTTTGCCCAGACGAACAGGTTGAGGAGGAAGAAAGTCGAGAAGGCAATGGCCGGGACCAGTACTGGGGTGAGGATGATGAGTCGTTTCCAGGATTCGCCGCCAAACGACTTGTATGTTCTTGCGGCGACATAGCCACCAATAAATCCGAGCAGAGTGTATAGTATCAGGATGACGGTTCCCAGGAAGCCTCTGTTGGAGGGCGAGAGGAGCCCAAAGAGCGCGAAGACTGGATATATGATTAGTCAAAGATAATAAATAAATAAAAAGGCGAGTGGTTGCAAAAACTTACCAACAGTGATACCGGTCATGACGAAAAGCTGGGCACCGTTTCCGACCAACAAGCTGAGCAAAAGGGGGTGGTTAGGGGTACGGAAGACGTCTCCATGAACCAGCTTCCATCCAGAATCCTCTTGGATACCATCCTCAACGGAGTCACCCGTGTCGTTGAAATCATCCATGTTGATCATGCTCAGACGGTTGTACCTTGCAATATCCTTTCGCAGAGCCCTAAGGAGGATGCTGCTCACCAAAGTGACGAGCAAGACGACGAAGACGGCCGAGTAGATGAGCCAGTACCAGTGTACGCTCGGATCGTAAACATGAAGATATTTATCCCACCGAGTCGCCCATGCCGTGGGAGATTCACGCCACGTAACGCTATAAGTCCAGGGCACGGTTGTTTCGGCATTGTCGTCCAGCATGACTATAGGATCATTCGCCGTACACTCAGCCTTATCTCCGGATATCTTTGCCTTGCGGGAGGACGGGTTGACGAGGACACCGACAACGCGGAACTGGTTTTTGCTTCCGAGCCCGGTCACACGGTGATAGTCAATGTTGATATCGAAATGGTTGTGAAGGAACGATTGCCCGTCCTTGTTGACATCGCCCAACAGGAACCCGGGGCTGTAGTACTCCTCGTTGGTCTGCGGATCGGTGTTTATCTGGGCCGCAGGGAGGCCGTCTATGAGCCAGTTGATATTGTAGCCCTGCCATATCCGGTGGTTGACGAATTGGCTGCTGAGGCCGTCGAACTTGACCTCCGGACACAGCAGCTTGCAGGTCTCGTTTTTGGCCATGTGTAGCTCAAAGGGGGACGTGAGGATACGGTCGCCGAATATGATGCTGCCGAGGGACTCCCGGACGTCCTTGGGCCCGTCCTTGGGCTGGCAGAAGTGGAATGCCGGATGGTAGTAGTCGAAGGAGAAGACGGAGTGGACTTGGGCGTCCTGGGCCTCCGTGGGCGTGAGGTGGTTCACATGGAGCGGGACTTTCTGGCCGACATCGTAGGACGTGGGAGCTACACCGGGTAGATAGAAGGCCGAAGACAGAGCGGGCGCGAGGAGCGATATCAAGAGCTGCGACTGGCTTCGAGGCCACATTGTGGAAGGTCGTGTCTAGCTGTACAAGTCAGTGAGCTGGCCTCGATCAGGGAGGATAGCTTCGTACCGGTGTCCCGCCTCAAGCTGAGTAAGTCCCGGCCAGCCAGTGAATAGAAACAGAATATAAACCGGAGCAAATGCGTCCACGGTCGGTCTCTCAGGGCGTACGGCGTATATCGTTTCGTTGAAGCCTGCGAGTTGATCTTGAAGATGGAAGAAGAAGAAGAAGCTGATGCGTCGGCTTAGTAAGCACATACATCTATAGATGCTATCTAGGTATTAAGATATTATTCTTGACGTAATTCATTATTACATTAACCGTGTCCTTTCTCCTCGTCATCCTCTTCATCTTGGTCTCATCCTCATCTTGGTCACATCTTGGTCACATCCTCATCCTGGTCTCATCTGGTCTCATCTCCCTAACTGGCTTCGTCACGACTACGAAAACATGCCGCAAGCTACGAGCACGACGACTCCCGCCAGCGAGGAGATGAAGGTATAGTCCAGCTGCGGATGGCTCGCAGCGTTCGGCGGCGCAGTCGGGTTCGTCCCCGGCCTGGTCGCGGTGACGGTCGCTGGCCCTGCGGTCGTACCTGGCACGACAGTCTCCTGCACGGTGGTACCAGGGACGACGACGACTCCGCTGTTCGTGCTGGCAGCGATCGTAGTAGCTGGGATCGTGCTGGCATCGCGCGTCGTGCCCTCGATGACGGTGACGGTCGCCGGAGCTCCCAGCTCGCTGCCCGGGATCGCAGTGCCAACGCCCTTGCTCGTGAACTGCGTCGGGATCGGGAGTGTGCTGAGATTTGGACTGGGCTTCCCGTCAGCGTATAGGTTGCCAGTCTCGCCGTTGGAGCGTGTGTAGTTGCCCTTGATCAGGTTGACCGAGTCGCCGTTGGCCAGGTGGTATTCGCCCGTCGTCACGCTCCCGTACGAGCCGTCTGCGAAGTAGTAGTTGGTCGTAAATCGGTCCTGGATCGCGGTTAGTTAGACGTTGGCCGTATATGCAGCAGGTCGGGCATCTTCTTACCCAGCAGAACGATATCTTGACGCCCTTGAGAAGCAGGCATTTTATCCCCGTGGACGGCTCCATGCCTGGTCTCGTCAGCCAAACCGCCCAGTACATATAGATAATAGACGGAGAACTCACAGCAAAGCTTCGACTGGTCGTCATCTCGCGCAACGAGGCCGTGTCTCTCGTTCAGCGACCGCTTCCCTGACCCGGGGCCGTTTGCTGAGTTCACGACATCCGCATAGAAGTCGAGCATCTCTGGGCCGATGCCCGGAGGGCTGCCTGAGCCTGCGCCTTTGGCAGCGCATGGCTCGTATCCTCGGTTGCATGAAGCTGTGGCCGCGGCGGTTGTTTGTGCCAGCCAGACGAGCAGCGGTAGGGTGAAGGACCGCATGGTAGAGGATTTCGGCGTGGTTGTGTGGTCAAATGCTGCTCTGCGGGTTTATATCGAGGAATCGCTGGCCGATGGCTTCACGGACTAAGAAACGAGTGACGGTTTGAACAATAAAAAGAAACCTGTGCTATTTATGTATCTAATCTAAGACAACGAGCACATCCTTGCGAGACATGCGATCTCGATGCGTTTGCAACCCTAAGATGAGACGCCACAGCATCCATTGGCCCGTCGACATCGTCTTACTCCTGGCCTCTGATCGTTTATTTACTATGCTGGAATCAATGGTAATCGACCGAAAGAGTTGAGAATGTACTCCGTATACCAGTTCGTAAAGGTTACGTCCCTTGCATTTCATGGTTCATGCATTCATGTAGCCAATGCGATGAGTTTACGCCGTGGCACCGCATAAGTACATACACCTTGACTACCAGTGCATCTAAAACTTTGGACATACAAGCTTGGAGCCCGTTGTGTTTAGTGAAGTCGACATTGGATGAGTTGAAGGTATATATATCAGCTCCCCGTCATCTCGCTGATAGATCTGGCGCCGCTCAAGTTGACGACCCGTCCGCCGGCCGCAGAAATTCCAGCTGGCGGTCTACGTCCCCCGCGCAAGGATCCAGGAGGCCTGACCCATCCGGGGATCTGGTCGTCTTCGCGTTCACGGGCATAGATCGTCTGCCACACGTTCGGAAATCCGGTGGGGAGGGCGCCCTTCAGCCGGGCGCCCGGTATTGCGTATCGCGGGTTCTTGTGTGTGAGATAGCCTCGCATGAGGTCTTGCGTGAGCAGGGAAGCAAGAACAGCTTCTAGCTCTTGCATCAGAGGCGAGGCAGTCTCTTGGCTTTGGTCTCCGTTCGTGGTGTCTTCGTCTGGTAGCAGCGTCGAGTATGGGTCTGCGGGCTCCTCCTCGTCAATCAACTCATCATTGGGCAAATCTTCGGGGGCCCGGACATCGACACGGTGGCCATTATGGTCAAAGTACCAGTCGGGGTTGCTGTAATCGTCAAATTTTGAATCGTCTGCCAGCTCAGAGTTCGATTCGTGTTCGGGGATAAAGTCAGGGTCTAACGGAAATGAAGTAAGTTGAAGCCCAGCTTGCTTCGGTATGTTTAACATCGGCTGTTGCTGCGATTGAGGTGATACGCGGCTATCGAGCCATCGAACGGCTGCTTCGAGCTTTTGTAGATATAGGAAAGGCGGTGGTCCTCGCTGGGTCTGCAACTTCTGATCACCGTGAAACCCGGCTAGAATGAACACCTTCCGCGTGAGCGACCGCCAGACGAGGATCTCGCATCGGTTACGGAGCTGAAGTAGCAGCCCCTTCCTGGCGAACCATTCTGCATAGGGCGAGTTGACAGAGAGATAGTCTCTGAAGGAATGTACCTCTCCTCTGGCAATATATCGACACAGAGGCATAAACTTCTCCCCTAGTCCCTCTGCTTCCGGCCGCTGCAGCAGTGTTTGTGATGGGAACCGGCCCAGGATAATATTACACGGTATGAGATAGGTGAGGATCAATCCTCGCTGTTTCAGCGCCTGTCGGTGGCACTGATTGTATGCTGCTTCTAACACGATCATGGCGGGGTAAAACAGGTTATTTGAAAAGAAATACCGCCCTAGGTAATATAAGTAGGTCACCCTCTGGGAAGCAGGGAAGTATTCGAGCGGCGGCGATTGTGAATTGATGCTTGCAAACATTTGCTCGGCGTTTCGCAGTTTCCCACACTGCAAGATGTATGTTAGCATATATATATGCCCGTATAGAAGGGTTAAGTACCTTGAATAGAAGCTTCAGGCACAGATTCGCCATCAGATAGATTCCTGCTCTTCTTCCTTCTGGTTTGGCATGGATCCCAGAAGTGCCACTCCTATCGGTGAGACATTTGATAAATGCTTCTCGAACGATGTTTGTTGACTTCTCGACGAGCGTGACCTTCTCCCCTGTCTCGCCCTGACCTGGCTCGGCCCCTTCGTCCCTCAGTAGGTGTGCGATCAATTCTGGCTGGCGGTCGAGCCCGATCGCGAGCTTCGAAAGTACTTTGCTTAGGTAGAGAGCAGTGGGTAAGATAACAACGCCCATTTGGCTGTCTCCTAGGGCAATTACGCTCTGGCTAAACCGGTCCAAGTCAGTATACTGATTTAAAGAATAAGTGCGGTATGAGCAACGGACAAACATACTTCAGCAGGCCTTTGAGGAGATTATATGTTTCCAGAAGATTGTCGACGTTGACATCCCGCAGGAACGTCAAGTACAGGCGCATAAATGGAGGAAACGCGGGCCATGAGCTGCCCAATTCGCCTCCGGCCAGCTGGCCTTCGCATTTGGAAAGCAATGCGGCATCTTTGCTGCTGTTGCCAGGAGGGTACCTCTGCTGTAACTCGGCAATCATCTGGTTGTAAACGGCGGAGAGAGGAGGTTCAAGCTGTAGAAAGTCCTGTAGCTTCGCGCCATCCCGGCTCTGGACCAGCCCTCCGATGCTATCAAGGAAGTTGTTGAGGACAGGAGTGTCCACCGCCGCGGTATTCCACATCTTTGCTTCAACGTTCTGAAGACACTGGGAGTCTGGTGCCGGCTATCGTGTCGCGAGATGCAGGGCTGCCCGAGAGATACAGGCCTTGCAGTGGTTGTCAGAGTGAGGTGGCTGATATATCATCTTGGAGGTACCATCGCCCGTCTGGCAACCGTCCTGCCGTTCAGCTAGCAGCGTCGAATGGCGTCGATGGTTAAACGGTTGGCGTTTAGCTGTTTGGTTCTTATAAAAAACCGTTCGCGATGAAGTTGAACAAAGTCACGTTTCTAGCCTTCCACCAACTTCAACATCAACATCAACAACGACATCAACAGCATCAACAACAGCAGCATCAACGACAACATCAAGTATCAACAACAGCAACGTCAACACCACCAATATTGTCACGGTTCGGTGTAGGATGAATCCTCTGAGAAGCTGTCTACGGCCTCTCGTTCTCCAGGATGGCCCAGTCTCATGCCAGCTAAATATCTGGCTGGGAGAATACGACTTCCATGCCTAGAGATAGGCCATCTCTCCACCATCTTCCATATTCCATCTTATCACCGGAGTTAATACACCGGCAGACCCTGGTACCTGCGAGGAACTGGGTTGAGACACCCACTCGCTGCCGAACCAGGCTTCTCTCGATATGTCGTCATAGATGCCAGGCCCTTGGATGGCCGACGTATATCATGGAGGGGCACTGCAATTGACGCTTGAACGGCATTGCGATCCATTGCCATTGAAACTGCATCCGGGACGACTGTATCTTCGGTCAGACAGCTACCAGCAGTCAGCATGTCTCTCCTACACAGCGTCTGCCACTCAATGGCACACCTCTATACCCAATGTTTCGTCATCCTATACGGTCTGGTCCAGGATATTCTTGTCTACGTCTTTGCTACCAATGCTCCTCCGCCGTCGAGCCGCAATAAACGCCTACGCCGTCCACGGATTGCTATAGTTGGCTCCGGACTGACTGGCGTTTCAGCCGCAGCTCATTGTGTTGGCCATGGGTTCGATGTGAAGATATTCGAAGCCCGGTCCAAGGATAAAGGATTGGGCGGCATCTGGAGTGTATGTCCCCGCTATACGCAGTTCACAGAGGTCCCTACCAAGGGTCCTTAAGAGTTATATCTAACAGGTGTGGACAGAGAGTCAACTCCACTTCTTCGCTACAAATCCACAGCATCATGTTCAGATTCCACCCATCCATCAAGTGGAAGGACGGCTACCCAAAACAACAACAAATTAAGGACCAAATCGTCAACCTCTGGGAAAGTTACCATTTAGACGACAAGACTGTTTTCGACTCACCAGTTAAATCCGCCCAAAAGAATGATCAAGGGAAATGGGTTATCAACGGAGATGAAGACAGCCATGGTACCTTTGACGGCATCGTCGCGGCAGTGGGGAGCTGTGGTGACCCCAAACTGCCCACGCTTCCGCACCAGGAGAGCTTCAATGGACAGGTATTCCATTCTTCCGAGCTTGACGGAATAGATGCCAAGGACAAACGTGTTATTGTTGTTGGAGGAGGAGCTAGTGCCGTTGAAGCACTGGAGTTTGCTGTTAAAGCAGGTGCTGCGAATATAGACGTCCTCTCGCGATCGGACAAGTGGATCATACCACGAAATGCCTTTGTGGATATCCTCTTAGCTTGCAACATCCTGGGACAGGAAACCATCCTTTCCTTCATCCCGGAGACTCTTTTGCGCAAATTCTTCTACCGTGACCTGGAGGATATCGCTCCTTCAGACAAGGGACTATTCACTGATACGCCGATGGTTAACTCGGATCTTTTCGACCTAATTCGTGCCGGCAAGGCCCGCTGGCTACGGGGGGATATTCTCTCCGTGGCTCAAGAGGGCATTAATTTCAACCATCGAGCGAAAGGGGTTCCCAAATCTGGACCGGGCCATGAAATATTTGTCAAGGGAGATATTATCATCATGGCGACAGGCTTTGTCCGACCGTCGCTCTCTTTCCTCCCCCAAGAGGCTTTCGAACCCCCCTATGACCCGCCAAATTGGTATCTCCAGGTCTTCCCACCGGCATACCCGAGTATTTGCACGAACAACAGCACCTTTGTAAACGCCATTGCCACAGCAGGGAATTACCATATCGGAATCTACACCCGCCTTCTACTCATGTTTTTGATTGATCCATTGAGCCGCCCACGAGAGTACTGGATGAAAAGATGGATCGACATGACGAGAGTTATGAAGAGGTTCGCCCCAACTGGGGCCTTTGATTTCTTTACTTACGCTGAATTATTGTACTGGTTTGTGTTTGTTGTGGCGTTTAATCCCTTCCGTTGGAAATGGGCTGCCTTTGTGTTTTTCGGGCTTGGACCAGAGTTCCCTATGGCTGTCGTGGATAAGGAGGATGATGCCAGAGAACTTCTGGGGGTCGATTCGCAACCTACTGACGCACACTGACTGAAGTAACTTGGTCCTGTTTATGCATTCCCGTCCGTGACACACAGTACATAAGGGATATGAAGTTCTTTTTAGCCAGTAGCGCCAATATACTTGCTAGATACAAGGAGATCACTCAAGTTCAAGTTTTATCTACTCTATTAAGAACACTATCAAATCGAGTAACGTGGAGCATGCCTTTCTCCTCCGCCCACGCAATAGGGTAGAAGACAAATGAGGCGATCACGCAGAAAACAGTGGCAAAGGCATGCCAGAACAGTACCAGGCTAGATCCAATCCCAAACGGGACAACAAATTTTATAAACTCGTTTGGCTGGTAAAGATCGTTCTGCGATGCAATGTAATATAGGGTTTTTGTCGACTTGGTTGGCTGAATGGTTAGTTCCTCGTCCTGCGTAGATGATGATGACGAAATTGATGCAGGCGGAGACGCGAGGAGATCCGTGTTCGAGTTCGTGAGTTCAACAACTGGAGCTTTCAGCCCTTGCTGGAATATACTCCCTCGTTCTACTTTCTCGGTCGACTTGGCGAGCTGGAGGACGGTGGTGAGAGTGACGGGTGCAGTGTAAAATGGGACTATGAATATACGGAAGATCTGGGACACCGTGACGTATAGGAGCAGGTTTTCACGGTCGAGTGCTATATACAGTAGCCCAGGTGGTTAGCTGTCAGCCGGGAAGAGCCCAGGAATTGTATATTCAATGATGTCGGTGGTTACGAACCAACGGACTTGACCTGTAGATCAACGTGTGGCGACATGATCTTGTAAAAAAGGAATATGCGAACTATAAGCCATCGGCTCCCTTGGAACGATCCAGAGCGTAAAAAGGGATGTGTAATTGACGCTGAAGGCGTGAAGTATTTCTCAATCGTCTGTTGTTGCACTGAAGGCACAGACTGGGTGAGGAGATGGATAACTCCCGGAATTTCAGCAACTAGAAGAGTTTACAAGATGTTACGGTCAATTGATACCCAAGGAGGAAATGAATGCAAGGCAGACTCACCTGGGTCTTCCATCTTGTCTGAGTGATCAATTGCTTATTTGCACGTCTACATTTCCATCATCTCGGGTTTTATCCAGGTTATAACCCTCGTAGATTATGACGTAGGTTGGGCCAAGTCGTGATAACCGACCTTGATTTATTAGGTCATCACAGTACGGAGTATACAGGTATAGCCAGGCCCATAGGCGAAATGTTGATTACCAGGCTATTCATAGATATTGAGCTTATGTTGATACTGGCCTGGATGCAACTGGGAAGGATGTAGCCGATGTCTAAGACGCGGAGAGCGAAGGAAACAGTGAATGCTCGATCAAGGGTTTTTTTTCGTCAATGGCTCCATCCCGAAGGCATGTGCAGTATGGTACAAACGTCCTATCGCTTCCAACTTGCGATTGTCTTTTGCCGTTTCTCAAACCTTTCGCCGATATTCAAGCCATCACCTCGTGGGCCATCCTCGGTTGCCCTCTTCCGGCTTCGCTGCAGCGCACTGCCACTATCCTTTTTCCTCTGTGTGAGCCGATGGATTCGATCAACCCCTTCACCAAGTCCCTGCCATTCCTCTCCGCCATACCCTCCACGTCGGTTGCCTCCCCTTTTCGCTCGATCTTTTTTGCTCTCTTTCGGCAATCGAAGGAGATTGGTCTCCTCGTACGTCCTGCGCTCTTCCTCCTTCGCCCTATCCTGCCGGGTGCTGACATGTCTGCCGCCCGCGCGGATGGTGCTACCTATACTCGGCTCGGCCATGGGGGCAGCGGACATTTCTGCACTAACAAATTCGTCAATGGCTTTAGACTTCTTAGAACGCTGGGCTTCGCGCTCAGCTCGCCGGCTAGGCTTGTGTTCTAGTAGCGCTGTAGGTTTTATTCTCGGTGGTCGGTAAATTCCATCTCCAGGCGTGTCTTTCTTCTGAGCTGCTGCTTTCTGTTCCTGGGCTTCTGCAGCACGGGAGAACGCGGCCACATTTGGTCGATATGTCAACTCATCGACCTCTTCTTCGTCCTCTCCGCTATCACCCGGGTCACTTCCGTTATCCGTCGCTGTATCAGGCTCAGAATCAGCGCCATCCGTATCTAGGTTGGGTTGTTTCTTTGTGGCCTTTTGTTTATTGCGTTCCTGGCTGGGTTGCGGTTTTGTCCTTTCAGCATCTCCCGCGGCCTTCAGAACCTTGTCGATCTGATACTTCAGTCGTCCTTCTAATGGCCTGACACCACGCTCAAGGTATACTCGAAGTTCGGTCAACTTCTTGATCACGTCCTTCTGGTGGGCGTCAGCTTTGCGCTCCGCCCCGTTTACGGCTGACGGCGGGTTAACTTGAGACGACGATAGCTGCCGTACTTGGAGCAAGATTAGGCATGCCAGGTTTTGTAAGTAGGATAGAAGAATTTCGCTTTTCGTGTCCAGTAACGAGATGCCGTCGACCGGTGGTAGAATCGATGCGCCTGTGGTCCCGTCTTCGGTGGAAATCGACGTCGGGAGGGCCGAGGCTGCACTCGATAGAGACTGCTGGAGGGATTCAAGCATACTGGCTGTAGGCGACTGGGAACCCATTTTTCCCTACCGCTGCTGCTGTCCTGCTCGCGATTGTCAATATTCGAAGTTGATCAAATATTCAAAGTTGATCAAATCTTTTGCCCAAAAAATTTAACGCTGATTATGTCATCATACGCTTAGTCATCTATATATGCATTTTGGTGCATTTCGGTCTGTGTCCGTAGAGAACTGAAGACTTATTCCCTAGATATATATCATAACTAGCGACTCTAGAGGTTTATATCTCATCGTCGGGCTCTGTTGTATGCTCGGTACCTGGGGCTGCCTGAGGAATTCGAAAAATGCATGAGTGGAAACAAGAGAGGCTAAGGAGAGTTTATGGCACAGCGCTATCACCATCAGAATGGGTCGATTTATGGTCAAGCCGGCTGGTTGGCAGGAGACTTAGCACCGCTCTAGCACAGGAGGAAGACCGATCCAACCTTCGTCGAGGCCCTCAATTTACTACTGTAATCCGCCGCGCTGTCCTCTAGATCTGAGTACTTCACCTCTTGCTGGCGAGGCTGGGGTTTCCACACCGGCGAAATCTTCACTTATGGCTCTACCTACAGAGCTACTCCTGCAGATCATCGAGGAGGCTTTAAACCCAAGCGAACCCTATGCTGACTACCATGCTAAGGAGGCGCCAGTACCGTGGGTCAGATATTCCGGCATCCCTCTGATATTTTCCTGCAAGCGGCTCTATGTCCTAGGACGGCCGATAGCCGTCCGCTATTATACATTCGATATCTCCCAGCTTCCAAGCCGTGGAATCTATCTACGATACCCCCCAAAACCTTGGCACCAGCCTCGTTATGACATATTTCAGAGGCTTTACGTGCGGTAAGATGATATACGAATACTGAACCCGTATGAGACTAATGCTATTTATATAGAACTGATATTCTGTTTGACCCGAGCTGGTTCATTGAACGCGTCACAGTGACCGGACAGTATTATAAGTGGAAAGAAGAGGTCTTTGAAGTAGTTGACGGCGCTTGCCCTGGCTTTAAAGTCCCTAGAGTCTTGACCCATGATGAGATGAAGCTGAAAGAGGAGTACGAAAGTCAGGAGAAACTTCTATAAGATATAAGCAGTGTAATGGCAACGGATTAACATCGTATAGATATCTAATACTCTGATTGATGCTTTGGACATCGACTTAAGCTTTCCACTGGTGGAGTCGCCTATTATAGCTAATTAAGACCACAGCTACTCGAGATGTAGAAAAAATCATGAATTATCGACAATGAATTATATTATTTATAAAAAAAAAGAGTCGTAAGAATTGACCTATCCAGTGCCATTTGGTATAATCCCTTGCCCTTGCCCCTACGCCATACGTCACAAAAGCAAAAGCAGGAACGAGAGCTGTTGGAAAGTCAATTGAAACCGGGCTTGAGCCTGGATTACCACGTCAATTTCTCCTGCATAAATAAAATTAGATAAACTAGAAGAAAGAGGAATTAAAGTAAGTAGAAAAGGAGCTTGTTCCGTTCAAGCCGTTTGTTTTTCCGGATGGCCGGTGGGGAGGACGTCCGCGATGGTCTCGTCGGAGTACTTCAGGTCCTCTTCGATGTCGACGTGATCTTTGATCCTCAGTACAAGCGGGGCGGCAATGACTAGCGAACCAGCTAGGAGAGCCCAGTTACTCGCGAAGATGGACATGAAGGACACCTTCCTCAGATCGATGGCCCAGGACACGGCGGCACCGGCGGATTGGATGCCCTTGTAGAATCCGACGTAGTTGGCGGTTTTACGGCCAGAGTTTGAGAGGGCTCCCATGTACCTGAATAAAGTATGTTAGCAGGCTGTAAAGTATCTGCACAGTGAGGCAGGACTTACCAGTATGCGGAGGCCTGGAAGGCGGCGTCGTAGAAGCCGTAGAACATGAACAAGAACATAGGCCCTATGTAGCCACTGTCGCTCCAGTCCTTGCCCTTGTAGCCGCTGAGCTTGGGATCAACGGACAGGCGCGTGTATCCCTTGGCGAATGCGTAGCCACCGCCCCAGATGGCCATGGTAAGCGTGAACATGACGGCAAGGTTGATCTTGGCCCTAAGAGAGCGGCGGATGAGGCCGCTGTCGAGAGCGGTGCCGAAGATACCGGCTCCGATGATCTGGGAGGTCCAGTAGAGCACGCTGTTGAGGGACTTGGTGCGGGTGGAGAAGTACACGCCGTTGATGGCATTGAATTGGTAGGCGGTAAACCAGTTGGAGGACCAGAAGAGCGGGAAGAGGAGCACGATATAGGGCTCGCTGCGAATGGTCTCCCAGAGGCCGATGAATTCGGTCTTCCAGGTGGGATTTTTCATGATCACGACACGGCTGCCATCCGGACGATAGACGTCACCAGCATTGCAGAGGAGGAGAGCAAGGATGGCGCCGGTGGCCATGAGCACGATGAAGGCGATGTAGGTGCCGTCGGTGACGGTGACATTGGTCTTGACATTGAAGTTCTGGCCCAGTGGGATCTAGAAAGAAATGTTAGCTTGTTCACATAGAAGAGAATCAGCCGTTCATGGATAGAACAAGAATCAGCATACCAAAGAGCCAATGACGCCTCCAAGGTTGAAGATGGACCAGAAGACGGCGAATGCGCGTCCCTTGGCCGACTCTCCCGGGTACGAGAGCATGATGGTGCCCTGCGCAGTCCACAGGAGGCCGGCGCATAGACCGAGCAAGGCTCCGGCAAAGATGTTGAAGCCCGCGACATGAGTCGAGTGCACTGAGACGAGCAGCGAGATGGCGTAGACGCAGTATCCGATTCCACCGAAGGCGAGGGTCAAGCGAACACCGAGACGGTTGACAAACGAGCCACCGAAGAAACCGAAGACGGCGAAGCAGCTGTATAGCGCGATGTTCTAGGTCTCGTTAGATATGTTTTATAGCAATCAAGACGACAGAGAGAATACCATCTTATTGGCGGTGTCCTGGTTGGTGTTGCCTCCGCCTCCCAGACTGCTGAGGGCGTTGAACATGCCCGGACACATGAAGCAGACGAAGGAGACCAGGACGAGCTGGAAGCTAGGCGACGCATACCACGAGAGGCTAAAGCCGCCGACCTTGAGCTCGGTGTACTTCCATCCTCGAGGTCGTACGGCGACCTGCTCCTGTTCCTGCGTGGAATATGTAGGCGGAGGTGATACGGCCTCCCTGGCCGCGGCGGGCTCAACGGCGGGCTCAACAGCGGGCTTCTCGTCAGCCATGGTGTCTAAGTAGAGTATCGTGGTGAGAGGGAGAGAGGAAAGGAAAAAGCCCGAACTGGCTGGGATGAAGCCTTTAATTATAATGCAGAACCTGCGCGGGTGCTGACAAAGAGCAAAGCGTCTGGGGTCATGCGAAGACTATATCAATTAAATATATAACACTATACACTATACACTCCTAGAAGCCAGGATGCTACTATGTAAGCTGTTCCTCGTGGGAGAGTGCAGATGGTTACATCTCTCGCCGATGCTACGCTGCTGGATACAACACTCTGAGTTTATAGCAACCACACAGAGCCAGAGACATCGAGATGGAGCGAGCCTACTCGGTCAAGAGAACTAAAAATACACGAGACACTGAAGCTCTGGTGGCGTCGAGATGGCGCGGAGGATCCGATCGAGGGAGCGTTGCGTCCGTCTCTCTTCTCTCTGTCCAGGGAGTATTGACCCTTGGACAGCTACATGGTTCCATCTGTTTGTCTCTGTTCAGGGAGTATATGACCCTTGGACACTACATGGATAGAGACTGCAGCTAACTACGGAGTACAAGGGCTGGAGATGAGCATCGTGTTATAGTCGACAGCTAACAGCAAACGACCAACTGCCAACGTCCATCGGCCGGACTGATACTGGAAACGGCCATATCGAGCGACAACTGTTGCAAAACACGGACAAAGAGGGCGTACGCAAACAAAGGCGGTTCTATCAGTTATCCTTGCCCATATCAGACCCTAGTGCTGTCCTAGATCCTGGTGCTACTCAGTGTTGCTTCGTGTCTATCCAGGATAGAGAGACAGGCCTATGTACGGCTGCTGGAGTTCGATATTCAGTCGACGGAGACGGAGTGCTGCTACGATCGAGACGAGGTAGCATCGAATAAGGTGCTGATGGCCATGCATCTCCCTCGTGTTGCATCAGGCCGTTATCTTATTATTTCTCCGCATCCAAGCTCGCTAGCTTGTCATGTTCATACTAGACGCGGCCTGAGAGCTGTGAAACTCCCTTGAGACCAGCCAATCATGGATGCAAAGGATGAAGATTTATCCCCAGGATGTTCGACCCGCGGGGAGACCGTGAGTGGCTCGCTTAACCAGCAAACTCACGCGACCCGGAGTTACATATAGAGATGCTTATATTGATGGCTTAGTCCGCCTGCCAGCGAAACACGGCGTTTACTACCATAGCATCGCAGAGAGCCGCAGGAGTCTAAAACGGATGGCATCGAACATGTGCCATTCACTTCATTATATTCGGATATCCACACGCTGGCAAAGGCCGTAATCCTTTTTAACTACCCAGTCTGCTCCCGGCTGCCAGCCAGGCTATTTCGGCTAAGCCATCTCTGCCGAAAAAGAAATCTACGCAACATACATCCTCCATTGTTGATAGCAACAATGGATCTGAGGTCGTGGCCCTACTCGTCTGCACTCCACACGTTAAAGGTCACCTGGACGCAACTTGCGGGTTGGTCAAAAATTTCCACGCATCCCAACAGCCCAAAACCGATTTTATATTTCCCAAGTCATAATCAAGGTAGCAGACCTCGAAAGATATCGATATCTGGGGCGTCGGACCGATGCCGAGTGTTCGCCGACCGAGTTGGACAGCTAGTAGCAACTCCCATGGTAAATGCACCAGTAGGGCTGTCATCGGTATGGGTGATCGAATTTCAGGGTAGGCCTGCGGAGGGCTGACTGTTTGTACAGGGGAGATGCGTTGGGGGCGGCGACTGAAAGTGCAACGAGAGCGGTTGATAGGAGATTCATCATCGGCTTGGGCTTGGGAAATTCGCTAACTTTCTCAGTTGGAGTCTAGGCGTTGCTTGATCGAGTGTTGCGCTGGCATTCAGTGCTCGCCCTCGATATGCCAACCTGATACTCGACTTCCGAGCTCGCTGCGACATCCTCTCGGACCATGTCGACTGAATTTCGGAATTGGAGCTGGCCCTCGCCTGCCCTCTGTCTCGTGTCTCGACACCTTTTGCTAGAAACCCCAATAGTTGCGTCTCTATCTGCCATTAGGGAATCGCCAGAGTCCTCGACATTTCATTCGCATCCACAGTCACCCACTCGTTTCAGGACAAGTCCGTCGACTTATTTTGAAACTCAAGCTAAACGTCAATTTACCATTCAACAACTACATAGTGGTAGGTCGGCCACTGTTTGTTGATGCGACCGCTTTGACGACCGAATAGTACAAACAAGTCCCTAGCTATGCATTCGGGGGCCATCTGCATATACTAGCTCGATGTTGAGTGACGTGACGGTAAAACAGATCACCTCGGAACTTACACATCGATCTTCCGTAGGAATGGTATGTGATATTCGGTATCACTACACCGTCCATATGCCTGGGATATCAGTAGTACAAACGCAATTGTACTACAACAGCATAGCCATAGTGCCCGCCGTAAGCACGGTATATACTCTGGATATAGCCGGTGTCCACATGTGCCTGCATTCACGCTTTGTAAAGTGTTTGCTGCAAACTGGCCCCCGCGCCCTTGTACGCCATCCATGTCGATGACAAGTTTCCAACAGGACTAACGCAGGGTGCGAAAACAAAGATTGTGGCATCTGATGCAGGATGAGTAATGTGTGCGCCGGTCGAGCGACATGCATACATCCGTTTCGGCCTGGCTTGGGTTGAGGTATTTGGGGCCATGATCTCGTTCTCAGCTGGTGAGTCGGCATCATTCTTTTATGTCCTAACATTCTCGCAATCCCTTAAAGCAAGATATGAAGGGTCAGGGACATGGGAGAGTTGTGGAATAGACATTATATCGATATCGAGAACGCCGTTCTATCATGTCCGATTAGGGTGGGGGTTGTATCCCTGCCCAAATCATGCATTGATCAATCGTGAGAACTCTGGTTGGGCATGGAACAGTTATCCCTATTCCGGTGGTCCGTTTTGCTGTGGGAGATGTTGAGACGGGTCGATAATTATTACCTAAATAAGTATTATCCACGTCGAATGCACGACGTGATGCATCCACGATTGTTGCAACGGTTGTTGAGAAGATGTCGCCTTACCTTCCTGCTCTCAGCGATATACAGATGACAATCCAACGGTGCCGTCAGCCTGCAACGTCAACTCCCAACGCGGCCGTCACACCCTGTTTCAGCCCTATCAACCGTTCACACGATTCGTTCGAGAAGACAAATCGACGGAAATTCGTAATCTGGGCTGAGACTATGTTATGGATTTTTCTGACCGAGACAGAAAGCATTCGCGCCGGAACGGTTGGAACCCCGAAGATATCGAGTTCCTCCCCACCAAGAATATACTCGCTACATGCTCAACTCCCCAGCAGCCCATCGCAGTCGCCCACACGCCTTGCCCCAGGAGTGGCCTGGATGCAGTCTCGCCGTCGATGCCGTAGTCAGACACGCGCAGGAGCATCAACCAGCCTCCTGCTGGCAAGCCAGACGGGGAGTGCCTCCAGCTCGCGCATGAGCAGGTCGCGTCGGGACTGGAGCTCGTCGATGTACGGGCGTAGGCTCAAAGCCTGCTGGGAGTGCTGAAGTGCCGAGAGACCGCCTCTTGTGCAATGCCAACGGGAACATTCACACTCTCAATGCAAACTGCAGTGATGCCTGGGACGAACGAGGCCAGAACCACGATTCAGCCAACTCGCCGTCCGATCATACGGAGCTCCTTGGACGCAGACCCGACGGTCCTGGTGCGTTCGACCATCGAAGAGCAGCCGTTCCATGGCGGTGTCGAGGATGAGGACAGGTCGTGTTCGACGCAGAGCTCTGCGATCAGAGACCAATCGTCTGCGTCAACGGTACCATGGAGGGAGACATCAGCAGCATGGCGCGAGCATTGGGACTTGTGCTGACGACGGCGCGGAGGGCATCGTAATCGAGCTTCCAAGTCGAACTCGGGCGAAACTGGAACGGCACGAATCCGGACACGCCACCAGCGAGACGAATGCGGTTGATGAGGCCAAACATAGGTCGAGTCGGTGACGATAGCCTCGTCACCAAGGACGACGGTGGCGAGCAGGACGTTCAGGATGTCCGACAGACCGCTGGCAAAGAGGATGCAGTTCTCCGCGCCCAGAGTAGCTCACCCCAGAGACAAGAGACGGCCGAAACGTGGGCGAAGCAGCAACTCCGCGCAACCGGCGCTGACCGATAAATGGCAGCTAGCTGTTGTCAGGGTCAGACCGTGCCGCTTGACAGGTGCAGGCAAATGGCGTCTGGGTTTGGTGCGATATATTGACATCAAGGTTTTCCAAGCGGAGATAGTCCCTGCCGTTGGGCTGGACGGCGGAGGACGAGAGCAGCAGAAGAAGCAACAGCGGTGGAGGAGCGAGCGTCTGCAAGCTCTCCCATGCGATCGACGCCGATGGGCGCGATGTGAGCAAGACGGGCAGGTCGATGGTGGCGCATGGCTGGGGAGCTTTGAGGTCCCTTTGTCCTTGTTGGCTCAACCTGGCTGCGATGATGGCTTGTTCCCTGGGCAATATGCGGGACGGGAGACAGCAAGATACTTTTTACGGAGTATCTCTTATTATTATCGTTATTGTTATCAGCATTATATTATTTTATGATAGGGCCCATCCTTGCAACTGCTAATGCAGTTAGCCGGATCTGGGCCGTACAGTCCCGAGTCCATCTGCCCTATCAAAAGCTCTGGCAAGCTAGCAGCTTCGGCGTTTCAAATAAATGGAACAGTGATCGCGACTCGTCTAGCAAACACGGCCGTCTCGATGCAGACGGGACGGGCCATGCATGATCACGATGACTTCATCCGATCGGACGCCCGTATCGTCGTATCGACAGCCACGTCCGCGCCCATGTCGATTCCATGTCGACGCCCATGTCCGTGTTGGTTACTTGGGCGACCGCTTAGCGTGGGCGTCTCTCTCGCATAATCCCAAAATAAGAGAGATATCGTCACCAACGCCACCAGCTCCACAGCAGCAACAGAGTGTGATCGAGTGGAGACTGAATGCCGGCACATATCCTTACATCTTCTCACCACTACTGAGTATCTCTACCACTGCTCTTTACGGTTTCTGTTCACCGATGTCTACCGTCAATCAATCTATCAATATCACATCTACCAATATCATATCTATATCTACCAATATCTATCTATAGGTATCTATGCGGATGGTAATTAATAAGCGGAAGAATGATCTGCCGAGCCGGGAAATTAAAAGGCTGATCGACTTCCCAAAGCGGCTAGCGTCATCCGAGATCTTGATTTGGCGCCGATCCGCTGGCCAAGGTGGGAAAACATCGCTTGAAGTACCCCGCTGCAAGAAGATACTTTGACCGTGTCACATTTTGGGCGCGACTCCAAGTACCGGTACGCCTGGCGATGCATCCTCAGATTAAGGGGCTCGACTTCCTCCTATACGGCAAATATAAGGAAAAAGGAGTATGAGAAAGGAGATAGTACGGAGCGAGGGCGCAGAGGACGAAAAGTAAGGAAATGAGATGTGCCAGTAGAGATAGCATGGACGGTGGGACAATTGGCATCCTGACCGGCACCGACATCGTGCAAGCCAATAGTCCTCCTGCTCTTCCGACTGCTGCTCGTCTCCCTAACTGCTGGTGCTACTGCCGGTGCTCCTGCTGGTGCAACTGCTGGTGCAACTGCTGCTCCTCCGCCCAAATATGTTGGTTGAAATGGTCATGCCGGCATAACCATTCTGGTTGGCTGGTCGAAAGCCCGCGAGATGAGCTGGCTGCTCCACCGCAAGCTTATACGGGGGCAACGCAGGGTTTAATCTTTGGAGCTTGCAAGCTTGATGCTGCTTTCTTTTCGATTTCTTGCTTTCTTGCTTTTTCCGCTTTTTCCTTCTTTCTCCCTCGCACGCTAGCATCTGCTAGCTAGCTGGTTAGCTCGAGGGGGGGGCTTGAGCCGATGACTTCACTTCCTGTGCCCCGTTTTCACGGCCTTCATTTTTGCCTCCCACCCCCTGGCCCCGGCCCTTGCCTGCCTGCCTGCCCTATTTTTCCTGCCCTTTATCAGGCCGAGCTGCCCCCGTCTACCTGCCTTGTCCTCCTCTCTCGTCTTCTTCCCTCGCCCAACCAGCTCCAGCCAAACGAGTCAATTGATACTTCTTCTCCCATCACACTTGCTTCCAAGTTACCCCAAGTCAACCATCAAGATGAAGGCTACCTACGTTGTGTCCCTCGCGCTCTACGCCTCCATGGGCCTTGCCCAGAGCGTCAACGACCTCCCAGAGTGCTCCGTAAGGACTTCCCTCCAATTGACCCCCAATTGACTCTTTTTTTTTTGATGATATTGTTCATTGCTGACTGTTGGATAGCGCGCCTGTGTCCGAAGCATGTTGGGCAAGGCTGTTGAGCTCGGCTGCCCACCAACCAACAACGCCGACTGTCTCTGCACCAAGCCTGACTTCGTCAACGGTCTCCGTGACTGCACCACCGAGGCTTGCCCCGGTGAGGACGTCAACAAGGTCGTCTCCGAGGGACAGCAGGTCTGCAAGGCCCAGGGTGGTGGTAACGGCGGCAGCTGTATGTGTATCCCTTGACCATGCTGTATCAACGAGATGAAATGCTGACTGAATTGAACTAGCTTCTGGATCTGCCACCGCTACCGGCACTGGCTCCCACTCTGGCTCTGGCTCTGCCACTGCCACTGCCACTGGTACCGCCCCATCTGGTTCTTCCACCGGTGGCTCTGCTACCACCACTGGCGGCGTATGTTTTTGATTCTCGTTCCTATGCATTGCATCAGCTAACAGTCTCTGTAGAGCGGCGGTGCTCACTCCTCTGCCTACACCACCATCCCAGCTGGTGAGACCGTGATTACCTCTGGATCACAGGTCATCACCACCAGCCGTCCTGCCACCACCCTCTACACCCAGGTCACCGGCTCCGGCTCTCAGTCCGGCTCTCACTCTGGATCCCAGTCTGGCTCCCAGTCCGGCTCTGCCACCGGGACTGGTGCTCCCACCACCACCGGCGGCAGCGGCGGTTCCACCGAGACCAACGCTCCCTCCAACACTGAGGGTGGTAGCGGTGGCCAGACCTCCGGCGGTGCTCCATCCCAGACCTCCTCCCACGCTCTTGCTCCAGCCAAGGCCACCGGTCTTGGTGTTGCCGGTGCTCTCGGCCTTGTTGCCCTCCTCGCTTTGTAAAGGGTGACTTGAACAGATGGGACGGCGCGCTGTGTTTTTAGTTACGTGTTACTGAATTGATGGGGATATGGATAGCGATTAATGCTGTATCGTATGTATTTAATAAGCTGCGAAGCTCACGATAATAATAATAATGCCACAGTTCAGTGTGTGCCTCGTATAAGTGTCTGTCGAGTGATGTCTTGATGTCTGTACAACTGATGCCTTGGATGTCTGTACAACTGATCCTGGATGTCTGTAGAAGTGATGTCCTGGATGTCCTCGATGTCTGTAAAAGTAATGTTTGTTGTCTGGTTATCCGCGTCTTGAGCCATGGTTGTCGCGCCGCTTGTATGGTAAACACTCGTTAGTTATCCACGGTTCAAAGCAGGAGGAAGAGAGTTTCGGACATACTATCTCCTTGCGTGTAGGTACCTCTACCAGAAAGTATCCCCGATGTACAGAGTAGAGAAAGCAGTGTTTGTTGTTGAGGAATCAAAGTGTTTGGTGGTGGTTCCTTTGGCTGATGTTGGGATTGCCTCTTTCGGATAGTCGCTTTTATATCTACTTTAGACTCAATATCGAGTATCAAGATCCAGCATCAAGATCCAGCATCACCGCCGTCTCGACGCATGTTCGTGTTCAGACATAGCCAGGATAATAGAGCGGAAGTAATTCATTGTAGATAATGCCAATAATCTTCCTAGCCTGCAGTGAATCAAAATAATCACCGAGTAACGCATTCACAACAAATCCTGGTTTGTTATACTTCTTTGCCTCACACATCATCCTAATCCTCCCCCAAGCTCTCCCGGACACACTTCCGGACACACTTCTTGAACTCCTTTGGATCCTCGCGCCATAGCCTAGCTGCCTCCACGTTTGCGGGCGACTCGTCGTTCGGGCTCGACAGCATGCTGATCACGCTCAGCAATATCGTTTCCGGCGTCTGTACAGGGGACCAGCGCTCCGCGGCCGACTCGTAGCCGTATTTATCTTCTTCTGGTGGGTGGAGGATCGATATGCATACTTCACCGTTGGGGTATACTGCCATCTATCAGTCTGGTATACGGCTTTTTGAGTGGGGGAACTGGGGAGTAGGGCTTACCGTTGGGATGGAACATGGGAGTCTCGAATTTCATCTTAGGCGGCCGATGCGGGTATTCAGGCGGGAACGTGAGCTTTGCGCGGAAGAATCCTCCTGTATCGATACAATCGTCCGATCGTCAGCACTTCGCCGGTAAAATGTATATAGATATAAGGATAGAAGTAGCATTCGCACCGCCGTAGAACTTGCAGTCGTCGGATATCATGAGCATGACTTCCCACTCAAACACATTATTATCATCCACCAAGCCACAGCTGATCCCAGGTATGTCTTTATCAGTCTGCATCTGCTTCAACTGGCGGCTCAGCAAACCGCCAGCCGCTGAAGCCGCCATGCTCTATCGGGGCCGGAACGAATCGTGGGGAGTCGACTTGAGCGTGCTGCCGGGCTCGATGCTCGGTGTCTCCTACTACTAGATAGAGCTCTAGTATATACTGTCGACACAGTCTCTTGCTTCTATCGAGCAAGGCAAAGGGAGTGTTCGAAAGTACGGCGGTCAGCTGTGTGGCGCTGTGGCGGGGAGCGGTTATGCTGGAGGACGGAGGAAGCTTGAGAGGAGGCCCAACCCAACGCGCTTATATAGCGAACGGCGGTGCCGGTTCAGGCTGTTTGGCTATGTGCAGAATATCCAAGATGAAGGTGAAAGAAAAGGGAAGATATAGCTGAGGTGGGGGGCGAGATATGACAGGTCGCTGTGGGGGAGCGGGTATTTAAAGCCAAAGAAGCTACATGCTTAGTTGGCGATTTTTATACTAGTGAGAATGTACCTGGCTTGAGAGTATACAGGCCATAGATATACGTATTGGTCTACAGGGAACTGAGTGTAGCTTATATTCATAATATTGAAACCATGTACCAGAAGATTAGAGGGGATATTCACAGTCAAGTAGCAGGTGCAGTGAGAGAAAATAAGAAATTCCCTAGGTTGAGAAGAACATTTGCAATTGACCCGACGGTTGTCTGATTTTAGACTACGACAAAGACTGAGCCCGATCAGTGGGCTCTGGCATGAGTTGCCCACTGTCTCAAGACACCCCCTGCAAGGAAGTAAAGCTCTACCACAACGAGCATGACAAAGAACAGGCTGGTGGCTAGCAGCATCGCGAACATCTTGACCAGGTTCATCATCAGACGGCGGTAAGCGGCCCAGCTGAAGGTCTTCCACGCATCGTACATTCCAACCTTGCCTGAGCCCTCGACATCTGTGGGGGTCACCTTTCCGTTAAAGGTGCGGTCAAATGGGACGATGGGCTCGTCCTCGGCGGGAAGCATAGAGGCAGCAACGCGGACCATGACGACGGTGGCGGGAGCATCGACAAGGATGAAAAGAGCCAGGGACAAGGCGAAGGCGAAGGCTCCGCCGAAGATAAGCCGAGTGCTATCTGACGAGGTCAAGGTCAGGCCGTTCTCATCCAGGCGGAAGATAGCAAGACAATAACGCCCGACCAAGACTGGGATGAAAAAGCCCAGTTGGGTGGCCAGGGTACAGATCGCAACAACAGGAGCAATCTTCATCCAGTTTTTACGGATGGAAGGGATGCGTTGGTACCACGGTTTCGGGCTGGGAGCTGAAATGACTACATGCACCCATCCCAGAAGCATGGTAGAGACGGCTACCTCTGCTACAAGGGGAGCGAAAAGCCCGAGGAAGGAAAATATGTTTGCCACAACACCACGGATGAGAGAAGAGGCCAGGAAGATGTGAAATCCACGGAATCGTGACCAAGGGCCGGCACGAGCCCGAAGATGGAGGATGGTCGACCGCAGTCTGCTGGTGATGGGTATGTGAGACGCGGGGAGTCCTTCGGTTTCGGACAGATCGGCGGGCTGCTTCTTATCGATGACGTCGTTGTGGCTGTCCTCGACGGCATCTGTATAGCTGGGGAGAGGGGCAGACGTCTCTGGATTGGGGTCTTCGATGATGGTCAGGGTTGTTACCACCATGCCATAGGTATATTCAATCTAGACAGATAGTTAGACGGGAGACTAGAAGGTAGCAGGTGGGAGGCTTACGGCGAAGAGGGTTGCAACTAAGAACGCAAAAGTGATGAGCACCACGATGATGGTCGGAACATCCCACACTGGATCTATCCTGTCGCGCTTTTGCAGTTGCCGGGGGACAACATCTAGTCCTCGACGGACGATGGCCTCGATGAGGCGCGAAGAAGCAGACATATCAACCTCGATACGTCCTGGTGGAACGAGAGACAAAACAAAACTGGCGTGTAAGGTGTAGCACTAACAGGATACAACAGAAATAAAGTAGAAGAGAAAACGAGGGACTCAGTGTGATATATATACAAACAGAAGAAGGCGAAGTTGATATTTGTAGACGACGTTGAAACCGGCGTCAACTTCAGGCAACAGCCCGATGGTCACGTGCCCTACTCAGCCGCCCGGCTTTTGCCCCTGCCGACATCCAGGAGGAATCTATTTACGGCTTTAACAACCGTTATGAGTATACAGGGGATATCTCCGTAATGCATGCATGCATTGATATGCACTGTCATGCGTGGATGTGAGGACTCGCTTATAAAGTACAGGAATGATTTATCATTGCTTTGCTATTCAGAAGAAGAATCCCAAACTCCATGACCCCCATGATGGCCCCCAAATCCTTACGCGCACGCTCATTATTTCACCCAAGCCCAAACCCATTCAAAGAAGGTCCTCCAGTTCCGGCGAGTTGGGCCGTGGTCGGGGAATATCAACCTGCCCTTTCTGTGCGTCCCGCTCGTCGTTTGTACGCAGTTACGCAGGTCGTTCGAGCACTCTGCACCCCAGGACGAGAGGCGAAGCCCATGTCTTCGTATCTTGTAACCAACAAATAACAGGCCGAAGATTGGGAACTATTGATCACCCCCCGGTCGCATTAGCGTGCTCCTTCCACTAGCAGGCTGTGATCCAATAATATAACCAAACAGGGAAGACAATAATACTCCGTACAGAGAGGTACTTACACTGATGTATGAAACCATGAATACTCGGATGTCAAACGGATCCGTGAGAAATGCAGATACCCCGCTGAAAAGGAGTAATATGATGCAGGACACCATCCCGTAGCACGCTTTCAGCCACTGGCCGTGCGACTTGTAAGGATACCGTGGATTCTGGCGGTCATACACGCCGTTCTGTGATTCGGCGGTGTTGCCAAAGCTGTTTGCCTCCTGGAGTCTGCATCGTTTGCTCTGTTAGCTCCGCAAGCGAACAGGGTAAGGCACCTCGCATATACGCACGTCTGGTAAAATCGGAGATATGTCGCGCAGATAATTGCGTAGACAATAAGGAAGGAAGCGGTGCAGTTGGATGCAAGGTCGCGCAGCCGCTGTCATCATCGTCGTTAGTCAGATCACCGCCTTAAGTTATCAGGAATGGTACTTGTTTTTCTCCTACCTCTCCTTCGCCTTTGCTAGGTTCTAAATACCCCAGCGCAAGGATGAACGACGTAGCCAAGACAGCCCTCGTCGGAACTCCGGCGTGGCACTGTCGTAGCCTCTTCGTTATGAACTCAGGCCCCGTTTGGTCTCTTAGGGCCAGGGTGTGTAGCACCCGGGACGCGACATATACTGAGTTGACCGCGCAGGTAAACGAGGAGAAAAGATACATCCCGTTAAAGAACTCTCCCGCGGCTGGAAGTCCTGCTTCAACAACCGCAACCAAGAACGGCGATTCCGTCCCTAGCGAGCCATCTCCCTTTCCATTGATAAATGGATGATCGTAGGGGACGAGGAATGAGCAGGTAAACATTGCTAGCGAATATAATAGGACGGCCCGCATGGTTATCTTCCTAGCCGCCATCTTCATGCACTCTGAATCCGCAAGTGATTTACTCTCGGCCGCTGTCGCTGCGAAGATATCCACTGCAACGTAGGAGTAAATGACGTTGACGCTTGCATTCCTGGGGAGAGACGAAGATGAGCCCGGTCAACAAGCCAAAAACTCGAATCAAACGGGGGTTCTGAACATACCAAACCCCAAGCAGTTTCCCGATCCCGCCTTCGATCAGCCGGACGGTGCCGTCTTTATTCTTAACTTCATATGTCGGATTGATAAACGAGTATGGGGAGTCCCAATCTAGAGAGCACAGCCATTAGCCCTGGTGCGTGGTATGAAGACAAACCCGGATGGGCTACCGAACTACACTTACATCTGGTGCCAATAGGCTGGTCATAGTATGCAGATTTCCGTGCTGCCGGCTTTGACGTTAGTTGCGGGACGTGAAAGATGGCCCGGTTTGACGGTGTAGGGTCTAGGTTCTTACGATGCATAGCACTGAGAATGACCATCATGACTATAATAAGTACAATGAAGGTCATTTTAACGCTCCCAACCACGTATTCGAGCATTCCAAAGTACTGGATGAAGCAGGATGTCAGCTGGCTGGGCCTGGGTCCGCTCGCGCTGCCTCTGCGATCGCCTGCTCACCTTGACTGGAAATAAGTTTATCAACGCAACCAGAACGATGAAAACAGTTATCCACACCGCGGTGTCGACTCTTTCCCCTACTTCCCACATGGTTTTTGTCTTCTGGTCCATGTAACGGTACTGGGCAAACTTCGCGGCAGCTGCTAAATTGTGTGTGGCCACGATCGCATATGCGAACCTAGACACGCCGTCAGAAAGATGATATATCCGCCAGTGTATGGGATTCGAACAGACCAGTATGTCCAGCCAACTGCAAAGCCCACCCCACGATCTAGAAACCTTCGCGGAAATTCCATTACAGGGGCATTGACTGGCATCAGTGCAGTCATTTCCCCCAGACATGATATCACTGCACCGACCACTGTGCCCATGAGAAGATATGCAAGAACAGCGCCACCTGGGCCAGCAAGAGCGAGGATTGCACCACTACTGAGGAACAGTCCTAATATATACACAGTTAGGTACAGGTTGTAGAACTGTCACGGCCTAGCACGCCTCTGAACCTACCATTTCCAATGGTACTAGTTACGTGAACGTCAGCGTATGTAGCACTTAGCATGTAACGGATCAAGAGGTGGCGTACCCAGAGAAAGCGATCATCTGCTAATGGTTAGCCAGGCTGTTGGGTCTCAAAATCGGACGATGCTCACATAGTCAAGCTCACATTAATTTGAACTTCCGGTAAGACTCTCCTACGATAGAGTAAGCGCGAAAGCCCGGGATATATCCAAGTATTCACCATTCACCACTCACCACAAACTGTGCCCTCGCGTGTGAAATACCTCCTCCTCGTACACGGGCTCGGCCAGAAGCAAGCCACATTCTGGCTGCGAGTCCCGCGGAGTGGTCGGCACTTGGAATATAGTCGCATTGGATTCTTTAACGCTTGTCGTAGAATTTTCCATGATGGATGTATCGCCCACGCATGGTGTTCAAGATGGCGCAGGCGTGCGAAGAGAAGGGGGGTATAGACCGAATATGGGACGGATCAAGGATAGCTTTAAATCCTCAGCAGTCGGCCGCGGCTGGTGAAATTTGGTTACGCCCAGCCAATATAAACCAAGCGATTGTATACCCTGCGATACTGCCGACGGGGGTATGTTCGGTGGTAAACACCCCCTTTTTCGGAGGCCAGGATGGGTTGATGGAGGGTAAAAACGACAAAAAAAACGACAAGAAAACGACAAGAGAACGACAAGAGAACGTCTGGCTGCTGATGAGGCTGAAGGCCGGTACATATATATATCCCGTATGGGGACAAGAATGCGAGGGGATCTTCCGGCTGCATTGACCTAGCCCCCTGGACGGGTTACACGGCCCAGAAACAACGATCAAGGTCGTTTTGAGGAATCAAAATGCGCGATCGCGTAATTCACAGATATGGTTGGCCATCCTGGCCTGTCGTGGGAGCTCAAGGCAGTCAGTATCGATACACAGCCTAGGCGAAGCAATCGACCGGGAAGCTATGCACTCTTCCAACAGAAACAGAACAAAATGCAGGCGGAATTGATTACACGCAATGTAACTGTCATGCTGGGCAATCTTTATCCCTGCCGCCATTACACAATAAAATTGCTGCGGGCATGCAACTATCCCTACCAGCCCCCCGCCTCTTCCCCCCCCTTTTATACTTAAAAGGAAGCCTGCAAACTGGATCTGCCGTCGCCGTGGAGGAGCTATCCCCTACATTCCGGCGCCCAAAACTCCCATGTACGGAGTATGGGACAGGCGGCCCTAGAGCCAGGTTAACGGATATATATTTACGGAGCATACCCTGATGCTTGGGGGAGGGGGGATCCATACCCGCTAAACCGCCTGCAGTACCAGGTCTGTACACGCCTGTAGGGATGTCCCCTTCACCTCTCAACTGCCTTGGACTGTGACCAGAAAGCCCAACCTTGTGTTTAGATTAAAAAACCTGGGGGCAGACAGCAAGGCTCTGCTTGATTGGATAGGGGTCGAGTTTCCCTTGATCCGGAGGAGGTTTGGCTCAGATGATCCGTTAATATTACTGACCAAAGACCTGCGGCTGAGACACCTGGCTGCGCCTAAATACTCTATTCACAGCGGGAGAGGGGAACAGCCAGCGTCCAAGCCCCGGCGGCCTCCCACCCGCAGTCTTGTTCGTCGCTGTACCAGGCTGTGTCGCCGAGATCTTCCATGATGCCGCGTTCGTTCGTTCGTTCGTTCGTATACGTCGATCAGAGAAAAAGCAAGAAGCAGCACAGAAAGGGCCTGAGCTGCTTAGGTAAGGCTGTTTACAGATTATGTAAGGTATACTCTTGGCATTATCACGTGTCATACGGTGCTAAGTTATTCCATCCGAGTCACATGATACGACCTTACATAAGAGTGACTGACTAATCATCTACTATCCCGTGACTTATCCCGTGACTTATGCCAAGACCAAAAAAGGACAAGATGGAAAGTCACACGAGATATCAGGGGAAGCATCACCAAAGACATGGAGTATGTAACACTGCAAACTTGTTATGTTGTTCTCTACTACGGAGTACAGAGTAACACTCGCTTGAGTGTTCAATTCACGGACATCCAGGCCATTAACTAAGCAGAATGGCCGTCATCGTCTTTGTAATGGCTGTACACTCAGCTCCTAACATATATGCTGGCATGAACGAGTGCTGGGCATGATCAATTAAGGACAGGCAAGGGATGACCAGTACGGAGTAGAGCAGGGCTATCTTCAGTCACCAGTCTAGACAGGCCGTGGGTTGACAGAGCATTGTCTTCCTCATCGTCTGCATCTTCGTCGTCGTCGTCGTCGTCGACCATTATATAAGCATCTTCAACACGTGATCACATCGCACACTTTTCTCCATCGCGAGAGAACTCGAACCAGGAAGGATATACGGTCCTCCTCGCATGCGATTTCGATAGTTAGCAGCTTCCTTCGCGCCGAGCCACGGTCCTCCATACCGCGCCCCCTAGCCGAGCACATGCATCTGTCGTCGATACGGAGCTTGCTGGTTGAGGGATGAGTTGCCGCAGAGTCGAGATCTCAGCTGGCGCGGTGGATGTGCTGCGGACGCGGCCTGGGGGACAGAAGCCTAATACGCATCGTCTATACCAGATCAAGACAATGCTTGATTACCTAAGGAAGCAGATCCTTCGCAGGGTTTCAGCTCGATATCAAAAAAAAAAAAAACCGGGACTATCAAATCTCCAACGATGTCGAGTCTGGCCGTGGACTATTGGCCAACTTATGCGGAGACATGCACTATCTCCTATTTATAGTCGAATAGCTGCGCATGTCAGGCCTTGACTGTACACACGGCGTTTCCTAGCCAGCAGGCGACTGGTGCTTCTCAGCCAAACCAGCATGGCGATGACAAATGTCCTTCCATGAAGGGTCCCGCAGGATAGCGTTTGCGTTCCCTTGTTCCTATTGCTTGTCGTTGCTTGTCTTCGGGTTTCAGCCTGTATGATTGGCCTTCACTCCCGGCCTTGTTGGCTGGTGAAAAAGCTTAGGATGGCCCTAAATCCTTCAGTATCAGCATCAGCCTCACCAGCCAGCAAGGACCTCGCATAGCAACCAATCTACGGCCCCTTTTTTCTTATTTCGTTTCCAGCCTCGTTTTTTCTTTTTTGTTGGGCTCTTGGAGTATTTATATTTGCTGCGCTGCTGCCTCTGGGGTTAAGGTCAAGCTTCTTTGCCAACCCTACCAAGCCTCGAGGGCACTTCCTATTTCCTTGGTATCCTTCACCATGCAGCTCAAGAACCTCTTCCGCCGCAACTATACGGACTCCAACTTCCGGAGGCCACTTCCCTTCGTCGCCAGCCCGGTTCTCACTGAGCAGGAGCTGCGAGATGAGAAGAAACACCATGGAGACCACAACCACCACGGGTCTTCCGCCCCGGAGGAGCAGTCGTTTCCCACCGACTGCCCCATCCTCAAGAAGAACCATGAAGCTACCACAATGGAGCTGTTCTATGATCTGTTCTTCGTAGCCACCCTCGCCATCTTCCATGCTACGCACGAGATCAACACTTCTGATAGTATGTGCTCCCTCAACCATTGGGTTTGAACATTCCACGTCCTCACACCGTCGTTAGGCGTCAAGTCATATATCGCCTTCATAACCATCCTATGGTTCTGCTGGTTGCAAGCTGCCCTCTTTGATATCAGATTCTACACAGACTCGATAGTGGCACGAACCGCCAAGGGCCTCCATCTTGGTATCATGACTGGACTTGCTGTCTTGTCTGTCAACTTCAGTGTTACAGATATCGTCGACCACCCTGGCCGATTTGCTAGTATGTGCTATGTCCTCATGGCATCGCGATTGATCCTAGTAGGGCAGTATTCGATCGTGGCTTGGTTTCTCAGGCACCACAAGGATACCTTCACCGCCAAGGTCCTTACTATTGGTACCCTGTTTGTCGCCGCGATGGTGTTCCTTGGTCTCGGTGTGAGCGCTCGTACCCTTCACTCGCCGAGGGCACACATTGCATGGTATATCGTGATCGCGGTTGAGGCCGTGTTCATGGTTACTATTTCCAGTTTCTGGAAGGTCCTGTCGTTTAAAGGAACCCCGATTGTTGAGAGGTTTGGATGTCTTACCTTGATCGTCCTCGGGGAGGGAATCGTCGGAATGACCAAGGCTGTACGTCTCTCAAACCGTCCTAACTACATTGGTAGAAGCTAACCCCTATGGCAGATCAAAAGCATTGCCCTAGGCACATCAAACGTATCAGGAACGTCCGTTGGCCTGATAATCTGCCATGTGTTGATCATTTACCTGGTCTATATGCTCTACTTCGACCAAGTCGACGCGAAACGTTTCGGATCCATCCGCCAACAGATATGGGCTGTCCTCCATTACCCACTGCACATTGCCATCCTTATTACCAGCGAAGGAAGCCGTTCCTTTGTCCTATACGACGTTGCTAGAAGTCTTTATCAAGACTCTCTTGTTGGGCCCCTAAACAAGATAGACCAGGTTCAAACAACGGCTGATCTGATTGAAGGTCTCAAAGAGATTGTTGCCGGGATCTCAAGCCGACTTAAGTCAAGCGATGGAATGCCAGATCTTACTCCCATCTACGATAAGATATCGGCGATTACAAATATCAGTGAGTCTGCAGAGGAAATAGCCGAGCTTGGACGAGAGTTTTTGGCAGAAGTATTCGTCTGGATTATGAAAACTTTCGGCATCGAGGTTTCGGCCAAAGGGGCAGCAAAAGGTAGTGGCGCCGCCCTACACGAGCTCAGAGAGATTTCTTCAGCCGCAACTGTTGTTTTTCGATTCTTCTTTATTGCGGCCGGGATAACCCTCGTTATTCTCGCAATGATGCACTGGTTCTCCAAGGCCCATAAGAGCCGTGCAGAGATGCTGAGCATTGCCAGTACCACTGTAATCGGCGTACTCCTCTCCCTGGTGGCCATCATGTCAAACTATGACGACAATTCGGACGCCGCCCAGGAGTCCGCTCTGGGTAAATATATCGATAGTGCTTGGGTAACGCCTACCGTTGTACTCACATATCTTTTTGGTAAGCTTTCCATACCTTTCACTTATCCTATCTCCATCACGACCCCCCTGTTCTAAAGCAACGTGGCTAACGAGCTCTAGTCATTGCAATCGACAATGCGATTATCTGGGTCTCCTATTTCCGCAGACGCGGAAGCGAAGCACACGTGGAATACGCGCCAGTGGCTTGAAAGACCTACTCGGTAGTAAATGCAGACGATTGATAACCTTAATGAGCTTGTGATGCCTTGGAGCCTGCTATTGTGATTAGTCTCTTATGGAAAAATAACTATTAATGGAGCCGAGAATCAGACACGGGCTTGTCTACTCGCATAATATGATGTGTATAGCGTATTAAATTTACCGTTGCAATACATCTTTCTTTTCAATATCGACTGTTTTTAATTTTTGAGCACACCGGCATGTCACTTGAGGGTGAGCCAGGGATATAAGGGGGTCAAAAGTAGTTTCCATAGTAGTATAACGGGAATCCATATGGTTAAGAGATCTCGATACCCCAACCCCCTTATTGGTGAACATGGATGATACCTGCCCAGTTTACTGTCCCAGTTTACTACCATCTAGTGCTACCATACGGAATTATTGTTAAAAAAGTGTTCCATAAACCCGAGTCACGTGGTGTCATCGGCGAATACTTTACCCGTTTACGAGCCGAGGTCCGGGAGCACGCGCGCGATCACGATAAGAAGAAACTCCGCCGGCAAAAGAGAGAGAAAGAGAGCTCTCTCGGCTTCCATTTTATATTTGATCTCCGTTGCTGCTCTGCTTTCTTTGTTTTATATATATATATATACCGGTTTGTTGTGCGTTTACTACTCGGGTCACCTTCGCGCTACATATTCTAGATATTCTATACCCTTATCCCCCCAACCTTGCGTTCTCACACCATGACGTCCAAAATCCCCGCCGCCTCTGTTCCGGCACCACCACAGGAGGAAAAGGCCATATCATCCACTCTGGCGCAAGTCCGCTCCTTTGTGGCGGGCGGAGTCGGTGGTCTATGTGCCGTCGTAGTCGGTCATCCCTTTGATTTGGTGAAAGTACGCCTCCAGACCGCCGAGCGAGGTGTGTACACGGGCGCCATAGATGTGGTTAAAAAGACCATTGCCCGAGAGGGTGTAGCAAGAGTGAGTGACGCCCCCCTTACGTTTGTATTCGAGATATCGCTTAGATTGCTAATAATTTCTATGATCTAGGGCTTATACGCCGGTGTTTCTGCGCCGCTTGTTGGAGTTACGCCGATGTGTACGTTGCTGACAACTTCCTTCTATCAATTATGACTTTCTTTAACTAACATTTTAATGGATTTATAGTTGCCGTTAGCTTTTGGGTAGGTTTTATCTACTCCCTATCGTCTACCTCTTCGACTTGAATTCTAACAGGAGATCTATAAAGGGTTACGATTTGGGAAAGACACTTGTTCGCAGCGTGTCCGATGTCCCTGTACACAATAATACTCCGCAGTTCTCTATTGCTCAGATATCTGCTGCCGGATTCTTCTCCGCTATCCCCATGACCTTAATTACGGCCCCATTTGAGAGAGTGAAGGTATTGCTTCAGATTCAAGGACAACATCCACCACCGGCTGGTCAAAAACCAAAATACAGCGGCGGAGTTGACGTTGTCCGACAATTATACAAAGAAGGTGGAATCCGAAGTGTCTTCCGTGGGAGCGCCATGACTCTCGCTCGTGATGGCCCCGGATCTGCTGCTTACTTTGCTATGTATGAGTATGTGAAGCGGAGCTTGACGCCCAAGGACGCGGACGGGAACATCACGGGCGAATTGTCTCTTCCTGCCATCCTGACTGCTGGAGGAGCTGCTGGAGTAGCCATGTGGATCCCTGTTTTCCCTGTTGATACCGTCAAGTCACGCCTACAGAGTGCACCCGGCAAACCAACCATCGGAGGCACCATCAGGGGTATCTATGCAAGCGGCGGTTATAAGGCTTTCTTCCCCGGCTTCGGTCCTGCTCTAGCAAGAGCAGTCCCTGCCAACGCAGCCACCTTGTAAGGCCACCACCCCTTGGTCCATCTCCCATTCCATCATCCTATGCTAATCAAATTTCTTTAGCCTCGGTGTCGAGTTAGCCCATAAGGCCATGACGAAGATGTTTGATTAAGCGGATTTTCATTTTTCCCGATGACTTCCACGGTATACAAACCAACAGAGACTTGACCCCTAGATCCACCTCGTACGGCATTGATACTGATGAGATGTTCCAAGTTGGTGGCTAATCCACATGGCCCTTTCAGCGCTTATATTAGCATTCTTTATGCTGCTCTCTACCTCTCGTGAGAATTAATCTTCTGGAGTACGAAATATGGTTATAACTTTAGCGGGTACATATCTGCTTACTCGTTTCTGCCTCTATCTCTACATAGAACCTGGCATTTCCCTGGATATAAAATATTGGCGCATTATGTTTGCATATTATTCCATAGACGTTTATATTTCGGTTGTTTCATTAATTCATAGTCTACCTTCCCTAGTCTTATCTCATAAAAGCCTCATTTTAATTATACCTATGCCTTGAATTTGCCTTCACAGTAAGGACATTCGTCAAATCTGTCAAGGACCATTCCGAGTAATCCATTGGCCCCTTCTTTGCTAAGAGCTGCACTGGTATTTTCGAGGCACTCCTTTTCGCATCTAGAACATCGCTTAGAGATAGACGGATCTTGAATTGATAAGAACGTCAATGCACACCGGGCTATATTTCAAAATTATCTCAGTAATAGATCCTACGAGGGAACGGTCAGGTTGCATACATACCAAAGAGGTGTCCTTCTGCGCACTGGGATTCTAGAGAAGAAAACCATTCAATCCCACTGCCGCAAATATCACACCTTTCAAACAGGTGGGCTCCCGCGCATTCAAGTTGGTCTTTTGGTTTTGGTGGTATTATTCTGGTGCTTGGTCTATAAGGGTCGGGTACAGGTAGGGGTAGTTCCTGGTCGGGTTCGGCTAGGTAACTTATTTCTTGACTCAGGTCTACACCATATTCTTGGGCTAATGACTGCATCACTTCTCGCGCGCGCGCGATTAGCTCCATATCTGAATCATGATGGACTATCACACAGCAAGCAGCCGCATAAAGAAGTTTTTGCGACCGTGGATCGTTTATAATCCCGGTTCCATGATACTTTAGCATAAACTGTATAATTTTGCGCCTAGAATCGTGTATGCCCTCGGGTGTGATAGTTGGTAGGTGCCACGGCATACCAGGCTCGGTATGGTCAAATCTGCCCTGGCAAGGAGGTGCAAAAAACGTTGTCATTCGCTCTTGAGAGGAAGTTGTATGTTGTACCATATCAGTAGGATGAAACGTTGCACAAATGGCAATCCACCCGCGATGGCTGCATACCCCCCAAGTTTTTGCCGTTGACATGCCTCCCAGGTCGTAATCTAGATCGAAGCGGTCTCTGAATCCTTCGAGATCTTTCCCCAAGTAAGAAATTTGTGTGAAGCCATCGTCATCCGGCAATTCCTGTACTTCCGTATTCATACTAGGGAACTTCAAAGAATGCAAAGATGATAAAGTTATGGTATAAAGGGTACTGCCTTCACCTGAATCGTCTCCCATAGAAGTAAAACCTAGACCAAACGTTAGAATTGTAAATGAAAAAGGGTATACAATAAGTAATACCTGAAACTGGGTGCCAGTTGGCGGAAGACGCTGCAAACTTTTCTTTATGAATCGTTCCTTCGATATGGGACTGGACACGTGATATTTTGGGAATCTTTTGAACAATAAACCCATTCATTATCCCGGCAACTAGTCCAAAACTATCATCATGCTCCTAGCTCATGAGAATTAGTCACACCCAACACTCGAAGTGCAGATAAGGTGACGTACTGAGGTAGTAAGCCAGTGCAAAGGGCCTTTTATGTCGGAAATACTCGAGGACGATTGAAAAGATAGCCCCTCATCATAAAGATCAAGCTTGCTGATTATAGCCTCGTTGGGTACCGGAGTAACCCCCGTCTCTAAATGTAAGATCTTCAAGTCCGACCCATATATAAGGGCGACTAAAGACGACCAAACCTCAAGTCCCGATTCTTGAGTATCTTCTAACTTCTTCAGCCAGGGGCTGCATGAGATGGCAGTGACGCTAACCCTGCTTGCGGCCAACTCTGCGAATAGTGAGCTTTGCTCAATCGATGGAGAAATTTGGACACCTAGCGGGGAAAACGAGTAATGAGAGATAACTGTAGCACGCACAGCTCGCCCGTGTATGGGTTCGAGTATTCTGAGGACAACTATATCATTGGTGTCGTTGCTGACGATGAGGAAATTCATTCTGTAGCTAGAAGATACATCCTGATTATTAGGTTCATTTTGGGCCTGGGTAGCTGTTAACAAAGGGTGACTCCAGGAAAAGGCCCTAATTCTTTGCTTTCGCCGGAGAAGAGCATTATCATCCCCCACGATGTTCTTGAAATAGCCCCGGAGTGAATGGTTAATAACCAACACCCTATTCCACTTCGAAGAGCCGTCTGTTGCCTGCCAGAGCGACAATGCCAAGTTACTGGTCAAAACAGCCAACATGCATTTCCTGTATGCCGCAAGACGGGGAGGAGACCAGGCTATTGACACTGCATGGCTGGTGGATTGCTCCTCGCCAATGGAAAATGTAGCACCAGGCTCTGGGAGTAAGAGAGGCAATTCATCTAGCGTGAATGCATTGGTTTTGAGCTTGGATATATCCCACTGGAGCCCTGCTGGTCGCTGAGCAGCGTGATCATGTTGTTTTTCCTCGCTACTCGGCTTTGGAGACTGTTTTGGTACGAGTCAGTGATACATGGCGATAACTTAAGGCAAGGCGCAACCGACCAGTACGTAGACTATTTCCCCTGCGGCAATGGCAAGTTCGCCATCTTCTGACCACGATAGACAATTATAGCATGAAGGATATGAGCGGAGCTCAAGGGGTTCTAACATGATGTCGAGAGCTGCATGAGCAATATCTCAAAACATGGTTCGTGAAGCGAGGTGAAGATATCCCAATATTCTTCCACGGTCGACTTGGAATAAGCGGGGTTCAGTAAATATGAAAGTAATCCCTATTCAATGATTACCCCGTCTTGATGAGTAAATGCGGCCAAGGACAAAGATTTGGATAGGTTTATTGGTAAATTTATTATCGATGGTAGTTAACTACAGGAATGATTCTTGGCGTTCAACCACAGTTAACAGGGGGAGCAATAGATGGTAAATGTTGTTACAACGTCCACAGCTAAGTAACTACTAGATCGAAGAGTTTCCCAGCTATAGGATCCCATGTCCCATCCCAGCGATTCCTACTCTCTCGAATAGCTCCGTCTCGTAGCACTTTCAGATCGCTTCCACTCCCTCCAAAGAGGCTCGTGAGAAGCTCCAGCAACTTATCTGCACTATCAAACCCCTTTCCGTTGACGCCCTCAGTGACAAGTTCGGGCCAGGCTTCATATCTATCCCACCCTATGACGGGAAGACCGGCTCCAAACATATCAACGACCTTCATTGGCAAATCGACACCGCTGCTGCTGGTATGTAAGCAGACTCCCAACGACGCACAGGCAAGTAGCCGAGCGTAGCTTTCGAAAGCCAGCCATACTAATTTTATAGATACATTAGAGAGTTCTCCCCGCGCCGTTAAGCTGGCAACCTGGGAAAGGTACATTTCCTTCTGAGGTCCTTTTCCCGTTATGATAACAAGAAGAGATGGAAGGTTCGGATGAGAGGACTTGGTCAAGTTAGAATAGCGACAGAGAGCGTCGACAAGAAGAGAAAAGTCTTCATCCGGTGTCCAAGAGGTTGAACTGATTAGAAGTCGGCATCGGCCTTGGATGATATCTTTGGCATACGGGCTGGTTTCGGGCAGGGAAGACAGGAAGTCAAGACGCTCCCGCTCGTCAAGAATAGGATTGAATATTGTCGGAGGCCGATCATGGAGCACGAGGAGAGGGCCCTTGACTTTTACCTGCTCACGCAACACTCGTGCCATCGCGTTGCTGACGCAGAAGTGGGCGGTAGCAAAATGGGAGAACGAATATTCATGCCATGCCATTAGCTTAACCATGGGGTGTGCAGCTCCAAGCTTCAATGCAAGGATAGAATACCCAAAATTATGCCAGTCTATGATGAGATGGGTATTCCGGAGACGACAGGCAAGCTGCGCAATTGCGAGTGTTGGCGCTGCAGGGGGGTTCTGCGGGTATATGCAGTCGGTTCTTAGTAGGCTGATTCCACGGTAGAGCTCCTGTCCGACCAGAGACGATACAGGCGAGTAGCAGCATATACGCAATAGATGGCGAATAGGGGATGCTTACCTGTATTAACATCCACTTCGCCGGGGTCGTACGGTAAGCCAGCGCAGCCCACAGGTGCCATGTTTGGTGCAGAACCTTTAATACGGCAACGACGGGAAAGAGAAGCTTGCTGGATGACTGCAGAAACCGTGGAGGAGAGGGCAGGGCCACGATAGAGACAAGAGGATGTTCCACCAACTCCAGGTTCGGGGTAGAATCTGCAACAATTTAGTCTCGGCGATATGGATTGGTTTTCATAGAACAGCCGGCACAAGCATACTGTGGTATCCTATAAGTGAAACCCGGCCGCCATGCCGTGCAATGCTGAGCGCATGGCACTGCATACGTGGGCTATGCCCTATATCCCCGAGGACAACGATCTGAACTGACACTGCATCAGGCTCAGGGGCGCCTGGTTGTGCCTTTCCATATCTCGTGGGCCGCAGCTGCAACACGGCAAGCAGAAAGATGCTGGAGACCGCGATGAGCGCCAACATCAACAGCATTGCCTTATACAGGCTACTATACATCTATCACATATATCATATCAACATATCAATCAACATATCAACATGTCATCAATATCAATATCAAATGGCCAAAATGGTCAAAGGTGGCCTTTGGGCGCTTATATAAGCACGTAGTCAGCATACCGGCTTAATAATCTTCCGTATGCGGGGAAACGCGCTCCTTTAGGAAATAAGTGGGGTTGAGATCGGCTAGATAAGCAGGGTTAGCTGACATAAGCAGCCGATAAAGCGGCGTCTTGGCTGGCTTCTTTCGTTTCTTGTTCGTTGTTCGTTTCTTTTTGCGACGCCCCCTTGACCTTCTTGACCTTCTTGACCTTCTTGACCTCCCTGACCTGTCGCGGTGGCCACTTCGGACACTGACAGACGGCTCCATTGCACGCTGAGATATGACCTTGGCCTCAAACTAGCCGACAAAGTTGCCAGACGCCAGACGTCAGACGCCAGAACCTGCTACAGCCTGCCGGCGGATCGCTATCTCCAGCCGAGCTCGCAGCGAACAGTACCATACCCAGCCTGATCAGCTTCTCTGTCGTTTGTCAATTGAACCTCTCCATCGTGTTACGTGTGGCGATGGACTAGTCATTTTCGACCGGGCAAGCTTATGGGATAATGGAGGATGTCAGTCGCATCGATTTCACCGGCCATCAATGGCGTCCGCGGGGGGAGGTCTCATCGCGGACGGGGCCATAAAAGAAACCATGGCCACTCCATCAACGATACACAGCAGCAGTTTTCTTCATATCCGGGCATCCTAACGCCGCCACAACATACGCAACCATCCCCTTATCTTCCGAGTTCCGCCGAACAGCCGCTCCCCCAGCGGTACCTGGACAAGCAGGAGCCCGGGCACGTCAGCCTGTCAAACGGAGGATTAGCCAACTCGAACAATTATCACAACCATGCCAGTTCTGTATCGCAAGATAGCTTTGTGTTTGGGCATGTGGCTGGTGGGCACCAGGAACATTCGGCTACAAGGTCAGTTGTTCAATCCTGCATTCCCTAATATTAATATGCCAGCAAGGGCTGACCGTAAGATACTAGCACCGCTGGTCTCACATCGCAAGCGGTCTCCGGGATACTCACGGCCCTGCCATTTGTGGCATCTTACCTTCTTACGACTGTCAGTGCCAGTCTTTCAGAGAGTGCCAACTCTGAATCAAAATCTACCAAGACCCCACGTCCTCATGGGCTAGCGGATAGCCCACTTCTCAGTTCCTGCGCCTATGTAGCTGCCGCCCTGCTAGTTTTGGGCGGATATGGGAAGATTCGGCCAAGACTGTGGAAGGAGAGTGCAGGCGTCATTATGCCTGCTCACACGATCAATTCAAACCTCTATGAAGGCATGCGGATGGCATTTTGGATAGGACTGCCACTCTATGCCTCATTTATGATTGGGTTTGACCTTGTTGTTTCCGTTTTGCTTCTTCGCCTTTCGGCGGGCGTGGAGGCGGGACCTAAATCTAACATGTGGACGAGGGTAACGCAAGTCGTTAAGCAGAGAAAGATCTCGTCCCTATTTATTCTCGCCATGGTGGCATTGGATGCTGGTTACATGTCACCATCTGACCCTTTTACCTTATTTAAAGGATACCTCGCTCTTATATTGACCCTGGCATTTTCACCGTCCGGCTCCCTACCTCCGCCCGCCAATGGTGCGGTAGATGAAAAATATGCTGCTGGGAAGGATAGTGTCGACCACGCGGCTACCGTGAATATCGCCGTTGGAACGATACTCGGAGTCTTGGTCGTGTTTGTTGCCATGTTTATGGGCAACTTCCCTGCCACGTCTCTATCGTTATTTTCAATCTTGCTCGTTGGCCTATGTACAGCAATATCTCAACTGGGCGTAGGAGCTCGACCTGTCGGGGGATCCAGTCAACCTTCGCTTGCCTCGGGCGCTAGCTTGGTGGTTTTGGCTACACTGGCGGTATCCCAAACGCATCTTATAACTCTACAGGCGATTCGTTTTGGCTTGGCTGGCCTAGCATCCTTTATTGATGGCAGACTGGCACAGGGACACAGCCATTCGCATGAAAAGGTGGAAAAGAAGCCCTCCAGGGTGACGCTATGGCTGTTAAAATCTTGTGAACACTGGCCTTTCATACATGCTATCTTGAAGGAGAGGGATTCCCGCCGGATTTTCTACTTTATGAAGTGAGTTCTTCATGCTAATCGTATGCAGTTGGGAATTTTTGCTAACCTAAGCTTATAGCCTCAATCTTGTATTTATGGTGGTCCAGCTTACATATGGCATCGTCACAGGCTCCCTGGGCCTTCTTAGTGACAGTATACATATGCTGTTCGACTGCTTTGCACTAGCTGTTGGCCTGGCTGCCGCTGTCATGAGTAAGTGGCCTCCAAGCTCTCGTTTCCCCTATGGTTACGGGAAAATCGACACGCTTGCGGGGTTCGGCAATGGAGTGTTTTTGATGTAAGTCACATTCTGTAAGAAGCTTGTAGTATGCCATTTGTCTAACTGTTTTATAGGATTATCAGCGTTGAAATCATATACGAGGCCATCGAGAGACTCATGTCTGGCAGCGAAGTCCACAGAATTGGCGACCTCTTTATCGTTAGCTCCCTTGGTCTTGTCGTCAACATGGTTGGGATATTTGCCTTTGACCATGCTCATCATGGCCATGGCCACGGTGGCCACGATCATGATCACGGACACGGGAACGAAAACATGCACGGTATATTTCTGCATATACTTGCTGATGCCCTCGGATCAGTAGCTGTGGTTTCGTCGACTATACTTGTGCACTTTTTCGGCTGGTCCGGATTTGATCCGATTGCTTCGTGCCTCATCGCCATCTTGATCTTCGTATCCGCGATCCCACTCGTTATTAGCACATCTAAAACACTACTCCTTGCGCTGCCCGCAGATGTCGAGTATAGCCTCCGTGACACATTAGCCGCCGTGAGCGTCATGCGAGGCGTGGTGGGATACACTGTTCCAAAGTTTTGGCTGGACGATACCGTACACGACCACAACCATAAACATCACCATCATGGCCATGATCATGGTCACGACCACAGTCACGACCACGGCCATGCTCACCACGATCATCATGGCCACAACCACAGCCATGACCACGAACATCATCGCGCAGGGAGCCATTGCTCCTCAAACCACAGCCACGGCTCCAAGGGCGGCCATTCCATCCATGAGAGCCATTCCCATAGCCATAGCCATGGCCACGGCCACGGCCACGCCCATAGTCACTCAGGGCACGAACACAACGGTAACAGACGTGTACTCGGCGTCATACACATCATCGCATCCAAAAATGCGGACCTGCCAGATGTCCAGGCTCGCGTGTCCAAGTATTTGAGTGAGAGAGGCATGAATGTACTGGTGCAGGTCGAAAGAGAAGGAGACGGCAAGTGCTGGTGTGGTGGGGGTAACCGGGCTATCTCATGATAGTCAATTGATTAGAGGCATATGGGGCTCCGTTTTCAGCAGTTAGCCTTGACTGATATACATGTACGCTCAACGGCTGGGGGTTACGTATGTTATGTGACACTTCTGTTTTTCTTTTCCTACCACTAGATCTGAGAAAGTTGGCTTCCTCCATAGACATGTACAAGAAAACATGTACCAGAGCTCAATTGAGATATCATTCCTTGCATTTGTAGTGTAGGCACTGGAATCAAGCTGCCATGTCACGAAACAACACCGCCACGCATAAGAGAAACCCCGGGTAAAGTAACCTGTCTAGATCGAGCGAGAAGTAGGTATAAGGGTATGTATTGACCGTTGAAAAAGACGAGGGTTATATAACATAAAAAGCACTCAACGCCGTAACCCCAACGCTGTGCATGGCAAAAAAAAAAAGAGACGAGGCGGTTGAAAGATGGAATCTGAAATCATATCGAATGCGTGGCTGGCTTCGGCAAGGGAATAATAATAAAGGAGAAAGCGGGAAACTGCCGATACCCTCGGTAAACGAGGCGTCTTCAGCTCGACGGCGGTGGGTTTGCAGGTCGTATCTGTCGTGTGGCAACGCTTTTGAGGAGTCGGCAGCAGGCGGGGGAATTCGTTCTAAATGATGCTCGCTGGAGATATCTAGACTAGTCTTCCCAGCTCTTCTCGACGGTCTCACGGACCCGTTTTGTATACTCTCGACGGTTGTCCTTGTAGAGGTTTGAGGCCTCGACATTGGCGGGAGACGATGTGTTGGGGTCGTTCAGCAGACTGTAACACGCAGGTTAGGAATATGACGCCGCGTAGGGGGAGAAACCGGGAGGTCATCATACCTCTGAATGCTGGTTAAAATGGCTGCCACGTCGTAGGTCGGACTCCAACGGTTCTGCAGGATGTCCAGACACAGTTCGCCGGTGCTGTATACGTTTGGATGGAACATCTGGCTAACGAACTTGACACCCGGGGGCTTGTTGGGGTACTGTTCCTCGAAATGCATCACCAGGCGGAACGTTCCATCTTCGAAGGGAGTATCCGCGGGTCCAATGATGACGGCGTTCCTGATCGTCAGATCGTCAGCATGCTTGCAACAGACAGCAGCTATCAAGGGGGAGAGCGTACCAGGTCATGACATTATCGGCGATGGGAGAAGCAGATACGCCAGCAGGCGGGTCGGTCTGCATCCGCTGTAGGAGAGGGACGTTAGCTAACAGCCAGGAGTAGAGGAAGCCCGTCTGACACCGATATACCGTACCTTGAAGTCTCTCATCAAGCGACGACGGGCGGAGGTAGACATGGTGGTGGTGGGGAGGAGACACCGGCGTTTATGACAGGAGAGCTGACGGGGATAGTGCTGCTTCGACGGATAACCGGTGAGATATCAACAGGCGTGGTAGTTTAGTATAGAGACGACAGGGCGTACGGCGTAATGTGAAGATGGAACGGTGGTGGTGTTGGTGGTGGTGACGGGGATAACTTCAACCACGCGAGCTTCGTCTTCTTCCTTGCTCTCTTGTCTCCGTTTTCCTTTCTTACTTCGCTTTTTCTCTCTCTTTCTCGCTTTCGTTCTTTCGTTTTTCCTTTCGCGGTAGAAGCTGACTCAGCATGTGCCAAGATACACAAAGGAACAACGTATATCCGAAGACAAGTCTCGTGACATCATGTGATACCATGTGACGCTGAGTCAGCATCGGTGGTCGGAGCCGAAATACCGAAATATTAGCACGTGATGAGCGGGTAGTTTCGGCTTGAGAAGAAATTCCCGAGATTCTTCCGGCGGGCAGAAAGAACGACGAGAAGAACGACGACGAGAAGAACGACGACGAGAAGAAGAGAAGAAGAAGAAGAGAACAGGAGACGAAGAGAACATCTCATTGAAGTTATAATATCTGATCACTGCTCAGCTCTACCTCACAATGCAGCGTACGTCCAGACTGGCTGCCGGCTCGATACAGAGACTCGGACAGGTCCAGAGACACTTCAGCACATCCAGCGCCCTCAGACGAGAGATCCAGGATGCATATATCCTCGGTGCCGCCAGAACACCAACTGCTAAGGTGAGTTGGCTCTTATATACGGCTCGGTGGCTTTACAGCTCTGCTGACCCTTCTCTGTCTAGTTCAATGGCTCCTTCACCACCGTCCCGGCGACCAAGCTCGGCGCGGAGGCCATAAAGGCCGCCGTCAACAAGTCCAAGGTCCCCGTCGAGAAGATCACCGATGTCTACATGGGCAACGTCCTCCAAGGCTCCGTCGGCCAGGCTCCCGCGAGACAGGCCTCCATCTTCGCCGGACTGCCCAACACCGTCGAGGCCGTCACCATCAACAAGGTGTGCGCCTCGGGCATGAAGGCTGTCGTGATAGCCGCGCAGAACATCCAGCTTGGCCTCGCGGAGGCCCAGGTCGCCGGAGGGATGGAGAACATGTCCCGCGTCCCTTACTACCTTCCCCGCGCAAGCCAGCAGGCCCCCTTCGGCGACACCAAGCTCGAGGACGGCCTGATCAAGGACGGTCTCTGGGACGTCTACAACCAGTTCCACATGGGCGTCTGCGCCGAGAACACGGCCAAGAAGCACAGCATCACCAGGGAAGAGCAGGATGCGTACGCCATCCAGTCCTACGAGCGTGCCCAGGCCGCGTGGAAGGAGAACAAGTTCGACGACGAGATCACTCCCGTTACCGTCAAGTCGAGAAAGGGCGAGGTCGTCGTCTCCCGGGACGAGGGATTCGAGGATCTACGCGCAGACAAGATCCGAAACCTGAAGCCTGCCTTTGTCCGCGACGGAACGGGAACCATCACCGCCGGAAACGCCTCCACGTTCAACGACGGCGCATCCGCCCTCGTCATCACGAACGAAGCCCTTGCCCGTGAGTACGGCCCTGGAAACCGGGTCCTGGCCCGCATCGTCTCGCACGCCGACGCCGCCATCGACCCCGTCGACTTCCCCGTCGCCCCGGCAAAGGCAGTGCCCATCGCCCTCGAGCGAGCCGGGCTCACCAAGGACCAGATCTCCGTCTGGGAGTTTAACGAGGCCTTTGCCGCCGTCATCAAGGCCAACGAGAAGGTATGCATGGATCTACCCTGTTAACCATGTCTAATCTGCCATTGTCTCCCGCCCATTTTTGTGCTAACCGATCATTGTATAGCTCCTCGGCCTTGAGAACGCCTGCGTCAACCCGCTGGGAGGCGCCATCTCCCTCGGTCACGCCCTTGGAAGCTCCGGCTCCCGCATCATCACCACCCTCCTCCACCAGCTCAAGCCCGGCCAGTACGGTCTGGCAGCCATCTGCAACGGAGGCGGTGCCGCCACGGCTATTGTAGTCCAGAGGCTCGAGAAGGTCGAGTAGTAATACGTTTCCATCTACCTTTTGGCCCTGTGATACCGTCATGTTAGAAGCGAGTGTATAAAATATTCCAATGTATCAGAACGATATAATCGATCAGTTAGCGTCTTGCCATATACATTCCTTCACCCATGGTTCGGCCTAGCTCCAGGGGCAAGTAAACAAAGGCGAGTAAACGACACACCGTCATACTTGCCGGGAAGTCGACGTTCATCGCAGTGAAGAGCAGAACTGGTGTCTATCGATGTTGCTATGTTGCTGGCGATGTTGCTGGCGTGTTGGCGTAAATAGTTAAACTCACGTGGGTCTGACACCCCTGGCCAAATATATTCCACCCATTTTCAACAGAACAGAGCGATGCATTTCACGGCGCCCTGCACATAGACATACAGCACCCTGATATCCCGCCGGCGGACCCAGTGTACAGTTGGCTCGTCGCCCTGCGAGCTATCGACCTTTTCCCCTCCCAAGAGCCGAGGACGTTTCCTCAAAGAAGCGACATCATGGCGTGAGTAGCGTCTGGCATGCATCTGCCTTCGCGAATTATTTATCTGAGCAAGACTGACTGGATGTCTCTTCACCACAAACAGTTCCGGGGCCCCCGGAGGCTTCAATACGATCAAAGGTGTGTGATGGCCGGCGTGTCGTGGCATCTCCTGCCCCCTATATAGCTTCTGTTGCTGACTGTTGCGCCTGTAGTCGTTGCACGCTTTAGGCCGCAGAATAAGGTAGAGCTTGCGAACGGTGGTGAGCCGATCGTGGACTTTGAATCAGAGGAAACATGCAGGATAAATGTACTCCCTCCCTCCTGCGCGGACGCCGGTGACCCTTGAATGTGGAATGTCGAAGCTAACCCGGGGCACACGGTCATGATATAGTCAAAAGAGGCCTTTACCTTCGATAGGATATTCGATATGAGCTCCCAGCAATCAAATGTGTTCGATTTCTCTATCCGGTCGACCGTCGACGATATCATGAACGGCTACAACGGAACGGTGTTTGCATACGGCCAGACCGGTGCGGGCAAGTCTTACACGATGATGGGATCTGATATTTTCGACGCCGAGGGCAAGGGAATAATTCCTCGCATCGTGGAGCAGATATTCACCAGTATACTGACCAGCCCTGGTAATATCGAGTACACCGTGCGGGTGAGCTACATGGAAATATACATGGAGCGAATAAGAGATCTGTTGGTGCCGCAGAACGACAACCTCCCGGTGCACGAAGAAAAATCGAGGGGAGTCTACGTGAAGGGTCTACTGGAGATATACGTGTCGAGCGTGCAGGAAGTATTCGAGGTGATGAGACGCGGTGACACGTCGAGGGCGGTTGCAGCGACCAACATGAACCAGGAATCGTCTCGCTCACACTCCATATTCGTCATCACCATCACACAGAAGAATGTTGAGACCGGATCTGCCAAAAGCGGCCAGCTCTTCCTCGTCGATCTGGCTGGTAGTGAAAAGGTTGGAAAAACCGGTGCCAGTGGACAGACCCTCGAGGAAGCCAAGAAGATCAACAAGAGTTTGAGTGCGCTGGGAATGGTCATCAACGCCCTCACCGACGGAAAATCCACACATATACCTTACCGAGACTCGAAGCTTACCAGAATCTTGCAAGAGAGTTTGGGAGGAAATTCTCGAACGACCCTGATCATCAACTGCTCTCCAAGCAGCTACAATGACGCAGAAACCCTCAGCACCCTTCGATTTGGCGCGCGAGCAAAGGCCATCAAGAACAAGGCAAAGATCAACCAGGAATTGAGTCCGGCGGAATTAAAACACTTACTCAAGAAGGCCCAGAGCCAGGTCACGACATTCGAGACTTACATTTCAGCTTTGGAAACCGAGGTCCAGGTCTGGAGAAACGGAGAAAACGTCTCAAAGGAGAAATGGACAGCCCTGAGGTCTGCCGATACGGTTGGTGGCCTCAAAGCGGACGCCCGTGGGCCCCGTCCCGGGACACCGTCCAGGCTACAGTCTGATATATCGAGGTCAGAGACGCCGAGTAGGCCCGACTCAAGGATCGGGGAGAGGTCAAGCACACCAAGCATCGTCCTCGAAAAGGACGAGAGAGAGGAATTCCTGAAGAGGGAGAATGAATTCCAGGATCAACTCGCCGAGAAGGAGACATACATCGCCAACGCAGAGAAGGAAGTCCAAGAAAAGAAGGAAGAACTTAAGATCCTTAAGGAGAACGCTGTTAGGACAGGCAAGGATAACGAGAAGCTAAACGCCGACGTCAACGAGCTCCGTATGCAGCTCGAGAAGGTATCTTACGAAAGCAAGGAGCAGGCCATCACCATGGATACCCTGAAAGAGGCAAACTCCGAGCTTACAGCGGAACTGGATGACCTTAAGCAGCAGCTTCTCGACGTCCGCATGCGTGCTAAGGAAACGAGCGCAGCACTCGACGAGAAGGACAAGAAGAAGGCAGAGCGTATGGCTAAGATGATGGCCGGATTCGACATGAAGGTAGATGTATTCTCAGAGAATGAGCGCAAAATACGACACCTGGTTGAGCGCGTTGACGCTCTCCATGCTACAAGCTCGGCCGGAGAAGCGGTTACTCCAGACGAGTTTGTCGAGCTTCGAGGAAGCCTGGTTGAAGCGCAGGGCGTTGTGAGGCAAGCTGAGCTTGCCATGACTAGCCGCGACGAAGGCTTCCATGGCTCCTTTGACGGAAAGCTGTTGGATAAAATCGCTAGCCTTCAGCATGAGGTTGACGAGCTTCTCGAGCAGCACCTCGGCGAAGCTGATATCTCCGAAATCAAAGAGAAGCTCAGCAAGGCATGTGCCGATGGCAACGAGCTGGAGAACATGGCGCTGGAGCATCTCCGGAATGAACTGTCTCTCAGGGACGAGGAGCTAGGCCGCCTGAGACAGTCAGTCGCTGACTCTACGCCGCGTTCCCAGCCTAATGGCTCCCCAGCCAACACCAACGGCGCAGCGGCCATCAACAGCAAGACCCTGCAGCAGCAGATAGCCGATTTCGATATCATGAAGAAGTCTCTCATGCGTGACCTGCAAAACAGGTGTGAGCGGGTTGTTGAACTTGAAATATCGCTGGATGAGACTCGTGAGCAGTACAAGCAGGTCCTACAGTCATCAAATAACCGCGCGCAGCAGAAGAAGATGGCTTTCTTGGAACGCAACCTCGAGCAGCTCACACATGTGCAGCGCCAACTGGTAGAGCAGAACGGTAGCCTCAAGCGTGAGGTCGCCATCGCCGAGCGAAAATTGATAGCCAGGAACGAGCGAATCGAGAGCCTGGAGTCCCTGCTCCAGGAGAGCCAAGAGAAATTAACGGCCGCGAACCATAGGTATGTACCTCTCCTCAGCTGGTGTTCAGGAGCATGTTATAAACTAACCGTGCCTTTTTCTTTTCCTTAAAAACAGATTCGAAGCACAGCTCACGGCGGTAAAAGAACGTCTGGAAGCCGCGAAAGCTGGCTCTACTCGCGGCCTTTCCTCAGACTCGACAGGATTCGGGTTTGGAGGCTCGCGGATAGCGAAACCACTCCGCGGTGGTGGCGGAGCCGATGGTCCATCGAATGCTGCGCTGTCCAGTGTCCAGGCACAGGAGCCGTCGACGAGTGCTGGCCCAAAACGCACCAGCTGGTTCTTTGACAGACGATAAGCTGGTGATATTTCCTAGTTTTCATGCCTGTTATGCTCTAGTATTTTGGTAATACATTTTTCTTGCCTTTTTGTCTTTTTTTTTTCTTTTTTTTGGAAGAGGCTACAGGATCGGGGTTCAAACGTTCTCCCTTCGAGTTTTAGGATAATAGTACCCGGATAAGGTAGGATAGCTAGTTCTGAGCATCGAGAAGATATCTTTTCCACTGATCCTTCGCCCTTTTCTCCGGACTTACAGAGATTAGTCACTAGCGGCTCTCAAGGTTGCTCCCCGCTGGCTTTCTCCGCATTTTCCCCGGATAACGATGTTTCCTCTCCCACGCCCTGTATACATGATTTCTTGGATAGACTACACGCATCCCTTCTGCACAGCTATTCGAGGCCACGGACACATCAGGTTTTAGAGCTAGGGCTTTGGTCGGTAGTGAGTATGGGCTCCAACCAGTCGAAGCTGCAGGAGGCACCGGGTTCGAGCGAAAAGAACACCGCTGCTGTGAGTATGTCCGGCATACTGCAGCTGAGTGACGATGAATATGTCCACGTCGAAACCGGAGCCCGTAAGTCTTTGGCTACTCGTCTCTTACCCTGCCTGACCTTGGGCCGTTTCCTTATCATCAGACCTTAGCGCCGCCGTACTCCTCCACTCGGGAGAGATCAGTCGGTCTCTCGGCCCAGCAAGCAAGGACATGGGAGAAAGAGCTTCTTGCCGACCCCAAGGTGACCACAAATATGAATGAAAAAGTCCAGCCGATCTTGTTACAGTCTGTCTGACACTGCTGTCTAGAATCGACTTGCGATGTCGGCTCTGTCCGCTAACCCGGTCTCGTCCATCCTGAGCAGCCGTTCGGCGGCAATCACCGATACCCAAACTTTCAATATCAGGATTCCGTTCGAGGGAACCCCGATCACGAACCAGGCGTCTTCGGGCAGATGTTGGATTTTCGCTGCCACCAACGTTTTTCGAGTTGCGCTCATGAAGAAGTATAATCTGGAACAGTTTGAACTGAGCCAATCGTACCTATTCTACTGGGATAAACTAGAAAAGGCCAACTGGTTCATGGAGCAAGTGATCGATACCGCTTCCCAGTCCCTGGACAGTAGGCTGGTACAGCGGCTACTCGAGAGACCCGTGGAAGACGGTGGTCAGTGGGACATGGCCGCAAACCTCGTTCGGAAATATGGACTGGTGGGACTAACCATTCATCAATCCATTTCAACTGCTGGGTCTTTGAGCTGACACTACCCCTGCACGATCAAGGTACCACAAGCGCTCTACCCAGACTCCTTTAGCGCTACACACAGCAGCGAGCTAGGGAGTATTTTAACGACGAAATTACGCGAGCATGCCCTGATCATCCGTCGGATGGCTCGTAGCAAAGATCCGGCTGTTTTTGCATCTATTGCAGACACTAAGGATGGGTTCTTGAAGGAGATTCACTCGATCCTCACTATTATGCTTGGGCCTCCACCGTCCGCCGCAGAGAGATTCGTTTGGGAATATCATGACGCAAAGGGGAAATTTAACAAAACTTCCATGACCCCAGTTCAATTTGCAGCCGGCCTTTCAAGCCGGGACGCTGTTCGTGCCAACCAGGGAACGGATGTGAACGAGCTCTTCAGTCTGGTAAACGACCCCAGGAATTCATATGAACGCCTTTTGACGGTGGACCGATTGGGGAACGTCATTGGGGGGCGACCTATAACATATGTAAACGTATGCATGGATGTAAGTATCAAGCTCCGAGCCACAACCCCTTGGTCCGAATACTGGCTGACTGAACAGTAGGACCTTAAACGGGCCGCGGTCGCCATGCTTCACGCTGGCCACCCTGTATTCTTTAGCTGTGATGTGGGCAAGTTCTCTGACCGCAAGCGTGGCATCATGGACACAGCCCTTTACGACTACTCTCTCAGCTTCAACATCCAATTCGGGATGTCCAAGGCAGGTCGTCTAAAAACTGGCGAGACCGCGATGACGCATGCCATGGTTCTGACAGGAGTGCATGTCGAAAATGGGAAACCTGTGCGCTGGCGAGTCCAGAACTCGTGGGGCCCCGATGTTGGAGACCATGGATGGTTCGTCATGACGGACCAGTGGATGGACGAGTTCCTTTTCCAGGTGGTGGTCGACCAGCGATACGTAGCCCAGAATATAAGGGATGTCCTGACGCAGAAGCCCATCGTGCTGCCGCGTTGGGATCCGATGGGGACCCTTGCGTGAAACTTGGCTTGAATCTTGCCTCGTAGTCAACAGCACCTCTCTCTGGCGTCTGTATTTGCTGGTGATGCTTCACTTATCAATTGTTCTCTCTCAGTCAATTCTTTCCTTACCTTCCACAATTTATGCAAGTAACCGTCACGTGATCGGTCAAAAAATCCCACCAAGTAAAGAGAAAGTTGGTTAAATAGCAGTGACTTCATACCAGCTTCAGCTTCATAAACCGCCCTTTTATGAACGCGATACGCCGATTCATCAAGATGGCAGAGGAAACCGGTGCAAAAAGGCTCAAGTCGCCGCCACTGATTGGCACCCACAAGTAAGTTGCTTGCTATACGCATAGGTGATATATGGCAACTAACGTTACTCCAGTGGCCACTTTCACGCCGACGAAGCGCTCGCAGTTTACCTCCTTCGTCTGCTCCCGGCGTACTCTGGATCTCCGCTTATCCGAACGCGAGACCCGGCGCAATTGGCAACCTGCCATACTGTTGTCGATGTCGGAGGGGTATACGATCCTTCTCTAAACCGCTACGACCATCATCAACGAACTTTTAATACGACCTTTCCCCAGCATGACACGAAGCTTTCTTCTGCTGGGTTGGTATATATGCATTTTGGAAAAGCGATAATAGCCCAGCATATGAACCTCCCCGTTGATCACCAAGACGTGGACACAATTTACAATAAGCTTTACGGAGATTATATTGAAGCACTCGACGCGCACGACAATGGCATTTCTGTCTATTGCCCGAAAGCTATCTCTAATGCTGGCCTAGAGAAGCGATTCCGGGACGGTGGAATTAACCTAGGCTCCTTAATTGGCGATATGAATCGTCCGGGCCCAGGTGAGGATTTGGACGAAGATGCTCTCTTTGCTCGGGCTAGTACCTTTATCGGCGAGACCTTTTGGAGGAAGCTTCACGCCGCAAGTGGCGCATGGTTACCTGCTCGCGCCTCTGTCGCCCAGGCTTACCAGTCTCGCTTCGATGTTCACCCATCGGGGAAGATATTATTGTTTCCAAAATCGGGAATACCGTGGAAAGAGCATCTATATCGTTTGGAGGGAGAATCCGGGAGCGGCACCGCTACAGATTCCGAGCGCAAGGTTATATATGTACTATACCCTGATTCAAGTGCTGCTGACGCCAACTGGCGAGTCCAGTGTGTCCCTGTGACTGAAAGTAGCTTTGAATCAAGAAAGGCTCTTCCAGAGACATGGCGTGGCGCGCGGGACTCGGAGCTGGATGCCATCATAGCAACGGAGATGGACGCAAAAAAGAGAGAAAAAATACCTGAAGGTGCTGTTTTCGTTCATGCAAGTGGGTTTATCGGTGGGCATAAAACAAAAGAAGGGGCACTCGCGATGGCGGTAGAAAGCTTGAACTAATTAATATCAATTAGCTGATTGGCTTTGAATAAGATAATCGTAGTAATGGGAAGCTCATATACTACCACTTCAAAAGGGCTACATCAAAGCGAGCCAGATTTACTACTCGTTTACACCAGGAGCAGCCTCACTCCCGATAAATTCCAGTTCCCCCTTGGCTGCCCCTAACTCACTATGCTATCTACTAACAGTTTGAGCCAGGAAGAACCTCGGGAGAGCGAATCCCAGCTTACGTGGAGTCCGAAAACGAAGAGTGCGTTCTTACGGCGACCTGTATACCGAGAAATTATCTATACTCTCTATCTATAGGATTTATTCGATGCATATGATCCTACCGTCTATCACCGGGGCAATAGCACGAGTCCATCGAGGCAGACGCTCGATAGCACCTTGTTCAACGGTCTTGACTCTTCTTGCATCAACCCCAATCTTTTTTCTCCATCTCCGAAGAACGTTTCGAGCCAGCGATTCTTTATGATCGGCATCATCTTGGGATACGGCACCGGTCGTAACGTAATTTCGGGGCCGACAGAGGAATTCTGAATGAGAGTCAGATTCTGAGTCTAGAGGCGTGTCAACGTCACTCCGACGAGGCGATGCAGTGCCGGATTGTTGGTTCATAAAAGCGGCCGCAGCTACAGGGTTAGTGGCTAATCCAATCCGCTGTTGAGAGACATAGCGAAAGCCCGAGTCAGGCGGGAGGTCCACGACCGAGTTATTGTTACTAGGTGGAGGGCTGAGCTCCTCAGATTTGAGCTTCTCGTGAACGTTCACCCAGTGTCTATTCAGGCTACGGCTAAGCCGGTTCCATTTCCCAAGGATCTTAGTACTCAGGAAGTACTGTCGGAGTATCGTACTGATGAGGAGGCCATCCTCTTCGGATACGATTTCTTCTGCCTCGCCGCCCTCACTCTTGACAAGCAGGGAGGTGAATCCATCTTTTCCTCTCGCCATGTAGCCTCTTGTAGATACGGTGTAAAGCTTGCCATCTTCGATATCTGCATCATTAACTTTTGCCCACTGGACACGGGAACCGGGAGCCTTGGCTGTTGAGAACGCAAATTTGATGTTGGATACTTGCGGAAACCGTCCTTCCAGAGCTGGAAGCTCACTGACACCATTTTCCAATGCTAATCGAAGAGCCTTACCCGTAATCCGGAGAACCACAACCGGATCCTCGAAAGGGAAACAGTTAAGTATGTCTTTCAACCGTAGTATCCCGGGCGGGTAGATTTGATCCCCCCGAATCGTCCCAGAAGCCATGATTGCACAATCAGCATCGTGATAGCACCGCATCAAATCACATACGAAATTTCCGAGGTTGGATTCCTGGGTACGGACGGTGGTGAACCTTCCATCCAACGGAGTCACTGTATATCCGATCGGCTTTTGCAGTTTCCCTTTAAGCGCCGACGTGAGCTTGTCTACAAGCTTGACGGTCTCGGGATGTTTAGGAAGTTCACGTGTGATGTCGCGTCGAGTGATGGTAAAATCCCAGCCTGAGCCGGATGCCTTCCTCCAGGCTTCAATGTAGCTTAGCTGTTTAAAATCAGTCCCCGAACGTAAGACGTGGGTTGAATTGATAAGGCTGTGGCTATAATAATGATCATGACCGCCTAAGATGATATCAATTAGACCCGGAGGTATTTTCTCTGCAAGTTTATTATCATTCGGTTCCCGCTGATGGGTGATGGCGATAATTATCTCTGCTCCCTGTTCGCGTAGGCCCGGGACCAGCTCCTTTGCGGTTTCCGATGCAGACTTATATATAAGATTTGGGGGCAGGTAGTTGATTGTCGCAAGCCTACGCTTTCACGTTAGCTTTGTCTTCCCAGAACCGCGGATTTTCAGTTATACCTACCACTCCCTTTCCCCCAAGCCGATGACACCGACCTTTATTCCGCTAGACGAGACCAGCATGCATGTCTTCTGGCAGTTGGCCATTGGCACGCCTTCACCCAGAGCAGGGTCAAGCACATTAGCGAGTAGCCACGGGAACTTGCATTGGCCCCTCAGATGCCTGAACTGTGCAATTCCGAAGTCCAGGTCGTGGTTCTATATCCATAGATTATTTAGCCATCACCCTGTCTGAAATAGAGAGGGAGGTAGTGTGTGAACTTACGCCGACACAAGCTGCATCCGTTCCCACATTGTTAAGGAACGGAACCATATGCTGACCCTTTGTAATGGTGCTCTCGAGGCTCGGGTTAAAGGCATCTCCCGAGAAAAATGTCAGCAGTGAGGGCTGCTCGGCGAACTTGGGATCTGATCGATAGTAGTTGACCAGGGTCTGGAATCGCGGGGCGCCGCCGCAGGGCTCTGACGATGAAGACCTGAATACGGGTATTTCCTGTTAGTAGAGCACGTAGTTATACACGCTGGTGGCCTTCGACTCACTCTACATGGTAGACATCGTTGTAGTGTAGGAGGCGGAGGTCCGGAGCGCCCTGTCTGTTGCTGTTGAACGTCGTCGAGACACCGGCGCTCTCGATTGCCTCCAGTGACATATTGGCGTCTGTCGAGGATTACACGACTTTAGGAAGCTCGAATAGATGTTCTGTGGGCACAGTGAATTGATAACTTGTTGGGTGTTGCTGGCAGTCAATTGCGCGGGGGGCTGAACTACGGAGTAACTTACGGCCATATTAACTCTAACCCAGTGACAACATCGCCATGTACTGCTATTTCTATACCACGAAGACAGCTAGACTGATTATATATATATATGTGTGTGTATTGGTTTCTGAATACAAAAGTATTAACGGCAGATGCTTATTATACGCTGATTTGGTGCAAAGCGATTTGTTGTATTAATATAATCCAAGTCGCACATAATTGCTACAGGAAACCCAGGAATAAAAAAGACCGCTTGAACGAATAAAGCAGTAGTAGAGAGTCGTAAGTCGTATTCATAAAAGGATTAACAAACCGGAATATTAACGTGGTCGCGACTCGTATCATTTTTTTTGTTGAGGCCATGCAGCATGTATTTATATGCCGCGTTCTGTGACGGTCCATCGTCTCTTCGAGGCTGGTTCACGGTTACGTGAACTCCATAGTCCATGCTGGGACCTGGTGCGCTGAGGATGTGCTCCGTCCGGCGCCTTGTTGCTGGCATTTGCAAGACCGGACGAATCCTCTGTGGCCTTTGGGGTGTCAATAGAATCTTCAAACTTGGGAATTATGTCCTCAGCAGATCCGGCAGCAGGAGTCGACCCCCATAGGCCAGGCACAGCGTGTCTGTCACCGGAAAACGACCTTGCCGGATTGTGTAGCCCTCTACTAGTCCCGTTAAAACTGGAGCTGCGAGCCGCGGGCCCGATCGAGAAACTGCTTTCGGGGGAGTCGGACACAACGGACAGAGACGTAAATCGATGGCGGTATGACGACATTGAGCTGGGGATGACTCTAGGAGACGGCGATTGCGCGGAACTGCTACTTCCAACGCGGAGATGTTCTGTTGAGTTGACTAGCTTCACATGATACTCCTCTGACATTTCATTAGAGTTAGGCTTCCTCGAGGTGGGTGTGAGGGAAGCAGCAGGGTCGTCATCCGCTGCCACTGCTGAATCTTTGCGAACGGCAAGCGTTAATGAAGCCATGCCGACATCGAGAAGAGCTGGCCGGTTAGTTAGCGCTCCGATGATCGCATTGCACCCAGCTCCATGGGTAACGATGATGAGCACGGTATCCGTATCATCGTCTTCATCTGTACCCGGTGCCCCATCGGAGATGATCTGCGATTCCTCTCTGTGAGACAGCCTCCTCTTTGTCTTTCGGTAGTCGCCAGTTTTGTACCAATTAACCATCTTCTCAAGCCCGGTCCGAAATCTGCGATGCATAGAGCTCCACTCCTCGCCATACTCTCCACCACTCCCCCAATCCAAGGGAGCCCTCATACTGTCCCACTGAAAGTCCACGTCGACACAAGCATCCCGAGCGTGTGTTACGTACCCCGCCGGAATAGGGTCAGAAGGCGATATGGCATACGTAGGGGTTGGGGGTATGTATTCGATGTCGTTATGAGACTGGGAGGAGGTCGACAGTTTAGGTAACCCCTGTAGGTTGGCTGCCTTATCAGCTACAGCACCGTGCAGATCTGTCTTGTCTTCTGCGCCAGCGGTTCTGGCTGGCGGGGCGTTCTCATCGCTCGGCATGATTGATGTGCCACCGCCGGAAGAGAATCCATTCCAGCCTCCGGGGAAATGTCCACGGGCCGACCGGGCGGCTGAACCTGAATGTACGGAATCCTCTTGTCGAAGCAAGTTCGCCTTTGCTCCGGCCAGCATCATGACCGACCCGGGCGGTGGAGTGATCTGCTCAAAGTAGTCCGGCGTCAACCACTCCCCAAGACAAGGGTCTAGGCGCAGCAGACATTGCTTATCATCAGCCACGGGCGCCTCTCCTGCTTTCCCACGCCTATCTTCATCGACATCCTCTTGGGGTTCCCGTATGGGGGTTAACTGGGGTGAACCCTGATGCTGTGACCGAGGGGAGGTGGAACGCCAACGGCGGTGGTTGGTGGGCGGCGGAGTACCGGACTGGTGTCGTTGGTGAGGTGATGTGTTTGTTGAAACGCGCTTCGACTGGCTGATCCCCGCACTCAGCGATATGGCTGTTTGGACACAGCGTAGAAATGGGGAGGAATGAATGATGATGCGATGTTTTCGGGTTTCCCGCTCCTGCACACGCTCTAATGGTTGGTTCTGGCGGCTAGAATGACCGGCGTCCGGCGGTCCGTCAGAGGATAATGATGGTGGGAGGCATCCGTGCAGTTCGCGGTGGTGCAGAAGGGACCCGATGCGCATCCCAAGGGCGCGGGACTGATTCCAGCCGCCATACGTCAGCGGCGGGTCGTAGGGTGTGGGCGAAGTAAGGTGCCACTGTTTATCGGCCGCGTCGAGTCGAGCGCCGTGTCTGAGAGATGGACATGAGTATCAGTATATTTCTAGCTCTGGATGTAGTTTCGGGGGTTGTTGCGTGTAGATACCTGACGACGACGATGATGCTTGGCGGCTTTCCCATGATGCGAGCTCTATCCGCCGATGCTTTGGGGTATAAGAGCGAGGAAGGATCAAGAAGAGGAGGCTCAAGCTGGGCTGTGACTGTCGACTATATATCTAGGAAGCGTGGCTTGCATGATTGACGCTGGTCTGCGCAAGGCTCCCGCATTCAAGAGTAACCCAAGTAGCTAGTTCGACGAAGTAGATGAAACACCGCACAGGAGGTCGAACTGGACATAGTATGCAACGGAGGCTGCCATCACGACGCAGACATGGCTCCAAGAAGATGCAGAGATGCGAAGATGCGTAGATGCGCCCTTCGAGATGCGTTTTTCCCTCTCTCTTCTTCGCTTTCTCTCGTTGTTTTTTTCTCTTCGTCGTCGTTTTTTTATGGCGGGACGTCTTGACATGTGATCTGACACGTGACCATCTATGGCTTAGTCACCTTAGTCATATATTAATAAGCATGTCATAGTCATGTCTTAGTCATCGCTTTCCTCCCCTGATGCTTCTAACCGTCATATAATATTCGCTGCTCTTTCAGTCAGTACTTGCAAGCCACGGATGGTCGAGCAGCTTCTTCGCGGTCGGCCTGTCTCTCCAGTCCATCATCATGATGCTCCCGATAAAGTCTTTATCCGACTTGCACACTTCTCGCTCGGTGATAAGGCGAAAAGGGGTTGTTTTCGACTGTGGGATCTCATGCATAAGGTACAAGATGGCTGTTACGGTCATCGGGCCTGCTACTTCTTCGTACTTGACTGGGAACGGGCCAAAGAAGCGGAACTGCTGTTTCAAGACCTCCAGGCCGTATTCCTCATGGCCGTATGACACGGTTTTGGGCCGGAAGAGGTTGAAGTCTCCGCCATAGATCAGGCTTATTAGCTATAGGTGTGTTAGCATCCAGCCAGCGGCACTATCGCGTACGGCGAATAGACATACTACGGCTCCAAACGACCAAATGTCTGTTGCCGTATTCCAGGGCGTCTCCATGATGACTTCGGGGCTGCTCCACATGGGCGCGCCGACCGGAGTGCCCTCTGTCGCCAGCGTCGAGTCTCCAGGGCAACTTCCGCCTAGGTCGCCGAGTTGGACGTCTGAAAATCGATTCTCATGGTTATCGCCTGCTTTGTAGTTCACAAATATATTGTCAAGTTTGACATCTATTGCAGAGGCCTTTAGCTTGACAGTGAGGGTCATACGTTTCAACTGTGCAGCCGCCTCTTACCTGTGTGCACGTATCCGTCTTCATGGATCACGCTCAATGCTTCCAGCACACATCTGGACACATACTTGAGCTCCCTTCGATTGAGCGTCTTCCTGATTGAGGTGTTTAGGAGCTGGTCGTCGAGATACTTCAAGGCAATGATCGGTGTACCTGATTGGTCGTCCATCTCATCGACTAGAGGCCGTAGGAAAGGGGTTCGGCCTTGAAAGCGATGCAGAACATCTCGTTCGTTACCCACCCGGGGGTGGCCGTGGACTCCCTTCACAATCACAGGTTGCTCGTTTTGATTCCTATCGGACAGCGGTCAACTTTTCCCTCTTTAGTCGGATGGGTGGTTAGATCATACTTTGCAAGCCATACGGTCTGTTGGATTTCCTTCGTAATAACATATCTTCCGACCCTTCCGTGCAGAACCTGCCCTAATCGAAGAAGCGATAAAGACATGACCACAATGGAACGGCAGACACTCTCATCGTCGAGGAATCGCAAACAATATTTATTGGACATGATGCGGAATGCGGCTGAACAGTGGCTATCGGTCACGTGGTGATATAAACAGGCAAACGAACAGCGGAAGTTTTGGCACTGCGAAACCTGCTCCATACATCATTCCTGGCAGTGTGAACTGTTGTATCTGTCGATGATGCCGCCATCTAAAACATGCCAAAACTGCGCTAATTCCAAGGTACGCTGTGTGCGGGACGCCGACAGCAATACGTGTAAGAGGTGAGTCTGAAGCAGAGCGGAAGATACACATGCAGTCGTCGCTCATCCAGCCTCACAAGATGCTCCCGCCTGGGTAAAGAATGCGCAAGCCGTGAGACACGTCGACGCTTTAACGGCTTCCAGAAAGATCTGTTAGTGGAAGCACTTCCTACCCCTCCGATGATAGCAAAGCTAATGTACTCGACAAGGAGGATCAATGCCCTGGAGTCAAAGGTGAACGAGCTCATGGACGCTCGTCATGCTACGCCAGTGCCTCCCACAAATGCTGCTAGCGGTGTCAGGAATGGCGATGGTGGTGATGACGATGATGTTGCCAAAGATGTGGTTGATTGCGGATTTTTAACCATGGAAGATGCTGAAAGTTTTCTCTCTACGTTTAAAGTGAGAATGACCGAGCATTTCCCATTTGTTGTGGTTCCACCCCAGACAATGGCAGAGCAACTTCGCCGGGAGAGACCTGTACTCTTTCTCTCCATCATCTCGGCGGCCTCTCACTCAAACATGCCTCTGCAGCGGAAATTGGGAAAGGAGGTCAGGGCAGCTATTGCCTCCCGGATGCTCGTCAATGGAGAGGTTTCCTTTGATCTGCTGCAAGGATTGCTGGTTTACCTAGCCTGGTAACTACTGCCACTCGAAGATGTACAATTTTTAAGGTGAAACAAGAACCGACAGTTGCTGCTAGGTGCCACTATCACACACGGCCGTATCGTTACACCCAGTTTCTCCAATTAGCTATTGGCCTCATAGTCGAGCTACGGTTAGATCGACCACCACGGACAAAAGTATGGAAATCGGGGATCCGATTCACATCAGACTATGACCCAGACGACAATACTTTTACTAGACCGTCATTGGGCCGTGATGAGCAGAGGGCTGTCGCAGGTTGCTACTATCTATCTTCGACGTAAGTTCGGCATCCTTCACCGGAAATCCAGAGTGGAATGAAAACGGATCAAAGCGATAAAAATAGGAATTGAGCTCACGTAGTAATAGAATCTCGGGGCTTTTGCAAAAACAGCCTACCTTTCCACACGTCACGTACCTCGAAGAATGCTGCAAATCTCTTTACGATGCGGCTGAGTACCCGTATGACAAATCTATCCACTACATCGTTCAGCTCCAGCATATTGTGGAGAAGATTGACCGTATATCCTTTCAGCACGGGATGGAGTTGGAGAACCCTGGGTCAGCGATTGAGCTTTATGTCCTGAGCTTGAAATCCGAGTTGGAGGCATTCCGTGTCCGGTCGGGGTTTATTTTGGACGAGTCACGTAAGTAGTCACTACCATGAACGGACACGACATCTCCCGAGCTAATCTTCCCTATCTTCTACATAGCCCTTATTGCTATCCAGTTTCACACTGCCGAGCTTTCCCTATACCAGTTGAGCCTACTGGACAAACGCAGGCAGCAATCTGGATTTACGCAGACTACGCTATTGGATGAAATGTTATGTGCAGGCCGAATGGCTGCACAATCGATTCTTAGACTCTATCTTTCGCTGCCGCTTCACTCAGAAACCGCCTTCAACAACACTGAATGGGTCCAGATCGGATTTGCTTTGATTGTTGCATGTAAACAAGCCGGAACGGCTTCTGCAACTGAACCGGCTGTCTTCCCCCGACAGAAGGAATTACTCTCGAGCACTTTAACACGGTTAAAAATGCGTGTAGCTGAACTATCCACTGATAAGGTCGACCTGAATGGAGATAGAGACGTTTTCTCAAATTATGTCGATCGCGTTGCTCGGCTTCAAGTTTGGCTTGATGTAAGATTCGAGAAAACAGGCGACCCTGGCATCAATAATGCTGCACCAGAAGAACTACGGACTATAGAGGCTTCTCCCAGCTTAGAAAATCAACAGTTAGCTGATGCCTCGAGAGGTTTGTATGACCTCCCGCCTTCCGATTTCTCGCCTTCCGACTTATTTGCCAATATGGCGAACGACTACCACTCAATGGAGGATGATTTCACTTGCACTATAGATCAAATGCTGAATGACTGGATGTGACGATTTTTATTCTTACTCAGCCCTCGAGGCCAGTTCATTCTATAGAGCACATTGTCCAGGGGCGAACTTTAGAGTAGAGCAGCACAACCCCATCTCTATAGAGATAGATAGAGGTAAGCTATCCCGGCTGTACATTTTGGGCTCACTTTATTCTTTTTTTCTCGTATTTTAAAGCTGGAGTGCATTAGTAACTCCGAGCCGAAGCCCAACGTGCTAGGGTCATGATCTACATCACTTTTGGTGAGTTTCGTATAACTCCGACCCGACATTTTGTATATATATAGAGCTAACAGATAAGGAAGTAAACAGCACAAATAAATGACAATTACCAATTACCAGGCTAAATACCCATGATGATTCGCCTTTCTGCCCTGCTTTTCTGCATTTTACTTTTTAGTTCCTCGAGCTTCTCCTTCACACCATGTCCGCTTCTAGGGCCGGCATATCCTGGGTTCACCTTGGATACGAGCTCTGAGGTCTTAACCTCTACCCTCAAGGGACTTACGGAGACGTTAGATCAGCTAGTTGTTAAAGGGAATGGTTCTCATGGGGAGATCTTTCCTAATACTACTTCCTTTAGTTTATCATTGTTCTCCGTTAATGAAGGCAGCGCAAGGGACCATCCATATTTCTTTGATTATCACTACACAGCGCCACCGTTGAAATCTCATCCGGTGGGCAAAGATAGCATATACCGCATCGGCAGTTTGACGGAGATTTTCACCATTTGGACCATGTTAATCGAAGCAGGAGATTGGATCTGGAATACTCCTGTTACAGAGTACATTCCTGAACTGGCTGACGTTGTGAACCGTCGAGATGGAAAAAAAGATCCGGTTAGCTATGTTGACTGGGAAGCTATTACAGTTGGCCAACTCGCAAGTCATATGGCGGGAATTTCTAGGGGTTGTACGTTTTCATCTCACGAAGAAACCATCTGAATTTTACCCGACTAATATTTCGCAGCTTCGATGCCCGATTTGAGTGAACGAGATGTCTCTTCGCTAACCGGTTTACCAGGCCTTTCTGGCTCTGATGTCCCTCTATGTATTTCGCAACTCTCGTGCAACCGAACCGGTGGGTTAACCGTTCTACGTCTTGAGCTAGTCGATCTTATTTAATATATTCATTTAAACAGAATTCTTCGCGTATGTTGTCCAACAACCTCCTGTGGTGCTTCCGGGAACTACACCAATCTATTCCAACGATGCATTTCGAATCTTGGGGTACATCGTGGAGTCCATTTCTGGAAAATCGTTCGCGGCCGTGCTTAACCAACGCATTATTGAACCTCTCGAACTAAGGAAGACAAGTCTTCTCTCAGAAAATATGTCACTGGGAGGACTTCCACCTGATACGAATAGTTCTGGGTGGATGCAACGGGGAGCAGAAGCAGCGTAAGTTTCTCCCCTGTGTAAAGAATTGCTAGCTATCAATACCTAACGAATATTTATCTGCAGTGCAATTTCAATGGTCTCCACTGTTACCGATCTAGCCATTGCTGGGAAAGCTATCCTGACGGGAGCTCTCTTGTCGGGCGCCCAAACCAACCGCTGGTTGAAACCCGTTACCCACACTTCAAACCCTGCGAACTCAGTAGGGTATCCATGGGTTATATACAGCGGAGGAGGCTATCCCGATACATCGATGATAGATGTGTATACAGCTCTTGGCAACGTCGGCTTGTATAGCTCATATATCGGCCTTGTTCCTGACTTTAATGTGGGATTTACTATCCTAGCTAAGGATAGTAGTACGAGCCCAGACCTCAACGCTCATACTGGCGTTATCGGCGACGCCTTGCTACCCGCCCTAACTAAGATCGCGGCCATCCAAGCAAGCACAAATTTTGGAGGAGTCTACTCTTCAACTACATTAAACACATCCATCGCCGTCTCTGCGGATAGCTCGCCAGGTCTAGCTATTGATACATGGATCAGCAACGCCACCGATTTCCGAGCGACATTGGCGGCTTTGAATGGGATTGGCAAGGTTGATGCATTGAGCATACGGCTTTATCCAACACATCTTACCTCCAAGCGAAAATCTATATCAAGACAAGCATTTAGAGCGGTCTTTCAGGACAAAGACGAGTTCGCTGACTATGGAACGGCTACCTGTGTATCATGGCTGGGCGTCGATAAATTCAAGTACGGAGGAGCGTCACTTGATCTGTTTATTTTTGAGGTGGACTCTAATGGCAAAGCGTTGGCTGTTGAGATACCAGCATTGAAGGTCAGGCTTGAAAAACAGGCATAGACTCACGCATATACGTCATCGTTTAGAGTGCCATGAAAATATATACTATACCTACATATTACAACCATCCGTTATTGAATCTCACGTAGTATGGTTTACGTATCTAAATTCATGGAAAACGAAATGGGTCTTTAATATTGGCCACTAAATAAATGTTTATAATAGCTGGATTGTTTCGCAGTAATAGTTACGACAGCTGTAAAGAACAAAACGGTACCTCAGAATATGAACCCCCCTGCAGTCCCATATACTGTCAACTCATACCAATGGAAAATTAAGTGAAAGTATCGGTAAGTGGAATGAGCTAACGTGCATATAGTTTCTTTTATTAAGCTTAACGGCCGCTGCCATTGTAAAGAAGGCGGCTGGTGGTGTCTGGGCCGGGGTTGCGGACTGTAGGCCGGCTGAGCTGCTTGAGACGATAGCAGGCACGGTTACCTGGAATACCTTCCTTAGCGATGAGATATGCAGCAACACCGCACGCATGGGGAGACGCCATCGAAGTTCCAGACATCATCTGGCTTCCACCACCTGGGCGGGCAGAAAGGATATTGTGGCCGGGCGCATAGAGATCAACTTGTACGAATTGTTAGTGGACAACTCATATATTGGGTAGGGCATACGTACCAGCTGGACCCCAGTTAGAAAACGATGCTTTGCCATCATCCTCGGTGCTAGCAGCAATAGTACAGACAGTTTTCTCAGAAGCAGGGGAGTTGTTGCTTGAATTGATCTGTTATCGTAGGTTAGATTAGATAGCGCAGATGCATCGTCAACGAAGGAGGCACTTACATTGTCATTTCCAGCAGAAACGGAAACAAACATGCCAGCCTTGACAGCCTGGGCAGTGGCATGGTTGAGACCTGCACTATAGGTACCACCGAGGGACATATTCAAGACGGATTTGCCAAGCATACCATGTTGACGAGCGTGTTTGATACTCCAGTTAATGCCTGCGATGATACCACTTGTTGGTCCCTTGCCTTCGGAATTCAGGACCTTGACGGCAATTATTTTGGCCCTCTTCGCAATGCCATATGTCTTGCCTCCAATAGTTCCAGCAACATGGGTACCGTGACCAGTTCCATCAGAGTTCTTGTTGTCAACTTGATTTGAGCCCCAGACAGCGCGGCCCTGGAATTCGGAATGGCGTATGTCAACGCCGGAATCAACAACGTAGGCCCAGACGCCGGAGCCCGCCGAACTGTCAAAGACATAGTTGCGACCTCCTCTGCGGTTAGAAAGGCGAGAAAGGCCCCAGGGAGCCTTGCGTTGCTGGACCACAATATGCTGGCTAATGACCGCATCCGGTTCAACGAAGGCAACCTATATTCAACGGTTAGAAATAGCTAGCTAGAGAAGGGCCTCACAATTTCTAAGAGAGAGGTAAAACAGAGTGTACCTTGGGATCGTTAGAAATGTCCCGAATAGTATCCTTGTCGAAGATTCCACTGTATCCACGCAAATTGTCGAAATCATAAGTTTGCTTCACACCTTCGCCGTCCAGGCCGCGGCGGGTCAAGTTGTGGTGAATGCTGGACACCCAGACACGGTGAGTCGAGAAGTCTTGCGTCGAGGTATCGTCCTTCATGACTACAATGTAGCCATTGGGTACAACGTCAGCTCCCTTGGGGACACTCAGGATCTGGGCCGCGTTGGTAGCAGACAAGGCCGCCAGGGAAAGAGAAAGAAATGCAAGAAATCCCATATTGAAAGAATGTATAGGGTGAGTAGAATGGTTAAGGAAAGATAGAAAGCTGAATGAAGGAATGAATGAGGAGTAATCTTCTCCTGGCATGAGGGAACAGACAGTTCAATATATATAGGGTCTCTAGAACCGGAGCAGCCGATGAACTATGAAGTATTAGTGCACTATATCACCGATGATATTAACGCCCAGGTATCAAGGCCCAGTACTGCAAGCCAAGGAGGGAAATGGTAAATACAATGCCGGCGTGGCATGTGTATGAATATACGGTCAGCTTGTCGATATATACACCGACGCTCCCATCGGATCAATCCTGAAATCCCAGCTTCGCCCGCCGGGGGCGGGTCAAGCGTGTATCCATCGAGAAAAGCAGCATCTGAATTATTATGCCAACGGCTTCAACATTTCCGTCAGGGTAGCCGGAGTGCTTATTCCAGCTATCATTGCCTGTTTGCGGAAGTTTGGCTGGAAGATTTGCGTAAACGTTGCAGGCAATCCTAGGGCGAATAGAGGAATAGACGCCGTAGAGAAAGAGAGAGAGAGAGAGAGAAAAAAAAAAAATTGATTCTTTTGCCTTCTTTGCCTTCTCGGCGCCCAGGACCTAAATAAACCTATGCGTCGTAGGCCTGTTGGCGCCAGGGAACAGCAGCAAGCACACCGCTGTGGAAGCATGAAGGAATGCTCTGTCTGGTAGCCAAGGCCGCCGTGCATCTAGGACTGGGGCTGTTTGGGCACGCAAAAAGCAGCAACCAGTAGCTAGAAGCAAATCATGTAGCTGTTGTAGCTCGTTGGATGAATTCTCTAGCTTCTCCGTCGAGGTATAAAGTCCTTGGTCCGGGCTTAGTTCAAGGCTTAGCAATTCACCTGTATTGCTCTACAGAGTAGGGAGGTGTCTGCGTTGCCGTTCCGTTTAAAAAGGGACACGGATAGGTCTATGTCCTCCCTGGATGTTTTCTTTGGTTGGCCAACAAAGCGACGTGAAGTTGTTGTGTCTTAAAAAAGGGGTGAAGTTTCGATTTCCGCATTTGTGGGTCAAACTAACTGCTCGGCCTCCTAGAAGAAAGCCCCTTTCATGAGAGACAAGGATCCTGGGGATCGGAGATAGAACTGTCGGAGTTCCAGCCACACTCCACGGAGATTTACACCCGTAGTTCATGCTTGTTTCTTAATTGCTCACATATCCCGTCGTCATCTCGGTTGATCGCTGCCGATATCTCCTCGTTTCTGGTCCGTGGTTGCTTCAGCCTCAGGCCAGGCAGTAGAGATGGAATCAGCGTTGAACTTGTATCCTGGAGAGGCAGCCTGGCATGTTGCCGATACCAAGGTCTTTTCTCGGGGCTGTCATAACATGAGACCTGCTATTGCCTGAGCAGAGCCTGTCCGTGTAGCTTTCTCCAGCCTCTGTTACGCTCGTAGCCACAGCGCGCCCTGTAGAGCCAGTACCCCCTGGCCAACTATGGTGACTAGAAAAATAGTGGCATCATCTGCGGCGCTGTTTGGGATGGCTGGATCTACTTCCCTGTCCTTTCCCCCTTGCTATTTCAAATTAATTTATGAGACGCCTATCCAGATAAATAGTGATGCGGACTCACCAATTGAATGGGGCGGTAATAGTTGAGATCTTGATGGTGGTGAATAGTATCAGAAAAGTGAAGAAGGAAGAAGATACGCATTGAGTAATATGGAGGTATCGTGAAGAGCGACGGAAGGATACTGGGCAAGATCAGGTGGTTGACTGGGACAACCCTAGCTTATTATGGCCGGAAAAAGCAATTTTCCATAACTTCGTGCGAATACCCATCCTGGATCTTAGATAGCCTGGCATATGCATCGTATTGCCTCTGCGTGTTATGCGTAGAAGACCAAATAAGGTGAGACGTGGGATCGTTAAGGACGAAGGCTACTAGGATAGCCTCAAACCTGTCCATGGCGCTCTGTAGGGTTATGGAGAACGACATACTTGATTAACTACAGATCTGTTCTACAGCCCGATATAATGAGGGCCCCCGCTACAGAATATTCTTCTATACAGCTTCTACGGGCAGCACGTTTGTTGACAATAAATATATGCATTGTTATCAAGAAAGAGATGCCCTACTAGATTTATCAAGATCCGAAAGCCTTGTTAAACTAGTGTAGGCAAGAAATAACACGGAGTAATCATAAATATGTACAATAGAAAGTTCCCCTGCTGTTGGATGACTTGTTGCGTTGCAGCAGAGACGTTACGAGATCGTTTAGCAACCGACGTAGATAGCTATAGACACGGATTAGTTAAGAGACCCGATGTAATGGTTATTATATGGATGTGAAACATACCGTTGGCAAAGAGGGCGTAGTTGTCGGCGTTTTGAACAGCCTTATCAGCGGAAAGGCCAGTACACTGCTGATAACCATATGCGTAATCCTGACAATGAGGGCTAGCAACGGCCGGGTTGTGGGTGAACTCATGGAGAGTCGTCGTAGCCTGGTCCTGAGCATGGCACTGCTTCGTGAGTGGTGGTAGGTTGTAGTAGATTGGGCAGTTAACAACCAAGTTACGGGAGGGGAGGGTATAAGCAAGAGTCCGTGGCTTGCATCCGTTCATGGTGTCGGAGCAGTAGTATGTGGTACCACCAGCGTTGGTAGAGCTAGACTCGCGGGCCACTGAGTTGAGGCGGGCAATGACCTTCTGCTTAGCGGCGCCATCGTTGGTGCGGAAGTACTCCTGGAATTTCTTGGCGTTTCCCTGAGCGGCTTTGGAGGCTGCCTGTGCGAGGCGGGCGGAGTTCTGAAGAGCGACCTGGGTGCTACGGAGTTGGTTACCCTTGCATGAGCCTGCGACAATCTTGGTGCGTTTCTCTAGGGCTCTAGAGTGAATAGACTGCATCTCGGGGGTGAAGTTCATGGCCTGCTCGACGGCGGCGGCCTGCTTGCCATCAATGTTCATGTAGAGCTCGTTGGACTCGTACAGAGCCATAGAGGTAAGGGTAGTGCTATGTTCTTCAGCAACGGGGATAGCGCCGCTAGCCGTAATGAGGTACTTTCCACCGGCACTGAGGTCGTGGGTGGCAGCAAGATCGAAGGAGTGCTCAACGCTAGCCTTGGGGGCAAGGGTGGTAAAAAACTCCTCAGTAAGGCCGGACATGAGGTAATGTGGCATCATTCCGGTGAATTGAACCTCAGCACCTATCCGTAGATTTACATTAGCTGGATACCTCAACACTCAATTAGATGATACATGCGCCTACCGTTCTTGTGGACCATGACCTTGCGGGTTGGGTTCTGGTCCATGATGGTGTTCAAGTTCAGGAGGTTCAACGCGCTATCACCGACGTTTGTGATGGTGGCTTTGACCATGGAGTTTCCAGTGGCGGTAAGCTGGACGTCGAGGAGAGTCTCATTCATGGGAGCTCTTGGGTAGGCAACAGCCGGGGCCACCAGGGCGCCCAAGGCCGCGAGAGCAGCGATGAGTTGCATTGTGATGAGAGATGATGAATATAAGATGAGGAGGTTGGAGAAGGAGGAGAAGAAGAAGAAGAAGAAGAAGAAGAAGAAGAAGAAGAATGAGGAGGAAGAAGGAATGGATGATCAAGAGAAGGGAGTCTCTTGCTGCTGCTTCTCCCTCAAACTGACCTTATCCTTCTTGCTTTATATCCTCGCGAGCAGAAACCCCTGCTGGGGATAATCTCGGCATAAAACGCCCCTCGCACCCACCCCATGCAGCATATATCGATTCGACCTGGGGTATAACTGGAAACAGTTCAGGGTCGCATCGGACCGGCTACACTGGGCGACCGGAGGTGTACCCACGGCAGCCATACAGCACGATATCTGTATGGGCGTGGGGGAAAGGCGATACCAGCCTAGGGGTCGCAAGGGTGAGTGCTCTGACCGCCAAGGCCGCCTTGCCGGCTACGGGAGAAACGGGGAGACGTTGAAACAAGCATATGACAGGCATGTTTGGCGTCTGGGCTGCAGCGAGAAAGAAGAGTGTTTATATTTCATCACGGCGTGGCTAGCGATCTCTGATCTACCGGCCAAGCGTTAGCTTAGCCGAGATCGAGCGTAAATCTCGTGCTCTATCTTTAGAGCACTCCTGATACATATACACGGCCGCAAAACACCATCTATCAACGCGGCGAAGACGTCGAGTGAGCAGCTATAGGACTCCCCGCTCCCCCCAGGGCCCGAGACTAGGCGACGGATGAGGGACCGGAGATGAAGTCCAGGACCTAGTCTTCGGGGTGCGGATATGCAGATGCCATGGAAGAGAGTTCGTGGGGAAGACAGCCCCGGGCCCTCTTGGTCGAACACATATCCGAGCTGGTCGCCGCAGTGGTCACTATCGTGCGATAGATGCTGTGGCCGCCAGGTCAAGCGTGCAATATGCCCCGCCCGGTCCTTGGATAGACGTGGATGGCTATGCAGCCGGAGGTCGGCCCAATCGGTAGTCACAGAGTACGAGTGATATTTAGCTGGAACAGAGCCAGGAGCAAGGTCGGGGGCTCACGGCGGTTCAGCCGGTATGGAGTAATTGCAGGGAGCAAGCAAGGCGCAAGCAAGGTGGAAAGCAAGGAGGAGGCAACGAGCGAGTAAGGAGCAGGCAAGGAACAAGCAAGGAACAAGCAAGGAGCGACGTTTGACGTTTGACGTTTGATGTTTGGAGTTTGAAGTTTGAAGTTTGAAGTTCGAGGTTTCCCGCTTACTCAGCTTTTGCTTCCGCCAGCATATCACGTGAGAGTAGATAACTACACGTGACCTCATGACATGCAGTTTCTTTTTTTCTTTTCTTTTTCTTTTGGTGAAATGATTGAAGGAACTTGCTACAGGCTGACGGCCCTCCTTGAATCAAAGGTGGAAATTATCACAAGCCGCCGGTACTCCACGATTATCCAGCAGACGGGCAAGACGTTGAAATCTAATCTGTGGCCAACCTGAGGGCGGCTGGAAGTCACTTTCCTTCCCGTGGCACATACTATCGTGGCTGGTCTACGTATATTGTGGCAGCAGAATAATCGGAACCCTAGCTTTGGTTATGGATTGGGCCATTCAAGTATAATCTTAGAAAGCACACCTTAGCGCAAAAATAGCACTGACTCCGCTAATAAACTTTTACTAAATTCGATTAAACGTTACTTGATCCAAGTATCTAAATACACGAGTTGATGTTGTGCATACATCTTGCTGCCATCCTTGTAGCAAGAGACGAGTAGTTAGATGTTCAGTAGGAAAGGCTAGCTAAAGAGATTATTTCTGTGAGGGGGAAAGGAAAGTTGGGAGGAAAAAAGGAAAATCGGCAGTACAGAGGAGGGAACGAGGGTGAAATAAAAATGTAGAGGGGAGGGAATAACGAGTGGCACACCCGGCTCTGGATTTACCTGGAAAACCCACACTAGTTACCGGAAGCAGCTCTTGATAATCCCTTGTATAATGGCATCTTTGCGTACAAACTCATCTGAGAAAGATTTCAGAGAGTTGCCACTAAGCGCACGGCGGATGGCCGCGGCATCCTTGAAGGCTTTGCGCGCGCCTTTGAGCTCAATTCCTTCAGCACCAATCAAAATACCAAGGATAGCAAAAGGCGCCGATGCTGGATTATCGATGATCTCAACAATGGATATAGCGGCGCTACCGAGTTCACCAACGACAAGTGCAATTGCAGCAAACCTTGTGGCGACACCAGCCACCTGTCCAACAAATCCAGCGAAAGGTATAACCGCAAAAACAATAGATAGAACCGTAAGAACAAGTTCTTTAGTCTTCTTGGTCTTCTCTTCCTTGCCAATTTTTTTGATTTCCTCAATAGCCTTAGATGCATCCTGTAGCATAAAAAGAGGCATGCTAAAGGATATTATCACATCAGCGGCATCAGCATCCAAAACTCCCATTTGCATCTGAAAAAAGGTGGCGAGTGCAGTGATTGATAATTTATCCAAATAAGGAATTGCTTTATCAATGGTATCTTTTGGATTATCCACAGCAATCTTATCTTTATCATGAAGGCGACGTGGAAAATTCTTATGAAGAATATAATCATCTCCACAATAGTCGGGGTGGCAGCCATCTGCTTTTGGGGGGCATGTACGGCAAAAGGGATCATATATCCTGTAGTCCTCCCATTGGACCCACTCTTTGTCGATACCTGCTGTTTTCTGGAGGGCATCATAAAACCCTGCTTCGTCACGCATCGTGTACTCAACGATTCGGGTTCCTTTATGGTTGAATTTGTTGTCTGCGGTAGTGAGATCCATTTCAGTACATGGGCCCTGACCTTTTACCTTGTTTGTAGACCACTTGCAATCCATGTATTTTAGACCTTCACCGGTTTTGAAAGACATGAAGCGCTCCAGACGTGCGTCAATGGAATCCTTCACCCAATCAACGTACCAACCGAACTACACAGCGTTAGTAACTAGTCAAATCATAGTAAAGAAGCTGGGGTATACAAGTCATACCCTATCACTATAATCAGATGAAGATGAGACCTCTCTGTACTTGGCAATGGCGATTTGTAGGTCTCTAGCCAAAATGTTGAGTACAGCCCGAGCGCGGCAGTTCACCTGCACCATACCGATATTTTTCTCTAGGTCGTCCAGAGTGGTAGGCCATGTAGCCGAGTCACATTGTAGATTGTCTGTCTCGACTGTCCAGCCACCGGGTGTATCTGGTCCACGATTCCAACTAGCCAAATCTATAGCCCAATCGGTAGTTCCCCCAAGATTCAAACCGCGCACCCATTCAATGCGGTGCGCCTTGGTAGCGTCATCCATGTATGCTACCCAGTCGGTCATCCCTTGTCCCTGTGTACCAACTGAGAAAAAAAAACATCCGAGTTAGTATATCGAATTGTCGGTAACAACTATAAAATATACAGGGAAATCAAGTTTGAAAGCAGGAATTTCCACGTACTAGAAAAAAAATTAGTAGGGGTCGATAGCTAATGTAGAGCTTAGAGGAACTAACCATGCAATTATATCTGAATCTGACCGCGGGTCATACCACTTACGGGCCGCGACGCCCTCCACGCCTAGTTTAGAATTATTCAAGACTTGCTCCAGCTCAGCATTAGCAACTGTCGTTTTCATCTAGTTAGTTTATCTATCTCTAAACGATGATAGATTATGTATAAATTAGAATGGACGCTTTTTTGCTAGAACTTACTGTAGCCAGGGGTGCCAGTACATTGACCGGGTTCCGCTTCCGAAGTTCCATAAGAACCAGTAAATGTGCACATAGGATTAGTGCACCCTGGGTCTGACATACGAAAGCTTCGTCCGTAACTCGAGATACCAACCATTATAGCCCAGGGTAAAACACCAGCTTTAGTAATCATAGCAAGAGAATTATATGTTTCTGTGCGATTGACGTGTGAGCGAAGGCAATTTCCATTTGGACACCCAGGGTTAGCGAATTTATTTCCGTAGTCTAGGCTAAAAGTTAGTAGGGATATTTTAATCTCGATAGTTTCCTTTAAAAAATCAGCTTACCCCATTGACCGTGAAGGTCATAGGTCATGTAAATAAAGTAGTCGACAAAGACATTCATCGCGCGGACGGGGAAGGCTTTAAGGTACCAATAAGATGCTGGTAGAGCGATAGACATTGATTTCTCACCGCGAGGGAGCGCCTGCCTTAGGAAGGCAAGGAATCTGAGATAGTTGTCTGCGTCGATAGGATCTGATGCCGGAATCCCCTGATCAGATGCACCAGGGTATTCCCAATCAATATCAATACCATCAAGTTTATTCTCGTTAATAAAATTAACGATATTTTGAACAAATTTTGCTGTATTCGCCCCGAGCATAGCGTCCCGATATCGCTTATAGGTATCCGGCTCCGTCGATTGAGCCCATCCGCCAATTGATACTATTTTCTTGAAAGGTGCCTTCATATCTTTGAATTTGTTGAATTGATCGCGGATACTATCATCAATATGCACGTCAAAGTCGTCCGTAAGGCCAGCAAATGCGAAATGCACATGGGTAAGGTCCTTAAATGCCCCTTCAATCTCAGTAACATCCATGCGGAGGCAATCACGAGCAATATTATAGGCTTGGAAATAGCCTATACGATTAAACGATGTTCCAGGAGAGTCATTTCCAACAATCTCGGTGCCACAGTTTGAGATACAGCCATTAGTGCCAGGCTGTGTAGACCCCGGTGCGCCTGTATCAGCTGGGGAATCTGTGCAGAATTCAGCTGTAACGCCGCAGAAACCCCACGCAGAACAACAAGCATTTAGGGGACAAGGGTTTAACTCAGCTAGATCGAACCCATCAAATACCTGAGAGGGCTTATTGGTACCTGGTTTCTGCGGACCACAGCTAACACCCTCAATTTGTGCAGGCATAGGGGAGTTTCCGTCACTGAGACAGATGACTTGACCAGGCTGCAGATGATTGCAGCCAGCCCAACCCCAGGTTTTTTTGTTGAATTTCTCGATATCATCCTGGGTGATTCCGAAATTATCTGCCATGGCCCAACAGCCGTCGCCTGTAGCAATGGTATGTGTAGCACATGTGCCATCAGTTTGGGATTTTGGTCGCATATCCGGAATAGTGCCTTCGGAGCAACAAATCCACTGCTTGGGAATAATCGTTACGCAGAGATCTGGTCTCGGATTGAACTTAAGGAAGTCCTCGCCACTGATACCACATCGAGCCGCCAGTCCTGCGCAATTGTCTGTGTCAACGACCTGGATGGCGTTACAGTCTCCCCGAGCTACCAAAGACCTTGTTTGAGCTGCCACAGACTGAAGGCTGGTCATTGCGCGAGCTGACATTTGCGCAGTCGCATGGGAATCGGTAGAGTTGTCACCTTGCGGGGCAGTAAGAATACCCAACTTCAAAATGCTATGTATGCCCTGCCCGGCTGATGATGGAATGTCAAGACATCCACCTCGAGACCAACTATTTAACGCTCTCTGAACCTCATCAAGATTTGCTATATTATCTATAGCAAAAAGGCCAAAAGTTCTAGCTTCTCTGGCCCAGGCATCGCAGCTTTGTACCACTTGGGTGCCCTCTTTAAGGTTGTTCTCTGTAAAACAAGACTTAGTAAATCGATTCATTCAATAAGGAGGCTTGGACTAAAAGGGATCCATTGCTGCTTGAGAAATGAAAGCTAGAAGTCATGCATCGGAGGATACGCACTAAGAGGCCATTGTTAGCTCGGGGGACATTTTAAAAAATATAAAAAAAAAGTTGAAAGCAGAGTTATCACACACCCAAATTTATTGATAAGTTCTCCGGCACTGTGTGCCTGGATCTCAGAATTAGGGTTGGGTTTGGGGTTGGGGTTGGGGTTGGGGTTGGGGTTGGGGTTGGGGTTGGGGTTGGGGTTGGGGTTGGGGTTGGGGTTGGGGTTGGGGTTGGGTTTGGGGTTGGGGTTGGGGTTGGGGTT